CCGGTGGTGCATGGCGCACGCAGGTCGGGCCATGGCCTCCAGCTAACCTAACTACCCAATACCACTTACCCAAGTAGTGTCGAGGCCGAGAGGCTCCCGTGTTCCCCGATGCGCGGGAGGAGGGGGCAAAGGAGGGTGTAGTAGTATGGATGCGCTGGCAGGGCGAGGAAAGGGAGAGAGAGACACACACACGCGAGGGAGCTGTTTTTTCTTTCTTGTCGAACAGCCGAGCGGCGGACTCAGATGCAGACGCGGACGCGGAGGCCGATGCAGATGCAGATGCAGGTGCAGGTTGTAAGATGGAGATGCAGATGCAGCAGCAGCAGACTAATAAGGGGAGGGTGGCGAATGCGCAGCATCAGGATCAGCATCGTCATCAGAAGTGGCACCATCGCCACAAAGCAGCAGCAGCAGTAGAAGCGCCAGCGCGCAGAGACACCACCACGGACGAAGATGGGCATCCGCGGGCGCACGCGCGCGCGGGTCGCCGACGGTATCCGGCGTGCGTCGTGGTGCGTGTGCGCGCGAAAAGTGAGAGTGTGGTGTTGAAGCGTGTGTGTCTCTCTGGGCGGGATGAGGCTCATGGTTGGTGGTGTGGCATTGGAGACTGGCGGGGTGCAGGGGTGTGTGGTGGGTGGTGGTCACGAGCGCGGGCGGGCGCGTCGGAGGGCCAGCCCTCCCTCGTCCTATTGTGCATACATACTACAGGTACATACGTACGGAGGCGCTGATGGGCCTGTGGTGTTGTGTGTGTTGTGTGATGATGACAGGTTCACCAAGGCAGGCAAGCAGGCATCTGGATGGACGGCCGGCGCACGAACCAACGACGCCACCACCACCACCGCCGCCGACCAGGCCCAGCCCATCGCCTGGAGAAGGGTAAGGGCCCGCGCGCGCGCGCTGAGGCTCGGTGGATTGCCGAGAAAGTGGCTTGCCGCGGAGACGAGCAACCGAGCGGGTGATGATGTTGATGGTGATGATGATGGGATGGGGTGAGGGAGGTTGAGTCTCTTTCCGGGTTTTCCTTTTTCTTACACCCCGGCCCCGGGCGCGCAAGCAGACCCCCCCGGGTCTTGGAGATGACGATGGGCTACGGTGTGTGTGTGTGCGTGTGTCTCGTCTTGTCTTGCTCTTGTTCTTGTCCCTCGTGGGTTGGGGGGTTTGAGGCTGCCTTTCCATCCATGCATTTTCGCACCAACAACGACGACGGATGCTTCGCTGTCTGTCGGTCTGTCTGTCTGTCAGTCTGTCTGGCGCTGGGGTACTTATTACGCACGCGCGCGAGCATGGGACCTGGCGCTGGGGGGGACACGGGGCCAATGTCCAGCTATCCAGCTAACTACAGCACAATAATAAGACCCTACGTTAGTACTACTAAGGAGGGCCGTTAGTAGTTGGTCGCGGCTTGGTTCCAAATCGTGACGGCGGCGGCGGTGCCGAGAGGGTCGTCGTCAGGTCCAGGGTCAGGTCAGGGACTCGGTGGAGCGACGTTGGGAGCACTGGGAGGAGGCTCGGGCGCCAATTTGGCTTGGCTTCCCACCAACGGGGCTCGGCCCGCTGGGCGGGCGGGCAGGCGACAAGGTTCGATGGCGTGCGTGCGGTGCGGTGCAGTGCGTGCGTGTGTGTGGGGGGGAGGGAGCTGGAGCTGGAGGGATGGAGACCTATGGAACCTGAAAGGGACGGGCGGGACCTGAAGGGGACCGCTGGGTGCTGCTGATGCGCTGTGCCACTGTCACCTACCTACCTATCCAATGGATGCTGTGCCACTGACCATGCTGTGCTACCGCTGTGTAAGGCAGCTAACCTAGGTAACTGCTGTGATGCCGTGTACCAGCCACCTACCTTGAGCTGCCCTGCTGTGCCTGCAGTGCGACCGGCCTTTTGGCGGTCCGGGCCCCATCGTGTGTCTCTGCGGCATGCGGATGCCGGTGCGGCTTCACGGCAAGGGGCGACGCGAGATGTCGTGGTGATGGTGGGACGGACCTACGGACGGGCGCCGTGGTCGCAGGTCGTGGTACAGCAGTACAGCATGGCATGGCACGGCATACAGGCCCTGGAGCGCCCGTAATAGCGTGTTGGGCAGAGGCCCTGGGCAGGCGCCGAGCAGGGGCATGGCAGTGGAGAGCAGCTGGGGATCCAGGGTCCGGTGAGTCCTTGACGCTTCCAGGTTTCTCTGTACGACCAACCCAAGCAAGCATGCTTGTTGTACCGTGTGTGCCGACGGCTTCTTGTTGTTGCACGATGCAGACATGACGCCGATGCCGCCGCCGCCGCCGCAGCAGCAGCACACAGACACGCATGCACTCGCTCACTCACTCACTCACTCGCTCACTCACACGTACACCTACATGCAGCGTACCTACGCATGTACGCATGTACGTTTCTTGCTTGCCCATGTGCCATGATGCCCGCCCATACGAACAACCCGAATCATCACCGTCCGTCCTCGCTTCTCTTCCGCGGTCCCCAAAGCGGCAACCCGGGCGCCGCACACCACCTTCTCGCGCACCCACCGATGTCGAGATGATGCGCAACCGCCCGCCCGCTCGCCACCACCACCCCCTGGACAGGTGCAAGCTTGCCCTCCATGTCTCGCCAGATGGGTGGTGGTGGGAGTGGTGGTGGTGGACGGATTGACCGAGAACCTGTCTCTTATACACATCTAGATGTGTATAAGAGACAGCCCCTGGACAGGTGCAAGCTTGCCCTCCATGTCTCGCCAGATGGGTGGTGGTGGGAGTGGTGGTGGTGGACGGATTGACCGAGAACCGCTCGCTCGGAAACCACAGGCGGTTCATCTCTCCGGCATCCCTGCAAAAGACAGGGCAGGCCGGGGCCCTGTAATCGCCGCTGGTGCTGCAACCCCGTCTGTTCTGACCCTCTGCTGGTCTGCTCGTGTCTTTGACTTTGATTTGATGTGATCTGCGCGTTTCGCCCGTAATCCCTGTTTTTCTGCAACCCCGGTTTGGCCCCCCTCCATCCATCCATCCATCCATGCCTTGCCATGCCATGCCATCATCACCCTCCCGCCTCTTCTTCTGCCACCATGCCCGCCGCCACCGCCAACACCAGCAGCAGCAGCAGCAGCAGCAGCAGCACAAACCACCACCACCGCCTCCGTCGCCGGTTGCTCCTGTTGCGGCCGCTGGATGCGCTGTTTCCAGTTGAGATTGTTGCAGCACCACCACCTCCTCCTCCCCTTCCTGATGCTGCTGCTGGCGCTGCTTGGCGTGGAGGAGGTGGTGGTGGTGGCGGCGGCGGCGGCGGTGCTCTCTCATCAGTCATGCATCGCAGGAAGCGGAGCAGGAGGGGAGTGGTACAGTACATAATACAGCTGGAAGGGTTTACTACAGTTACACGCAGGGTCGGCAGGGGGCGTGGCCGGAGGTTGGGCTGAAAAAAGAAGCACGTCTTGGCTTCAGCGATGTGCTGCCAGCTTGGACGACGACGGACACAGAGACAGAGACACACACAGAGACATGGATCTGTGCGGGCCGCGTTGCATCCCGTGCTCGCGCTCTGGAAATAAGGAAAGACGGCGCAGAGCAGCAGCACGAGGAAGAAAGAAGAAAATAAAAACGTGCGGCGGCCGGCGTGCAGCCGACAGGGATCCAACGCTTCATGCAGGTGCCCATGCCTCATCATGCCTTCACGCCCACGCCTGCAATGGCCCCCTGTCCCTGGTCCATGTCCCCCCGTGTCCGTCGCCCATCCTTGTCCATGCCAACCCATGCCCCTCCCCATGCTTCATGCCATGCCGAGACCTGCCTGGCCAGAACGGCGCCGCCGCCCCCTCGGGGGGTGTGGTGTATGGGTGTGCCAACGCCAACGCCAACAACTGGGGACGGACGCCCGTCGTTGACGCCCACCTTGTGCGGCCGCCGCTCGAGTCGGGGCCCTTTATATATTGGGAACTGTGGTCCTGACCCGGGGCGGATCTCTGCCTCGCACGTAGGAGGTTTTGGACCCTGGACCAAGAACGAATATACCCGCAGCGCGCGCAGACTTGCATATATTATTACCAAGTGCGGTGCAGGACAGACACGGCGAGGCATCCTGTCTTGTCTATATGCCCTTTTGCCTGCCACACCGACCATTACTTGTTTCGAGCAACGACAAGGCCCCGTCGGCGACACCGCCATTCTACGTCGAACACATCACAACCATATTCACACGAGTGCTGGTGCGGTGACGGACAACCACGACGACGAACACAGAGTGTGCACGACATAGGCGAGCACGCGGGTCCCTCACATGGACATGGCCCTCGAAGTCGACCTGATCCACCAGCAGCAGTCGAAAGATCATCTTGGGCAATGGGCGCGGCAGAGGCCCGCCAGAGGACAGGGAGGGACAGCGGTGGACGAGCTGCTGCCCCAGGCGTTCCATCTGGCGGGAAGTGCTTCCCTGGGCGGCGCGGCGAGCCCAGCGGCACGGAGGCCGAGATCCGTGGACGACGGCCCGAGACAGGAGCAACTGCTGGGAGCAGGCCGTGATATTGCCTGGCCCTCGACAACACAGGCGGGGAACAGGATCTCGATGCATGGCTCTGCCGTCCCCAGCAGGCACTCGTCCACGCCGCCGCCAACACGACTACAAGATGAGACGCACCATGGCCGACCACGACGCCCTCTCCCCGGTCGGCCATCTGCCACGGGAATGACATCAAAACAGCCAACTCTTTCGAGCACGCCCCGACCAATGACAAGGAGAGCGGTAACGACATCGGCTCCGTCTTTCCTGCCCATCACAGCGCTGCTAAACCCCCACACGGGCGTCAAGCGGCGGCGCAATCGCCTCGACGTCGACGGGCCCAACACGGCCGGCCTCAGCTCCAAGAAGCGCCGCCTGCGCCTCGACCTCGTGACGAGCAGGCTATCACGCCCATACTCGGAACCAGCGTCGCACGTGCATTGCAGGTACGGTTCGATGCGGCGTGTTGCCACGACGGCGGTCGCCAACAGGGCTTTGGGAGGAGGAGGAGGAGGGCAGGCAACCGGGTCGACGACGTCGCAGCAGAAAAAGGGCGGCGGTGCGAGCGCGGATGCCTCGATGGGGTCGTCGTCGACGTCGACGTTTCTTCGCTATTCCATCATGAATAGGATGAGGAAGCGGCTGGGGCTCAAGGGGCCGGGGGTGCTGAGAGTGGGAAAGGCGGATGCGGCCATGGGCGGCATGGGCGGGGCGGCACAGTCGAGCTGGCACCCGGAGAAGACGAGGTCGTCATCGGGGAGCAAGGCTCCGGCACAAGGCATGTCGGCTGGAGCAAGCCCGGGTCCGGCACCCTTGCGGCGACCCGTGACGAGGCGGGCGGAGCTGCCTCATCCGGGACAACACTCTCGGGCTCCAGCTAGACCGAGGACACAACAGCCACCACAGCAGTCGTCAGAGCCGCAGCGCCAGCTGCCACCCCTAAAGATGAGCCCACGCGACAGACCCGGACCCTCTCGAAGCGCCGCGGAGCCCCGCCGCCCGCCGAGGAAGCACCTGGACGAGGCTGGCGAGGACAGCTTTGGGTTCCTGCACGCGGAGGAGGGGCCGGCCGACGACGGGCTCGCAGAGGAGCCCGACGACGTGTACTGCGACTTTGGGATGCTCTTTGGCAGGACGGCCGAGGGCTTGTCGCCCGAGGGAGTGGATCGGCTGGCTGAGAGAGGGCTGGATCCAAACGACGACCTGGCGTGGCTGTTGACGTAGGAGCCCTGTGTGCCCCTTCTGGAACCTCGCTCGCGTGATGATCTTCGCGGGTGGGGGAGTGGGAGAAGGCGAGCTGGATGCCCATGGCAGGCTCAATTTTGGGAAACGGTAGACTATACATGATGGGAGCAATCTAAACGTCTAAGCGAAAATGATGTCTATATTTTGGCTCGCCGCCTACCTATGCTTGCGCTTCCCAATGGCTATACCTGCCCTTTGGGACCAAGTGACACCACAGCAGAGCCCATCAGAGCTTTGGGCTTCAACCTCTGTTCATCTAAATGTTCGCTCTTGACGGCTGTACGGGCAGCTTGGACGCTCGGTCCTTGGCAATGTCACACATGGCCTGCTACACGTTAGTACACTGGACAATGTCCAAGCACGCACGCAGATCGACACCAACCTGAAGCGCCGCGGCAATCTCCTTGGAATAGTCGCCACGGTCAATGCGCGTCCTCATGTCCTGCATAATCTCGGGCCGGCCCCTGCCATTGACGAAGACGACGTAGCGCAGGCCGGGGAAGCGGCGCTCGTACTCGTCGTTGAGGCGGGCGAGCTCCTCGCCCTCGCCCTGGAGGTTGGCCTGCTCGGCGACGGACTGGGCCGAGTCGACCTTTTTGGCGCCGAGGCGCGGGTGGGAGCCGAGGACGGAGAGGAGCGCCGGCGTGGGCTTGGAGTCGGCGGCGAGGGAGAGCAGCTGGATCTGGCACGCGTCGACGAGGTCCGGGTACGACTGGTACTGGGCGGTGCGGATCACGGGCACGAGCGTCGCGTGGATGGCGGGGCTGGGCTCGAAGAGGAGGTCGAGGACCTGCGTCTGCTCGAGGTCCGAGAAGGAGTGCAGGTCGCGGATGTGAGGGAGCTGCGGGGTGGTGGTGGTGGTGGTGGCCATGGTTGCGGCGGGCGGCTTCGCGACGAGGGCAGTGGAGGAAGACGTTAGACGAGCAGAATCTGGACTCGGGGTGGTGATGTTAGGGTTCAGAGTCGTCGAGCTGGTCGCGGCGGAAGATGCAATTGACACTTGTCTCAACGACAATCGCAGCGGTCCAAAGCAGAGGGCACTCGCCCATGCCGCGTTCCACCCATGGCCAGGGCCGCCTCGCTGGGAGACGCAGGCGGAGGAGCGCGAAGGTTGGCCGTCGACCGCGGTGCTCCCCGGAGTCCCCCGCTGTGGGACGATAAGCAGCGGCGGGTCGACGTCACTTGCAGGTGGCGGCCTTATCAGCACGTGACACTCCCGACCTCCAACTCAGGTGCCAAGTGGGGCCCCTTCCCCGGCCGCATGGCCTGCTTGCCTGCTGCTGCACCTGGTCCGTGCACCGCGTCACGGAAAATCTCGACCGGAGCATCTGCGAGGTGCAGCTGGACTGGCTGCTTGCAAACAGGTGAGCGCGCAGGCACCCGAGCACCACGACCTCAGATCACGCAGCGCCGCAACCACCCTCCCCACGCGCCATTGGAAGCACAGCGAGCTCGCGGAACCAGTCGCCATGCTTTGCGGAAGTAAGCGAAGCTCGGAACAATGAATTGCTTGCGCTCTTGCTGACTGGAAGCTGCAGTTTCGGGCGAGGCGCCCCAGGAGCCCGTCGTGTCCAAGAAGTCGGGTATGTTTATCGTCTGCCTCCGCGGCACGCCTCATGCTGCCTGCGCGCCGGGTCGTGCACATGCTTACCCTCGCCTAGGTGTCGTTTACGAGAAGCGCCTCATCGAACAGTACATCAACGAGAATGGGACGGAGCCCAGCACAGGCGAGGCCCTCGCTGCCGAGGACCTGCTGCCCATCAAGTCGTCTGCCATAGTCCGGCCGCGGCCACCCACCCTGACCTCGATTCCTGCCCTGTTGGCGACCTTCCAGAACGAATGGGATACGCTGGCGCTGGAGACATACAACCTCAAGGAGCAGCTGGCGCGAACACGCGAGGAGCTTGCGACCGCGCTCTACCAGCATGACGCCGCTGTTCGCGTCCTCGCGCGGCTGACGCGGGAGAGGGACGAGGCTCGCGACGCGCTGAGCAAGGTTGCCATTACGGACGGCGCGATCAACGGCGACGAGATGGCCGTGGATACGGTCGAGGCGCTGCCCGAGGAGCTGGCGGAGCGCGTTGACGAGACGCATCAAAGGTCCGGACCATACTTCTATATCGCGGTACTGGCATATGCTGACTTTCTCCAGTCTATCAAAGGGACGCAAGAAGCGACCGGTGCCCGAGGGCTGGGTCACGGCCGATGAGATCTCCGCGTTCGAGAGCGAAGCTTCCAACTCCCTGCCCTTGTCGCAGGCCACGTCTCTTAGCCTCGAAGGCGACTACGCTGCGCTGGGTGGCCTCAAGGGCGAGGCCGCTATATACTCTGTCGAGGCCGACAATCTGGAACGGCAAGTGGCCGTCAACGAGCCGGTCACCGACACGCTGTGGTCTGGGTCGAAACTGTTCTTCGCCACGAGCAAGGGAACTGTCAAGGCGTACGAAGCTGGCAACGAGGTTGCCGCCCTGTCAGAACATGCTGGCCCTGCGACGGCACTGAGTGCCCACCCTGGTGGCCAGATTCTGGGATCCGTGGGCACGGATAAGAGCGTCGTCTTCTACGATACGGAGACGATGAAGCGTGTGAGCCGCGCGTATACGGATACTTGTAAGTTCGCCTGTGGAGCGGCCTTGGCTTGGTTTCGTTGCTGACCTCTAGTAGCTCTGACGACATGCGCGTTCCACCCCGATGGCCACCTCTTCGCGGCTGGTACCGTGACCGGCGATGTCAAGCTGTTCATGACCAAGTCTCTCGAACAGGCCGCGGCCTTCAAGCTGGGCGCCCCGGTCCAAGCTCTCGCATTCTCCGAGAACGGCTTTTGGCTCGCAGCCACGGCCAAGGGCCAGACGACTGTCACCATCTTCGACCTGCGGAAAGAGGGAGACGCGGCTACGGCCAAGGTACTGGAAGTGGGCGGACCGGTGCAGTCGCTGGCCTGGGACTACACGGGCCAGTACCTGGCGACGGGCGGCGCATCCGGCATCACGGTCCAGCAATACGCAAAGTCGAGCAAGAAGTGGAGCGAGCCATTCCGGAACTCGGTGCCCGCAGTGGCGGTTCGGTGGGCGGCGTCGGCGAAGAAGCTGGTGGCCGTCAACGGCGATGGCGTCGTGAGCGTGTTTGGTGCCAAGGCATAGATAGAGAGAGACACACCCGGAGTACGGATAGGGAGAAGGGACTGTTTTCGTTGCGAGGCTACAAATCTATGGTGGCCGGCTGTACAAGTATACTCGGGGGTCTTTCGAGGGGCGGGTCGGCGAGGTTTGTCTGGGACAAATTGATATGCATGCTTTGCGGGAACCACGACAGTGAACCGCGGCAAACGGTGCATTGAACGACCTTTTTCTTGGCGATGGACGGAAGTGACAGTGAGGGCTTGGGCGCTGATAGTTGCCGCGACGATGGCCTTCTATGAGGTGCCTTGGATGTTTGGCTTTCATCTATAGGTGCCCGCCAGGCGCCCTGGAAGCGAACTTTCCGCAGTGGTTCCGAGGTTGTCAGCACGCAACAGCCTGGAATGGATGCCCCAGTCAGGCCCCTCACAGGCCCGTCAGGGCACCTGGGAACACAGCGTTTAGTGGGCCCCGGGTCCATCGCGTTAGCTCGGCAGGCGCCACCAACAACGGCAACAAACATCCACTACGACCTCGATGTCGGCGGCGCCACGCCAGAGGGGCAAAATGCCTGCTAGAGCGGTACATGCGCCTCTGGGAAAACCTACGGTGCGTCGCCTTGTACCTGTCCACACGCCCACTAACAGACCTGGTTCGCCTCCGGGCACCCGTCTCTCCTTCAGTTCACGCACTCCACCAATTCGCCGCCCTCGGAGTTAACCTCAACCCTTCACCACCGACCTTTCAATCTTGCACGAGCACGTCAGCCTGCCGCCTAGGCCGAGCGTGCCTCGTCCCGACACTCGAGCACGATACCATCAGCCGCAGTAGCGTCAGCGACAGCATACACAGCCATATAAGCCCCCAGCGGCTTCCCAGCAGCGAGGCACGACCCCCCCGATTCTCGCCCGGATCCGCCTCCTCGCACGACTGAACGACACTGAACGGTGCGGGCACAAGGGTCGACTCGCCTTTCCCCCGAGTCGCCACACCTGTGAAAAACGCGACGGACTCGGTGCAGCCTACGTTTACGCATCCCTACGCATACGCCTTCAGCTGGCAAGTGCGGCGAAACAGCTCGACCTTTTCAAAGTCGCCCACGACCGCCCTCGTTCTCCCTGCCGGGCCACGGCCCTATTTCGCTTCGTCATTCTCCGCAAAACGCCACTTCGCCCTTCATCGTAGCAGCAGAGCACCACCGATTTCCACGATGGCGCGCCGCGGGGATGGAGGGTCATTATTCGTCGACGACGACGACGACGACTTTGATATAATAGAAATCACCAACCCGAACCCGGCGACTCAGATCTCAAGCCTGCTGAATCCTTTGAGACCCATCAATCCGCTAGAGACAACTTCGAGCCGGAGAAGCGACCGTTCTCGAGACTCACGATGGGAAGAACCGCCGCGGCGGAGCGCTCGGTGGGGGGGCGTTCCTCCACCGCCGCCGAGGGCGCAGGAACCCACGATCATCGACCTGACTGGCGAGCCCGACTCTCCGGTCCAGGAGAGACGACCACCGCCGCCCGCGCCCGGAGTGCCTGGCAGGAACCCTAGGAGGACGAACTCCCAAAGGCCTTCGCCACCGCGTTTGGCGAGAAGTGACAGCACCTTTGTCGGCTCCGGCGCCGTCATAGACCTAACGGTCGACAGCCCGAGAGATGCACGGCGCCTAGAGCCTCCGCGCACACTACGGGCGCGCCATGCACATCGCCATGGACGCTCATACCAGCGCGCGCCCGCGGCCGATCATGATCACCGGCTCTCGACCATACAGCTCCAGTTCGTGAACGATGCGACCCCTAACTTGTTGACTACTTTCCGCAGCGGCGTTCAGCACATGGTTGACACTCTTTTCAGTGCGGAGTTGAGGAGGGCGTATCATCCTACACTCGAATCCCTTAGTTCGTTCAGTCCTCGAGAGCCTAGTCCGAAGCCTCCCATGGAGGAGGTACCGCCTACCCGCCCGGGCTTCACGCGGGACACGCACACCGCCACAGAAGACGCCGAAGAGACGGTAGTGATCTGCCCAGCCTGCAACGAGGAGCTTGCCTACGACCCAACGGAAGCAGCCGCGGAGAGCGCGACCAGTAAGAAGCGCAAGAGGGTTCCCGGCGATCATCACTTCTGGGCCCTGAAGAAGTGTGGACATGTGAGTTTCTCAGGCAGGAAAGCATCATCGAATCTTATCAAAGCTAATTCTTAAATTCACAGGTCTACTGCGCAGACTGTTTCGAGAACCGAAGGCCGACGAAGGCATCACCATTGGGCGTCGGCTTCCGCACCCAGGGCGCAAAGCAAGCAAGCGGCACCAACAGCGACTTGAAATGTGCGGTGCCGGGCTGCGAGACCAAGGCGGCCAACAAGACTGAGTGGATAGGCATCTTCCTGTGACGGACGATGACACGGGATGATGAAAGTATGGGCGCTGCGGCGGCCCTTTATGATTGCGAGCGTGTTGGTCCTTTGTGCATGGAGCATGGAGGCGGCATTTGTATAGATTCAGCGACACGGGCAGGCGGGGACACGGGCAAGGGAAAGGGCAAGGGTCATACATGGGCGGCGTTTATGCGGGCGGGAGCATTGCGCAGCGGTTTATTGTTTGCCGCTGGATATCAGGCAGAAGGGAAGGATGATTTTCGCCGCCGTATTCAGGACGAGCGGCGCAGCTCTTTTGGGCAGCGAGCGTGCCATGGTTGCACCCGATGGATAAGGAAAGGAATAGAAGACGTCAGTCTCAATATCTCACCACCAAACTAATGAACTGTCTTGACGTCTGACTATTGTCACCCGTGAATGCGAGTATCGACCAGGCCATGGCTGTGACGGTGAGTATCATTGCTTCATTAAATTGACTGCTTGCTGTTCCATGCCCTGTATTGTTCCTCTCATATTTCTGAGGTACACCACCTGGTTGTCGCCTTGCTATGTGTATAGCAACCAACCTAGGGCCTCATCGTATGCACCCCGAAATCCGGCCGACGACGCCACGGGTAACAAATTGACCATACCCTCCTTCGTCCAGGCCATCCGTGGGCCTCCTTTCATTCATGATGCAGGCAGTAAGGGAGAGAAGAAAAGAAAGCCAAATAGTAAAAGTCGTTATATGCATGCATGCTCAGTCTCAAGGCCGTTTCAAATCGTAAGCTCCAGGGCAATCTCGTCGACCCAGTCTCCGCCGTACTCTGTCTCCTGCGAGGCTGTCGGGGCGGCCGCCGCCGCGACGATAATGCCTTTGTTTGCGTAGTCGTCTGGCGAGGCGTTCTCTTTATCCTCGTATGACGGTTTTACCATTCGCGTTGTCCTCGTCGTCCTCGTTTGCTCAGCCTGAGGACGGCTGTGTGGGTGTGAATTATGTAGTTGTTGCTGTGATGCCGGCCGACTGGTCCTTGGGGGAGGCTTGGGATTTCCCGGGGGCAAGTGATGGGCCCCGCGGGGGACATGGCTTCGTGGTGGTGGTGGCGGTGGTGGTGGCTGGCGGTGCATCTGATGCGTACTGTACTCGCGCTCGCGCCGGCGAATGCTGTCGAAGGCGGCATCACGGCGGCTGCGATGCAGGGCGAGCGAGTAGAGCTCGTTGGAACCAGACGCGGAGAAGAAGCGTTTCGGCGCGGCCAGTGTGGGTGAGGATGCCCCGGGGGCGACGTCTGGGGCTTCTCCACTTGCTCGCTTGGCGACCTCTTCTGGATATTGGCAGGGATGGCGGTTAGTGGGCGTATTCGAAAAGTCGTCCTCCAACAGTTCTCGCTCTTGCTGCGACGGGGAGGGAAAGTAGTCGTCGTAGTTGCAGAGGATGGCCTGCGTGCTCAGTGGCGGCTGCTGTCGAGGCGGCGATGGAGATGGGGATGGCGACGACGACGGTTGCCTCGCCGGAGCAATGTCACCTGGCGGCTTGACGGGCTCCTGATCTTCTTCTGGTGGCTTTGTCGGTGTGCTCGGCCGCAATCCAAGGTCGACCTCGTAGTGCGTGGCTTGTCGAGTCGTGGAAGCTTCGTCAACTGACGGCAGCGGCCCCCTGGTCATATTCTCGAGGTGCTCCAGCATCTCCAACTCCAACTCGTCCTCTTCGGGTATCAGGTCCAATTCTTGCTCCTTGATCTCCGCTCTAGACTCGACCGCGTTCTCAATCGTTTCCTCCTCCACCGGGCTGGCAGGTTCGTCGGCGGCTTGTTCATGTTGTACAGCCAAGCTCTCGTCGGCAGCCACAGGTTCGCCTGCAGCGTCCCTCTTCTTAGTCGTGCCATTGCCTCGCACAAACTTGGCTATCGTGTCCTGGCTCGGCCGGACGTTGACGAGCGGCAGGCCGTTCCGCCTCTTGTTCTGCCGCTCCGTCTCCTCCTTGTCGCGTTTCCTTTGCCGCGCCACGCGGGCCCGCGAGCTGGCCCGCTCCTTGTCGAGCTCCTTGCGGATCCGCTCCTGTTCCTCCTTTTCTTGGCGGATGCGCTCGGCGCGGGAGAGTTTGGGTACCCGGGTGGCGGCCTTGTGCGCGGCGCGGACCTGCTTCGAGGTCATGGGCCGCGGGGGAGGCGCGCCTGGAGGATGTCCGCCTGCAAGAGGCTGGAGGACGGTGAAGGTCCTCTGCACCGGCGGCATCTTGACTTTGCTTGGGCGATGGCGGGAGAGGACATTGGAGACAGTGGGCAGGCCGCGGGTCCCAACCAAGAGTCCAAACGGGAAGTCGACCGGGGTGTTGACGCGAACTGGTGGGAAGTGGATGAGGCTGGCACGTGGAGGGGCTTCGTCGTGCAACGCGAGAGAGGAGCGCAGTCACGTGAGTTGGTCAGATGCTGACCAGCAACTTTCTGATGCACGATGACTGTCTCTTGGCATCGCTGTGTTTTCGTCCACACATTTTCACCGTGTTTGATGGAATCTCGGATGGAGCAGCAGACTATCATACGATGCATATATTCGGTCTGGTTCAGCTGCCGCGTGGCCCGATATAACCCGTTCCGCCGTCCGCTTATCGCGCCGGGAGCCGGAGGATCATTCCATCACTTCTCCAGCGGTTCCACGGTGGGATCCCACGCACACGGGCTGTAGTCTTTGGTCGCCAAGTCCTCGACCTCGGCGTCGGTCAGCTCAAAGTCGAACAGGCCTGCGTTCTCGGCGATGCGCGACGGCGTGACGCTCTTGACGAGGGGCACGAGGCCCCTCTGCAGGCTCCACCGCAGAAGCACCTGCGCCGGCGTCTTGCCGTACTTGTCGGCCAGCGCGACGACCTTGGGCTCTCCGAGGCGCTCGCCGCGCACGATGGGGCAGTAGGCCTCGACGGCGACGTTGCGGGCGCGGCACCACTGCACGATGTCCGGGCGGGTGAGCCACGGATGCACCTCCCACTGCCCGACGGAGATGACGCCGCCCTTGCCCTTGCCGCCGCGCTGGGCCTCGAGCTCGCCGATGTACGCCTCGAGCTCGTCGAGATGGTGCACGCCGTAGTTGGACACGCCGATGGAGCGCACCTTGCCCGCCTCGACGGCCTCGACCAGCGCCCGCCACGCGCCCTTGCGGTTCTCGGGCCCGCCGTACGGCGAGTGGATGAGCACCAGGTCGAGGTAGTCGAGCCCCGTCTCGGAGAGCGCCGTGTCCACGAGCTTGTGCGTGTTGTCGTACGCAAGCGGGAACTCGCGCACCGGCACTTTTGTGGTGAAGAAGATGTCGGAGCGAGCAATGCCTGAAGCCGGGATGGAGGCGGCCGACGGTCCCTGGTTGCGATAGGCAGACGCCGAGTCAATCTGGAGCAGCAGGTCAGAACCTCCTCCTTGCGCGTGGTGAGCTGGTGACGACAGACGTGACGGTAGCCAATCTTCAAGGCCTCCTTGCACACCTCGGTTGCCTGCTCCTTGGGTCTGCCGCACCGTCAGCCGGAAGGCGAAGCGCCGCGCCTCTGAAGATTAGCGACTCACGTTTGGTATACCTGCGGCACAGTCGTTAGCGACGCCTTTCCCGAGACTTTGGATGACGGCTTACACCGAACCCCAGCAAGGGGATCTCATAGCCCGAGTTGAGCTTCAACGTAGAACTTAGACTCAGCTTGGACGCCATTCTTCGTGCCGACATGAAAACGTCTGAGTCTGCGGATGAAACGTCCGAAAAGTTCGGAACCACACGCGGACGAACTTATAGTGACTTGCGCAGGAGACGAGGGCGTGGCGGCAGTGATGCAAGCAGCGCGACGGGTTCCGTCATTGACGTGCTAGGCGCGAAGCCATGCGGCGGGGTTGCTTGAACCCCGGACTTTGGCAGGTGGAGTTAGCGGTCCGGCCCGGAGTTGGTCGGCTCTAAGAGCTACCTAACCTGGACAAGCACGACAGTCGGACGTCCGTACAACATCTCGCTCGCTGCTGTTATGGAAGTGAAACGGCGTGTAGAATATGGTAAGCGGCCGATATAACTAGCTGGTCACATGGAGACTCTTGTGGAATATGCCCTCAAAGGAATGGAAGGTCCCGAGAGACCTGCAGTCATGGCAGTGATTGAGCATTCGTTGGGTGAGATCTTGCACACGCGGTAATTAGCTTTTGCGTCCTTGTATCATGAAAAAGGATTTCTCGTCAATCCCACCTAGGAGAGCGTTACCCTTCTTTCCTCAAAATCCTCGAGACCAGCACGATCGCACTTCAAGCTCGCTCTCCTGGCACCAACACCCTCAAACAAAGAAAAATCTGCGATGTAATCACTGGGTTCGAGAAGTGCCGCATCTGTTTCAGTAGACGTTTCTCGTCGCAGAGCGCCCCATTTCGATGCGATGAATTTAAAAAGGCAGTGGCTGCAGCATAAAGCCTGAAGCCATCGTAATGTGCCCGAAGGGTCTGGATTATATCACTTCGAATGTAAAGTGGCTGGAAGCTTGCAGCAAATGCCTGAAGAAGCAGCAGCAAAAATTCGTAGTCATAGTCTTAGCCATACGTAAAGTGATTGTTTGAATAGACCTGAAGCTGTGACTCACAAAGTCTATCCATATGCCACAATAGCGAAGTCTCATCTCGACGAAGAACTGGCCCAGTGCTTCCATCTCCAGTCTGCTACAGCCTCTGGCCTTCATACCAACGCAGTCGCCGATCCAGACGCATCAACAAAATTAAACCAAGCACATCCAGAATATTTACTACTGTTCGCAGCTATGAGAGGTGCCGTGGCACTGCCGGCGCGAGCGCTTTGCGTCTTCGAGCACCCCGCCCCGGTGCCCGCACTATCTTGAGAAGTTGGCAAACTCGCGACGACGACACATTCGGAGGGCGGCCATGGTGCGTTGCCAGGTCGACCTAAATTCCGTAGAAGGAGACATGGCTTTCGTAGCAATGTGCACACGGTGCCCGGTTCGAAAGTCAAAGAAGAGCCGTAGGGAGTGAGTCACTTGTTGGTATAAGTCTGGGCTATTTCAGTCTTAGGAGCCGCGCGTATCCAATCGCGTCAATCGGACACGTGCGGCTTGAGAACGACTCTTTTGTCCTTCGTCTTGGTTGAGCACATCGTCAGCGTGCAGACGCTGGCTAGGACCGCTTCACCTACTCAGCACGGCTTTGGCTAGTAGCAAAGGTCATCGCAAAGGAAAGAGCGTACGTCGATCAGTGAAAGCGGCGGCGTGCCATCAAAGACAAGAATTGGCCCGGCCTTGGCCTCCGCGGTATAAAGTCAGCCACTTGTACAAAGAGTCGCCGTCCGCTATTAAGGCCCCATGAGAACAACTGCGTTTAACAAACCACGATTCGCGCCCGCCGACACTCAAGCACACGAAACCGCCCAGAGACCCGTCTAGATCAAAATGTGCACCATAACGCTCACTTTCCGCGAGTGCAGGGCCTGCGACGCCAGGTACTTTGTCGGGCAGTTCCCTGAGAGGCCCTGCGGTTCTTTTCTGGAGGCGCAGGCTAAGGCTCGTCGTGAGCAGCAGGAGGACCACTCAGAGTCTCGGGAGGTCAAAGAAGTCCCTTGCCCTTGGGGACGGGACTTCGAGGACATCACCATAGAGTATTTGGATGCGTGTGGACTGTGCAGTTCTCGCATTCGGAGAACGCTGTCGCTATAGTTGCGGCTAGGCAGCTTTACTTGCCTAGGCTGCGTTGGCGTCGATGTGGCATGGCTGCCGGGAGTAGGAATGACCGGTGGCAATACTATAGCGTCCCGCAGTAGACCATCGGATGTAAACCAATACAAGCATTGCTCTTGCCTCTACCCAGTTGTGCTGGCCGAGCATATGACCAGATCATAGACGGCACCGCTCTGCTTACACACATGCACGCGGTGTGGCTCGTATCATGGGGTCATCGCGATGAAATGCACGTCAAGTTGTGAATCCGGCCACAAGTCCATTGAAGATGAGAGCTTAGACCGCTGGATCTCGTAGTATAAAGACAGCCCGTGCTGCAAACGACTACCACCCGTGCCCGCATAATTGGCAGACTCCATGTCCCGGAGGAGAGTTGCGTTTGACTCTCGAGCAAACCCCGTGCGCTAATCATTGAACTCCGCAGAAGCCGCTTCAAAGCTCTGTGGATCAGGATGTGCACGATCGTTCTCACTTTCCAGGAGTGCAGGCACTGCAAAGGAGTGTACTTCACCGGGGCGTCGCCCGAGAGGCACTGCACGCCGTATCTGCAGGCACGGGCTAGGGTTCGTGCGGAACGGGGTGATGCAGCGGCCGAGGAAGTCACATGTCCGCAGGGCCGGAAATATGAAAACGAGACTACGTATGTGGACACGTGTGGCAGATGCGACTCAAGACGTGCTTAAGGTGCATTGTAGCTGTGGTGGCCGCGAGTTTGAGGTCTCACTGCCGGGACAGGCTGGCCGCCCTGCTTGTTGTGTTGTCAGAGCCCCTGGATGCGGGTGATTCTGTTTGCGTCGAGGATACAGGCGTGTTTGTGATATGCGTAGTCGGTGACTAGGAAGTTTCCAGGTTGGTGAGTAGGGGATTATACGAGTTAGAGGAATGACACAGAGTCTCTTAGCTCTGGCTGGCAGTGCAGGCCGAGCACATCACAGCCAGGAGCCACTCTACTTACACTGCATGACAGCCGCTTTGTTCGTAACAAAGAGCCATTCCACCTCTACATGTAGGCTAGAGCACAACCTGGGGACACTACTGTTGCTCGAGGATCAGCCATTCACTGACATAGACACTCGTAGTATAAAAGGCAGACTTCCGTTCTAACAAGAAGCGCGCTCTTTGTTCAATCTTCTCCAGGAACCACCTGCTTCTAACCAACCAGCGACTTTTGCCCATCGACATTCAATGAACCATACGAGAACCGAACCAAGGACATCTCGACGAAAGCAAGAACATGTGCTACATAAACCGCCATTGGTGGCGCTGTAGAAAGTGCGGCGAGCGCCGCTTCATCTCGCAGGACCCGCCTGATCCTTGCAAAGAGGTTCGACAGCAGCTGGCGAGGGCGCGCGTCGACCCGAAGTACCGACCGTCTGGGTGCCCAAGGCGTCGGGAATACCAGGATTTGACGACGGACGTGGAGCGTTGCGATAAATGTGGCATTAAGCAGGGGCGGACGACAATGTAGCCATGTCTGTCCCATGCTTGAAGGGACTTTGCTGGGTTCGAATGTGGTGTCTTCGAATCGGGTCCCAACAAGACGACGCGGAATTGCGGTCACGGCGGGGATACAAGGGTATAGCTGGGGTAGGCATCGGTAGTGACGAGCTTGTTTTCTAAATCACGCTGTCTAACATGTCTTCGTCCTCTTCGTGTCTGTTTCCGTTGTCCCGGACCACTTGCTCCGCCTCCTCCTCTTCGTCCTCGTCGAGATCCAGGATGGGGTAATTCAGAATGGCAGCGATGTCGCCCATCAGCTTTAACCGTTGACCACTCTCGTGCTCGCTGCTCAGTATCCGCGCCTCGCCTCCATCCAAATGCACCTTGTCCACCAGCCCGACGTACTTTTTCCTTGTCTCGAGGTCATCGCTTCGGAACAGGGAGTTGTTGACGAGGAGCACGCCGCCGCCCGGCCCGACCGCGCCGTCGGCAACAGCCTTCTCGACCGCTTTTGTGCCGTACCACGCGCGCCCGTCGTCCAGCTTGAGCATGTCGAAGAACTGGTCCATGTACTGCGTCTCCTTGGCGTACACCATGTCTCGCATCTTGGCGAGGACTTCGGGGCTCTTGAGAACCTCGTTCAGGCTGTGTAGATGGCCCGAGTTGGTGTGAATCACCGTCGCGTTTTTCGCGATTGCACTGAGAACCTTGTCTGACTTGTCGCGACCCTGCTTCGTCATGTAGTCCTTGAAGTCGCCGGCCGTGAATCCTGGGCTGGCGAGGAGCAGCGGACGAGTGTCGGAGAAGTCGAGGGCACGGACGAGCGAGTTGAGCGTCTTATCGAAGAAGCGCTTCATGCCGGCGTCTTGCTCCGAAGCCTTGTCACGCTTCTTCGGGACGACGCTCTCGACCTTGGTCTTCAACACTGTGCGGAACTGGGTGATGAGGCAGATGTTGGCCAAGCCCTCCTGCATGACGACGGCGGCCATGGCACCGTTCCTGTCGTCAGATAGCGCCTGAGAGAGTGTGGTATTGGCGACCGAGTCCCAGCCATTTGGCTTGACGATTTTAAACGAGCGGCTGACTTCCAGGTCGAGTGTGTGATGGGAGCCCCGAGGCACGTATTCGTTCTCGCTGACGACGACGCCGGAGACGCGGAGTGATGATACGGCTGGGTCGAAGAAGGTGGACTTTACTCGCAGAGTCAGGTCGGTGTGGACGCGCTCCGTAGCCGACGACCCGGTGCCACCGTTCGGGATGGCGATCTTGCGAATGGCGTGCCCGCCGACGATGTCGCCAACGACGATGAGGTTGTATGCATGCCACTGGCAAGCTGTCAGCTAGCTGAATCGCCAGAGAGGAGAAATGTCAGGATGGCTGGGCTGGCCTACCATATCCTCAGGGTCCTCTGGGAGCAGAGAAAGCTGCTCCTCCTCCATGTCCGGGAGGATCCTCCGGGCGAGGAGCTTCATGTTGGGCTGTCGCAGATGTGCTGTCGCGCGTGAGAGGTGGCGGGTTGATGCGATCTTCTGCGAGTGGAAATACTCGCAAGAGATGTCTCAGAGGCGATTCTCCTCGTCTGTCCCGCAGTCGAGGGAGCTGTTGATATAGGATGCCCCTCCGGGAAGGTTTGCCTCCATTCGAAGCATACGGTGACGATGCATGTCGCCCAACCTTTTGTGGTGGGGGTGGCGCTGTGGCGCGAGCGAGGACGACAATGGCTGGTGCGCACTAGCATTTGTTCGGTGCGTGCCGGCAGTAGACTGTTAGTCCGTCGGGCACTGAGCCTGACGCAGAGCAACGCGGACCCCGTTGGAATGTACTGGACGGGCCGCTCATGCGTGCGGTGCTCGTGGGTCAACGGCGCTGCAGCTTAAAGTTGCGGTGAAACGAAAGCATGAAGGCCAGCAGCCTGGTTTCTCGTGCAGTCCTCAATGAGATGCAGGCACACGATGACAGAGAGGGTTGGTATAAGGTGCTGATTAGCAATCCGAACACCTTGGATACACAACGAATACAGCATTTGCAGCTCGCTTATCGCCACAGCCGCATCTCCGGGCAGTCGTCTCAGCCATGGGCCGACCAAGGCGGGGAGCCGGGTGGTCCCCCAAAGCACTCAGTGTCACTCGCAGACGCCTGAGACGCATGAACCCCAGAAGGTCTTACCGTGATTAGAGTTGGCCCGTGGTGACGGGCTGATGAGACTCAGAGAGACAGAGCCCAGTTCTGTGCGCTATGAAACCACAGAACACCGAGCAGCCAAAATACGCGTAACTCGGAATACCAGCCGCCCCTTGTCCCTTGCGCACAAACCCCGGCCGGCGGAGTTGTGACGGGCACCGACCTCCGCCCCCAGCACCTGGAGCAAGCCAATGCGAGTCTAGACATTTGGTGGCCCGCAAGGGGGCATGGGAAATGGACAAGACAGGGAAGTGCTGCGATTCCAAACGGGGCTATTGAGCAGTTTTGTTGCTTACTCGAGCAGAGTTTGTGAATCTCAAGGTTCCCGGTGCCACCAGGGCGGCTCCCCTTGACTCGGCACGGGAACCTATCCGCTGCTCAATGGCAGTTGTTGTTTTCCGTGGCACATTCGTCGCGAATGCCAGCCACGTGCGACGTTGACACCGAGGCTGGCGTTGGCATTGGGCACCTCGCATGCTTGCTTCCGAGTACGAATCGGCCCATGCCATTTCGGTGCTCGCGTGAGACGCCGCATCGGGATCTCCACGAAAGACACGCATGCGTCGCCCGAACGGGGCGGAATGGCGCGTCGAGGCCAACGTCAGCATCCGAGGCAGCATGGCACCTCAGCGCACAGCTGACGAGTGCTCTTCTCCATGCCATCATCATTGTTGCGACAGCAGCAAGGAAGGATTCGGGCTAGGACGGGGACAGACGGGGATCCGTCATGATGCGCCGGCCGGCAGCAAACCTCCTGCTTCACCTCCGCCACGCGCTGCAAGGAACGGAGCGGTGTCGAGGCGCGGCCCACAGCGCGTGCCAGGTGCGTGCGTGCCTGGTCCGTGCCGTGGCCGGTTGCTGGACGAATGCCTCCGCGCGCTTCAGACGGGACCTTGCTTGCATTGACGCATCGCGGCGCAAGTGTCCTCGTTCCCACGTCGCATCCAGAGCCCGCGTACAGCAGCTGTGGGGAGACGACTTTCGGGCCGTGATGATTATCAGGTGCTGCTTGAGCCTGAGGAAGCAAGAGAGACTTCCAATCGAGCCTGATCGGTGACGACAGCTGCGACAGCTGCCAATGACAGCCGCCTTTGGTCGTCGCTCTTTCCCAATGGTGCGCCAAGAAGTGCCGAGCTGAACGGGGCCAAGCCAAACCGGGACGCAACTTGTAAGCCAAGGCAGCCGCCAACCACCCTGGTACCTGCTTTGTCTGTGTTGCCTGTGGTCGCATTCGCAGCCCGCATGGGCAGCAGCAGCGAAGTGCGAAGTACCTCAGGTACGTACCTACGCACTTGCACTCCGTAAATGTGCTGTACTTCCGTACCGCCGTCCGTACTGCAACATCGCGAGAGCCTCCTCCATCCTCCGCCGCTCCACTAACCGCCGAATCCAATCCATGGATCCTCCCCTCAATCCTCCCGTACGCCGTGCCAATTGGCGGTGTTTGGGGTGTGTGGTGTGCCATTGTGGGTTGGCGGCCGGCCGGCGCGCGGGCGTGTCACGCTGGGCTGCCGAGAAGGTGGGATGGGTGGTGGCGACGATGGAACGTCCCCATGTCCCCCCTCGCCCTGCCATGGTGAGATGGGCATGCCGGGCAGACGGCTTCCCTGTGGACTTGGGAACCTCCGAATTGTCCGCCCAGATCGATGACATCCCTTGCCACCCCGTTCCCCTCTCCCGGCCCGCAGCGTCGTCTGTCGATTATCACCCTGTGCCGCCGCGTGCCTGACGAGCCGAGCGCTTGGGGCGTTCCAGTTTGGTTCTCGCCAGCATTGCTAGGCTTTCTCTCCACCAAAACGCTGCCGCATAGGGCTGGGCCGACCGTTGGCACTTTGTACGGATGCATGATATCACTCGCAGCGCCACCCGAGCCTAGCTTTTCGTCACGGAACCTTGACGTCGCCGCACAATTTCGAGTCCTCCTCCCGGCCGGCACATCCATCCCTCCATCTGTCTCCAGCGCTGCAGCCACTGCGGGAGGCGGCGAGCCGAGGAGCTGCAGTCCCTACCGTGATTAGCTACCCTCACCTAGTCCGCTCAATTCTGAGGCGGGCCAAAAAAGGCCAGCGGCGCGCGTGACGGACCCGGTCGGACGACGGGCCAGCCCTTTTAGATTTCTTGCGCTTCTCTCCGTCCACCCGCACCCCGAGCTTGCGGCAAAGCACCCTGTGTTTTATTGCTCTACGGATCTTCCGGGGTCCCGTCAGACGACTCTATCGACCACGTCCGCGGCGCAGCCCACGGTCGTCGCATCGCTTTCTCCGTGTCCGCGCGACGGCGCGAGCTCGCACTTGCGCGCATCCCACAATTAGCGACAATCTCCGTCAGCCCGCTCGACAACCTCCGGCGCCAGCCCTACGACGACGGAACCACCCGCTGCCCGCGGCCGGGCCCTGACCTGAGCTGCTACTTCCATTCCCGCCGTCCGTTGCGAGCGGCCCTGGTGCTCTTCTTCAGGCAAACTCTGGCAACCCGGCCTGCAGCAGCCCTGCAGCATGGGAAATGTCCACCCAACTGTCCTCGCCCGCGCTCCCGAGCGACGGCAGACGCAGCTCGACAAAGGACGGTGAAGGAATGCCCATACCGGGCGCCGAGCAGGCCGGCGCATCCGAGACCCTGCACGCAGGTAGGTCATGCTCGGACTCGGATTTCTCGTGTGCCCGCCGTCCGCCTTATCGCGACTGACGAAGCCGCAAAAATAGGCCCCAGCAACACCTCTACGACAAATGGTCAGCCCTCGGCTCCCAGCCGGCGGTCCACCACGACGTTGTTGTCCCGAAGCAACACGTCCCAAAATGTCAAGGACAAGGATGGTCCCAAAGGCCTGTCCAAGGCCCTGTCGACAACCCCGCCTGCCAACGTTGGCCTTGATCCCCTGAGCACGGTTCGTCCATCCCTCGGCTCAGACGCCGTCACGTCAACGTTATGCACTTGTGTTGCTTGGCCAAACACTAACAGCGATGCTGGCATGCAGCAAATATATCTTCGAACAACTAGCAATACCGAGCCCTCAATCGCTCAGCGTTTGCGCAATCCAACCAACAGGCCAGAGAGCCCTACACTGGATAACCTGCATGATACCCCAACCAAGTCGTCCCATGGAACGCCGGATCTGAACAAGGACCGGAGGTACGGTTACTATCTAGTACTGCGCCCGTCCGATTCGCTGACCGAGTTGTGTGTAGGAAGGGTCCGTCGTTTCTGAGCCGCCTGGGCATGCGAGGGTCGTGGAGAAAGGACGATGAAATGCCAGACTCAGACTCGGACATGGGCGATCTTCGAACGGATGGGAGTAGCGCACGCGCGGTGACGTCGATCCGAGGAGCCGGCGTTGGCTTCATTCCCCTGTACAAGGAGCCGCCACGTTATATCCGGGTCAAGCCGCACAACAAAAAGGGACGCGACTTCAACCACATGTTCCTCGCCCAAGAGTTGCTTGGCAGCAAGCACTCATCCGACGAAGAGCCGCAGGGCCGGGCTCCGGCCACGGCCGTGGGAAGCAAGATCCTCAAAGGTGGCGATGCTATTTGGGCGGCCGAGTTCAGCGTGAACGGGCGGTACCTGGCTGTCGCGGGTAAGGACCAGACGGTTCGAGTCTTTTCGGTGATTTCGACGCCCGACGAACGCCAGGCCCACGAGGAAGAGGAGGAGAGTCAAAGCAAAGGCGACGGAGAAAAGCTCAGTGCGCCGGTGTTCCAAAGCAAGCCGACACGTGAGTTTGAAGGCCACACCGGTGAGGTCTTGGCACTGAGCTGGAGCAAAAACGGCTTTCTCCTGTCCTCGTCTATGGACAAGACGGTGAAGCTGTGGCACATGAGCCGCCAAGAGTGTCTTTGCACCTTCAAGCACAACGACCTAGTCACGTCCATCGCCTTTCACCCAACCGACGATCGATTCTTCCTAGCAGGCTCGCTTGATGCCCAGCTGCGCCTATGGAGCATCCCAGACAAGGCAGTCGCCTTCTCCGCCCAGGCCCATGAGTTCATCACGGCCGTGGCATTCTCCCCTAACGGCAAAACAGCGATCTGTGGGCTCTTGAGCGGCCTGTGCTTGTTTTACGAAACAGAAGGCCTCAAGCCTCTGTTTCACATACATGTACGGTCATCGAGGGGAAAGAACGCCAAGGGAAGCAAAATCACGGGCATTCGGACTGTCAAAGCTGCCGATGGGTCAGAAGGTGGTGACGTCAAGGTGCTCATCAGTTCAAACGACTCGCGCGTACGAATATACAGCCTGAAGACGCGCATGCTGGAGGTCAAGTTCCGCGGCCTCGAGAACCAGTCCAGCCAAATTCACGCACGCTTCAGCGATGATGGCAAGTACGTCATCTCCGGAAGCGAGGACAGGCGGGCATACATCTGGTCAGCAAGCCATCCGGAGGCAGAGCTAAAGGACAAGCAACCATACGAGTGCTTCGATGCACATCCCGAGGTGGTCACTACCGCCCTGATGGCGCCAGTCAAAAGCAAACAACTTTTGAGCGCGTCTGGCGATCCCATCTATGACCTGTGCAACCCGCCGCCTGTCCAGCTTCTGAGCTTCGAGGAGAAGTCGGCGAGCCAGACTCGACTTTCTGAAACAGGTAGCTCGGAGCTTCCGCCAAGCTCCAAGAAGCCCGAGGAGACACCGGCCTACATCGAGCGCTCGAAGCATATGGACGGGAATATCATTGTCACCACCGATCGAACCGGAACCATCAAAGTCTTCCGGCAGGATTGCGCATCCATAAAGCGACAGCAGAACACGTGGGAGACTGGGTCCAAGTTCTCCGGCAAGCTTACTGGTGTTGGGCGCAGTGCCAGCATCATCACCAAAACCAGCGCTGGGAGCCGGGTGAACTCTCGACGCGGATCCCTGAACCTCGGACACAACCCGGTGCAGGTACAGCCGGCGACGGACAGAATCATGAGTTGGCGCCAGGACATTGAGGGCCGGGGAAGTACGTCTGCGGCAACGATTAGGAGCGAGCGATCCATGTCTCCGATGAAGGCGAGTCGCTCGCCACTCAATGCTTCCGCCGCCAATCTGGCATCCGAAGCCCGGAGGAAGCCGTACGCCTCTAGCCCAAGTCTTCGTCCACAGCACCCAGGGAGCCCCACAAGCAGTGTGCAGACGAGTATGGCCTCGTTACAGACACCCAAGGACGAGGAAGAGTCCGGTGTTCCACCGACACCAAGCTTCAGTCTAGTTAGCTCGCCCGACCCAGAGCCCCAAGATGCCAAGGGAGAAGGGAGCTTCTGGAATCTGGGTCGCTGGAAGCCCAGCCTCCCCACGCTCTCGGGCTTGCGCTATTCTACAACCTTTAGCAGCCCTTCCACGCCAACCGGATCGCATCCTGCGGTAGCTCACGCCAGGACGGAGAGCGATGGCCTCAGCCCTAGAGCAGCCAAACCCTCGGCTCGGAGGAGCATGGGCGTCAACGAAATCCGTCGCCTAAAAGGGACCGACGATGTGAACAGACGACGGTCCACGGGCCCGCTCCTGAGCGTGAAGCCCAGACTCAGCGAATCTGGCTCAGTGGAGGAGTGCATCGACGAATCCCCAGAGACGGGAGACGAGTTGTCGAGCAGCAAGAAGCGCACAGACTCGGGAGTGGCCGAGCTAAGTGCTGCAGAATCGACCGACAGCGACAGAAGAGCGTGCCGAGATTGCGGGAGCACCAGCTTCGAGGCCAAACGGTACGGGAGGGAGCGGACCGTACAAGTGTGCAACGGGTGCGGGACCAAGACATGATACCAACGAACGAGAGCATGCTTATTGCGCACGAGTACCGAAAGCGAAGGTAGCCGTCCAGCGAGCGAGAGGGACGGAGGACAAGCGAGACACGAGTATGACTGGTCATGTCGGATGTCCTGGCTTAATGGTTGGAAACACAAAAACCCCGGCTTGGAGTTTGAGGCTGCATAGAGCGGGCGACTGTTTACTGTAGGCAACACGTTTGGCGTTTTTACGGTAGGAACGCGTCAAAGTGGCAAGGCAACACACATCTCTTTGGAAATACCTATACAGGCTGATAGCGTAGTGGCAGATCATAAGCTGCAATGACTCTGTAATTTGTTTGGCTTGTTTTGTATGGCTTCATGCCCAGATATCAAATTTCCTCCACGGACGAGGGTACGTCGGCCACGTCCATTGAATGCGCCCCCAACGCCATCATGGCAGCTCGAGAGCTGCTTCCGTGTATTCCGCGTCTCCGTTTCAACGATCCCGCTCTCTTATATACGTCTGCTTATCCATGCCCTCGACGTCTCGCGTCATCGTAGCAGCACCATGGCGCTTAAAAGTCCTCGTTGGTCGAGATCTGCAGATGACACAGAACATGTCAGCACCGGACAAGGCGGTGGAAGGAGAGGGGTACAGAAGAGAACGAAAGGGAGGAGGAGGAGGAGGAGGAGGACGAAAAATCAAGCGCTCACCTTGCCGCCCTCGGCCTTTGCCTTTTCGGAGAGGGACTCGACGGCCTTCTTGAGGGCCGGGGGGTTGGCGCCGGCGAGGTCGGAGGCCTTGTCGCCGTTCTCGAAGAAGAAGAAGGCGGGGATGGAGCGGATGCCGAGCTCGAAGGCGAGGTCGGGGACCTCGTCGGTGTCGAAGCGGGCGAAGGCGTAGGTGTTGGGGAGGGAGAGGGAGGAGGCGTGCTTGTTGAACATGGGGGAGATGGCCTTGCAGGGGCCGCACCAGGTGGCGTGGGCCTGGAGGGCGACGAAGGGGTTCTCCTTGATGAGGGCGTCGAACTGCGCCTTGGACTTGATGTCGACGACGGACATGGCGGCGGCGGCGGCGGAGGTGGTCTGCGGAAGGGGTTTCGGAGTAGGTTGTTGTGGTGGTAGGCGGACGGGCGCGCGTGTGGTGGTGATGCTCTCTGTTCGTTTAAGAGAATGGCGCGGGGCAGAGAGGGAGGATGTGGTTTTTTTTTGTTGATGTGGTGGTGGTGGTGGTGGTGGTGGGGGAGGGGGCGAGAGTGTCGTGAAGAATGCGCGCCTGGGGTTTAAGAGCTGGCGCTGTGGGCCGGCAGTTCGGCGGTGGCTGAGGTAGTCTGAGGTGCGCTGTTTTTGACCGAACGGACCCTTCGGCGGGTTAGTAACTGTAGGCTAACTTGTATTATGGGTGTCGCAGTGTAAGAGCGCGCGAAGCAGAACGTATTGATATAATTTGGAAAATGAAGATATTCCCAGTCGCGGGGTCGCTGTGCTACGACGGCTATGCAGAGTTGATGACGACCTCTGGACACCGACCAGGGCAAGCTGCTTGCATTTTATATGCCACTGGCATGGACACGACCAATTGCTCCTCGCCCGTCCCCCGGGGAATCACAAATGAGACCGGCGACTGACAAATTGGCACCCTAATAAGCCAGCCCTCGGGACATCGCCCAGCTTTGCGTCCGCCACGGGAATAGGTAAGGTACCTGCTGGGCAATTGCTGGCTGGCGGCGGCGCCGAGGGGACAGACGGCCGAGACCCGTCCCAGGCGGTGATGCCATGCCGCTGACAAACGGCACCGATAGCCTGTAGATGCACCTGGGCAGTGCCGGGGGAGTGCTGGGGGGAGCTTCCAATGGCGACGGGACCTGCATTGAAGGGCGGCGGCGGCACCGGCGGGGTGGGTTTTGGTCATGGCTGCGGTGACGTGATTTTTTAGCTCCCGTCGCTGCTTCTACTGGCGTCTAGGCTGTCAGGGCGCCCTGCGCGGCATGCAGCGAGCATAGCTTGTTCACCTCAACAAACTGGGCCTAGCCGCACCGCCTGCAGTGCGTCAACTTGGTGGTGTCATCCTAGCACCAGGAGAGCATGCAGTGCCGAGGCTGGTGCACAGAGAATGGGCCCTTATTACAGACTGGCATGATGAACTGTAGCTGTTTGGGGAACCAGCTCAGCTACCGACCCAATACTAACCTAATAACTAGGTAGACATCACCATCAAGTATTCTCTCCCCGTCTATTGACCCCACGAGCGGGCACTGGAGAACGACGAGTGGACCTAGGCAAAAGCGTGTCCCCCGTTGACGCGCTACTCGCTTGACTCTTCAAGTTCGCACCCGCATCCAGATCTAACCCTCTCTTAGAAGCGAGCGACGCACGCGGCTCAAGATGACGCAGCTCCCCTCTCGCTCGCTGTCGGCGTCGGCGTTTCCTCAGGCGTCGAGGGGGCTGGCGTCGCCGGAGCAGTAGTGGCCTCGGTCGTCGCTTCAGGTGACGTTGCCCCCTCTGCACTGGTCTCGGGAGCCGGCGTGGCCTCAGCAGTTGTCTCGGGGACAGTGGTCGGCGCCTCCTCTGTGGTTGCCTGGGCGGTCGCCTCGTCGCTTGTCGTTGCCGTCGCGGCCGTGGTCTCGTCCGTGGAGGGCTCGAACAGAGGCCGGGTCACTCTGGGAGTTGGCCTGGAGGTGACGGCGAGACAGCTCGGCTGCTTTGCTGTTAGCATGAAGGGTCCTACCATTGCTCTGTGCGGCAAGAGATACACCGCGGGGAGGGAGAGAAAGGGTACAGAGAGACAGAGAAAGGGACAGGGAGAGAGCGAGAGAGAGAGAGAGACATACCGCGAAACTGCCCGTGTACTCTGCGTACCCCATCGTCGTCACCGTGACCTGCATAATGTTTGGCAGGTTCGTCACAAACGGGGCAATGACCGGATCCTGCTCCGTCTCGCCGTCGTGCTCGCAGTCAATCTCCCACGACGTCGCCGCGCGCGGCACAAAGTATCCCTCCTCCGTCGTGGGCCAGCCGAGCGTCCCCTTTCTGTCCACGGCAATGTCTCGAAGGAGGCGCTTTGCCCCGCCCAGCTTGGGCGGCCCCAGGTCGTTGCCCAGCTCGGCCAGGATGGACAAGAGGCCCGAGGTGATGGCCGCCGACGCCGACGCGCCGCTCGCCTTGACGTACTGGTTGCCCGTCCGCTGGAGCGGCACGGGGATCTGCTTGCCCATGACGTACAGGGATAGGTACTCCTTGGACGTGTCCTCGCGCAGGTAGCTCGACGTGTCGTACCGCCGCCCGTTCTCGTCGCAGTTGCCCACCTCGATGAGCGGCGTGTCGGCGCCCCCGAGCCACTGGGGCGTCGTCCAGTCGATGTTGCCCTTGGGCGCCGCGTCAAACCCGTAGTTTGTGACCGAGGCCACGACGTGCACGTTGGCCTTGTAGATGCGATCGAGGAACGCCGCGAACGGGTCCGTGTTCTTGCGCAGCCGCGCGAATATCCCCGTCTTGAAGTCCTCGCGGGGCGCGGCTTGCGAGATGCTCACAATGGCCGTCGGGCTATTCCTTTGCTTCTGCATCTTGATGATGCCCTTGACGGCCCTCCAGAGATATCTTGCGCGAGAGATTAGCAAATACAGTGTGTCGTCAAGGGGGGGGACCGTCAACGTTTCTGTCTCGTGTAGCTAGTCGCAGACGCCGTAACGCACCCGGATGCTATCGCGGACATAAAGCCAATGCTTGACACTCACATATTCTTATAGCCGCCATTCTCCTCGTCCGGGCCGCCTTGGATGCCCAAACAGATGATGCTTGCCTTCTTATTGACACCGCTATGGGTCGGAAAGTTAGCCGGCCAGAAATCCGCGAGCATGTGGTGTGGATGGCAGATGGACCGTCGACACACCGAGCCGTCCAAACACTTACTTGAAACGGCCACCTATGACACTGGCCATTTGTGTGCCGTGGCCTGAAGGATCCCTGATGCCTTGGAACCCGAGATCACGTGTGTGTGTGTAGTCGTGCGCTTCTTTGATGATGCCGGTAGTGATTTCCTGTATTGCATATGAGCCTGATATGTATCTGTGGTGTCGCTCTTCGCGGGCAGGAATAGACAGCATACCTCGTGTGTCATGTCGCAGCCCGAGTCTAGCAGGTATATCAGGGTGTTGCCTGTGGCTAGCGAATCATCCCAGAAATAGTCGGGCGTGTCGAGAACTGTGTTTGACGCAGCGCATCAGCCGTAGCCCAAGCGTGAGCATATTCCCGAGACATGCTCAGACCGGCTCGCGTGGCATTGGCAGCGGCAGCTGCATAGCAAATGCGGAGAGACTTACACTCGCCCTCCCAAGCGTTCTTCGCCCAAAGAGAGTTGAGCCACCTCAAATGGAATGGGAACCCGACAGCGCCTTCTATCTTTCCGATTTCGAACAGGGCATCTCGCGGCAGCTCGCGCGCCTTGATGCGGGCGGCATCTTCCGATTGAGTCGTGTTTGCTGGACGAAGCGACCGTTTAACCGAGCTCGTTGCCGTCTCAATCACGTCTGACATCTGGAACTCGATATCTGGGGAGATGGTATTGACGAGGGGGTTAGCGTCGAGGTCGGAGAAGCTCTTGTCGTACAAATCGCCATAGAGAGCATAGAAAGAGATGTCGTCATCAGTAATCTCCTCAATGACCACTGATCCATCCTTTTCTAGCTGAATCACAATGGTCTCAAAGTCGGTCCGCGTTGCAGATTCTTCCAGAAGGACGAGCGCCGGAGTGGGTGTCCCTGACTGTGTGACTGTCGGAGTCGCTGGTGCGGTGTACGTCTTTGTCGGCTGAGAGCCGCCGGTATCGATGAGAAGAACACCAATTAGTACGCCAATAAGTGCAACTGTTATACAGACACTCCTGTCAGTGCCTGGATCAAGTCACAACATTAGTAAGGACCGCTGGGCTCCTACCGTCGACGAGAAGTCCAGTAAACTAGAGAAGGTGGATAGTGCGTAAGCATTCGCTTGTCCTAAGAAGTGCAGTTCTAAGCTCCACAAGCACAGTTTCACGTACTAATTGCAGCCCAGTGGCTCTTGCATATGCTGGAGCTGACGTGCTGGTGATACTGCTGAGGAGGGAAGACAGTTTGTTGAAATTTCTTCCTACGCTGCGTTAAAAGGAAGGTCTGTGAGGGGCATAGATGCCAGAACATACTAATGGCGCGATATTGGCTCGCTTGATCGTGTGTGATCTGCACGTAGGTTAGATCGCAGTCATCATGCACGGTGTCATATACATGTAGCCATACAGAGCCGAACGCCTCCGCGGCATCAACCTGCGAATCTGCGTCGTCGAATTCGGATGCTGTTGGGCTTGGCAATTAGCATCCCGTCAGGAAATCGCACGCATTTGAAGTCTCAGCGACTCACCGACCGTGTCGCGACGCCTTCTGAGGACGTTCAAGGGAACATCATCGGGAGTATATCGCTTGCCCAGCTTAGATGTCGATCGACGAGTCGCGGCACTAGCATTTTCGGAATCGGCTGATTCAAGCCAGTCCACAGCAGCTTCTCGTAGCGCGTCATAGTCCTCAATGATTTGCTCGATGAGCGCCAGAATGGCAGAATTGTCGGGGGCGCTCGTGGTGGTTGTGGGAGGGGCGCTCGATTGGGTCAGCGTGCTGCTAAGGGGCGTCGAGGTCGTCACGGTTGCTCGTGAAGAAGTAGCCGTACTGAAAGTACTGGAAGTTGCTTGAGACAGGGTCGTGTTGGTACTGACGGTGATCGGCGGCGCAGAGGACGTGGCGATGGTGCTGATGCTGGTGCTGGAGGGGCCATCGCACCCGCCGCCTTCACGGCAGGTCTGGCCCGGCTCGCAGACATTGCACAGCGTTCCTACGGAGCATTGCTGAGATGTGTTTTCGCAACAGACTGCTCCTTTCGTGTAACAATTGCCGTGACTGCAAGGTCAGTTGGCTGCAAGATGAAGCCAACAGGTGTGCAGGCATTGGGCCGCGTAAACTCACCAGCATGTTCCATCCTCACATGTGACGGCTTCCAGAGTCCCTGGCTTCAAGGCACAGACAGTAATCTCGGGTGGCGCGCAAGCAAGACTGCCCTCGAAGTCGATGCAGACCTCGCCGGCCTGGCACTTCACCCCGCTGGGACACGCTTGCTGCTGGCACAGGTACCCCGATGGACATGATGCATCTTTGGCCCCAACCAAATCTACAGAGGCAAGGAAAAAGACGAGCAGCCCGACTGATGCCAGCCCCTGAGATGGCAGCCGCTGGCCTTGCCAGAGAAGACGCATTGTGACGATACGGCACAGACGGCAACGAATGACGTCGCTCTCCTCTGCGCGAGCAGCAGTTCCGGTCAGACCGGTTCATCATGTTGGACTACGACCGGCACCGGCACCATATATGACATGGCTTGAAGTAAAGGCTCTTTGCCGGGTGTAGAGTGCCGCGCTCCATGATTCCAGTTGGGCGTCTGAAAAGATCCGTTAGTGATACGCTCATGGCAGGGCGGTCAGCGCTAAAGTGGTCTTCCCCAGCACAAGGCCTGATCAATATTTGACAACGTTCTTGATCTAAGCGGGCGGAAACCGCACGGCATGTCATAAGCACTAATACTGCTTGCCCGTCACGACAATTGCAGTCATGAGCCCACACCCGCACTTGTTGTTGGGCTGACGGGAGATTCGGCATGTGCATGTCGCGAGTCTGGGCCTAGGCTCCAAATTGATAGTAGCCAGAACGTCAATTTGTTGGTTTACATGGGAAACGTGGACTTCATATAAGAGGAATTGAACGACACGCCCGGACGCACTCCCCGTGGCTCGCCGGCAGTGGCGGTCCCAGCCCGGTCCCTGAACACCGCCACAGGAGGCAGATGCTGAAGCTGCTGTTAGAGGCGTAAAGACAATCAGAAGGGGGAGGCCCCGACGTCATTATAGTTGCGAGACACTGATAATCTGAGAGGCTGAACGTGACGCATGCTGGCCCGTGCGTGCCGGCTGCCGGACACTTCTGGTATTACGTCGGCATCAAGATATTTTGGTGCCACGGCAGGCCGGCACGTGTGCATCAATGACTAGTGCGGGGGTTTCGACGTGATATAAAGTCGTCGGGCTCATGTTGGAAGGCTGGCGAGGTTGCTTCTGAGGACCACTTTGCCGCCGCGACTCCAGAGCTTCGTGAAAAAGGACGAACGCCATGCACCACAAGTATTACAGGGTCGAAGAGACCAAGACCCAGAGCGAGACTCCATGTCGACTGGGCTTTGACCAGCTGCACCGCCACAGTCAAGCCACGGAACCGGACTCCCAAGCCACACTGCTCTCACTGCTTTGGCGGGGTTGGTGGCTCGGGTGGTCCCTGGCTGGCCCTGGAATTTTTTGATGGAGGGGCCGCCAAAAAATTGTTCGGCTTGTTGCGCCGCGACTCTCTCCATCCGCAACCCGACACTCTCGTCTTACAACTTGCTGGCGGGCCCGTCTACGCAGCAATTCCACACTTATCACGGAAAACAACCTGCTAAGAAGAACACGAGCCGGCCATGTCGAAGCGCACCGCCGACGCCGAGGGCGAAGGCCCTCTCAAGGGCGGCGACCGCCCCGAGCAGATGGACATTGACGACAAGGACATGGGCGAGTTCGAAGACGAGTTCGAGGATGAGTTTGAGAGCGAGGACGAGATTTTCGAGGCGGGCGTCGATGGCAGGCCAGACGCCGAGAGGGAGGCCGACGAGAAAGCAGGTAAGGGGCTCTTGTCCAGAGACCCAGGTTGCTCCATTGGGACGACTTGGACCTCAGTCAGGTCGCAATTGGATGTGGAATGGGACTGACGAATTGGCAGCTGCAATGGACGTCGATCAAGGCACATTCATTGTCGGCCGCAGCAAACTTGAGCCGGGCCAGACCCTGGCGCCCGACCTGACCACCTACGAGATGCTTCACAACCTCAGCACGCCTTGGCCCTGCCTCTCCTTTGACATCGTCCGCGACTCCCTCGGCGACAACCGAAAGGCGTATCCGGCGACCATGTACACGGTTGCGGGTACCCAGGCCGACTATTCCAAGGCGTCGGACAACCAGATCATGGTCAACAAGTTCAGTGGCCTGAGCCGGATGGAGAAGGAGGACGATTCGGAGGACGAGGACGATGACGACGAGGATGCCGACCCCATCCTGGAGAGCCGATCGATCCCGCTCAGCTCGACGACAAACCGCATTCGTGCACACCAGATCCCGAGCAGCGAGCCGGGGAGACCGCCGACGACTCTGACAGCCACCATGACCGAGTCCTCCAACGTTTTCATTCACGACGTCACTCCTCACCTGGCGTCGTTTGATACCCCGGGAACGATCATCTCGGCGCAACAGAACAAGCCCATCTCAACCATCCGAGCACACAAGTCGGAGGGCTACGCCGTAGACTGGTCTCCGATCATTCCTAGCGGCAAGCTACTCACGGGCGACAACGACGGTCTCATTTACGTGACGACGCGGACGGACGGAGGCGGCTGGGTGACGGACAACCGGCCGTTCCAGGGCCACATGAGCAGCGTCGAGGAGCTCCAGTGGTCGCCATCGGAGCAGTCGGTGTTTGCGTCGGCCTCGAGCGACGGCTCCATCCGCATCTGGGACGTGCGCTCCAAGTCGCGCAAGCCGGCCATCACGATGCAGGTGTCCAACTACGACGTCAACGTCATGTCGTGGTCGCGGCAGACGACGCACCTGCTTGCCTCGGGCGCCGACGACGGCACCTGGGGCGTGTGGGACCTGCGGCAGTGGAAGACGAGCCAGGACAAGCCGCAGGCGCTGGCGAGCTTCAACTTCCACAAGGAGCAGATCACGAGCGTCGAGTGGCACCCGACCGACGACTCCATCATGGCGGTCGCGGCGGGCGACAACACGGTGACGCTGTGGGACCTGGCGGTCGAGCTGGACGACGAGGAGAGCAAGGACACGGCGGGCGTCAAGGACGTGCCGCCGCAGCTGCTGTTCGTGCACTACCTCAAGGATGTCAAGGAGGTGCATTGGCACCCGCAGATCACGGGCAGCCTGGTGGCCACGGGCGAGGAGTTTAGCGTTTTCCGCACAATCAGCGTCTAGACTGGCGATGGGCGGTGGATCTTTTGTATACACGGCGGCGTTGATGAATATACCCTCATGATCGGGACTCAAGAACCAGGTGGCTGGCCGTCTGGTAGTGTTCGTCTGTGCTGCAAGTGAAGTGGAGGTAATGTCCGTGGAGTAGCTTGGGGTGGCTGCGACCAGGGTCTGGTCCAGCTGGCTCTTCTCAGCAACCTCACCGCAAACACCTCGCACGATAGTCAATCTCACGTATCCAAAGCTGCTCACTGAGAAGCATGTAACGACCAGCACTCACGGACGTCCTGTCCCACCCCCTCTGTGGCCCATCTGGGACACGCCATCCCGATGCGGCTTTTAAACACGTCGACCCTTCAGCTGGAGGTCTTCATCGGCACGGATGTGCCACCCTACACAGTCCTCTCACACCGGTGGGAGGATGAAGAGGTCACGCTCGAGCACATGAAGACAGGTGCAGCCGGCCAGATGAAGGGCTTCGCCAAGATCGAGAGCAGCGCCCACCGCGCGCGGGAAGACGGATGCCCGTACATCTGGATCGACACGTGCTGCATCGACAAGTCCAGCAGCGCGGAGCTCTCCGAGGCCATCAACTCTATGTTCGCGTGGTACCGGGCCGCGCAGCGCTGCATCGTCTACCTCTCCGACGTGCGCACCCTCGCCGACTTGCCCCGCAGCGCGTGGTTCACGCGCGGCTGGACCCTGCAGGAGCTCATCGCCCCGCGCGACGTCGTGTTCCTGAACCGCGAGTGGCGCGTCCTCGGCGACAAGACGGGCCTGAGGCGGCAGCTGCGCGACATTACGCGCATCGCCGACGCCGTGCTCGCGGGACGTGGCGATGAAGAAGGGCCGCCGCTGGACCTCGCCGCCGTGCCGGCCTGCAATAAGCTCGCCTGGGCGGCGGGCCGGCGCACGACGCGCCCCGAGGACGAGGCCTACTGCCTGCTCGGGCTGCTGGGCGTGGCGATGCCGCTGCTGTACGGCGAGGGTGCGGAGAGGGCGTTTCGGCGCGTGATGGAGGCGTACGTGCGCGAGTACCCGGATGATGAGACGGTGCTGGCGTGGACGGCGGAGCCGGAGGACGCGGATGCACGGGGGTCGCCGTACTGGCCGCTGCTGGCGTCGTCGCCGCGCTTCTTCCGCCGGTCGGGAGGTTACACGGTGCCGCGGTTCAGGGCGTGGAGGAAGGGCGGCGGCCGGGCGGTGGACGTTACCGGAGGGGGTGTGAGAGCGGCGCTCACGGTGCAGCCGCTTGGACAGGATGCGATACAGCGGCCGGGGGCGGACAGCGATGGAGGCGATGCCGGTGTGCAGACGCTGTTCCTGGCGGCGCTCAACTGCTCTTACGTCGAGGACGAGCACGAGACGGACGGCTTCAGCGGGTGCTTCACCGTCACGCTGCAGCGCCTGTCCGACTTCGAGGAGGACCAGTTCGCGCGCGTGCGGCCCGACGCCATCATTCCCGTGGGCGAGCCGTCGGGTACGGCGTGGCCGGCGGCGGGAACCACTTCCTCCTCGTCGCGAGATGCTCACGGCGGCGGCGGTGGCGCGCGCGTGGCCGAGGTGTTTGTGCGGACGAGGCCTCGCGCAGGCGACCCCGTGGCTGGGTTCTGCGCGCGCAACGACGGCGGTGCGGCTGCGCGGCTGGGGTTCACGTTCATGGCGGGTTCGAACCGCGGGCCCGTGGCTATGCCGGGGAGTATCAACGTGGAGTTCCGGCCCGCGACAATGACGACATTAACCGCCGATAACGACGGCGACGGCGGCGGAGACACAGACGACCAACTGCCGCCGCAGTTCTGCTTCCTAGACGTAGCCGCTGCAGAAAACCGCCTCGCCGAGAGGGGCTGCTTCGACGTGCAGAACCTCACACGCCGTCGCGTCGTCGGCTGCCTGCGCGTACGCCTGCGCGCCTCCCTCGACGGCAACCCGCCGCGGGCCATCGTGCCGCTGCGGAGCTATAGGGACCCGTGGCTGGTGGTTGGGCTGGAGCCGTTGCCGGTGAACCAGCTCGGGACGGCGCCGGGCTACGTGCGGCCGTGGTATGAGTTCTCTGAGAGGTGCTGCGGCGATGACGATGCGTTGGCGGAGCTGGAGCTGGAGGAGCGGAAAGGGGCTGAGGACGGGAACAGGGACGGGGATGGTGTGCTTAGGAAGACGCACGTGGCGCCGGGGGGAAAGAAGGTGAGGGTGCGGTTTGTGCCGGCGACGTACAAGTTTAGGACGTACTACGAGGTGCAGCTGGTGGTAGATGACGAGTGAGTGCAATGGGCGACAGACCGGTTGGGATCTGGCCGGCGATTACGATGCGACAGTCACACGCGAGAGGACGACGGACAAGCAAATGTCGAGTATCGTGTGATTAAGCGAACGCTATATTCAAGAGCGCTATAAATCCAACATTATACGGTCATATATACTTCGTGCAGCCGACATACCACGGCGGGCGTTATTTAGCCAGCTTCTCAATCGTCACGCCCTGCTCCGAGTCGGTGAGGCCGTTGCTGGTGGCGCCGCCGAGGGTCTGGCCGACCATGACGCCCGGATCGGTGGGGTCGCCGCGGAGGATGGGCGGGCCGGTAAAGTTCTTGCGGGCGTAGGCAAAGTACCAGATGAAGGCGATGGCGGCGAAGCCGGCGAAGACGACGGAGGCGTAGTTCATGGTGCTGGCGTCGACGGGCAGGGCGACGGGCATGCAGAAGATGACGACGGAGAAGACGATCCAGACGACGCAGGTGACGTTGATGAAGGTGCCGAAGCGGCCGAGCGGGTAGGGCGAGTTGCGGACGGGCTCGCGGCCGCGGACGAGGCAGACGAGGACGGGGACGCCGTAGGACGCGGAGAGGCAGATGGTGGCGACGCCGGTGAAGGAGTTGAAGGCGGCCGAGGAGCCAAAGTAGATGCAGCCGAGGATGCAGTCGACGACGGTGGAGAGGGTGAGGGCCCAGAGGGGCATGTCGAGCGACTTGTTGACGCGGCTCCAGAGCTTGTAGCCGGGGATGGCGCCGTCGCGGGCAAAGGCGTAGGTGCAGCGCGAGGCGGCCGTCAGGGCGCCGATGCCGGCGAACATGAGGATGCCGAGGATGAGGAAGAGGAGGCCGAAGCCGCCGGCGGCGGAGCCGGTGACGGTCTTGAAGAGCAGGCCGATGGGCTGGGAGTTTGCGACGGAGAGGAGCATCTGGATGTCGGGGAGGACGAAGAGCAGCGGCACGAGGTAGAGGATGCCGGTGATGCCGGCGGCGACGACGGAGAGGACGATGGCCTTGGGGACCTCGCGCTCGGGGTTCTGGACCTCTTCGCACATGGCGGCGACCATGCCGTAGCCGGTGAGGACGTAGGCGGCTGTGTACTCGTGTCAGCGAGTGCACACATATACACATACAACCATACACACACACACACACACACACACACACACACACACACACACACGCATACACATGCGAATGTGTGTTGCGATTTCATCGAGGTAGTAGGAGACGGGAAACTCACGCTGCAAGAGGCCGACGAAAAAGGACCAGCCGCTTGGCCAGCCGCTGGCCGAGGCGTCGTAGTGGCCAAAGACGAAGCCGGCGTCGCGGCGGTCCTTGCACATGACGAGCAGGACGATGAGGATGACCAAGACGGAGGCGGCGGTCCAGTAGATGCAAATCTTGTTGATGAGGTCGAGGTAGCGGGAGCCAAAGGCGTTGACGAGGGCGCAGACGAGCATGACGGCCCAGAAGCACAGGACCGTCTGCCAGGCGTTTGCGACGTAGTCCTCGTTGAAGATGGAGATGGCGCTGAGGATGAGCTGCGCGCCGCCAAAGTTGATGGACAGGGTGACGGTCCAGTTGCCGACGAGGGTGAGCCAGCCGTCGACGAAGCTGACGAGGGGCGCCCAGCGGCGCGACGAGAGCATGGCGCTCCAGTAATAGACGCCGCCGGCGGTGGGGAAGACGGCGCAGATCTCGGCGAGGGAGGCGGCGATGCAGACGGAGATGAGGGAGACGAGGACCCAGCCCCAGAGCACGGAGACGGCCTGCCCGTCGGTGAGGGTGATGTACATGGTCGTGGAGAGGCCGTAGGGGACCGCCATGATGGCGAAGGAGAGGCCCAGGATGCTCAGCATGCTGAGGTTGCGCGGCAGCTCGCCCTTGTAGCCGAGCGTCGCGAGGGCCTGGTCGGCGGCCGCGCTGGCGGAGAGGCGGCGGTCGCTGTCCATGGCGGGCGAGGCGGGCAAGCGGGCTCGCGGGCGGTTTCAAGGATGCCGGGTGTGGGTTGAGGTTGGAGGAAGAGGGAGGAAAAAAAGATGTCGCTTTTTTCCCCCTTGGTGTTTTCGGCGGGTTGTCGTGGTAGGTAGAGACGATTGGCACACGGAAGGGGGGCCAACGGGACCCAACTAAACAACGTACGATGTTTCTTGCGCCGCGCGACGAGGAAACACGAGGAGGCGCGTGCAATTATTCGCACAAAAAAAAAGTATGAAGGGGGGCCTTTGCGAGGGTCAAACGGCCAGAGTCTGTTGTCAAGCACGGCGGATAACACGTCCAACGGCCATCGACATGGACACGACGAGAGGCGGAAGAGACGTCGAGGCTCGGGATGGAGGAACCAAAAAGAAATGCCAAGCGACGAGACCCGACGATAGCGACTCCGGGGTCGGGGGACCCAACGCCGTTCTTAAAGGTTCACCGTGCCGTCAATCCATCCATCCATCTGTCTCGTGTGCCTGGGCGGCACAGCGCGCCGCGCTAACTAGCCTGGAAGCTTGCTGCCCTCCACCTCCACCCCATGCCTGCCTCGCATCGTAATCGCGGACCCTGCCATGTCCTGTCCTGTCACGGAGCCTTGGGTGGCATGGCGGGCGACCCTCCCGTCTCCTCCTTCGTGGCTCGCGTGTCTTGACTCACGTGCGGTGGGCCCTTCGTCCCCTCGTCGCTGGCGGCCGTCGGCCGGAGCTGCGCCGTTTTGGGGGGTCCCAGAACGACCATGGCCCCATACGAGCAGGTAGGGTTGGGCCGCTCACGTTCGCGTGGGCGGAAAGATAGCGGTAGCGTTGCTTAGCTCTCCTCCTCGTCCTCCTCCTCCCCCGGACTGGGGACCACACACACCCTCCTCGGGGTTGCCCTTGGGGGAGGTGTCAAAAGGATCGCGCGGTGGGCGGCAGCGAACGAGATTGGCCGAGAGTGCTGGGGGCGGGCAAGGGAATGGGATGGGATGGATGGGCTGGGTGCGGACCGCGCTCAAGCCAACAGCCCTCCGACGATCCATCCAACCCGGAGCGTCGGTAGTTTTTGTCGTTTTGTGACTGCGGACGAAGTGCGTTGGAGGGGGTGGAAAGGGCAGGCAGGGGAACGGTGGCACAAGAGGGCTTTGTTGGAAGCCAGGAGTAGGTATGGAGAACGAGTGAGAGAATGCAGCAATGGCCCGCGTGCGGAGCCGGTTCGGAGGGCCTGGCCGGATCGAGCCTCTATCGCGAGAATGAATGAGTAGTAACAGGAGCGGCTCGCGTATGGGGCACTTCCCCAAGCCATGGGGGGGGAACTGGACCACATCGTCAGAATATCGCGGCGCCATCAGCCGCAATCATGGGGGAATGGATGGGGAACTGATGAACCAAGTTTCGCTGCTTCGTCATTGCCTGGTCGCGTGCGTCCACCGCGGCGGCGCGGCTGGCGGTCCCTCGTTTGTGCCCGCATCCCGGTCACCGTGTCCCATTCCATCCCCATCCCCATGTCCATCCCAGCCCCGAACCCATGCACAAACGAGGGCCGCCGGCCCCCGGGGAGCAACAACACGGTGCCTCAAGTGCCAACAGCGGGAGCGCGCGCGCGCACCTGGGTTTTGACACGAGGCGGCTTCGTTCGTCTTCTGGGGTGCGTCTAGACCCGGTCGCCGATCCGCGTGGCGTGGGATTCTTGGTTCTCTGCGCAAGCCCGCCCGGTTGTCTGTCCAAGCTTGTTCTCCAATCACCGGCGGCACCGCGGCGCCCGGTCCGCTGTCGAAGACGCCCTTGAAGGAGGACCGACGCCACGGCGTGGCTTTGGGGGGGAGCGAGAGTGCGAGCACGGGGGCACGGGCGGCGGACACTGCTGCGGCAGGCATTGGGTTGGTGGTGGTGGGTGGAGGAGCTTGAGTCGAGCTCTCCCCAAGTCAACCCTCCACTGAAGCAAATCCCCCCCCACAGCCCCAGACGGAGCGATAGCCAGCCAAGCCCTAGCCCGGAGCCAGCCCTGGGCCACCCCAGCGCCCTGGGGCCCGCTGAAGAGGCGCAATCGCGTGGAGGATCACCGTCCGAGTTCCCACTGCTTGTGTTCAGTGTTGTCCCCAAGGCGCGCGTGGAACCTCCACTCCGCGCCAGGGCCAGCTGGAGCCCTGTGCAACGGCTCGGCGGACGCGGTGCTGCCCCCCGGCGCCTGGGCTGATAAGCGGCGCGCTGTTGCATCCACAGGTTCGTTCACCTGCCATCCAGCTGCAGTGCCAAGCCGAGGAACCTATCCGAGAAACGTATCCATGTCAAATACCACCAGCGTTGAGCCGCGCCAAAAGCACCCCAGGGATGCTGTGGGTGGAAGGGCAACCTGCCCGTCCTGCCGTCTTACCTCCCATGTGGTGCTGCCCTCATAATGTTACCCACCCCTATCATGCATGGTCTTCCGTCGGGCCCTATCTATCACGCACCACGAGCATCGTCATCAATTGATTGCCGCTGCAAGCGAGGCGCCACCATTTCCCCCAATCTCCTCCACCTCCACGGTGCGCGCTCGTCGACGGCTCCATTCGATTGTTGCCCCTCCATGCACACACACATCACATCAGGTACCCGAGCCGCCCGATGTACCGAACTGACGCTCCCCGGTTCACATAGGCGCGCACTCGCGTTTGCACGTCAAACCTTCCTTGATACACTAGCAGTCATCATTGTCGTCGTCTCGTCCTTGTCCGACAATGCAATCTATTACTTCATCATGCGAAACACAGCCACCAGCGGCCATCGCGCTCCCCGGCTAGCCGCTGCCGTTCGTCGCCCCGTTGCCGTTCCCGACGACGACGTCCTTCTTGTCGCCATTGGCCCCCCCGCGGCTCTTTGCAATCTCCTCCTTGGCCACGCGCATGTCGTTGGACAGGTTCATCAGGTGCATCACGTCGGCCGACACGGTGCAAAACGCCATGCGCTCGGACGCCTTTGCAAACGTCTCGGGCGTGCCCCACGGCGGCGTCACGAACGCGAAGCCCCCGTACGGCTTGTCGTGCTTGTCAATCACCTGGAAGAACTTGTCGCGCGCCGCCACCCACTCGGGCTCGTCCCAGGGGTCGCCGAAGGCCGCCTTGAAGTTCATGCTCACGCGCGCGTCGAGGCTGCCTAGCCACACGATGTCGATGTCGGGCACTTCGGTCAGGATGGCGTCGAGGTTGTTGATGCCTGTGCCGGAGACCTGGTCAGCCCTTGACTCTTGACTCTTGACTCCTCGACTCTTTGACTCCTGCTGACGGGACGGGAATCCCCGCGTGTGGAGATCTGGAGTCTGGGGTTTGGAGAGCATGGCTGTGGAGTGTGGAGAGAGGAACCCACCTTCCAGCGATTCAATCTGAATCATGATGGCCGCCTGGTCGTTGAGGCACTTGTGCACGTCGTTGCGCGAGTCGTACGCCATGTCCGTCAGGTAGGGAATCAGCCGGAACGGCGGCGCAGACCGCGTGCCGTTCTGCTTGCTGCCAAACTTGGCCGCCGACACGACGTGCTTGGCCTGCTCGACCGTGTCGACCTGTGCATTAGATGCCGATTAGCAATCTCTTCCATCAACACGTCAACAACAATCCGAGCCCAGCACGCACCTGAGGGACGACGATGCTGGCGCCCGCGTCCAGCGCGTAGCCAATGGCTGCGTGGTCGTGTCCGGGCACGCGCACCCAGGGGATCGTCCGCCCCTGGCTCATGAAGATGGCCTCGTGGACCATGGTCGTCATCGTCTCGACATTGCACGACGAGTGCTCCCAGTCGATCCAGACGGCGTCATAGTTCATCGGCGCGAGGAACCGCGTGATGGGAACGCTGCTGAGACCTGCGTAGTAGCACAGGATCGGGTCAATCTTCTTCTTGTGGGCGTCGCGGATGGCGTCGCGCGCGCGGTGAGGCTGGAACAGCGACGGGCCGGCGTAGGCGGCCATGCCCTCGCGACTCCCCGTAAATGCCATTGTGTTCAACTGTGAATTCTTCAAAGGACGAGGAGTTGCGGGAACGTGAAGAAAGAAGAGAGCTTGCTGGAGATCGACTGTTCCAAAGTCATGCTGTCAAGTAGACGACGATCGTCTCTTATACAGCATCATAGGGTCAGCACTAGACAGCAAGAGGCACTCACCGTCTCGAGTAGTGACGACGCAATGGCGGCGCTGACTTGGACAGCTTTTCTTCTTGGCAACGCCTTTCGCGCTACCCACGCAGCAAGCGGCCGGCAGACAGAAACGGCGCGATGCAGCGGCCGGAACGCGAGCTGCCGGGCATGGACATTCTCGAAGCCCGTCATCCGCCCTAGCTCCGGCGCCAACTTTCCAACCCGATGCCATGCTTGACGGTTGATTGATTGATTTTCATATACGCTAGTGACCTATACTAGGAATCTTAGTACTCCGGCGATAAGGGATGCTGTCTCCAAGGCGAGAGCTTAGGGTAACTGTGAGAGCCAGGTTGAATCCTGCGTGAGAAAAGAGGCTGAGCTTTCGTGCCAACTCCATCCACATCCATGTTCATCTCCACGTTTGAGTGTCAGGTTATTCCTAGCCAACGTGGGGGTCCCGGGGGAGTTGCCATGCTGGGGCGCAGGCGGCGTCGTGATGGGTACCGAACACCGAGAGCAATGAGCCGGAGCACCCGCCACGACGTGGCTAGCACCGCCCGCCCGTTGCACCGCAACATGATGAATCCTGGATCCCTCGTCGCGGGCTCCGTCCGAAATGGCGGAGTGAATTAATCCTGGGCCGCTCGGCCATGCACTCCATGCGGACATCGGGTGGCGCGAGGCTTATGTCCGGGCTGCAGCCACCCCCGGTCCCGGTGTGGGCCGTGCCGAACTCCGGGCATAAGTAGATGAGCCTCTATCACGGCGCCCGCCATGTCTCTTATGTAGTGGGATAAGGACCTAACGCTACGAGAGAAAGATGACAGACTCAATTCGCGCCGCGAACGTTGCGTACTTTTTTTTGTCACGATTTTACAATCGCAGTCTTCCTCGAAGGATTCTCATATTCCACAGAAGGCCTTTCTCGGACCCCGTGGCTTGGCTAGAATGTACCGTCAGAGCGCTTCTGTGAGGCATTGGTCGGATTTAAGTCTATCAAATGCGGCTCCTCGACATGGACTCGCGCGTGGTCGTGCTAGTGCTCACCTCCATGCCCGGTCGTGACTTCATAGGGCTGCTGACTCCCGACCCCAGTCTATAGCACGTATTCCAGCAAGAATATGGGGACCGTCGCACCCGGAGAATGGCCGCTTAGGAATCACGGCACCTGTCGGCAGTGAACAGCCCCCTTGGGAGCGCCTCCATGCCCCTGTCTATCAACGCCACGAGGCCAACTCGGACCAGTTCTGGCCGAGGGCGAGAACGTACGCTGGCATCTCCCCTTCTCAATGCGGTATATGCTCGAGCATCTCGACGCCTCCACGCGGCTTCTCGGCCTGGCTCGCCTCTGACGACTCGGCGTCACCCTCCCCACGGCGGCGGAGGCGCATATCCCTCTCCAGCTTCCGCGCCACCGCCACGGGATTACCGCCCTGCGAAAAGATGCGGTCAATGTCCTCGAGCTGGATGTTGCTCGTCTCCGGGTAGAAGAAGTAGACGACCGGCACGAAGAGCAGGTTGGTGGCGGTGAAGATGAGGTACGCCTTCCACTGCAGCCTGTTGATGATGACGGGGGTGATCATGACGATGGTAAAGTTCCACAGCCAGTTGGAGCTGACGCCTATGGCGGCCCCGCGCGTGCGCGCCGCGAGGGGCAGGATCTCGGCGACGTACACCCAGGGGACGCAGTTGACGCTGCCGCCGAAGACGAGCATGTACGTGAAGAAGAAGGCGACCGAGGCGGAGGCGAAGGCGTGCGCGCGCGGGGAAGTGTCCCCCGGGGAGGCCTGCGAGAGGAGCGCCGCGATCATGAGCATGCTGAGGCCCAAGCCGAGGGACCCCCACATCATGGTCTTGCGACGGCCCATGCGGTCGAGCGCAAAGGTCGGGAGCAGTGACCCGATCATGAACATCATGTTGATGCAGCCGCCGAGGATCTGCGCGAGCTGCGGGTTCATGCCGACGTTTTGCACGAGCACCGACGGGATGTAGTAGACGACGAGGTTGATGCCGCCGACTTGGTTCATGAACTGCATGCCCCAGGCGAGCAGGACGCGGTGTCCCGTGCGGACCTCGTCGCGGCGAAAGACGCTGGTGAAGGAGGCGAGCTTCGACGACGGCTCGTTCTCCGCAGCGCGCCTCTCAAGAGCGATGGCATCAAGAATAGCGCGACGCTCCGACTCGACATACGGATCATCAGCCTCACGATCATGCACCGCGCACAGCACCGCCATCGCCTCCTCCTCGCGCCCATGATTAAACAACCAGCGCGGCGACTCCGGCAGCGCAAACACCAGCACCACGACGCCCAGCACAAACACCATCTGGAACGCAATGGGCAGGCGCCAGGCGACGGGCCCGCCGACGAAGCTCATGCCAAAGTCGAACCAGTAGGCGAGGACGATGCCGACGCCGACGAAGAGCACCTCGGCGGAGACGAGGCGCCCCCGGGACTGGCGGTCGCAGAGCTCGGCCTGGTAGGGCGGCACGGTGGACGTCTTGATGCCGGTGCCGACGCCGGTGACGATGCGCCCGACGACGAGGTGCGCGACGGTGTAGGCGGTGGTTTGGAGGGTGGCGCCGAGCACGACGACGGCCATGGCGAGCCAGATGGTGCGGCGGCGGCCGAGGCGCTCGCCGATGCAAAAGTTGACTATTTATCCAGGAGCAAATCCATTCGTCAGTAACGAAGAGCCAGCGACGGCAAACAGCTTCACGCATGGGCGTGTGTGTAAAGCGTGCAAAGTCGTTGTACCGCTCGCTGGGTGTAACCAAGCGGGCAGCACATCTCATTGTGCGGGATCATTTGTCTCACCAATGCACCCCGTCAGGCAGCCGAGGTTGTAGCACGACACGATGATGCCCGTCTTGGTGTCGGACGGGTGGCCGAACTGGTCGAGCCAGTCGGCGTTTTGCAGGATGCCGCTGAAGACGCCCTGGTCGTAGCCGAAGAGGACGAAGGCGACGAGGCAGCAGGTGGTGATGCCGACCTGCAGGGACCGGCCGCGGCCGAGCCAGGTCCTCATGGTGATGGTGGATCGTTAAGCTCTCTCTATATGAGCCGCTTCAGGGTAATGTGAGTGGTTGCTCGATTCGTGAGGGCGGATATGGCATCAATTCTTGATCCCTCGAGGCAAGTCGGTTTATGGAGTGCGCGGTGCCGCCACACCTCCGGATACGGAGCTAAAAGGATACGGATACTTATAAAACAGAGACATGGAGGAGCACGAAGAGGAAAAATACTAGACGTGATAGCGGGCGTCAAGCTTGTGTTATAAGCTTGTTCTTCAAAGACATCTGCATCGACAATTGCCGTTTAAGGCGGCCGATGCAACTTCCCCACGGGGTAACAATTGGAGCCGTGGAATCGCTCGCCGGCAACGGCATTTGTTTCCTCCAAACGGCGTCGTGTGCAACCCGCATCTTGAAGCAAACAAGTCTGGCATGTCGGCGCTCTGGCCTGCCCTGTCGTGCCCTGCCGTGCCCTTGCATCATGTCGTGCGACGAACGGCAGCGACAACGGCAGGGCATCAGCATTAAGCACTGGCTGTTGCAGATGCGAATCATCCGATTCATGCGAACGAGGCGCTTCGCCTTGCCTGTTTCGGACACCGCGAACTGCCGCTGTTAGTTGGGTGCGCCACCGCAGCGCCACCTCTAGGCTCTACCCAGCTTTGCCCAGGGGGGAGGCGCCAGTGCCGCTCGGCGAACCTGCCCCTGGCATGCCGGAGGGGCATTGGCACCGCATTTCCACGCTCACCCGATGGCAGGCCGAAGCGCTGGGGCCGGGCATAAGCCCGCTTGCCATCATCCTGGCGGCGTGGCTGGCTGCTCCTCCCGCGAACCTGGGTAGTGGGTGCGGAGAGAGAGAAGAGGGGGCAGAACGAACCATCAACAAGATGGAGGGGGGTCTAGCTGGCGTCTGCAGGATTGCCCGTTTGGGAAGTCCTTTGCTCTCATCGTCGGTTGGGGTTGGCCCGCCCGTTCAGCCTGAACCGAGTTGGGGGGGAAGAGGGGTCCGGGGAAAATCCTACGGGTTGCTTAGACGGGGCAAGAAAGTCGCTGTGGAGGACCGGGAAGCCGTATCGAGCGAGTCCGAGTTTGTTCGCCGCCCGCCGTCCTCGCTCTCGCCTTCGCGCTCGCCGGCCTCGCCGCCCTCACTGGACGGAAGCCGCCATGGTACCAAGTTATAAAGACGGACGAGCCAACTTAACTTGTCGCCTGTTGGTTCCCTAACCGCAAGACACGCGAGCCAGCTGGCAGTACATAATACCTCGTACGAGTACAGTACAGTACTCGGCTGCACAGTGAATCACCGCCTTTACGATTACGAGTATATTACGACACGCATACGAGCAAACCCCCTCCCTGTCTCTTATACACATCTAGATGTGTATAAGAGACAGGTACAGTACTCGGCTGCACAGTGAATCACCGCCTTTACGATTACGAGTATATTACGACACGCATACGAGCAAACCCCCTCCTGCAACAAACCCTGGCCCTCCTTGTCGGCATGGCTCCCACCGCGATCGTCACGGCCCCGGACGTGGACCCCGGCACCACCACCACCGCCGCCACCGCCGCTGCCGCCGCCGACATGGCGAACCCATCCCTCGTCGTAACCAAGGACGGGCGCATCAAGATGGAGGACGCGCCGATGGCGGAGCCCGGCCCGGACGAGGTGCTGCTGCACGTGCGCGCGACGGGCATCTGCGGCTCCGACATTCACTTCTGGCACCACGGCCGCATCGGCGACATCACCGTCGAGGACGACTGCATCCTCGGGCATGAGGGCGCCGCCGAGGTGCTGTCTGTAGGATCCAACGTCACGCACTTGAAAGCGGGTGAGTCCCATGTTCCCTAAAGCGCGGAGTTGCTGGTGTGAACGATGATGAAGATGAAGATGAAGATGATGAAAGGCGCACACCCCCCTGCTCCCCTCCTGTGTAAGTGACAGTAAGGACCACATCCCAAGCTGACGACTCCATCCGCGCCCCCTCCCTGTAGGCGACCGCGTTGCCATCGAGCCCGGCGTCTCCTGCGGCAAGTGCTTCCTCTGCGTCGACGGCCGCTACAACCTCTGCCAGGGCGTCGCCTTCGCCGGCGTCTTCCCGCACGCGGGCACCGCGCAGCGCTTCAAGACGCACCCAGCGAGCCACGCCCACCGGCTGCCCCCGCGCGTCAGCTTCCAGACGGCCGCGCTGGTCGAGCCCCTGTCCGTGGCCATGCACGCCCTGCGCACCAGCCCCGTCACGCTCGGCGCGCCGGCCGCCGTCTTCGGCGCCGGGCCCATCGGCCTGCTGACCATGGCCGTGGCGCGGGCCTCGGGCGCGCACCCCATCGTCATCACGGACCTCGACGAGGGGCGGTTGGCGTTTGCGAGGCGGTTCGAGCCGCGGTGCTTGACGCATCGCATTGAAAAGGGGGACTCGCCCGAGCAGTCGGCGAGGAAGATACGGCGTCTCTTCGCGGGCGCGGCGGCGCAAGGTGAGGGCGAGAACGACCTGGAGGAGGAGGTGGACGAGTACCACATGCCGCAGGTGGTGCTCGAGTGCACGGGCGTCGAGTCGAGCATCGCGACGGCGGCGTACACGGCACGCCGCGGCGGCACCGTCAACGTGGTGGGCGTGTCGCCGCGCATCACCATCGACAACGTGCCCTTTATGCACATGTCGCTCGCCGAGATCAAGCTGCTCTTCATCAACCGCTACCACGACACGTGGCCGGCCGCCATCCGCGCCATCGAGGGCGGGCTCATCGACGCAGGGAAGCTCGACATGATGGTGACGCACCGCTTCCGGCTGGAGGAGGCGATTGAGGCGATGACGCTGGTGGGCGGCAAGGCGAGGCCTGCGGGAGGGGACCCCGTGGTCAAGGTGCAGATTGTAGACGATGGAGCGTCACCGCTAGGCGGTTAGTTGTAATTGTGAAATGGCCTGTATGAAGTATAATGATGCTCTCTGCTCTATGTTGCAAGAGGTCGGCTGAGTCGTCTGTCTATGGAACTCTGTTGTATGTCGTGCACGACAATGAACGCACCTACTTCCTCATTGAAGCATCAAGCATGCCCGTTTGGCTGAGCTGACTGCTGCTTTGCCTCGGCCATCTCCTTGTCTCCATCTCCAGGCCTCTTGACCACGCTGCTGCGCGTCACGGCCCGGTACTTTTCCTCATCTATGCGCGCCAAATGGCTCTCCCCAGCTTTGCCCTCGGACAGCCCATACAGCTCCTGGAACGACATGATCATCGGCCGCCACTTGTCCGGGTCGATCCGATTCGCATGCCCCTCCATCCGCAGCTTGTCGTGGACATGCACCCGAAGCACCTGCAGTTCAATGGCCACCAGCACGCCCCTACGATCAGGCACATCCTCCATGAGGGGATGCCCGCATGCCAGCTCACACTCCATTTGGACAGGGCACTCGCGCACGCGCGCGGGGCGCACCAGGTCTGCAGGCTGCGGCGTGAGATCCGCGCAGGACCACTTGTCCTTGACGAAGCGGTAGCCGCGGGCGAGCTTGGACGGCGAGGGGTGCTCGGAGCCGGTGGTGGAGGCGAGGGCGTTGACGGGCGCGACCATGGCGTCGTCGGGGAGGCAGACGACGCACTGGCCGGTGCGGAGGATGTTTTGCGGCGTCTTGCTACCCGCGCCGAAGCCGAGCACGCAGCGGTGGCCGAGCCAGAAGGCGGACGAGATGGCGCAGAGGTTGTGCGTGCCGTCTTCGTTTTCGGACGAGACGAGCACGACGGGAGTGCCCCAGTAGAGGATGGCGGGAGATATGACGGAGTGAGTCTGCGTCATGGTGTTGCTGATGGATTGGCTCGTCGACGGACAGATGGGAGTGTACAATCTGTCGCCGGTGTATATGGGATGCTGGGCTGATGGAATGATGGAATGAATGCAGGTGGCTTGTTTGGGATGGAGTCGTCCGGGTCTTCTGGTCGCATGGGTGTGTAAACAGTTCGCGCATTGCCACAGGCACAAGAGCTGCAACTCAATCATAAATACTCCGTGGCTACGCATTAAATGCCTGTGGGCGAGCGAGTTTGACCGCAAAGTCGGCTCCCATGAATGCCCATTCGTGAATCGTCACATCAAAAGCAACAGGCACTCTTGCCATTGCTGCCAAAGCAGACCGTGAATTCGCAGTTGCACTGATAAATTGCTACCTATGTAACGTCGCCGCTCTAACGGCGCGTGGAGATATGAGCTAAACAAGCACGAGCTCTTCCATTCCCGATTTTGGGTTCCCCATGTAGTGTATCCGCAACGCCGTGTGTGTTGCCCGGTTCCCTTTGGATGGCTCGGGTCAATCTCAAATGCCGCTGACCAAAAGACGAAACGTGAAGACTGTGCAGAGAAGGGGCCCGCCAGCTGGCCCCGAGGTATAAGATGTGAGAGAAGTGATGTGATCAACGACAGAGATACAGGGGTCTGTCTCGTGGTGCGAGCCCGCAAGGCATCGATTGCCCGGATCATATGCACGAGATCAATGGTCCTCGACGTCTTCGTCTCGGCCAGGGTACATGATGTCCTGCGACAGGACAGCCCGGACGTGATTGTAAAAGACAAAGAAGTAGGTGATTAGCAGCAGAATGCTCATTCCCGTCGCCACCCATTTTACTCCTTCATTACCCAGCTCGTTGGCGATGGTGATGGTGGCCAGGATGAAGCCCGTGTTGGGGAAGACCATGGCCCACCAGCCGAGATGAAAGTACTTGGGCGGCGACTGGACGACGGCGACAAAGGCGATGCCGAACCACCATAGGCTGAGAGACCAAAGAAAGATGGCACTCATGAGGGCGATGGTGCGGATGATGCCCTGGTCAAATAGGCGCCCGTCCATATCCGGGTCCACGTTCTTGGGCAGCCCATTCGCCATGCCGATGACGGCCAAAGCCGTAAACGCAGGAGGACCGACACACATGAACAGACCGGGGCGGTGCTCGCGGTTCGGCAGGCCCGCTTGCATGAGGCGACCAACCATGTGTGCGTACATCATGATGGCGACCGAGAAGCCCAGCCCCTGGCACGTCAGGCCCGCGACGATGATGGGCACGGCGACGATCTCGGGCTGGGTGGCGGCGATGACGGAGGCGATGGTACCAGAAAGCATGATGGGGAAGATGGGCAGGATCCAGGTGGGCATCATGGTGTTGAGCCCGAAGCTGTGCGCGGCAAAGACGAAGCTGTACTGCCCAACGGCGAGCATCAGCGTGGCCACGACGTAGGCCCAGAAGGCGCCCTGGATGGCCCAGACGAGCCCGACGTCGTTCTCGGGGATGGCGTAGCGGTTCGTGCTGGTGATGAGCGTCGCCACGGCGAGGAAGAAGGTGGGCACGAAAAAGCCCTCGCGCGGGTGCTTGATGGACGCCGACATGTCGCCCGGGTGCAGCAGGAAGCGCGCGGCCATGAGCGCCGTGACGGCCGTGAAGATGAGGATGTTGATGATGTAGACGGCGAGGCCGATGGAGCGCAAGCCGGGGAACTGGTGCGGCTGCGCGAAGATGAGCAGCGCGAGGCCGCCCGTGCTCATGGGCAGCGTGTACCACGCCCAGGTGAAGTGGTGCAGGCGCTGCTTGAAGCCCAGCTTCGGCCGGTTGGGGTCGTAGATGTCGACGTGCGAGCCCGAGTGGTGGTCGTCGTCGTGCCCGTGGTCGTGCTGTTGGCTCTGAGGATCATGGAAGCCGGGGACCTCGGCGTCGTACCCGTCTGGCCTGGCGGGCTTCTCGTCGTCCGCCCGGCCGTACTTGTCGACCATGTCGTTGGTGTTGATGTTGCGGCTGGACATGACCCCCCGTCCGAGAGGTGTCCAGTCTTGGCCGCCGGCGGGTATGGACTTGCGCGAGGCGGTCGAGTTTCTCCGCGTCGACTGGTTCGAGTCTGTCCAGCCCTGCGAGGCCTGCGAGCGCTGCGAGGGGTTGCGAGGGAGGCCGTTGGCATACATGATGGGCTGTTGCGGCATCACGATGCAGGGGAAGGAAGAGGGAAGGGCGGGCGGCGGCTTGGATGAGTGTTGGATCTTTTTTTTCGTTCAAGATCGTAAACTCAGATATAAAAAAGCATAAGAACATTAAAGCCGCGCTTCAATCTGGCCTAGGCTGCAGTTCTTCAACAAAGGAGCGAAGTTGAGGACATCGGACGTCAGGCATAGCGCTCGGTCACTCTGGCAGCATGCCCACTTATCAATGAATGGAAGACGACTGATCCACGCCCCCTTCCAGTCGTCGCGGACACGGCTCAGGATGCTCTCTCTCTGCGCGGCAGGAGGAGACACCGATCCATGCCGTTTGGCTTCACCAGGGCCTCCCCTCCCTCTCTCCCTTTCCCATGCCACCCCGGGGGCCCTTGCGGGCGTGTCTAGAGAGTGCGTGCTCCGGCGCCAAGGAGGCTCCGGGCGTCGTCAATGTCTCACGGGAGTGGATCACGCCGACAGATGGAGCGCCGAGAGGTGCCAGGCGCCGGACGAGGGATGCTGCTGCGCACGGCGATCAACCACTGGGTCCCAGCAGGGCCGGGAGTGAGTACGTTGGTGAGGCCAGAGATAAGAGCCGGTGTGCGCGCGCGGCGGGCCTCCCTCCATGTCCTCCCCCTTGTCCCGGGACGTGGCATGCCTCACACAGGGGGTCGGTCGAGTGGACGGTTCGGTTTAGACTTTGGAGGCCCGAAGCGGGTCGCGAATCATGATGCCTCAGGGTCAAGGTCAAGGAGTCGGAAGGGGGGGCCGTGCCCGTGTCTGCTTGCTCCGGGCCGTGGGGACCGGCCACGGGTCTGGTACGCTTGTTTGTATGGTTGGCTGGCAATTCTCAATCTTCAGCTCGCCATCTTGCTTTGTGCGTGTTGCGTTTTCCCGAAGCTGGGCTCAGCAGAGGGACAGCCCGTTCCAGTCTGCAGGATGCCGTGTGGCTGTTATTCCTTGAGCTTCGTCCGCCGTCCCGCCGACTCGGGACACGGACGACGTTGAAGAAGGAGGCCCGTGTCCAATCGGGGCATTTTGACACAGCCAGGTTCATGTAGGCTGCTGGACGCGGCGCCTCGAAGACGCCACAGACCCAAGTGCCAGCAGCTCAATCGGAACACTAGTGGTCTCTACCGAAATAGCAAGCGTTTCAACAGCGTCGATCGGGGTCACCGATCTTAACGCCGCCTCCCGGCTGGGCCTGGCGACCGACCCAGCGGCCTGCCACCCACCCAGCGCCCAAGAATCCTTGCCGCATGAGAAGAGAGTGCATGTGCAGAGCCGGTGTGTGGTGGTGGGTGTCACTTTGTGGGAGCCACTGCCGGAGCCCGATCAGGGAGCCGTCGTTCTTGGCTGCTCCTCTGATGGTCGCTGGGCAATGTCGATGCCGGACATTTTGGCCTCGATGCCCGTGTTTTGCTGTTCATGCCTAGAAGCTAGAGGCCCGTCTGGCGCCCCTATTTTTCCTTCTCCACTTGGAGGGCCATGCCAAGCGACGACTGCGATAACCATAATTTACAGTGCTGATGATTTGCTCCTTTGGCTCTCTGGCGCTGCGAGCCTCGTAGGAGGAGCAGCAGGACCGACGCGTAAGCCCTGGGAAAAAGTGGGCGGGCGCTGCTTTCCTTTCCTTGACTTACACGCCGGCAGTGGCTGCGATTGAAACATTGTGCGCCACCCCAAGACACCTGGATGCAACGCTCTGCGGCAGCGGCTTTCGGCTCTTGGAGATGGGACTCGGTCGCAGGAGGAGCTCATACCCCGAGGCTCGCGCGCACACACGCACACGCACAAGAGCGAAAGAAAAGAATGAGAAGGGGAAAAAAGAACAAGGCTCGGGGTTTATTTTTGTGATGGCCCTTTCTTCATCTGGCAGAGATGACCGCCAGATTTGGATGCGCGTGTCGCAGGTCTCCCGGGCCAGGGGGCTGCATGTAAGAAGGGACAAGGAACATGACATGGCCGGACGTGTATTCCACACAGGGCCAGGAAGCTCCCGGCTGCGTCCCTCAAGAGAGAGAGAGAGGGCACGAAATGCCCCGTCAATGCATGAACCTGCGACCCTCCCCTCCCCCCGGCTGCGGCGGGCAGAGGATTGGAACAATGGAAGGCACCACCACCAACACCACCACCGCCACCAGTCTTGTGCAATCTCCCACGCACGTGTGAGATGCCGGATCTGATTCAGATTCCATGTCGGTGTTATGGCCCCCAAAGCGCGGGTCCCCCGCCGCAGGGTTCGAGTTTCTGGGTCATGGTGTCGAATTGCGCAGCCCGCAGTCCGGTGGCAATACAACTTTACATGAAGACCTGCATGGTGTCTAGCCCATTCTTCCCTGCAGGGAGCGGGAGTGGCTGAGCGCCTCAGTCAAGCCAAGCCCAGGTGAACACAGGCGCCATTTTGCTGGTGCGCTGCATGACGACGGCGGTCCCTGGATTGAGTGATGAACCCGGTCGCTGCGGCGCAACGTCAACGGGCGCGCCGATAAGAGATGGCGTGGAGCTAATGTCGACGACACACATGCCAACGTGAAGGCTGGTGGGTGGTGATGGGCTCCACGGACGATCGCTGTGCTGTCAACACACGGAGTTTATACCAACTTGACCGCCCCGACTGCTGTCAGGCCGCCTGGTCGGGTCGGGTTCATGCCGACATGGCGCCTGCTGCTTGCTTACTTGCTCACCGTCACGCACCTCGAGCTTCGGATGGTCTCTCTGCAGCTGCCGTGCCAAAAGTAGCGTCGCTGCAGCGTCCCCCGACTAACTAGTCGACGCTCTGTATGGAGTGCGTATGACGATTGAACGAGCACCGTTTGAGCTCCATCGGGCACTGCCAAGCTGCCAGGCTACTGCACTGGCACTCCCAGCGGATGCGAGATGCGTCCCGGCGCCAGGCCTCGCCGGCGATCCTCGCATGCCGAGCCCGCCGCTGCGGACCGCCCTGCGGGCCTCGCCGTCCAGAAGGGTGTGTCCAGCCCACGGGTGTGGTGGCCAACAGGTAAGCGGCGGGTCTTCCAACAATGGGGCCTGTTTGATACCGACCTGACGGGGGCAAGGGGGAGGGGGCGGCTGTTGAACCTGGGATCCTTGCATTCCGCGCAGCCACTATCAGCAGGGCCGGGCCTTGCGCTGCCAAGCGGGCTGGGAAGCAGCAACTTGTCTCTGATGACTCGATCAGTATGAAGCTTGATGACTGGAGTCCGCGTAATGACGGAGTCCTGTCGTGGAACGTTTGTTCGACGATGTACGTGACACTGGCATGTGAGTATGCAGTTCCTTGCCATGATGACAAACTAATAGGTGACGAAGCGACCCTGCCTCTACGCTTACAACACCTTTGCGTAATGATGCAACCCAGACATCTGCGAGTCGCCGGCATCAAGTGCAAAGGGCGAAGAAGCCAGACTTGAAAATTCACGCCCGAACGGCTGCAAGTAGCATCGGGAGATGTGCATCACAGCTGCCACAGGTCCAAACAGCTTGCTGCTGCACGTACAGCGTCAGTCTGGTCCAGACCGGTTGAAAGTTGAAGATGCTCCGCAACGTGCATTGCAATCCAGGCACCCGCGCGGGAGGCCCAACATGTACTGTGTTTCACCAGATGCAGCGGCCGAGCCAAAGCGGAGAGAATGCAAGAGCCGGCCATGGTCAGGCAAAATCAACTTGACGGCCCGGGAACATCCGTTGGGACAGTAGATATTCACATGCACCTTGAAGGCGCTGCTGTGCTTCTGGGGAGCAATGGCCCCTCCGTGCCACGATGAGAGCACGCAGCGAGACAGTCCCGGATGATCTTTGCGCGTTTTTGTTTGATTTTAATTCGACGAAACCGACCCCGGTACTGCTTCAATAAATCTCAGGACTAGAATCACTACCGTCACTCCCATGCTGTCCGGCCCCCGGCGATGCAGTCGGCTCGTGGTATCCAGAGATGGCAGGTTCACCGGGCGTCATTCTGCTTTTTTGCTCAATGTTTCTGCACGCAGCAGCTCGCAAGCACGTCAGACAGATGGATTTGTGGATTCGCCCTGCTGCTAAATTTGTTTGTTTTACCAGCGGCGGCCACCGCCAGCTAAGGCGTTTCAGGCCCGGACAGCAGCCTGCCCAGTCAGGGCGCCCCCGACTCCCATGATAACGACGCAAAACAGCCGGGGTTGATGCGGCCCATATAATATAGGAGAAGCCAAAACGTCGAGCACGGACACGGTCTCCGTTGCGGGAAGGAGAAGCTTACACGGCAAGCATGATCCTCGTCCTGTTAAGATGCTTCGTGGGCGCTGCTGCGATTGAGGGTAGCATCGAAGGCGTGCCCGGGGCTCCATCAAACGCCTCACTGAGCTGTCATGATCCCGAGCTGTCATCGTGTAGTCCACGTACGTGCAATGTATCCGCGGTGGAGCGACCACGGTTCAATGTTCTAGGCCGTCTGCTGCACGGCAGAACCCGGAAGCCGAGTGCTTATCACGTCGCGCTGCTGGCGTTTGGGAAGACGGGCCAAGTCGGGTTTCATCAACGTGTGAGGGTGCCGGGTTCACTACACGTGCGGTCGGATACTCGCAGCATTGAGGCATGAGACGTGTAGTGCGGTCGCGGCTGTACCTGACACTCCGATATGCAAGAGGCGAGGGATATTTTAAGCTCGCATTTGGAATCCGCCAACAAGGTTGAAAATTATCTTTCGGACGAGAACCTCTAAAGCTTCATTGCCGATGTGCTGATGTGGTATTTCAGCTGTGGAAGCCTCCGGCACTCACATGCAGCTTCAAAGTGGCGCGATGCATAAGACGGACGCGAGCGCCTGGTGACACGGGCGGACCGTGCAGCGCCTGGTTCTCGGCCTGATCTGATCCTGATGCTTTGCTGCGGCGTCGATGCGTACGCTTAAGGGCATGTCGTGTAATGCTGAAATCTTTGGGTATATTAATCGCGGTATTCTTATGTACAAGGAGTAGAGAGGGATATCACGCGCAACTAAAGGGCCGGACCTCGCAGGCGCCAGGGCACAAAATGCTGCAAAGTAAGGTTGTACATGGACGAGCTCGACGCAGCATCGTCACAATCAGCCCGCCTTTTCTTTGCGGCCGGTCACTGCCCCGAGCCCCTTCAAGATGAGCCACCCGGCGAGCTTCCCGTGAAACCACTTGCCAAACGGTGACTCCAGCAACGTAGGCGGCTCATCAACGCCTCGCCACATCCACGTCTCATTGACAAAGACCACCTCGTCCGTGTTCGTGCTCGAGGCAGGCTCAATCGCGGCGACGAGCAAGCCCCTCACGGCCGGCCCCTTGTACGACGCGGGGACCTCGATGAGCAGCTCCGACCGTTCCGACACAGAGCCGGCCGTCTTGCTGTGATGGGACGCCCGGTACACGCCGTTGACCAGGTCTCCAGGGGCAAAGCTGAGCGCGTTGATCCAGTCTGTGTCGAACGAGCGCTTGACGTGCGGCTCCTTGATCATGGCGCGTATCAACAGGGCCTGCGGCGTCCAGCTGAATGCGACGTGCGTCGCGCGGAGGTACGTCTTCAGCAGTGTCGACGGCTGGCCCGCTGCCGGGTCGGTAGCGGCAACAGGGTGCGAGAGGGACGACGCCAGGACCGGCTTGGAGACGACGCGCTCGTAGGAGACGACCCACCGCGAACCATTGTCCGACCTGACGTCGTCGGGGAGCGACTTCGGGTCCGCAGGCGCCCGTGTCTCGGATGTTGCTGATCCCTTGAGCTGCTGCTGCTGTTGCTGGTGATGGTTGCGACGCCCGGCGCGGGACGTCGTGGTCGAGCGGATGCGCCCGTTGAGATAGATCAGGTAGACGACGGGGATGGCCACGGCGGGCAGCGCGACCAGCGCGGCCGTCGAGGCGCGGCCGAGCTGCGCCTGGACGCCGGCGAGCACCATGGTGCGGAGTGCAGGACGCGATCTGCGGCTATTGTGGAATCCGCGGAGGCGAGGCTTTACGGGCCTGGGCGTGGCGGTTAAAGTCGTTGGCTGGCTGGGCTAACGGGCACTAGGTTCTCGCTGCCCGCACGTCAAGGGTTGTGGTAGATGTGTTGGTGGTGGTGGTGGTGGTGGTGGCGATGGTTGAGCCTCGGAGGAGTTTGTTTTCAACGTTGCTTGTGACGCTGTCGCAGCGAAGACTGGAGGGCGGCGGGCACAGCAGCTCGCGTGACGGGGAGAAGCAGGCTTTTGGACTCGCTTCCCAGGGTGGCGTCGATAAACACCCTGTCCCGTCCAGGGGCCCACGAGCCGGCCAATCTTGACGCCGCTCAATCGGGTTGCTGACAGCGCCTTGTCTTGAATGTTTGAAGGGGCAGCGAGCTATGCGCCCGCTCGCTCGATGTCGAAATGGTTCTGTCAGCTCCATCCACCGGCAATTCGTCCATCTCATCTCATCTCATCTCAACTTGACGACATCGCCCAACCGTCCGTATTCACACGCACGGACGGTGATCCGATTCTCACTTCCTTGGCGGGTGGAGTGGCAAAGTCACATCGCGGCGAGGTCACGGCGCGCAACAGCCAATGCCCGTTTGATGTCAGTGATTTAACTGTGCTTGCGATTCCGTTCGGGCTAGCAGTTGAAAGCTGCAGAAGCGAGCATTCAGCCACCCTGCGCTTAAATGTTGCACCGCATGTGGTGCCCCCTTTTGAAGCTGGGTTGCGTGCGCAACCCCTCATCACAGTCAGTGTCCATGTCCAGCTACTACATGTATGTGGGAGGGAGGCGTTGATGTTGCGTGCCTCGGCCTCTCGACTGGCGATCGCCCCCAACCCCTCACGACTTGGCGCCCAAGCGCGGGCGACGTCGATTGTCGACGCCGGTGATTGGCGGCGCGGGACCCCCGTAACTCCCTTGACGGCGCGGAGGGTGGTATAAGACATGGCTGTGCTTGTCGAGTCTCAAAACGCAGGGCTGCTGCTGTTGCGGTTTGCGGTCGCAGAGTGTCTTTTGTGAGGCTGGGCTGGAGTCGGATGCTTTTGACCTCTACATTCATGTTATCATTGTGATTTTCCTCATCCTGGCTTGCTTCGTGGTCTTTGAAGTGATTGAAACCATGAGCGACTATCCGCTCGAGGCGACGAGCACCGGCAAGCCGTCGATCCTCCACGATGAGACCAAGCAGCCCGCCGTGGCTACGGTTCGCGACAATGCGCGCGCGGGCGCCGTCGAGACGGATCCGCACAAGGACCTGACGCTGTGGAAGTCGGTCAAGAAGTGGCCCAAGGTCGTGCTGTACTGCGTCGGCCTGACGTTTGCCATTCTCATGTACGGCTACGACTACGCCATTGTCGGCACGACGTCGGCCATGCCCAGTTTCCAGTGAGTTGACTCCGATGGAATACCAACCGCAAATCTGCAACGACATTTGATGGATCTTCTTACACGTCCTTCGTCCATAGGCGAGACTTTGGAGAGCAGCTCCCCAACGGCAAGTGGATTCTGCCGTCGCTCTGGCTTGGGCTCTGGACCTTTGCCAGCCCCGGCGCGTCCATCATCGGGGCCGTGGCCGGCGGCTGGTTCCAGGACTGGTGCGGACGACGGGCCTCGCTCGCCGTGGGGTCCTTCCTCTGCGCCATCGGCGTCGCCATCTCCTTCGTGTCCAACCTGCCCTCCGACATCAACGACCGCCGCGGCGTCTTCCTCGCCGGCAAGGGCTTCCAGGGCGGCGCCATCGGCATGGTCATGACCACGACGCAGACGTACATTTCCGAGATTGCGCCCCCGAACCTGCGCGGGCCGATGCTCGCCTTCTTCCCCATCTTCACCCTCCTCGGCCAGCTCATCGGCGCCGCCGTCATCTTCGGCTGTCTCAACCTGCCCAACGGGTATACCATCTGTTTCGCGACGCAATGGGGCTTCTCCGGCGTGCCCCTTCTACTCTCGTACGCCATCCCCGAGAGCCCAACCTACCTGATCCGCAAGGGCTTCCTCGAAAAGGCGCGCCGTGCACAGCGACGCCTCGACGGCCGAGACATACCGACCGAGGAGACGATTGGCGCGATCCAGCGAAACATTGAGCAGGAGCGCAAGAGTGCGCGCGCGACGTACGTCGACTGTTTCAAGGCGGCCAACCGCCGGCGCACCTTCATTGTCATGTTTGCCGGCCTGCTGCCGCAGATGTTTGGCTTGACGCTGCTGTCCAAGGCGAGCTACTTTGCGCAGGTCATCGGCATGGAGTCGACTTTGAGTGTCTTGGTCCTCATCCTGGGGATCGTTTGCGGCCTGCTTGCCAACGTGTGCAGCATGTACGTGCTGTCGAAGGTTGGGCGCAGGAAATTGATCATCTACAGCCTGGGAGTTCTGACGATCCTCTGGGGAGCCATGGGCATCGCCGGCATATGGCCTGGCAAGATCTCTCTTTGGTAAGTTCAGACACAACCCATCTCCCTGCCTGCGACATTACACATGCTGAGTACGAATCGTAGGTACTCGGCCGTGACCATGATCCTCGTCACCATGGTCGCCGGACTCAGCGTCTGGCCCGCCTCATACGCCGTCGGCGCGGAGGCCTCGTCGCTGCACCTGCGAGCCAAGGCCCAGGGTGTGGGCTGGCTGACGGCAGGTGTGGCTGCCTCGCTTTTTGGCTTTGTGCTGCCCTACATCTACAACCCGGACCAAGGCGACTTGAAGGCAAAGACTGCATTTGTCCTCGCGGGGCTGTGCGCCATCAGCTTCGTCATGTCGTTTTGGTTGATCCCAGAGATGAAGGGGCGCACGCCCTCCGAGATTGACCGCATGTTTGACCAGAGACTGCCGGCGGGCAAATTCAGCTCATGGAGGGGCGAGGACGATGCGGTGACCAAGGTGGACAGCCAAACGGTCTAGCTTTACGCGTTGGGTTTCTTGCCTTTAGCACTAAGCAACGAATGTGAACATGATTACCATTGCTGTTGTTATCGCGACGCCTCCGTGGATGAGGCGTGATGGACATGTTTCTGAATATGGCTAAGCTTTCCAGGCCTCTGCCATCATTTCCTCAATCCTCTTTGGCGGCGGAGTCTTGCCCTCAAACGCCTTGACCAGGTCCAAGTGGCCCTCGAGCTTTCCCAAATCGTACGCGCCGAGAGCCACGCCCGCTTCAAGGTCCGCAATAAGCGCGCGTAGTTGATCCAGCCCGCCGGGAAAGCGCTGAGGGAAGCGCTTGGCAATATCCACGTTCGTGGGCAGGTCGATGCCGTCGTGCTTGAGCAGCCTCTCGACAGGCTGGTAGCGCACGTTGAGTTTACGCCCCAGGTTGACCTCGGCGAGCCTGACCAGCTCATTCAGCGAGATGGTGCTCGCCGCGGTGGTCAAGACCCGCGGCCAACTCGGCAGCTCCAGCGCCAGCGCCACGTATCGCGCAACGTCAGTCGTAAAAGTCATGCTCATCCGCGCCTCACCGTCTCCCGGCAGCCCAGCCTGCCCGCCAATCGGGTCGATGAAGAAGCACAGTTCGCGCAGGTGGCTCTCCACGCGCGGCAGCCCAAAGTAGTCCATGAACATGCCCGGGTAGACGTACGCGTACTCGAGCGTCGTCGTCGCTTCGAGCGCCCTGCGCGCAGCCAGGTGGAGCTTCTTGTCGGGGTAGGGAAGCACATCGTCGCCGAGGTCGTAGTCGACGTTGAACTCGGAGGGCAGGAAGCGCCGCACGCAGGCTGTCTGGTCCGCGGCGCGGATGAGACGCACCTGCGCGTCGGCGGCGGAGTCGTAGTGCAGGCTGAAGGCACAGATGATGACGTTGACGTTGTGCTTGGCGAGCTGCTCAGCGAGGGCTTCTTCGGAGGAGTAATCCGTCTCGATGAATGGCAGGTAGCGTTTCCCCGTCACGGGCGATGTGCGCTCAGAACGGCCGTCGGGCGACTGATACTCGTCAGTTCACCGTATCGCATGCTCAGGGGCTCGCCTCCCTGCCTTTCTTGTCATGACATAGACCTCGTGTTTGCCAGTCTCAGTCAGGGCCTCCGTGATAAGGCTGCCCATATCGCCTAGGCCACCGGCCACTGCAACGACCGACATTTTGGTCAGTGGATTTGATGAACAGATGTGACAAGTCAGATCAATTCATGCCGCACATGAGGCTGTTGGGCGATGCGAATAGTTGTTATACCTCATACCCGAACTCGCCGTTTGAGTCATTGGGCAATCTGCGCGAATGTCGATCGTGCGGGGGTGAAGCCTTCCATTACGTCGTGAATTTTCGAGGAATACGGCTTGTACGACTTACTGATTTACGTAGTCTGGTGGCCCAGATTAGGTTCCGTGAATGTCTGATCCTCGCACAGGCGATCTGCACGCGCAATCAGCCCAGACACATTCACGCCTGGCACCGTGCGAGAGCCACGTAGGCTCGGTAATATTGAACGGCTAAACGCTTTAGACAAGCGAACAATTGAGGCTCATGGAAAAGGAGGCTGGAACTTCATATTTTCCAGACTTTTTAAAATTCATGCTCGGAAATGCCCCTTGCGTCGGACAGGGGTTGTATGCTTTTGATGCGCGCAGCTGGGGAGTTCGCAGGTGAATGGAATGAACCATGCTTGCTCGACACAGAGCCCAGCCCATGCGGACTGAGGAAACGAGACGTTCAACGAGAAAATAATCGTCCGTCACTAGTAGCTTTCTCTATAGATAGCCCTGGCAGTAAAATACTGTATAGAATTAATTGGCTTGGAACGCAAGTGTAAATTTGAGGGCTGTCCCGACTGTGTCTGACGCAAACCGGGCTCGGTCTCGGCACACGGCCCGGAGCTGTGGGGCCGAAGCTTCGGAGCGGAGCGGATCGACAGGTGCATTGGCATCCGGTCACAGTCCCATCATCTGATCGAGAGATATGCGACGTCTCCAGAAATATCAGATCGTGGACCGCCGGCCAGGTGATTATCCGGCAGTAAACCTGAACAAAACCCGCACGAGGTCGGCCATTGGCCTTAGTGCCGCTTGGGTGGTGTAGGTGGCCGCACCATGTTGAAAAGGGCCGATGTGATACTACCCCTGCGGCCCCCGACTTCAAGCGCGGCCTACGTGTAGCAGCAAATTGTTGGTGGAAAAGTGTCTAGCGTAGCGGCGGGACGCTGCCAGCCTGGCAAGCCGGACGCATGGAATGCACAGCGACGAGCCCACGTGAACTCGCTCCAACCCAGGATTCTTGACTGGCTTTGTCGTGAGTCCTAGCGCACAACGATGGTCACATCCAGTCCTCAGGCCCATCGAATGTCGGGGTCGAACAGGGGACTTAGGCTAAATGCGGATAGCACGTCCGTTGTGCATTGCCGTGGCCAAGCGAAACTAAACAGCTCGAATCCCCGATCGTTGATGTGACTTCTCCTCAGGATTTGTTCAGGTACATTCTGACTGGACTACATGCTCAAACTCAAGGAGCCTTAATCAGCAGTTCGCGCCTCAAAGACCTTGGTTCAACCCAGGGCTCGTCTTCTGTGAATTTACCGCCGCCGTTGCCGTTCGTGCAAGTCCAGTCACTCTCAACCCCCCTGGCCTATGTTAATTCTAGACCATGGGTGATTACAAGGGTCCGTAGCGCGTGTCCGAAACCAACTTGCTTCAAGTCTATATCAAATGACATGGGTCTTGCAGATTTGTACGGAGTACATGCATTTGCTTTTTCCATCCTTGCCTTCATGTTTGTTGGTCCAAGTGCGCGTCAAACACCGGCGGCAATCGAAACACGCTACGTAAGTTGTCAGGATGACTGCCGCAGGTAAGAGCAGACACTTCCGTCCAGGTCCCAAGCTCGCATTAGCCGAGACTCCCCGTAGCTGCTGACGGTTCATGCAACCAAGACAGCAAGTTCGTCGTCGAGTGCCAGCTCACTCCCCCAACGATGCTTCACCGTGATCAGGGCAACCGAACCGACCTGCAACTGGTCGCATCAGGCACAATGCCTTCAGGAGACGCGCCTTGATGGCTGGGCATTACCGCCACACCTACGCTCAAATAGTGTCACCTGTTCCCACTTCACGCATAGCGCTCCCCTTTGCGAAGCTTCCAGTCTTGTTCGCTCCCCCGTCCCGACACTCCCCGGCCCTCCCCCACGGGGAAGAAGCATAAGTCTCGGCACCAACGCGGCACTTTTCTGCATGTCCTGCAACTCTCCCCGCAGTGCGTCGCGTGGAAGACTGGAGTTGGAAGCTCTGGGGAGGGTCTTCAGCCAATGCGGCCCCAGATCCAATGCACGGCTGGAGAGCTAAGCATGCTCTTGGCGTTGTTCCCTGCGGCCCGAGGCATGACCCGGCGAGGCTATTCGGACTTCACGAAATCCGAGATGATCGGGCGCTTTACGGTGGACGCGAATTGACCAGGAGTGGTGATGGCGGGTAAAGGGGGCAATGGAATGCTCGTGTGGAGTTGAGCAGATGGTGGCCCAGCCCGGATAGGCAGCACCTCCGCCATGCTCGTAAGGTTTCGAGAGCTCGATCATGGATACCCAAGCTGGGCTGCTCTCGAAAAGGTATATAAGGGGTGGAGTAATACCATTGTGCAGAAATTGAGAACGCTCGGACATCAATGATCCAATATCATAGCTCAACTTTCAAGCCAAGTATACAGGACCACACCAGACTGAGCACAACACTTCCCTCCCATAAGACTTGACCGTTCATTCATCATGGGCCACAAGCCAGTTACTTTGGCCTTTGCCGGCCTGATGCTGAGCCCCGGAGTACTGGCGCAGCTATTCACAGTCAACTGCGCGCCCCTTACCATTCAGCGGGGCGACCCCATCATATTCCCGGGGGTGATATCTCCCCACGTCCACGCGGTTGTGGGAGGCACAGCTTTTGCGCTCTCCGAGTCCAACGAAGCCGCCAAGGCATCCAAGGCGACCACTTGCGACAAGATCCTGGACAACAGCAACTACTGGCAGCCGCAGCTCTACCACCAACGCCGCGATGGCAAGTTTGAGATTGTAGAGATGCAAGGAATTGTGAGTCTTGAGGCAAAGAATGGTGTTGGCCGTACTATGGGAAGTTCAGGCTGACCTTAAGATTAGGCTGCGTACTACATCAACCGGGCATGTGACTACGCACCTGGCCGTAACAACTGCAACGGCACGCCCTACGCCAAAGCCCCTCCTGCAGGGTTGCGCATGGTGGTTGGCGACCCGTACCTGAGGTGTGTCTGAGCATGCGTTTAGACCCCAAGGCTGTTTACTTACAAAGTGTTCACGTAGGACGTACAATCAGTCGAACCCGGAGCAACGAGCCATATCACATGTTTGCCTGGGCCAAGGTGACTCTCCTGAGTCGCCTAGTCTTCCGACAAAGCAGTGTGAGCGCATGCGAGCCGAGACCTTCTTCCCTTCCTGCTGGGATGGCAAGAATCTCGACAGTGCAAGCCACAAGAGCCACGTACGTCCATGTCCTCAGCGCTCAAGCACGTCCTTGATCTTCAGGGCAATCACTGACAGTTGTGTAGGTGGCGTTCCCAGCCATTGGAGACTACAACACTGGTGTCTGCCCGCAGTCGCATCCAGTGGCCATTCTTTCGGTATTCTTTGAGTTCTTCTACGACACGGGCGCCGTTAAGGACTTCAACCGATGGGTGTGGGCCATGGGTGACGCCACCGGCTATGGTCTACACGGTGACTTCCTCAATGGCTGGAAGGATCAGGATGCACTGAGCCGCGCCATGGAAACTTGCACAGGGGCTGACGGAGTCAACGCTCCCGGGTGCAGCTTGAATGTCGGGCCCGACGGACCAGGCCATGCTAGCTGGCAGCCTGTGGAGACAGCTCCTCCTAAGGAGGAGATAGGTTTGAACGGGCCGCTCGATAAGCTGCCTGGCAATAACCCTGTTACTGGGTAGCTGGCTGGCGTGCGGCAAACTCCGTCAAGAAACGCAGCGGGTCCGAGGACTGGCAGGGAGTTGATGGGTTGGTACGTCGTCTAGGAGGCGCATTCTAAAGGGAGCGCCAGGTACCTGATGGGGCTCGCGTCTGTCTGTTTCCTGTATATATTGGAGACTTGTGTCTAGCAATGCTACTATCGCTTTGCGACCCAGAATTGCGCATTGTACGCATTCTTTGTGAGCGCTCGGTTGTCGAAGCCGTATATCGCCTCCATGCCCCTGACTGTTGCACCCTCCAGGGTCAAGTCCCCGCACTTGCGGTCCGTGTCTTGGTAGTGGAATCCCATTGCTTCAGTGATCTTGATGATTTCCTCGAGCGATAGTTGAACAAAGGGAGCAGTGCCGTAAAGAAGCGGCCCCAGATTGATCCAATAGCCACCTGGCTTCAGGACCTTCTTGATCGTGTCAAAGTAGCTCAAGAGGTTTCGAGCCGTGTCGATGAAGAAGTAGGTAATGACGACGTCGTAGTAGCCCTTTTGCTCATTGAATGCGGTCGTAAAGTCACCTTCCGCCATCAGAACCGCGCTAGGTTGGAGGTCAACATCGGGAAACGATAGACCCCGCTGCATGTCTGCGTCGGTTGCATGGTGCGACCAGCCTTCAACAAACGGGTAAAAGGTGTGCTTGACCGCTTGCCCATGTTCCTCGAGGAATCTGTACGCGACGTTCATATACATGGACCATTCATTTATGGTGACCTCAAACCCTAAGCACAGGAGATTAGCCACCGTGAAGTTACGTAGTCAAGCGGCGGTACTTTCAGGGCCTTCATACCGCCTAGTCTTTCGATGTCGTGACCGAGTCTCCCATGTCCTGCCCCGGGCAGAAGAACTCTAATCGGATCGATAGTGCCATGGCGGTGAGGGAACAGCTGTACAAGTGTGTGAAGCAGGCAGGCGAATGTCGAGTTTCTCTCATGCTGTCCTTCGGTTGTCCAGTCCCTCACAATGTGTTTGAGGGCTTGCGACACGGAGATTCGGTCTGCCGTTTGGCCTGCAGCCTCCCTCTCGCGGACATGGGCTGTGAGCTCGGAGTACGGGACTTCGTAGAAGTCAAGCGCCGAGTCGACAATGGAGTCACACACGGCCTGGTTGCGCGCCAGCTTGCGGTCCACCTCGTCGAACTTGGACGAATACGCAATGTGATGGTCCAGCAGCTGTGGCGACATCAGCATGAGCAACAATATGGACTCTTATGAGTGAAGGTAAGGGACGAGATACGCACGGCCTTTTGGGACTTGGATACCCGCGAATACAAGCCAAGAAGCCTGTTAAGCTCCGCTCCCTGACTGTCTTTGTATTTGAGAAACCCGTAAAGTGCGTCCAACAGGCGATGGCGTGGGTGGCTAGGTGTCCATTTGCCATTGCGTCTATCCATCAATTCGAGCAGGCGAGTTTTCTCATCATGATGTCGCTGGGAGGCGGTGACGTTGGGCTGCACATGGTGTACCGTCATGACGACCTGGTGCACCTCAGAGATGAATCCAGCATCGCGATGCTACGTAAAGTGCAAGCCATCTTGTAAGCAAAAGGATGCATAAGCTCATTTGCATGGTACGGGGCTTTACCTCACTGGGGGTTCGTCCATCGTCACCGTCAGCGTGCGCGAGGGGACCTAAGCCAACTGCCAACCACCACGCAGCAGCGACAGCTGCATGGAGCTTCATGGTGTGCCGCACAACACGCAGAGCTCAATGGCAAGGGTTAAGCTCGCGAGTTGACGACGAGATGGGATGGATCGCATCAATAAAGGTGCAGATTTTGCGCGGCTTCTTCCAGCTACACGTGGTTGCTGCATGTGAGGTGAGGACCTTGATGGCCGCCAAGACGCTGTCAGAAGTTCATCATGACGCCGGCCCATGCTAACTTGGTGCCAGTTGCGGATCCGGTTCCGGCAGGGGCGCGCGACCTAGCTGAACAAATAAGCTTAAATACCCCAATAAAACATTGAGAAAGCCCATTAAGCGGTATCATTAAGCGGCAAAGCATGTGTATAGAGCTTTCACATCTGGAACAGTGGCGCGACCCAGAAAGGCGGGTCAGCATCTACACACTTACTGCTGACTCCGGAGATAGTGAAGTCGGTCATGTCATCCACGCCCGTATCTTTATAGAGAACCCCTGGGAAATTTACACCGAATGACGACAAGTGTCACTTAAAACTTAAAATCACAAAGGCAGCATGTATTTGAGGCTAGTTCCCGCCTTGGCTGTTTACATGCAGGCAGTAGCCGCCCTAGGATTCATTGTGCACACCCAGGGCCGCCGCACATCCAGCTGGAGAGGTAAACGGAGCAGGAACAACCAGCGGCGATAGTCGAAATCGTGGCAAGCCGCAATTCGACACAATGAACCGTTGGTCATCTACTCGGCAGGCTTCTCGTCAACAGCGTCCTCCCATTTGGTCCACTGCCAGCGCTTCGATTTCCCCTGAGCGGGCTCATCGACGGCATCCTCCCACTTGGTCCACTGCCAGCGTTTGGCCTTCTCCTGAGCGGGCTCATCAACCGCGTCTTCCCACTTAGTCCACTGCCAACGCTTGGACTTTTCCTGGGCAGGTTCGTCAACGGCGTCCTCCCACTTGGTCCACTGCCAGCGCTTGTCCACAGCCGCGTTGTCACCGCCACGCTTGGCGGGGACCCCTTCTTCTGTGCTATCAGCATCAGACCAGTCGGTCCATCGCCAACGCCGTGTCAACGAACCTGCAGAGACTGGAGCAGCCACGACGGACGAGGAGAGGGCTGCCAGAACAGCCACGAGGAAAGTGGACTTCATACTGAAGCCTGATATCAAGTTTCAGTACTAATTTGGCCGGAATATCGCTCAGAGGCTCCTAGAGAAGCTTACCTGTGAAGTTGGATCACGGACTTCTAGCCTTTTGATATGTGTACGTAGGCCGTCCGATCAGCACCACAAAGTAGGCAATATACGCCTTAAATAAACCAGAAGCTCTCGGCGTCTCGGCGATATATCCACTTGCTCTTTGCTTCCGAAACAGGTTGTTCGCTTCGCCTCCACGATTGCGGTTGGCGTCGCATTAGTACGAGACGCGGTCGGACCGCGGGCATGCCCGACTGCAGCCCGTAGTCCACGTCGCCGTTCAACGCCACCCGAAGCTGACCGCATGCGTAACACATTATCCGCAAGCCTCTGGATCATGACCACCTACCTTTTGCAGGTTAGTATCCCGAATACTGGCCTGTCCGAGCTGGATCAGGGGCCAGAAGTTAAGGTCTGATACCCCGCGCTGACCACCGCGTTGCGACGACCTTCATTATGCGCGGTTTCACAGCACAAAGGACGCTGTAGCCGGGTGGGCATAAGACCGAGAATCGTCAGTCATCCAAGGCTGCAGCGAGCAGACAGGTGGTGCTCGAACATCTCTCACATTGTTCTTATCCTGTCATCGACCTCGCCTCACCATTGTTCCCTGACTGTCCGTCATTGCACGATGGCGGGCCAGAACACGAAATCAGCAGAGTTCCGGGACAGCAGCGGGGATGAAAATGAGTTCATGGACTCCAAGGGCTTGCTGGAAGAGTACGGCAAAGAGCAGATCATCTTGAAACGGACGGGTTTGCGAAGAGGACACAAATGGTGCCTCTTCGCTCTTGTCACTCTGTCACTCCTGCTCAATGTCATGCTGCTCTCTATCGGCGCATTTCTATACCAAAGGCGCGGCCCTGCAAGCCCAATCTTTCCCCAGGCTCTCTACTGTAAGTATCACCATAGTGTCATGGGATCCTTTCGCTCACCAGATCTAGCTCCTGCGCAAGATGTGTTGAAATATGAAGTGGTCAAGTTCGACACTGCCTTTGGTCATGGGAAAACGAAATACCAAGGTGACCCGTCTCCAGAGCTTGACAAGCTCTGGGAAGACCTATTTCTCCGTATGTTTACCACCATTGCCATGAAAACTCAGCTTGCTGACTCTCTGGGTGGCTGAAGTTGAGCTCCAAATTCCGCGAGAGCAGGCGAAATTGCTGCCGAACAAGACGATACCTGTTCACCCGGACTTGCCCGATAGCTTTGCTGTGGGCTTGGGCGTGTTTCACGACCTTCACTGCCTGGTATGGTAGCCATAACTTGCACATGAAATGGCACTGCGCCCGGGCTGACCTGCGATTGTATCAAGAACACTCTGCGACGAGGCCTGGACTACTTCAACTTTCAGCTGTGGAACGATACTCACAACCCCCTCAACACACCGCTTCACCTTCTGGACGATGACCATCGCCTCGGCGGGCCGCTTGACCCTCCGCATCTATCTCACTGCATAGATCATCTTCGGCAGGCAATCCAGTGTCACTCCGACATCAGCGCAGTGGTCTGGCAATGGTCTGAGGCCGCGCACGACAACAAGATCTATGGAAGCACAGTTCGCACATGCAGAAACTTTGACGCAGTGCGTCAGTGGGCAACAGAACATGACTATAGCAAGATCATTTACAGCCCCGAGAAGCCGGAGGAACTTGGACTATGCGGGGCGTTTGATCAAGGGTGCGGCAACTAGTTAGGTGACAAAAGCCGTTGTTCGTATACCTGCAATATGACCTCATAATGGCATTACAATGTCGTACATGCACTACTCCTCATCTGGAGCGTTTTGCCAAATCAACACCATTAGATGCATGATGTCGCTTGGTTCCAGGATGATACTCAGCATCGCGGCGTATGAGGTCGCCAACTTACATGTACTCGCCAGGACGGAGTAGCATACATCCGAATGATGCCGGGACATGGCATCGTGCTGCATCTAATTGTCAGCCACTCGGGGCACAAAGTGCCGAGACTCATGTCAGATCAGACCCACGGAAGACGTGGCTTGCGGTCTGGTGTAGACGTGACCGCATGCAAACCCCGCGCCAGCACGTCCGGGTCCTTGCAGCCACTTGCGGAGACAATGGCGGTTTACGGACGGAAATATTGTACAATGAGAAGCACAAGAGTGAGCTGCTGCTGTGAGATGTGATGTTCTGCCGATCTTCCGTGAAGTTGCGTCTGCGCCGCTCGGCGAGTGCTTCTTGTGGTATAACCTGACGCCTGTTGGGAAGCACAAGTCATCGGAGCTTAGCTCCCAGGCGCTTTCAGCCTGACGTCTCGCCCCCACGACTTAGGTTTAGCACACCTCGAATTGCGAAACTCACGGGTCTCACGCCTCGCTGCTCCATACGAATCGCCCCCGACTGCGACTTGTGCCAGTTGGCTGACCTTCCACATAGGGAAGCACATGCAGTCTAACGTCTGGTGCTGTCCATGATTAGAGGCATTAGTCGTCTCACTCGCATCTTGCATGATTCGTCCGTAGCTTGGACATTTTGCCGGAGCTGATTCTTGATCTCGTTTCGGGCCGGTGCAGTGTGGAGCACGAAGCTGTTGAGGGGAGGACGGCGCGCACCGGCGCCGACGCAGCTGTAAGAGTCCAATTGAGGTTATACGTAGCGACTTATCGCCGACACGGAGCCGATGAGAAGTGTTTCCGCAATGAGCGTGATCGATCATCCGCAATGGTTCGATAGATCAGGCTTCTGTCAACGAACCAGCAATGGCCTGAGCGGGCTGCATTGATCCGCCTGTCAACACCACCGAGACTCTTCGCGTAAGGGCTGGCGAGGTTCTCAACTCTGGTCCATGGTACCGCTCTCCACTTTCCATTTACATCATGTTTGGCCTCCTTCAAAAGGAATACAAAGTCTTGGAAAGCCAGGAGGAAGGCGATGAGCTCGACCACTCATTGAGGGTGCCTCCCGCATCAGCGTTCCGTGCTCACGTCCTTACATTGATCAACGCTGTCGTGCTGCTGGCATCCTTGGTGTGCTTGCTGGTTTCCTTCAGGCTTGTAAGCAACCGCCAAAGGGATGTGTCTCATGGTGAGTTGACGAGCATCTAGGCCATTGATGTCACGGTTGAAAAGCCAATTTGCTCACCAGCCACAGGCTTCAATATTCTGGGACTCGAGTTACCGATTGCCAGCATCCAGGTCGAAGGCGACTTTGGCAATGACGACAACTACAAAAGTTCGATATATCGGAAACCGCCTGGGCCTGAAGTGGATGCTGCGTGGGCTCGAATTGCCAACAGTGAAATGATAGCCATCAGCACAGAAGATGTCATTGCGATCGGAAAAGATCCAACCACCACTGTGCGAGCCCCCGAGGAATGGAACCTCGGACCCGATGCGCATCTCGGAGTGCTGGATGTATTTCACCAGATTCATTGCCTCAACGCGCTGCGGCGAGGAATTTACTATGAGCACTACTTTGCACCATCCATGGGCGACAAGAAGGGCGACCTGTTCTACAACCATATGGGTCACTGCATGTCCATTCTCTTGCAGAACATCATGTGCGCCGCCAGTCTGGATGTCATCACGCATAGTGAGTTCCCCGTGGTCATGCGCTCGCACCAAGATGCAAGCTGGATGGTAACTAAGACCACCATCAAATGCTGACAATGCAAAAGACTGGGTCAGAGGACATAGACTCCCGGTTCCGGATTTCAGTATACAGCATCAGTGCCGAGACATCGAAGCCGTCATTGACTGGCAGGAAAAGAATAGCATCGACTACAAAAAATGGAGCAGGATGCGAGCACCCAAAGGTGCAACTGTGCTGGAGCCGTCAGAAGCTCTACTGGAGGCATTTGAGGCTATCGCTAAGCATACACATGCGAATGGAACAGTCCCGTTTTAGGTATTCATGGCAGCCAAGGCTTCTGAAGCACATGGAGTAGATGTTAGTCGCCGGGCAAATTCTCGACTGGATTGTTCGGACAGGCCTGGTGAAAGGAGTAGTCAAGAAGCTCATAGGTTTTTCTTGCCTCGCAGGCCACCTAAATAATGCCGAAGTCGCATGCCATTTGCCCATGCGTGAATGCTGCTGTGTTGGTCGGGAGAGCACCATCAGCTGTAAACCGGAGACATTTCATGTCGCTGCATATGGCCGACGTCCGGTCACCAGTGCGTTCCGGCTGTCAATCTGCCGTGGATCACAACCAACAAATCGGTGCTGCACGCCACCAACAACTCCCTCTTACAGGCCTTCCTAAATAGGCTGACCGGATGCAGTGCTTCTGACTCTCATTCAGTGTTGGCTCCCATCCATCCTGTCCCCGCTAGGACATGCTGACGATAAAAATGCTTCGGCCGCCGCTGACCCTTGCCTTGCTGGTGTAGGATCCGACCGTTCGCCCCGACCTGCCATTTGCAAATCAATTCAACCATACTTAGACGCTCGATGGAAGTCGCCATTGCTTGTTACCCGCCTTTGGGGCAAGTGACCGAAGTCGCTGAGCCAGAGGTCAATTTTATATGTATTTTACGCAGCGATGGAGCTAAATCTGGCGATAAGTGGGAGGTTTTACTGCGCTACGCAAAGCTCGCTTCGGCCAGCGACCAAGACGTCAAGCTGCAGCAGTCATCGAGACTCATCTCCTCAGCAGATAAGCCACGCAACGCCAACAGGCTAGAGGTGTCATTCGAAACTTCCATCAAGATTGATGGGCCAATCCGTTTCACCATCAGTTACAGACGCGATCCCTTGGAGGCATGGGTTCTATACTCACCCCACGCGGACCTAGATAGCGTTGTCCTCGTCGGAGGAGGACACACGCCTGCCAAGGATCAGCACGACATCAGGGAGTATATCCCTGATATCAATCCCGAGCTTCAATCTCGTCTTCTTGATGATGGCTCCAAGTCGACGGTCAAGTCGTGGTTGATCGAGGCATCAGTGGATGGAGCGCAAGGCGAGTGGCCCCATATGACCCAAGTCATGTTCGGAAAGCCCTTTGGAGGAAACTTCTTGAGGTACGTCGCATTGAAAGTTCACCGACCAATTTCACTACCTATGGAGACGTCTCTATCTGGAATGCTTCATCTTGCACATCTCGGGCGAAGGTTGACCGGTCCTACTAGATGGTTCGGTATTGTACGCAACACCACATCTTGGATGGCGCCGAGGCAAGGCCGAAACTACTTCAAACTTGACGTGGCTGGCATCCTGTGCTCGTTTCTCGATCCGCATGGCACTCACTTTATCGCTCTGGGCATCAGTGGATTTCAGAATGTCATGACCATCTTCGGCGACGACAATGAAGGGTCTATGATGATCAAGGTCTGCCCACGCCCCGCGCCGCGTGTCGCCGATATGGGAGCTGACATGAAACAGATACGAAATGACCACCAAAGTAAAGGGCATGGTAGGGTTATCGTCGCTGTCGGGATCAACTTCGACGAAACTCTCTCAAGTGCCTTAAGCCAAGCACAGGACATGTTTGCATCTGTTCCAGAATCCAGCACATCGCTAGCGGCCACGAAAGAGGCACCTGGGTTAACCTGGGCTGATGACTGGGCCAACGGCTTAATTTATTGTACGAGCCTGTCTTTCTGCCCTGACAGACAGGCACTTTGTCGCCGACGCTAATGGTCATTCATCAGGCCCGCCGATGGGAAGCCCTCAATTGCAGTCTCAAGCCGCGATTCTGGCAGATCTGGAGAGACTGTCTGTGAAGGGAATTCAAGTCAGCGCTATTATGCTTGATGACTCATGGCAGATAGTTGATCGGGAGTGCTCATCGAGACACGAAGCTGGTCTCATTGGGTTCGAGGCAGATCCCACCAGGTTCACATCTGGGCTGCAGGAGGCTGTGGCGTCTTTGAAGAAGTACGGAACTATCAACAATGTTATCGTACGGCATCCGATTTTCGGTCATTGGGGAGGCATTTCTAACAGTGCGGGTGGTCTGCGACAAGAGTACGAGATGGTTCACATAGAGCGATCGGAGAAGATCCAAGGGGATTCGCCGTCCAAGCTCACCATATCAGTCGTATCTTCACGAGACGCTGCAAGGTTCTATCGTGATTATTACAGGTGAGGCGTTCCTCCATGACCGCCGTGAATTGTACTGACAACCCCCCAGCTTTTTATCGTCATGTGGTATCAACACGATCCAATGCGAAGGGCTTTATATGCTGGAAAGCTTTGCATCAGCACTTGATCGCTCCGAACTGCTCGTGGCATATTTGGACGCTCAGGCTGCTGCCACCGCCTCAGTATTTGGAGCCAGTGGACTTACCAGCATGTCGCTGTCGCCGAGTGCGTTACTCCACGGCCTCAAATGGAGCCAGCATGGGAAAACATTTGTCAAAAACTCGGCTGCCTTTTCGGACCATCGCAAGCATGTCTTTGTTAATGCGAGCAATGCAATTCTATCATCTGCCATCGGAAATGTCCCAGATTGGGGTGTGATCGAGAGCTCTCGGGACAACGGCGAGTTTCACGCGGCTGCACGAGTTGTTTCGGGTGGGCCAGTACAGATAGCTTCCTTCGATGCCCCTGATGATGCCGATGATCAGATCATACAGCGCATTAGCGGCCGCACCGCTACAGGCAAGATTGTCGTGCTCCGACCAACAGGCGTTGGTCGAGCGTCTAACCCGTACGTGGGCTTTGAGGACGGCGCTCTTCTCAAGATCGCCAATACGCATGGTATGTCAGCTCGAAGGGTGGCCTCATATCTAACTCACGGTCTAATTCGTTAACAGATACCAAATCGTCAACCGTCTCAATTCTTGGGTTGTTCAATGTTTCTGACCATGAAATATTGGAGCTTGTTACGTTGGGCGACTTCGCCGGCATGGACCCATCGAAAACCTACCTCGTGGCGTCCACGTCGGGCGTTCTCAGTGACCCTCTGACACTGGAATCTTCAGCTGCAATCTCAACTACTTTGCAAACGTCCGAGTATGCCATCCTGTGTGCTCACCCTCTCGAGCCTGTCCAGAGAAGGGCGTCCAAGGATCGTGCCTTCTTCGCTTGTCTGGGGCTGAGAGGGAAGCTGCTCGGTTCGGCCGCAATAATCGATTCCAGCTACAGCAGCGACGATAACGGGACCATTCATCTGAGCCTTAGTTTGAAGATCGTCGGTGTTGTGGGTAAGTCGTTCAGAGTCATCCAACATATCCACGTCGGGACAAATGCGAGAGTGAGCTGACTGTTTGTCAGGAATATATCTCTCGGACCTTCCTGACCGAGACATCAACAATTCCACATGTACTATCAAGGTGCAAGGCGAAAGCATTGTTGCTGTTGACAGCATTGTGACAATTACGGACAGGATCATGGCATTGGACTTGGCACGCTTGTGGGAGAACCGGGCGTTTTCTTCTACTACGGACGAGATACGAGTGGAGCTCACTATTGGTGGATGTTGAGCAGATGGAATTTCGGAAATCTAGTCTGTCGAACTCAAGATATTAATGCGATTAGTCCGTAGGTGGTCTGAAGAAATGAGATGAAAGCACCATGGCCTCGACTTTTCCTTTCTTACCTGCAACGTCTGGTCCAATGGTCAGCCGCTGCAAGGGACGATCGCCTGCTCAACATGATACATTCATGTTGGAGAAAGGTCTGTCAACGCAAGACTACAAATCCTTTTCCCTCATCCCATTCGAAGGCTCTCCGGGCAGCCTTCTTTTTCTCCACGCGGCCTCTTCCATTCTCGATGCAAATAGGTGTCACAAGCCTTCAAGTTGACTCTACGCGCCCAGCGTTACATGTAAAAACCTGAGCTCTGTATGTTACAGCGATTTTAATCATGACAGCCATAGTATGCTTGAACTGGACGTCCTCGGGCCCATTTACTCGTCACCCGATCACGGAGGTTGTTTGTCCGTGAGAGGCCACACTCACTCCTTTCGTCGACCTGATCGACGGTAGCAGTCCCAGTCAGGCAATCGTCTATAAACTTAATTGAGTCAAGCCTGGCACTAAGAACGGGAGCTGAAGGGGCCGTTCCTCCAGAACTGCAGCGGACGAGCGTCGATGTCATTACTCTGCACCAAGGCCGCGTGCTGGTCCACGGCAGTTGAGGCTAAGACCATAGCCCCGGCAGATTGCGTGATCACCTACACCACAACCTCGCGACTTTAACTGCACTCTTATTCGACAGCCTTCCTGCGCACAACAGACCTAGGGTGCAATGGGGCTAGCCTCGCGGTGCCTGTAATTGAACAATTCCAAAAAGCAAGTCGTTGCGGCCGGGTCTGCTTCTTGATCGCGCTTGTCGCGTTGCGCCCGCGTCCGCCGCTGCATTCTGCACGGTCAACATCGCCGACATGTCGCCATTTTGGCTTCGATAGAGTGAGGAGAAGGGCTTGTAGATCGTGATTATTCCAAGACAGCGCCAATGAGCGCGATGATGCACCCGCGTGGTGTCAAGTCGTGCTGTCTGGCCCGTCGCTGCTGCAGGCACATATAGTTCCATGCTTGGACGTCGTCGAGCAGGTCGAGCGGGCGTCTTGATCTTCGTGTGTGACTTGCAGGACCCAAAGTTGTACGAATCCAGTACAAACAACTAGACACAATGAAGGTCTCCGCGCTTCTGCTCTCGTGCGCTGTCGGGTCAGCCATTGCCGCTCCTCAGCTGCAGGCAAGGGCCGAAGACAAGTTCACCGAAGGACAGCCCATTAGCAAGACTGGGAAAGGCGGCCCCATCAACGGTAAGTTGAGGAATGCGCGCGACGAAGGGACTTGACGCTGACCATGGCTACAGGCGGCACCAACCACCAGCTGGACTTGCAAAACCCGGACAACCTGGGCCGACAGTCGACGGACAATGGCGTCGTCCCGAACCTGAAGTGGAGCTTTTCGGATTCCAAGACGCGTATCCTCAAGGGCGGTTGGGTTCGCGAGCAAGTGATTCAGGACTTGCCGCAGAGTCACGACATCTCGGGTGCGCAGCAGCACCTGAAGAAGGGCGCCATTCGCGAACTGCACTGGCACCGTGTTGTAAGTCCAACCCTCGCCTGCCCGGCTTCTCCTCACGGTTGCTAAGAAAGAACAGGCGGAGTGGGGTATCGTCTACGCCGGCAAGGTGAAGCTCTCCGTCGTGGATGAGAACGGCGTGTACCAGGTTGAGGAACTCAACTACGGCGACATCTGGTACTTCCCCAAGGGCACGGCGCATACCATTCAGGGCCTCGCGGACGAGAACGAGTATCTCCTCGTCTTTGACGACGGCGACTTCGACAAGGTTGGGTACGTAACAAACATGAGCACCAAGCTTCAATGCCGCGCTCATGTTTGTGGCTATGTACGAGCAACACTTGTACTGACTCTCCGATCTACAGCACTACATTCAACATCGATGACTGGATCGCCCACACCCCCAAGTCCGTCCTCGCCAAGAATTTCGGCGTCGACGAGTCCGTCTTCGACGACGTCCCCTCGCCCAACCCGTACATCATCAACGCGACGGTCAGCACGCGCAACGTGACCGAGACGCCCAGCACGCCCGTCGCCCGCGGCAACAGCTCCTTCGTCTACCGCACTCTCCAGCACAAGCCCGAGAAGATTGGCGGCGACGGCGGCGAGTTCCACAAGATCGACTCGACCAACTTCCCCATCAGCAAGACCATTGCGGCGACGTTTGTGACGCTCAAGCCTGGCGGTCTGCGCGAGCTGCACTGGCACCCGAACGTACGTTGACTTCAACGCGCGGCACGTTTGCCAATATGAATTGAGCAGTTGGCTGACTGGATTATGCAGGCTGAGGAGTGGCTGTACTTTCACAAGGGCAAGGCCCAGGCGACCGTCTTCATCGGCAACGCCAACGCTCGCACGTTCGACTTTAGCGCTGGCGACACAGCCGTCTTCCCTGACAACTCGGGGTACGTTCCACACGATCCCCAAGGCCCAACGCAAAAATTGATGCAAAATTAACGTCGGGCAGACACTACATTGAGAACACGTCCAAGGACGAGGACCTCATCTGGGTCGAGATCTACAAGTCGGACCGAGTCGCCGACATCCCGCTCACCCAGTGGCTTGCGCTGACGCCCGCGGACCTCGTGGCGCAGACGCTCAAGGTGCCCATTGAGTTTGTCGAGAAGCTCAAGAAGGACAAGCAGGTCCTCATTGGGTAAATGACGGCAATGCAACGTCAAGTTGCCACGGCCGCTTTCTTCTAGTCGGTTGCGAGCATTGTCACGTCGCAGTAGCTTGCGGCGCGACACGCACATAATATTCGAAGCGACCATGGCGGAGCCTAGAACAGCGGAACCTGGGCTTCATCATTAGGTACATAATCGCCTTCTCGCAGCATTTATATAATCTACGTCGGTTCTTCAAGTTCTGTAAACCGCACCGTTGTCTCGTGCTGTCAAAGTTTACCTTCACGTAGCCACACATTCGATGTTTTCTATTGACTTTGGAGTGGGCCTTGGGAGACTCGTCACTTCATGCTTCAATTGCCAAATATATGATTCGTATCGCTATCGTTAATGAGCACCTTCAAATCGCGATGTCGCATCATTCAATCCCTCTTCACCTGGCACTCGGCGGTCGCCCGCACCTTCTTGTCCGACTCCGACGTGGCCACCAGCGTCACTTTGCCAACCTTGTCGGCGTGAGCTGACGCACCGACCGCGACGTGGACGCTGGTGGTCTCGCCGTACTTTGCAAAGGCAAGCGCATTGGGCAGCTCGACTCGCCAGCCAGAACCCTTTACCTCGGCCTGGAGGCGGTAAATATCTGTGCCTAGGTACGGAGTCAGATCCTGGGGATGGGATCCTCCAGCGACGTATGTGCCGTTGTTGGTGAGGTCAAATGAGCAGAAGACGCCCTTGTCAGTGACCTTGTTCTTGCCGCCAGCGACCTTGCCTGGTGACAGCTTGGCGCCATGTTCGCTCGCATCCGTGCCGTTCAGGGATCGCACACCGACAGTGTAGGAGAGAACACCCGTCTTGTCGCGATGCTTCTTCAACACGTACATGTGGAGAACATTTGCCTTGTCGATGTACTCGAATTCACTGCCAGAGCGTGTTCCAGCGTGGAACAGCGCGTCCGCCAATTGGCGGTAGTCGCCCATGGTCGCCATTGCCTTCGTCCCGTTTGGTCGGATAAAGTCAACCAGATTGATGTCCTGAGGGTTCGCGTCGATGGTCCATTGGAACGGCTGTCTGGCGACGGTCTTGGTCTTGCTGATCATGACGCCTGCATCTGGCTGGAACGAGTCGGCGCCCATGCGGTCCACGATCTCCATCTCGTAGTTGTTGTAGCCACCACCATCGCAGAGGACATCCTTGGCGATATCGCAAGCAGGGGCAAGGTCGTTGCCCATCTCAACGCGGAGGCCCATAAGGTCTGCTTTGACGGCACGTGCTGTGATGCGCGCAACAACCGGTCCAGAGCCGGCGAGCCCAGTTCGAGAGATTCTCAGCACGCTGGAATTGGCTACCAGTCCCAGCTGCAGCTTGTCGCGCATTGTGTGAAGCGAGCCCATTGAGCTTCCCTGCAGCGCCGGGATTTGCCATCTCGAGTGCGGCCCGCCGGGACCGTTGAACGAGCCGCGGGACAACATCGACCACGGGCCAGTGTAAGCGCGACGCAGCGGCGTACCGTAAGGGTTGTTGTAGTTGTCGCCAATGTTAAGCAGATGGCTGAGCTCGTGTGCGTAGACGCCCATGCCAGAGCTCTCGCATTGGGTCGAGGAGCCGCCACCAGCATTGGGCCAAATGTTGGACGCTGCGGCCCAAGAGGTCCACTCGACGTATCTCGTGGAAGCGTAGTTGACGGCCGAGTCATTGGCGCCGGCTGGTGGCCCGAATGCTGCGGGAACATCCTCCTTGGTGGCAAACTTCATCTCGCCAAACTCTTGCCAGCTAGCTGACTCGTCTTGCCCGGCGGACAGAATGAAGACAAGCTCGAACGAATCTGCCACTTCATCTCCTACATCCTTGCGCCAAGCACCGAGACTGTCGTCTCTGATGTCGAAGTTGCAGGTGGTCCCAGACGGGCACGCGCCGGGGTTCATCCCATCGTCGATGCCGTACTGGTACGATTTGGAGGGCATGCGGTAGGCACCAAAGACGGTCAGATCGACTCCAAATTTGCCAGCAGAGTCCTCCATCCAGTACTCGTGAAGCGTGTGGCCCTTGTTGAGCTCGTTGGGCTTATTGAGCAGGTCCCGATAGAAGGCAGGGACCTTTTCGCGTGGAATGTTGGCCGCGGCTGGCTGGGGGTTGCCATATATGGTCGAGTTCGGCGGACCTGTGATCGCAAACGACTTGTCCTCGTAGTCGACAGTTACAAGGGCAATGTTGAAGTTCCGGCTGGAGCCCTTGCGAGAGGGATCGCTCCAGCTCGTCCCCGGAGGTGCCTTGAAGTCATCCCAGGTCATGCGGTCGGGGTTGACCCAGTTCTGGGGGTCGATGACGTCGAAAGGATTGCCGCGAGGGATGCATTTGGACGCATGGCCGCCGCCCCAGCATGAGGCAGCAGCAAGAGCAGACGTCAACACCTTTTGGGTGGAGAATTGCCGTGTTGACGACATGGTTCCGGCCGCGGGATGTCTCGGCATGCCCAATGAAGACTGAGAGGGATAGAGCTATGCTCAGATACTGACAATAACGACGGAAAAGATTCTGCAAGATGGGCTGCCCGATATCGCCAGAATTCCAGACTTGATGACTCGTGAATTGTAGTTTGCTCCCGAGGCGTGATCGAGTCTGGTGTCACTGGTGGCCCTGCTGGCGCGACGTCAGACTACCAGCGCGGCCCATGCAAGTTCCAATTGACAAGCCGGACTGAAAGGAAGGGCTCAGGATCGCAGCAGGAGCGACAGCTTATATTTCAGCTTTTGTGGCATTTGGGGGAGACTTCCCCTCTGCCATTTGATGGGTCATGACACAATGAGGCAGGTCGCATCGGCCTGTCCGCCGAAGCCGCCCGCGACAAGCTGCATGTGTCTCACACCGCGTGCAGAGCCGGCGAATCCCTGCCACGTCCCAAGAAACCGAAGGCCGACCCCGCGCGGAGAAAGCGAGCCAGAACAAGTCTCTCAACCGTGCCGCATGGTTGCGCGTCTGGGTGGATGGAGTCAACAACGCGGGCGAGGTTAAATAAAGTCGAGCAACGGACGGCGGTCCTTATTTACCATTACATGGCACCTGCTTCAAGGGGCTAGCTGTATTGTTGATTGGCCAATCCTGTCGTTCTCTACCGAGTAAGCATGTCCCCGGTCGTTGGATACCAGTTGGAGACCAGGCCTGGTTGTGGCATGGAGGCCGTTGGCAAGGGTAGGTTAATTCTTCAAGCTTATCGGTCGGGGATCAAGAGCCGGCGCAAAGCGGGGGAGAAGCGGCGTCGACGGGTGAAAAGAGGGGTTTGCTGACCTAGTTCTCCGACGATCGAACTGCCCGTCAATCGTGGTGTCTATCAAGCTGGCTTGCAGCTCGTGAACTTCTGGAATCTGGACGATGCGTGATGGGGGCCCGGGTTGCGTACCCGCCTTGGCTCGGCGCCGAATTGACAACATTTCGCCGCCACGCGGAGCGTCCTGTGGATAATTTACCTAACAAGAGACTTTCACATCCAGATTGGCCTCTACCAGCACTCGGTGTGGTTTCGGCGCGGCCTGTTGGCTTCCATGGAATCGCATTTGTTCCGACGGCTTGCGTCTGACGCACCTCGCAAGCGGTCCGTCGCCAAGTCTACTCCTCATCTGAGCAAGTCTTGCCCATGTAAGCCAACATGCCCGGCATTACGAACGCGTTGAGTGCACTCAATCTCGCTTGCTCCACAATCAACTCGTTGCGATCAAAGACGATCTGGGTAAGTCCGACGAACCGATGCTCCATCCCCTTGGCCGTCGCATTGCTCGGGCACGGAGCCTTTTGAACGGTGACAAGCAGATCGCCGTTGGCATCGGTTCTCGCAAGCTCTCGCACATTCACTCCGCTCATAGCGTCTTTTTGGTCGTCCACATTATCAGGTCTCCAGCTAGGGATGATCATGCACTTAGGATCATAGATTGTGGCCCCGTTTTCGTCTGTCTCCGGTACGTTGGCCAAGCAGACTGCGACAAACCGAGGTGGCTGGGACCGGCGCTCTTTAAATACGATGATTGCACCATGAATGTCGGGGGCTGTCTGCTGCACGCCTTCATCACCCTCGCTCGTGGGAGAGCAGACCCGGCCTAGCTGTGGCAGTTGACGAGACTGCACCAGTGGCAATGCTGAGGACAATTGCTCGCGAAATAGCTCATCGGCATCGTTGGATTGCGGAAAGACACCGTATAGTCGATATTTTGCCGGGCCTCTTGGTAAGCAGATCAGAAACGGGCTACCAGCCTCGCGAGGCTGCCATTTAGGCACAGACAAGGTCGTCGCGTACGGCTTCTGGATCAAAATGTCCTGATAGGAGTCAGGTGGCACAAGGTCGATCGGCCCCAGCGCTGCGTCGTCTCGGCTAGGGAGCGCCAGCGCCACGACCTTCTTGGTCAGACCAGACTGCCCGGGGCCTTGATTCATGTCGAGCTCATGATCCGACACCAAACGCACGGGAAGGAAGGGAGACGGCCATAGTACTCTGGTGAACTGGCGTATCTTCTCAGGCCCTTTGCGCACCAAAGGGATCCATATGCGGTACAGAGATCGAGTCGTCTGCGTCGTCCCAGAGGTGGCATCCCAGCAATCGAGGACGCCGAAGACGAAGGCCGGCGCGAGGGTGGCGACGATCGGGAGAGTCATCTGAAGCCCCGAATTGGTCATCTGGAACGGATAAGAATGGATCTGGGGCGTGTAGTGCTTTCTCAGTTGCGTTGACTTTCCAGTGGCCACAAACTGCGACTCGCAAAACTCCTTTGGCGACCGGGGCAAAAAGTCAACGTATCGCAGCTGCGAGGCGAGTATGCTGTGGTCCGTATACTTGCGCATGATTTCCTCCAGTAAGCGCGCGAAAGCTTCCGATCCTTCCCCGTACACGAGGGGCATCGAGATGTCGAACAGTCCGAGGAGCGAATACGCCTGGTCTTCGACGCGAGTGGTGGAGCGGCTGGACGCCCACGATAGCCTCTGAGCGATGCTGTAACCGCGCAGCGGGTTCAATTTGGAGAATTGTCCCCTGCGCAGACACCACGCTGAGATCCCAGTGACTTCCGAGATCGTCAATGCCAAGGTCATGTCTGCCTTGGCTCCAATCTCCTGCCAGTCGTTTGAGAAGAATTTGACCACGGTCGGCGCGATGAGTTCCTGGAGCGTCCACCCTCTTGTGAACCATCTTGCCTTTCGAAACTCGCTGTCCGGCTCGCTGCAGTCTTGGATGCTGGCATGCGACACGTCTTCGAGATGCGCGTAGCAGACGACGGACCACTGGTACCACTTGAACATCGAGTTGACGGCTTCCGACAGCTCTGCGGAGCTGGTCTTGTCGATGCAATTGGTATCCACCCACATGTAGTCGATGCCATCTTTGACGGCCTCGGCGCACGCCTTGACAATCTTCTGGAAGCCTGGCTTGAAACGGCGGTTGTTCCTGTCGGCCCAGTCCTGGAGAGAGACCTCGCCGTCGGCCCACGTGTGGGACAAGATGGCGTAGTCGGGGACGTGACTATCGAAGAACTCTTCGAGCTCGAGGGTCTTGGTACTAATGAGCCTCATCGCGCGGGTTGCGACGCCCTGAGAGTTTGGTATTGTGGTTATGATGTGGGCGAAGTCTCGCGGCGGACAATGCAGCTGAGAGAAGGAGCTGATGAGCTAAATCAGCGCTCACCCGATTATGGAATATCGTGCGCCGACCCGCAAGCTACATATGCAGGATCGGCAACGAGCACATGAGCCTCCTGACTTGGCAATTGCAGTGATGGGCGGTTCCACATTGAAGTCATCGCAGGATCCGATCGTCGGCTTGAATGCGATCTAGGCAGTCAAGCTTGCCGTCCATCTCGCAACCCTTCTCTTCCAGCATAGTGATTATGGAAGCCTAAACACAAGCAGCAATTAAATCATAGCTGAGATCGCTCGACCCGCTTCCCATTGTTGAACCAAATCTTTTGCCCGGTAATCATCGACTCCTGCAGCGCCGCGCCGATTCTGACCGCCGACACCGCCGTCTCCAGCTTCACCGGCACAGGGGTGTCGTCGAGGCAGCAATCGGAGAACTCAATGGCCTCCTGTGTGAAGGCGTTCTTGAATCGGTCCCAATAGTTCTTGGGTACCTCGTGGCGAATGCCGGTGGGCTCGTAGACGCGGACCAAGTTCGCCACGGGGATCGTATTGACGCCCAGCTTGCCCTTGGTGCCGATGACCTCGGTCGTGTCCTCCTGCCCGGCGGCCATCATGCGCGAGCAGTACAAGTGCACGATGCGCCCGTCGGTGAACTCGATTAGACCGACGGCGTTGTCGCGATCGTTGTACTTGCGCAGACCAGGCTCCACGGCCGTGATGCCCACTGCGCTGACGGAGCGGACCTTGCTCTCGCCGTCCTCGCCGAAGAACCACAGCGCCAGGTCGATGTCGTGGATGGAGCAGTCGACAAAGATGCCGCCGCTGAACTCGGCGTACGCGACGAAGAACCCCGACGGGTCGAGCATGTCGCACGTCTGGCTGCGGAAGACACACGGCCGTCCGATCACCCCAGCCTGCATCTTGGCGTAGGCGTCGCGGTAGCTCTCGTCGAAGCGCCGCGAGAAGCCGCACATGACCTTGAGCTCTGGCCTGCGCGCCGCGGCGTCGACGACGGTTTGGGACTGGTTGGCATGGTCAGCGACATAGCGACGACAATCACCGTCAGAGCGCAACCCCAGGGGTCCGACGTACCACTTCGGGCGTTGTAGCCAGCGGCTTCTCGCACAGGACGTGCTTGCCAGCGTCAATGGCGGCAATGGACTGCGCCGCGTGAACGGCAGTGGCGGAGGCGATGCATACGGCCTCGAGCCCGGCGTGCTTCAGCATGTCGTCGAAGTGCTCGTAGACGCCGACGCCCGACGCGCCGAGGTGCTCCTGCGCCCATTCCCTCTCCTTGGGGTCGGGGGACGACACGGCGACGAGCTCCGCGTGCGGGACCGATTGGAAGAAGTTGAGAGCATGCCGCTTGCCCATGCGGCCGAGGCCGGCGACGCCAATCTTGAGCTTGCGGGGAGGCATGGACACGGCGACGGCAGCGGTCGACAGAGGGGCGAGTTCTTGGGTCTGGGCGGTCCAATTGAGCCGAGCAAATATGTGTACGGTCGAGTAGAGAAGTTGGCGCAGACGGTGTTGGAGAGAAAGTTGCGACCAGCCTCTTAGTTATACGTAGGGTCTCCTCCGACATCGTTGGGTCAACTTCTGTCTCACGCCACGGCGGCCAACTGCCCGCCAGTTCGGTCTTCGGGCGAGTCTCAACCTTTCCCGAGTCTCCTGACGAAACGCCACCGACAACGGCACAGCGAGCTGTCTCTCCACTGAGCCCGCTGAGCCCGCTGAGATCCCGCCAAGATCTACCCGGAACCGCGCCTCGCTGGGGTAAAACCGGGGCAGTTACAGGGGGCCACTGAGGGGATCGTTGGCCATGCCCACATCCCCCAGTGCCAGACGAGGACCCGCCACTTTTGTCGGGGCAAACTTCCCCAACCTCCAGATTGGCAAGAATCTCCGAGAGACCTGGCTTGGAGGCGGTTTGGTGCCCTGACTTGCCCTCTGGGCGGCACGTTGTGAGCTGCATCATCTGGGGCGGCTGGAGCGGGATTGCCAGATTCGGAAAACCGCCCAATCGGGCAAGTTTCCTCGATCGTGAGTCTTCAAGTTCACATGACGAGTCCTTCGGATGAAACTGCCACTTCGTCGCCTCAGACGGCAAATGAGCATCGGGCCCGAGTATCCCTCCAGCACTGGCTCGGCAGATACGACAATTGCAGTTGTAACGGGTCGGAGACTCCCTTAGCGCAGCAGCCTGCAGTCAGTTTGCTGACCCAAGTTCGTGAACGGGTACCAGACTCCAGCCTCCCCGTCATCATCAACGTGCCGCGACTTCCGGCTTATCGTTTCAATTGCCCGGATAAACGTCTAATCTCGCCAACCCCATGCGTCCTTCAGTCCCCTCTGTATGTTCCCTGTCGGCCACCCATGGCACGTCTCGGTCCTGATGAGTACATCCAGCAATGCCTTTCGTTCACCCTCATCGTTGAGTCGGTCGCCGCACGTCGCGATCCCCAGCGACGCAGTGATCATGGCTGGAATCGTGGACTCGTTGGATAGTGCTGTTCCGCAAAGCAATAACACCTGTCGTCTGATCCCTTCTTCGCGAGCCGCTTGTGCCGCCATACGCGACGGCCCTACCCTAGGCACCGTGGGATCGTAGCACATGAGAAGGGCCTGTGCCAGGATGCAATGAACCACACCAATCACTATTCGCATGTGTCTATCAGTCTCAAAAGTCAAGCCTCGGCGGAGAATCTGCAAACACGTACCAATGGCATGGTTGAGGTAGAGTATGTGAGGAAAGACTTCCCCCCGTGATGGATCCGGTTCGCTGTACGCAATGGGTAGGAAGCTCGACGGTCGCGCACACAGCCACCCTTCCTCGTATTCCACCAATGCGCGATATTCTTCCAGGGAATGGTGGTCCTTGCCAAAGCAAAACTGCACGACCTTCGCGCAGTGGACTATGACTCTATTCGCCCAAGTGTCATCGTCCGCGGTCCCAAACGAGAGGTCAACAAAGCCGTGGTTCAGGGAAGTCTTGATCGGCCGTTGGCTCGCAACGGCCATGGTAACTTCTTGGCGAAGACCGATCCAAAACGCGGCCTTTCGCAGACTGCTCGCGGTGCTGGCGTCGCCGTGGGCCGTCATGAATACTTGTATCCCAAGGAGATGCCCTTCGTTGTCAGTACCGAGGAGTGGTACTACTCGGAGACTTGTCAGCAATGGCCTGGGCATGACGATTCGCGTAGCGAGAAACTGACCCTCCAGTTCCTCCAGTGTTCGCAGCAAAATGGTTGCCGCCAGCAAGTCATCGTTACGCAGAGCTTGTGAATCGCTAGAGATGCTCGATAGTTGCTGCAGGCATTGCTCGTGGTAATGATTCGAGATCCAAGTGTCGAAATGCTTTCCTTTCAAGCTCAGATGCCGGCTTGACAGTGCAAATATGGCGTTGAGAAGAGTAGGGCAGGACAGAGCCCTTTGCGGCACATCAATTGCGAAGTGTTGCTTTGAATCGCACAAGTCAAACTGCGACTCGGGTCAACCTCGTACCGCAACTAGATGCGATCAGTAATGGCCTACCCAACTCGACATGTACTCGACGTAGTACTTCATGAGCCTGGCCTCACGCCATGTATCTAGCGGCAAAGGTGAATGGCGTGGCGAGTTGGACCAACCGAGCTTACACCCTGACGGGATTTTTGACAGCCTACGCTGCTCCAGGTCTTTGCAATTGTGAAGCGTGTCGGCATCAAAGCCCAGTGTCACTGGGAGCGGCGCTTGCGGCTCTCCGAGGCGCATGGGAAGTCTTGTAAGTGCATGTGGATACCCTGGCACCTTTCCCTCCAGCTGCGATGGTTTCTTTTCTCTGTCATCGTAGAGGGTCTGAACATCCTTCGTCTCATCTACAAAGCAGACTGCGAAAATGAGTTCTCCTGGCAAGTGACAAGGCAGGGGATGGTCATGGTTACCTTGGCGGGGGTAATTGACCCATCTCCGGCTTTCATATCCCTTTGATCTTCAACAAGAAAATTAACATCAATGTGAGGGTGTTTTGATCTACCAGGAGCTTCAGGGCCTAGGACCCGACTTACCGATCCACATAATGCATGTGTTTAAAACGCACGTTCAATCCTCGCACACACGTCTCGCCTGAGTCTGTGCAACGAACACAAGCCGCCGATGCATCCGTATCAGACACCCCGAGTCTCCACTGGCACTTGATATGTTTTCTCCGACAGCCCTGGATTTGCCTCGGTTAGTGATGAGTTTTGCACGCGTCGAATGTTGCTGACTTGTAGATGCGCGATATGTACGGCGGCCTTGTCATCTGCTGCTGACAAGGGCCTGCATGATGCATCTGTGCAGGGCCGTCCGCTGCTGCGTCTTCTTGGTGCCGCTTTCGCGACACAGGGGGCTCACCGAACAAGGGATACCCGTGCCAGGGTCAATGCCCTCGGCCATCTTTGTCACAGATGGTCTCTGCAGCGCTTCCTCTGCCGTGACTGCCTGTTATCGAGCCATGTGGATTTCGGCGGATCGCTTGCGGGTTCCGGGTGAAGGAATGGTCAAGATGTATTGCTGCCAGACTGGGAGGAACCATGCCCAGACTTGCCCTTCTTGAAGTCGGCCCCGTCTCAAGCAATGTGATGGACTTCAACGCAAGGCCCTGACTCGGGCCAACTTCCCGTCTCTGGACAGGGCACGGTTTGGGGGGGAAATCGCCGCCACTAACTCGATGGAGTAATCGTGGAGTTGGTCTGCCCGCGCTGGTCTGGGGTGAGAACGGCCTGACGCGGCAGGCTAACGCGGAAAGGAAATGCGCGGCGCCGTCGCAATGAACGGAGCCACGTTGGAGACGGGACGACCTATGTCATGATCCCTCATCATGGAAAGCCTCGCCGTTGCGGCAGCCGATGCTTGGCATTGCTGATGCGGCTGTGTTTTGCGATGGTTCTGGTGGTCGCTTATTGAATGGCCCTTGCATCCATGCCGGTTTCCAGAAGTCGGTATGCTCAATTGCCGAACTTACAGACACGAGAGCAATGATTCCGACCGCGAGCCGGGTCCCGACAATAACTTAGCAAAGCCAACGTATAGACAAAGGATGAAATGGTGTTGGAGACTCAGCTTAAATGCCCAGTGTTTGCTTACCATGTCTACTATTGCGGCTGGGCTTCGTGTCGAGCCGCCCAAGCCAAACCCCCGGGCTTCGGTGCCGGGAGGTGAATTAGGTTTGTTGAAGAAATCTTGCCGCCCAAGCCATTGCCGTCAGCCCCCTGCAGGTGCCGAGCAAACCCCTGCTGGACAAACCCCTCACACCCGTTTCCCCAAGGTCTCCCCCGCACGCGCTCCCCAGACCACCCCGTAACCCCCTCGTAACTTTTCGTCATGCCGGTGTCTCACCTCTCCAGGGTCTCCAGTCAACAGCCGCCCTGTAGAAGGCGGATTCCGTTCTCGCCCGTTGGCCGGGGCGTTTGCCCCATGGGGATCTAGGACCACATGTAGATCTTGCTGGAAGAGTGCCGGGGGCGCAATTACCTCGCCCGGGATTGGTCTGGTGGCTGTCCGTCTTTCAACAGACCTTGGCGAATGTGTCCGTCCGTTGTAACATCATAAAAGGATGAAAACGTCCCACCTGGTTCGTCCCACAGACCTCAGGTGGTTCCTACCACACTGCTTCTCCTGTGCCACCTCAGTGCCCATCTATATCCACGGGAACGATATTCGCACTGAGCGACCGGCCACCATTTCTCCAGCCCTGTCGTCTACCTGCCACCATGGACAAAGTGCAGTCTGAACTAGCAGGCACGGAGCACCAAGAGATTGACAGCCCCGCGGACCTCGACACTGAGCCGTATGGGCCACCAGGTATGCCTTCCGAGCCATGTTCGCCGTTGACGGTGAATAATCACTCACTTCAGCCAGGTTTCCGCGGCATCGCCGCATCTCGCTATGTCGCCTTGTGTGCCTCCTTCAGTGCCATTGGTGGCCTCCTTTTCGGCTACGAGTGCGTCTCCAGCTCTCTTTTATCTCGATGGGTCGGGCTGACTCTGTTGCAGTCAGGGCGTCATTTCCGTCATCCTCGTGATGCCCGAGTTTCTCGGCCGATTCGAGCAAGTTTCCGACACAGCATCTGGCGCTGGATTTTACAAGGGTCTTATGACTGCGATGATTACCCTTGGCGCTTTCATCGGTACACCATCACAGCCCAGCCTAGCCGGTAAACCTTGTATCGCTAACTGCTGTGGTAAAAGGTGCTCTGAATCAGGGTTGGGTAGCCGACGCTTACTCTCGAAAGTATTCGATTATGATTGCCGTCGTCATATTTACGATCGGATCAGCACTACAGACTGCAGCAGTTGACTATGCTATGCTTGTCATTGCTCGGCTAATAGGTGGAATCGGCATCGGCATGTGCGTGGTCTAGCCTCCAATCCTATTCTATGCTCTCGCCAGGGTACTCTCATACTGACAATAGTCGATGACGCCAGGCTGAGCATGGTAGTGCCTCTATACATCTCCGAGATCTCGCCTCCGGAAATCCGCGGCACTCTTCTCGTACTGGAAGAGCTGAGCATCGTCTTCGGCATTGTCGTCTCCTTCTGGATCACGTACGGAACTCAGTACATAAACTCTGACTGGTCCTGGCAACTACCTTTCCTCCTTCAGATGGTCCCGGGCCTGTTTCTTGGATTTGGTGCAATCTTCCTCCCCTTTTCGCCTCGCTGGCTCGCCTCCAAAGGCCGCGAACAGGATGCGCTCCACAACCTGGCTAGACTCAGGTGCCTGCCGCCATCAGACTCAAAGGTTCAACGGGAATGGCTAGAGATCATCACGGAATCCAAATTTCAACAGGGGATCTTGGCAGAGCGTCATCCGACGCTTGTCAATGGCGGCACCGTGGAAAAGTTGAAGCTCGAGGTGGTGGCGTGGGGCGACTGCTTCAAGAAAGGCTGCTGGCGTCGAACCCATGTTGGTGCGGGCCTCATGTTCTTCCAGCAGGTACGAGAAATGCCGCTCAACATGAAGGTTCCAAGCAAAGCTGACATTAAATTTGCAGTTTGTCGGTATCAATGCCCTCATTTACTACAGCCCGACTCTCTTTGGGTAAGTTGCAAGAGGTCCTACCATTGTTGGTTTGGCTGACGCGTTTACGCAGCACCATGGGCCTTGATCACAACATGCAGCTTATCATGTCAGGCGTACTGAACGTGACACAGCTCATCGGTGTATTGACTAGCCTTTGGACACTGGACAGCTTTGGCCGGCGCAAAATATTGATGTATGGAAGCGTTGGCATGTTTATCTCCCACTTTATCATCGCTATCTTGGTTGGCCTCTACTCGCACAACTGGCCTGCCAATACAGACAAGGGGTGGACGAGCGTTGCGTTCCTGCTGTTCTACATGCTTGCCTTTGGTGCAAGCTGGGGACCCGTCCCCTGGGCCATGCCATCTGAAATCTTCCCTTCGTCACTGCGGGCCAAGGGTGTCTCGATCTCTACATGTTCCAGTAAGTGGCGTCTATCGGAGACAATGTGGGTTCCCCTGCATGCTGACATTAACCGTCTTCAGACTGGATCAACAACTTCATTGTTGTAAGTTCGACTTCATGTCGCAGTAATGCGTGAGTGTACTAGGACGGCACTGACTATGCTTTAGGGCTTAATCACCCCGCCTTTGGTTCAGAACACCGGGTTCGGTGCCTACGTCTTCTTCGCGGTCTTTTGCTTCCTGTCGTTTGCATGGACATTCTACTTCGTGCCCGAGACAAATGGAAAGAGCTTGGAGGAGATGGACGAGGTGTTCAAGGATCACAGCAGCGTTGAGGAGTTGGAGAAGAAGAAGAGGCTTCTGGCTGAGACTGTGCGCGAGCGGGCTGCTCAAAACACATTTGCATGAACTTGTATTTGTATTTACACATAGGATGCAAAGACTCTAGAGGATTGCGTGTAGTGAAAGGTAGGTGAGAGTATATAAGCACCTCACGTAACACTCGCCTGAAGGAGAGGCACCGTGTCCTGTATGTGTGGCCACCAGACCTCACATGAGGCAGACGGTGTGCTTTCGATCGAGTTTACCATGTGCTGTGCTTGCATGCCGTTCCAACGTCGACGACGCTCAATATTCAAGGGCCATTTGTGAGTATACTTCATCCCAAGACATCGAGTCTACATTTACACAGCACGACTTCGAGGGACGAATAGGCTCAAGAGCAAGTGTTTCAATTTGTGTATGCTCTTGCCTTATTGAGCTCAGGCGAAACTTCTTAAAAGAGAGGCATATAGTTGGGAGTCTCCAGCCATTTCTCAGACCTCAGGATCGCGCCCTTGTTATCCGACGCGAAGATGTTTTCTGCCGAGCCCATTCTAAGCCTTGACGGCCGGGGGCAGACGGCGGAAGCCACCACAGCAGGCGACATCCTTCTGCAGCTCGACCATGCGCTTCTGGTCGCCAGTGGGGTCGGCCGAGTCAGCGTCGAGCGTCCAGCCGAGGAACTCGTTGGTGTAGTTGGGCACAAAGTCCGGGCTGAGGACCTGCAGGCGCTGGCCATACTTGGTGACCTTGTCCCAGTCGCGCTTGACGTTCTTGAGGTCCTGCGAGAAGTAGGCGTAGCTGCGCTCAAAGATCTTCCAGTTGAGCTGGGTGCCCATGACGGGCTTGAAGTCGACGTACTCCTTCCACGCGGTGTGCGGGTCGGCGAGCACAAAGTCGGTCGCCTTCTTGACGGCTCGCATGAAGGCGCGGACCTTCTCCGGGTTCTGGGCGATGAAGCTCTCGTTGCCGATGTACAGGATCGAGCAGAAGCAGCAGCAGCCGAGCTCAGCGAGCTCGTCAATGCGCAGCATCTGCACGTCCGACTTGGGGCGGCCCTGGCTGTCCAGCCACTCCTCGAGCTCGACCATCTGGACGTTCTCCAGGCCGATACCAGCGTCAATCTCGCCATTGATGATGGCCTTGGAGACGTTCATGCCGCAGCGGACAGCGGTGTAGTCGGCGGGAGTAAGGCCGTAGTGCGAGGTGAGCTCGTCGATCTGGATTTTGCCAAACTCGCCCACATAGCCGATGCGCTTGCCCTTGAGGGAGCGGAAGTCGGTGGTAATGCCCGAGTCCTTCAGGTAGACGACGCCGGTGAATGGCTCGTCAAGCAGGCTGCCAATGGACAGCACGGGGAAGTTGCGAGCTTTGGCCTGATTCCGTGTTAGACCCCAAGTAGAATGGGCTTATTCTGAAGCGACTTGACTTACAGCCAGAGTGTGAATCATGGCCTTGAAACCAAGGTCGACTTTGCCGGTGCCGATGATCTCCGTGACATCCTTGGCCGGTAAGCAGGGGTCTTTTGGTGAAGCCAAGCAGCAGCTCTTACGCTAGGGTCGTTGGGCTCGAGAAGAGCAACCTTGATGCCCTCTTCCTTGAAGAAACCTTTGGCCTGAGCCAGGTAGAGCGGTGCGTGGTAAGGCGTAGCGTGCCTGCATGTGCTCACGTCAGCCGCTCCAATCCTGGAACGGATCCTCGCGAACAACAAATCATCCAGTGCCTACCAGTTGGTGAGGAACGTGATCTTATCGGTAGACATTTTTGCGGATCACGAGCAGAGCTGCAGGAGTCAGTTGGCCCTTCTTACTTGAGGGGCTATGGGGGGTTCCAAGAAGCAAATCCTTTCGCTGGTATTATCCAGATCAAGTTCACCGGTATATCTCAGACCAACAGCTCCGAAGCGCCGTGCCCGCGTGCCACCTCTGCCTTCTCTGGAGAGGCTCGGTGACGGCGCAGACACGACGTACGGAACTGCCGGACACCCGGATGCTGTCTTGCTTTACTTTACCTCGATCTGTAGATAGTCCCATCGCGAGAGGTGACATGGCTCCCCAGACTCTAGTCGCGTACCAAGTCGTACGGCCTCGGTTTATTGGATCGTTCTTTGGATGCTGCAACAGCTGTTCTTTTTCGTCTGAGGTGCGTGTTTTGTTGAAGGTTGAGTGAATTACCCCTCACGTTTGCGGGACAGTGGAGTTTTATAGCTTCGCCGGCTTTGGTGGGAACGTTCGATAAAACTTGCCGTCAATTACCGAAGCCGGCTTCTCCACTGATCGCTGCGGTCATTCTGATAGGACTGATTATCTGTAAAGGATGCGAGCATGGCATGCATGACACCACAACCTGACGAACCACGGCTGTTCGGGGACCAATCGGCCAAGCACACGACGGCACAGAGGCGGGGCATGAGGAGTGGGCGCCAGGGATGCCGGAGGGCGGTGCTCCGCGAGAAATTCGCAACTCTTCAAACAGAGTTCGCATTGAAGACGTGAAAGCAGGCTATTGTCTACTTATGTGCCTTTTGCAAGCTACCGTGCAGGAAGCGCGAGAGGGTAGTTGGAGTCATCTTCCAAGAGCGCACTCGCCAGTCATTGTTCATCCTCCAGTCACGACTGACTACGAGGAAGCTTTCAGGGCTTGAGTTGATGAAGACATCATATCCAGAACGGCATTGCTGGGATTCACATGCTAGCTCTTGAACTCACGGTAAGCCTAAGTTGGGGGCAACGTGATTGGTGCGTAGGCCTTTAAGAGACGGTTGCTACTGAACTGGTGGTCATGAGACTACAAGTACATGCATGATACCCAGGCTTGGGTCCCTCGCCGCCGGCGCTTTCCGGGCATGTCGAATGGAAGACGCCGTAATGGCTCTTGCTTGGCAATGGCTCGTGCTTTTGATGTTTGCGGGCGGCAGAATAGTGCCAGTGTGGACATCTGTTGTCTGGTTGAAGCCTTGGGCCAGAAGTTATCACGGGATGCTTGTGTGAGTCGCGCGACCAGACATCTGATCCTCAACATCGATCAATTCGCCTCTTTGGTGCGAGCATTTACGTTTGTAGACTTGCCCTCGTAATTTTCGTCCTGTTCGTTTGATCACCCTCTACGAACGCCATCGGTGCACAGGGGTTGCACTTAACGACGTGGAGCTACACGCATGTAGCCAACGCCGAGATCTCATGTCCAGGACACTGTTCACGCAGCAAAAGACAAAACAAAGATAATAGAGACTTGTACTACATGGTCTGAGTGGAGGGCGTGCACATCCAATGGTATTTGGTTCTTATGGGCCGTTGCAATACCTGAGCGAACTTGCCTACCCTAGGCACCTGCGTCGGTAACAGGTCAAGCTGCAAGGGGCTTTCATAGCCTGTAACGAAAACCTTTATTTTACCGAGAACGCAAAGAAGTCCTATATCGTTGCTTGGAGACTCAATATTTGATGGAAGGAACGGCAGTCCTTTGCCTTGTATGACGCCTGGCAATTTCACCGGTAACTGATCCGCTTTCCAAAAGATTTGAAGGGAGTTTGGCGGTTGCATCAAGTGCCCTGGCCAACAACCCAGTCAACGAGGAAACCACGTCACTAATGGACTGGTAGGTCGGCTTGGCCCGTTGGAGTCTAGTAGAGTGAGGTAATGTAACTAAAGATAGAAGTGGCGGACGCAGTACCCCGCATATGATGCTTTTGATATGTCGGGCACAGAGCTGATCGATAGTACATACCGCAGGAAAACTACTGCCACTGGTGCCAGCTGGCGGCACCTGGCCGTGAGGCACGGCGGATCTCTCATTTCCTTGCCGCCAATCGTTATGGGAGCTGTCGCGCTAAGTTCTCTTGCGTGCGAAGTTCATGCACATGTGGTCAGTGCTGCAAGAAGCTCGCGATTCAGGAGTGGTCGGTGTCAATCATATACGAAGGATGGCTTGGATATTCCCTTCCTGTTCGTAGGTATGCACCTCATGACCCTAACAATAACCGACAAACCAAGCAATGTTTTGGATGGAATGATGGCGGAGCCGGCAGCAAGCCTCTTCCCATAGGACTCGTACGCTGCCAGCAATACATGAGCTCTAGGCCCAACATGCCGCCAGCGGCGGTTTGCACGGTGCTCCGAGATTCTGGGAACCTGTGTGGTAGCCCTCTTTGGGCACTGCTAGGGGCTTGGTGTCGGCTCTGCTCTCCCTCGACGAACGATGCCAGTCGTGGGGGCGCCTCCACGCAGGGACAGCACATCGAATGAACTCTCGCGTCTTGTGGCCGTGCGCCACTGAGCGTTTCGCGGGGTCAGGGACCACGATGCACACGGCAGCGCAAGCCTGGATGCCGCGATGCGGTTAGTCGGCTCCGATGTCTGAAGGGCGACTGAGACGCCGCGCCGACCTGAGACGAACATCAGGGGAAGCCGCCTCGAGGGCATCCTCCGCTTCATCGGCGGCTCCGCGACCACCCACCTCAGCGGAAACGCCATGCACGTCGTCGCTTTAAACCCGCGTGGGGAGGGGAAAAAAAAAGGGAAAGTCGGAGTGGGCGATTGTCGGCGCCAGAAGATGCGACGACCGATCTCGACGGCGCTTGATGACGACGCCTGTCGGGAATGTGGGAGCCCGGACGAGGAGACGGAGCCCCTCTATGAGCGCAGAAAAGGACGCGCAACACCCGCCCACACCGGAAGCGCCCCCGGACTAAAATGGAGGGGCCTAGCCCATCACCGACAGGCGATAACGGCAACGAAGGGTCTTGGCGATGTGCCAAGATGCCAAGGGGGGGCTGCTTGTTGTTGCTGCTGCTTTGCTCCGGCAAAAAAAGCTCCTTGGTCGCACGACATGTTGCCAAATCAGGGCCTCGTCGTTCCGTGTGGCTCGTCCAACAACGGACTGACGTGGTGCCTGTGGCTGTCCCCAGTACGCAGGTAGGCGGAGTTTAGAACATGGTTGACGCCCGTTTTCTTTTTACGGCTCTCAACGTGGGTTGGTTGCGCCATGTCTCTGAGCAGCCGATGAGGCGGCGGCGTCACTGGTCACCGGCAGGGAGGACGGCGCCGGCTCGGCATCTGGGGAACGATGCCTGGGGCCCGGGAGGCGGAGGGCAGGTGAGGCTTTTGGCGAGGCTAGGTAGGTGGTTGGCTCGCGTACGGCCGCGCTCCTAGCTGCGTCGATTGCGAAACGCGTGTGGTGCGTGGTGCGCGAGAGGCGCCGGATGGACGCACCGACAACCAGGGGCGGGCGACCGGCTGCTGCTCGAACGGCGATTCGATCGCGGACGAGGCAGTATCACGGTTCGGACCTGTCGTGGCTGTAACACGCAATAACATCTCGCCAACGAACTACAATGTGCCCAATCCGCTTCGTCCCTCCTGTCCGCGACTGAATGGATGACGCTCATCGTGAAAGCGTCATTTACAAATCCCCCGCAAGGGATCAAAATTGACTTACGTAGTTGATCAATTTAGCAAAATCAGTCCAACCCCAGTCACCCGGCCCCGATCGGCGGGTTCACGTGCAAAATGAGCACGCGAGACTTTGTCTCGAACGAACTCGCCAACCCAACGGGCGGCAACCAAGATCAGCTCACCCTTCTCATCAGTTCCGAGTCCGTGATGCTCGCGTCTTGGCGTCGGTGCCGGCTCATACATGCATGCGCATCATGCACGAACGCTCCATGCTACAAGGCCTTGAGAGAAAGCCCAGCGCCAGGGTCCAGCGCCGCGATTGATGCTCATCACTTTCTTGGCTTCGGTGCCGACCAACCGAGTGGCGCGCCGCCGACGCAGCACAGTCCGCGTGGTCGTCGTCAGCGCCCGCCCCGTCGTGGCTTGTTTACGGGCTGGGGCAGCAAAACGGCCGGCACTGGGGGGTACCCGTCGGGGCGGGAAGAGCTGTCGTCGTCAGCTTCAGCCGAGAGAGACGGCCGAGGGAGACGCTACGATGTACTTGCAGTACTTTGCAGTGCTGTGCTGTACCAACAGCTTGACTGGGGGAGACGGCTGCAGGCGACGAGAGCCCACCGGCGCGAAGCACGCATGAGGCGGGGACGCAGCAGGTAAACAGCTTACTCAAGGGAGCAAGCATCCAGCCACGAAGATGCCTCGCGAGCAAACACCTCGTCCAATCTAACGTAAGGCGGACCAATTGTTTGGGTGTGCTCGGGATCCGTCAACTGCCGACCAAGCGGCACCTACACGTCCGTAGAAGCTAATCAACGGTTCATGAAATGAGGGACGCGAGGGCAAAGATAGCAGGTGAGCTTCCCATCTTGGGGGGGGGGGGGAGGCTTGATGAATGCGCTCAGGCACATGGCGCAGGTCTAAAGGTGGGAAGCACAGCACAGCGCACAGCGCCTGCGCACCAACCGCGACAGCACGTTGTGCCAACCACTGGCGGGCGCGCTTCAGCCAATGGTGTTGCTGAGAGCCGGGCGTGGGCCGACCGAGGGCATCTGGCCGGGTGTCTTGGGGTGACCTGGGCGGCATGTACATTTTGCCCTGGGGGCGCTTGCAGCGTCTGCCGTGCGCGAAATCGCGGCCTGCAACACGCAATCTGCTCAGCGCCTCTTCCGCTAGTGCCCTCCAGCTTGGGGTGCGCCGAGTTCCAGCCCCCCAGCGCTGGCCAGGCGACCCAGGCGACCCTCCGCTCCACTGTGGCACGCTGCGGCTGCCCCGTAATGCAAGGGCACGCCGGCGCACGACTGGCACCTCCAGCACGCCGTCGGCGCCGCGCCCGCCTAAGGGAGGTACATCCCCGGTCAGTACCGTCCCGACATGCCCTCGAAGGGACCCGTAGCTGGAATCATCGTGGCCCCCCTCCATCCCACCCCGGGACTCAACCCATCGAAACTTTTCCCACCTCCCAGCTGCAATGCGCGCCTCGAGGTCCCGACGCAAAGCAAATTCATGAGTGCCACCCACACACTCTCCCGCCGCCAAGCCCGGCGGGGGCCCCCCATCAGTTCCCAATCAGGCCCCCTGGACAGCCCACGGGTCCCAGCCGGGCCCGCTGGCTTGATCGAGCCAACCTTTCCCACTCTCCCTGCCACGGCATGTTCCCTTTGCACCTGATGCTTGCGACCGGGCTCCGTCTGCTTGCACCGCGGCCCTGGCAAAATCATGTGTGTACATTACAGTTATAGTGGTACGGACGAGTCACGGCCGTACTGCGAGTACGTACTCCGTCTAGGTACTTGCCGCAGGACGCTGCTGGGAGCAGGCGGAGCCAGACCCTGGTGGCCCCATCGACGCTTCGGCTCTCACTGCGCTCGCTTCACTTATCTATGAGCCTCTGCCCTCCTCCCTCCCCCTTCGTCGTCGTCTCGTCGTCTCGTCGTCTGCGTGTGTGGTCCGTCACCTGGTTGAAACCTCGCGCCGGTGTGCTGTGTCGCCAAGCTCCTCGTTCAAGGTTTGGTCCGCCTCCTGCCAGCGCCGCCTTGACCGCTTCCCGCAACTTTCGAAACACAAAACCCGCGCCACGGCCTGACTACTTGGTCACCTCAACAACAGGCGAATTCTCACTCACCTATAACATCCCTCTCCGCCTCTTTCGGAAACAGAGCACCACTCTTCCCGGAACCGAGCCTCACTCCAGAGAGAGACATCCCTCCTCCGCCCGCTCACACTTACACCCGACCCCTCGATCTGAGCGCCTTCTCACGGCGCCGCCACGGCCAACATGCGCGCTTCCATCGCGTCCCTTGGCCTCCTGGGCCTCTCTGGCGTCACTGCTTCTCCCCACGGCGGCTCTGAGGCTCGCAGGGACCTCTCCGAGGCCTTCTTCGAGGCTTCCACTTGGTACGACTGGGGATGGTACGGAGCTCGCCCACAGCAACGATACCGCTCATTTAAAAGCGCCTCGCCCAAGCCCAATCTTGTGCTCAGAGACGACCGCTGTGACGATGGGCTCATCTTTCTCGAGCCGCGGGAGCGGCAACCCGACGACCCTGGACTCGTCATCCTTGATGGCGAGGGAAACCTGGTCTGGACAGCAACGCAGTGGACTGAGACAAACAACGTCAAGGTGCAAACTTTCAATGGTAGCAGGTACATGACGTTTTGGACCCGCGGTAAAGACGCCTCTGATGATGGCTACTATGTCATGGTGAGTCCTACTCTCTGCCTCTGTTGCTCATCGTCCAGTGTGATGATGGCGACAACCTACTCAACTTATTTTGGCGTACGGCACGCACTTACTGACGCCGCCTCGTAATTCCAGCTGGATGAGTCCTACGAGGTGTTCAAGGAAATTCGCCCGACGGGAAGCCTCCACGGCGACGTCCAGGACCTCGTCATAACCAGCGAGGGCACCGCCATTCTGACCGTCTATCACGAGACGCAAGCGCCAACGTCCAAGCCGGACCCCTCACCGCGGCGCATCTACGACAGCATCTTCCAGGAAATTGACCTCAACTCGGGCAAGCTGCTTTTCGAGTGGCATGCGTCCCATCACTTCTCTATTCAGGAGAGCCGTGCCCGATGCGGACGGCGACGTGGTGACCCCTTCGACTTCTTTCACATCAACGCCATCGATAAGGACTCCAAGTCGGGCGACTACCTCGTGTCCTCGCGCTTCATGGGCGCCATTGCGAGCGTCAGTGGCGTCGATGGCCACGTCCAGTGGCAGCTGGGCGGCGAGCACAACGACTTTGAGGATCTGTCTGATGGTCCCGCCGTCACGTTTTCGTGGGACCAGCGGGCGACCTGGGCGTCTTCGGACAAAGAGGACGCGAAGACGCTGGTTGTAGTCGACGACAGTGGCAGCAAGGCGATCGTGAAGCTGGACCTTACCAACATGACGGCCACGCTGGCATCCAGCACGACCCCGCTGCCGCAGAAGCCGTCCCATCACGGGCATCAGAACTCGGTCCAGATCCTCCCCAACGATAATGCCCTCGTCAGCTGGGCCCATACTCCTGGCTTTACCGAGTTCTCCAAGGACGGAGAGCCTCTGTGCGACACACACCTCGGCCCGGTCCGGCTCGCCGGATGGGGCTTCCCTTCGAGCCTGTACCGCGCCTCCAAGTTCGCCTGGACAGGGCAGCCTCGCACACAGCCCGCGGTGGCCATGCGCCCGGACAGGCTCAACGGCAAAGGCAGCGCCAGCCTGTACGTGAGCTGGAACGGCGCCACCGAGGTGGACGCGTACATCCTTCAGAGCGGCCCGGCACCCGACGGCGATGTCTTTGTCGACCACGTGATCGTGCCTCGCGATGGCTTCGAGACGAGGATCCCCGTGCCGGTGCACTCGGAGGAGTATCTGCGGGTGCTGGCGCTGGATCAAGAATGGCGCTTCATTGAGCAGTCGGACGCCGTGTCGAAGCGCTACGGAGGCGTGACGAAGCCACTCAAGGGCGACAAGCTCGAAACGCGGAAGGGGTGCAACATGTTGATATGGATTGTCGGCGGCTTGGCCATGGCCATGACCGCTGTGCACCGAGTCATTGTACTGCGGCGAAGAAGGGCCATCGTTGCGATGCCCGTCAAGGGCGACGTGCCATTCTACGACGTCAAGCCCAGACCTTCGGTTTGACTCTCGGACACGAAGCGGGCTTGATATGCACCGCACAGTGATTTTATCCGGTCACGCAGCAACCATGGCAGGGCACAGGGGGTGCTGAACACAGGGGCTGAACAGACCTCCCAGCGCCTACGGGGGCACCTCGCGCGCGGCTGCGGGCACCTGCGCCAGCAGCCCGCACCCCCAACCGTCGCAGCAACCATCGCTGTCGCCCAGCATCCCCCCAGCAACTGGGACAGGCACCGCTGAAGCCTTATATACCAAAACAATTCGTTCACCTTTCAACAGAGGCAGTGAGGTCGGGCAACCGGCCTTGCTGCCTCACCCGGAACGCCAGTTGGAACCCTCACCGGCTCCTCCCGCCTCGCTCCCTTCCACTCCTCAAGGCCACGAGTTCGAACCCCGAGCACGGAACCCGAGAAGAGCCGCGGCGAGGCCGCACCCCCGCGAGCGCGAGACGAACGAATGGACGAACCCCACCGAACGACATCCCCGGACTACTAACGAATAGTGGAGGGGAGTTGGCGGAGGAGGCAGAGGGCCAAGGCGTTCCATTTTTTTTGGTGTTTTTTCTTTTTCCTTTGTGTTTTTGGGATCTTGGCACTTCCATGTCATGTATGGGCTGCGCGACGCATTGGGCGGACATGCATTTTTGATTGATGACAGGAGGGGGCAATCCACGAGTCGGCGTTAATGTGCTTGGAGACTGGGACTGGGCGGATTGGTTGATATAGTGATACCCGACTTGAAGCGACGCTGCAGCAGCATTGCGACTAGCATAGGACGATACCAGGCGAATGTTCTTTTGACATATTTTTGAACGCGCGTCGCAAACATGATGTCCGTCCATGTCAGTGACCAGGCACCGCGACAGCGGACTGCAATATTTTTTTTTACTGCACTGCCGTCGTGCACACTGAATGTCAAGATAATTCTTATTGATGCCATGGCGTGACATTGAACTGAGGTCTTTCGCGGCCCCGTCAGCCCTGTCGCTCGGACGTTGCCGTCCGGGACGATCGGCGTGGAGACTGGAGACCCCCCCGGGCCCAGCGTCTCCAGTCAGTCCCCACCCGCATCGGAGTTGGGGCCAAGACCCGGCCAGTCCGGCATTCGCTTCGCACTTCTGTAGTCTATACAGCGGGCGTGCCGCCCGGGAGGAGCCTAATTTTTGCCATCCAGGCATTCGTCCAGCTCGAAAAGAGGGATAAAAAATAGAAAAAATGCCATCCGTCGTGATGGGACGTGTCAGGCCCGTTGACGAGGTTGCTGTGCAGGACAATTGGTGGCAGCTGAATGGACATGCCAGCGACTGGACAGGACTGGACAAGACTGGACACACACGCACACATGCACACGCTCGCTCGCACCACTCTGATGCCCGCGCAGCCCCATCGAGCCAATCCACGCCCGGTGCCTGGATCGAAGCGACGCAAGGGAAAACCGGCCCAGCTCTTCCCCAAACCCCCCTCCCCCAGCCTCGGCGCAGCACAGCTGGACCAGCTGCGAGTCCACGCAAGGCCTGGACCCTCCCAGTGCCCGCTGTCGCCCCAGCTGAGCTTGTGAGCCGAGAGCCCACACCTGGCCATTATGGATTCCGATCGAGCATCGAAAACCCCACCACAGCGCATCTGACGTCACCCAGTCGCCCCGGACTCCCGGAGCGTTTGGCGCGGTGCAGCCGTTGGATGCCGTCATTGGCACGTAGCACCACGGCCGTCGTCCGATTTCCCTGGAACGAGAGAGCTCGACGGGAGGGGGCAAGCTCCGTCGAGGGCAGGTGGAATAAAGTTTAAGAAGGGCTGCAGCTGGAACAAGCCGACGGTGCCCATGAAGGATTGCAATTGAGCTTCTGTCACAAGTTACAACGCCTTCATTTTCCCCTCTGCAACCCTACGTGCATTCTTCGGTGCACAGCTCTCGTTTGCAGGAACGCATTCCCTCTCCCATCTCTCCCTCCCTCCAATACCTACCCCGACGACAACACAACTCGTCGCCATGATCCCCGCACGGCAATTGAGCAGAACCGCCCTGCCGCGGGCCGCCCGCTCGTCCCGGCACCTCCCCCGCCGGCAGCTGCGCTCCCAGTCCACCACCTCGTCTAGCAGCTCCGGCGGCGGCTCCCACTTCGCGACGGGCATGGCTGGCGGCGTGGCCGGCGCTGGCCTCGCCTACGTCATCTACTCCTTCACGCCGGCCGGCCAGACGGCCAGCAAGCTCAACAAGGCGGCCGCCGAGGCCAACAAGAAGTACCAGGCGGCGGCGCAGAAGCTGCAGCAGGCGACGCCCGACGCCGACCAGGCCGTCGACTCCATCAAGCAGTTCGCCTACTCGTACGTGGCGTGGATCCCCGGCGGGCGGGGCTACGTCGACGCCGCCTTCAAGGACTGGGAGACGGTGCGGGAGAACCACAAGGAGGAGGCGGACAAGGCCGTCAACGACGCCTACAAGCAGTTCCAGGAGCTTTCCAAGGCCGGGCTGAGCCTCGAGACGGCGTCGCGCGCCTACGACGTGCTGGCCGAGCTGACGCGCAAGATCGCCGACCTGTCCGGCGACGCCCTGTCCGACATCCTCGACAACCATCCGCAGGTCAAGAAGAAGCTGGGCGGCACCGTGGACCAGCTCAAGGACATGAGCGGCAGCTACGGCCCGGAGGCCAAGAAGCAGGTCGACGAGACGTGGCGGCAGCTCAAGGACGTCTTCGCGGGCGGCTTCACGGCCGCCAACATCGACAAGGCGCGACAGCTAGCCGAGGACAAGGTGAAGCAGCTGCGGCAGCTGGGTGACGAGGCCTGGAAGAAGGGCCTGGAGGAGGCGAAGCCGTACCTGGACAAGAGCCCGCAGGTCAAGGAGCTGGTGGAGAAGAACGCCGACGCGCTGCGGCAGGGCAACGCGCGGGAGCTCTTCGACAAGGCGCGCGCCGCGGCGGAGGCAGCCACCGCTAAAGGCAGCAGCGATTCGCAGGCCAAATTTGACGAGCTGAAGAAGTACGTCGATGACGCCGTCGAAAAGGGCAAGAAGAAGGGCAAGGACGCGGCGCAGGACTGGGGGCTCGATGGGGGCTGGCTCGAGGTGATCCCCCAGGGGAGCGAGATCATCCCCAAGCTGCGCGAGCTGGGCCAGGTGGCCGACAAGCACATGGAGGAGGGCGAGAAGCTGCTGCGCGAGACGGTCGACGAGCTGAAGCAGGTGCTGGAGAAGAAGTCGAAGCGCGCCCAGGAGATTGTGCAGGAGGCGGAGAAGGAGACGAAGAGCGAGGCCAAGAGCGAGGGCAAGGGCGAGGCCAAGAAGGAGTCCAAGTAGTTGGCATACAAGTTAATACTTTCTAATCTAGAGGCGGGGCCTGGCAAAAATAAGCGCATTCATATGGGACAATCATGTGCATCACGCGCTGCCGTTGTTCGCCATTGAAATCACGTCGGTTGACGGATAGACGTCCACAGGTGGAAGCTGCCGTCGTGCTGGTTTCCCGCATGGGAGGCTCGCTGGGCAAGAGCGACCGCCATGATGCTGCCGCTTCGCCCAGTCGCTGAGGGGTGCTCTGGCGACGATACGTTCAGCAACAAACACGCTGCCTCCACTACATTCCATCCATACAGATAAAACAGTCAATATCTGCATCAGAACATCCCCGCCCTGTTCCAGACGACGAGATCGGTCCGACGAGCACCCCGACAAGTCGATAACCAGCCATGTCCACCGACGAGCGGACCGCAAACACACGATCCCCTTCGCCTTCGCAGGGGATCAGCCCCCCACCCAGAAAGTCGTCGCTCCGTATCGCCGGGCAATATTGCATCTTCCATTTCTACGACGTCGCAAAGGAGGCAGCGAATGCCGTGTCGTCTGAGACCCTGCTGCAGGAAAAACGACAACGCCAAAGTCTACTCCAGGGACAGGAAAAGGAAAATGGAAAAGGCGACGTGGAGAGCCAAACAAGTACACCAAATCGTGCAAGCACGCGCAGTTCCGATTCATCGTCCTCCGGTCACCAAGCGAGGCGAACAGCGCCAGCGTCGACGTTGTTTCAGCGCGACGACGGCGGCGACGACGGCGACGACGATGATCAACACAGTGAAGAAGACGAGGTTCAAGGCGTCAGCCTCGCTCGACACAACAATCTCCTTAATAACTTACCGCCGATGGGACAATTTGTTGTCGAGGTTGCCCGCCAAAAAGCGAAGCGGAGGCCCCGTCCAATGTGCGCCAGAGGGTGCGTCTTCGGCCCACGGCCCATTCCCTGCGCGCGGAGCGAGGACGATTCCTTTTGCGAGGGCGCCACCCAGCAGCCAGACACGGAAGACGGAAGGAAGTCAGCGTACCCGAAGACGATGGCGATACGGGAAGATGACTGGGAGTCCTCTGTTGAGCAGTTGGAGGCCTGCTCCACGACGCTTTCCGGCGTGCGTTTCCTTGTGGATTTGTGTGGGGAAGACGAGCTTGTTGTTGTCTTTGAGTGAGCAATGGCGTCTTTGACTTGGGCAGCGATTCACAGCGAAGCTTGGGGTGCTTGGTGTACTGGTCATCGCTCTAGACTAGAGGTTTTGGTGTTGAGTGATTCATCCGTGCACAGAGCAGGACTCTGCAAGAACGGCCAAAAGCGTTCCTTTATGGGCAGGTTTTTTTTCTCCCCAGTAATTCAAGCAGTAGAACGATACGCGACTGAACCAATGAATTATGTTTCTCCTGAATAATTGATATGTACGCAATGAATATGGTGAGCTGTTTCGCCCGTGGGAGGCTCATTGCATCTCGCCTTGAGCCCCAAGCGTCTGGGCTGACGAGAACCCGCAACTCGGAAGGCCATGTATCAGGACACGTTTGCGCGCGATTTGTTCGCATTATATTCCAGCACCGGTGAGAAGGCTTGGAAAACGAGAAATTCGGTGATCTGTCTGGTCTTATCGCTGCCTTTACCCCATCCTACTCCCAAGCCTGGAGGATTCGGACCATCGTGTAAACCGATTGGGCTGCCGATCGATAGAGAATTCTCTGCTCCCAGTTCCTGATGCAAAGTGCCAATCCCTATGGAAAGTCAACGCCCGACTTGTGTGTCTGATGTGCAGGATAACCATCATGACGAACGCTATACGAGATCAGTGCCATTACCCAGGCAAACTTGACTGTCGCTAACATTTTCCAAGACAGCATGAATGCGGCGAAGATTCGTAAGTGCCAGATCGCTGCGCTGCCACTTACCTCAGTGACGCATTCGAACTGTGTTGGCATTGGCGAATGTGACAACTATGTTTGCCCTTATCTCGGGGTCGCCTAGCGAGAAGCAGCTCTTCACTCCCAGTCTCGCCAACTGCTTTGGGCATCGTGACTGTTGCGCGTGGTAACGCAGTGTCAGTGCATACGATGCGTTACCTAATGATTATATAGACGGCCGCCTCTTACACGACAATATCTGCATCGACGAACGAGCCGTGTTTCATGTTTGACAGCTCAGTGAGGGCGAAACGCCCCGCGGATTATCCCGATTGCTGGGCAGCGCGATATAAAAGGCCCCTCGGGTGTATCGCCGGCACTCACTCGACACGTCTTGTTGGCTTCCAAAGCTAAACAGTGCCCCATGGTCACAATGACTCCTTCGATCAGCCGGCTAGTCATAGCCCTGTGTATCTTCGGCGGCATCGCCGCGGCCGAGCCTGTCGCCGATTTCTCTGCCATCGAATCTCACGAGAGCGCGCTCGGATTGCATCAAGCATACAGCCGCGCACCTCAGCGCCCCGACAGCTACGTCTGGGTGGTCAAGTGCGAGGAACGGATCCCGCCGAAGGAATGCCTGCCCCCCGCGTCGTCTTGCTACGGAGGGGCGTACGCGAGCAACAACTGGGCGCTGTGCCGCGACCAGTACCGCTGCTACTGCGTCAAGCGCCGGGTGGAAGAGCACTCGGCGAACAACAAACACTCGGGTGTCCTTGACGGGCCCCCACGGGGATCTACTACGGAGAATGGCCTTCGCACCCGGGACCTCGACAAGCGGACTCCAGTGCCGGATAAAAAGTCGGACGTCAAGACGTGGATGATTACCTGCAGCAAGGTTGGGACGCCGGGGGAGTGCTACAAAAACCCGGCCAGGAAGTGTCTGGACTCGATCTACCTGCCCACGAATCCGGTCTGCAAAGAGCACGGCTGCAAATGCATTACAGACAAGACGGCAGACATCGGGCCCGCTCAGGGATCCATCATCAAAGTCGAAGGCCGCGCCGCCATGCCTCCGCAGCGGGTGCCCGACGAGCGGCGCGCGGCGGTCTGGAAACCCAAGTGCACTCGCAACTATCCAAAAGGTATGCTTTGCGAACAGCATCCCCATTCCAAGTGCGAGGGCGGGAAGTACTGGCCGTGGAACCAGGCCTGCATCCAGGAGTACGACTGCGGGTGCGTCAAGCAGACGGTCCTCTTGAACCGGACGGCTCCGATGTTGGAGATTGAGGCCCGCAGCCCCTTGCCTCCCCAGCCGCCGTCCGATGATCAAGACATGGCGTCTGGGCATACAGGCGAGCCAGTCTGGAAGCCGCTCTGCACGGTCAAGCCCCCTGCGAGCCTGCGATGCGAGTACCCGCGCTCCCGGTGCTTGGGGGAGACGTACCTCGCGACGAGCCCGGACTGCAAGCTGGACTACGATTGCCGGTGCGTCCAGCAGCAGCAGCAGCAGCCGGCACTCACGAGCCGGGCCGACTCGACGCAGGAACTCGAGCCCCGAGACCCCATGCCACCCCAGCGGCAGCCGGACACCCTCACCACGGTTCGATACTATGTGATCCAATGCAACACCGCGAAAGCGCCATCGTCCTGCCTGGACCCGTTCTCCGAATGTACCAGCTCTGGCGATTATCGCCCGTCTGTCGGCAACGGCCGCTTATGCGCCATAGCGAACGGATGCGGATGCAGCCTGCGCACGCGGAACTTGAGGCGGCGCGCCGGCGTGGAGATCAGATCCCCCGGCAATCCGACCCGCAAGCGGCCCAACACGATCTCGGCGTGGACGGTCAACTGCCCGGTCAAGGGCGCGCCGGGCCCCTGCTTGAGCGGCGACGCGTTATGCCGCCCCAGTGGCGAGTATGTTCCCGGGAATAGCCCGTCGATGATGTGCCAGGACGTGTACAAGTGCAGCTGCGTGAAGGAGACGCGGGTCTTGCGCCGAGCGAGGACGGCGAGGGGTAAGTCATGTCATCTTGGAATCGTCGCTGTGAGTGAGGTGACTAACGAGTGTGCAGACTGAGTCTTTCGTTTTGACAGAAGGGGAGGCTTGTGAGAAGCGAGAAGACGAGGGGGGACCGTCACGTTGTGGGTTTGTGGTCGGGCTCTGTTGGAGTCGTGGGCTTGCACACGCGAGTACGAGACTCGGCTGCCAATTTCAGTGCACCCGTGGAGTAGGCCCGGGCGATTCTGTTCCAACGCGACGCCCGCGTATTTGTGGAAAAGGAATGATGAGCTGCTTCCTTGGCAAAACGCATTGTTCACCGCCTCTGTGGTGTCGTCTGTAGATGCGAGGCCCGCATGAGTCGGCGAGAGGCGGTTGTACTTGATCCATTGTTGGCCAGCCGCCGCGCAACTGGCCGGCCGCCCCCCAAATCAATCACCTGTGGCCGCGATGAAGCGCCCCCGACTCCACTGTATGCAGCCGCCGAGGTGGGCCCGCAGTCACGCCGCCTTGCTCTGGGGCCCCTGAGGCGCCGGGAGCGACCGCTGGCCACGAATCAGGCACGGCGGAGCATCACGGGGGCGACCCATTGACCACCCACGGAAGCGCAGGCTGCGCTGCGAGCGGCATCAGTTTTGGCGGCAGATATCACGCAAACTCCACCGCTTCATGCAGGCAGAGAGACGCCCATGCTGCTCAGTGCCCACCGCCAGACCGCAGAAAGCGCGCATCTCCCGCCATCTATAAAGTCCCATGCGCTTGCCTACCTGAGGACCCTTTCCCTTTCCCCTTCTTTCTTCTTCAAGTAGAGATTTTATCTCGAAACGAAAACGCTTTTTTCAACACTCACCATAAAACGCACTTTAGGTTTCGTACCTACAACACCAAAGAAACATATCAGAATGGCTGGCGACTGTGGATGCTCAGGCTCTGCCTCCTGCAACTGCGGCTCAAGCTGTACGTTTTCTCCCCCACCCCGGCCTCGACACCCAATGTAAGACTGGTGCTGACGTTGCCGTGTACACAGGCTCCTGCTCATCATGCGGCAAGTCATGATGGCACGCCCTCTTTGCTTTGTTCACACCTCCAGGCTCCTCTCCGGTATGAGCACATAACAGTATTGTAGTGCTTGGCCGAGTGGAGCCGCCGTCGCCGCTCTGGATCACGAACCAGGCGGTAGGCATGAAGAATATAACACGACACAAAAAAAGAAATCACGACATGAAAAAAAAAGAGACAAAAAAGAGATACCCAATACCCATTACGACTATACAGTTCGACCCGGCGTTTGACCGTATTCAATTATTTTTCCTTTCTTGTCCGGCCCCCCATGGTCGTCTATGGATTGTGGGGGTGTCGGCTTGCTGGACGCAGCGAGGGGCGCAACGGCCTATGAAGTGAAATGGAGCTACGAAAAAAGGGCTTGGATCATGATCACGACCGCGCGGTTGTCTGGTGTTGCTTAACTACTAGTCAATCCTTGAATACATTTCTTTTGTGATTTACCGATGTGTTCCCTGGAGGTTCGCGTGAATGTACCTGTCGAGATGTGGCTGAATTATGGCGCGTGTAAGTTCCATTGTCGGACCGGACTCGAGCGTCAATGTGACGGCCCGCCGGGTCGGCCATCGGGCGGACTCTAGGCCAGCTGGCTCGGCACTTGCAGCCAGCCCGGGGGCAGCCAATCTGCAGTGGTGGAGGCACTGGTGAGATGCCTGGGCCAGACCGACGGCACAGGTCCTCCACTCTTCAGGGCCACTGCGGCCTGGCGGGAACGGGGCTGCAGGCGCAGGCAGGGCCGGAGCTTGCTCACTGCTACGGGCCCTGTCGGGGTTGGGGTCGCAGCCTATCGCATCCCGCATTCTTCATGTGACGACGCTCCAATTGCCCCCCCCAGTCAGCCAGTGCGGGGACACCCACGGATCCACGGCCAACGCTCGCCCATCCTCACGTGGGCGGGCTTTGCCCATTCCACTCACTGCAGCAGCAGCAGCCCGTCCCTCGGCTCATTGAGCCCCCAAAAGAGGTCGGCGGCGTCATGTCATGGGTTCCTCCGCGCCTCCGTGTGCAGCCTTATATCTCACCTTCTGCGCGGGTGTGCCCAGCCTCGCGCTTGCTCTCCTTTCCCTCGATGCCCGAGTGACCCGGATCGAGTCGTGAGTTTGTCGAGTCGAGCGAGCGACGTGGTGCGACGAACGAACCAACAGCGCCCAGACGACGATCGACGGCAGCGCGTGCGTGCGTGCGTGCGACGACGAGCAGAGTGCCCTGCTGCTGTGCGAGGAGGTGCCCTGCCTGCCTGCCTGTGCTCCAGCGCGTTTCTCCCCCAGGGCTCCAGGGCTGCTGCTTGCTTGCGACGCCAATGACGTTTGGACTCCTCGCCCGCCGCAACCACCACTCAGTGCCTGCAGCAGGCCAGCGCAGCGCGCCTTAATGGCTGCAATTGTGAGTCCCGTCCTGCTCTGTCTGGCACTCCTTCAATCCCCTCCTCCCTGATCTTCCCGTCCTGGCCACGTCACGAGCGCTCTCATCGCCACGCCTGACGATATCTTTTCTTTTCTCCCCTCCCGCTTCCCTCGTTCCGTCTAGCGTGCCGGTTCTCCAGGGGCGGAGCATGTGATGTCATGTCCTAGCCCCAGAGCTAGGTAGGCGGGCTTGCAACGTCGTCGTCCCCCCGAGAGCTGAGAGCCGCGACGCATCACGCTCCACGGCGCTTCGTCGCAGCGTCGCCCGCGGCTTGTGCCACCACCCTTCATATCTCTTTCCCGTATCACCTCGCCACCCATCGCGCGCCGTCCCTTGCTAACGCGCCCGCGCCGCAAGGACTCCCCGTGGCTATCTGCAGTCGGCGCGCCAATGTCTGCTCGCGACGACGCCTCGACAGGCACCGGGCCCTCCAACCTCGAATCCCAGAGCTCGACCGGCCTGCCCCCGACCTTTGCCGCCTTCTCCCCCGTCACCCTCTCCGCCAACACGCCCTCGCGATCCGCCCGCCGCTCGACCATCCTCGTCCATCAGAAGAGCCCGCTCCTGCTCGCCACGCCGCCGCAGGTCACCCGCGCCCTCGCCTACAGTCATCCCTTCTTGCTGCCGCTCAACAAGTTCGTCGGCTTGTTGACATGGAGTACCGGCGATCCCTGGCAGAGCTTCCTCCTGCTCTCTGCCTTCTGGGCAGTCTGCCTGTACGGTGACATCCTCGTCAAGCGCGCGGGGCCCATCGTTGTCGGCGTCGCCCTCATCGTCGGCATGTACGGCAGGAGATATAGTCCCCTCAGCACCAGCGGCTGGAACGAGCCGGCGCGCGAGCTCAAGGATGCGGGCAAGTCCCAGGGGGGCTCGTCTGGCAGCTCAGGCCAGCAAAAGAATGGCCAGTCTGGCGCGGGACAACGGTCCAAGCACACGAGGGCCCAGTCCGAGGTCACCAACACGAAACATCAAAAGACACTCGACGAAATCGTGGAGACCCTCAAGGAGTTTACCAGCCGTTGCAACGTTCTCATGGAGCCGCTGATCGAGATGACGGACTTTTTGAGCACCCAGCGCACGCCCACCAGCGCCACCACCAAACCTGCGCTGACGGCCATGTTCCTTCGACTTCTCATCGTCACACCCTTTTGGCTTGTGTTGACAATGCCTCCTCTGAGAGTCATCACCACAAGGCGCGTGGTCCTGGTTGCCGGAACGCTGGCCCTGACATGGCACGCGCGGGTGATGCGGGTGGCGAGGACCATTATCTGGAGGAGCGCTATGGTTCGGCGTGTGGCCTCGGCCATCACTGGTCTGCGCTTCGATGGCCCGGCTAAAGCGAAGAAGTCGGCCAGGTTTCAGGCTGAGATTGCCCGGGCGAAGAACAATCCGGGCATCAAGGTCAACGGGCGAGAGACGAGGAGCTCCGGGGTCAAATTTACGTTTATTATATACGAGAACCAGCGCCGGTGGATTGGCCTCGGCTGGACCTCGAGCTTGTTCGCGTATGAGCGACCCGCTTGGACCGACGAGCACAACAACACCGTCCCCCAAAAGGACGAATTTGACCTGCCAGACGTAGAGGACGGCAGCAACATGAGGTGGCAATGGGTCGAAGACAGCAGATGGAGGGTCGACGGCGTGCCGGACGAGCAGGGCCCCGTCGACTATGACAGCGACGAGGGCAAGAATGGTTGGATATATTATGATAATAAGGTACGTTGATGTTGACCCCAGGCTGACGGCGGCCGCTAACAGAAACAGTGGCAAAATGGCCGCAGAGGCGTTGATGGCTGGGGCAAATGGACACGCCGACGGAAGTGGTACCGCGACGCCGAGCTTGTGGAGGTGGATGAGACCGAAGCTCAGCAGCCAGCACCAGCGACTGCCGAGAACGGATCCACGACTCAGAGCTACAGCACTGCGGAAGAAAAGATGGTGCCGACGCGCGCCGAACCGTCATTGCCTGGACCAGAGTCAACCATTGCCGATGACGCCAGTGCAAAGACTCTGGACGACTCGGCGTCTGTACATTCGACGTCTTCCAGGTCGTCTTTCTGGCCGTCTCTGAGGAGACGTAACCCGGCCGAAGCCAAAGGGCGGTCCTCGGTAGAGAAAGAGAGGTCAAGAAGGCTGAGCGAGGTGACGAGCGAGCCGTCAAACGAGGAGGAATCACATGGGCTCGGGCGGGAACTGGAGATGGAACTGCAGAAGCAGGGCAAGGATGGGGGGCAGTGGGGGATAGGGGACGAGGCGAGAATGAACCTCGAATGAGCTCGAATACCACCTATATTCACCCGACTGGCACGAAACCGTAACAGGCACAGTGATGTTGAGCTCGAGCTCAAGGCGGTGTTCCCTCGTAGGGGGCATCAAGCAGCGTACACGCGTTGCACCAGGTAGGCAAACTGCCGCTTCTTCGGAACCGTTCCTCTTGAGCTGACCTCCAATCTCTAGTCCGGAGCCGCGGCTGGTTCTGATAGCCATCGAATCGTTGCCATGTTGCCAGCTCAGGTGCCCCCCCCTGTGCACCCAGGGCAACACACTGAACGGCATGCCTGCCCGTTCGAACGCCCTATCATGGCCAATGTTGAGCCAGCTGTTCACCCAACTGCCCGCCAGCTGGCAGCCCACGGCCAGGTATAACCTGTTCGCCCCGAACCCGCAGCCGTTGAGGCCTTCCTATCCTCTTCCACACCACGCACACACATCTCCAGTTCGACCGCTCACCACCCGCACACCCGCAAAGTCAACTCTTGCATCTCGCACACAACGAGGCTTCACAAGCTATCAACCGCAGTGTATCCTCTACACCTCTTCCCTTGCGCCTTTTTTCTGTTTTTCTGCATTTTCGTTGACGGCTCCTCTGCACGCTGTCAAGTCGTTCCACGCAGTCGGAAGAAACAACAGACTGCCAGTATCAGCACCTGAGAAACCAAAAACACCACAAAATCCAACAAAAAAAAGGAAATATCTCGGGAGACAAGATGCCTTCGAAGAAGGGAAAGAAGAATGCCACCTCGGCTGATGCCACCTCTCGTCACGTCTCGCAGGGCGGTAAGATCATCACTTCTCCCACCGCCGCGGAGGAACAGCAGCAGCAGCAGCCTTCTTCGGCTTCGACCACCCCACTTCATGTTCTCCCGCGTCCGACTCTGCCTCGTCAGGGAACTCACTCGCTGACTCCCTCGCCTCTGCGCTCAGGCGTCTCTTACCGCAGCATCGGACCTGCTTCGTCTTCGTCGTCCGCCAGCGGTGGACTTGTCCCTGGCTCGCCCAGCGAGATCGGTGGCACAGGTGGTGATGGCGGTGGTCATGTCACCGGCGCGGGTGCCGGCAACGAAACTGCCTCTTCGCCTCCGCTTGCTGACTTTTGGCGCCTTCTCCCCATGACCGGAGGTATGCGTCGCGAGTCGCGCAACGCGGCTGGAACAGGTACCGCTGGCCCAGATGACACGCCTGGCGGCGCGGAGGCGCCCAGCTGGCTTGCCTCATCGTCGTCCTCTGCTGCAGGCGGCGGCACGCCTGGCTCGGCCTCCACGGTAAAGAATCTCCCCCCGAAGCGACGCCCCCCGCCATCGCGACTGAACCTCGTGACCTCGAACTTTGACCGGCTTGATGCTGAGACCAGAGAGCAGGGACATGGAGGTGGAAATGGACACGGACAGCATGTGCAGCGCCCTGTTGCTGTTGCTGGCATTGATAATGACGCCGGCGATGGCGGTGGTCTTGTGCTCTCGCCTGAGGGCCAGTTTGTGAAGCGCCGCTGGGAGATGAACTCGACTATGCACGCGGCTGTCTTCATGGCCCAGGGCATTGTGGTTATGGCTGTGGCTTGTGTTCTCCTCGCCGCCGCTATGTGGAAGCATGACGACGTCGACGCCGCGCTCTGGGACGTGTAAGTTTCACCCCGAACTACTTATGTGTCGAAGGAAAGACTTGCTAACTGAATCATGTGTCTAGTCTCGCAACCTACGTCCAGCCAGCGCTCGCGCTCATCTTCATCCTCTGCGTCGGCACGCTCGCCGCCCACGAGACACTCGTCCTCTCGACCGTGGTGCTCCTCTACCTGCAGGCGGCAATCCTGCTCATCGCCATCGCCACATCCATGTTCACCTGGGTGTGGCTGTTTTCCAACGCCAATCACCGCAACAACAACAACGACAACGACGGTCATTACGGCGACGCCGACTGGCAGCTGCTCAAGGGCGTGGTGGTCAGCTGCATCGCGGCCCTCATGGGCACCGCCGTGTTCGCCTTTGTGCGCATCGCGGCCGTCTGGTGGGTCATCGAGGAGCAGGGCGAGCTCGGTGGCGACGTGGACGAGTTCCACGAGTTTGTGCTCGTCAACTTTGAGACGCGCGAGGGCTAACGGGGCTGTGTTTCTCTCTGTCAAAGATGTTTGACATTCTTCTCGGCAATGGCGACTCTCCGACACGACATACCGAACTAATAAAGGACCTGGTGGTCGAAGAGCTGAGGCTCTAAAACTCGGATGGGCGTTTGGGGGGGAGGCAATAGCCGTGAGGTCACGTCAACGACGACGGAGAATAGGGGTGCTGGATCGATGGGCGAATTGGGGATAATTACGGTACCGGGGGAACTGGAACTGTCGTGTTTTCTGCGCGCTTTTGCTATACTGTTGCTACCACTACTACTCGACGAGTCAACATGACAGAACAGGCCTCGGAAGGATTAATTAAGAACGGCCCTGATGGGCAAATTCATTAATCAAGCCTCTGCTGTGACCACGCCCCCTGTGCAGGACAGTTCATCACAACAACCCGCCTCTCCGTAAGCCTCTCCTCCTTCGCAAACCTATCAAACTCAGTCAAAAAGTCCACCGCCCGCACTGCCATATCGCTACGCATCTCCCGCAGCCGGGGCCTCTTGTCGAGAAGCCACAGGTTCGCCTCGTCCAGCACTTCGCGCCAGGCGCTCCTCTCCGCGTTCTCTGATAGAGCGCGGAGCCCAGCGCCGCCGCTACCGGCCGCTGCTGCCTGCCCGCCCTGCAGCATGTGCGCGTGGACGTGGTACGCGAGCCGCATGGCCATCTCGACGGGCTGGCGGCACCCGTCATGGGCCTGCTGGGCTTCCATGTCTGGGCCGAGCTTGGTGCGCAGCATGGAGGCCGTCCAGGTTCGCGAGCCGAGCCAGGCTTTCAGGTGGGTGACGTACGCGGCGTGGAGGAGCCCCTGGCCGTCGAAAGGGCGGTTGGAAGCCATTTTGCCCTACAGATTTATGACTGAACGTTTGTTTGCCGTAGACTGTCAAGTTCTGGGGTTTCCAGAGGGGGCACACAAATGCAACGAATACTCACGAGGGCCAACGAGGAGAATGTTGGGGGAACTACCTCTTTGTCCTCGAAAACACTCTTTGTTACAGACTCGAGGGCAAGGAGAGCTCATAATCACTGAACCCACTACGTCACCCTTGACAAGCCTTCGCAGCCATCCAGTCTATCGCCAAGAACGTCTCCGATTCACAGAAGCCATCCTAGGAAACTGGCCCCTTCGGAAGCAGAGCAAGTCAAGGGAGGAAGAAATCAAAGAGATAGTGGTCCCAGTGGTCCTTATCGGCCAAGCGCCGGAGCATGGAGGCCATGTCATCGCAGAAGCGGTTCGCTTCACGGGCTTCAATATGCGAAGTGTCCCAAGATGCGACGAAGAGGATGCTGTCGTTGGTGACGTTGAACATGTTCCAACAAAACCCACTGTTGCGGTTAGCTTCTGTGCATTGGAACAGTGTACTGGCGAGGTGCAGAATCAAGGTGGGCTCAAACTCACAAATCTGGCCAGTCGTGTCGAGACACTGGCTCCAGAACGGACGCGCGCGTTTCCTCGCGATACTTTAGCGAGAAAGACATTCCCAAGCTCACATCCCACACGAAAGACTGTCGTAATGCAGCGTCTACCGCAAAGGGGGCCTCCTCTTTCAGCTCCTTGAGGATGTCGCCCCACGAGGCGTGCTGGTGCCGAATCGTCTCTTCGTAGTCGGCCTTCATCTTCGCGAAGAACTCGGCCACAGTGTCGCTATGGTCCACCTCGACCATGTTGAGCACACGCTCCACCGTCGGTCCGTCCACGCTCATCGGAGGGGGAAGGCAGCCCTGCATCCAGTCGGGCACAAACGGCCACGATCGACCGCCCTCCCAGGAGGTGTATACGGCAGTGCGTGTGTTCCTGTATAAGTTCGTCATCTGGAGGGTGAAGAGGACCAAGGCGCAGCGAGCCAAGACAGACGCCTCGATGCCGTGAGTTTCTCGCAAAAGGGCCAGGTCGGGCAGGCTGACAAGACGACTGAGATGCGGATAACGAAACTCCTTTTCGTGCACCTCCCATCCTCCACCATATGCCCAGGCACGCTCTCGGGCCTCCTGGCGAGCTTGAGCGTGGGGACTGCCCTGGTCGTTGGAGATCATCCAACCCGGTACCCGGTCGCGTGGGTGCGGCCAGAGGGATGATTCGAGGCGAGATATTCCGCGGAGGCGCTGCGCGTGGCATTGGACACCCTTTTGGGCCGCAGCGCTGTCTTGGTAGGTGTTATGCAGGTCTGCGAAAAGGGCGTAGGGAGTCCTCGTTGACTGCGTCTGCGCCTTTCCGGAGATGAGGTTTGCCAGGTCCTTGTGCCACTGAAGCAGGAACATGGCATCCATGACAGAGTGGCTATACGTCATGGAGACAAGACACTGATTTGCGTCCTGGATCGAGATGATTGTCGCCGCAAACATAAAGTCCGGAGCATGAGTCGACACTGCGTCGTCAGAGCACATCATCATTCCCTGCTCCTCGCAACTGGCACTTTGCTCCTGAATTTGGCGGGCGAACAGTTCTTCGTGGGCTTCCACGACCACGTGGAATATTGGGCCGCGAGGCGGCGTGCAGGCAACGGTTCTGAGGATCGGATGCTCCTTGAGACCATCTTCCAGCGCTTTACGGATTCTGCTCTGCGCCACGCCAGAGACGCGGAAGTTGACGCGGACGTGAAAGGACTGTGGGCGCTGTCCTGCGACCGTACATTGCAGACAGTCTCGGATCGGGATGATGTCCTCGACTTTGGACTGGTCGAAGCCCAGGGACTGCAGACGTCTGCCTCCCACGTCCCAGAGCTCGCTTGCCGACATGGAACCATGGTGCTGGGGCTTGACCAGCGTGGTTTTATTCCTCAACATTTCTTCCTTCCTTTCAGCTCGAAAGCGCTGGTAACTCCTGCTGTTTCCGTGTGTACTTAGCTTTTCGGTCGAATACTCCGACTCTCTGTGCATGAGAAGCCCGGCCTGCTTCGCGATGGTGCCGTGTGTAGCAAGGTCTTGCAGGTACAGGCGCTTTCCAGTTCCACGCAGGGCACCGTCGCAGTACCGGAGCAGGGTGATGCTGTCGGAAATATGGGCAAGATTGTCCTCCTTGCCAGGCGTGTATCCCGTCAGGTCCTGCCATGTGGTTTGCAAAGCGCTGCAAACGTCTTCAAACTGCTGTACTAGCCGCGGGTCCAGATGGCTGTTTCCCGTGCTCAAATGAAGCACCACGACCGCCTCCTGCAAGATCCTCTTCTTGGGCTTTCCAATAGAAGTGACTGGCCATTGCTCCAATCCAATCTCCTCCAGCGTGTACACATGATCGATGACGTATTTGGGACCCAGTTCCTTTGCCTTTTCGCTGACCATGAGCTTGGTGATGTTCTTGGGGAGTGTGACGACTGCGACAACGAGCTGGCCAGCGAGGTCGTCCAAGATTCCGACGACTTCGCTCTATGAATGCACTGTCAGCCAAAACTTCCTTCACGGAAGGGCAATGGCGGGCGCCTACCTGCACGCCTGCCAGTTCTGCCAACGCCGACTCAATCCTCGCAGGGTGAATGTTCTCGCCTCCACGAATAATCAGATCCTTGTATCGGCCGTACAAGTACACAATTCCGTCCTCGTCAATCTTGCCTTGGTCGCCGGTCTCAAACCATTGGCCGGTGTAGTGGAAGTGGAACGTGCTGTTGTTCTCGCCTGCAAAGTAGCCCCCAATCACGGACTGTCCGCTAACATGCAGCTCGCCAATCTCTCCACGTCGAAGAACCCTCGCGGTTCCAGGAGCGCAGATGCGAACTCTCGCGCCTGGAAGAACTTTGCCGACACCTGGGTGGTATCCATTGGCAAGCAGCGGGTCGCAACGCTTCCAGCTAACGAGAGGTGCCCCCTCGCTCATCCCATACGCTTGGATCGCGTGATCTGCGCCGAGTCCCTGGAGGCAAAGGCGGATGTCCTTGTCGCTTATGGCCGTGCCGCCGATGGTGACCATGGAGAGGTTGAGATCGTCAGCGCTTGGAAAGTCCTTGTGCGCGAGGAGAGCTCGCACCAGTGTAGGTGTGGCGGACATGACGGTGCATTGTTCTTGCACCAGCGCGCGGACAGTTGCGGCAACATCAAAAGACTTCGAAGGGAGGACAACTGACGATCCGGTGCGCCATGCCCGCAAGGCGTTGTTGATGGCAAAGATGTGCGACACAGGAGTGTGGACAACCCACTTGTCGACGTGCTCGGGGGGATTCGGATCGTAGTCGAATGTCTGGGCGATGAGATTGCGGCTCGTGTGGATGCATCCCTTCGGAATTCCCGTCGTGCCGCTCGTGAAGATTATGAGAGCTGCTTCGTACGGCGTTCTTTTCGTTTCTCCAGGACCCTGGCGAGCTTTCAGGCCCGCAACAGCTGTGCCGACACGACTGCCCCGGCCGTCCTTGAAAATCACTCCATCAAAGACCATCCAACCTTCATGGGGCTTCGAGTCTCCGGAGCAATCAATCAGGACCTCTGGAACATTTTTCTGGCCGTCTCCGAGATCAAGCAAACGTGCCACGTCTGCGTTTTGAACCACCAGCACCTGAGGATTCAATGTTGCGAGGATGCATCGCATGTCCTCGCCACCACGGCTGTCGATTGGGACATAGACCATGCCGACTTTGGCGGCTGCCCAGAAAAACAAGGCCCATTCCGCTGAGTTCCAGAAAATCGCAGCCATGTTCATGCCCCGCTGGCAACCGAGCATGGTAAGGTCGTGGGCCAGGACCATAGCTCGTTTGTGTAAGTCGGCAAAAGTCCACCTCACACATTCCGAGCCTTCGGGGGGCTTGTTGTTCGTCGCGCTGTCACGAGCATCGGCGCGCTGCCACATCGATATGAGCGCGGTCCTCTCAGGAAACCTGGCAGCCGACATGCTGAGCACATCCCACAGCTCAAATTTCTTGTCCAAGTCGGTGATTGGGGCGCCATGAACTTCGGCGGCAGCCATCTCTTTGTCTCCGTCTTGGGGCGCCATTTGGGGAGTATGTACCCGGCTCAACGGCTAGCACTATGTAGTGTATGTAAAAGGCGGATGCAAGTCAAGCAAGGAGTTGGTCTTGGAGGCAGACACGGGCGTTGTTTGAGGTAGAGCGCTGCTCAAAGGCTACGTCTTCGGATGCAATAGTAGATTCGAATCATAATGCAAGAAATTCCGGGCGAGAAAGAGGGCAGGGGGGCTTTATTCATGTGGGTAGAGGCGGTCGTTTGGCCCAAGTTCGTCGCCGCATTCATCGCCCGCAGCGAACAAAGGGGTACTTACACAACAAAGGGATAACTATACCACAAGCGGTAATCACGAGCTCCAATGTTTGTATCAGAGCTCGGACGAAATCTCTACTGTGGAGACGGATGCTTTCATGCATCCCCCTGTGAATCTCAGCCCGGCTAGCAAACGGAATCAACCAGACACTTGCAGTGCGACCTTGCAACCGACGCATCCGCACGCTCCTTGCAGCACTTTTCTACGTGCCCTAGCAAGAGTGGCACAAGTGCCATGTCGTAGGAAATTTTTGATATATAGCCGAACCTAGCCAGAGCCATGTTTTGTGAAAAGGTCCCAGGCTTGCCGTGGGTGCTTGTGCTCTCCATGCACATGCAACAAGACAACCCACATGTGCAGTCATCGGAATCGAGCTCATGTGCTGGGCGGACAATGCAGCTCACATACCAGTTACCAGTGACAACGCCGCTCGCAAGGGCGGCGAACCAGATTGCATGCTTGCAGTTACACAGCAGATGAGCTGCTAATAATTCGGCGTTTACAACCTTATTCTTCAGGGCGGACAATAGCCCTGGATGCATGTGTCTGGGTTGGTGGTAGGACGAACACGATGAGCTGGAATACGAATTATTACCATGGCGATACATGACGGATGGACACGGGCCCATGCTCCGTAAAATCTATCGTCTCACAGGCAAGTTGCCTCAATGCAGGGTCACCGGCCGCAGCCCGATCACGCCGGTATCCAGAATGTGCCACCTTCCACAACCATCGACATCTCGTACCTGCATGTTGATACGAGCCAAGGCCATCGATAAGTTGGGCCGCCGAAAGATGCCGCGACCGAGGATTCTGTGGGTCAAGGTAAGCCAGACCGTTTGTAAAGATCAAACGTTTGTGCATGTCTCGGTTCATGAAGGCACGAGTGACCAGACCAGCGCATGGGCTGAAGAATGGGATACAATTTTCATGATGAGGAACAAAAAGTTGCCGCACTGGCAAAGTATTTTGTGTTTCCATGTCGATATCAGTGGAGATAGAAGCCCATGTTAGAGACATTCAGGCAGCAGGAGATCGAACGCCCGGCTGCTAGGTCGCATGGATGCTTTCGTGAAGGCTCCGATGCGCCAATAAATCACAGTCACGTCCGATGCGCCATGTCCGGACCGGAGATCCCGATTCCCACGTCGCTAACCCATGTCCCGGAGCCGCGTCAGCGTGACACAGGTCGCCCAAGAAAGGCATAAGTTATCTTGTCGTCTGAATTGAAAAGGTTACGAGAGTCGGGTTGGCACGGGGTGGATTGGGGGCGGCTGCCGCAAAAGGGGGCGGCCTTGACATTGGCCGCTCGTTGAAAGCATTGGAACGTTCTATATTTGTACCATTGTTCCATATTCTTCCCCTTGGAAGCGTACGCAATGACATTGATCGTCCCACCTTACCAAACCCATTTCCATCCATGCATACATGTTTACCCTATAATATTGCCAGTAATGCACAATTGATGCATCATGCGCGTATACCACATGCGGCTCATCATCCACTTGGCACGACCACGCAAGCATGATCGTAAAAGCACCAACGGCGACCGAGACCTGTTCAGGCTTCGTCCCTACGTCCTTCACGTCATCAATACAAGCTCCCATGTAGGCCGAAATGCATGCCACTTCAAATACAAGAAGTGCACTGCTCTCAAGCCATTTTTCCATGAATACCGCGTTCATGTCCTGGCCCACGGAGCAGACTCTCTCTTTCTTTTATAATTCTGCAAGGAAGCGCTTCCACCGACGCATCTGGCCGGGGAGCCGTCGTGTAAGACAGGGGCAGCCGGTAGGCCCGGGCTGGGGCAATGACCACCGTAATTCTTCGTGAGGCTCCAGAGTCCCGCGTCGCAGAGTTGGCAGCTACTACCCTCCAACGCGCTTGAGTTGTCCAGCTGGTAGACCCACGCCATTCCATGCGATTTCGTGGCACCGCGATGTTCCTGCGTACTTTCACAGCTCCTCCGATGGCGAGGCTCGGCTTTGCACAAGTTTGGCTTTCGCCCCAAATCACCTGTGAATTCCGCATTCAACGCAGACTTACACGACGCCAGTCATCCTCATAAGCTCCATCAGCGATGGAAAGGTCAAATTCCCCCGGATGGGTCAAGTCTGCTTCCTTGCGGCACTGGGATGCACTGAGCTTCCGCTTTATTTCCAGCCTCAGTTGCGATTCCAACTCGGTTTCCTTCCCCGTTCGCCCTCGGAGTCCGATCATTTGCACGATGCAGGTCACAACGGACAACGCGGCTTGGACGCTCTACGTGCTGCTGGCCACGGTTTTCGCTGTGGGCATCGCTCGTTGGACCCGGAAGTTGCAATCTCGACGTGCTTTCGCCAAATCCCGGGGATGCCTGCCGCCACGAAGCCGGGCACCAGTCAAGGACCCCATCTTTGGCCTCGACTTTATCTACGACGCAATCTTCAACAAGTCGTCAGACAGGTACCTGGAGGGCACACTCAAGTCCTTCCGAGAACTCGGCACGACATACACCATGAGCCGCTGGGCCATGAGTGTCTTCTACACCTGCGACAGTCTGAACATGAAGCAAGTCTTGGCTGGCTCGTTTGAGGACTTTGGCCTCCCAGGCACGCGGGTTACAGCACTGAGCTCCTTCGTCGGAGATGGAATCTTCACGTTGGACAACGACCCATGGTACCATGCCAGGGTGTCGTTGAAGCCAATGGTGGCGAGGTCGGACAAGGAGACAATTCATGGCATCCTCGAGCACAATTTCCAAGCCATGCTGCGGCTTCTCCCAACCGACGGCTCGTCGGTCAACCTCCAAGACATCTTCTTCCGCCTCGTCATGGACTTTGCCACCGAGTATCTCACCGGCAACTCTACCCGTATGCTTGACAACGAGGGCGCGCGAGGCGACACAGCTCAACAATTCGTGTCTGACTACATGACATGCTCCACTGAGGTCATCACCCGACTCGGTCTTGGCCCTCTACAACACTTGAGGTTCAACAGCAACGCAAACAAGGCCAAGAAGGCAGTGTTTGGCTTCCTTGATGCCTTTATTGACGACTCCCTTCGCAAACGCGCCATCGAAGGAACGAGCGACCGCGACGACTTCTTGACCCAGCTCACGGGGATGACGACGGACCGCATGGTCCTGAGGAACCAGCTTCTGCACATCCTGATTGCCACTCGAGACACTGTGGCGAGCACTCTGAGCAACTTGTTCTTTGTTCTTGCAAGGAACCCGCAATGTTACGGTAAGCTCAGAGCGGAGGTGTTGGCCATCTCGGGGACCGGGCCTCCCTCCACTGGCCAGCTGAAGCAGATGGAGTACGCGCGCTGGTGCGTGAATGAATGTGAGCTCAACCTCCTGCCGAACATTCTTCATGAGTTCTACTGACAATATGTATGTAGCGCTGCGACTGCATCCGGTTATCCCAATCGGCGGCCGACAGGCGAGGCGAGACACTGTTCTCCCGCACGGCGGCGGAGCCGACGGAGAGTCACCCCTCTTGGTCCCAAAGGGCACCATCGTCATGTTCAACGTGTACGCCATGCACCGCGACGACAAAGTCTTTGGTGCCAACGTGGAAGCATTCAGCCCGGAGCGATGGGAGAATCTTCGCCCTGGCTGGGCATACCTGCCGTTCAGTGGAGGACCCAGGATCTGCATGGGACGTAAGTACACGCAGCAGTCTCTCCACGAACGCTACAGACATGAGACTGACGGCGCACACTCGCAGAGCACATTGCACTCACTGTCATGCAGTATGTTTTGGTCCGGATGGCGCAAAGCTTCTCGTCAATCGACGGGGTGGGTGACGGTGACTGGGTGGAGCAGTACGCGCTGGCGACGACGTGCCGGGGAGGCGTTCACGTAAATTTGCGCAAGGCGTAGATCGTTCGAGAAGAATCTCGATGGAGTTGTGATACTCACCTTGGAAGAGACTTTCAGCACAGAATTTACATGTGGCTTGTGACAACGATGCTGGTGACGATGCATTGATCATGGAGTGGGTTGGGGACTGAGGGGCCCACAGTTAAGGCGTATATGACTCAATAACAGACTTTCCCACTATACCTCTCAAGGCAGAGTGGCCGAGTGGTCTATGGCGACGGTCTCAAGTACATGTCTATGCACTTCCATCTGCTTCAGCAGTGTTCCGTTCACGAAAGTGGCCGGGGTTCGAATCCCCGCTCTGTCATTTTTTTGCCCTGCGGCACGCCTGCGCCCTGGCTTCGGGCAATTTGTTCGACGGTCGTCATTTTAATTTTTGGTTTGGCCAAGCTCGCCTTTTCACTGATGGCGGTACAATTCGTGGCACTGATTGCCTTTGGGTGATCTTGTTCGCCAGATGATGTGACGCCAGACCACTTGTAGCGTGAAGATTGTATCAACCGACATGAGCCAACCAACATCACACTCCAGTCAGGTTATTCGCTACAGAAAGGCAAGAAAACGAATATCTCTGCGGTCAGCTTATAATGCAGTATCCGAAAGAGCTCTCATATCGTAATGTAGAAATCTCTCAAGGAAATGCTCTAGCCCTGATGTAAATGCATTTCACGATGCATACGTAACATTGGCCAAGAGTGGGATGACAGGAGCGATGGGGACGACGGGAACGAGAGGCTCGAGAGAGACGAGGGAGACGGCGTCGCCAATGCACTTTTTGCTCCAGCTGATCCCAGTCGCGTGTCGCGTGTCGCGTTTGGCTCAAGGTTGTCAACACCAGAACTGACTTCGCCCGCGGCTCGGGGAGTCACGAAATACACCTCACTGACCTCACCATGGTCGGCTCGAACCACTTCGAAGGCAACCGAAGCCGCCAAATCACTCATCTACATGCTTGTGGCGTCTTGAAAAATCAGAATAGGAGAAAGTAAAAAGAATGGTCTCGTTGCACGCGTCCATCTCACAATCAGCCAGCCCGTCGCGCTGATCTGGAAAAAGCATAAGATACCGTCCACATCCGCCCCAAATCCCCTTCTTTTTTTTTTTTGACCTTCATCCTTTCCAACCTCGACGATCCCGCCAGAGCTCTCCTCGAGATACGCACCAACCCTCAAGTCAAACCACAAACAAACAAACCTCTCAAAAGTCCTCAACTCAAACAAGCCTCTACTGGTATCACACAAATCCTCAAATTCTCTCTACCAAACAATCCAAACATATCTTCTCTACCAAACAATCCAAACATACCTGGGCAAGAACCACGAGGCAAACCTCTAAAGACTACCACAAACAAACCTACCACAAACAAACCTGCTATCTCCAAGGAGAGCTCTTGGCGCGATACGCGACTGGAACACTCTTCAAGAAAAGTCACACAAGACCACCAAACAAACCAAACTTTTTGGACGCGCCTGTCTGCCAGAACAAGTAAGCATTCCCCGCAGCCCACACGCACAGCAACATGGACAGTCACTTACACGCTCCGCGTCCAGAAATGTCTGACAACCGCGCTGCTCCCATATTCCCCCGGGGAGAATCCCTGATGCCGTACGCATACGCGTTCCACGAGACAATGGCTTCCCTGCTCGTTGATATGGTCCCTCTCAGCGACGATGACCCTCTCGAAATGACGACGCAACGGGAAATCGCCTATCAGATGGCCATGCTCTACAGGTTCGCCTTCAAGACCATGTCGAGCCTTGCCGATCGTGAGGAGGCCAGGATCAAGAAACGCTTGTGCAACAGCGGGCCTGAAACAAGAGCTCTGGCAGTCAAATTCGTCCTATCCGCCGCGAAGGCCGCGAGGGCGCTCGAGAAGCGGGTCAATCGCGATCTCGATCTACTGGAGGACCTGCTGCACCTGGCAAGCAAGGAGCGCATCATGACCTGCTTGACCACCAGCGACCTCATGCAAATGCCTCAGTCGATCAACTGCCCGTGCTGCCAGAAATCGCAAGGCTGGCCGGTCCTCCCGGACAGACTCAGGCCCGAGCACTTCGCCAAGCAGGACGACGGCATATACACCATTAAGATCCTCTGGTACCGTGGCCTCGACTCCCACCACAGACTGCACGGCGCGATTCTCGACTACGATGAGGATGGCAACCTTGATCGGATGCAACTCGAATGGAGGCCGTATGAACGCCCATTCATGGTCCCCGGCGAAGAGCCGCTGTGGCCTCTCAGAGTCACAATCCGCAACCAATGCATTGCCATGGACGAGGATGACTGGGCCGTCGAGCAGAATGGCGACGAAAGCGATGATGACGTCGATGACGACGTTGAGAAAAATCGCGACAGCAATGGACCAGATCTTGCTGAACAGTCGACCGACGATGAACAACTTTGGGGCGGCTACGCACACGATGTTGCTGAACAGTCGACCGACGACGAAGAGCAACTTTCGGGCGGCTATGGACAAGATCTTGCTGGAGATTCGTCTGGCGATGAAGAGCAACTTTGGTACGGCATCCCAGTTAGCCACTTTGAGTGGTGATATCTGCAGCCGCACCGCTCTGGGTTTCGGGATGCACTGGACACATTCGCATTTTCCGGGATACGACGTCAACACTGCATCACCGCATCATTGCATTTGGATTGGGGCGTTGGTTTGGACTCGGGTGTTCTGGATCGGGGCGTTTTGGGATACGACATGGACACTGCATCACTGCATCACTGCATTTGAATTGGCGCATTGCTTTGGATTCGGGCGTTTTGGAATACGACATCAACACTGCATCACCGCATCAGTGTATTGGATTCGGGCGTTGCTTTGGATTCGGGCGTTTTGGATCGGGCGTTTTGGATTGGGGCGTTCTTGGGATCCAACATCAATACTGCATCGTGGGCTGGGAAAATTGCATAAAATGCAATGGGTAGGGCGTTGCAGATTCAACTCTTTTTGGGATCGCGGGCGTGGAGGAGCAATCAGGGACGTTTGGGTGAGGAGGACAGTCAAATTGATCTCGGGTCGACACCATACATTTGTTCATGAGCTGTGACTGTATACAAAGCACACCTCGCGGCTGTCACGGCCGGGCCAAGCATCAAAGAGTGTGTCGTATGTGTGAGAGGCCGCAAGCAGATGCCATCAGCATTTGCTTCTGTTGTCCATTAAAAGCGCCGCAGGGACCATGCTAAATGGCGGTTATTTTTGCAAGTGGACGTGGTTGCGATCGCTTGGCACTCATTTGAGGCCTCCCGTAGGCCGCGAATAATATTCCTGAAGCAAAAGCATCAACGCCGTCCCTCGTTGGCAGACGCGGGTGACCCATGAGGCCACCGTGAGACTGGAGGTGAAGCCATCCACAAGTGGAGCCAGACGGAGGCCACCGACGGTGGGGACTCGACAGTGCCCGGGTTGGTGCGTTCGGGAACGGCACTGCCAGGGTCCCGTCTTCAAGGCCCACTCCATCCTCTGTAGGAGCAGAGCTGGAGGGGCATCAGCAGCCCGAAAGCGTTCAAGCCGCGGGGCAGTCGGTGAAAAAAAGTTGAGGGGCCGATTGGGTGTGTCGTAGAAATTTCTCGCGAGCCCCGGCCGCCGTCCTTTCTTCCCCTTCCTCTTTTTCTCTTCTTCTTCTTCTTCTCCTTTTCTCTTGGGCATTCTGCCTCGCCTCGCTTCGCGCGTCGCCCGTGAAAATACGACCCTGCCGCTCCCGAGACATTTCTGTCCGACCCCCAGACTCCGCCGACCCGCCACAAACGCAGCCCGGACCACCCTCCAGCCCGTTGTCAGCTGAAGGAAAAATACGATCAAAATGGTCGAGAAGATCTACGTCACGTACAACGATGTGAGTGACCAGTCGGGCGCAGCTTGGCGCTGACAGTGCGGCGGCACAGCGTTTGCCTCTCGATGCCGGCAGGCCGAGACACGCGACCGCCGCGCGTCCGCCGAGGGATCAAAGCCACGCCGGGCACTGACAGTACGGGATCGCAGGTGCACAAGCTGTGCCAGGAGTCGGCCGGCAAGCTGCTCGCCGACTTCCAACCGCAGCTCATGATCGCCATTGGCGGCGGCGGCTATGTCCCCGCGCGCATCCTGCGCTCGTTCCTCAAGCAGCCCGGCTCGCCCAACATCCCCATCCAGGCCATTGGCCTCAGCCTGTACGAGTCGCTGGGCGGCGAGGACGAGAACGTCGAGACCATCGGCACCAAGGTCACCCGCACCCAGTGGCTGGACCTGACCGCCCTCGGCGAGATGGAGAACCTGGTCGGCAAGCGCATCCTCATCGTCGATGAGGTCGACGACACCCGCACCACCCTCGAGTACGCCGTCAAGGAGCTCGAGAAGGACGTCGAGGCCGCCCGGAAGCGCCTGGGTGGTGACCACCCCGAGACGGAGTTTAGCATCTTTGTCCTCCACGTGCGTTTACCCCCCCAACCTCGGCCTGTGAGCTCGGGGCACCTGCTGACACCCAATGCAGAACAAAGACAAGCCCAAGAAGGGTACCCTGCCCCACAACATGATCAAGACGCGCTATCAGGCCGCTCAGACCGTCGGCGACGTCTGGATCAACTACCCCTGGGAGGCGATCGACATCGACGAGCACGACAAGCTGGCCGATGCCGCCCGGAAGTAATTGGATAGACGTCGGAAGCCACGTCATGACCGCAATGAAGGAATATCTGGGTGGGTGTGGGGGACAGACCTTTATGAGAGCAAATAGCTAGGTCTGGAGACTCGGAGTTTAGTGTGTGCGTTTCAAACCGAATAGACGGCTTTCAGGTCGAGAGGCCTTGTTGCAGCAATCTTCTCTTTCGCCGAATGCCCTTGATATTCTTGCTGCCAGAGCTAAGCTCGCGATACTTGCCCACATCTTTCGTTTAAAGGCTCGCTGCAGATTTGTGTGGCGACCAGTCAAACACCATTAGGGGTTTCGTCTTGATCTGGCAGCGGCGGAGACTGATTCAAGCGCTCGGCAATTCAGCGGATCTGGGCGACAAGGCGATATACAGACAGGCCACGGTGCGTGGCTCACTTGCTCATAAGCATATGCATGATTCCTCAAATACATCAAGATCCAGGTCTATTCGTCCGCAATGCTCTATACAGGGGTATCAGCAGGTCGCCTCTATTGTAGGAATCGCAGAAGTCGTGAATCGTGACCGCCGTCAACCTCCCAAAGTTCCCTCTCGTTCGTGCTTCTCCTTGAGCCTCTTCTCCTGCTTCATAAACTCGCGGATGCCGACTGGCACGCTCTTGAACACGTCCTCCTCCCACATGTCCTTGGTAATCTTGGCGTCACCGATGGTGACTCCCCAGTTGGTCTCAGAGCCACCGCCGTCCGAGTCCATCGTTCCGGAGCCTTTCTTGAGCCGCCGTTGCGCCTCGTTCTTTGAGGCGGACCACTCCTCCATATCATCCCTATAGCGGTCCCAGACGCAGTTGACGCAGCCGCTCATGCAGCAGTTGTCGGGCTCGTCCGGCCGGGGCGGCACGAGCACGCCCGCGATGTAGGTGGACTGCGATTTCTTGAGCGCGAGGCGGTCGGCCTGTTCGGCGGGACCGAGGAGTCGCGAGCCGAAGACGATGCGCGCCTTCTCTGCGGCGGTCTGGGGAGGCGGTGATGGCACAGGCGGCGATGTCTCCACGGAGGGCGCGGCTGTTACGCCGGTCTTGCGGGACGTGGGTGTTTTCGTTTTCTTTGTCGTCTCAGGCTTTTTGCTCGGTGGCAGCACGCTGGGGTCGGCCGTGCTTGGAGGCTCTTCGGGTTTGTGGCTGAACGGGTACGGGATCGGATCGTGGAGTATGTCCTCGTAGTATCCCCCCAAGGGCGTTCTCTGCGGCCAGGTCTCGTCCCTGGCTGTGTGTGTCGTCACGAGACGCCGCCGGCTGGCAGTCTGCGACACTTGCCGAAGGAGGCGCAAGCGCGCTGCTGCCAACCTCGGTGAGGCCGCCATTATGTGAGTCGTCTGTTAAAGCGCGCGGGCTGGGGATTATTGCGAATGCATGAGCGCAGTGAAGCGAGTACGCTGTGAAGGCGAAGGCGAGGAGGACGAGGGCGGGTTTGCAATGCTCAGTAATAAGGGCGAGGTCGGAAGAAGCTGGAGGGGCAAAATGACGGCCGGGCTCGGGAAACGTCACTTCGCAGCCGAGCGTTGTCCGTCCGGGGCCTGACGGGTTTTTGCGCCACTGGCGTAGGGAACGCCACTTGCACCGGCGGCGCCGTTCTCAAGCGCTGCACGTGATGGCGCTCCAGTTCCGTGACGGCGGCAAAGAGCGTCAGCGAGGTCCTCGACTTCGGTTGTTGCTCGGCATGGGGCTAATGGGAAATTCAAAGTATATCCTAATGATGCTGATTTTAATGCGATTTTTATCATGTAGTGCGATCTATTTGGGGCGATATGTCTGATGTCGCTGGCAATGCGAAGTACCAATGTCCTGTTCTAACAGCTGGCTGCCACTGAGGAGTGACGTTGCTGCCCGCTGCCACACACACACCAAAATAGCACCCCCCAGTCCGTTTGTTTGGATCCAACACGCGCCTGTCACCTACAACCCCACAACGGCATACAGATACCCAGACACGCTCGGCCTGCACCCTCGCCATTGACTGCATATCTACGACTCGGGACCTCATGCAGCGCTCATGATGCCATACTAGCAGCTTTGCACCATTTTTCGCAATGGAGGAGTCCGCGCCCAAGCGACGGCGCGTCTCCCCGCGCTCCTCTGCCGCAGCCGCCACACCACCTTCAGAGCAAGCTCCCGCGCCGCGACGAAAACGCCCGTCCTTTGCGTCGCCGACCAAGGCCAGTCTCTCGCGTCACAATCCACAGATACTGGAACGCCGTCGGTCTGCTTCTCCGGCGAAACCGACCGCGACCGCAGGTCCCAGCACGAGCGCACGACCTGCAGCGCGCCGTGGGAGCGACGCCAGTGAACAGAGCATTTCGGAGCTCTTGCGGGCGCAAAACGAGGCGGATGCGAACGCGGAGGATATTCTGGCCAGCGACCCGCCGGTTGAGGAGGATGCGACGCGTCTGAGCGAGGCCGGGCCGAGCTCCGGCCGCTCTGTGAGGAGGACGAGAGGAGGCTTGGCCGCAGCACCGCGAAGGTCTCCGGCGAAACCGATTCCTAGACCGCTGCCACCACCGGCACCGGAAGGCGACGACGAGCTGAACCCGTTCATCGGACACACGCTGCGGCGGTCGCCAACCACGGGCGTCAGCATCCCGCCGCAGCCCGAACCTGAGCTCCCGCCTGTTGTTCCCGATGCGGTGTCGTCGACGCCGCCACGAGGCATCCATAGCAGCCCCTCGCGATGGAGGATGCGGGACAGGCCCAAGAAAAGCTCACCTTTGAAACCAGCGCCCGAGAGGCCAGCCGCGGGTCCTAGCAAGAAGCTGTTTGCGCGTGCACCCACACGACCGACCGAGCCGCTGCGCGACTCGACGCTGGACCCAAACACAAGCTCTTCGCGTCAGGTTCCTGTCTTCGACCCGCTCGGGAATAAGAAGAAGGAAAGGGATGCGCTGCAGGCGGAAATTTCCAAACTCAAACAAGACTTGGAAGCGGCAAACAGGGAGAACGAGCGCATTCGTCTGATGCAGGCCTCAGGTCGCACAGTGACGGCGACCAACGAGGCCGGCGTGTTGGACTTGGTCCAGCGATCGCTCATGGCATCGGAGAACGCGCCTCGACCGACTGCTGCCCAGCAATTGGTTCAAGCTGCACTGAACCCGATCGGGCTTTTACCCTTTGGGAGATCAACTCCAATCGCATCTTCTACGGCAGAGGACGACAACGAGCTTGCCAACATCAAGTCACACCATCCGATTCCTTTGAGTGCCGACGAAGAGCTGCCTTATCTGGAGCTGTTCAGCCCCTTCAGCATTACATGTACCATCGCGGTCCTGCCTCCGCTGCCAGAGCACCCCCTTCGACAGCGTCGGCTCATGACACTTCGGTCACGAGATATCCCCGGGCTGTTCACCGCAAAGCTGGAGATGGTTGTCAACGCCATGAGCCTCAGCATCCTCGAACTTGCGGTAGTTGCCCTGGAGCCGTCGGCCAAGTTCGAGCTGGAGCCATTCGTCGACAAAATATGTTCCGGGAAGTGCAACAGGACGATGCAGCGCAACGTGGGCATTCTGTCCTGGGCCATGGGCGAGTGGTACCGCGTGGCTGTTCAGAGAGCCAAATTCTGGTGTGGCCTCGAGCGGCGACTGGGCACGAAAGAGAAACTGCTAGAGGCAGCTGCCAAACGACGCGAACGGCGACGGCGGAAGGATGACGAAGACGAAAATGACGGAGCAGATACACAGCCAGAGGTCTGCGAATTGTCAGACTTGGTGCGGCTTCTCGGCCGCCAATCGTATGAACTAAGTATACCGTCTCTAAGCTCAGACGATTCGTCGCTGCGATTGGAGTGGAGGATCGGCTTTGACTGGACTGGCGAAGCGCAGAGTAAAGCTGCTATCCTTGTTGGAGTACCAGGCAAATGTGAGTTACCTTCCGAACTTGATTCACAGCATCGCATTGACACAATCAAAGGGCGAGAGGCAGATCAGCGGGGCATGCTCGGCAAGTTGCCCGCCCTGTTCAGAGATCTGGTGGACAGCGGCCAGGAAGCCGAGTCAGCTGTGGAAACAGTAGCTGCGCTCTTGGTTGGAGCATAGGCGCGGAGGAAGTGTCATGAGCTACGACGGGACGACATGGCGATATGGAGTATATGGTTGTGTATTGACGCTGGCAATGTAGATGCGCGCTTCATCCGCAGCCCACCGCGCCTGCATGATTAATTCCTCCATTCCTACTCTTCACTTTTTCTCCATGGCTGCAGTCGTAGGATTCGCGGTTCGTCGTCAACCGTGTTCGGTCCAATCGTAGTCCACTCTAGTCCACCGACACGCCGAGCGTTCGCAGTTCCGTCTTGGCCAGCTCAATCTCCTCCATGAGCTCCTTGTGCGCCGCGGGGACGTCGTTGAAGGTGAGGATGCCCCAGCCGAGGCGGAAGAGCAGCAGGGCGCCGAAGCTGACGAGCGCCCAGAACGGCAACTAAAGAGACGGCGGGTTAGCAAACGCGCCGCGGGAGGGGGGTAAGCTGGGAGTTAGGCGTAGGATGTCGTACCAGAGGGACGACCTGCTCCTGAACGAGGGCGGGGAGAGGGATGAGGCCGAGGTAGAGCGCAAAGTAGAGCTAGATCGCAATGTCAGCACGAGCGCTCAGGCTTCACTTCAATTCGCGGGGCGTGGCTATATTCGGGCGGGCGTACGGAGGAGACGAGGAGGGCGAGGGAGACGGTCTGCTGGGCGCGCGTCATGGTTGCGGCGGCGGGGTGGGCGGCAATAACGTCGGGTCGCGGAGGAGCTCGAGGGTCGACGAAGTAAAGTCGGTGATGGGGGGAGGAAAGGAGTGACGGCCGTATGTCGACGGTGGGCGGGTGCGGGAAGCTCGTGGGTTGCGATTCGGCGGTTCAGGTCGCTGGGCTGAAGAGACGTGTAAGGAGTCGCGCGTTGCTGGCGATAGAGGACAAATTTCGGGGCTGCGGTCGGGTGACTAAGCGAGGTTTTTGGTGCGTGGATCCCCCACCAGCTGGGTCGAGCCACGATTCCAGCTCGTGGACCGCGCTGTCCACTGTCCCCCCTGTCCACGGTTGTCGTTCGTCGGCCACGGCAGTCATTTGATGCCACCATGCCGCCGGAATCTGGTTTTTTTGCATGGTCGTTGCGCGTCAATTGACGTGGGCCGTTGACTCCTGCTGCGGATGGGAGCTGCATCAAGCCGTTTTCTGCGTGTTACCCACCATCACAGCCGAGTTCAGGGGCCCTGTCTGCAGCGTGCCTTGCTCAACTGTGCTGGCGGAGTAGTTAAGGGGTCAGGTAGGACTCGGGCAGCCTGCTGCTGACGGACCTTCACGATATCAGGCATCGGCTCGGTCGACACATCTGTCGGCTTGCTTCGCACCGAGGATGGCAGGACTACCGCCGCGGACACCTGCAGCTCGATCGGCGCCTCCAACGACTTCGTGCGACCTCGTGCCCATGATTGCTTTTGCAAGCCGGTGGAGGCAGCGGAGTTGCTGCAGACATCGCGGGCTTCAACGCAACCCCCGCGGCAATCACCGCATCTCAGTTTTGCAGCCAAGACCGCGGTCCAAGATGACGCGGGCATCTGGCACCTTATGAGCGTCCTCTGACGATACATCGATGGCCCCGTCCTGCTTGCCGATGAACCACGACGACGGACGCCCACGCAGGCTCAGCAACACCGAACGTGGTTCATCGTGGGCTGCGCTAGCCACGCTCAGACATTCAGCTTCGGCCGCATGTCACATCCTTCCCGTCTTGGGCGGCCTGCTCGCTGCATGGGGAAGACGGCCAGCCAGCCCACCCGCGTCGAGAGACCGGCCCAATGAACAGCCCTCCTTTGCAATTACAACGGCAATGGCCCAGTCCCCGTGGCGGCATGCCAGACATCAAATGGGACGCTGGCTGGGGGCTGGCTCCGACACCCCGTTTCTTTTGCCTCGTCCGGCACGGCCCTTGTCCTGGCCGGAGCTAATGCAGGCTTCACGATGGTCCGTCGGCTTCTGATGCTTGTAGATTGCGTAATTCCAGCATTCTCGGTAGTCCTGAGCAGAGAGTGAGAGCTGTCCGGGAAGCTCGTCGTACGCCTCGTCGCCCAAAGGCAGCTGAGTTGTGCTTCGCAGTGCAGCGCTGGCACAAGAGACAGCTACGCGACACAGATGCTGATCTAGACTCTCGACTGGGTCTCTCGCCGGCCGCTCTCGTTACCGATCCGCGGTGGCTGCATATGTGAGTTGTCAATCCCTCCAACGGGACGACGATTCCCGCACAGCTGGGGGTTCACTGCAGATGCACGTCTCCGCTCTCGAGCCACGCTGCCGCGAATGCTATATGAACGGGCAAGACCCCGACACCGGTCCGCAGCCGTAGTCTTAGCTGCTCTCGGCTCTCTCTCTCTCTCGTCCCATTGATTTCGTGCCCGCTCGCCATCCATGTCCCAGCCGATTCCCCAGCCGTCGGGCGTGCCCATCCTGGGCAACGTCTTCGACATCCAGCCCAGCAACACGTGGGCGTCGCTGAAGAAGCTGTCGGAGCAGTACGGCGAGATCTTCCAGGTCAAGGTCTTTGGCCACACCATTGTCTTTGTCGCGAGCGTCGCCCTCGCGCAGGAGATATGCGACGAGAAGCGCTTCCGCAAGTACGTCGGCGGGCCGGTCGTCGAGATCCGGGACGCCGTTCACGATGCCTTGTTCACTGCGTACGATGAGGAGGCGAGCTGGGGCATCGCGCACCGCATCATTGCGCCGAAGTTGCAGCCGAACGAGCTGGCGCTGCGATTCGACGAGATGCGGGACACTGCGTATGAGCTGTTTGACCTGTGGAAGGGGGCGGGCAAGCCCGTGTCTCCGTTCAAGGACCTCGGCAGGCTGAACCTCGAGGCAACGACCTTTACGCTCTACGGGATGCGGCTCAACTGCCTGAGTGGGCCGGAGCATCCCATGCTCAAGGCTATGGAGGACTCAACTGCTGAAGCCGTGATGCGACCTACGCGGCCGGGGATCCTCAACACGCTCCTGTATAGGGGCAAGTGGAAGTCGGCCATCAAGACGATGCGCGCCTACGCCGCAGACGTGGTCAAGTACCGCAAGGACCACCCGACCGACCGCCAAGACGTCCTCACCGCGATGATGAACGCAACAGACCCCGAGACAGGCAAGGCCCTGACCGAATCACAAGTCATCGACGAGGTCGTCTCCATGCCCATCGGCAGCAGCACCGCCCCCTGCCTCCTCGCCACCGCCATCTTCCTCCTGCTCACGAACCCCGAAAACATCACCAAGGCGCGCCAGGAGCTCGACACGGTCGTCGGCCCCGGCGGCGAGTTCAAGCACGCGCACCTCGACCAGCTCACGTTTGTGCAGGGCATCCTGCGCGAGTCGCTGCGCCTGTCCTTTGCGGCGCCGGGCTTCAACATCGAGCCCATCCCCAGCAAGGACAAGGATAATAAGGCGCCGGTGCTGCTCGCGGGCGGCAAGTACCAGGTGGCGCACAACCAGCCCATGATCATCGTCATGGCGGGCGTGAACCGCGACCCGGCCGTGTTCGAGGACCCGCTGGCGTTTAGGCCCGAGCGCATGGTCGGCGAGGCGTTTGAGCGGCTGCCGCCGGGGGCGAAGAAGTGGTTCGGCAACGGGAAGAGGGAGTGCATCGGCAAGCATTACGCCTGGCAGTGGAGTCTGCTCGTGTTGGCGATGATGCTGCGGGATCTGGACTTTGAGATGGAGAATCCGGATTATAAGCTGGAGCAGGATGGGTGGTTCAACTATCGGCCGATTGGATTTAATGTCAGGGTCAAGGCGAGGGTGGCTTGATGTGGTCTGTTGCTGTTGTGGATAATGGAGGGCATGTGGTGGTTGGGGGCACTGACGATGATGCAAATACCTAATGGGTCCATGTAGTCTGAATGAAATCAATCTCTTCGATTTGAGAGGCCAAACTCCTCGCATGCTGTGATTTACAAGACGGTCCCTGTGTAGGACGTATTCCACGTCTTGTCCCGGTCGTTCTACTCGTTATACAAATCAACGCTCCCATTCGCCTCCAGAAAATATGGCCTCCAACGGCCATGCCAAAACGCCATGGGTGCCCAACGCCCGGGATACATCTCTGTCCGCCATCACGGCCGACAGCAGACTCTCATCCCTGGATCCTCCCCGTTCACTGCACCACCTCCTTGCCCCCAACCCTCATCGACAGCACCTCGAACGGATCCTCCTCACGTCGCAGCACATCCGTCAGCGCCGAGATGCGTCCATCCACGCGCTCATCCACCCTGCGGATCGCCTCGTCCACGGCCCAGCCCTTGTCGCGCGCCAGCCGCTCCACGTACTCGACGACGGCGCGGCGGCCGCCCACGTAGTTGCTCGCGTACTTGCGCGCGCGCAGGTCGCCGCGGCGCCAGCCCGTGCCGTGCTCGCGCTCCAGCGCCTCGATGGCCGGGTTGCCGCCCGTGCCCTCCTTGTACTCGCGCCAGATGCCCGCCACGGTGCGCGGCTTGGACTGGAAGCGGAAGGGGCGGCCGGCGGGGCCGGAGGCGAAGCGCGCGCCCTTGTGGCGGGGGACGGCGTAGCGAGGCGAGGCGGCCGGCTGCTGGTCCTTCAGCTGCTGGTTCTGTCCTTGTTTCTTCGTCTTGCGGCCGTTGAAGACGGCAGCGGCGGTGGTGGAAGCGGTAGCGGCGGTGGAAGCGGTGCTGTTGGTGGACGTGTGCTCGTCGAGATCCATGTCATCGTCCGTGACATCGTCGTCGGCTTCTTCATTTTCGTCTCCAGAGCCAGCAGCACCATCAGTCTCGTTGACGGTCATGTCAACATCTTCGACAGCATTCTCGTTGAAGGAAGCAGCGAAAGCGTCGTCGTCGCTCTCAGACGGCGAGACCTGCTGCTGAGTTGCAGAGGCGGCAACACTAGCAGCACGAGTCTGGAGAGCAACGATTTAGTACACCCTTTTCACGGACGGAAAATGAAAAACATAACCATGCATCGTCCGCACCCGGCGGTACATTCGCTCCCCCAGGAAAAAAGCAAGCAAAACAAACCTTGGATCGAGTAGCGGTGGCATTTCCGCCCGACTTGCCGGCCTTCTTGACGGGCATCGGACGGTTGTTGGAAGCCTGTCGTCGCTTCGCTCCGGTGGTGGTGGGCGGCGAGAGAGCAGCCTTGGGCTTCACGGGGCGCAGCGTCTTCTTCTTGCTCTTGCTCTTCTTGCTCTGGACGGGCTTCTCGTGAGAATCGTGCTGCTCAAGGTTGGTTGTTGTAGTGTCTCCTGCGGATCCGTCATGCTGCGCGGCTTCAAGCGGCGAGATGGGATAGATATCGGCAGCGGTGGGAGCGCTGGCGAAACCGTCCTGCTCGGAAAAGGACGTGGCCGGGTCCGAAGACGTGGACGAAAACGACTGTCGGGACGTCATCGATCCCATATCCGTGAGAGCGCCTCCAGCATGGCCCTGGACTCCATCGTTGAAGGGATAGTGCTGTCCGTGGCCGTGGTGAGCGTTGTGTTGATGGGCAAAAGCCAAACCCGCCGCCGCGTTGGCATCATCGCCTCCATTCTCCGCAGCAGCAGCAGCGAAATCCATCATCATTCCCGCTCCAGCGCCGTCAAAACCACCAAGGCCACCAACCGTTTGGCCCTCTCCGACGGCATCAGGTGCAGTGATGGCGATGCTGCGAATCACGTCCATCTGCGTGCTCCAGCGGCGGCGGTTCTGCGCGCGGATGTCTCGAAGCGCGCCCTCGACGAGGTACAGGCTCGCGCGCACGTCCTCCATCTCGCAGCGGTACTGGTGCTGCAGCTTCTCGCGAGAGGTGCCGTCCCACTCGGGCATCGCTGCCGCAACGCCAGTAGGAGACTGAACAGGGGAGGGGGGAGGAGAAGCAGAATGATTCTGGTCCTGCATGGCACGCAGCTCCTGGGCGGCCACGTCGATGAGATCCTGCAGCGTGGGAGAGCGGAGGCGTGCTCCTGCTCCTTCTCCAGCTTCAGCTCCAGGGATGGCGTCTGCGAAGCTGTGCAAGGCGTGTTGTTCCTCTGGGGTGTCGGGGGAGAGGAGGCCTTCCACGGAAGCAACGGGCTGAGCCATCGTGAATGCGTGATGAGATTCACCGTTTCCGTCAGGGGTAGCTTCGTTGAGGAGCTGTGCCACGTTCATTATGATGCACGGGCCGTGTAGTTGTGACTTGCTGTTGTTGTTGTTCGCGGACGCGGTGGTAAGGGGATGGCAGCACAGATGGGGGGGACGAGAAGGAGGATGAAGCGTTGAGAGAACTGAACGCGTCGCTTCGATGACTGAGCTCGCGGGAGGGGGGGCAAACATTCGTTCTCGGTTCTTTCGCGGCCCTACAGCGAGCAGTGAATCTGCGTTGCTGGGCCACCTGGCCTGCTGTTCGGACTCGGCTACCGCCCGCAAGCAGCACTGAACAGACCCTACTACAGGCGGCTGCAGTGCAGTCCCGGCAGGGTTAGTGCGGTGAGTGCGTGCAAACGCCCGCTGGGGGATGGGATGCGGGGGGGTCTTCATGGTCAACGTGTGTGTTCATTGTTGTTGTTGTGTTCTATGGAAGCTTGACGCTGATGGGGATCTCATGGAGATGGGGGGAACTGCCCGCGACTTGTCCCGACTGACCTCGAGGGATGCTGCACCGATGCAACACCCTCAGCAGAATCCATGACTTGCAATGCCCAAGCCAATCCATTGCGTCCCTCATGAATCCCTCGAAGCAAGAATCCAGAGTCGAGTCTCGCAATCGTTTCTGAAGTCGCCGCATCCAGTCCCCCCCATGCCCCACCCCAAACGTCGCCTCGAGGCCTCGACCACCGCAACACAATGGACCCACACCCAGCTTCTCAAAACCTTCCATCCATGCATCATTCATTCTATCATGTCAATCTTCTCTCATTTCACTCTGTCCGTGATGTGACGTGTCCATTCTGTCGTCTGTCGTCTGCCATCTGACTTGGTATCTGTTGTTGTCCTCCAGTGTATGTGTGTGTGTATGCCAACGGGGTAGATGCGAAAACCATGCGGGCAAAAACAAATGGCCACGCCGGCAAGGGGCTAGGCCAGTGGGTATAGAGCTGTAACGCCGATTATGCTGCATCGCAATGCGAGGGAAATGATTTAAAGAAGAAGAAGGGTGAGGGGGGTATTAAAAAGAAAACGGGCTGAAACGGCCGTAGCTCAAAGGCTGCGGAATGGGAAGCGCCAGATGCCCCAAATGTCCCAATTACAAAGGAAAATTTCGGAAGATGTCTTAGAAGGTGTTGCGTTTGCGAAGCGGCCAGAGAGACCAGCCTTTGCGTCGTCGGTGGCCGTCCACGCCGTGATGCGTCTTCTCCGCGCCGTTGCTGCCACCACAGTGGTCGTCGTGCTCGTCCTCGAGCTCGAGCCGGTACCGGCGCACGCTGCCTGTGTCATCGTCGAAGGCGACGTGTTGCCGCGGACTGAAGCAGTCCGGTACGAGGTGCCTGCGCACCCAGCCGGTAAAGCCGCGGCTCGCGGCGTCGATGGCTGCGTACTCTAGCCGCCGCGTGCTGTCGCTGGTCCAGTAGTGCGTCGTCTGTGGCGGTCCAGAAGAGGTCGCAAGGTCCTCTTCTTGCTCCTCGTGGTGCAGATGGCGGTGCTCCTCGTGGTGAAGGTGGTGGTGGTGGCGATGCGTGGACGAAGCCGAAGATGATGTGGCTCCGGCCTCGGTGAGCTCGACAAGGTCAGGCGTCGGGAACTGAAAGAAGGCAATCTGCTGCTGCTGCTGTTGCTGCTGCTTCGACGTGCCGACGGCAGGGACGCGCGCTTGAAACAAGGGCTGGGCGCTGGGTTGCGGATACGACTTGGCCGCGCGGCGAGTCGACGGCCGTGCTCGGGGACGCAGAGGCGGGCTGGAGGGTGACTTTGGTTGTTGGCCCGGATTAGAGGTACGCCTCGTGGGAGACGTCGGCGGCCGTGAGCGAGAAGACGAGGTCCTCGGGCTGGCCGTGTTCGATCCGTATCCAGAGTCCTTGCGTTGCATCTTGACGGCGGCGAATTCCTGCTCCGCGTTGTCGTGGTTCGGCGGAGAGTCTGCGTCGTAGCCGTACCCACGGGTCGAGTCCCGCGTCCGGGGCGGCGAAGGCGGCTCCTGCAGCTCAATGTCGTTGAAGCTGTGATACGTCGTATTGGAAGCCGTGGGGCTTATCCGGGGCTTGTCCTCCATGGCAAGTACACGCCTGCCGGTGACGACGGCGACGAGCGGCGCGTACGAGGCGGAGAGACGAACGACGACGAAAGGAAAAGAAAGGCGTTAGAGTGGCGGCGCGGCGGAAGGCGTCTCGGGTTTTGTATCGGAGAGAAGACTGGACAGCAAGGAGCGGTATAGATGATCCATAGCCCGGCCCGGATAGGAGAGGGGCAGAGAGAAGATGGAGAGTGACGGTCAGGCGGGTGCCACGCTTTGACACGGCGATTCTGGCGGTCCGCTGGGGCTATGCAAGTTGGGTCCGTTGAGGTCCCAAGACCGCCGGGTGGTTTGGGTGATGCGTGTTAATGCGACTCTGGCAGGGGAGGACGGGAGCCAAGATCGGTTCGATACAGCGGTCCACCGGGTTAAGAGACCGGGGTGCGGTGCAGGCCAAGAGACTTTGTGGCCTCTGGAGAATCGATGGCCAAGTTGCGGTCTGCAGGGGTATTTGTTTATGGGGCCGTGAGAGCGTAGCAGCGGCCCAGGTACAAATATACAATTTCGTGAACCAAGGCGGGGAGACGTCACGAAGGCACAAGAAGAGCCAGGCACGCAAAGCGGGCGTGTGGTGTTGGGCTCGCCCGATTCAAATAACAATAGAAGCAGCGGCACCGGAGGAGGGGTGTGTTGTCGTCGTTTGAAACTCAAAAAACCTCAAGAGGACAAGGTTGGTTGAATGGAGGGGAACGAACGAACAAGAAGCCGGAAGCCGTCCGGGCAGGGGTCCGTGTCTCGTTTCTAATAAGCCGTGAATGCGGTGCTGTGCCTTGGTGCGCAGACGCCGACGGCGGTGAGTGAGGAGGGCAATGAATGGGCCCCCGTTTCTGAGGGTATCCGCAGCCCCGTCGCGGATTGCACGCCTTCGCCCCAGTTGCTCCTAGCGCGCGCAAGGCACTTGGCGCAGTAGGTTGAAGCTTGGTGGGTTAGGTTAAAGTCTGTGTGTGTGTGTACGTGCTGTATGCGCGTTGGTCCGAAGGCAGCCGAGTTGGGGGAGGGGGGCCTTTCCGGTGGCGGGACGAGAAAGAGGACTAGCCACCAGGAACAAGAGCGCGGGATGATGATGGGATCAGTCAGGTACCGTACCCGGCGTCTAGAAGGCGGACGGGCGACGATGGCTGGCTGGCGCGCGACCGGAGGAGGGCGAGCTAACCAACGTATTATCGTGGGTTTTCGTAATGGAATGGGAGGGCGGAGCAGGGATGCCGGGCGCTTGTTGAGGAAGAACCCAAGAGAGGAGACGTCGTGGTGCGTGCGCCGGGGGGGCGGGCGGCGGTTGTCGGCTGTCGATTGTCGGTGGGCGACGATGGTGCAATGCGGTGCTGTGTAAGTGGGGGGTTTTGATGCTGTGTCTCCCCGCCGGTGGCGTTTGGCAAGTGGAGTGGTTTTGTTTGGACGTGGGATAAATGAGGAGGCGAGCGACGGCGAGAAGGATAATGGGGCGGGATCGGTACGGTAGTGATGTTGAGGCAGCGAGAGAGGGTGGTTTGCTGCTGTTCCGGTGACGGGCGGTGGTGCGTCGTTGGGCCGTCGTCGAGTGCCGTGAATGCGTACCTAGCAGGTGATGGTGGTGGTGAATGGGAATAGCTGCCAACCAAAACTGCACTGTTCCCGGGCGGCGGCGGCGGCGGCAGCAGCGGTGCTTGCGTTTGCGTGTTGCGGCGTGCGTGTTATTGGGTCCTTGCTTTCGACCTCACCTCATCATCTCATACACACACTCACACGCACAAACACACACACACACGAGGAGCGCTAGGTCATGCGTCGAAGGCGGCGGGGTGTGACTGGCCCGGCGGGCGACATCCGATGTCGCTGGATCTGCACGCGAGCGGGTGCGATGCCGCTGCTGGTGTATGTCGCTGCTGCTGCAGGTGCTGCTGCAGCTGTCGTCGTCTAATTAGTTGTTCCCTTTGTTTGTTCGGGGACACTCTGCGTGCGGCACAGAGTGCAGTGCAGTAGCTGCGCGTGTGCGTGTATGTGTGTGTCTCTCGTGCACGTCACGGGCGACGACACGGAGTGACTTGTACAGCGCAGCCGCCCGTCACTCTCTCCAACAACGTGCGTGCGTGCGTGAGGATGGAGGCCCACGTAATAAACGAACGAGTGGATGACGATGCGTGGACGGAATGTATGAAGGGGGGGTGGCACGGACGGACCAGTCCTTTCTTTATACTACGGACGTACATACATGCACCGATAGCCGCGCACGAGCGAACACAAGAAGAGGTGGTGCTGGTGGTGGTGGCCGAGGGACAGGACAGGACGTCGATCGCAGAGGGGAATGACTTGGTTAATGCAGTGAAGTGAAGGAGCGCGCGAGTGACTGAGCGCGCGTGTCGGATGCTCCCTTTCGAGCCCCTCCGTCCACTCGTCCATCATCATGTGATGCCCTGCCCGGGGATGGGCGCGCATCACAGCCAAGCCAGCTCCAGCACCAGCACCAGCATCACATGCGGCCCCCTCCCCCCGGCGGCACTTGGATCACCTCACACCAGCGTGGCGGACGGACGACTTTTGATGCCCAATCACTGGCATGGACAGGTGTGTGAGGGCCGGCTCGCTGTCACCCTTGTGGACACCCCTCCTCTCGAATTGTACAGGGCAAGCAGGATCGCGTCCACCACGTAAGCAGCGCAGGTACTGGTGGTGGCCGTCGCCCCCAAAAAATCTTGTTACAAAGCAGTGTCGGACCCTGAAGTGCGGTGCATCCCTCGTGCTGGGGAGCGGGATGGGTGGGTGGCTGTGCTGTGCTGTGCTGTGCTGCCCACCTACCTCGTGTGCTGCGATGCGCTGCGGTTCGCTGTGTCGTGCCGTGCGCTGTGAGGTGCTGCCTGCTCCCCTGGATAACCCCCCGCGCGCCCCTCCCGCGTGCCTGATTGGGGGCCTGGGGCTGCCCTCAGCTGCTCGCAGCCAGTCACTCACCACCAGCCCCCAAGAGCTGTGCACTGATGTGCCCTGCCGTGCCCTGCCGTTGGCTTCCTCCTTCAATCCATCGCTCAACCAACATTCCCTCTCTCTCGCATTCAAGGCACCCAGCTCAGCGCCATCGCCATCCCCATTCCTCGGCCATTCGTCCGTCCATCCCATCCCATCCATCACTCTTGTTCCTCCCCGCCATCGCAAGCCACACCGGACCGGGGACGCCCTGCCATGCCTGCCTCGGCCTCCACCCAAGTCATGAGCTTGGCCCACGGGCCGCCCCCCGTCCCATGCGAACCCACCCCTGCAAGCCGCCAGTGCTTCGACGGGGCGGAGACGACGCCGCCGCCGCCGCCGCCGTCGCCCACGGAAGGGACCGCTTCGGCAGCATCCAATGCTTGGCTCCCTGGCTCCAGCAGGGAAGCTTGCCAGCAGCCGGCCCGCCGCACGCCAGGAACTTCAGCAGACACACACACACACACACATACAGCCAGCCGCTGGGAATAATCGATAAATCACGAGAGGGTCCCGCTTCTCAACTTGCTTGGCTTTTGCCGGCGCCAACCAGGCTGTCTATCGCTCTCTCTCGGCTCGGTTCTTGCCCCCCAGCCGGCCGGTCTACCCCCACTGCTGTCCAGCCGGGGCGCTGCAAGGCACCATCGCGCGATGGGGGAGGGGTCACAAATGCCCGCACTTGTTGTGACTCGTGAGTCAGCGGTATTCACGCAGGAGATGGTGATGTGCGCTTTGGTCGGGCGAGATCTGTCTGGCCATGACATGATGGCGCAAAACTGGCCTCGTGTAGACGGATGGTGGCACAGTCAGTCGGACGCCATGAATAGCAGCTGCGAGACCCGTCCCTCCCAATGTGACCCGGCGCGGGTGCCTGAGTCGCTCCCGCGGTGTTAACCTAGGGTTCTCCACGAAGTACAGTACGCTGTCTCCGGCAGAATAACATACAGGAGCAACAGCATCGGCTCACCGTCTTTTACGCACGCGGTAGTCCTTCCCGGCACGGGCACACGACCAACGCATGCGTCGCGTGTGCTCGTCCTACCCAGCATCTCCGTCTGCCGTGGTATCGTCGTCTCTGACGTGGTACCCGAGGCTCTTTTCTCCTCCTCACAAGCCGGTCACCCCTCGTCACTCTGCCGGCGCGTGCTTCAACGCACACTTGCAGAGCTAGTATCGGGCGCGCGCGGCTGATCGGCACTGGCAAGTGACGCGCTGCAAACGCCACCCTGCAGGCCTGAGACTTCTGTTGTCCTCGCGGCATGGAGGCCGCTGTCAAGGCCCGGCCCCCATTCGCACATGCTTGTGGCGCTGGCAACCGCGACATGTGCTTGTCCAGCTGATTGTCTGCAGAGCGCAGCCAGCCAGCATGTCGGAGGTTTGTTTCTCCTGCTACCAATGTCGTGTCCAGCCTTGGCTGGCGCGGTGGAAGCTTGAAGTCTTGTCGGCGACTCAGTGAGACAACATGTTGCAGCTTCTTTGTTGCCGTCGAGTCGATTCCGCGGTGCGGAGTGCAGACGCCATGGGCTATCTTGATTGGTGTCGCGTGCTGTAGACCATTTTGATCCTATTTATGGCTTGTGTCGAGGTATACTGGCCCAAAGAGGAACAGGAGACCATCTTTTGTCCGTCTCATCACAGAGTTGTGGCCTGAACTTGGAACGCAACAAAGGTTCCAAAGGCAGGATGAAGTTGTTGAGGCGGCAAAAGGCAGGCCGAGTAAGCGGGCTGATCCTCTCCGATACAAGATGGGGTTGAGTCATATACGAGATAGAACCGCAACGATCCGTCGCTAGCCCCCAGGATTGAGGCTATGCTACGCCTTCAATCCGAGCGCGACTTGAAGAGCCGCAGGCGGGGAATAGCCCAAGGCTCAGCGACGTCAAGACGTGCGCGAGACTGTGAACAGCGCTTCGTCTAAGCGCACAGCAAGGTCAGCTCGGTCTCGCTCCACGAACAGCACGGTGTATCGACACGCCCAGCATGGAAGCAACACCAATCCCCAAGACGGCGCTCAAGTCGCTCTCCGTCAAGACCACCCTCCCCACGCTGCCCTACCCACCGCTCTCATCCCGTCCCGTCATCAAAACCGCACGCCTCCTCATCCGGCCCTTCTCCGCGACGGACCTCGACGCCCTGCACGCGCTCCGCACCCAGCCCGAGGTCATGGCCTGGATGCCCCTCGGGCAGATCGACCCGGACGTGACCAAGACGCAGGCCGTCCTCGAGAAGAAGCTCCTGCACGACGACCAAAACTACAGCTACGCCATCTGCCTGGCCTCGTCGGGCGCGCTCATCGGCACGGGCGGCTGCCACTCCCGCGGCGGGGGCATGCTCGGCTGGCCCGAGATCGGGTACATGCTGCGGCGGGAGGCCTGGGGGATGGGCTACGGGACGGAGTTTCTCGCGGGGTTCCTCGAGGCGTGGTGGGCGCTGCCGCGGGGCGAGGCGGCGCTGACGGTGGATGTGAGCACGCTGGACGATGATGGCGGTGCGGTGGGCTGCGACGGGCAGGTCGTGGCGCGGGAGTGCATCTCGTCGTTTACGCGCGAGGATAACCGCGCGAGTCGCAGGGTGATGTGCAAGGCGGGCATGAGCCTCGTCAAGGTGTGGGAGGTGATTGACATGCGCGACGGGAAGACCCCTATTGATCTGTACGGCTACGTTGTGCGGAGGCCCGGGCCGTGCTGATGCTCCATGGTTCATGTTCTGTTATGTTGCTGACGTTGGATGGACATGATACTGACGTGACGCCCGCCGGCTGGCTGCTCCCCCTTTGTTGAACTTTTTTGGTGTTTTCTAACCACGCAAGATGCCCACGCGCAGAATAGCCGTCTGGTTAGGTGCGATATGCCCTTGACGCGTGGTGCTGTCCACGGGCGCTCGCACAAGCTCCTGACAACAACCTGAGGACTTGCATGATGTGCGTTCTCCATCGACCGATGTCTAGATATATATGTGTGTGTTGATGAATAAATATATATATATATATATATATACCCGATGGCCTTTGGCACTTCCATGGCATCCACTGGCCACTCAGGGTATGCAGTCGCATCTCATTACTCTTCAGCCCACCGCATGTGCCCGATCGCTCATAGGCGCCCATTTTAATCCCAACCCGGTACCCCAGCTTCATTACAAACATGACCTCGTCGAGGAGTAGGCCGCTTTTTTCAAATCATCGCCAAATAATCACAATCATCATCATGCCAGGTCGCCCCCAAACGCCGTCTCCCAGTCCTCCGCGCTCCCCGCCCGCAAAAACTCCATCCACCCGCCGTCATCCCCCATGACCACGTCCGCGGCCTCGAGCGGCGGCACGTTGGGCCACATCATGCTGAACACGTTGTTGATTTGCGTTTCGGGGCTCTCCCCCACCGGCTGGCTGTCCGCCATGTACGGCGGCATGTCGTTCGGGGGTTGTGCCGTGGTGGTGGCTGTTGTCGCCGCGTGGCCTGCCTCGCCGTCTGTGGCCGTGGCCGTACCGTCTGCGCGTGTGTGCGCCTGGGACTGGGACGAAGCCGCTGCTGTGCCGTCGAGGTACCGCCCGCTTAGTTCGGCGATGACGCGGTGGCAGCGCGAGGAGCTGGCGTTGAAGGGCGCCATGCCGCTGATGGTCTTGAGGGTGGCCCCGATTTGGCGTCGCCAGTCGGTGGCTTCTGGTGCTGTCGGGTCGTTGCGGAGGCAGATGCATGGGATGAGCGCGGCCTGGAAGAGGAAGTATCTGATTCGCAAGTTAGCACATATTCATGACACGAGCTGCGTGAACATAAAAGACGGTCCTGAGGGGCACTTACAGCCCGTACCAGGCAGAGAGCCGGTTGTGCTCCTGCCTCTCCCAGAACTCATCGATGGAGTCAATCGTCGCCTTCGCCTCGGCGAGACACCGGTCGTACGCCGTCGCGCTCGCCTCGTCTGCGTCGAGCTTCCTCCTCAGCGCGCGGCGGATCACAAACGGGCGGTACATGATGACGCGCAGGTTGCGCATGCGCCACACCATGACGGCCTGCGGGAGGGCATACCGCGGCGCCACGGGCGTGCCCTCGGCAAAGTAGACGGGCACGCCGGCCTTCCACGTCTCGATGTGGTCGGCGTCGAGGCGGAGCAGCTCCTCGGCCGAGGGAAAGGGCTTGGAGATGACCTTTTCGTAGCAGCCGTGCGTGGCGATGTGGAAGCGCGCCTGCGTGGCGACGGCCGTGTAGGGCGTCGCCTGGGCGCTCTCGGGCGGGTACGTCTGCGACGCGGCGGTGAGGTCCTTGTCGTTGACGTTGAGCGGGTACGAGACCTCGACGCCCTTGTGCGGCCAGACGTCCGGGCGGCCAAAGGTGATGGACGCGCCGATGTCGAAGGAGCAGAGCGTCCACCACACGCGCCGCCGGATCTCCATGCTCAGCGGCGCGATGTTCCACCCCTGGAACTCCTTGTGCAGGCCGAGCCCCATGGCCATGCGCCCGGACAGCCCCAGGTAGTTGTACCCGGAGTTGGGCTTGTCGCGCTTCTGCTGGTAGTTGGACGCCAGCGTCAGGGCCATGACCAGGCTGAGGTTGCCGACCTCGAGGAAGTTGAAGCCCAGGATGGAGCGTGCCTGCGCGAAGAGCGCCAGGTCCAGCGTGTCCGCGGAGGAGCTGGCCGAGGTCCAGACGCCGATGGCGGCGACGATGTATGCCAGCGCGGTCCAGCACGCGCCGTTGGGACGGGGGATGACCTCGCTGTACTGCGCACGGAAGGTGGGCTCGTGCACGATCGGGTAGCAGACGTGGTAGAGGCGGAAGTAGGAGTCGATCATGGCTTCGGCGATGTGGCGGTTGGGATTCGGCTGGGGGGTCATGGGAGTGGCCATTGGAAACGACGACCCGGCTTCGTATTCTGGCCTCGACTGTACTCGTTTCCTGGTATTAGGGTCGAGGAGGCGGAGGAGTGCCGCGCCAGATGCCACTCCGAGATAGCCTCCTTCCCGCTCGTTGACACTCAAAGACGCCATGCCGTCAGATATGGGCGTGTCGTCTATACTCCCCTCGAGCGCATCTGGGGACAAGCCTTGTGCATACGGAGAGTCCTTTTCGCTCCATTCAAAGTCCTCTAGCGGTGGTCCTTCGAGCATCCGTTGATTGTCGGCATCAACATGGCGAGCGCCGCCGCCGCCGTCTGACGCAGAGTACTGGGGTGGTGGGCAGGGAAGCGAACTCCGTCTCGTAGCATGCGGATTGGTGGCTTTTGGCTCCTCGTCCTGACTCCGCGGACGAGGCGGATCTCCAGCAAAGTCAAACGACTCTTCGGGTTGCCTCGTAGAGGGAGCAGGGCCAGCACCCGCACGCTCCCACGACCGCAAGTGAGGCGGCACCAGTGCTCTCATCTGCCTCAACAGCGCCTCCGCCCTCTCCAACCTGGCCTCAACTTCAGTGAGATGCCTGCGATGAGTCTGTCAGCGAATGATCGGCATGTTGATAAGCGCGCCACACTTCAGAAGCAATGCCGGCCACGTACTTGCGGGTCAGGGGCGTCCTCGAGTGCTTCTCATACAGACAATGCCTTCGATACTTGATGCAAAGATCACACGTCGGCAACGCTCTGTTGCAACGAGCCTTGCGGCGCCTGCACTCCTTGCACGCCTGGTCCGAGGAGCCGATGTAGGACATGTCCAGAAGGGGATCCTGCTCGGCGGCATACTCACCGGCGACGCCATTCCCCGCGGGGGTCGTCGCCGCCGCCGCGCCGGGATGGCCAAGAAGCGAAGAAGGCGTCGATTCCATGGCTGATAAGAGACTGCAAGGTCGACAGTCACCTTGAAGCGTGAGGTTTTGTTCTGACGAAAGAACGTTGCCTGCTCGCTGCCAGAGCGGCTGCGGAGTCGCTTCGGAGATGTAGTGGGGCTCTCCGGCCAACTTTGGTTCAGTGGCTTGAGGGGCGGCCGCCCGCCGGTGAAGATTGTGTTTCTAAACGGAGCCCAGAGTGCCGGCACTCAGCACGGGCAGGACCCCTCCCCCCCCCTTCCAGGTTCTCCACCTCGACCGCCCGTCGGGAGCCAAGTGGACTGCTTACGAGACGCTGGTCGTTTTTTTCTTCTCTCGTGACTGACTGCATTGCCCGTGAGTGAGGTGTGGTTTCGGCGAGCTCGGCGCATTTGCCGATGGCACATAGATCAAAAATGTGAGGCCCGCCGGGCTCAATCACAAACCAAGACTTGCGACCTACCCGGTATGACCGGCTGTAAAGCGCCGCCGCTTCAATGCTTTGCTGTAAATGCAAAGTAACGTACATTTGTGCTGAAGATCGTCGAGGAAGCTGCCTCTCAACAGTGTCTCGCAAGTTCACAATCATTTCTGCAAGCTGGGTGGATGTTTTCGGCCTCGTCTTCGTATCAAAGCTACCGCCAACAGCACACCAACTTGCCCGCGCACGTCAATCTTGACTTTCGGCAGTTGTGGTAACACGACAAAATTAATCTCCCAGACACCACGTTTTATGCCGTGTAGAAAGCTTCTAGAAGCCGTGCCTCGGCGCTGATCCCGATCTGGCCGTGGTTGGCGCATGGCAGGGCGACTGTCGCCCACCACGCTCTGTGCATTGAACCGCCCAAGCGGTCCGCCTGCAGGAGGCAGGACCAACGACGGCAATGGCAGATGCCGTTTCAAGGCAGCGGGCGCACCTTGAAACTTTGGGACGGTCATGCTGGGCGTTGTGAAATGATACTCTAGTCAGGGCTTGCCATTATGCTCCTCTATGCTCTCCACCAAGACGTCATATCTCCCAAAGCTATGCTTCATCACATATTCCCCATTCACCATGTCGTTCTCCTGCGCCCGCTTCAGCGCGTCAGCCATTGTGTTCTCAATCCCCGCCTTCAGGTGTCGAGCCGCGACCCTCTGACGAGCCAGCTCGGCGTCCACCCGGACCAGCCACCGGTCGTCCACTTCGTCGGCAATCCTGCTCCAGGGGCCCTCGTCGCACAGTAAATAATTCCCTTCAAATATGCACACCTCGACGTCAGAAGCCACGCTTAATCCCCCTTCTACCGGATCCTTGACGGCGTGGTCGAATGTTGGCGCGGAGACGACACCCCGGCCGGCTCGGTCCCGGAGCCGGATCACCAGGTCCGCGGCGGCGGCGCCGTCAAACGTCCACGGGGCGCCTCTGCGGGCCAAGGCCTCGGTCGCATTGGGCAGCGCGCGCAGTGTGGAGAGAGGTAGGTGAAAGCCGTCGGCTGAGATGGCGACGATGGAGGGCCCCGTCGGTGAGCGCTTGACGAGATCGACGACGTGCCGGGCGATGGTGGTTTTGCCTGACCCGGGCGGCCCGGAGACGGCGATGATGAGCCTGCGCTGGCCGCGCGCCTTGGCTGCTGTCCACTGTTGGCGGACGCGGTCGGCCAGGGCCTCATACGTGGCGTCCATTGTGTCCATTTCTTGAGTTATTGTGTAGGAGATTATGAGAATCTCCGTGGGCAAGCCCGTGCTCGCCCAGCGGCATGAACATATACCTGGCGCCGGAGCACAGCTCTCCAGGCATGTGGGGTCGATTCGACCCGGACCGGAGAGCAGCGGGAAGCGTACAGTCGCCCTCATGGCTCCGCTCACACCTTGGGGATTTTCCTGTTTGGGCTGCTTCCCCGCATTCATGTCCCGGAGCCCGGGGAGGCTCAGCTACGGATATGAGCTGATGGGGTAAATTGAGAAGGGGAGGTTTGCGTACCCTTGAAAGGATCTCTGTGTGCTTCAACAAGCCAGTTGACCTGACGGTGTAGCGCCTGAACATCAGAATTACAAGTGACCCGTGCTTCGACTATGGCTGAAGTGGCAAGCGCCCGCCTCGTGTGCTATCGCAAGACACCCCCGATTCTCTAACACGCCTCAGAACAAGGCCCTCGTCCTGGAGTCCATCCAGAAGCTCTCGTTTCAAGACCGCCCCGCCGCGGGAACCCTCCCCGACGCCCACTCCGTCCGCGTCCACGTCCGGCAGACGGGCATCTGCGGCAGCGACGTGCACTTTTGGCAGCGCGGCCGCATCGGCGACTTCATCGTCCGCAGCCCCATGGTCCTCGGCCACGAGAGCGGCGGTGTCGTCGTCGAGATCGGCGCCGAGGTCTCCAACGTGCGTGTCGGGGACCGCGTCGCCATCGAGCCGGGCCTGCCGTGCAGGCGGTGCGATTACTGTCGCTCCGGCTTCTATAACCTCTGCGGGGACACAGTCTTTGCGGCGACGCCGCCGTATGACGGGACGTTGCAAAAGTACTATACCACCGCGGCGGACTTTGTGTACCCCATTCCTGATAACATGACTGACGAGGAGGCTGCGCTTGTCGAGCCAGTGGCCGTGGCGGTTCAAGTTGCGAAAACGGCCGATCTGAGGGCTAACCAGGCGGTGCTTGTGTTTGGGTGCGGACCCATCGGCGTCCTCTGTCAAGCTGTAGCAAAGGCATACGGTGCAACCAAGGTCATCGGCGTTGACGTCTCTGAAGCTCGCACCGAGTTTGCGAGAGCCTTTACTGCGGATGGCGTCTTCGTGTCCAAGACGACTCAGTCCAGCGGCAGCGACGCGGATCCAGTCGAACACGCCAGATCACTGGCCGATGACATCATTTCCCAGTTCCAGCTCGGAGAAGGTGCAGATGTGGTGCTCGAGTGCACCGGCGCAGAACCCTGTATCCAGGCGGGTATTTTTGCTACGAAGAAGGGCGGGACCTTTGTGCAGGCGGGCATGGGCAAGGAAAACGTCGTCTTCCCCATCACCGCGGCGTGCACCAGGGGACTCACCATTAGAGGGTCCATTCGGTACACGACGGGTTGCTACCAACAAGCTGTACAGCTGATTTCGAGTGGCAAAGTGCAGCCGGCGAGATTGATTACGCATCGATTCGCATTTGATGATGCCGACAAGGCATTTGAGACGGTGAAAAGGGCAGAGGAAAGCACGCTCAAGGTAATGATTGCAGGCGTTCAATGAGCTGCGTCGAATGGCCAGGAAACAAAGACACAGATTGAAGATTGTGCTTAGGAGCGTGACGACATGGGTGGAAAGCACCGGCTGAGCTTCAATTGAATCTAAGAAATTCACACCCGGAACAAACTAAACCTCCTTCTCCTGCACCGTGCTGTGGAAGCTCGGCCTCCTCCTCGTCTGGTCGGCAAACACCTTCTGGAACCGGCCGCTCGCAATGTTGGACATGTTCTCCTTGACGCCCGCCCAGTTCTCGCGCACAATGTCCATGGTTGGCCGCGAAAACACCTCGTCAATCTCCTCGAGCGTCTTGTCCTTGGTCTCGGGCATGAAGAAGATCTGGTATACCTCGCCGATGACGGCGATGCCGCCGTAGAAGCCCAGTGCCAGGCCCGTCTTGGTCATGGCGTCCTGCATGGCCGTGAAGTTGTAGGTGACGATGAATGAGGCGAGGAACAGCAGTGCGTCGGACGTGGTCATGCCGTAGCTGCGCAGGTACGTCGGGTAGACTTCTGCTGGGATGACTGGGGACGATGTTAGGCTCGAGCATTTTGAGAGGGCATTGCCAGGAAACATACCCCATGTCAGACAGGCATAGGAGCCAAAAAAGCCCATGTAAATGATGAGTCCAGTAAGATAGAGACCCTCAACAGCCATGGTGTGCGTTGCAAGATCGATCTGGTAGCTGACACCAATGAGCACCAAGCCAATGAAGAAACCCGGCAACATCATGATGGCCCAGAAGCGGCGGCCGCACGTTTCCATGAGGAAGATGGCGGGAATGGTGCCGATGAGGAGGGACCCGCCGCCGACAAGAGACATGTAGTTTGCCTTTTCGGCGTCGAAGCCGATCTCGTGCATGAGCACAGACATGTAGTACATGATTGCGTTGACACCCGTGAGCTGGCCGAGGAGGATCATGATGTTGGCGTAGACCAGGGCGCGACGGGCGCGGGGAACACTGTGACTGTAAGCTAAACTGAATTGCCAATGTGCAACGCTCAAGACGTACGTGAAAAAGTCCATCCAGGGGTAGCGCTTGTTCTTGGCACCCTCATGGACCTCGGTGTCCTCCTCACGCACGGCAGCCGCCATGACGAAGAACTCCTCGCGGGACTCGGACGACTCAACGCCGCGGATGCGCTTCCACACCTTGAACGCGTCGAGCGTCTTGCCCTTGTGCATGAGGTAGCGAGGACTCTCAGGCAAGAAGAGCATGCTGCTATGTGTCAGCGCCTGTACATCAATCACGATTCACGTGTGCCAACCGTTCCTCTCGACGAGCGGTCAAGTGGTAACTCACCCGAAAAACATAATGGTGGAAAAGACAAGCGAAGACCCGAGGATGTATCGCCAGTTGCCAGGCACCTTGAGGAACATGGCCGCGACGGCATACCCGAGGACCTCGCCGAGGGCAATGTTGAACTGGTACAGAGAGACGAGGTTGCCTCGGATGCGACGCTCGACCGTCTCGGCGACGTACACGGGGACGGTACCGCCCTCGAGACCGACGCCGAGACCGAGGATGACGCGGGATGCGACAATCATGCCTACGCGCCATTGTCAGCATACATCAAAGACATGGCCCGCCGTTAGCAAAGAGGTAAGAAACTAGACATACCAAAGTTGATGGAGCCTGCCTCGAGCGCAGCGCCCACGGTATACAGCATAATGGAAATCATAATAGCCCACTTCCTGCCAAAGTACTCGTTTGTGGGAGACAGCAGCAGCGCACCGCCGACAGCGCCCAGCGGCATGCCGGCGTTGACAAGGCTGTTCTGGCGGTCGTCGAGCCCCAGGTCCTTGGGCAGGTAGAGGTTGGCGCCGGAGATGAGGCTCTGGTCCAGGCCGGACAGCAGGCCGCCCATGCTGGCGAAGGCGACGAGCAGCCACGTAAAGTGCCGCGGGTCGCGGAACTCGACATTGAAGAAGCCGCGATCCAGGCCGCCGCTGGCCTCGAGCTGGCGCTCCATGTCGTCGATGAGGGCATTGACCTCGTGGCCGCCGGCGCGGGCGACCTCGAGGGCCTCAAACTCGGTCTTGTCCACGCCACCGCCCGTCATGATGACTGTTTAATCGCGATGTCTCGTTTCCTCTTTTTTTTTTTTTTTTTTTTTTTTCAGTCTCCCCGCCAGAGCGTATGATAACAGAGGACGGTAAAGGGCAGAAAGAAACACAAGAAGGCGGTGAGTTGTCCGAAACCCCAGAGATGAAGGGGGTTGCGTAACAGATAACTTAATGTGTCACCAGACGGGAGGAGATGACCAACTCACGGACACGACCACACGGCCACGCTTTGACGGGAGACGGATTCGCCTTTACTTTATACGTTGCTGTCGCACAACTGGCACGCGTCCTGAGAAACACCCGCAACCCGCACTGGGGGAGCCCGCCACCCACTTCGCCTGGGGAATGTACCATGCTCGTCTGCGTGCTACGGTTTCGATGCGGACATTGCGGAGGGGTTGGGGGGGCTCTTTGGGGCTCCGGCCGGGGACCCCAATCGGGGGACGACACCTTGGGCTGATACTTGCATGCATGATCCCACACGTATGTATGGATAATGGGACTAGCAGTAGTAGTAGCAGCAGCCGCGAACGAGGTGAGGCGAGTGGCGATTGAGCCGAGCGTCGCGCCGGCGAGGTCCCCGCCGCCGGGGGGACGGTTGATTGCCTCGATTCGCTGCCCGTCCCCTCCCTCACCGCGGTCGACGTAGCACCGGCAGCGGGGATCGACCGTCCAGCGGCCTGGTGTGGATTCGGGGAGCCGCGTCGTCTCTCCTTCGGGGCGCCGAGCCCTTCTCGAACCCGCGGAGACGTCGCACAAAGACAATGAATGGTCTTGCGCCACGACGCCCTGCAGGGGGCTGACCTCAACAAGCTGTGCTGTCACCGTGGACAAAGCCGGCCAGCAGCGAGCTCACCGTCGTCGGTCAGCCTGCTTGCTTGCTTGCTTGTTGCTCGCGAGCTATAAGCTGTGTGCTTCACCACCGCTAGTCCAGCCTCCGGCAGTTGATGGGGCGTTTGAGGTGCCGCTGCTGCTCCCGGGCCCGCCGGCATGCGTCGTGCCGAAGATGGTGGCCTCGCTGTGGATCGCTCGACTGGCTACAGTAGGGGTTGGGACTCATGGGCCATGGCCGGCCGCACCTCTCTTAAGCCGGTCCCGTTGGCCCACACGATGCTCATTCCCCAGGAAGGGGAGCCGCCCAACACGGTGCGATACTCGACAGATTGATGAGGCATTTTTGCCAAGAGAAAAATTGCCGATGGGCTCAGACTCGTTCCCCCCAGATTTGGTGTGGTTGGCGGCAATGACACGCGCGAGTTGTCGCGTTGGTAGACGTTTGACAGCTTGTAAGTGAAGCTGAGCAAGCACGCACAGGCATGACTTGGCGCGCTGGGAACGGCAGAGATTGTGGCTTGCTGATCTACAGATCTGGCGCGGCGCTGGGCGATGGCCTTGGCTTGACCTGTGGCCCAACAGAGGCGCCGCCCTGGCTTGCCCAGGGGGCTTCGGGGGCGCCGGACTAGTAGCGCCCATTCTGCCCATCCATCCATTCAAGCCATTCCCCCTCCCCTCTTAGGCCCGTTTTCCAGAAGCCTTCGATGGAGCGCTTTCTCCTCGGACCGTCGCCGAACTTAAACCCATCGAGCAAGGGCGAGCCTGCATGGCGCCATCGTCGGACCGACACACAAGCAATAGCCGTTTGAGACTTTGGATGCTGCCTGGATGGCCTCCTCCACTCTCTCCGCCCGCTGCAGACACTTGGCCGGGGTTCTGCAATATTTAGTGACCGTCCCTGCAAGGGACCCCCCTTGCTCGGTCCTGCGTAAAGACTTAGCCGGGCCATGCAAGTATAACTTGCGAGCGGCGTCCTCGAACACGCCACCACCCCAACTTCTTTCTCTCCGAGCGCGGACATCTCTCCTGGTGAGGTGCATCTTTGTCGCGAGTCATTATGCTGGACGAGCAGACGCCCGTGGCTTGTCACCCCAACATCTCCAGCAGGGAACTGTGGGTGAGGTGCCCAACCCCCTGCTCTACTCACCACCATCATCATCAACCACACGTTTCCGTCCCATGTTGAGTTATTGGCAGTATTAAAAAGTCATTGGTATTACACACTCGCAGCTTGGGCTTATCTTCGATCTGCACGCCAAACGCCCGCCGACGCCGCAATGCAGCTTCTCCGGACAACACGGCAACCATTACCTCTTCTCGCTGTCGACCGACTTCTCCGTATCGTTGGTCACCTCGACGTGCGTCTGCTCCTCCTCCATCTTCTTCGTCGTCTCAATCATGTGCGCCTTGGCCGCGTCCCCTCCCTCGAACAGGTACGTGAGCTCCTCCAGCGTCGGGCCGGCCGTCTCCACGAAGAAGAAGTACACGATCAGGAACACGATGGCCACCCAGACGCAGTAGTAAATGTAAAACTTCCACCCAATGTTCGCGAGCCCGACCGGGTTCACGTACCCGCCAAAGATGGACGACAGCTGGATCGTGAGCAGCACAAACGCCCACGTCTTGGCCCGCATCTGGTACGTCACCACCTCGAGCGAGTACGTGACCACCAGATTGGTCCACGCAAAGGTGTAGAAGGCCTGGAAGATGAAGATGCACGCAAGCACCAGTCGGCCCGCGGCGAGAGAGTTCTTCTCCAGGTACTGCTGCGCCGCGATCGTCCACACGATAAAGGTCACGAGCGTGCCGCCGGAGCCGACGCAGAAGAAGGTGCGTCGCTTGAACCTGTTGACGAGACCCGTCACCGCCAGCGCGACAATGTACTGCCAAAGCGTCACCATGCCGTTGACAAGCGTAATGTCCTTGTCGTCCTTCACGCCCGTGTCCTTGAGGATCTGCGTCAGGTAGTTGGACACGAGCAGGTTGCCGGAGCTCTGGCTGAAGAGCGCCGTGCAGAAGCAGAGGCCGATCCTCTTCAAGTTCGGCACCGAGGAGAAGAAGGCCACCCAGGTCATGTTCTGCTCCTTTTCGCTTTCAATGACCTGCTGGATCTCGGCGCACTCGAAGGCGACGAGTTCCGAGTTGGGGTCGCACTCGCCGTGATATTTGATCAAGATCTCGCGCGCCTTGTCGACCTTGCCCTTGGCGATGAGCCAGCGCGGCGATTCCGGGCAGAAGAAGATGAGGATGAGCTGGTACGCCGAGGGTATGATCTGGATGAGCGTCGGGAGCCGCCAGGACCATTGACTCTGGATCTGGAAGCAGCCGTACGTGGCCCACGCGCCGATCACGTAGCCAAGCACAATGGACGTGTTGTAGAAGGTGGTGACTTGCACGCGCTCCTTGGGGTGGCTCAGCTCCGTGACGAGCACGGGGGCACCCATCTGGATGAGCGAGGAGCCGATGCCGAGGATGATCTTGCCGCCAATGTACATGTTGAGCGACGTGGCGAAGAACTCGATGATGACGCCCGTGATGATGACGATCGAGCCCAGTGCCGTGGGCACTCGCCGACCGAAGGCGTCGCCAATCCAGCCCAGGAAGATGAAGGGGATGACGCCGCCAATGGCATTGGAGGCGCCGAAGAAGCCCAGCTTGGACCCCGTAGGGTGGCCGAAGCGGTCCTGCCAGGTGGGGAGCACCTGCATGCCGTTGGTCATGGACTGTTTTGGCGATGTTAGCCGGCTGCAAGTCATATGCTGTCTCGCCTCTCAAGCGACAGCGTCTGCGCTGTGCGGGATCTGCCTTACCCCATCGATGCCGAGCGCCGCACTGGCCAGCAGGGACGACGTCAGGAGGAAGTAGAGCAGTATGCCATTCTTCCTCCGCCAGAAGGGAGGGATGGAGTTGAGGTCAATCGGCGTCAGGATGCCGTCGGTGGTATGGGCTGCAGCGGGAGCCATGACGAAAAGGCAGCGGCGCGTGGCAGCGCACAAGTTCTCAGAGCAGGTTCTCACAGATCGCTGAGGTCTGGGTCAAGGCCGACGAGGTCGTGATGAGCCAGTGTCCAAGGCCGCAGAGTCCCAAGGCGGCCATCGCCGGCGGCTATATAGGTCCGCGACGGGCAGAGACCTTTTGTCGACTGATCACGGTTTGAAGCGAGGAGGACGTTGAACAGCGGCGGCGCGAGAGAACTTTCCCCGTGGGGATCATCCCACGTGTGGCTGCCGCACGACCGGGCGGACAAATGGCATCGGCGAAACTTTTTCCAGGGTCGAGGCCGCTTAGCAGTAGCCGAGGCGTTGACAGATCAGGGTCTGTGCAACGTTCGAGAGTTGGAAGGAGCAGAGTCAAAAACTCCTTCAGCGACAACGGTGTGGGCAGTGGGCCGGCAGGCACCGGCGAAACGGGCTTTTACCCAGCGGCGAATTAGGCGGGGAAATACCGTCCTTGCTTTCCAAGACAGTTTCGACTGTCGTGGATCGACGTGACATCCAATTCCCCGCGCCTGCGACTCGTGATCGTTCGTAATCATCTCCATCTCGTAAACCTTTGCCGTATAACAATGGAATCTTGTTTCAACAGCTCACTCGCGACAAGTTGAGCACTGTATTCGTCGCGTTCCCTACGAGTCTGTCAACGTTTCGTGAGCTCTATCCTCCCTCTTGTCATCGCAAACACCCCCCTCAAGCGCCCGTCCAAAAAAAAAATCGCAAAAAATGGCCACAGAATCAGGACTCCCGTCCGACTTCGAATGGGGTTTCGCGACGGCCGCGTACCAGATCGAGGGCGCCGTCGCCGAGGACGGTCGCGGCAAGTCCATCTGGGACACCTTCTGCCACCTCGAGCCGTCGCGCACAAAGGGCGCCAACGGCGACGTTGCCTGCAACCACTACCACCGCTTCGAGGAGGACTTTGAGCTCCTCACGAGGTACGGCGCAAAGGCGTACCGCTTCTCCATCTCGTGGTCGCGCGTCATCCCCCTCGGCGGGCGGGACGACCCCGTTAACGAGGCGGGCATCGACTTTTACAACCGCCTCATCGATGCGCTCCTCAAGAGGGGCATCACGCCGTGGGTGACGCTGTACCACTGGGACCTGCCGCAGGGGCTCCAGGATCGGTATGGTGGATGGCTCGACGTCGAGGAGTCGCAAAAGGACTTTGAGCGCTATGCGCGTCTCTGCTATGAGAGGTTCGGCGACAGGGTGAAGAACTGGATCACACTCAATGAGCCGTGGATTCAGTCCATCTTTGTAAGTCCCGTTACCAATGAGTGTTTCGCACTGGCTAATAATCTCAGGGCTACTCTACCGGCGGCAACGCCCCCGGGCGAAGCAGCACAAACGAGCAATGCACCGAGGGCGACAGCACCACGGAGCCCTGGATCGTCGGCAAGGCTCTCATCATGAGCCACGCGCGAGCCGTTGCCGCGTATAACCAAGACTTCAGGGACACTCAGAAGGGCACAATCGGCATCTCTCTCAACGGCGACTTTTACGAGCCGTGGGATGCCGAGGATGAGCGCGACCACGCCGCTGCTGAGCGACGGATGGAGTTTCACATTGGCTGGTTTGCCAACCCAATCTTGTGAGCAGCGACGCGTCCCTGGATCTAAGCAAGGAGCAGTGTACTGACTACGGCACAGCCTCAAGAAGGACTATCCCGCGTGCATGCGTGAGCAGCTCGGCTCCCGCCTGCCCGACTTCACAGCCGACGACTTCGCCGTGCTGCGCGCCGCAGACACCGACTTCTACGGCATGAATTACTACACGTCGCAGTTCGCGCGGCACCGCGACACGCCAGCCGCCGCGACCGACTACATGGGCAACGTGGACGAGCTGCAGCAGGACAAGGCGGGCACGCCTGTCGGCGAGGAGAGTGGCCTGCACTGGCTGCGCTCATGCCCCGGCATGTTCCGCAAGCACCTGACGCGCGTGTACGGCCTCTACGGCAAGCCCATCTACGTGACGGAGAATGGCTGCCCCTGCCCCGGCGAGGACAAGATGACGCGCGATGAGGCTGTCGACGACCCGTTCAGGATCCGCTACTTTGACACGCACCTCGATGCGATTTGCAAGTCCATCAAGGAGGACGGCTCTGATATCAAGGGATACTTTGCCTGGTCCTTGTTGGATAACTTGGGTAAGCATTCACTCACTCCCACACCAGCACCGTCCGTATCATAGGCAACTTGGACTGACGATCGACACAGAGTGGTCAGACGGCTACGGACCGCGCTTCGGCGTCACATTTACCGACTACAACACTTTGGAGCGGACGCCAAAGAAGTCTGCGCTGCTGCTGAAGAACATGTTTGCGCAACGCCAGGGCATCAAGGTAGCTGCGTGAGGTCAGGGGGGCCGTGCATGGAAAGGGATAAATGAACACCATAGAAATACTCTGCAATGCAAGGCACATGTAATATACACAAATCCCATCGCTCATACTCCGCTATTCCGTACATCTTTTCTGAAGTCGTTTGCCGTAAATAGCACAGGCGTAGTACTGAAAGACAGCGCTGACATACGCCTCCGGCGACATCGAATACACAGCATCATGACACAGTAAATCATTACAACGCAAAGGTGGAATCACTCCGTAGCGCATCCGAGGCTTTGGAGTCCAGTCGCGTCAGGATATCCAGCAGCACAGAAAAGTCGCTTCGCGCCCTGGCGCCCAGCGGCGAGGTCTGGTTCCGGTGAATGATGGCCAGCAGGCTCGCTCCAATGAGCCGTATCTTTTCCACCTGCGCGGGGTCAGCCTTGCCACTTCACCGCTAACAGGCTTGGTGTTTTGGAGATACTCACATATGGCTCGCCGTTGACTTGGAGCGACCAAAACGGCGCCTCGTGCATCACGCGCAGCATGTCCCGCACAATCTCCGTCTTGCGCAGGTCGGCCTGCTCCGCGCCCGGAGGGAAGTACGATATGTCCTCAAACTTTTGCGTAATGACCATCCGCAGACAGTGGAACGAGACCTGCAGGTTTGCGCATTGGATGACGAACTGGCTCGCATGTGTCGACTGCGCTCCACCGCTGCTGCCGCCTCCGGCTGCGATGGACGCAAACGTGTATGACTGGAGATACGGCGGCAGGTCATCAAGACAGGTGATGAAGCTCACGTATAGCCTATCCAACCGCTGCCTCTCATCCTCTGTGAGAATAGACTCTGTCATGCCGGTGGCATCGGTCGTGTCGGAGGCGGCATGGCGTGCCGAACGCTGGTCTTGCAATAGGCGCACCTCTAGGAGCAAGTCCGAAGCCGCTTGCCAGAGGCGCAGGTTTGCGTTGAAGCCATGAATCAGGCTCTGTCGGACTGTGTCCTGCGTGCCGGTGGACACATCGCCAGACCCGATCGACGCTCGGCCTTCAAGGCCTGTAGGATATCTCGCGGTGATGCCCGACTCGAACGAGTATTTGTGGATGGTTATGGGCCGATTGTTCAGGATGGCAGCTGACTTGTCGCCCATGTAGACGATCCAGAACGCCCGCCGGCGAAGCTCCGTCTCGATCGGATATAGACCCTCAAAGGAAGACTCGTCATGCAGTCGCATCACCTGAGCCAGCCTCGTCGCCTCGCCAAAGATGTGCCACGAGTACTTGGGTTTCCCCGCGGCGTGGATGCAGTTGGAGTGAAAGTAGCGGATCGTGATGGAGTTGGCGCTGGGGCTCTCGAGGTCCGCCTCGAGGTAGTGGTTGAGGCAGTCCCGCGAGGCTTGGAGGAAGAGGTCGGCGACACTCTCGCCTTCGGGGAAAAGCTCCTTGGGCAGGAGAAACGCCGCCTCCGCGCACACAGCCGTAATGAAGGTAAAGGTCGCGTCTGGCCATGTTTTGAGGTGCTCCCCTGTTACGCCGGCGCGCGCATCGCGGGGAAACGCCGGCCATGATTCTCCGACGTTGGCGATATTTGACCGGGTGGCTTCCAGATCTGACTGTGACTGAGCGCTCGGTGCCGTGGGCTGGTTCAGGAAGAACGTCAGGCCATCGCGGAGGCTAGGCTCGTCGACCAGAGGTGTAAGTGGGTAGAGGTATTCGAAGAAGAGGTCCAGACACCGGTTCACGGTCCGCTCAATGGTCGTGTTCCTGAGCGCCAACGCTCGAGACAGGCTATGCCACCGGCTCACAGCCCCAACTGTGTGCGTCCCGCCAGGGGTTGGGGGTGGAAAGTCGCGGACTGCCGACGGAGAGAGCACATGGCTGCGGGTCCCGAGGGTTCCCACGGGTTCCCACGGTCCAGTAGAGGAGCTGGACGGGCTGGTGAATGCAGGGCCAGGCACGGCAGCCGTGTTGGTCGGTCCGCCGGCAGTAAGTGAGACGGGCGGGGGCGGCGCGGGGTGATGAGGCGGCAAAAAGGTTGCGATGCCGCCAAGCGCCGGGATGGATGACGACGACTCGGGCCTCTTCTTGGACTTGGGACCGCGCCGGGCCAGGGGCATGTCAAACGTGCAGCGCGCCTCATTGTCGCGGCAGTGCGTGCAGCTACCGGCGGAACTGATGAAGTCGCACTGCGCAGGCCAGCTTGTTAGTCGAAAGCGATGTCAAACATCCGGCTCAACGGCTTAGCGGTCTTCTGCCGCGGGCCGAATGAAGCGTGTTTCGGCAGAGGCACAGCAGCGGCCAAATGCCCCGACGGAGAAACTCACCTTTGCTTTTCTGCGACGGCACCGGTCGCAGGCCCGGCTGACCGGCCGGCGCCGAGGCCGGTCCGCGACTGGAGACGGCGGACGAGGAGGAGACCCGGTCATGCTGCTGCTGCTGCTGGTGCTGCTGCTCGCACGCATGGGGGGAGGGGGGCCAGCAAGCCTCCGAGCTGGAGTTTTTGCGCGTGCTTACTTTTCTGCACGAGGGTCAGTTTTGTCGGAGAAAATGGGGAGGAGGCGGAAGGGGTGAGGGTGTGGCATGCCGGCGAATTTTAAGACGGACGGAACCCATGGGGTGACGGCCACGCCACTCGACGCCAGCAGCCGAAGCCGGGACTCCACACTTTTATTGGCAAAAGGGTTCCATTTCTCCGCATCGTTGCAGAAATTCAGGTTCAGCTTTATTCTGCCCTGGTCCCCCTCGTGAGAGCGGGGCGGGCGCCACGGGGGTGACTTGTGGAATCTGGGGAAGGAAAAGGTGCTGATCGTCATCCCCATGGGCGGCATTGCCTGACCCTGCGACTTTTTGGTCTTGGCCGACGTCCGTGATAGCATGGGGTAGCATTCAGCCTCGTTTTCTTTGTTTTTGGACCTTGCTCGTCCCGATATCTGGCGGCCAAGACTGCGAGTATAAAGGCGAGAGCGGGCGCCCGTGTAAGTCCCGCCAGCAACCGGATTGTGTCCGTCGGCAGCCCTGAGCTGAAAATCTGCCTCGCCTTTGTGGCTTTCCCCCTTCCCGTCAGCCCATACGTCATTTGTGCAAGCAATGAAGTCCTCCTCGCTTCTGGCCAGCCTTTCGGGGCTCGCTTCCGCGGTTGCCCTGCCACCCCTGAGCCCGAGGGATCAGGCGAGCGCCCGTCCGCCAAAGTGCCGCTTCGCGCTGGACTGGACGCAGAAGCAGGTGCTCGCCGATCCCAAGGGCTTCGCCTGGGACCTCCTCTACTGGGAGGGCAAGTTTCACCAGAATGACGTCGCTTACAACACGGCCAATGGAATGAGCTACGATGGGACGCAGCTCAATTGGACGACGGGCGAGCGCACGCTGAAGCACCCCTTCAGCGCTGCAAGCAAAGAAGTAAGCCTTCCAGTAGATAGTGCTGTCAAATGAGATGCTCACGCGGATCGTGTGTGTAGGCCTTGCAGATCATGCTCTACGCCCGCGCCATCGCGGGCTCCAAGGAGGCCGCTAGGTTCCTCGTCCCGGACCGTCCGTCGACGGCCCCCAACGTGGCCGCATCAATCATGCAGACGAAACTGGAGACTTACCTCCGGTTCAACGAGACATACCCTGGTTTCGGTGGTTTTCTGCCGTGGATGACGACCAGCAACAAGGACGTGGAGCCGACCAGCGACTGGGTGAATCGCGTGCCTGCTCTGGACAACGGGTGCGTATGAGCATTCTCTGTCTGTTGACATGTTGAGAGGATGAGGGAATGTTGACAAGCGTGTCGCACAGTGAGCTTCTGTGGGCCGTGTACGCCTGCATCCAGGCCCTCGAGAACAGCCACAACCCCTCATTCGGCAAGCTCGCCAAGGGGTGGCAGACATGGTTCGACTACGTCAAGACCACGGCTGTGCCCATCTTTTACCGCGGTCAGGGCCTCGTCTGCGCCGTGACCAAGATCAAGGACCAGGGCCTGCCAGTGTCGGACGCGGGGCAGCACTATGAGTGCGAGACGCCCAACTACCTGGACGACCCGTACGAGGGCGAGTTGTTTACGCACTTTATCAATCTGTTCAGCAAGCTGCCCAAGAAGGAAAAGGATCAGCTGTGGACTGTGAAGCGCAAGAAGCTCGTGAGCGTCGAGTACAACATGGGTGGCGTTGGTCCCATCACGGTCGAGCAAGGTGAGCTGACCCCCCCGGATGCTGGTGCTTTCAGAGGCTGACGGCGCAGGTTTCTGGTTTTCGAGCCATGAGCCGTGGAAGGTCTTGGAGCTGCCCTACTACGATGTGGATATTGTTCGGTAAGTGCAATGATCCTCTTTCCGACGACGCATACCTTCCAGCGAACTGACTTCTTCCGTTCCAGCCGGCTGTATCACAACGCCGAGCGAGCTAGGACGTGCAACTCGGTCGTCACCAAGGTGCCCGGCCTCTTCGCCTCGGTTAACAACTCCACCGACCCCGAGACGGACACCATCATCGGGTACATCTCGCCCGCAGGCATTCCGTCCATTGCGAGTCAAAAAGAGCAGGAGCACGACGTGATTACGCCCTACGGCGCGTGGCCCACCATTATGTTTGACAAGGCCGTCGGGCTTGCTTGGTGGCACAACATGGTGACGGCCAAGAAGATGCAGAGTGAGTGCATCCTAGTCATGGCAGCCGATGAACTTTGCGCGGCGCAATCGAGCACTGCTAACATTTGCCTGAATAGATCCTTATGGCAGCACCGAGTCGACGAGAGTTGACGGCGAATTGGTCTCTGCGCTTGTGACTTGGGACAGCAAGGTCACGACGGTCGTGTCGCTCCTCGGTGGCGTCGGGGACCTCGTCCGCGACAAGCTCAAGAGAGACCGCAAATATGACGAGTTTGTGTCAGTGACAGAGGTGAGTGTTTTTCGTACGCGTACAGACTTAAGAAATTGAAGCGCTAACGTGACCATCAAACAGAGAGAGTACTCGCGGGTGTTTAAGAAGTTGAAGGGCGAAAATATCCCCCTGTGTCTGCCCAAAGCCACTGTGCCAGAGGCTGGGCTAAAGGACTTTGCCCTCTGCAAGTAGTTCATGCGGGCCGCTTCCCGCGGCTTAACTGAAATGCCCAGCTCAACACAGTTATCAATTTGTTGCTTCGTAAAAGTACACTAGTTAGTGAGTGTGTCTCGAGGTGTAAGTGAGAGGGCGTGGGGGAGGATGACTCGGTTATTTGGCTGGCAGCTAGGGGACCCACCACAGCTGAAGTCGGCTATATGCACCCCAGATACGTCAGTGACAGGATCGCAGTGTATAAGTTGGAGATTGGAGATATTGTTTCGTGTCTTGACGTGAGACTCGCCGTGTCCATTGAGCATCACCAGCCATGTCCCGCCTAGTCCTGCGCCGCCTGCGGCATGTTGGCCGCCCATTGTCCTCACAACTCTCTTCGTGTCCACCATTACCATCGACTTCACTCAGGCATGGGTCATTGCGAGACAGCCGGCAACGGCGCGCCTTCTCCGCCACCTCGCCGCGCGAGATCATGGAAACAACGGGCTTCACTGAGAACCAGCTCATGGTCCGCGAGGCCGTCGGCCAGATATGCGCGCAGTTCCCCAACACGTACTGGCAGGAGCACGACCAAAAGGAGCAGGACCCGAGCGACTTCCACGCCGCAATGGCCAAGGCGGGGTGGCTGGGCATCGCGCTGCCCGAGTCGCTGGGCGGCAGCGGGCTGGGGATATCCGAGGCGACCATGATGATGCAGACCATCACCGAGTCGGGCGCCGGCATGGCGGGCGCGCAGGCCATCCACGCCAACGTGTACGCGACGCAGCCGCTCGCCAGGTTCGGCACGCGCGAGCAGCTGGAGCACACCATCCCTAACATCATCTCTGGCAAGTGGCGCGCGTGCTTTGGCGTCACGGAACCTAATGCGGGTCTCAACACGCTGGGGCTCTCGACGACGGCGCATCGTCTTCCTGACGGCAGCGGGTACCGCATCTCCGGGCAGAAGATCTGGATTACGTGCGCGCAGGTGGCGTCCAAGATGATTCTGCTGGCGCGCACGACGCCGCTGGAGCAGGTGCGTCGGCCGAGCGAGGGGCTGTCGCTGTTTTGCATCAATCTGGACCGGAGCCAGCCCGGGCTGGAGATGAAGAAGATTAAGAAGATGGGCGGCCGCGCTGTTGATGCCAACGAAGTCTTCTTCGACGGGTATAGCATACCGTCTAGTGCACTCATCGGCGAGGAGGGCAAGGGCTTCAAGATGATCCTCCACGGCATGAACGCCGAGCGCTGCCTACTAGCAGGCGAGGCCCTTGGCTTGGGCTACGCGGCACTCTCCCGGGCAGCAAACTACGCCCGCGAACGCGTCGTCTTCGGACGGCCCATCGGACAGAACCAAGGCGTAGCGCACCCTCTAGCCGACGCGTACATGCGCCTCGAGGCGGCAAAGCTGGCGACCTACCACGCGGCGCGACTATATGACGCGGCGGCTGCCGGCAACGAAAGCATCAAGCAGGACGCGGTGGGCGTGGCGGCCAACAGCGCAAAGTATGTGGCCGCCGAAGCGGCGTTCGCGGCGTGCGAGCGCGCGGTTCTGGCGCACGGCGGGATGGGCTACGCGGCCGAGTACGACGTTGAGCGGTGGCTGCGCGAGTGCCTGGTGCCGCGGATCGCGCCGGTGAGCAGGGAGATGATACTCAACTACATTGGCGAGAAGGTGCTGCGGCTGCCGAGGAGCTACTAAGGGGGGCGTCTGGGGCCGGGTGAAGCATTGTGAGCAGGCGGCATGGTGAGAGTTGTGCATAGAGTCGCCGTGTAGCATTTTTCACATAGATCAAAGCGAGGCATATCACCATATACACTAGGAAAATCTGGAAACATGAGATGGTGCAAACATTAATGCTTTGGTTGAGTGAGGCAAGGAAGGAGTGGTGATGATATTCCCCTCATGTGGGGAACAAATGTCAGGCGACTCTCGGAGTTTGAAGTTGTGACAACACCCAGACCTCATCAATGCGTAATCTCACCCGGAGCTCATCCGAAGAAAAGTCTTCGATTTTATATCCGCGCATGACATACCAACTGCAATACCGCGCGGGCACACTCGCGGCTCGTGCATGTAGAAGGATTAGACGCAGGCCACTCACTCTCTAGGGTAAGCCAGCCAATACCGGAAAAGTCGCGAGTTGGAGAAACTTGGGACACCCCCACACCGGACCCGCTGAACAAATTCTCGGCTTCTTCCCCGGACTCCATATCACTCACTGCGCCCTGGCTTACAAGTTGCAAAATCGCAACGCACCGTCATTGATTTGCTCACTCATAACCACCTAAACAGGGCCCCTTCGCCCGTTACACATTCTGTACCACCGTCAACCTCTTCCAACACAACCATCTCATGGCGTGAACCAACAACGCGCAGATTCTCATGAGTTCTCCGCCCTGAGCTGCGACCCTCCCTCCCTCCCCCCGGCGTCCCTCTCCGCTCTTCCTGCGCCCGCAGACCATGGCCCCCTCCGCGTCGGCCGGCGGCAGCGGCGCAGCGAAGCCCAAAAAGACGCGCGCAAAGCATGCCTGCCGCGAGTGCAACTCCCGGCGGGTGAAATGCAACGTCACGGAGAGACAGCCATGCACCAACTGCGCCGCATCGGGCGCGACGTGCGAGGTGCTGCCGTCACGGCGCGGCCGGTGAGTCTCGCCCTCGATCAATTGGGGATCATGAATTTGGGGCCCTTGAGTTGCGCGTGAGTGAGTGAGTGAATGAGTGAGTGTGACTGACTGAACATCGCCATCGCCACTTAGGTATCCTCGCCGCTCACGACGGCTTCAGCCACTGGCCGCCGGTGAGGCGAGCCCAAGCCACTTGAGAGACTCGACGCAGCCTCCGTCGTCAAACGTCGTCGAGCCTGCCATCTCACTAGGCTCGGAGCATGACCCGACCGCGTCAAGTCCCGTTCATGGCTACCACCCATCACCACGGCGCATCGCCCCGGCCCCGGACCAGATCGCGCCCACCGACACCACCGAGACGCCGTCATCGACCTCTGCCGCGGGGACGCTCTTCTTCGGCGAGTCCAACTTCCTGACGCTCGTCCCCGGCGACGAGGCCGCGGCCGCGGGCGGCGTCGGCAGCACCCCCGGGGGCCAGAAGCCGCGCCTGACGTTCCCCATCCCCGGCAGCCCGGGCTCGCAGTCGCAGGCCGAGGGCGCGGGCATCAGCGCGGGCACGATGCGCTACCTGCGCGACGAGGGCGCCCTGACGCTGCCGGACCTGCAGACGTGCCTGCCCGCGCTGCAGGCCTACTTCACCTGGTTCCACCCGTCGTTCCCGATCCTCGACCGCGCCGAGATCACGCGCCGCCTCGCCGCCATGGACATCTCGCGCTTCCTGCTGCAGTGCGTGCTCTTCATCGGCGCGACGTACTGCGACGACGACACCATCCTGGCCATGGGCTTCCGCGACCGCAGCGAGGCCAAGAGGCTGCTCTACCAGCGCGCCAGGCTGCTGTTCCACGCGGACTGGGAGAAGGACGAGATTATCCTCATCCAGTCCATCTTTCTGATGAGCTTCTGGCGCGGAGGGCCGGCGGACGTGAGGGACGTGCGGTACTGGCTCGGCGTGGTGATAACGCTGTCTGAGTCGCATGGCCTGCACAGATCGTATGCGTCCACCTCACAACGAAACTTGGTGATTCTCGGACAAGGGTGCTGATACCAATCCAGGCCGCGATCACAAGTTTCCAAGAACATACACGTAGCACGGATGCGCAGGAGAATATGGTGGTGCATATATGTGAGCAAGCGCCTTCACAGTCTCATCTGCTCTTCACACAAGCAGCAAAGCTGACCACGGGGTAGGTGAGAGAACGGCAAGTAGCCGTGGCGCTAGGCCTGCCGAGCCGCATCAGAGACGAAGACTGCGACGTCGAGCCGCTCACCGCCAGCGACCTCGAGTCAGAAATCTGCTGCTCCAGCAATCCCCTCTTCGGGTCATGTCAACCCGAGCACATTACCTACTCCATCAAGATGGTTGAGCTCGCCAAACTACGTTGGTTTCCCCCTGCGCCGCACAACGTGTGAAAACCACCGAAGTTAACAGCTAGCAGTGGGCCGAATCATCGACCTTCAGTTCTCTCCTGGGCAGCCCGCATCGACGGCAGCGGATGTAGAGGGCCTGGACACAGCGCTCGAGGCGTGGCGTAATAGCTTGCCAGAGAGCATGAGGTGCGCGACGGATGAGGGCAGCGAGTCAGTCTGGACATGTCTCCTGCACCTTGCGTACAAGTATGTTTTGTTCCAGGGACACTTCACAGCTACACTCTTGATACTAACAGTAGGCGCAGCCATCTCCGCATCCTGATCCACAGGAACAGCTTCTTGAAGTTCGACGAGGGCAACAAGTGGAATCAGGTCGTCACGAGTGCGGCGTGCCGCATCAGCCGCATCGCCGAGGACATGTCTACGCACGGGACGCTGCGCTACGGGCAGATGCACCTGTAAGTCTTTCCGTGAACCAGAACCCACGGAGGCGCAACGGCAGGGGAACACAATGGACTGACACAACGATGCAGCATCACGAGCCTCTTTGCCGCACTGTGCATCCACGCCATCAGCATCCGGCGCGGCATGGGCGTGTCGCGACGCATCGCCGAGCACCGCGCACAAATGTGCCTGCTCTGCCTCAAGGAGATCCAAAAGTACTGGCGCATCAACAACAACGTGCTGGACCTATTCCTGCAGTACCTGGACCGCTCCATCGCGGACCGGCTGCACGCCGCGCAGGCCGACGGGGCGGCCCATGGGAGCGGCAACGCGGACGCGGCTGGGGACGGCGGGATGGGCGGTAGCGGCGTCACGACGAAGCGGTCCGAGTCGTCTGTCGCGGCGGCGTCGTCTCCGTCAATGCCGCCGTTGAGGGGCGCGGGCGAGGCGTTCTCGCCAGGGGCGGAGCACCATCACCAGTCGGGACGCGCGCCGGACGACCTGATGCTGCTGGAGGACCAGTACTTCAACCTGGTGCACGGGCACTGGGAGGGCGACGACGCGCTGGGCGACCTGGGGCTGTTTCTGCAGGCCGACGACTTTGCGCCGCTCAAGGGGCTCAATGTTCTGGGGCGGTCGTTATAGGTAGCGGCCATGCACGAGTGGAATGGACGACGAAGGCGACGGAGTAAATAAAGAGGAACGAGAGGAGCATCGGCACAAACATGAGTTGTACATATGTACATAGGAGCAAAGATTCCTAGCTGCCAGACGGCAAGCTTGCGAGAGCCACAGTTTTGGGGCCTCTTGGGCTCCTTCTGCTGAACTGCTCCCTGATCGTCCCGAAGCGCCGCCCAGGGGTGGAGCAGCCGCGCCTTTCCCAAAGAGGACAATGCAAGTACCCTTCCGCAAGAGCAAGTCACAATGCGGGTCCCGCTGTCCCTGCCAAGCTCCCGCCAGCATCAGCATCATCGGCGGGCGCGAAACACTGCGCGAGGCAGAGAGTAGCATTTTTGCAATGCCGCTTATTATTATTCCACGTGATGGGCGCAGCGGCGCATCATGGCCCTTTTCGTCAGAGGGGCACACGTCGGGCTGTGACGGGACGTGACGCCGGCCGTTTATGACTTTTCCTTCCTTCGAGGCGCATGCTACATAAAGAGAGGCCTGCCCCTCCTGCCCTGGCTCCCCTTCCCAAGTTCCCGCGGTCGGCTTCCCATGTGCCAGTGATTGACATACTCGACGTGCTGCCAAACATCTCTCCTCGGTTCTCACTCGAAAGTCAAGAATCAGGAACGCCCCCCCCAAAGTCGCAAACAATGCAGAGGCTCACCGTCTCCCCCGCCACGCGGGCCCTGCTGCGCCGCCAGTCATCCGCCTTTGCGCCGGCACGCCTCCCCGCCTACGCCGCCGCCGTCACGGCGCGCCCATCGCCCTTTTCGACACAACGGCGGTTACTCGACGCGCAAAAGAGCAACGCCGCGACAGCAGCGTCGCCCTCAGCCAAGCAACAACCATCCTCCGAAGCTGCTGCTGGCGGCGCAAAGCCCGCCGCCGCTGAGGACAACCCGTTCGAGACAAACTTTGCGGGGCTCGGGCTCAGCAAGAACATGAAGGTGTTCCTCATCATCGTCGTGTCCATATTCGGCACCATGGAGACGTGGATGTACTGCAAGGCCATCTGGCGGTGGTGGAACGGCGCGGGCGACGAAAAGGCGGCGGCGCTGCAGGAGTAGGAAAGTGGTTTATTGGAACCTCACGCACACTGAGAGAGCGCCACTGTAAGTTTTACCCGAGCGGTACATGATACCCAAGAATGAAAAAGCGGCTGCCTGGCGGCGAACGCTAACGACGCTCTGATCATAGTTGAGAGAGGCAGGAAACGATGTGTATAATATGTACAATAGCCACAGCATGGATCTCGGTTCAGCATGCAACGCACTTCTTTCATAGAGGTTTAGAACACAAACGAAATATGTACGGCTGCAATAGCCAGTTCATCTCCGCAACCACCTCGGGACACACACACTTGAGGAGGATTTTACGACACCAACCTGCCTGCAGTTAAGAAACGGCGCGAGCGGATCGCGTGAACGCCACGCAGGCGGAGGTGCCTCCGCCTTGAGCCGTCGCACTGACCAGACACGCAAGCCAGTTCCGCGACGCGAGTCACGATAAATGCCGCCCTTCCTTTCCCCCCAAACCACAAGAAACTAAAAGAGAAAGAGAGAGGACGAGTTGCGGGGGACAATAGTGACCGGCCAACTCTGGCGATTGCATCGCGTGGAGATCGAGACGAGGGGGCAAGCAAACGCAGGAGGTGCTGCAAGGTCGCCAGTTCGCACGCGCAACCCCGACGGCGAGCCATCCGAGAACCGTGGCCCCCCAAACTGCGACTCGTGGCGGCGCGATGCAGGTACGAAGTTGCAGCCCCCGACACCGTGGCGGCTCCGCGAGGCATTGTCGCCGGCCTCTCCCCCCGCCGTCCGGCCCACGGGCCGACCCGTGCGAGGTTTCAATTTTGGCCCCGGCCTCATGGCCCGAAACTCGACGTCACGATAAACTGTAAATGCACGGGACAAACGAAAAGCGCCACGCATATCGCCGTGTGTATATATAAATACAGATGGCAGCAGTCCTTGAAGCCAGATAGCCAGCTACTTGCGCCCCTCGCTCGCTCGCTCACCTGTCTACCTATTTGCCTTGCCAACCAGCTGCGCCGCCCATTGACGCTTTCTTTGTCCATCCGCGATAAAAACATCCCATACCCGCGTCTCGAAAATGCACTTCCCCTTCTCTATTGCTGCCGTCGTGGCCGTCGCGGGCTTCGCCGTGGCCGCTCCCACCGAGTTCCAGCCCATGTTGATCGGTCGCCCGATGCAGTGCCTCGTATGTTCGCTCGTCCTTTCCTCCCCAAGCGGTCTGCATGCACAGATGGATGGATCGGAATCTCCCTTCGCCATTTTTAGATGTGTCGACCAGAGGAGAGGAAAATTTTTGCTGACACTTGGGATCTCTGTACAGCCTCAAGGAGCTACTTGCCAGACCTTTGGCAGCCGTGTAAGTCAACCCCGCTCAACACCAGACATCACGACTTCGCACCTACCCACTTACCACCACGAGGGCCGCTCCATGAGATAGACGCATCGAAGTCTACAACCATCCAAGTGAACAATCTCGCTGACAGATTCCCGCGCGGGGACCACAGGACCGATGCTGCAGCGGCAACTGCGAGCTGCCCTCTCGCAACGCCGTCACTGTAAGTCACATCAATGCCACCCACCAACACCTTGAATCCACCTCCCTCACCTCACCTCACCTCATTTTACCTCACCTCACCTCACCTCACCAACTTGATCACTACCCATGCATCCAAAACCATGAAACAAACTGCCCCCATCCAAGAAAAACAATCTGTCCCAGTCCAAATATCGGAAACACGTCCAGGCGTCTTGACACACACACTGACACGAAGACACGTGCACACAGGGCCGCTGCGGCGCCAAATAAGCTCCAGTCAGGAAGGCTGCTCCACAAACTTCAAACGAAACACCTAGATGGAGAGCACGGCCGCGTTTCTCTTCTTCCTTTTACTTCTCTTCTGTCTGCCACTTGACCCGTGGGCGCAGTCACATTCTTTTGCTCGGATGCTCTGGGAGCTTTTCGCTGGAACATCCGGCTTTGGGGCGTCTGAGTCGCCTTTTTCTACTTGTACTTCAACAATTCTGGGGAATACTCGGTGAATTAAGCTGGGTAATGGTGCACTGCCGGTTCTCTTCTATTCCTATGCTTTCAACGTGACATGCCTTTTCGAGTGAGGACTATTATCGGCTACTCACACTTCGTGGGAAACGATCAAAGCACAGATAGCACGCCGGCAGCATCTACATGTACACCACCATACATAAGTTCACGACGGATAGTCTGGATACAAGGACAATCACGCCTCGAATATATCAGAATTGACTTCCATTTGAATCAAGATCCATAATCGCTCATTTACCTCCCAAGCGGAACATCATACAACAGCATCTCCACCGTCTACAGGAACCACCGAAACTCGGGCACGCTCGGCCCGTCACGCAACCGCTGCGTGGGAATATCCCGCGCGTCAATCTTGACGCCGGCCTTGCGGTCGCGGCGCTTGTTGTCGAAAAACATGTACAGGCCCAGGAGGCCTGCGATGGTGGCACCTGCGGCGCCGAAGCAGGCCGCCGTGATAAGCGCAGGCAGGTACTTGGGGGCGTCGTGCTCCCGGAAGATGTTGCTCGCGACGAGGCCCATGACGTTGGCGAGCGGGACGCCCACCGACGTGAGCGTGACACGACGGCCCTCGTGGGCGATATTGTTGTTGTACCACGTGGAGAGGAGCACCGAAGGCGCCGACGTACCCCAGCACATCATGAAGGTGGCAAAGTAGGCGAGCTGCAGCGACTCCGTGACGTCGGTGATGGCCGCGTAGATGACGAAGCCGGTGAGGGTAAAGGCGAAGCCCAGGACGATGAACGGGGCACGGAGGCGCACAAAGTCGGACGCAAAGGCGAGCACGAGGAGCATGACTGCGCCGGTGACGTTGGGGGCCACAGTGTACAGGTTGGTCTTGACCGTCGAGTACTGCAGGCGCTGGATAATCTGCGGCAGGAAGAGCGCGACGGACTGGAGCGGCACGCCCAGGCAGACTTCGATGGCGAGGAAGGCGTACGAGGACGGGTAGGTGAAGACCTTGAGCGAGTCGCGCAGGTTGAACTCCTCGGCAACGACGGACGACGAATCGACTTGAATGCGGTGGAAAGCAAGAGCGCGCTCCTCCTCGTTCAGGAACTTGGCCTCTGCGGCGCTCTTGGGGAGGTACCAGAACGCAAAGATGGCGAAGAGCACGGTGATGGAGCCCTCGATAAGGAAGAGGTAGCGCCAGGCAAACATATGGCTCTTGATGTGGAAGACGCCAAATGCCAGCAGGCCACTGAAGGCGTTGGCAATGTTGGACGCGGCGTAGAAGATGGCGAGACGACGAGCGAGCTCGCCACGGCGGTAGAAGGTGGTCAGATAGTAGATGACCATGGGGAAGAAGGCGGCCTCGGCCATGCCCAGGAACCAACGGACGGCAAAGATGCCACCAAAGTTCTGCGTCGCGGCGGTGCACAGCGTCATGGTACCAAATGTGAACATCATGACCGGGAGCGAGCGCGCAGGGCCGTATTTCTTGCCGAGCATGGCCAGGGGCGGCGCGAAGACGACGAAGGGGACGAAGAAGATGGACACGACGAGATTGTACTGGCCATCCTTGAAGTTGAGATCTGTACAACGGTCAGCATCGGGCCGGACACGTTTTGGTCTGATGAGGATACGGATGAGGCATCATCCAGGTAGGCACATACTCTTGCTGAGGCCGTTGGTCTGGGCGTTGCTCAGATTACCCTTGTCGAGAGCGTTGAAGAGGTCTGTCACACGAGTCAGCGCCGATCCACGCGGGTGTATCGGAGGTGCTTAGGGATGCCTACACATGACGGCCAAGACAGGCAGCAGACGGATGTCAAACTTGAAGGCGAGCTTCCGCTCAGCGACCGGATCGAGCACGCGGGCAGTTTCGGCCATCATGCCATCCTTGGGGCCGCTCTCAATGTGATCGACGTCGTCGCCGCCCTTGCTCTGAGTGGCGGCGACAGCGTCGACTTCGTCCCTGTTGGCGGCCATCTTGCTCTGTTCACTCCGACTCTCTGTCGTGTTCGCGATGTGAAGCGGAGAGTGCTGGGAACTGGCGGTGGGAAAGCCGTGGGCGGAGGAGGAAGACACTGCAAAGGCAGGTCGAGCAAGTGTAACGTTGACGGGTGCGACGCAGTGACGGAGGCCAGGACCAGAAAGAGGTAGATGTGTCTCGGGGGGAGCGATGGTCCGGGCGAGCAGCCAGGTTTATACCCACGAGGACAGGATGGGGGTGACGCGAGCTCTGCGTGAGATGGTTATCAGAACATGACGCCCCCAGCGAGTATCCCTCCTTATTTAGCCAGCGGCGGACTGCGGTCGTGGAGCGGCGGGAGGAGGCGAGCAGGGCATTGGAATGGCGAGAACAAGGCCTGTTGGTGCTTGTATCGGTGCGGTGCGGTACGCTGCGTGCGTGCGCGTGCTGGTGTGTGTGTGTTCCCCCATCCACCGCCATCCCGGGGACGTTATTCGCTCGAGCCGTGGTTCCGCGGTCAGCCACTGCAGCTCACTTTGGGCAAGGTGGCCGGCACCCCCAGATAGCAGATCTAGCCCGGCGGCGCCGCCCTGCGGTCGGTCGCTAGCAGCAAAGCGTAGTGCCCGTCGCGAGAAACCAGGCAGATGCGCGGGCGGGCGGACGGACGGACGGGCGGCAGCGACGATATCGGGGCGCCTCCATCGTCAGTCGGGCCCGCGGCCATCGTCATTGCGAAAGCTTGCCTCCCGGCATCTCTTTCCCGCGCTGGGTCCGTTATCTGGGGAAGAATGCCTGGAGAAACGGTTTAAACGGCTCATGACCCGGTTGTCCAGTCTGGAGAAGGTGGACGAGTAGCCACTGTAGCGCCCAGCGGGCTCCACAGAGTCCACAGCGACTGCGCCGTATCTGTCAGGCCGCCGTGCTTCCCCAGAACAGGGCTCAGGGATGTTGATCTTTGGTTCGGGGGTGGGCACTAAACCCCACAGTGGCTGCTGGCCGACGTATCGCTTGCTTCTGGATGGGGGGCTGGCCGAGCAATTGGAATCAGCCCCGCTTGTGATCGTGGGGGGACGCAGATACGGGCCAACGGGCCAGGCAAGCCAGGTCCGTTGCAGGTCTGATGCTGTCGAAGAGGCGCCGAGTCGAGAACGCGGGCGAGGGGTGGTGAGAGAGATTGATGTTGGGGCTAGTTGAACGAACCGAGCTGCAGGGCTGGGTCAGGGGAGCTGCTCCAGGGCTGCACCTTGCCGGGCCTTTAGCGGTCGTCCAGTGAGCAGGCCGCCCAGGCTTCACCTCGTGATCCTTCGGGCGCTAGGTTTGCGCTCCTGCGTGGGGGACAGACGGGAGCGATAGGTACCTGAGCTGGAGACACGTTGGTGGGGGGCTGACCCCCAGAACCGCCCTTCTGCACCAACAGCCCCAACTGCAATCCGGACAACAGGAAACAAGGATGCTTGGATGGGGGTCAGCCCAAACCAGGTGGAAACGAGCATGGCAATCTCTCACTCAAGCTGCGTCCGCCCTTGCGGGGTCCTTCGTCCCTCAGAGCCCCATGGTCCGCCGCCCCTCCTGAAGACTCGTCCACAGCTTTATAACAGCCAATGACGCTGCTCACCGGCGCGCGTTTCGGCGGGCATCCCACCTGTCACTCCTCAGAATGAAGCCGCCGGTGACCTAACAGATGGAGGCGGTGGAACAAGGTCCCCTCTTCGCCAGCCGACCGGCCGGTGTGGCGACGTAGCAGCCGTAGTAACAAGCAAGTGCCAAGCGCAAGAGCTCTCTCTCCGCTCCCAGCAGAGGTGAGGTGGATAATTCAGGTACAGGCAGGTGCCATTTAAAAAGGGCACCGCCTCTCGCGCACACGTAGACACGGCCCGATTCCTCCTTCATTGCCCTCCTCTACCTTCCTCTTCTTCCCCTTCCATCACCACCACCACATCATCAGTCACAATGGCCACCAAGGAGCCCGTCCTCACCAAGAACGCCCCGCCGCCGCTACCGGGCATCTACAGCCAGGCCATCAAGGCCAACGGCATGGTCTTCGTCTCCGGCGCCGTCCCCATGGACGCCGAGACCGGCAAGCTGATTGACGGCGACATCCAGGCTCACACGGTACGTGCAATCCGCGTGGGAAGGCATTGGTGTTGAGGGGGCTCGCGAGCCGGTCCGTTGCTCGTGGCGGGGTAGTAGACGAGAGAGCTACCCCGCCATCAGCAATGGAGGGGCAGCGGCCACCCTCAAATGTTTGCGAATCTTCAACGCAGACACCACCAGTTCATACCGTGGAGAACGACGGCTAACGGCCCAACAGCACCAGTGCATCAAGAACCTCAAGGCCATCCTCGAGGCCGCTGGCACCACCCTCGAGAAGGTCGTCAAGGTCAACGTCTGGCTCGCCAACATGGAGGACTTTGCCAAGATGAACGAGGTCTACTCGACCTACTGGGGCGACGTCAAGCCCTGCCGGACGTACGTTTTCTCCTCTCCGCTTGATTTTTATCGTTCGTGATGATTGGCATGCTGACTGTTGTTGGTCTGCAGGTGCGTTGCCGTCAAGACGCTGCCGCTCAACACCGACGTCGAGATTGAGTGCACGGCTGTCTTGTAAGCGCAAAAAAGGTGTGACCAGATAGAAGAAGAACAATAAAAACTGTTAAAGATACCAAGCCATTGGCCTTTCTAATCATTGAAGTGATCAAGTTCATGTCGATGCCCTGTTCCCCGAAACCGCTTTAGGCCACCACCATACTGTCTTTACATGCGTGCATGCATAGAAGTCATATTCGTGTCCAAACATGCTATTTGCTTGCCTCCCTCACATGGTCACACCGCTTAGGCCTCAAGCTCCTTCTCCATGTCCGCCAGCTCCCGCAGCCCCTCGACAATCTTCTCCCTCGCCGCCTCGTTCGGTCTCGGCAGCGGCCTCCGCGCCCAACCGCCATAGCCGTAAAACGCCCGCAGCGCCTCCTTGACGCCCAAGACGCCCGTCTGGATGCACACCCAGTCGCCGCGCGCCAGGACCTCCTGCACCGCGTCCACCTCGTCCGCCGCGCGCTCGCCGCTGGCATTTTGCTCGCACAGCTCAAACAGCCGCACGCAGCTCCGCGGCGCCACGTTGCCCAGCCCGCCGATGACGCCCGCCGCGCCCGCCGCGTGCGCCGCGACGGTGAAGTCGGCCGACCCCGCGAAGCACAGGAAGCCTTGTGCCTCTCCCTGACCGGCTGCTGCTGCTGCCGACGTCTCGCGCTGCTGGCGCCGTACCGCGGCGGCGACGCGGCCCAGCTTGCCCGTGTTGCCGCAGGTGAACTTGCAGCCGGCGATGTTGGCGTGCCGGCTGAGCTCGATGAGCCCGTCCGAGTTGATGTCGATGCCGGGCGTCGCGCCGGGGTAGTTGTACACGATGATGGGGATGGGCGACGCGTCGGCCACGGCCGTGAAGTAGTCGAGGATCGTCGCGTTGCCCGCCGCGAACAGGCCGTTGTAGTAGCTCGGCGGCAGGACGAGCGCGTAGTCGCCCCCGTCGGCGGCCGCCTGCCGGCACAGCGCAATCGTCTCGACGGTCGACTGCGCGCCGCAGCCCACGAGCAGAGGCATGTCCGCGTGGCCCGCGGCATCGAGCGCCGCGCGCGTCGTCTTGGTGACGAGGGAGCGCTCGTGCGACAGCAGGTGCACCGCCTCGCCGTTGGAGCCCTGCACCGCGAGGCCCGCGATGCCGGAGCCCGCCAGACGGGTGGCGTGCCGCGCCGTGGCCTTGGGGTCCAGCTCGTCCGTCTCCGGGTCGAAGAAGGCCACCGTGGGCACGTAGATGCCCCGATGCAGCGGGCGGACGGGCGCCGCGTCCCCGTTCCCGTTCGGGTGCGGGCTGGCAATGGCAACAGGAGACATGATGGATATCGAGCTGGGCCTTGATGGGCTGGTTTGGTGTTTTCAAGCCCGGTCTTGCACGCGCACGAGGTTTATCTGGACAAGACGGAAGAGACAAGGCGAGGAGAGACGCGGAGGGAGAGAGAGAGCAAGGCAATTGAAGGCGTGCTGTGAGTTTCCGACGGTCGTCCCGGCATCGGAAAGTAAAGTCGCAGAAGGGATCTAGAAGGCCAGCCGGCTCGCAATGCCGGCCCATCCATCCCACGCTCCAGGCCCCCCGGATGGGAATCTCCTCAGCGTTGATCACCCATGCACATGCAGGTTTGCTCTTCGATGGCGGACGCGGGTGGCGGGCGCCCCCACGTACGCGCGGGCGCGGGCGCCGCCGCCTCCGCATTGACGGACAACCCGCCGCCCCTTTGTGACGGATCGGTCGCATACGAGGGTAGCAGTGCTAGGTACAGTACAGAGTCCTCGTATTATTGCTATGTACTGTAGTAGGGGCGTGTTATTGTCCCGAGTCCCCTGCAGAAGGGCCAAGCTCTTGGCTGCCTCTATTCATTGCTGCAGCTGCTGCTTCTGCGTCGATGCGCCCGCGCCCCCGTCCGTGGCTGACAGTCGAGACTCGGCCCGTCTTCGCGATGCCGCATCGCGACGCTGGTTCGTGGACGACGGTTTCCGTCACGTAACGTTCCAGCACCCAGTCCAGCAGATCAGACGTCGACTGACGTGCATCTGACTGCATCAAAGACTTCGCCAATCGGGACTTGCGGCGCCCCCGGCGCAGTTCACCTGTTTCGGGCGCCGAGGTTGGGTGTGGTGGTCAAGGAACAGAAAAAGGTTTGGCCACCCCATGTTCGAACGCCTCCAATTTCGAACGGGCAGCCTCCACGTGGGGGTCGCCGCGTGTGCCTGGAGTTGGACCAACGGGCGTCCAGCCGGTGACAGCTCCCACACCGGATGGGGTCCAGGACTCCAAAGGCGCTCAAGCACCCTGCGAATGGCACCCTGCGAATGGCGTTGCACTGGTCACATTCGAGTTCGAAATGGCTTGGATTCTTTCTCTATTCATGCGCGCTCTGCCATGCTTTTTGGTTTCGTCTCAGGCCGTCTACCATCCCCTCGTGCGCACCCAAATGTCCACAATCTCATCCCCCTTCTCCTCGTCCACCACAAAGTACCAGCCAAAGTGGCTTCCTGTGATGCATGCGTGGTTCGGCCACAGCCTCAGCTTCTGCCCGACCTCGAGCTTCTTCTCCGCCTCCGTGACCTCCTTCTTCCCGCCAGAGCGCCACTGGAGGATTCCGTGCTCCTGAGACACCCAGCCGACCATCCACCCCGTGTAGTCCTCCACGTCGCACGTCGGCAGCTCCACGCCTTCGCGGCCCCACGGCGTCGGGATGGCCATCCCCTTGTAGGCCTTGCACGTCTCTCGGCCTAGGGCCAGGCAGCCAGCGCCCACGAGGCCCTCGTCCGTGCCGTCGGCGCCGCGGCCGGTGTAAATGCTGTGCACCTCGGCGACCAGCGTGAAGGCGATGTCACCCCATGAGAGGTGCGAAGCCTTGATGCTGTGCGCGGCGAGCTGCTGCAGGTCAAGCGTCGGGTACACGCCTGCGTGGATCTCGACGCCGTGGCCCTTGCCCTTGATTGTGTTGAATAGCGAAGTCAGGGAGTCGACTTCAGCCTGTAGCTCGGGAGTGACGTCGTCGTCGCCGTGCTTGCCAGATACCAGGTTCTGGACAGCGAGGGCAGTCGGCGACGCTCCAGCCGACAGGGTCAGTGACGGAGGGTTGGCCGTGCCCTTCTCAGCAACCTTGCTGCGCACGCGGTCCGCTCCGTCCAGCAGCGCGCTGAGCTCGGCGCCCATCATCTTGATGGCCGCCGCGCGGCTATCTCCGCCGTACGAGTGCCCCGCGTGAGAATACAGGCCTGAGAGAACAATGCTTCCTTGGCTGTGGGCGTCGAGCGCGGCGTCCGTGACAGCCACAAACTGCGCGTTGTCCACGGGGATGCCGGCCCGGCGACCGCCCATGTCGACCTTGAGGTAGGCATGCGGCGCCACGCCAGACAGCTCCTTGATCTGGGACGCAATGGGCAGCTGAGCCGGGTCGTCGAGCAGGATGGAGACGCTGCCCTCACCGAGGGCCTTGGCGATGGCGGAGAAGCGGGAGAGGGCGTTTTTCGGGAAGGGAAGGCCGTACAGGATCTAGGGTTATTCGTCAGGGGAGACGTTGAGGAGCGATCAGACAGCTAGGGGCGCTCACGTTCACGCGCCGGCCCTGGCTCCGGTACTCCTTGAGAAGGGGCAGCAGGAATTCTGCCTCGGCCAGTGTCGAGGCGACCAGGTTGGCCGGGCGCTTGGCATCATTGCCAACTTGCAGGCGCGTCAATTCGACAGTCTGTCTACGTTAGCTGACCCGTCTCGACGTTAAAAAAGTTGAGGCACGGCGATGGAGGGGCAGCGCAGGCCGCACGAGGAGGGGCAATGTCTCGCGCGCGCATGAGTCGGCTCAACTTACCTTGTGCGTCTTGACGTGCGCGCGCCATCCGAGGTCGAGCTGCTCGCAGGCCTGCAGCATGCGGTCGCAGTTGCGGCGCGCGGCGGAGACGTTGAGGACGGCGGCGGGCGTGGGCACGTCGCCGATGGACTTGCCCACGTACAGCTTGGCCAGCGCCTCCTTGGGCGAGGCGGGATAGAAGTCAGGCAGCGACATGGCGGGATGGGTATGATCGCTGGCGAAAATGTGTCAAGGTGAAAAGGTTGACCGGGGACAAAAGAAGAGGAGGATGGTGGTTTAGTGGTGATTGCCCGTCCCCATGGGTGGATTGGACGTGCTTGGTTGCACGGCGGCGTTGAGTCCCCGCCGCTTAGGTTGGAGCCGAGAGCTGTGATGCTGGTCAGTGGTGAGGGGCACTACGGGCACTTCCATACAGTGGATGAGGCGTGGAGGGGCAATCCCTCCCAGGCGCCCTCTGCTTGTCACCGGGCACCACAGCGACCCAGGGGAGCCAGTAGGGGTTCAGCGCTGTCCTGCCACGCAGAGCTTCTAGAAGTCACCTTACACCTCACCTCTCACACCTCACCCACACCTCAGCCGGCATCGGCCGCTCATGTTGGCGAGCGACGCCCACTTTGCCTGGCCTAGCGGCGCTTCCAAGTTCCAACAGCTGCCTCCACCCCTGTCCTGTGCCACCGCCGTCCGTGGGGGTCAGCAGTGAGCAACGAGGCGGCCGTCCTGTGGGCTCCAGTCTCCATCCTCCCCTCCCCCTCATCTGCTTCTCGCCTCCGCGCGCCGATCCACTGCGGAGGCGCGACGCCGAAGACGCCCGGCCAGAGAGCGCATCCGGCAAGACGGGCGGCACCCGCCATGGTGGCCCCTGCGCGGAACTCGATCGACATCACGGGGTCGCCAGACTCCAAACAACTCATCTTCTTCAAACGCGCTCCGCATCATCAGGTTGGGGAAAACATTGTGGGTTGGGGAAGTCGTTCTTCATGATCATCCGCGGGGGCACGTTGGGGGCTTGAAGATGCTCTCGTCTTCCAAGTTCCAAAGTTCCAACAAGAGCCTCTCCACTGCAGAAAGCGAGACTTGGAGACGACTCCGCATCTCTCTCCACACGCGCCGATAACAGCCAAGGAACAAAGCGTAGCCGGTCATCCACAATGAGATACCACGTCCAAGATTGTAGAGTTGTAAGGGGCCCTGTGGGTAACGGCACGGTCGATTCCTCAGCGGACACGTCGGGGCAAGCTCACTTGTCTAATTGCTCCCTGGATGGAGTTGGCCGCTTATACGCGACAGCTCACTTCCCTTATCACTCCATGGATGGAGTTGGTCACTTACACGCGCAAGCTAGTGGCAGAAGGCCTAGTGCTCGGACTCACGTCTTCGCAGCACTGCAACGGCAGCCGTGGCGTTTACAAGCCCAAATGTTGAATGAATAGCGGGCTATCAGGTCACACTTCTGCGGCTGCGGTTGTGCAATCTGCGGTCAACCCGTCTTGACGGATCCCTCGCAGACTGTACGACCAGCATCTCCTTTTATGCGCTCAACCCGAGGCCTCACGCGTTGTCACCTCCGCCGCGAGCGTCGTGCAGGGTAGACCCGACTTATCGCGAGTATCGCGCCTCTCCGGTGGCACGTCCGAAGCCTCCACCTGCGACTCCATGGCTTCGACCCGGCTCACGGACTTTTTCTTCCTCTCCCACGCGTGTCCGCCCCGGTCGAACACGTCGTCCATTTGCTCGAGCGTGTAGCCCTTGGTCTCATGCGCCATGAGGAGCATGTGTAAGAACGCGGCTGCGTTGACTGCCGATCTCGGTCAAACAACCACATCTTTGCACGGCAGTGGTACTGAAAAGTGTTGGTAGAACAGAATACTTACAGGAGCCGAATATATAATATGTCTTGTAACTGTCGGTCTCATGTCAGCGCTTGACTGTACTCATGGCGTGAGACTACACTTCTCACTTGACGTGCCACACTGGTGAGAAACTGCGAGTCAGCTTGCGCAAGACGGACCAGCCTCCTACCCAGTGTCTACTGTTTTCACTCACACAGCGGCGGCACCGCAAACGCGAGCACCATGTTGAACAGCCAGTTTGCGGCCGTGCACACGCTCACGGCCCTGGCGCGGATCCGCGACGGGAATATCTCCGCCGGGTACGTCCACGACGTCGGCCCCCATGTCGTCGCGAACGTCGCCACGAACAGGTACGAGCACACGACGATGCCCCACGACGCCCCGCGGTGGCCCACCACCACCCAGCTGATGTCCTTGTTGTCCTGCGTGGCCGTGGCCGCTGTGTTGGGACGGCCGTAATGGTGCTGCAGCGCGCCTGGATGCGCAGATTCAAGTTGAGCCACGTCTTTCACGGGGTGTGTAAGGTGGGAAAGGGGCAAGGGGGGCGTACCCGATATGAAGAGGTAGGCCATCATGAGAAACGAGCCGATGACGAGCGACGGCCGTCGGCCCCATTTGTCGAGGAACAGAATAGCCGGCAGTGTCAGAACGACGTTTATGACGTACTGAATCGACGCGGTTAGGAGGGGGGACCCAATCTCAGCGGCCTCCATCACGTACACTATATAATCTGTCACGCGGCCACCGAAGCCCATCATTAGCACAACGCGTCCGAAGAAACGCGCAGCGAGAGGATGGAAGTCAAGGGGTCGACCAACACATCATGATATTCATCCCACACAGCTGGCTCCATGCCTGAATGCTCATGCCCAGCACCACGCGCCGCACCATCCGCCCCTTGATCAGCGCCGCGAAGCTCCCGTCCGCCTGCTCGCGCTCGAAGCGCAGCGCGTCTTCTATCTCGCGGTACTGCGCCCTCACGCGCGGGTCGTGGATGGTCATGCCCTCGCTGGTCCGCCCGTACGTGCCCTCGTGCAGCGCCGCCAGCGTCAGGAGCGCCTCGCGCCAACGGTCCCGCGTCGCCAGCCACCGCGGCGAGTGCGGGCAAAAGTAGAGGCTCACGAGGAGTACCACCGCCGGCACCATCTGCACCGCCCACGGTATACGGAACGCCGCTGTGGACTGCGCCGGGTCGCGGGGCCCGCCCGAAACGCTCTCGGCGACGCCGTACTGGATGAAGAACTGTATCAGGATGCCCCATGTGATGGCCCACTGCTGTAGGCTTGACTCTTGTCAGTTGCCATGCCGTCTGCTGCCCGCTCTCGGTATTTGGGCGTCCTCTGACCCTCTCCGCAGCCCTCCTCCTCGATAGGAATCGCATGGAAGCACCAAGCGGACGATCTACTCACCTCACCACCCGCCCCCTTATTTCTTTGGGCGCAACTTCAGACTGATACACGGGCACTATCGAGCTTGTGACCCCAACGCACACTCCTGCGATCGCTCTCCCAACGCACAGCATCACCACCCCCATCGCAGCACACTGCACCACGCTGCCCACGATCCAGAACACGCAGCTCACCTGTAGCGCCGCCTTTCTCGACAGCCGGTCGGCCGTTATCGACGATGCCAGCGCCCCAACCAGAGAACCCGCCGGCATCGATGCCGTGATGGCCCCCTGAGTGTAGGACGTCGGGTATCCAAAGAAGCGCTTGTATGCCTGTGTGCCCAGCACACCTGACATGGACGAAATGTCAAACCCGAAGAGGGCACCTCCTGAGAGGCTCCCCGGCAAGGGGAGCCGTATGTTAGCCATCTCCATTGGGCTCTCGCACCATATCCAGCGGCGGTGGGCGGGCCAGACACTTGCCTAAAGCTGCAATGGAGCAGACGACATACACGTTCGTAACTCTATACATGGCTCAGTCGCAGTTCGAAGCTCCTGTAACCTTGCCGCATACCGCATCGAGTCCAGGGGTGCGGGACGGCGCTTTCTTCAACCCGGCGCGTGTTTGTTTAGCTTTGTGGCTTCGGATCGGATCGCGCAAAGCCGTCGTGCGCGGTATCAATAGACTTTACCCCAGCATCGAATGGCCGTCACCCGCGTCACCGGAAAGCCACCACGGATCGGTAGCCGGCCCAATAACAATGGTCGTATGAAGCAACTTCGCTTTCGCCATGCTCTAGCTGCGCGTCCTCTCCACATCCCCGTCCAGCGAGGAGTGCAGTGAGGAAAAATGATGACCGAAGCCACCGGTCGAGTGTCCAGCGGCCGAGACTAGCTCGGCTGCTTGACTCATCCCGCAAGATAGAAGATGTAAAGTCACCCTCGTCCACAGAGCGGGCGTTGACTCACTGTACACAGTCAGCAGAGGCTTCCCGGGTGCTTGCGCGCCCGTCGAGCGCCATGTCACTGCAACGGTTAGCGGTCACGCCACCAGGGAGAACAAAATGAATCGAATTATTTGGCGCGGCCGCGCGGCCAGTTCCTCAGAGACGGCTGGAGACGGGAGGGAGGTCAGACGCCTTTGCCATCGCGGCCGTCAAGGCGGTCAGCCATCGTTATGCTACATGTTCAAATCCATTCGCCTGGTCCATCTAATCCGTCGGTGGCTGGTATGCAGCTCTATCGCAACGCCGTGTGGTATCTCGAAACACGAAACGCCATGCCAATGCAATGCTGTAGTCAAGTGGGACGTGGTGACGACTCGCTCAGTCCGAGTCGGGACAAGGTCCGATGGTCTTCTCGTGAACGAGCTTGAGGTATGCTCGCTGCATTCGAAACGAAGAGTAGTCTCCTCTGAGAATGACGTCAAGGATGCCGCCCTTGGTCGACTCTGGGTGGCGTCGCAACTCGTCCATACGATTCGTAAGGGTCAAGTAGGCATCATGAAAACGCGCCAGAATCGCTGGCGTGTTGGATGAGCCACCCGAGATGTCATTTGAGGGATTGTTTGGATCGATGATGGAGAGGCGGTCACGGTTTCGGTAGGTCAGCGTTTTGACTTTGTTCTGCGTAATCTGTCAGCACATGGAGAGACCGCACACGGAATCGCGGGACCGACTCACCTTGCTGACGTATCCAACCGGACTCGTAAGGGAGATGGCGTTCGCCTCATGCTCAAAGTGGCGGCCGTAGAGGTCCAGAAAGTCCAACAGAAAGTCGCCAAGGTGATGCTCCGGCTTGATGGTGCGACTCTGCACCTCTGGGTTCATCTGCAGCATGCTCACGACCAGGCATATAACCGAGAAGCCGCCGATGCCGCCGTTGACGGGCTCATTGAGGCCACGCATGAGCAAGAAATGCTTCACAACCGTAACGAGAATCGGCATTGCAGGATAATCTGCCTTCCACTTGAGGAAGGTGTCGACAGCTCGCACGCCGCCCAGGTTCTCAAACGACACGTCCACTTTGAGGCCCGTGGCCTTGTCCACGAACTTGACCAGCGGAATGCGCGCGTGAGCAATGACCTCAATGGAATCTCCGTCGGCCACGTCTTGAGAAACAAGAAACTTCTGGAACTTATACAGCCAGCTCTTGGCACTGAGGTACGTGGGCGGACCACCCCTCATGAAGCTTGCGGAACAGACAACGAGGTCCATGTCCGCCGTTGGGAGGTAAAGGCCGGACATGAAGGATCCAAACGGACGCACCTCGGCGGACGCAAAGTTACGGGCATCGCGCCTCATGGCCCGCTGGAGGTTCTCAACGAGCCGAGTGCGGATGCGCTGCTCGAAGTCGCGAGGACGAACGTATTCGTAGAAGTCGATGATCTCCTTGTGCAACCTGCAACGGGTTAGAAACAGGATTTTTCATTTCTCTGTTTTTCGTTTCATAAAATCGGAGGAATGTTTTACTCACTGGATGCCAATATTCTTCTCGCCAGAATAATCCATCACAGCCCACGGGCATGGCTCCTCATTCTTCTTGGGCTGCCAGTTTGGCACCAGCATTCCTTTGGAAGGGCGCATGTTACCCTTTTTGAGCTGGCCGTAGTCGGGCGGTTTGATCACGTCGTCAGCCGTGCGCTTGCGAGAGCCAAGGGGTCCAGAGCGATCCGGCATAACGCTGGAGGCGGTGGTGAACTGGGCAGGGTTGCCGTTCTGCAGTGTTGCCCCGCCACTGGTCGCTCTTGCCGAGGTGACCTCCAAGCGGTCGGCACGAGGACCCGTGGGCGGCCGTCTGGGCAACTGGAGGTCAATAGCTGGCGCGGCGTGTTCATCATCGCCCTCGTTATCGCCTTCGTCGCTGCTCATGCCGATGGCGATAAAGTCCTCAGCTTCGGGTGGCGATTCGGTGTTGGGCTTGGTCTCCTCCACACGGGCCTTGCGGATGAGCTTTACCATGTCCCTCTTCTTGCGCGTGGTTTCGTCTGGGCAAGGTAATGCAGTGTAGGGGTCAGGATTGGACCACTTGGGGGTGGCGTTGTCCGATTCGCTAGCTTTGTCCGTCCGGATTCGCTTCTTCGGGTTCTCGTCTTCAGACTCGGGCTCTTGATCTGAAATGTCCATAGCAACTTCGTCGTCATCTGATAGCTCGTCCAGGTTGCGGAACTTGGCCGCGGCGTCCGGGTCATTAACGCGCTCGCCAGGGCCCTCGATGGCGGTGCCGGACACCAGTGCGCGCTCTGCAGGGTGCGGTGGCCTCCACGGCGTACGGCCAGGTCTGCGTGGCGGTCCCCCACGGCGGTCTCCACGTCTGCCACCGGATCTTCTCTCGCGCGGTCCGTTCTCGCGAGGTTCGTTGATGGCCGTAAAGCGAATAGGCTCAGAGCCCGACGGCTGTGGTGCTCGGAAGGTGAAGTCGCCTTGCGGAACCTGGGGTCGGTACATGTCGGTGTGAGGTGGCGCGCGGTTGGAGTCGCGGCCAGAACGGTCCGAGCCACGGTAGGAGTCGTAGCCCTCGTTACGGTGCGGACGGCTGTCACCTGGCCGCCACCTGTTCTGGGAGGACTGATTCTGCCCTGGGCGGTAAGAGTCGCCGCCACCCCGGTCACCACGCCATCCTGGCGGATCGTGGCGAGACATGGCGATCCTATCGCGGCCGGCAAGCTAAGTGTCTCTTGCGCGCGCGCTCTCACCGATGGGTTGAGGCGTTAGACAGGAAAGCCTCCTCGGAGCTGGAGTCTTGGGGTGAGGTTGGAACGAGCACGCGTAGAGTGCGTCCAAAACATTTCCGTCGGGATGACGAGGAAAATCTGAGGTGGGTCGTGCGACCGCTGAGTCAGCCGAGATGGGATTTGCAGGCAGGAGTGGAGGGGTTTCACAGCCTGGAGCGCTGCGCAATCGCGGAGTCGCTGACACGCTTGGGGTCCAGCGCCTCCACAGGGCACGCACAGGGCACCCGACACTCTGGGCGCGGCCTGCTGCACGATACCGACAGCCTGGGACCGAATCCAAATCGGTCCGTGCGGTGTCGCACTCGCACCTCGCACTTCCACGCCATCTTTCACAGGTCTCACAGATCCGAGCCCATTAATTTCCACGTATATTGGTCTCTAGATTATCCAAACGTCCGCTCAACATGCCAACTCCCGCAGGATTTCGCGCGCGTACTTGGCACGGTCCTCGTCAGCTACCCCAAGCGCTCCATGATGGCCTTCCAGTCTTGTCTGGCCGCCCATTCTGGCCAGGTCGTCATCGGGCACTCAATTCCAGCCTGTTCCTGTCAGCTCAAGTATCGCGTTCTTTCAGTCACGGCACTCACCTTGCGTATGTCTTGGGCCGTGAGCAGGTCCATGGCACCGTCGTAACCTGGGTCGGACGAGTATGCAAACATGGCCGCCACCTCGATTCCACACTCCCTATCCGGAGTCGCGGAGACCATTTCATCCGTCGTGATCTCTCTGTATTTCACAGGATAGCCCGAGACTTTGCTCCAGGCTGCGAGGAACTCGGGCCAGGTACTGATCGTTCCGGCGGCCATGTACGCCTTGCCTGCCGGCATTTGATACACGGCGTAGGCAAAGTTGCCCATGTCGCCGACAGGGTCAAAATGCGGAACGGCCTTGCTTGGCGAAGTCGGGAAGGCCATCTCTACGCTGCCGTCGGCTTGCTGCATCTCGAGCGGTCAACATGGTGCTAATGGGGTACAGAGAGTCAGTCCTGCAGCCGGGTCAGGGGATGCGCACCTTTCCAAAGTACGAGTTTGGCAAGATGTTGAAACTCGTGTAAAAGAAGCCCGTCTGGATGCACGACATCTTCGCTGCGAGCTCGGGATACTTCTCCTGGACATATGTCGGAAAGATGTCTGCCTTTGCGTCAAAGTGATAGAGGTCCTTGAACTTGCCGCCGCTGCACCTCTCCGCGTGGCTCAAGGTCGACGCCAGGAAGCCATTGGAGTCGAGCGACGCGACAGTCGAGGCGGCGGCATCCGAAATGTTTCTGCCCTGCAGGCGCTCAACCTCCCCGGCGTACTCGCGACAGGACACGCCTTGCTGTTCGGCGGCGGCGCGGCAATCGGGACGGAAGAAGGGCTCCCAGTAGTTGGTGACGCTGAAGATGACGTTGGCTCCCGCGAATGCGGGCTTCAGCGTCTCGACATCTCCCAGATCGACAGAGACAAGCTCGGCGCCCTGCTCGGCGAGCTTGGTGGCCGCCGCCGAGGTGGTGTTGCGGGTGAGGGCCTTGACGTGAAAGCCGGCCTCGAGGAAGCGGCGGGCGACGGAACCTCCTTGATTTCCGGTAGCACCCACAACGCACGCGATTTTCTTGCCAGGGGCAGCCATGCTGATAATATCGGAGGGTGTTGAGTTTTCTACTACGAACACGATTCAGGAGGGAATTGTCGCGACGGCGAACCTTGGACGTCCAAAGCCCCACGCAAGGCAGTGGCCGGGCGCATGAGAGGCACCGCAACCGACCGATGGTCGACTCGATTACAAAGGCGGGCCGGACCACGTTTGCATGTCCTTGGCAACTGTCGCAAGTCACTTTATTTCCGCAAAGCCCTGGAAACGAGAGCGACCAGGGCCGCGGATATACTCCACTCTGTGGGCTTTGGTGCCATGCCGCCGGCCCACCATCTCCAACGGGCTCCAACGGCTGCATGTGGAGAGGAGCCGGTCCTCCGACCTTCCGAACCGTGTCCGTTGAACTCTCGATAACGAGGCACGGCAGATTCCCCGATCGTGACTGAGAGCGCATGATGTGCAATCACCAGTTGTGCCACTGCTGGTGCCGCGGAATGAGGGACGAGCTCAGGTATCCATGCGACCCGTATTTGGTGCATTCGTTGGTGCACACCACGCTTGTGTACAGCCTAATTGAGCATGCATTCATACTACATCCTCCATGCAGGGCCTAGACTGGCGGACGAGCTGGCGAGTGGCGAGGCGCGAACGCCCACACCGCTCCTGCAGGGCAACCCGCCTGTCGACACAACGTGTACGGGCTGGTCCGGCGACAAGTGAAGCTATTGCTCCAGCATTCCGACGAAAGCAACGGCTAATCCCCTTTGCACAGCTGGGAGTCTGGACGACCACACAGAAACGGTGAGGGCTGAGCCCACCGTCGGCAACTGCGCTTCCACTCAGCTGCCTCTCCCATGTGGCTAGGCTCGGCTCCGATTCCAGACGAGGATTGCTTTCTGCGAGGAACAAGCTACGTTTGGATGTACTTTGCAAAAGGGAGTGGTCCGCAAATGACATTCTGATCCCCATTGTCCTCCCTGAGCCTACCGAACCGGAATACCCCACGCTCGGCGAACCGAACCCCCAGTCAATCGTATCCCTTGAGACAGCCAACCAGCAGGGTTGGCAAAAATGTCTCGCGTAAAGATGGATACCGTTAACGAGTCCAGGGCGCGGAATACTTGGGCAGCTGGACCCCATCGGATAACCTTCCATGACAGCCGACATCCGGCCGCATCTATTTGTGCACTGATGGCAATACGAAGCCCAGCCAGCGTTCCAGATACGGTGGTCTTAATCCATGTCCCGTGGCGAAGTTAAGCTGTCGTCGTGTGGCTCAATCCAGGAATCGTTTCGCGAGCTTATTTCTCGTTCCAGGACTGCAAAAGCTCGTGGTGATAATTGCATGGTGAATCGCAAGTGCACCATCCCGAGGCTCACGCTTGACGTCGTGGTCATGTTGAACATGTTGGAGATTATTATTACACGTCCATGTATCGACGTGAAAATTGACATACATTCCGCAAACATTGAAGCGCGTTCTCGACCGGCGGCGCCGCAGCCGTCATTTGGCATCCGCCACACCTTTCGTATTCCATGACCCAAAACCGAGCTGAGGCTTCATCTCCCTTGTTCTCAACAACCACTACGTTGACCCATTAGAACCATTGGGCATGTGGCCGACCATGTGGTTCGCCCTGTCCATAGTTTCCTTGCATAGCCGCAGGAAAACTGCGCCGAGCTCTGGTCTGTGCAGAGGGATCAGACTGAAGATGAGGGATGCCGTGATGCGGAGTAGCGTCTTCCTGTGCAGGTGCATCGAGTACGTATCCCTCAGGAAGTCGAAGAAATACTCCGTTAGCTCGCTGAGGAGGCTGTCGTCTGCCTCATCCAGGAGTGGCTTGTCACCGCTCGCGTACTCTGCCAAGTCGTGGCCATTGTCGCTTTGGAACAGGATGTGGTCGTAGCCGCACAACGACTGTAAGACTTTGGCGAGGTCATAGTGGATATCGCCTTCGGTAGTGAGTGCATCGCCAAGTTGGCCGCGAACGTCGATGAATGTGACAGTACTGTCATCTGGGGAGAGGATGGCATTGCTGAAGACCGGGTCGCCGTGGATAACGTCGGCATGTACGCCTTTTCCTTCTGCCTCGTACGTGTCCAAGAACTCGTGAATGCGATTGAAGAGCGACCCAGCGAGCGGACCGAGCGCGTCGTAGCAATCGCGATGTCGTTCGTACCGGCGGCAGAGCTTGTCGCAATAATTGGCGTAGATGTCGACGGGTCGGTCGCCCCGTTGTCGCGAATCGCGCTCAAGCAACGCCTGAAGTGACGGCTGGGCTTCGGCGCCAGGCTTATCTACCCGCTTGGCGGTGTGAATGGCATGAAGTCCCCTCAGGAAGGAGAGAAAGCGGCCCTTGGTAATGGAGCGGCCAACGAGCATGTGAGAGAAGGTCCGGCCCCTGCAATTGTCCATGGTGATGGTGAATGTTCCAGTCTCGGCAAAAAAGTCCATGCTGTGAATCGTTGGGAAGATGTTGGCGATCTCAGGCGGCATGTGCAAGTAGAACCAGATTTCGCCCAGAATCTGTTCCGACTTGCTCGACTTGATGACCTTGTCGTCAATGACCTGGATTGTATTGAAGTCGCGCGCAGCAACCATCCCAGCTTTCTTATGCCCGTTCGTATGACCGTTGGCATGGCCATTCGTATGACCGATCTGCCCTGTCGTCTCAAGATGGTCAGGGGCCGCCTCGCCCTGCTGGTCCAGCCAGCCAATCTCTCGTGTCGTGTCGAGGTTCGCGTTGACTGCCAAGTCATCGATGTACACATCGGCGTACGGTTTGCCGAAGTACACCTCATGGAACGGGATGTCGTACGCGGCCAGTTGCGCAAATGTAATGGGCCCGACATCTGCAATGACTGAGCCCACATTACCATGGTGTGTGCGCATCCGACGTGCAGTGTGCTTGATATCACTTCGATTAGCGTTGTCAAACTGTGGTATAGAATGGGTGGATTGGCATACAATGATGATGTAGTGCCCAGCATTGTAGAGCTGCTTCACCAGGCGAATGTTCTTGTCGATCGGAGGGCAAGTAGAATAGTCCCCCGCTACTGCAGGTACTCCGACGAGTGTCAGGTCCAAGTCAAAACAGAAGCGCCGCTTCTTCAAGGCCAGCGGATGTTTGCACTCAGCACTCTTGACGTGGCGCAGAAATTCCTGTAGCTGCTCGGGTGTTCCCACGCAGGACATGTCCTGCTTTTGGATCGGCAAACCAACATATGGGACACCATCTTGAATCATGTGTGCGATGAGTTGTGAGGTGAAGTATTCTCCCACAGCCTGAGAGTTGATACTCCTGACATCTAGAACTTCAGAGGCGTATGACCTGAGCTCTCGCGCGGTTCGAAAAACGTAGGCGCCCGAGTTGGCCTTGTTGGAGATGGCCTTTTTCTCTTGGATGTCGACGATCGAGTCCAATCCACCACTGCAGGGAATCAACATTGAGATCAAGCCTTGTTAGCTGAGACGGAAGCAATAACATACCTGCTTTCCGTTTTGATATAGGAGTATATGGGCTTGTCACCATTGTCGGGAAAGTAGAAGCAGCCGCCCTGGCCCGTAGGCATGTTCCGAACCTGGCCCAATATGTCGTTCCAGTAGATGGTGTCGCAGTCGAGGGACACAGTTTTGCGATCGAGGTACTTCCGTGTCATACTCTGGCAAACAATATAGAGCTTCAAGCGTGAACGTGTTAGTAGAGCTCACGATCTGGGGGGCACTGCGTCGTGTTACCGTCTCACTGGCACCCTTGGTCGGGTGCCGTAGTCTCAAGACATTGTGCTCGACGCCTTTGAGGTGTTTGGCAACCAGCTGCCCAATGAGAAACTCTTCGTCCACTTCTTCGCTTACTGCGATCCAAACGACATCATCGGGCTGAAGTGTCAAGCAGTCCAGGAGCCACAGAAGCATCGGACGGCCGACAATGTTGATGAGGGGCTTGGGGTAGCGGTAGCCTCGCTTCGCAAAGCGAGATCCGACCCCGCCGATCGGGATGATAATGTTCAGGGGCTCGTGGGTAGACATTGCGACAAGCGATGAACTACACTGATGATAGTGAACCAGACGGAGCGGAATCAAGCCTTTCCAGCGGAAGGACTTCTACATCCGACTTATAACAGAGCGGAAGGGGCCCCTGTTTAATGTTGCCTCGTGGACATGGATCTGCACTGCCCACAAAGTGAGGGATTGGAATCCCAAATGCAGGCAGCTCAGCATCTCTGAGCGCTTCAAGCTATCAAATGTCATCCAGAGTCCCGTGGCATGATCGAACCTAAAATTGATGCCGAGCACTCTGCTCAAGGGTGGCTCGGCAAGGCGCCGAAATGATACGGCTGACACGGCACTTGTACATCAGGGAGGGAGCCGCAGTCAATTTTTAGCAGCGTTCCCTCGGAGTCATCATCGCCAGTTGTCAACAAAGCGGACCGCATAAGGCAAGGCATCCCAAACGGGCGCGCGTGGTTGGGGCGCGTGGGTCTGAAGGCATGAGAATGCACCCGCGCACCTGCGTCACAGACCCGTCGGGCGGCGAAATGCATGACACTGGAATCCACCGTAAAATGTCAAAGCGATCCTGGCATCCCACGGAAAGTAATGGGGTATGAAAGCTTGCTGCCGGTGGAAACCATCCACGGTGAGGCTGAACGATAATGCTGTGCCCCCTTGTCGCCAGGCTTCCCTTGCGTTGATTGGTATTGTGGCCACAAAGTTTCTCGTAATGCGCAGTTCATCGGAGCCGGTTCGGGACGACGTCTGAAATTAAACACCTTTGCATAAAGGCGAAGGCTACTCTTTTTTCTTTCCAGTCAAGGGTCAACCCATCTGGACGTTGTCGGGCGCCAGATGCTTCCAATTGTGGCAGCATGTTTCCAGCAACCGCCATGCCGACTCGGCTGTGGTCCCTGATATGGGTTCACGGCATTCCAATTCAGGGCGTGGCAGCCACTGCCGGGCTGATAGCAATCCAGGTCGGCATCGGGATTGTTATGAAAGCCGCGCAAGTCTCGGGCTCGTATTCTTTCTCCCCTTCCGCCTCCATCGTCATATCTGAGTTTCTCAAATTGCTCTTGTCCACGTTTTTCTTCTGGCGAGAGTCGGAGCAAAGGAGCGACTCATGGCCACCGCCTTCATCATTGTCGTTGGAGGGAGGCGCTGGGCCACAGTACTCCCGTTTGGACGGCGACGATCGCGCTCCTGCGCCTGAAAATGCGATCGATGACAGCAGTCAAGCTATCCTGGCGACTGATCATGGCGACCCTTCTGATACAGTACCCGCCAAGGACCAACGTGAAATCGTGCCCTCGAGCAAGTCCCGTTTGTCATTCTTCTTGCACGAGTTCAGCGGGGACTTGGCTCAACAAAAAACGGAGGGCATTATCATTCTCGCTCTCTGCTACACCCTGATCAACAATTCGGTAGATCTCCCAATTCGGCTTTCAGAGTCACAAGCTAACCGGAAATGAACATAGATTTTTCTCAGCTACAAGATAGCCGATCCAGGCACCATACAGCTGTCCAAAAGTGGTGGAACGGTCGTGACGGCCATCATCATGGTCGTCTGCCTTGGCACCACGATTTCGCACGCCCAATGGACTGCCATCGCTATCCAGGTACGTTGCATGAACCAGCAGCTTGGACGTGGCCGGACATTTGCGCTAACCTGTTGGCTCGATAGCTTTGTGGCTTGATTCTTACCCAATACAAGGGCGACAGCAAGACTCTTATCATGTACCCTGTAGGCGTCTACCTTATCCTCGTCTTACAGTTGGCCTTGAGCGCATCTGCGGGTGTGTATAATCAGTATCTCGTCAAGCTCAACGACTGCAGTTTGCATGTCAACAACATGATTCTGTACGCGGCGGGGGCAAGCATCAACTTGGTCTGCCATCTCGTCCTTCGCTGTGTCAATGCCAACGAGCCTGGCTTCTTCCATGGCTACGACAGTGTAGGCGCAATTATGGTAGTTCTCAGCAATGTCTTCATTGGGTTGGCAATCACCATTGTGTACAAGTGTAAGCTCGAACTTCAGCTCCGACTCTTCTTGAGCTAGATATGAGAGTGCTAACGCCCAGAGATCTAGATGCCGATGCACTCATCAAATGCTTTGCGAGCGCCGTATCCACCGGAATATTGCTTTACCTCTCCCCTATATTGTTTGGCACTGTCTTGGGCGACCTCGTCATAATTGGCGCTGGCCTTACCTTTTTTGCATCTTGGCTCTACATTAGCAGACCAGCGCCGCAAAAGAAGAACCAGACTACGGACCGGGGGCCCCAGAGCAACAATCGTATATTTGCAGCGATATCGGGCATTTTTGAAGTAAGTGTTTCAAAACACCAACGGCCCGTGTAGGAGACCTGGGTTTCCCGGCAGGATTACTTACATCGTCATCTTCGTTGCAGAAATACACCGGCGCATGCCTCGGCATGTTAACCTTCGGCGCGGTTATTCTCGTAGTATTCCTCGCAATTCCTGAGCAGACGATGCCTGGCCTTCTGAGCGGCACAACTGCCCGCGCAGCCGAGGTCATCACTTCGCCGTTTCAAAACACATTCGCAATGGTCCGCTGGAACACCCGTCTGCCCGAACGAATACCGCTCATCAAGAAGTATGAGCCCTTCTTCCGTGCGGTCCACGTGTCAATGCCCGAGTTGGACAAGGAGCGTCCGGCCAAGTTTCATGACTGGGAAACGGACCAAGCACCCAATACCTTTACGATATACTCGGCGGTCGCTCGGAGCATGAAGATGATATTGTCTACCCAGCCATTGATCGACGGTCTCCTTTACTTTCACTTCGACGCCTGGATTGACCCGTTGGCCTGGGGCGACCTGGATCGGAACAACATCTGGTTCCTCAACTCGAGCGATCCGGTCTACGGCTGTATGAATAACACCAAGACCAGGAAATGGTGGGGACTGGACAAACAATTCCACCTTCCCGCTTTGAACGCGACCAGAATCGTGGATGAACTCGACGCGGGGTACGAGGTGCAAGAAGGCTACTGGTGCATCGGCTGGAGCGATATATACTACATCCCGCGACGGTTCTTTGTCGACTATATCCTGTTGGCCGACATCTTCTACGAATACGAAGTGTTTCACGAGGTGGCTATTCCCACCATGGTTCGAATCATCAACGACACCTACAGCCACAGCGACGCCGAGCCCGCCGTACACGACATTCGTGACTGCTGGGGATCTTGCTGCTCGACCAAGCCCTCGATTGAAAACGTCACGATGAAACGTTGCGGTCACAAGCTGGACTACTTGTCTGAACCTCTTCGGACAGCATTCTTCGACAAGCTGGATGGGCAAGCTCAGATGCTCGGTCTGCCAGCTCCGCGGGATGAACGGCGATCTTCTAACGCTAGTCGCACATCGTGGGGGTGACAGGCAAGCGTTTGAGGGGTTGCCATGCCGCTCTGGATGTGCTCTCTGGATGTCGGACGGCCAGACATTACAGCGAAACGGCTGCTCGAGCATTGGAGGGTAATGTGGTGACTATGTCAGTGTCACTGAGGCGTCTGGACAATGGCGCGAATATATTCCTTCCGGGCCTCCGAACTACTACTTGAAGGAGCGCAATGCGACTGTCAACCTTGATCAACCCCTGCGGCTAGAGGTGGTGTGATGTCAATGGGCAGCCGCCAGAAGCGAGCATAGTGATCCCTGTTCGTCGTACGAACCGGCGGTGAGACGAACTCCGGACCCGCCGTTGCCGCCCTTAGCGGACCCAAGCATTGGAGGAGGCAGCGGCGTGGTGGTTTGGAATACGGCGTCCGTTTGGCGGCTTATCGTACAGGAAATGTCCGAGGGTCCGAGGGCGTCGGCGCACACCAGGTCCTCCCTCCTGTCAGGGCGGCAATATTAGGCAAATGATCGAATAGGCGGGGCTGTGACAAACTCAATTGACGCAGGACACGCAACACCGACGCTCCCAGTCGTGGAAACTCGAGCCCCATGGTCCCCTAGAACCGACAGCAGTGATTAGTCAGTGAACGGCGCCGTACTTCACTCAAGAGCCCGGTCAGGTCATCGTCTGCTGGTCTTTGCTTAGTTCCAGCAGTACATCACTCGCGTGGCTCTGCCCTGCGGATCGTCGAGAGTTCTGGCCAGCTCCCCGTGAGATGAGGCCGCGCGCAGCCTGCCTCCGGGACCCTAAGCATCGAAATGGATCAAGGCGGCGGGGCGCCCTTGGGGGCCGCCAAAAGCAACGAGGCCGCATGCCCGATTGACAACCTGCTGAACCCTGCAGCCGTTGCAGACGCCGAGCGGCCGGCGCCGCTGCAGGTCGACGTGAGTGCCTCCTCCGGCTCCCCAGACCGGCCGGCGACTAGGTAGCTGACGCGGGCGATGGCGGCGCGCGGACGCAGACCGAGGCGTACGACGACGATGGCGGCAATGGCGACGGCGATTCGGCCTACGGATCGGACGGCGGCTCGGCGTACACGGGCTCCGTCACGTCCTCTATCTACGATTACCAGTACGAGAACGGGCGCCGCTACCATGCGTACCGCGAGGGCCAGTACGTGCTCCCCAACGACGACCAGGAGCAGGAGCGCCTCGATCTGCAGCACCACATCTGGCGCCTGCTGCTCGGCGGGCGCCTTTACACGGCGGCGCTGCCGGATCCGTCAACGAAGCCGAACCTGCGCATCCTCGACCTCGGCACGGGGACTGGCATCTGGGCAATTGACATCGCGGACGAATTCCCCTCGGCCGAGGTCGCGGGCGTGGACCTGTCGCCCATCCAGCCCGAATGGGTGCCCAACAACTGCCGTTTTCATGTCGACGACTACGAGGACGAGTGGACCTACCGCGACGAGGAAAAGTTCGACTACATCCACGGTCGCGCGCTGAGCGGCACGTCGTCGGACTGGGACCGCTTCTACAAGCAGGCGCTCCAGCACCTGAAACCGGGGGGCGTGATGGAGATGCAGGAGTACGACGCGTGGATCTTTAGCGACGACGACAGCTGCGACCGCGCCCCGTGGACGATGGAGTGGGTGAACAAGCTGGACGCCGCCAGCAAGATGTACGGGAAGCAGATCAACGTGGCGCAGCACCACAAGCAGTGGATGAAGGACGCCGGCTTCGAGGACGTCCGCGAGGTGGTGCACAGGGTACGTACGCCCCCGGAAATCGCAAGCTTTATCCCCATCGAGGCAATGATGGCGCAGAGTGCTCACAGACCGATTGCGCAGATACCCATCGGCCCGTGGGCCAAGGACCCCGCGCTCAAGGAGCTCGGCCGCTTCGAGCTCATCCACATGCAAATGTCGGTCGACTCGCACACGCCGGCGCTCTTCACGCGCGTGCTCAACTACTCGGCGGACCAGGCCATGGTCCTGATGGAGGGCGTCAAGCGCGAGTTCAGGAGCCGCGACCTGCGACTGATTACGAGCTACCGCTTCATAACCGGGCGCAAGGCCTCGACTGCGGCGTAGTAGTGCGCATTGGCCGTGCTGCTTGCGCGCACGCGCTCACGAGCTGGGAAAGGTTCTTTCCGTAGAAGTGCTGCTTCGTGCATGAAGCGCCGGCGTCGAGCTGGCACTCCATGTCTTAGGGCGCGTTGTAGAGACCAGGGCTCCGGCTGGCCAATGTGCAGCCAAGTATCTAGCTACCGTTACGATGCACATGAATTCACTGAGCGAATGATCAACGATCAATCATGATGGCTTGCAAGTGCCGACGCTGTGGCCGCAACGTGGTCCCAGAAACCGTTGAAGAAATCTGGGTGCCTTGAGGCTTGTGCAGCCATTTCCCACGTGGCGCAGCCCTACGCCCGGCTGTTGAGCGTAGGCCCAGTGGATGGTGCCGCGCTCGCTGGAAGCTAGCCATTCTCAGCTGCCCGAGCTTCAACGCTCAAAATGCAGGGCAGCACCCTTGATAAAGGCTGCCCCGCCAAGCCCATTCCAACCTCCATCACAATCACGCTCCGGCGACGACATATTGATCTGCCGAAGCCGTCGTCTTCACCGGCCGTTCGCCGGCGCCAGACACACACTCGACAGCTTCCCACATTACGCAGTGCACTACAAAGGCCCCCGCGGGCGCGTGTGCGACCCCCTCGCCACCATGAGTCAGGAGCCCGAGAGCGGGAGCAAGCGCGCCGCCGAGTTCAACGAGGCCATGCTCGGCGTGCCAGGCTACGCGGACGACTCCATGTTCTTCCTCGTCCGCTACGGCGAGCGAGCCAAGGTACGTAGCCAGACGCTGGCCGCGGTTACCACCCTCCGCCCGCCAAACGGCTGACCGGCGGGGGCTGACCCATCTTCGCAGCACACGCTCCGCCGCTGCGACTGGGACGACTTGCAGAGCACCATCAACCAGATGTCGGAGCTGTGGGTCAAGGCCGGCGGCGGCGGCGGCGAGCAAACACCTGATACGGCTGGGGAGTCGTTGGAAGAGCGTCGCGCCAAGGCCCAGGAGTTGCGGCAGCACGCTCTGTCCATTGTCGAGCCGTTTCCAGACTTGGCGCGTGACTTTGATCGGTTCCAGGCTGCGTGCCGGTCTGCGTGGGCGGCGATGAATCGTCCCAGTGCAAAGAAGTGAGGGATGCATCACCCATATGTGGTATGTAGATGTTTGGACACGATGTCCTTGGCGTCGGGTATGGTTGCGGCCTGTTACAAAAGTGGCTTCATGAGAGATCACTTGATATGCACATTTTACAAGAAGCAAGTACCGTGAATTTGAATCATTATTCTATGGTGTCTTGATATGCCCGTTGTGGACGCCGAATCCTGAATTAGGGGGTCTTCGCCGAACCCGATAAAGCGTGACTCCAAACCATTAACCGTGAAGCGATTGTCGCCTCAATATGTAAGCTAGCATTATGTGCTTGCAACATGTTTACCGCCCCGGCTGCGCCGTATAAGCCCCAAAGTAGAATGAAAGGTCGTAACTTTTTTTTGTTCGTTCCGCTGTTTACAGCTGGGCAGCTGCCAGGGCGACGACGGCTCCCAAGCCCAGGAAGACGCTCTGCACGCCGAGCGCGGCGCCCGCGGCCGTGGGCACGGGCGACGCCGAGGTGATGCCCGTGGTGGGCTGCGGGGGCAGGCCAGTGCGGCCGGTGCTGAGGGTCGTCGCGTTGGCGGACCCGGTGGGCACGCCCGAGGCGGAGGTCGGGGCGGTGCCTGTGGGGAAGAAGCTCGAGCGGGTCGAGTTGCCGGCGGGCACGCTGAACGACGAAAACGACGACGACGAGGGGGCCGAAGAAGCAGACGCGGACGACGTCGACGCCGAGGTGACGGTCACGGTCGTCGAGGGCACCTCGCTGACGATGATGGAGTTGGTGCGGGTGTTGGCCTCGGTGACGGAGAAGCTGTTTTGCGCGAGGGCGGGCGCAGCCAGGGCGGCGGCGGACAAGATGGTGGCGACGCGCATGGTGCTGGTGCTGGAAGTGTTTTGGTGGTGATGCGTGTAAGTCGGAGGTGCTGCGTGCGTGTATATACACGAGTTCGCTGTATGAGAGCGTGTGCGACTTGGCGTTTGTTACCGCGAAGGAGACCTGACGGCGACAAAGTTTATTGTATGAGCACGAGATATGGAACAAGTCGAGTCAGGCCCAACGGGCATGCTCTTTATACAAGAGGCCGTCCATGCCGGACAGCCCGATCTGCCAAACGGCGAGCTGCGCGGCCCGCCCTCACAGAAAAAAAGCCGCTGCCACCCCGACAGCCTGCCGAACGGGCTGGTGCAACCACCACCAAACACACGTCACCTTCCCACCACCTTGTGTGCTTGGCCCCAGGCGCGGGCGGGCCGCCCCAAAGCGGCAGTTTCTGGGCCGTTGGCTGGGCGTTCGCCACCGGGGGCTGTGATGCCGTTATCGCCGCGGACGCTGGCGTCAGCTGCGCGGCTCCAACGGCTGGGCCGCCGCCTGCCTGCCTGGAGCTGTGTTTTCCTCGTCCGGAGTACAGTACCTCCGGCAAACTCGTGCATTTGAGTTACACACGCAATTGCGCAAGGTGCAGCGGTGCATGCACTGCTCCGAGCGGTACAAGAATAGAACATGCAGAACGAGCTGTGACCAGTCGACGACTGGCTGCCTCTTCTCCTGCTATTGCTGTTGGATGAAGAGGAGAGTCAGCAAGGCTGTGATGTCGCAGATCGCTCGTATCAATCCCCGTTATGAATCTTTTTTCGCAGCCGTGTACGTGGGAATCAGCCAGAATGCCCGAATCACTGACTGGCTTCTTCGGAACGTGCTGACATCTTGCAGCGCGAGCGCGGTGACAGACTGTAACGGATGTGGCGGCAGCAACAGAGACCGTCGCCGTTGTGCCTACACTTGGTGAGCGCCACAGCATCCGGTAGCCACCTAGGGAGACGCCCAGCACCTGCAAAGGCCCTGATCTCACCTGTTCCTCCAGAAGGGTGTGGTGGTGGTGGGCGGCCCGCTCGCACGCCGTGGCAACGTCATCCCACCGACCGCTGCCACTGAGCCCACCAGGCCCCAGCCACCTTCCAGAGGCAGCCGGCAGCCCAACCACCACTGAGTCAGGGCTTCAAGGTTCGCCGTCGGACAAGCTGGAGCACACCACCCATCCACCATGGATCCACCAGCCTGTGGCTGGGAGGGTGGCTTGCTGCAACTCTTCGCGGCGCAAAGCACTGAGATCCGCGATGCCCTGGCGGCGCTCACTGGCACACCCACCCATCCCATTGCCGGCCCGATGGTCTGTCCTCTGCCAGCAGTCTATTTTTGGTGCTGCCCGTTCGTTTATTAGAGTTCTCCGTCTCGCGGTGGCTCAGCTGTTTCTGTGCGACGTTGCACTTGGCACTCGGTGCTTCGGTGCTTTGCGGCCGCGGTAGGTACCGGAGTGAGAGCTGAGCGCCTTCGACTGCACACACGGCATTCCAATGACCGCGCGGCACTTGTACAGATCCGGGGCGGATGGTGTTCGGAGAAACGCATGCGCAAGCCGCGCAAGCTCCATGCAGGTCGGAGGTTGGTGATGCTGGTGATGCAGTCGGGCTTGCAGTGATCTACAGTGGTGGTTGGTGTTTGCAGTAATGATACGATGCAGGTCGGTTCTGCAACGAAGAAGTGTTTGCTTGGGAACGGCTCAGTCGGCACAAGCAGCGACTTGTCTCTGGAGCAGATGCCCAGACTCCGACCTTTGGCATGATGCCGCTGACGATACTCTGTACGTGACGCAACCCGCCGTGCGCAAGTGGAAGCGGGATCTCGCAGCATAACTGAGCGACCGTCGTATGGCCGCAAGGGTTCGAAAACTCAGACTTCTTGAGTTTCCTGCATGTTTCAAAGTGAAGAACGACCCTGAAGTCGAAATGAACCCAAATTTCGTAGCAGTCGGCCCTCGGGAAATCCCCAGCGAGCAGGACTGGTTCATGGTAATGGGCACGCACAATGCGCGGGCGCTTGATGACTCACCAGCCACATTTCTCCTGTCGCTGCACCGCCACAACCTCCAGCCACAGTACGTCCCTGGCCCGGCGGCCAGATTGGCCACAAGCTCCATGAAGCTGCTTGTCTGTCCTCCACCGACAGACTGCAGCTCTTCAACGTCGCCAAACGGCAACCTCACGACGAACCTCCTCCGCCCACCGCCGGCGTACCACCAGCACCATCCCCGACACCGACTCCGACTCCGACACTCCTACCCACCCCGACACATCGCATACGCATACGCAGAGGCCGCGAGCGCCGCGCCCACCACAATGTCCAGCTACTACGGCGGCCAACCCAACAACGCCTACCCCGGCGGCGGCGCGGGGGCCGGCGCCGGGCCGGCTGCCGCACAGAACCTGCAGTTCTACCCGTCGTCGTACTCTCCGGCCGTGTCCGGCGCCGCGACGCCCCAGCAGGCGTCGTACGGGGGGTATGGGGGCGGCGGCGCGCATGGGGCTGGCGTAGGCGGGTTCACGTCCGCGCCGGGCTTTGGAGGCGTGGGCGGCGGCGCGGGCGTGAGTGGACGCATGGGCGAGCAGGGCGGCTTGCGCACAGGGTGGCTCGCGGCTTTCTCAACGGAGGGGTACGACGGCGAGCCGCCGCTGCTCGAGGAGCTGGGCGTCAACTTTGGCCATATCCAGATGAAGGTTCGTGTCTTCGCGGGGGACCGCACAAGGGGGTGGGATGGAGTCGAAACGACTGACTGACTGACTGATTTGCGCAGACGCTCGCCGTATTGAACCCTTTCAAGCACATCGACCAGCACCTCATGGACGACTCCGACCTCGCCGGTCCGATCCTCTTCTTCCTCCTCTTCGGCTTTTTCCTCCTCTTCTCGGGCAAGGTGCACTTCGGCTACATCTACGGCCTCGCCCTCCTGGGCTCCACGTCCCTGCACATGATCCTCTCCCTCATGTCGCCCTCGGACCCGCACCCCGGCGCCGCCGGCGCGCAGTCCTCCTTCCACCCGCAGTACAACGACCCGTCGTCGCAGGCGCACCACGACGCGCCGCAGCACCAGCCCGGCGGCCACTTCTCCGCGACGCTGACGTTCCCGCGCTCCGCCTCCGTCCTCGGCTACTGCCTCCTGCCCCTCGTCGCCACGAGCCTCTTCGGCATCGTCATGCCCATGGACACGCCCCTCGGCATCGTCCTCACCACCGCCGCCATCATGTGGTGCACCTACAGCGCCAGCGGCATGTTCTGCGCCGTCGGCCGCATGAAGGGCATGCGCGGCCTCGTCGCCTACCCGCTCGCCCTCTTCTACGTCGGCTTCGGAATCATGGGCATCTTCAGCAGCAGGGGGAGCGGGTCGCTCGCCAAGGTGGCCGCCGCCAAGGTGAACGGCTGAGAGGGGCGGATAGACGTGGCTGGACACAGCATGACGGACAGCGGACTTGGACGCATAGCGGCATTGGCGGCGGCGCGCGGTCAGTGCGAGATACAGGCTGGACAGGGCAACAAAAGAAGCAAAAGGATCAAGGGCGTCCACAAAAGTCGGGTTTCCGCACGTGTGGAGTGACGACGACCTGTACAATACCAGCCTCGAGGCATGCCAGCCTACTTCGTAGGTATGATTACTATGAAAGACGGCACTTTGTCAAGGGCGAGCAGGCAGAGGCGGCCACTGGCATGGGGAAGAGAAGAAAATATCACGATTATTCAACGCGACATCTAGCTAATACAATCTCAAAATGCGCCGATGCACCGTGAAATTCCCCCGTCCGTGCATGCATCGTTTCGGTTTCAGTCTTTCGTCGTGGCCCGTGATTGTCTTTTGTGACATGGCCATCCCCCAAAAATGTTACAAGAGACGTCGTCTCCCACCTCAAGCCACCGTGACGGCCAAATTGCCCCCAATCCCCAGCCGATTATTGCAGTCTCCCATTTCGTGGCTGAGCCATCACACCACCCCGTCCAAAGCAAAGAGGAAGTTTCCCGACCACGGTTCCTTACGCGCCGTTCACGCCGTTAACCTTTGGAGCGGCATCAGCCACGCCCACAAGGATGGAGAATTGTCCACCAGCATGAGCGCCGATGATCTTCTTGCCGCGAATAGCCGAGTTGTCGATCAAAGTGGGCGTCTTGATATCATCAATCGTGCCCTGGCCGGTCTGGTAGTTGGCGGAGAAGCCCCAAGAGTACACCTTGCCGTCGCCAGTAACTGCAAAGCTATTGTCCGAGCCAGAAGCAACAGACGTAATATTGGCAACATCTAAAGGAGGTTAGCGTGACATCCAGTTTGTCACATGGAATTGCTACCCACCCGGAACAACGGCCGGCTTGACCAAGATGCGAGGGCTGTCTCGCTCATCGTAGATGACATCGTCCTTTGTGAGCTTGTCAAACTCAAAGCCGACTTGGTATCCGTCAACGCGGCCCCACGTAAGCAGCTCGCCCTTGTCCGAGCATGCGAGAGAGTGGTGAACGCCACCGTCGATGTCGGTAATGTTGTAGTCCTCAAGGTACGAGATTTTGGCGGGCTTCAAGACAACAGCGTCGTCTTCTCCGGCGTTGGACTGCAGGCCGAGCTCTCCAAAGTTGTTAAGCCCCCAGCCCCAGACGTGGCCGTTCTTATCAAGGGCGAAACTATGATAGGCGCCACACGCAATTTTGACTGTCTTGCCACGAGGCAGGCCGATACCCTGAGGGATCAACGAAGACAGCTTGTTGCGCTCGATGATGCGTCTGCCAAGCTGGTTCTGCTGGCCGCAGCCCCAGGCAACAACGTTACCCTTATGGTCGAGGGCCAGGATGTGGTTTGAGCCGGCCGAGAGCCCCTTAATGTTCTTCAAAGTCGGGAGCAGCATGGGCGTCTGCTGCACTTTGATTTTCTCGGTGAAGCCCAGGATGCCATCGCTCGACCGGAAGGTTCCCCAGCCGTAGACACGTCCGTCTTCCGTCAGGGCAAAGGTGGCGCTGTCGCTGGCAACAACCTGGACAAACTTGGTTCCGGGCGCAAAATGCTCGTTGGAGACGGCCGTCGGCGTGCTCTCGTTCGGGTTGATGCCGGTATCATCCTCGTCCTCGTCATCAGAGTCCTCTTCCTTCTCCAGGTCACGAAGGCCACCCTCCCAGGTGGTGTCTCGTCCCAGAGCGCCCTGGTCGTTGACGCCCCAGGTCAGGATTCTGTTGTCGCGAGTGAGAGCGGCGGCGTGCATGCCACCAGACGAAATCTGGACGATGCCGACGGAGTCCGAAGACAGGTTGTCGTTCAGTCGCGGGCGCTTGACATCGATAGGCTTCTTTCCATTTACGCGCTTGCTGCCCAGGCCGAGCTCGCCGGAGGTGCCTTCTCCAAAGACGTAGATATCGAGGACTTGAGTCGGCGCATCGTTAATCTTCTTGCCGATTTCGGGAAAGAGCTTCTTCGCCTTGGTTTTCGCAGCAGCTGCCTCGGTCTTGGTCTTCTTCGGCAGAGGCGCGACGGCGTCGAGCTCGGGCTGCGGCGAGGCCTCATCCTCCGCTTTGCGCTTTCTAGAGGATGTGTTGCCGTTGGTGAGCGGCTTGGCCGCGGTGGTCTTCGCCTGAGACTTGGCGGGCTTCGCAGCAGCAGCCGTCTTCTCAGACGGAGCGGCCTTTGAAACCGCGGTTCTTGCCTTCGGCGGCATTTTGTTGCGACGAATCGATGTGGTCGTGAGAGGTGAATAGCGCTCAAATGCGTCGCTGACACGATTATGGAAACGATCGCGATACAGGCGATAATGCGCAAATGCAGAAAAGACGCAGATCCAGGGCTCGCTAAAGACAGAACAGACGATGCGATGCTCCCGTGATGCCTTGATGGATGACAATGGGCGATGCAAGGTCGACGATGGCCTGACGCGACGTAGCTGGTGGGAGGATTTTTAGGTGCGATAGGTAAGCTCTCCGTGGCGGCAGGGGATGCTTGGCCAGCATGGCTAAGCTTTGTTATTGCCCGCCCACCGCCTTGCGAGTAGCTATTGTCCGGCAGTAATTTGCCAGCCGCCAAATGGATTGTGGCGGCTGACAGAGCTGGCGGGCGGTGAGGGCAGAACGACTTGCATTGGTAAGCTACTGGCGCAAAGCCGCGGCGCCACACAAGCCAGCAGCACCAGCCACATCTGCAGCGGCTGGAGTGCGCGAGCGAACCCACCCAAACCAGGCATGGTGTGCTGAGCCGACGTTGAGACTGCCCTGGGCGTCGGTTGTGGCCTAGACTGTCTGACTGCGAAATGCATACCCTGCGGCTCGAACAGATGCCATCGCCGTACGAGGAGCCGATGCGGAGTATTCCATATTATGTCTGGCCGCCAGTTGCACATACTAATGTATCCCCCGTGTATGCGTACGAGCACGGGGCATTCGTGGTATTTGTTGGTCGCCGTGTGGCATGGATTCATGCCTGACCGTTTGTCAACCCAACGCGTCTGTTTGTTCGAAGAACCCCTCATTAGGATGACAACGCCTGTTAATGGTTTATCCGCGCCGCACCACACGGCGGACTTTCTAATGATACAGCCGAGCTCTACCGTCTCGACTAGCCGAACGCCATACCCAATCCGTGTATCGTGAACAAATACGCATTACGCGAGCAACGCCATCCCTCCATCGCGACATCCCGACATAATGTGCCGCGCCTATTTGCTGGTCGTAAAATCAATCTCGTTGGCAGGGTTGTAGCCGCCATCGCTGGCCTTTTCGCAAGTGCAGGCGCCTGAATGGACCGGGTCAGCCGGGGTGCGAACGTGTTATAGACTTCTCCTGGGACGTACCTGCAGGGCGGACGCCGCATTGACACGTTGAGCCCGCGGGCTTGGTGTTTTCGGAGGTAGCACGGTCACAAGTGCACTCTCCCGCAGGCCTGGCGCGGCACGAGCAGCGGGGCCCCTCGACCGCGTTTTCCTTGGCGGCCTTGTCACAGCTGCAGTGCAGGGCGGACTGCTTGCCGCATGAGCAGGTGGCCTGCTTTGCTATTGGATGTCAGTGCTATGCACACATCGTCGGAGGTGAGGTCGGGATGACGAGCTCGGGTGTTGACCTACCACAGGCGCACTCGACGTTGCCCTTGCCGCAGCAGGTGGAAGACTTGGCGACGGTCATGGTGAATAGGGTGGTGGAGTAGCAGAGACCTTTGAACGGAAAATGTAATGGAGGAAGAGCAGCGACAACTCGGATGAATCTAGACTTTTTGTTTGTTTGATGAAGATGAAGCAACTTGAGAAGGACATGACATGACGTCTTTAATACTTGGACGTCGTTCGATTCCAGCGAGGCCGCTTACCAGCCACTGCCACAAAACGCCGGGACCATGATTGGCTCAGGTCGGGGACGCCTCCCGTCAACCAATCAAGTGTCAAGTATTTCCAAGCATGCTCAAAAGGCCAGACATTGTAGCTCAATGAGAGCTGCAGAGAGAGTCAGACCGGAGACGTCAGATGCATTGAGTCGCCCGAGCCTGTTCTTTTTCGCAGACGTCGATCACTTGGTTCCAGAACAGTCAACGTCAAGGGCGTCGCCGGCCGGTGGTCTGTTCCGAGCAAGCTTCCATTCCTGCAGGGGAGCTTGCAGGGTGTGTTACCCAGGCCCTGCAGGGCCCTTACGAAGTGCTGCTGCGCGCATGGGCCACGATTGCGCTCATTGGCAGAGCCCTGCCGTCTTGGCTCGTAGACCGCGATGGATGCAAAGTGCGAAATAGCTATTTGAGTTTTGTGCGAGTACCTTCTGCGGCTCTGGAAATCGGGAAGTCATCCTTGCCATCAGCAAAATGTCTGTTCGCCGTCGCATCGGGCGCCCCGCATGCGGGAGATCTTCATCGAGGCTCGCTCCGTGCAACATCGTCAAAACTTGTCTCAGCCGGGCGGGCGGTGGTCTGTTGCCCACCTGTGGTTGCGATTGCAACTGCGACTGCACCACGTGGAATCCCGTGGACTGCGCCGGTACGAAATACCGTATCCGTATCGCGAGTTTCTTCACTGTGCTCTGTGCTCTCCGCCAGCAAGCGAATCCTCGAATGGCTGGGGTGGCACCAACAACATCACCCCATGGCCCGTGGATGATTGAGCTCGAGCTAGCGGCCTGTTCACGGGCCATCGCTTGCTCCCGCAATGACAATACATTGATGCGCGGACAGTAGCGTGAGCCTGGCTCGCCCATGAGCAAACGAGGCTGTAGCTTCTATCGCAAACACATTGCCCAATACACTCTTGAGGCGCAGGCTCTGGCAGCCTTGACCCCAGATTTCCGCGGTCCAGGCTCTGGGGCCGAGAGGGAAAGGGAAGGGGAAAGGGAAGCATGCATTAGTTTGCGGGGGAGCCAGCAGCATCTCGAGTGGAGGAGATGTCCGTCGCCCTTTAGCCATCGCGGAGCCGGTACATGAGCCGGCGAGTCACAGCCAACAGCGAGACGATGGCCCGCGTAATGAGGGGAACAAGCGGGCTGGCGCTGGCAGATCAATCAAGCCTAGTCGGCCGGGCAGGACAGGGGGAGCGAGCCTGTTTGCGTGGCCAGGCCAGGATGGGCAATGAAGCCATTGCACGGTTGGGAGGCGGCTTTGATGGCTGGCCTGGCTCCTCCCGCTTGGCTTGGGGGCTCGACGTATGGGAAGGGGAATTCCCGACCTGATGGAGGGTGGCACCCATCCCGCGTTTTGCATCACCGACGACGCAAGGCCTGGCAGGCAGGGGAGCCTCAATTGCTCCGGTTTGATTCTCGGGCTGAGGTGCCGTCCATCAATCCGAGGCGCGCTGCCAGTACTGTGCCGTCCATAGCACGGGCAGGTCAAGTTTGGTCCAGCGGGTCCTTGCGCTGCAGGTGCGTGCTGCTGCCGCCGCCGTCGCTGCTGCTGCCAGAGCTGGCTCGTGCGCCGCAAGTGCGCGCGCGCCGCCGCGACTTCCCCAGGCCACACGTCGGCCCCTAGCTCGGCACTGCACCCAGGCATTTCTGTTAGACTGTTGGAGCCTTGATCCTCGCAGAAGCAGCCACCCGCCCTCCTCCGGCCAACCTCTATCCCGCCCGGGGTTGGCCAACGCCCTCCACGGCATGCAGGCGATACTGTGCCCGGGGCCTATAAAGACAGGGCATCGTTCCGCCGATCCCACGTCGGGAGCTGCTCAACGAGAGACGCGTCCGGCAAAGGCGAAGACTGCGAAAGCGCATTCGCGGCAGCATCATCAGCATCAGCTCCAGCTCCAGCTTTCAGCTACAGCCAGCAGCAAAGCCGACGGGCAAGCACGCCGCCGCCATGTCGAAGCAGGAACAGCAGTCCGAGGCAGACTCGCTGCCCGTGGGCGACCAAGTCGTCATCTACAACGACCAGGCTGCCGAGCGTGGCCAGTATGCCACTGACAAGTAAGTCAGCTCAATGCACGCCTGGCGGCTTCGATGCTCGAGTCTGCTGACGCCGTCTTGCAGATATGGCCAGTCTCTCATCCAGACTGATCCCGCCGCCGAGCGTAAGCTGCGGCTGAAGTGCGACCTTGCCATTGTCCCGACTGTGTCGCTCCTGTATCTCTTCTGCTTCATCGACCGTGCCAACCTCGGTGAGAAACCATTCCATTGCCCCCGCTGTGGCTGCGTGCGACGTGAGTGCTGGACTGACACCAATACGCTTTGTAGGCAACGCTAGGATTGCCGGCTTGGAGAAGGACCTCCATTTCAAGGGCTACGACTACAACGCCTCGGTGTCCATCTTCTACATCTCGTACATCCTTTTCGAGATCCCGGCCAATATCCTCTGCAAGTGGATGAAGCCCGGGTGGTTCCTCCCGCTCACTTCCCTCTGCTTCGGCATCACGTCCCTCGGAACGGCCTTTGTCAAGACCACGCCACAGCTTATGGCTGTCCGCTTCCTCCTCGGCATTTTCGAGGCCGGCATGATGCCAGGCATCGCCTATTACCTCTCCCGTTGGTACCGACGCGCCGAGCTGGTCTTCCGGCTGTCGTTGTACATTGTCATGGCCCCACTGGCCGGCGCCTTCGGTGGCCTTCTTGCATCAGCAATCTTGACCCTGTCCCACTTCGGCAACCTGCATCAATGGCGCATGATCTTCGCCATCGAGGGCATCATTACCATCGGTGTGTCTCTTATCGCCTTTGTGACCCTCACCGACCGGCCCGCTACCGCCCGTTGGCTGTCCGAGAGCGAGAAGAAACTGGCCGTCGCCCGCATCAAGTCTGAGCGCGTCGCCACTACCACCGTCTTGGACAAGATAGACAAGCCTAAGCTGCTTCGAGGAATCAACAACCCGCTTACCCTTTCCACTGCTTTCATCTTCCTTCTCAACAACATCACTGTCCAAGGCCTGGCTTTTTTCGCCCCGACCATTGTCAAGACCATTTACAGCTCAAAGACCCCAGTCCAGCAGCAGCTCTACACTGTCCCTCCATACGTTTTCGGGGCGTTCTTTACTGTCGCGTTCCCAGTGGTCAGCTGGCGGTTGGACAAGCGACAGCTGTTGATGGCTCTCACTGCGCCCATGTGCATGGTAGGATACATCATGTACTTGGCTAGCACCAACGCCAATGTCCGCTACGGGGCGACATTCCTCATCGCCTCGTCTGTCTTCGCCGTTGGTCCACTCGCCAATGCGCAAGTCTCTGCCAACGTAGTGAGCGATACTGCTCGCAGCGCGGCCATCGGCACCAACGTCATGTTCGGCAACATAGGGGGCTTGATCAGCAGCTGGTCGTTCTTACCTACCGACGGCCCGAACTATCACATTGGAAATGGCTTGAACTTGGCAACAAACGCCGGGGTCCTCGTTACTGCCACAGTAGTTCTGCTCTGGATGAGGCGCGACAACAAGAGGCGTGCAGCGATCGACGTCGATGCCGCGCTAGAGGGCTTGTCACCCCAGGAGATTGAAGACTTGGACTGGAAGCATCCTGGATTCAGATGGCGGGAGTGAGAGTGATGTGATTAGACGATGTACTGTACCGATATCATCCGCTTATACTGTATCTATTCCTATCTGAACTATTGGACGAAAAGAATGCCTGCGGTTTCTCGGTTTCATCGACCCTGCATCTTGTCTTGCCTTGCAATTTGTCTGCTGCATCACCAATGCGTTTATTCCCATGAGTAAATGTGTTAGTTCAATACGCTGGAAATATGACATGAAGTCGCCATAGCCACTGCCCTTGCCCACATGATGGCTCTCGACATTATTGACGCCCTCGCCTCGTAGTCCACACTACACCTGGCGATACTTCGCACAGTACGACAGGCAAGCATGTGATTCCATGTCCAGACGACGTAGGGCCCTGCAGCACCTTCGCCATCTACGCGACACTTTTCTGCACCCGGACACTCCAATGCTGGGGGCCTACACCCCATCCACCTCGCGTGGATTCTCAGTTTCCAACGGCACTTACACGGGCCCGCCGCGGGCAGTCAACAACACCATACGCGACGCGTTATTCAAACTTCTGCCCAAGCTTTTTGGCTCGACGAAGTATACTGTCGCCGGATCACGCCAAACAGCCTCCGCACCGTGTCCCAGACCTATCTAGAGGCTTCCATGTCCCAAGCTCACTTACACGGAGCCAGCGCGGGCAATCAGCAAGGCCAAGCGCGCCGCATTATACGACATCAGTAACACCTTCCGTGTAAGTTTCCGGCCCGGCGAAGCATGTTGGAGCTGGAATACGCCAAATCGGCCACCAGGCCGCTTCAGCAGACACACTGGGACGATTCGATGCACATAGTTTTTCTTTCATGGAACTTAAATCGCCTGCCACAGCCATGGAACAACAATCAGTAGCAAGCCTTAACGGCGCCCCGTCTGCCATATAATCCCCTTCGCGCCCCTACTCTGCCCTCTTCTTTCCTCGCCCGTCACGTACCAGACTTGTTTATGCCGCTGCACAGAACATTACTGTCACAGACCACCGAGCAGTCACCCTTAAAATTCTATAAGACACTATCAAGTCTACACCGGCCTACAAGACACCATCGAGTCTACAACATCCTACAAGATACTATCAATTCTGCAACTCTACACGACACTATCAAGTCACAAGACACTATAAAGTCTATTACTCTACACGACACTATCAAGTCTACAACATTCTACAAGACACAATCAAGTCTAAGACACTCTCGCTAAAATGGGCATCCTCAGCAACAACACCCACAAGGCACCTGTCACGGTCCGCGTCGAAAAGCGCCCGTGGCAACAGCGCCAGTACCACCCCGATGGGCGGTACTACATTCTCGACCCCAAGCCCCCTCCTGTCAAGAATACCAGGCCCGAGGAGGAGATTGCCAAGAACATCAACGCCCGCAACGGAAAGAAGCCTTCCGCCACGACGAAACCGTGGGCACTTTCGGACTGCGGCTGGAAGGACTGGGAGCCCGTCTTCCACCAGGCCGCCGTCAAGTTCCGCGTCGACAGCGGAGGAAGGAAGAAGCTCGAGCAGCACATGTCCTTCAACCGAGAGCACGATGGTTACCTGCACTGGCGGTGCAGCCTCGAGCGATCAGGCTCTAACGGCACCCTGAAAGTCGCGTTCTCGCAGGATCTCGACAGCCGAACTTTCAACATATTGTCTGTCCTCTACATGACAGACGGCTTGGCTCCCAGGGTCGCTACGCAAACGAGCCTCGCGCACGCACGCAGGACCGGCTGCACCTTCTGGACGGAGCTCTCACCGCCGGACTGCAAAGTCGTCCCCTGTTGCGACGAGTTGTGCCAGGACGTACCCTCTCGAGTGGAACTTTCCGTATACGAGCACTCCCTGCACATCGACCAGCTCAAGAAGGACTTTGCCAAACGGATGACGGAGCTCGAGTCTGATCAGGCGACCTCGATTCGCGGTTTCGGGTGCAAGATCCAGAAGCTTGTGAAGGAGAATGAGGTTCTGGAAGAGCGGTTGAAGGATCTCGTCCGGCAAAACCGGGCCCTGAAGTCGGTATCCCGCCGTGTAGGCAGGGGCAGCTTAGGCATGAAGAGAGGTCGCGAGGAGACGGTCGGCAGCGACAGCGGATGTGGAGAGACGGGGAGTGAGAAGGGTGCGAAGGCCGATGAGGTCATGCGCGAGGTGGAGGACAGCTCTGATGACGATGAGCCCCTGGTCCGCAATTTGAAGCGTCGGCGTTTGGCATGATGAGGGACAGAGGCCGGATCATTGGGGGGGGGGGGGAGGACTGGGCTACTGAAGACGAATTTGGTCATGGAGAGGGACGGTTCGGTCGTTGTGGGCGAACTTTGAGTTATTGGAGTCACGGTTCACGATGGGCGTCACGGTTTACGGAAGCTTCACGGTTGGCGTTGCGGCTGATGGGGGTTTCATGGTTGGTGTCAACACATGGCGTATGGTTGGCGTTACGGCTCACGGTCAAGGCGTCTTGGTGTTGGGAATGGCATGGAAAAAGGGCACGGCGACAGGAACGGCGCAAGGTTCACACTGCACATACAACATACCCATGAATCTACGCGCTTATACCCACTTCTGCATGTCCTGATCATGGCCATTTGACATTTTCCGGTTACAAGAAGTACGGTGCGCCCAGCGCCATCGTACTATTGATGTTGGCCGCCATGGGAAGGGGTGCCTCAAAGCCGCAACGGCAGCGACTACAGAACCATTGTTAGTTGAGATTCCGGTGTAGGAGGCGGACAACGTGCGAAATGGCTGGCCGAGCGTCGCGAACATCGGATCGCCGCTCTTCGGCCAGCAGCTGCCGACGACGGACTCCGATTCGTTCAAACATGACGGCCGCCAACATGCCATGCCGAGGACATGACAGCTCTCTGGCATGGTCTGACATGGAAAGATCGAACCATCCTCTGATTATGTGCACCGGCAGGCGCACGCGCCAATCCTTCTCTCCGCCAGCGGCTTGGCCGTGCTGCAGCTGAGCTCCAGAGCCGTGTCATTGTCAACGGACATGGCCTCTGTTAACTGTCTTACTGCCTCAGTCGCAGATGCTTGGCTCTGCCAGAGCTTTTGTGGCCGAATATTTCTGTATCGGTATGCGAAGATTTAAAACATTGTGCACGCGCATCGTCTCCCGTGCTTCCATCGTAGCGGGTAACACGAGTTGCCCGACGTTCTGAAGCACTTCGTCCGCTGGTGGGGTTCCAGTGGGCTTGGGAGGGTAATAGAGAGTGGCGCCGGCCTCGGGTTATCCGGCCGACCACCGGCGGAAGCCCGATCTCGGAACGGCACCATCGAATCACGACCCTGTCACTGTCCGGCAATTGCATCGACACATCTCAGCTGAGCTGCTTTCGACTTACTATAAAGTCTATATCGACTTCGCCAATACTAAAATTCGAGGTCTCGAGGGGACGTCAAATCACAGACCTGCACTCGCCAGCGCGCGAGCATCGGGCAAGACCCAAATACAACATGATGTCGTCGCACGGCGAGCAAGCTCCCTCGACCATCGTCGTCATCGGGTATCGCGCCATCGCTCCCGTAGCCTCTTGTAAGCGGCGGCTGACGATGCCTACAGAGCCGGTATAATTGGCCTCACATGCGCCCTGCAGCTGCAATCCGAGCTTTCCAGGCACAAGACAACACGACCCGTCTCAGTGCTGCTCGTCGCGCGCGAATGGCCCTCCTCAATCCCAGGTGCGCCAGCTCGGCACTCGGCCGACTATGCCTCGATGTGGGCTGGCGCGCATGTCCGGCCCATCCCGGCGACGACACCCCAGCTGCGTCGCGAGGCCGCCTGGCTGCGCCGCGCCGTGGCCGAGTTCTCACGCCAAGTCGAAGCCGAGCCGTGGTGCGGCGTCACAAGGACCCCTGGAGTGGAATACCTCGAGGCGCCTGACCAGGGCTACCGGCAGCAGACCAAAGAAACCTTTGAGCGGGAAACGGGCTTGGGAGGGTATCGCAAGCTGGCACCAGCGGAAGTGCCCGAGGGCGTCGTGCTGGCTTACGAGTATGACACATTTTGCATCAACTCGCCGGTCTACTGCGAGCATCTGCTGCGCAAGTTCCTCCTGCAAGGGGGGAAGACTTTGGAAAAGGATCTGAGGAGCGAGTGGGAGGCCTTCACGCTTCGCAACGACGTAATCCTGGTCGTCAATGCCAGCGGCACCGGCTTTGGCGATGCCAAGTCGTTTCCGACCCGAGGTCTGCACGACAATTCCGATCTCATCCCACACAGCTAACAGGGTCGGCAGGCCAAACGGTCGTGTCAAATCTATCCCACGTAACAAAGACGGTTACACGACAGAACAAGGATGGCTCATGGAGTTTCCTCATCCCTCGTTTCCTCAACGGCGGCACCATCGTCGGCGGCACAAAAGAGCCGGGCGACTGGCGGACGGAGCCTGATCTGCCCACGCGGGAGCGACTCCTGTCGGCCGGTCTCACTCTGGAGCCGTACTCGCACGATGGGCCGGCTCGCGACGCGGCAGAAACGGCGCGGAATTGCCGGGTCATATCGGATGTGGTCGGACGGCGACCGACTCGCGAAGGAGGCGTGAGGCTGGAAGTCGAAGAACGGCCGCTGGTCAAGCTGGGAAATGCGCCGGCCAAGGGACGGGTCATCCATGCGTACGGTGCAGGCGGCCGTGGCTACGAGATCAGTTGGGGCGTGGCGAGCGAGGTGGCTGACCTGGCGATCCCGCTGCTACGGGCTGAGACACAGATCAAGGGGAAGCTGTGAATGAAATGAGTGCAGGACACGCTTTACGACTTTTCACAAGTTAATGCACCAATACCAGCACCAAGCGACAGCCGTCTGGTCGTGAGTAGTGAGTCGTGACTCTCGACAGCGCGTCAAATTGAAGGGGTCAAGCACCAATTCGGCGTTGGGCTTCTCATGAATATGATCTTGAGGGGAAATGCATGCAAGCTTTATTAAGTGGTATTCTTGAATTCAAATGGTGCCGTGGCATTTAAAAAGATGGCCTTCTCGGACGGCTGAGGCCACAGACCGCAACTCCACCCTGTGAAGCATCTCCATTCTCCAATCTCCACCCTGCCCAGTGATGTCACGCTTGAGCTCGCCGGCTTGGCTCTCTCTTTGCTTGCATCGTTCCCCAACAAAAAGACATCTGGACACCTGTCTGGAGGAAGTGCCTATTTTTCTTTTGTAGGCGGTATCCAAGTCACAAAATGGCTTCCAGCAAGGCACCGCTTCTGTCGAAGCTCACGGTACGCTCCATCGCCCGACCAAGTGCACATCGCATGCCTCTCAGTGGCCGTGAGGGGAATGCTTGCACGTCATCCGCGCCCGAAAACGACAGCTTGTTTGACGTTGCCGCACGACTGACAGAGCATGCTCGCAGCTTTCAAATGGCATGACCATCCCTCAGATCCAGCTGGGCCTCTACATGATGTCGCGCAGGGAGGCTACCCAGTCCGTCCGCTGGGCTCTGCTGGACGGATACCGCGGCTTCGACTGCGCTCAAATGTACCACAATGAGCCAGAGGCCGGGAAGGCGATTAGAACCTTTCTTTCGAACCCGGATGACAACAAGGAGGGCTTGCGTCGCGAGGACCTCTTTTACACCACCAAGTTGGCCAGCTGCAACACCTCCTATGACCAGGTGCGACGGTCCGTCAAGGCTTCTGTGGATGCCTGCGGCCTCGGATATGTAGACTTGTTCCTGCTGCACAGTCCTTACGGCGGTAGAGAGGCACGATTGACGAGCTGGAAAGCTCTCGAAGATGCCGTCGACGATGGAGAGATCAGGATGATTGGAGTTAGCAACTTCGGCGTCGCGCACGTACGTCCATCGCCCCTCACGATGCTTTCACGCGAAACTAATCCGGGCAGATTGAAGAATTGATGGCCTCGAATCCCCGGATCAAGCCCGTGATCAACCAGATCGAGGTGCATCCGTTCAATACGCAGACGAACATCAGGGAGACCTGCGCGAAGCACGGCATCACGATCGAGGCCTATGCGCCTCTTGCGCGAGCTATGCGGATGAAGCACCCCAAGATTGTACAGCTGTCTCAGAAGTACTCGTGCTCGCCAGCCCAGCTTCTGGTCAAGTAAGCAAAGTCCCTATTTATGCAAGAATCCGGCAGTTGCGGATGTACTGACGCATCATTCAAGATGGAGCATACAGCATGGCATGGTGACGTTGCCCAAGAGCACGCACCGCGAGCGCCTCGTTGAGAATGCGGACGTGAGCGAACTTGTCATTTCTGAGGAGGACATGGTCGCCATGGATGGCCTCGATGAGAATCTCGTCACTGACTGGTAAGTCCACCATCTATGCATCGCCGTTGAAGTGAAAGATCGTAAGCTAATGGCAAACGTATGCAGGGACCCAACAGAGGCACCATGAACGCTCAGAGCAGCTTGCGATTCCGTAGCACCCAATATGAGCACAAGAGATAAAGCTAGATAACTTGCACACCGCGTTTCAAATATCAATTCTCCGGTGTATCCATGCGTGCGGCCCGGACCCTCTCATATGAAGAAGAAACGCCGTCTAGGCCTGGAATCGGAACCGTGGATCCTGCGTGCTGGTGACCCCCTCAGTCGTGTATTCGGTCGAGAGCGCACCCTGCCTCTTATCGCGCCGCCTGTTTTCCCACCGCATCCATGTGGAATATGCCAATGTGGCCGCAATGACAAATGAGCACATGGACAAGTTGGTCCTCAAACTCGTGATGTAGCGTGGCGCTTCTTCACTGCGGTAGATGTTGCTAGACAAAAGGCCTCCGCTGTTACCTGCCGACGTGGCGAGCCCGCTCATCATAGCCCGTGCGTTGAGGTTCGGGATATTGATGACGGTCCAGGCTGCGCCAATGATTTGCGTCGGGTATGCCTTGGATAGGTCAGTATAATTGAGCTTGATCTGTGCTGCGGCCTGACTGCTTAGGGAGTGCTCACGCCAGCGGTGCATAGAAACATGGCAAAGTACAACACAGATGTGTTGGACGTGTTGATCGTGATGAGAATGAGGTAGCCGACAAGGCTGATAATCGTGGATGCGGTCGCGTGCAAGCCTCGCTCACGGAAGTAGTCCGACGACTTGCACCAGCATACCAAGAAGACGGCGCCGGTAAGAGCGGGAGCAACGGTGTACTGATATGTTCAGCCTCGTGAGACCAGACCGGGTCTTAGCAAACGTGTGCTCACTTACCAGGTTGGTCTTTATGACGCTATAGCCCAGCCGCTTGACAATCATGGCGAGAAAATTGGCGTTGGATGTCAAGGTAACCCCGGCGGTAAACGACATCACGATACGTATATAGCCGTGCACCGTACGAAATTCCCCGAATGCTTCTCGCCAACTAAACCCACCTTCCAATGAAGTCACGGAGTCTTGTTCGAGACGTGCACAGGCAGTAGCCTTCTCTTCATCGTTTAGAAACCATGCGGAGGATGTAGACGAGGGGAGCAGCGCAAGTAGAACAAGCGCCCACAGGATAGTAAGCCCGCCTTCCAGGAAAAAGAGATACGACCAGTTTGGTCGTGAGCCGCCATGGATATGGAACATACCGTAGGCAAAGAGACCTCCAAAGGCAGAGGACGCAACCAAGGCGGCGTAGAAGATGCCGATGCGTGTGGCTAGCTCGGCTCTTGTATACCAGATAGACAGATAGTAGATGACGCTGTCTTCACTCAGTACAAGTAGGGTGTAGGGACTGTAGAGGGGCGTGGCATACGACGATAGAAACCCTGACTCGAAGGCTCCAACAAAGACACGGCAGATGACAATGTCCTTGAAATCCCGGGCAAAACCACTCGCCAGCGATGCAGACCCGAAAGCGAGAAGCATGCCAGGAATCGTCCATCGAGCTCCGAGCCACTTGGTGAGGAGCGTAATCCCGGGGCCGAACACAATAAAAGGGATTTGATAATACGTGAGAACCTGGTTGAACTGGTTTCCCACTAGGCCGAGGTCGTCCTCGAGGCCTGCCGTGTGCGCGTTGGACACATTGCTGCGATCAAGAGAGCTGCCAGAAGTGTGTAAGTGTCATGGCACAGGCCGCACGATGGCACATGCTCTCTCAATTGTGGATGGCCTCACTTGAGCAAATACGCGACTGTCAAGAGCGGCAGCAGTATCAGGTCCGACTTGCGCTTCAGTCGCTTCACGACTTGCGGGTTCAACGCCAAAGATGCATCGCGCAAATGAATGCCCTGCTTCTCAGCTTCCACATCAATTTCACCAGTGTTCAGTGTTGTGGCATCGCCACGAGAAAGAGTCTTTGTAGCTTCCATGGCGAGTAGTCAATTGCGGACGGGGTTGGGCAGTTCAACGGGAAGAGCGACACCACGTTGGGGGACCTTGATCGACCATCTTGCTACTATATACCAGTTTCCCTCAGACCGGTCGGAATTGGAGAAGCCTCTTGGCCTCAACTCCGAATTATTGATCACCGAGGCTACCAGACATCAGATCAATGATATCAGTACATGGCAGTCCAGTCCGCATGTGGTATCTTTCTTGCCAACCCCGCCGCGCGTGTCACCAGGCGGAATTTACCAACTTAAAATCTACCCCAGATTTACCCCGGAGATCGGATCCAATCAATCTTTATCGCGCCGCATAATGTCAATGCCCGCCGTTACGCCGTTATCATATCTGATTGCTCGGTTCATTGGATGGATTTTGTTTGCCCGTAGTCTCGTGGCCAGTCGCTCATCGGGTAAGCCGGCGTCTTGACCGGTTGTCCCGATCGGCGCTCCGGATGCAAGTGGAGACTCTTGCCTCGGTTCTTCAAGTGAGACCGCGCTCTTTGCTCGTTCTCCTCACACAAGTCGCGACAGTCCTTCCCGATACCCTCCCGACCCGTCACTCGGTGCTGCTGCGCCTGAGACACTCTAATGCGTGGACCCTTGGGCAGTGACAGCCCCGGTACCAAAGACTGGTGAATGCTCATCTCGCTCCACGTGGCATGGACGGGAGGAACTCCGCCAAGGCGACCAGACGGCGGACGCCCCAGGCGTGTAACACTTGGTTCGTTGGCGCCCCCATTTGACTTCCTCCACTTTGCCTCGCAGCTTGCGGGTCGGTTGTGTGGAGGAACACCAGCACTCTTGGCTGGCTGCATGTTAACGCTTCTCCCAGCCGGAGACGCAAGACCAAGTGCGATGGTGTCCGCCCTCGGTGCCGACACTGCACGAACCGAGGCATCGCCTGCCTTTGGCCCAGTCCAGGCATTGAGCCGGTTCTCCTGCCGTCGCCGGACGGTTCATCAGACAGAGCTGGCGCCAACTACCTGCTCGCCGCAGAACCGGCGGCGCTGGGACTGAGGCTACCAGAGAAGCGAGCGCTGCGTCGCTGCTTCGAACTCTTCTTCGAGTACCATTTTGCCGATAATTTCTGCTCCTTTCTGTTCAGACCGGATCTCGACGGAGATGTAGTCGACTCGCCTTTTTTGTCTGCGGCGATGCTGTGCCTCTCCTCTCGCTACCTGACTGCCGACGAAACAAATGATTACTTCGGCTTGGCTTCGGGCCTGGACGTGTGCAAGACTTACACGCCGCTTGCACGCGCTCTGGCGAGAGCGTCGTCGGATGACCCGTCCGGTACTGCTCTCCCACCTAGCCTGATCGCATGACCCCTCAATCCCGATCGAGCATGTATTAACAGTTCCCCTGCAGTCGCCAACATCCAGGGCAATCTCGTATTGGCCTTTTCGGAGTTTATCAACAATGAGGGCTCAAGCCATTGGATGTACGCTGGCACGGCCATCCGCATGGCGCAGATCATGCGACTCAACAAGGAATACCACCAAAGTCACACTCTCAAGGAACAGGAGATCCGCCGCCGGACCTTTTGGGCTTGCTTGTTCATGGACAAGCTACTGGCCTTCTTCCTGACTAAACCGCCTACCCTGGCAGCCATCAACATTGCCTGCGCCCTCCCCGGGACCGATGCCTCACTGGCATATCAAGAGCCAACAAGAGGCATCACCGTCGCGACCCTCGGCTCCTTCGCCGGCTTTCCTTCCGAGATTGGCATCCTGCCATACCTAATCAAGACGGTGTGCCTGTACGGCGACATCGTCGACATGAACGTGTGCAACCACCGTTTTGTAGACAAGGCGCAGCCGACGGATCCTCTGAGCACCTTTCATCGAAGCCACGCCGCTATGAAGGTCTGGGTGGACGCCTTGCCTCCTAGCTTGACCTGGTCGGAGCAAAATTATGCCAACCACGCTGCCCTTGGCCAGGGCAAGGCCTTTGTCGCCATCCATTTCCTCACTCGCAGCGCCTTTTGCGTGGCACATCAGGCTTATCTCCCACAACTAGATGGATCGTCCATCCTCATGGATGCGGTCGACGCGGCAGGTTGGTCGCTACTGCATCGCGAACCGGAGCTGATATCAACGTGTGTCAGCAATGCCCTGGCCACGGCGACCATGGCGTCGTACCTCTATGGCAGCAGCGCCCGGGCAAGATCCGATCTTCAGTCCGTCTGGGTCGCCGCATCACTCTTTTCCGTAGCCAACACGCTGCTTTGGCTGCAGTACTCCAACGACCCGCTGTACGCGGATGCAGCCACCATTGAGAAGGCGGAAGCCTTCTTCAACCTCGTCCTAGATATCATGAACCTCTGGGGTGTGCATTGGCGCGCCGCGCGACAGTGGATGCACACGTTCAGAGCCATGCGTGCCATGTACCGCGCGGCATACCTGGGCGAGGTGGACGACACGATACTGCTGGGCGACGGATTGACGGGCTCGTCGGGAGCAGGGGCGGTGGACGAGGACAGCCCATCGTCGGGTTACCGCCCACGGCCCGGAGACGGCTACATCTCGTTGAATGTCGTGCCGAGCTTGTATGATTCGCTGCGGTTTCTGGCGAGCGACACGTCGGCAGAGCCCAAGAGGCTGCAGTCGGTGTGGATGCAGTTTGCGAGCGGGTGGCCGATCGACTTTCTCAACGGCATGGCCCCGGCGGACGCGACGGTTGATCAAGAGTGTCCATAGAAACAGAGCTCGATTGCCCCAACTGTGCCGTACCGAAGCCGCCGAAGAGCTAGTGATGAGGAATGGAGTTCGAGGTCAGCGAGACGGAGCTAGAACCGCTACGTGGGGAGCTGGGCGCGGGGGGCCGAGGGACGTCGGCTTTACCGATGACGGCGCCATGCCCAACGGCATTCGCTGCGTGTCTGAGTCGGAGTTCTGGTTGCAACGGTACCAAGTCCGTCTTGTCTGGAGAATGCCATCTATTGCCCCGCACGATGCGGCTGCAGTGATAAAGATAGCATTCCCGTCGATTCATCCAGGGTCTTTGACTTATACGACCGCCACTTCGTCACACGCACATACACACAAACCTTCGGAATGACTGCCACAACCAACGGCACCGTGGTGCCCACGGCGCCAGCAGCCGGCCCGAAGCTGCCCTCGGCCATTCATCCCGACTTCATGGACAAGCTGGACGAGGACTTTATCGCCTACTACAACGCGAACCTGGGCATTAAGCCCGTGACGCACAACGTGACGATTGAGGACATTCGCACGTACCCGGGCAGGTATGCGTCGCCCTGGTACAAGGACTTTCGGTTCGAGCCGTTTGTCAACGACATCAAGATCAAGGCGGACGACGGGCACGAGTTTGCCGCCCGCGTGTACACCCCTGATGCCAGGACGTCGCCATTTGGCGCGGGACCGTATCCTGTGTACATTAATTTCCACGGTTCGTGGCCTTGATTGTGGTAGTGAAGCGCTGGATCGCTAAATGACGAGCAGGTGGCGGTTACACATTTGGAAGCCTTCAGGGTGATGCTGAGCTCTGCATGCTGATCCGCGATCGTGTTGGGATTCTCGTCCTTGACGTCGATTATCGGCTTTGCCCTGGTAAGCCGATTCTTTCGTTCAGGCGACGTTCAAACTAATCATTCTTCAAAGAAAACACTTTCCTTAAAGGCCACGATGACTGCTGGGCCGCCATCCGCTGGGTAAGGCATTGAACGGGAGGAAGCCACGCTGCAGTGGGAAGCTGACAGAGCCCCAACAGGTTGCCAGCCATGGTCAAGAGATCAACGGCCGCCCCGACTCCATCTCCATCGGAGGCATCTCTGCTGGAGGCCACATCAGCGCCGTGGCACAACAGCTTGCCCGTGACTCTGGCCTTGAGATCAAGTTGGGTGAGTTTCCCGACCTCATCAATACATCATTCCCTCCTTCGGTAACGCTCGCTTACATGCAGCAGCCGTCCTCGCCGTTCCCGCCACAGACTCCCATCTCGGCCTGGAAAAGGCCTCCGACTCGCCTTACCCATCCTTTTCAGAGAACGAGTTTGCCCCGTGCCTGAACTGGGCCCGCATGAAGTACTTCATGGATCACTGCCAACCGACAACCGATGCGCAGCGCGCGGAGCTCGCAGCGCGGCCGGAGTGGCACAGCAGCCCCATCAAGGGCGACGTGCGCGGCGTGTGCGACACTATGGTCATTACAGCCGAGCGCGATCCTCTGCGTGACGAGGGCGAGGCGTACGCGCGCAAGCTGGTCGAGGCTGGCGTTCGGGTGACGGTCAGGCGGTACACGGGCGTGCCGCACCCGTTCATGCACATGCTGACGATTAACAAGGCCAAGATGTATATCAACGACGTTTGTGCAGAGTTGCGACGGGTTCATGGTGCATAAAGCTATAGACTAGATAATTCCCGGTAGTCATACCTACTTGTAGCCAATCTGAGGTGTACTACGCACCAGTATCGAGCATTTTCAAGACGCGCGCCAGCTCCCTCCCACTTGTCGCGCATACTTTACTTCTTCACGGCTATTATAGCCGAATCATCGAAGCGCGTAAACTTCCGCGTGTCTTTGATCGCCAGACCCGCTCTGTCCAGCAGCTCTCGCCAGTGCGAGGCTCGCCGTTCCTGCGCATCAAACATGACTTTCATGGCGATGCTCAGGCCAGCCGTGTACTCGATGCCTGGTGCACCCTGCGGCGGCTTCTCGTCAGGCAGCGTCTTATCGTCGATGACAATGACACTGTCGGGGCCCATGGCGGGGAGCTGCGCCTGCAGGATACGGATGCACGTCTCATCATCGTTGTTGTGCATGATTTGTCGAAAGTAGTACACGCGAGCGCCTAGAGGTCCTCCCGTTAGTATAAGCTCGACGATGCATGTTCATGCGCGGTAATAGAGGACTGGATGGAGGATAGGGGGAATCCAACCTTTCACCGGCTGCTCCGTCAAGTAGTCGTAGCTCATCTTCTCCATGCCCTCCACCGACAGTGCCTTTTCCAGGACGGGCGGACGGTCCTGCAGGACTACACGGCCTTTGAGCTCCAGTACCTTCTTCTTCAAGAGTGCACACTGCTGGCCATTGCCACCGCCGACATCGACGAATGCGACATCCTCGTCGCTGAGATTTTGGCCCACCTCAGCGGCGAAATCGACCGCGTCGAGCCAGGTTGGGAGACTCGCAAACTGCGCTTCCATGAACCGATGGAAAGCACCCTGCTGGACCGGATGGGTCTCCATCCACGTGTAAAAGTCCACATCCGAATGCTGACCTGTTTTAAAGGCATTGAGAGACTGGTCCGGATGGCTCAGCACCGTGTTGAGCGCCCCGAATCCTGGAAGGCAGTTGTCGTGGCTACACACTGTTAGCCCAAACTGACCACGAGGCCGCAGGCAGCCGATAACTTAACATGCAATGCATGGAACACGGCAGATGGAAGCAACTCACAAGTGGGTAACGGCATCTTGGAAGAGCGGGACCAGCATAAGGTTGGTCAACTTGGTCGCAGCATACTTGCGCACCTCAACCTCACGGACCATATCCTGGGTGCCAAGGTAGTCCAAAATGGACTCGAGCACGCCGATCTCAAGGCCCGTAGCACTCTGAAGCGCGCCGAGCCCTACGGGCTCCTTGCCAGAGGCAGCAAGCGTCGCAAAGATCTTGTGTTCCTGCGCAACCCTTGTCGTGATCAGGGGCAGCGGCTGCAACAGTGTCAGCATATATCTTCATGACCAGTCGGCCGCATTGGATGCGTCAATCGGCCGCCCATCGCCTCCACCTGCCACCCGGAAATACTGGTATTTCCTGGGATGTCTGGCCCCTGCCAGACATGCGCGTGTGTCTCCGCCGCATAAGGGGACGGAGAATCGGAGGACGTGGGGTCCAGAGGGCTCAGACGCACCGAATACGCCAGTCGCTGGACTGTCTCGAATGGCTGTTCCAATGCTACGGAAACAGCGCGAGCCAGCTGCTTGACTTCGAGCCGCTGCGCTTCATCTGCTCCTGCAAAAGCATCTGGGTTGTTGAGGACAGACCGCAGCTGTTGAGCTAGCGAGTCCAGTTCCACCCTGGCTGCCTGATCACCCATTGTTGCTTCGTCGGTTCTCAAGTTGTTGCTGTGATTGACGTCAAGACTTGGTTCCCCCGCGGGAATTACTTTTGAGTCTTTGTCGGAGTACGTAGTTGTTTTGCTTTTTCGCCCTTGATCCCTGGGATGGAGGGTCTTTGGGGATGATGATTTGATGCAAGTCGCACACTGCTACCTCAAGTCGACCAACATCCTGGACATGCAGCGTCGACATCCCGTGCTTCCCTCGGCCAAGAGGGGTTTTTTCAGCACCGCCTTCACCTCATTTCTGCGGCTCGGAGTTCTCTCGTGTCCGCCGCGCCCAGGAGATCAGAGCAACCAGGGGTAAATCCGCCGACCGTTAACACCCAGGTCTTGAGTGGTTGGGATGCGGATGCCAACAGCAGGCCCGCAGACGCGACACCAGACGGACCAGAGGCGGCGCCATTTTGGTCGTCGGGATGGGCACGTCGCATTCCGTGGCGACCAATGGCTCTGGCTCGTTGATGGCCGGCCTCCACTCAGACCAGCCGGCACGGGGCGGAACGAGTTCCTAGGGGACGCGCTAGGGACGGTCCCTTGACAGCTGGTGTGCAAACGAGGGATCCGCGGCGACAAGTCTCCGCGATGGCCTGCTCGAGCAGGGGACCTTGGGCACGCAATGCTCGCGAGATGGGCGATCAGCGGAGGCGAAACGCTGTGTGGCGCACGGCGGGCGCCGTCGCGCCGTCAACGAGGTTATCGCAACCGAGGCGAGGAGACATGATGACTGGCGCCGGATGCAGGTGCTCTGCAGGCCGACGCTGCAATCCAAGCTGGCGGGTCGGCACATGGGCACCAAGCCAGTGCCGCGATGCTGTTGGAAAGGTTGTCGGCATGGGGGTCTCCCTTATGATGCTGCGCCGTACTTGACGCCTTTGGCTTGTCTTTATGTTGATGCTACTATCTTGTACTCGCACCCTCGATTCATCGTGACGCTATCATTTCTCGGAATATTATTGAAGATACGGCTCAAACCGCTCCCCATCGACGGCGCCGCCTCCCGCTGTTGGTGTCAACGCCTCCGCCAGGCCTCCACCAGCCCCCCTGCCTCCATGTCGTCCCGACGCCGCCTCGCGCTACCACCCGCTTCGCCAGACCGAGGCAGCCATGCAGCCAAGCCAAGGTCCAAGTCAAGACACCCTGCCAGTATGCCGGCGTTCTTTTTTGTCATTGTTTTCTCTTTGCAGTTTCGCACCACGGGGGTGCGCACAAAGAATGCGTCACTTCATGTCGTCCACGGCCATCCTTGCCTGGTGCCATCAATCTCCGTTCGCCGCATTGCGACGTCTGGCTAGAACCCCTACCTAACACTGATCTGCCATTTGGATCCCCTACCTGTAGTTTCTCTTCATGCATACTCTCTCCCCTTCTCCCTTTTCGCTCGTCGTTCCTACTATGGTGATGGTGCAAATAACGCGAGCCCCTGGAAACGCCGCATCATTGATGTGGTGCAGACTCGCATAGCTGGAGGCGCAATGCGACTTCTATGGGAAGACTCCTATAGAAATGACTTGAACCTGTCGTGAGACAGCCCCCGCGCTCCTCCATCGTTTCTATCTCTCGGATCTCGCATACTGCTTGCTCGAGTCGTCGAATTTGATACCATGGCCGACCCAGTCCCCGATCGAGGACCAACGGTCCTAAGAGTCATCTGGACATTGACACCCCTTGCTCTCATCACTGCAATCCTCCGGATCGTGGCAAGACTACGGAATCGCAAGTTCGGATGGGACGACATATTCATGATCATAGCCATGGTACAGTACTACCCCAAGCTGGACCCGTTCCAGCTGCGGCATTGAAGTTGTCTAACGAGTTATCTACCTCAGCTGTGCTTCCTCGGCTGGAGCATCACCCTAACCCTCTACGCCCAGCGTGGTGGACTCATGCACATAGAGGACGTCAAAAAGACCGGTCCCGACAATGTCGCCATAGTCTTACTCTTGAACTGGCTGAGCCAGCCGTTCGGCATCGTCGGAGTCGCCGCCGGCAAGATCTCCGTTGCGGCCCTCCTCCTGGGAATCATTCGACTCAGCGACCTGCGATGGCACCGTCTGTTCCTCTGGACCGTGCCCATTACCCTTGCAGCGCTCATCGCCGTTGCTTGTTCAACCTTGACGTTTGCGCAATGCTCGCCGGCTGAGGCGCTCTGGGACAGGAGAGTCACGGGAAAGTGCATCAATCCCAAAGTCATGGGAGGTTTTGGAACCTTCACAGGTTGTACGTCGCACTCTAAACGAAAGCTTGTGCAAGCACGCCCATGCATTTGATGGCTGACCATGGACACAGCATTCAACACATTCGCTGACGCATCCCTCGCCATCATCCCTGCCACCATCTTTTGGCAGCTAAACAACAGTACCACCGAAAAGGTCCAGCTCACTATTGTTTTCGGCCTAAATATTCTCACATCAATCTGCTCCGGCATCAAGACCCAGTATCTCGTGGAGCTGGCCAACCGCGAGGACCAGACGTGGGCGACGTACGACATCTTCGTCTGGGTCACCGGCGAGCTCTTCCTCATGATCGTCTGCGGTTCCATACCGACACTACACGTCGTTCTCACTTGGTTCCGCTCGGCCGCGGACAGCGTTCGGAGCAGAGTCTCGCCATATGCATCTCGCAAGTCGCCCGGGTCGTCCCGCGCCAGGTCATCTAAGAACAGAGGAGGCGAGGGAGCCGTCGCGGATGGCGTTGGTGGGCACGATGCCGAGCTGAGCGACTTGACGCACATGAAGGTCAAGACGAAGACTACAATCGAACGCACAACACACTTGTCGGCCAGCGAAAGCATGGATAATCTCGTTGAGGAGAAGAGCATACCGGATAACGGCGTGCGCGTGGACAGGATGTACAATGTCAGCCGAGACGCACGGCCAGGCGCAGCCTACACTTGAGTGGCCCGGCTGGGTTGCTCTGTATCTCAAGACATGGAAGTGATCATTTTGCGAGGCGTAATCGGTACTTAAATATTATCGGGGCGTCCTGGCTGCACGCCGAGAAGCAGAATCTTCTATGTTCAACAAGCCGAATCATCAATCGTACAATTATCTTCATGACGGGGCTGCAATGAGCCGTCTCGCAATCGTCATGAGAACAGAGAAGAGAATGATCTGTCGTTCAAACATGTCCTTCGTCGTAAAATACTGTCATCCCATCGTCGCGTTTTTCTTTTTAACGTCCATTAAATCCTGTAAATCCGTGTCCCATCGCGGCGAAGTCGGTCTGGTACAAGAACGATTCATCCATAGTCGTGAAATCAGTCTGCGGGTTCATAGGTCCGGAGACAGTCGCAGGAGGCATCATCCATTGCTCTGGCATGGAGAACGTGGGGTCTTCCTGGTCAAACGTGACCCCATTATTCCATGCTTGCACCGCCGCAGCTGGGTCGATCCCGTTCGCCGCAGCTTCCAAAGGAAGCGTGGGATACGGAGCGGCCGTTGTAGCAGCAGGAGGCGTCGGGGCAGGCAGAACCTCCCTCAGGCCCTTGGGCGCGAGAGTGCTTCCACGGCGTGGCGCGAGGCTCCTAACGGTCCGAATGCTGTCCCGGTGGCCGAGCCCAGAAGAGCCCAGGACACTGCAGCTTTCTTCAGAGCCGTCGTCCATGATGACACCGGAGTCTGGACGGGATGAGATGGCCCTAGGCTTCCTCGAGACCGTGCTCTGGCGATTCGGCTCGTTTCTCTTGTTGCTGCGATTCGTGTACGGCATGCTGCGAGCGGCAGTTGTACAGCCTTCTACAGCCTCAACGAAGCATTGGTGAAACTTTGTGGCCAGGGTCTCCAGCGTTGCCGGGTTGGAGATCTTGTTTCGCAGGGAAGTTTGAAGAAAATCGAAGGAAGTCAGATATTGCGCGGAAAGTTCAAAATGCTCAATCACAGGAGTGAAGTCTGGAAGCAAGTTAGCAGCTGCAGGTCTCCTGCCAATTCTCAACGGCACAACTTACGGTATGGCTGGATCATCCCGTCATCGTCATCTGGGAAGAGAATATTCCAGATTTCTCTCCACTGAACTTCCGCCGAGGTGCCGCTGGCACGCTTCCGGCTCACAAGCTTGATTGAAGTCGGCCCATCGATGCCCGACTCGGGGTCATGGTCGGAGATGTCGCACATCTGCTCCTTGGGTTGTCGCTGGTGCTCGCGCAGCTCTTTCCTGGTCTGGAAGTCCCGCGTGCAGCGATCGCAGACAAATGCCGATGGGTCGTCGCGCTTATGCTGCTTCACAATATGTTGCCTGTCTTGGGGTAAGTCGCGATGTTGAGGCCCAACGCTACGGGCATTCACTTACCTGAGCTCTGCAAACTTTGGGAAGTATGTCATAGCACAGCTATGATGGTCCCGCACGTTGAAGCGATGGGGGTTCCGCTTCCTGAAAGGACAGCTCAGGCGGAGATTCTCCTCCTCTCTGGGACTTGGCCGAAGGCGTTTCGACGGGCCAAATCCAGAGCCCTCCCCATCGCTGTACTCCTCTCCACCGTCCTCGCCACCCGCAAGCTTCTTTCGCTTGCCCTGCGAAGGCTCCCCGGCTGTTCCCTGCGAGGGGGTGGTCGACGAACTGGCGGTAGACATGGTGTGGACTGGCTGAGTATCGGACGCGTTCTGCCAAATGTGCTGCCCTAGCTCCGTCAGGAAGTTGGAGGCAAGGCGGCGAATAATTGCTGTTGGCGCAGAAGTCTCTCGTAGCTCAATGCCATAAACAGATTGAAGCGCGAAGTCCAGCATCGCGTCAACGTCTTCTGGAGAATAGTCGTCCGAGACGACCGATGCGACGTCCGACTGGCCCGGAGAGCCGCATTGGTCTTGAGTATGCGGCCACTCTGGCGCATCTTCTACCGCGATATCCTCCTCCTGCTTGATAAAGGGGTCTTCAAGGTGGCTGCAGATTGATCAGTATCCAGCAAGCATCAATGTTGGCATGCTTCAGATAGGTTGACTCACTGCACAGACGGCGTTTGAATGGCAGAGCCCAGCTCGCTGCTGGTGTCTCGCAGCCCTTTCAGCTTCTCACTCACGTCAGGATAGCCGATGAGTATCGGCGCCTCGTTATCATCATTGATGTACGTGGAGCAAGTTGTCGCGCTCGAGGGCTGATGGCGATGGCGGATCCTACTGGACGGCCTTGAGGAGTCGATGCAATGGCTGGCGAATCGCTCTTGAAGGTCGCTGGCGTAACTCGAGCTCAACGGGCTGGCGAGAGTGGAAACAGAGTACGTCGTTGCCGAGTCCGGGATGTGAGCGGAGGAGATGCTGCTGCGCGTGGATTCTGTGCGCGAGCGGAGACGGAAAGTTGTCGGGTTGAAGTGAAGACTCTCCGGAAAGCGCTTTCGGTTCTGAGATCCATCGGAATCAGTGCCCCAGGGCGCGTTCTTGTCGCAAAGCTGTAGGTTCTGCCGTGACTGTCGCCGGAGGTGAAGAGGAATGCGGGACAGATCCGATGCGCGGATTCCGTGATTATGCGCCGGCTCGGCCATTGAGACCGCGTATCTGGTAACGACGATAAAATGGGGCAGGGCAACCGCGCTGTACGAAATGAAGTGGTTCTAGAGATTGACACGGAGTTTCGAGGGCTGTTCAAGCGAGCGAATGGATGCTTGATCGCAGCTTCGGGCGAGTTTTGAATGAGCGACAACACGGCATTCGACCAACATTGAAGAAACGAGAATCCGCGAGTGAGCAACGACGGTCGACGAGCGGCCTCTTTCTTGGCTGATTCCCCTTTGAACCTCCAGGCTTCACCCATGAAGCCACCGATCCAAGCCCCCAAGGCTGCAGCAATCCAGGGGCAGTGCTCAAGCACCACACCAACGGCCGGCCCTGCGAGGGCCTTCTTCCAATTGGGGGCGTCCCTCGCTCCCTCGACGGGCGCTGATTCGCTGGTGATGGCCATTGTTGCATGAGCTGCATCGTGGGTCCCGGCGGCGCATCTCCTGTCCAGTCAGCCTTACGATGCCGAAATTGGCATGAGAAACCAAGGGTGAAACGGGGCCGCCGATGTGAGTCTTTGGTGGAGCCGCGACGGGGATTCTCGAAGGACGGGAATGCGGGTGATGAGCTGGGGCTTCAATCGAGGCACTGCATCGCGCCGGCCCGGCCGTTCCTGACGGGCGTCCTCTCTGACGTGCAGTTGCAGTTGCAGTTGCAGTTGACTGTGCTTTCCCACGCGGCAACGGGGCTCAGCGAGAAGAGCCGCTTCGCCCATTTAGTTCCCCCTTGCAGTGCGAGGTGGTTACTTGTACAGGCAGTCCTGGACGGGAGGCCGCACCCGCCAACCCTTGTCCAATACTCCCTCCTAGTGGTAAGCTCACCATCAGCTACCAAGTAAAGGTCGGCCGAGCATCCCGATCGGCATTACTGCGAATAGCGTCAATGCGACGCCCAGCTACCCTGCGATCTCAGGTTTCGCCCTGTTCTGCGCCTCTGCGCTACGTGATTGGGCCTTTGCCATGTGCTGGTGTTTCAAGACATGCGACGGCTGATTGTCAACCAGTGAGTGCGTCGTCTGACATTTCTGCTGGGACCACGCGTCCAGAGTCAGACACAGGCTCCAGACCGATCCATCCCTACTTGGCTTCGTGTGGGAACCAGTGCCAACTCGTTGAGTTTACGTACGTGTTAATTAGCTGCGCTGCAGCAGACGCGTCTCTTCCTTGTCGGCAGTTTGTTAATTAACAGCCGCGTTCGGCTCGCGGCAGGCACCATCGTCAATCGCCGTCAATCTAACGTCGGAGACACTCCCGTTTGGTCTCTGGGTGGCCAACTACCCTGGACGAAACGGTGCTCACGCCGGACCACGTAAATATACGTGAATTTCACGGGCACGCGTGCTTTTCAGAGTCGCCCGGATGCGGTCATAGGCAGTTGGTTTCATGGGAGTACGGGCACGCAGACACTGATAGAAGCAACGACGCGTCGCACACAACACTTTGCGCGCTATTCGCTTCTTGCGACACGGCGACGGCGATTGCTTAAATATGCAAGCCCCCGCGGGTTCAAATATGCAGATGTAACGCTGTGCTTTCCTAACCACCATTCACCAGGATGCACCTTCCTTTCAGTATACTCCACGTCCTCGCTCTGAGCCTTTCTGCGGTCGTCAACGCTGAAGCAAGCCCTGGACGCAATCGGGATCTTCATCTCGCACGTGAAGCAAGGTGCAGAGATGGTAGCCCTGGTGAATGCTCAGGGCCGAACTACTACTGTTATGGCGGCCGACTTCGTCGCAAAAACTACCACAGCGCGCTGACCGGGTTGAAGGGGCCTGCCACAGCTCAACTGATTGAGATGACGATACGGTGCAAGAGGCTATGCCGGTGCGTCAGAGTGACGCCTTGGACAACCGCCCAGGTGAGGTCCTTTGTAGCGTCGATGAATTGGACGTAAACTTAGAAAAGGGTGCAGCCTCAGAGCCCGAAGCAGTGCCGATGTGACAGGCCCGACCATTGGCCCAACCCAGAGCCGATCAAACACACCACACCAAGCAGCAAAGACCCATGCACAGAGTCATTCTTATCGGGCTCAACGCCGCAAGAGCTGGTCCCATGGGATCCGGAGCTCGAACTGTTCCAGTGGAACTTTGCTGGCAAAGATCCCGAGTCGGACTGGCCCGCCTGGGTAGAGGCACAGCTCACTTGTGCCTGGATGAACGAGGGCTGACGCGCCATTCTTGCGTTCTCTTCGCGGGGCATCGTAATAGGGAAGTAGATGTGTCGATAGTGCGATGTCCAAAGCCGCGATTCCACGACCTCGCAGAGCCGACTGGTTGATCTGTGGCCAGAATGTCCCGGGCTCTTCGCGCCGCGCACGCATGGCAGATTGGCAATGAGTCGCAGACGAGTCTTTTGGGTGACAGTCATTCTCGAGCAGTTTTAGACAATCTTCAATGTGACGACGCGACAGTGTGAAACGCAGACCCCCGTGAACGCGCTGGCCCTTGAAACTTAGTAGTCTACTGCATTGCCGTCATCTGCGCGGCTTTTGCAATCTTTGCCTAGGGCCACGAAGATGAAGAAGTGAGAACAAGTGGGTGGCGCAACTTCCGACGTGCTGCGCACTATCGAGTGCTTAACGAGACGAAGACTGATCCCGGCAGTCGCTTGGGCAGCCGCTACCGGGACTGGTGCTGACGTCGATCTCCGCGTAACCCCATGGCACAGCCGCAATCCACCAAACACGCCATGTACATTTTCAACAGGACTTTGATCAATTGCCTCGCACATGTCCAATTGGTAAGCTGGCCAGAGCTGTTCAATAAATATGCAGCACACTTCCGTGTCTCCGACTCTGTGCCGAGTGAACGCCCGTTCCTGTGCAAGCCGGCTCCAAGCACGTCTTGATACCATGTGCGAACTGCAGGCACCAAGGCCATCCGGCCGGAAGGGGTCGCGCAAGGTTCGCACCGGATGTGTGACGTGCAAGTCAGTTTCAATGAGTTCCTTTCTGACTGAGCGGCAACTCACAATTCTCGCAGGATCCGCAAAGTCAAATGCGACGAAACGAAGCCAAGCTGCCTCAGGTGCACCAACACTGGTCGCAAATGCGACGGTTACGTCCTGCAGCATTCTCGCCAAGCTCCGATCCAGCATGCCGTCTCTGTCGTCCAACTTGATTCCTCCAGCAGTCGCCGGGCTTTCGACTTTTATCGCAGCAACGCCGCCCACTTGCTTCAGGGTGTCTGCGAAGGCGACTTCTGGAGCGGTGTGGTCTTGCAACTGAGTCTCCGGGAAGCGAGTGTGCAACATGCGGTTCTCGCCGTGAGCGGCTTTCTGGAGTGCGCCACGTCGACCGAACCCGCCTCCCATCTTGATTCACAAAGAGCCTTTGCGTATGGAGAGTACGGAAAAGCAATACAGGCGCTCCAGAAATGGGACGCACAGGGACGCGCGCCCGATATACCACTTCTTGTTTGTGTGCTGTTCATCTGCATCGAGTTCCTGCTGGACCGCGACCACGAGGTCCAGTTGCACGTATGCCAGGGGCGCAAGATACTACACAGCATACCGAAATCCCACTCGCCAGACTTTCGGCTCATAAAGAATGATCTGGTCCCGATTTACACGCGTCTAAGCCTTACAAGCTTTCTTTTCGGCAGTCGGCCTGCCCCGATCCCCGACCATCTCAAAGGCGTCGACGAAGTCCCATCTAGCTTTTCATCAATGGAAGATGCCAGATACTGCTTGTTTCTCCTCTTGGACGAGGGGCTGCGATTCACAACACGCGGTCAGCCTGCGGCCTATGCACCATCACCTGACGTGGAGGAGCTCAACCTCCTGGCTTTCGAGCAACAAAGCCTCTTGACCCGCTTATCAGACTGGCGAGTCGCCTTTGCCATCTTCACAGCATCGCGTAGAAAATCTCTTGCTACTGACCAGAATTTGCTCCAAATTTATCATACCACTGCTGTTATCTGGATCTCTACGGCGCTGCAGCCGTTTGAGACTGCCTACGACGCCCACACACCAGCATTCGCCTCCATCATCACGGACGCCTCAGCTGTACTAAGCTGCTCCAACGCGAGATCTCAGTTTCCGTCGTTCACATTCGAGACCGAACTCATTGCACCGCTGTATTGGATGGCAATCAAGTGTCGGCACCCCTTACTTCGACGAGCGGCTGTTAGCCTGCTGATGCGTGATGAGCTGAGAAATCGCCGAGAAAACATGTGGTCTGGCAAAGAGTCGATTGTCGTTGCGACGAGGGTGATTGAGCTGGAGGAGGCACAGGGCAACACGCGATACTCGAGCCCGGGTGAGCGGTCTGGCTCGGTACGTGATCGCCGCGGGTTCGGCCGTGCAGATCATTTCACGACAGGACAGAGTGTGCATCTCAGCCCGCCTCCTACCGATATACGGGTTCCCCTGTGCCAACCACCGACTATGGCCAAAATGTTCCCGCTGATAATTGACCCAATGAATGGCCATTGCGATGAGGCTACGACACACGCCCTTGCCACGCCGCGGATATGCAAAAGAGCAGAGGACGCCAAGGTTCAAACCGTTATACCCCCACCGGAAGGCGTCGACATGTATCCGCCGTATGGTATAGTCGAGAGCCGACGCATTAAAAACACTTTGATAGAACCTCGAAAGTCGGGCGGAGTTTGGATCACCATGTTTCGCGATTTGGAAGACGGCCAGGAACATTGGCACCTAGAACGGGAATTCTTAGTCATGTAAAATGAGGAACAGCGAGCGATCATGGTGGAAACCAATGACGAACATGCCACGGCTATAAATGCAAGGGTATATCGGTTCGTAACATCGTATTGTACATGAATGGACGAGGCCATTGCGGCAATGCTCAGCTACGAGCAACCTCGGCTTTTCTCGACGTGACCCCAGCCGCCGCCACCTTGCGTCTTTTGTTCATCTCGTCTTGTTCCGCGAGAACTTTGGCTGTCAGCGACGCCGCCATCGGGTTGTTGATGCCGCTGATCCTAGAATCAGGCTCCTTGGCCGGCTTTGCCTCGCTAGCCTTGTCTTTCGTCTCGCCATTTCCGTTCATTTCTTCGCCCTTGCGCTTCTTCTTCTTCTTTTCCGACTTGTCCTTCTTCAAAGAGTGTGTCAGACCCTTCGCCCTCAGGTCCTCTATCCTCTTCTCCAGCCGCGAAAACTCTTTGTCTGTGATAGGCAGGATCGAGACGACGTTTTCACGCTCAAAGGCTTCTGAGCATTCTGGACAGGTGCTCTCCTGGATCTCGGTGATAGCAACCTCCGCAAAGACGTGTCCGCATGGAACCAGGTAGACTGCTTTGGTCGACGGGCCCATCTCCTTCATCGAGATGGGACACGCCCATTTGTCGCCGCTTTTTGAGAATTTCAGCTTTTGCACATCCCTCAGAGAGGTGATGCCAAGAGATGCTGGAGTGACCTCGGCAGGTTCATCTGTCGGCATGAGGCCCTTGAGGATAGCCTCATAGTTGTAAAGGCGACCGCGCCAATCTGAAACTACTGATTCTAGGTCGAGGGTGTCTCCACTGAGCGCGCAGTGTGTCCACGCATGTAAGAGAGACTCGAGCGCTGTTGCTTTCAGTTCGGAGACGGTCGGCGCGCGAGAGGCGTTCTTGACGAGTTCCCGTCGGGTGGGGATGGAGCCACCATCGTTGCCCATGTTGCCTGTATTGGCCTATTGGCCGATGGACAGCAAGTGGCTGAACGCCTGATTGTTTGATCGACAGTTGCGCGGGGGATGGGACAGGTACGTGCTTGGGGAGGATTCGAGGACTCCGTGATGATGGATCGTTTGATAGCGAGGAAAGTCAACTTCGCCCCCGGGCCATTCATCGGGCGTTGTAAAGTTGTTATCGATAAGACTAGTCAAAGGGTGCACGGACCATGCCTACAGTGTCCCCTCCATACCAGGACGCACTTTAGCGCTCGTTCGCTAGGCCCGACTCACCCATTTCGGGCGAGTCACCGTGCGGCGCACCGTGGCACACACGGCGCCCATGTGATACCCACTCACCGAAGCTAGGTAGGTGACTTGGGCCGCGTCTGACCTCGCAGGCGTTGACGCTGGCATGCTGCCACTCGGCGTTCAATTAACTCCAACAGCTTCCCACCTCCTCCACCGACAACGCCAGCTGGTTTCCAGCAACGACGCCGCACACACTGAGGCACAGACCTGCGTGTCATGGTTGTGCGATCTCCCCTCGCAGCTGGCGACTTGTGCGAGCGCGCCATTTAGTTCCTGTATTCTTTCTTTTCCCTGCGTCAACCACGAGGGGCAACACACGACTCCCACCTTTCTCGACAGCCCTCGACGACGACCGCGGGCGACGCCATCCACAGTCGCACGACTCGACGGCTCAATAGTGCAAAGTTGTTTGATCCTACCTCACGCCTAATTACATGCTGCCTTGAGCAAATGCTCGAGGTCGGCAGTTGGGGAGGATGGCGCAACAACAACAGGTCGCTCTTGAGCGACTGGAACACATCACGCGAGGACTACGGTCTCGGTAGGTTTTCTGCTCCTAAATGGCAGCGAGCCTTCTGACTCCCCCAGCGCCGGAGACGAGACGCGCAAACGCGCAGCGATACAGTTGAGAGAGCTGGTGGTCGTTTGTCACCGAGGTAGGCAGCCATCCCCCACGAGCTTCGTTCACAGCACAAAGCTAACAGCACGACTAGACCTGAATCAGGAACAGTTCCTCGGATTCTACAACGCAGTAAACAATAAAATCACCCAACTCATCACACATGGAAGCGACTCGGCCGAGCGCCTGGGTGGCATTTATGCCCTCGACGCCCTGGTGGACTTTGAGGGCGTCGACGTGGCGATGAAATACACGCGGTTCACACAAAACCTCAAAACCATTCTTCGGGGAAAGGACATAAACCCTATGCAACCTGCTGCCGTTGCACTGGGAAAGCTCTGCCGTCCCGGTGGATCTCTGATTTCCGAACTCGTCGAATCCGAGGTGAACACAGCACTCGAATGGCTGCAAAACGACCGGGTGGAGGAACGAAGATATAGCGCCGTTTTGGTGCTGCGGGAGCTCGCCAGAAATGCCCCGACCTTGATGTATCAGTACATCCCGACCATCTTCGATTGGATCTGGATCGGTCTGCGAGACGCTCGCAAGCTCATTCGCACAACCTCCGCCGAAACTGTCAGCGCCTGTTTCCGCATCATTCGAGAGCGAGACCAAGAAATGCGGCAACTGTGGATGGGAAAGATATTCGGCGAAGCGCGGGCTGGCCTGAAAGTTAACACCGTCGAGTCCATCCACGCCTCGCTGCTTGTTCTGAAGGAGCTGCTCGAGCAAGGAGGCATGTATATGCAGGAGCATTACCAAGAAGCTTGCGACATTGTCTTCAAGCACAAGGACCACCGAGATCCGAGCATCAGGAACACTGTCGTCCTGCTCATTCCAGACCTGGCGAGCTATTCACCCGCCGACTTTGCCCACACCTGGTTGCACAAGTTCATGGTCTATTTGTCCGGCATGCTCAAGAAAGACAAGGAGCGCAACGACGCCTTCCTTGCTATCGGCAACATCGCCAATTCCGTCAAGAGCGCCATCGCCCCGTACCTTGATGGCGTTCTCATCTACGTGAGGGAAGGTCTCAGTGTCCAATCTCGAAAGCGAGGCTCGGTGGATCCGGTGTTCGACTGCATCAGCCGCCTGGCAGTCGCCGTCGGTCAAACTCTGAGCAAATACATGGAGGCTCTTTTGGACCCCATCTTCGCCTGCGACTTGACGCCAAAGTTGACCCAAGCGTTGGTGGACATGGCATTCTACATCCCGCCAGTGAAGCCGACAATTCAGGAGCGACTGCTTGACATGCTCAGCGTCGTCCTTTGCGGCGAGCCATTCAAGCCGCTCGGAGCGCCACAGCCGAATACACTCACCTCGGTGCCGACAATTGCAAAGGACGCCAAGGATCCCCAGGCCTACGAGAACCGGCGCTCAGAAGTCAAGCTCGCCTTGAACACGCTCGGCAGCTTTGACTTCTCCGGACACATCCTCAACGAATTCGTGCGAGACGTTGCGATCAAGTACGTCGAGGACGAGGATCCGGAGATCAGAGAAGCAGCGGCTCTCACTTGCTGTCAGCTTTACGTCAGGGATCCTATCGTAAACCAGACGAGCTACCATGCCCTGCAGGTTGTGGGCGACGTGATAGAGAAGTTGCTCACCGTCGGAGTCTCGGATCCGGAACCAACCATACGAAGGACAGTTCTGGCAGCTCTGGACGAGCGGTTTGACCGGCATCTTGCCAAGGCAGAGAACATTCGAATACTGTTCTTCGCCCTCAACGACGAGATCTTCTCCATTCGGGAGGTAGCGATCTCGATCATAGGCCGACTTGCCCGCTACAATCCGGCATATGTCATTCCGTCACTGCGAAAGACGCTCATCCAGATGCTTACGGAGCTCGAGTTTTCCGACGTCGCTCGCAACAAGGAGGAAAGCGCGAAGTTATTGACGCTCCTCGTACAAAATGCGCAGAACCTCATCAAGCCATACGTGGAGCCAATGATCTCTGTCCTGCTGCCAAAGGCCAGCGATCCGTTACCATCTGTTGCTGCAACGATTCTGAAGGCGATCGGAGAGCTCGCCACGGTTGGCGGCGAAGACATGCTTCCCTACAAGGATCGACTCATGCCTCTCATCTTGGATGCTTTGCAGGATCAGAGCTCCAACATGAAGCGTGAGGCCGCGCTCAATGCCCTCGGACAGCTGGCAAGCAACTCCGGATACGTGATCAAGCCGTATCTCGAATACCCACAGCTCCTTGAAATCCTTCAAGGCATCATCCGCACCGAAGGACAGCGAGGGCCCCTTCGGCAGGAAACGATCAAGCTGATGGGTATCCTGGGCGCGCTGGACCCGTACAAACACCAGGTAAGAATTGATTCCATTGCAGTCGGCTTCTTTTGTGACCGAGATGGAATCTGCGAAAGCAACAGACCACTGACTGTCAATCGCAGCAAGTCGAGGAGCAAACGCCAGAGTTGCAGAGACGGGTCGAGTCCAACCAGATGACCGACATCTCTCTTATGATGACTGGATTGACACCCTCTAACAAAGAGTACTTCCCAACGGTCGTCATCAACGCTCTTCTGCAGATTCTCAAGGACCATTCCTTGGCACAGCACCACGCCGCAGTGATCGAAGCTATCATGAACATCTTCAGAACGCTGGGCCTTGAGTGTGTATCATTTCTGGACCGCATTGTTCCAGCATTCCTGCTTGTCATCCGATCCTCTGCGTCGACGCGTCTGGAATCTTACTTCAACCAGCTAGCAACGCTGGTCAGCATCGTGCGGCAGCACATCAGGAACTATTTGCCAGAGATCATCGAAATTCTCCAAGAGTACTGGCACAAGTCTACGTCACTGCAGACCACGATCCTGTCGCTCGTGGAGGCCATTTCGCGCTCTTTGGAGGGCGAATTCAAGATCTACCTGGCCGGCATACTGCCGCTCATGCTCGGCGTGCTCCATAAGGACTCGTCAGCCAAAAGAATACCCTCCGAGCGCGTTCTTCACGCATTTCTCGTGTTCGGCGCCAGTGCAGAGGAGTATATGCATCTCATCATACCCGTCATTGTGCGCACTTTCGAGAAGCAGGGTCAGCCCACGTTCATTCGAAAGCATGCCATCGATACCATCGGCAAGATTTCGCGCCAGGTCAATCTGAACGACTACGCCGCCAAAATCATCCACCCGCTCACACGCGTGCTGGATGTTGGTGAACCCACGCTTCGAACTGCCGCTCTAGACACCCTTTGCGCCCTGATACAGCAACTGGGCAAGGACTACTTGCACTTCATGGGTACTGTCAACAAAGTCATTACCCAACATCAGATTCAGCATTCGAATTACGAATTGCTGGTCAGCAAGCTGCAGAAGGGAGAGGTGCTCCCACAAGATCTGAGTTCGGAATCTCGGTTCGCTGATCTGTTGGATGACACGCCGTTGGCCGATCTGGGCACTAAGAAGCTCGAGATGAATGCCATCCACCTCAAAGCGGCGTGGGACACCCGCGGCAAGTCGACAAAAGAAGACTGGCAAGAATGGCTGCGAAGATTCAGCACCACCCTTTTGACCGAGTCGCCAAATCACGCGCTCCGTGCGTGTGCGAGCTTGGCCAGTGTCTACCTACCCTTGGCCAGGGAGTTGTTCAACTCGGCGTTTGTTTCGTGCTGGAGCGAGCTATACGAGCAGTTCCAAGACGAACTCATCCAGAATATTGAGAGTGCCATCAAATCGGAGAATGTTCCACCCGATCTGCTCGGCTTGCTGCTCAACCTCGCTGAGTTCATGGAGCACGATGACAAAGCCCTGCCCATTGACATTCGTGTCCTTGGTCGTGAGGCCGCCAGATGCCATGCTTATGCCAAGGCACTGCATTACAAGGAGCTCGAGTTTCTGCAAGACCAAAGCAGCGGGGCGGTCGAAGCCCTTATTGTTATTAACAATCAGCTGCAGCAATCCGACGCCGCCATTGGTATCTTGCGCAAAGCTCAGCTGTACAAGGAGGGCATTCAACTTCGCGAGACTTGGTTTGAGAAGCTCGAAAGATGGGAGGAAGCTCTCTCATTCTACAACAAGCGTGAACGGGAGGTACCAGACGACCAACCTGTACCCATCGACATTGTCATGGGTAAGATGCGCTGTCTGCACGCACTGGGCGAATGGGATGCACTCGCAAACCTCACGAGCAGCACCTGGTCCAACTCGGCCCCTGAAGTTCAGCGAATGATCGCACCCCTAGCAACGGCCGCTGCATGGGGTCAAGGCAAATGGGATTCGATGGACAACTACTTGTCATCGCTCAAGCGAAACTCGCCTGACCGGTCGTTCTTCGGAGCCATCCTCGCTCTTCACAGAAACCAGTTCCGCGAGGCAGTGGCTTGTATCGAGCAAGCTCGCGAGGGTCTAGACACAGAGCTCAGCGCCCTCGTCAGCGAATCGTACAATCGCGCCTACCAAGTCGTGGTCCGCGTCCAGATGTTGGCCGAGCTGGAAGAACTCATTGTTTACAAACAATGTGATGAGAAGAAGCAGGCTACGATGCGCAAGACATGGGAAACGCGACTTCAAGGTTGCCAGCGCAACGTGGAGGTTTGGCACCGCATGCTTCGACTGAGAGCGCTTGTCATCTCCCCTGCGGAGAATATGCGCATGTGGATCAAATTTGCCAACTTGTGTCGCAAGTCAGGCCGCATGGGCCTGGCTGAAAAGTCTCTCAAGCAACTTATCGGCTCTGAGGCTCCGTTGGAGAGTATGATCCCGTACTGGAGCGAGAGCAAGAACGAGCGGTCGAACTCGGCGCCCGCTCGAAGTCCTCCGGCACAAGTCATTTACGCCATGCTCAAGTACGAGTGGGAATTGGGCCAGCAACCCATCGGCCGACGAGAGGGTATCGCAGAGCGGACACTGTATTGCCTGCAGCGATTCACCAACGACACGGCGCACCGGCTTGACGTCGCCAAGGCGCATCTCACTGCCCAGGCGGGTAGTGACATCAATATTCCCACAGAATACGGTTTCCCCAACCAGATGGACCAGTCCGTCATGAGCCCACAGACTCAACGCGCATTGTACGACCAGACCGTGCTCCTCGCGAAGTGCTACCTCCGGCAGGGCGAGTGGCAAATCGCGCTGGACAAGGACAACTGGCAATATACCAAAGTCCAAGAGATCTTGACATCGTACTCTCAAGCGACAAAGTACAACCCGCGCTGGTACAAAGCCTGGCACGCGTGGGCCTTGGCCAACTTTGAAATCGTTCAGACGCTGTCAGCAAGGAACGAGGGTCAGCTGTCTCGCGCAGATCAGGCCATGATCATCGAGCATGTTGTTCCGTCTATCCAAGGCTTCTTCAAGTCGATAGCATTGTCCGCGGGAAGCTCTCTTCAGGACACCCTACGGCTCTTAACGCTGTGGTTCACTCATGGCGGAAGCTCAGAGGTCAACTCAGCGGTCATGGAGGGCGTGGCCAACGTCAGCATTGACACCTGGCTGGAGGTCATTCCACAGCTCATTGCCCGCATCAACCAGCCACACAAGCGAGTTCAGCAGTCTGTGCAAAACTTGCTGGCTGACGTTGGCAGAACACACCCTCAAGCACTGGTTTATCCCCTGACCGTGGCCATGAAATCCTGGCAAAACACGCGTCGGTCGAGATCAGCTGCACAGATTATGGACAGCATGCGCCAGCACAGCGCGAACCTAGTCGCGCAGGCCGATACCGTGAGCCACGAGCTTATCCGTGTAGCCGTGCTTTGGCATGAGCTCTGGCATGAGGGCTTGGAAGAAGCGTCGCGTCTCTACTTTGGCGACCACAACATCGAAGGCATGTTTGCAACCCTGGAGCCGCTCCACGATTTGCTGGAGCGTGGCCCAGAGACGTTGCGAGAAATATCGTTCGCCCAAGCTTTCGGTCGGGACCTCAAGGAAGCACAGGAGTGGTGCCACCAATACGAATCGACCAAGGACGTGAACGACCTGAACCAGGCATGGGATCTTTATTACCAGGTCTTCCGGCGCATCTCCAGGCAGCTGCCGCAAGTGACGACCCTCGAGCTCACATACTGCTCGCCCAAGTTGCTCGCCGCCAAGAACCTCGACCTGGCCGTGCCTGGCACCTACAAGAGTGGACAGCCTATTGTCAGGATTATGTCCTTCGACTCGACCTTTAGTGTCATCAACTCAAAGCAGCGACCGAGAAAGCTGAATGCCAATGGAAGCGACGGCGTGTCGTACTCGTTCTTGCTCAAGGGCCATGAGGACATTCGTCAGGACGAGCGAGTCATGCAACTGTTTGGTTTGTGCAACACGCTGCTCGCCAACGACTCCGAGTGTTATAAGCGCCATCTCAACATCCAACGCTACCCAGCGATTCCGCTGTCGCAGAACTCTGGCCTCTTTGGCTGGGTCCCCAACAGCGATACGCTACATGTGTTGATCCGGGAGTATCGCGAGAGCCGCAAAATCTTGCTCAACATTGAGCACCGCATCATGCTGCAGATGGCGCCTGACTACGATAACCTGACGCTCATGCAAAAGGTTGAGGTGTTTGGGTATGCTCTCGACAACACCACTGGGCAAGATCTTTACCGGGTCCTGTGGCTCAAGTCCAAGTCGTCGGAAGCGTGGCTCGAGCGCCGCACCAACTACACTCGGTCCTTGGGCGTCATGTCAATGGTGGGCTACATCCTTGGCCTGGGTGACAGACACCCGTCGAACTTGATGCTTGACCGGATCACCGGCAAGATCATCCACATCGACTTCGGTGACTGCTTCGAGGTGGCAATGAAGCGCGAAAAGTACCCCGAGCGCGTGCCCTTCCGCCTCACTCGCATGTTGACCTACGCCATGGAGGTTAGCAACATCGAAGGCAGCTTCAGAATCACTTGCGAGCATGTTATGAGGGTGCTTCGAGAAAACAAGGAGAGCGTAATGGCGGTCCTGGAAGCGGTAAGTTTTTGGGATCTTTACATGATTCATCGAGAATTGTGGCTGACAAAAATCTAGTTCATTCACGATCCTCTTCTCACGTGGCGTCTGACCAGCGCAGCTTCGCCGACCGGTCCCAACTTTCAGAGCGAGCGCGAGGTGGCACTCGCCGGCCCAGCCGCAGCCCGTGCTCGGCGACACTCCATCTTGGACTCGGATGTGGCACCATCGGAGATGCTCGCCAATGGCGAACCGGGTGGTCCGCCCGTGGCTCGCACCAGGGCGCGTACCAACAGCTCTGCTGCTCACGACGGCAATATGGTCAACGGAGCGCAGGAAACCGAGAGCCAGAACGCTAGAGCCGTCGAGGTGCTTGACCGGGTTCAGCAGAAGCTGACTGGTCGTGACTTCAAGGCCAACGAAGAGCTTGACGTCATCAACCAAGTCAACAAGCTGATCGTTGAGGCCACCAAGCTGGAGAACCTGTGCCAGCACTACATAGGGTGGTGCAGCTTCTGGTGAAGCACTGAGGAACATCCTCTCTCCAGATTGATGTCAATCTTTCTGTTTTCGAAGGCGAGTTGTCACGCGTGGGTCACGGCCTTTCTGGACTTTGTGATATCCAGTGGATGTTGAACGGCGTTGGGAGTAGCTCAGGGGTTTTGCTATTTGCTTGTGGTGCGTCTAACGGACGACTTGGGCTGTAATGTCATGACTAGACAGCGTGTCTATGTGTTATATTTATATCATTCGCCAAACTTTCATGTGCTCTGTGCTTTGGTGTACATGTTCATGATTGAATGCCGGAGCATGGTGGCCACTGGCGCGTTGACGTATGCAATACACGGACCAGTTTATGTCGTAAGTCATCACGGCGCGCTACCGACCCAGCAGTGGCGCGTCCTCTTCTCCCTCCTGCTCCGTGCTGTCCCTGGCGTGACGTTGTTCGTGCTCTTGCCCCGGCGGCGACTCTTCACGGCCAGCATCGTCTTCCGCCCACTCATCGCCGGTCTCAGCGCCATCCAACTGCAAGTAGGCAGAGCTGTGAAATTGAGAATCGGTGGCTTTCCCGAACAGGCTATCCATATCCTCGAGAGCGCGGCCCTTTGTCTCCGGGTACAGCAGCCATATGACCTGCGCATCGTCAGTTCCGATGCCCGTACCGAGACAAGTCACAAGACGCCCGCGATGTGTTTGGCTGCTGGACAAAAGCGGAAAACTTCGAGCGAGGAGGGGCACATACCGGCACGCAGATGAAGTTGACGGCCATAAAGAAGAAGTAGATGCCGCTGCCGAGGTGCGCCAGTCCGACGGGCCAGACCTGCGCGACGATGATGCTGCCGATGGAACCGCCCGAGGCGGCAAAGTTGAGACCGCGGGCGCGGACCGACGTGGGAAAGATCTAGCAGTGCAGGTGGTCAGCGGCCTGCAAGTCTCGCAAGCAATAGCGATGGTGAATCCCTACCTCGGAGCTGTAAACCCATGCTGCAGGTCCGAGGCCGAGGCTGTAGCCCATGGCGTAGATGAAGATGAAGACTATGCAAACCACATCTGCGGCCTTGTTGGCATTGCCGGGGAACGCCAGCGGCAGCGCTCCGTTGATCTGAAGCTCAAGTCAGCCGCTCTCCGAACTCTGGCTTGAGCTCTGCGGTGTCTCCAATGGGGTTGGCATACCAGCATGGCGACGCCCATGACCAGACTGCCGCCCACCAGGCACGCCCTCCTGCCAAACCGATCAATCACCCACATCTCCAGGACCGTCATGCCAATTTTGAGCGTCATCTCCAGGGCACCCGCCATGAGGGCGACGCGCGTCTCCACGCCGAGCGCCTTGAGCAGCGCGGGGAGGTAGTACTTCATGGCTGTAGCGCCGCACATTTGCGCCATGAACTGCAGCAGGAAGGCGCGCCAGAGACGCGCGAAGAGGGCGGGCTCGCGGAAGAGCGACAGGGTTAGCGCAACGAAGGGCGAGCTGGCGATGGAGGTGGAAGCCGACGCGGACGCGGATGAGGCGGAGGCGTGGCGAGACTCGACGTCGGCGCTGATGGCGTGCAGTTCGTGGGTGATGGCTTCGCGGGAGGTGGTGCCGTCGCGGAGCCAGAAGAGGACCTTGCGGGCGCGCTCCATGTGGCCCTTTTCGACGAGCCATCGCGGCCTGGGGTAGTTGTCAGCCCAGCCATAGGGGCAATCGAAACGTTCAGAGTGAATTTATACGTACGTATCGGGCAGGAAGGGCAGTCCGACGGCAAAGATGGCCGCCGGGAACAGCTGGATGAGGATAGACACTCTCCAGCCCCAGAACTCGCCCTGAGGGCCTTTCCAGAAAGTCATGCCATAGCCAACCCTACCGGCCATAAGGTTAGCAATAGGGCTAGGATCTCGAGCCCAGTGTAGCTTACCAAAGGCCAGTAGCCAGTCCCGCGATGAAGCCGACGTGGTTCATGGTGACGAACTTGCCTCGCTCCTTGGCCGGCGACACCTCACTGTCCACGCGCGTTAGCTCACCTCCCCTTTACATCCTAAGAGCAAGAAACCAAGTTACCTCTGATACAGCGGCACAGTCGTACTCACGACACCCACGCCCACGCCGCAAATCCACCTCCCCCAGGCCATGGCCGCAACGGCACCGCTGCCGCCCTCCCGCACGCTCGCCATCACCACCGCGCCGAGACACAGCACCAGCGTGCCCACCAGCGCCGCGTGCCGCCTCCCGAGCCAGTCCGCCAGCGGGTGCGACAGCAGCACGTACGACAGGAACGTGCCGAGGTAGTAGATGCCCGTGATGAGGCCGCGCTGCGCCGCCGAGGGCGAGCCGCCCAGCGCGGCCTTCCAGCCCGGGTGCACAAGGATCGAGGACAGGATGCCGATGTTGTAGCCCCATATGGAGGCCCCGACGGCGAGGTGCAGGCATAGTGTGTAGAGGCGGCGGCTGCCGGGGGGGAGGGCCGTGGACAGGGCCTTCATCTTTGCGATGGCGACGGCTGCGTCTCGACGTGCTGGGAGAGGTTCCTGGGCGGTGATGTAAAGTGAACACTGGAGGCTGGCATGGGGCCGCTAGGACATGCTACTAGCGACCCAGGAAAGAGACGCGAAACGACGGAAATTCTATCGCAGCAAAGGCAGCGCGACGCAATCGCAAATGCACCAGCAATTCAAGCAGACAAGCGAGAGAGGTCAGCGTCAGGTTCGATCGCCAAGTGAGGTTCGCTGCGGGGCATGACGGGGCCGCCACTATACCCGGCGCGGCACTTGCGTACATGGCCCGCTCTGCCGCCGCACACCGGCAGGGTCACACACAGTCATTGACGATCTTGGCTGGAATACAAACGATGCCCATTGAGGGGTCGTCGTAACAAGTTCAACTGGCTCTCCACATCAATGCTATCGTCGTGCCCAAGGCATCTAGTCCTACACATGGTTCTCCTATAGGATGCCCCCTACAATTCGTCCTTGCCGGCATGCGCCGCCTTGGCCGCGGGCTCACACGCCGCAGGGGTGCCAACCTCCATCTTGTAGACGCACTTCTCTGCCTCGCTGACCCTCCAGAGCTCCTCCTTCTCCGCGCACCCCAGCCACACGTCTGTCCGTCGCTGCGGCCCGTTCCAGCACCCTTGCCCGTTATCGTAGCGCATCACCATCCTCTCGCCCTTGCCCAGGCTCTTGCCGTCGAGGCGCTCCTCGTCGTCGGCCATTTCGCGGTCGATGCGCACAAAGTTGCCCATGTTGGTGTTGCCGTGGCCCTTCTTGGAGTTCTGCGATGTCCGCTCCAGCCACGTGAGCTCGTACGTGTACTCGCCCGCCTCGATGCTGACCGTCTTGCCCTTGAGGGCGCGAAAGATGTCTTCGGGGCCGTAGTCCTTCTTCAAGTCCTCCTGTTCGTCATCTCGGCTCCGAATCTTGTCATTGAGCTCGCGGTCAGCGGCCTCGACGGCCTCGCGAGCCGCCTTGACGAGGTGCGACTCAGAGCCAGGCTTCGCAGAGTCGGCTAGCATGCCGTTCTGGATAAGCCACACTCGCAGCGAGTCGACTTTGTCGTGAATCAGGTTGCGAAGGAAGGTTGGCAAGTAGGCCTCGAAATTGTACACTGCGAGAGGGTGTTAGGCCTAGGCCGCGAATCGTCTGCCAAGTCAGAGCACTTACGGATATCGGTGTCGTCACCCAGCTCCTCAAACTCCTTCCAGTTCACGCCAATCGTGTCGCTGTCCTCCTTGAGGACCTCTTCAATCTCCGAGTCGGGAATTTGGTCCTTGACATCTGTCTCCTGGCGTGCGGAGTAGTCCTCAAATGACTTGACGGCAGCCTTGACGCCCTCGTCGTTGAAATTGGGATTGTACTCTTCTTTGAACTTGCGCAGGATGGTCTCCAGCTCATCGACTTGAGCGCGCAGGTGATTGCGTTGCTGAAGGACACCGTCGAGGGTGTTGCGCAGCTCGTTGACCCGAGTTTTGGCCACGCCGACAAGGACGCCAAGCTTGCCTCCGCCACCTTCGCCGCGGACCACCTTGCCCTTCTCCTGAAGCTCAACAGCGGCGAGCTTCTTCTGCAGGTCCGCTTTCTTGGCCTCGAGCTCCTTGATCTCGTCGATGTGGTCTGCCAGCCGCACCTCCACGCGTCTGCGCAGCTCCTTGGCCTCCTTGGCCATCGTCTTCCTCTTCTTCTCCGCCTTCTCCATGTTTTTGCGTTTCTCTTCCTCCAGCTTTCGATGCTCCTTGCCGATCTCATCGCAGCGGTTCTCACACTTTATGCCTCCAACGCCCGCGAATTCCTCGGAGCCATCGCAGCACAGGTCGTAGTCGCACACGCCATCGTTTACGTACACAAAGGGCACATAAGAGCCAATGTGGCCCTTGTTGACGCACCAGAAGCCTGGGAGCGCATTCTTAGTGCTCGTGCTGCCAGATGGCGAGCCGGGCAAAGGCTGCTGTGGCGAGAGGGGGTCGAGGTAGGCACAGGCGGCCGTGCCTGGCTCGTCGGAGCCGTCGGGGCAATCGCACGTGTTGTCGTTGACTCGATCCCAGCTGAGCTTTATGGATGCATCCGTGATGCAAGTGAACTCGGTTTTGCTAACATAGTACGACTCAACTGCACGCGCGGGTCAGCAATTGCAATGCTCTTCGTGGCCACCGCGCCTCGACGGCAGCTGAGCGGATGGTGCAGGACACGGGCGGACTGACATTCTGGGCCGACACCGCGCGGCAGACTGCCCGCAGCAGCCGCGGTAACGGAAGAAATGGCGCCCAGCAGCACCAGGGACCGTGGCTGCTGCATCGTGAGTCGACAACTTTGGTGTTGATGTTGAGGTGAACACTGAAGCTGGAGAGGGTTGGAGCTCCCCTGTTCGCTGCAACAGAACACGGTGACCGATCCGCCACACTAGCCGTTCCAGGGGGGGGCAGTTGGCTGGGCCCTGACCTCACAGGTGCCCTGTGGAGGGAGGCTTCTGCGGCGGGTTTCGAGGCTGCTGTTGTGGGGCCGTTCGTCAAGCGCCGCAAGTGCTGTGTCAGGCGGCAAAAACTCGGCCAGCTGGCGGCAGCCCAATGGAGGGGCAGTCCCGGGCCTGCCTGAGACGAGATCGAAGGTCGGGTCGGTCCAGCGACCCCGGCCAGTGAACAAAACCCCTCCAACTTTTTCCACGCCCCCCAAAAAAGTTCACCACCCCACCTCATTGCTTCCCCGACCTTTCCAGCTTCAACACGCGAAGCATCATGGCGACAACGCTGGAAGAGGACGTCGCCAGCCTGAACGCTATTGTCGCCTCGGCTCTCTCTCTCTTCACCAAGCTCAAGGACGTCTTGGAGCAGATATGCCCTCCCTCGCCCTCGCCGAATATGACTTCCTCGAAGGCAGCGCGTGGTCCACAGCATATCTCCCCGCCGGCGATCAGTGCCCTCCCTCTCGCTAAAGACTGTGCAGACCTCATCAAGGCACACAGCAGCAAGGTCGCGCTATTCCTCACCAACGATCCCTACAATCCCAGCGCGGTGGTCTCCGTGATCAGACAATTGATGGAATCTCCAGTGCCGGGACTGGTGGCAGCTGCACAGGCCTGCACCGAGGAAGACTATACGCTGCTGTTTCGAAGAGACCTCATTTTCCGCGCCAAACAAGTTCTGGAACGGCTGATAGATCTTATGAAATGGGTTCCACTTGACGGCCGTCTTGCTGATGCCAGCAACAGTCCTCATCTTCTCATTGGTAAGCTCTGGAGCGCCTGCGAAGCGCTCGTGGCCATGGCTACGCTGGGCGTCGCGGGCCACATTGCCCAATTGATGAGGCAGTGGAAGGAAACACTCAGGGACATCAAGGCTGAGCTGAAGGATTGGAGTGAAGAGGTTCCCGATGAGGATCAGGGCGACAACCAGGACGAGCACAGCGACGACGCTAACTCCGACATCGACGCCCAGGACCTCGCCGACCAGCTTATGAGCGGGCCCGCTCCCATCCCTTGCGGCGATCCGAACGAGATTCGTCCCCGACTAAACGTTGTCATTAAGCGGCTTGGCCTCATGACTCTGTTTTATGGCGCCGTCATTAAGCGACGCATCACAACGGCTCCCGAATTGCCTCCCGCCCTACGCTTTACCGCCATCAAGACCACCGATCGACTCGAGGAGGCGGCCAGTATCCTTGCGTTGCTGCCGGATCGTTTCGAAGCCGTTGCCCTTACCCTCTACGAGCCAAACACAAGAAAGGCCGACGAGGTCATGGACTTGGTCACGCGCGAGACGGCTGCTGTCCGCGACTTGCTAAAGACGGACTGGGAAGGCAAAGACGACGAGTTCACTGCGTGGTCGAAGAAGTTCGAAGACGAGTTCATGCGATGCGGACGAGAGGACGCGGTGCAACGCGACCCGGAACCCCAGCCCGCGACTTGAAAGAGGAGCAAACCGACTCCCTACCCCTTCAATCCCCGTCGTCAAAGCCAAGTCGCTCAGAATTGACCCTGGCATTAGCACCGCCGCCCTCTCTCGCCGTCTTTCACGCGCTGTCTATCATCCTCGTTGCCGCCGTCGCCCGCACCCGCTGCCCGATCCCGCAACTGGAGGAGCTTGAGCCAGATGATGTCTCGTTTTCTGCCCACCTTGGGCGCTGTCTGTTGCTTGACGTACTCGACCACCGGCTGTCCATCGCGGCTCGAGCCTTGAGCTTGAGCGTCTTTAGCAGGCTTGGGATCCTCCATCCCCGTCTTGCTTGTGGACGATAGTGTTGGCGACGTTATCGGCGCTCGCCGCGCAAATGAGGGCTCTTCCTCGATTGTAATGTTTAGTGGTTGGCGCAGGTCGTGCTTTTGGCCAGCGCCACAACAGCGATCATGGGAGGAATAGACAAAACAAAAAACGACAGAGCGTAATGAGCTAATAGAGAATTGACGACAACGTGTACGAGTTCAGAATCAGTGAAAGGAACCGGAGCGCCTTACTTTTATGATATTCTTGACCGCTGGTAAAACTCGCGTCGTCGGGGCATGCGCAACCACACAGCAGCAGGACGTTGGACATACGCGCATGTGTCTTGCGTCCCGATCGGGAAGCATCACGCGCGTGCACGCTCACCATTCGGTGATGCGCAACCCCCCCGNCCCCCCGTCCCCCACCACCACCACCACCACCACCACCATGGATCCCCCGTCAGACCGTCACCCAACAGTCTGGAAAGACGACTCAGCCCACATACGCGGCTTCGTCATAATGACATTGGATGGAGTGGCAACGTTTCGCTACCGTTACTGGCTTCTCTAGAGCCTATACTTGCGTCATGTACATAATACTTCGCACACGAGGCATGAATGGGGCATCTGGGGCGGAGAAGAGACCGTCACCGACCAAGGATGTTACAGCAGTGTATTCGATGGGGAGTACCTTCCCCCTTTGAACGGACGATACAGTGGATGCAGACACAGACATTGCAACCGGCAAAGTGTTGAGAGATTCTCTGATATTGACGGCAGCAGCCCTCGAGGTGGGTTTTCCCTATATCCCACAAGACTACGACGCTGCCCATACCTCATTCGCCTAGAATTCACCCATCGCTCGTTGTAATACCATCATCATGCTGCTGTATACAAAATACAAGGCCTTCAATAAGCGCCGAGACTTGCTCTCGTCGCTTCATCCGTCTCCCCTCAAGCAAGGTACACCACCACAGCTTGCTCTCATTGCGCGATGGGCGTCGCGTGCTCCATGACGTTGGAATGCCCCAGTCGCTTGTCCTCCGTCTTGGACTCCTCCATTGGTACTGGCGTCTCCGGCGTCAAAGTGACCTCCGGAGACAGCGCTATGCGACGGCTGTTTTCGGCGCTGTCGCTGGCAGACGACACTTCGGGCGTGAGCGTAACCTGCGGGGGAAGAGTAATGGTCTTTTCCAGGTCCTCGGCATTGTCCGCGGCTCCACCAGTGCGTTTCTCTGATTCACGAGCTTCAACGTGCTCCGCTTCGGCCTCTTCCTTTTCGTCTTCCTTCACCTGCGACAGTGGTCGGCCCGAGCCGTCATGCGCACCCTGAGGAGCTTCGGCACTCTCACTTGTGCCAGCATGTGCCGATCCGTCGTCGATGTTGACGCCAACGAGCTCCGCCAAGCTTCGAAAGTTGAACAACGGTTCATTGCCGTCTCCGTCATCGCTTCGACCCTGACGGGTGTTGGCGGTGCCTTCGGGCCCAACGAAGCCAGTACCGGAAAAGCTGCCTGATGGTGTGTCGGCAAGGGAGGACCCAAGGGAAGATGCGTTGCTCATCTGCCGTAAATGGGATCCTCCGCGAGAGCTCGTCGTAGGAATCGGGAGTGAAGCCCCAGAGGCGGTCGCAGGGGTTGTCGGTTCAGACGCGCCTCTGTCAACGCCCTTGCCCTTGCCAACTCCATTCTCGCCCTTGTCCTCGTGCTCCGATGCCGGTGATTCGTCGCCTCGCGGAGACTGTGACGTTCCAGGGACGGTGATTTCCATCCTCAGGTTGCTTGCGGCACTGTTTCCCCTCCTCCGGCCAAGTCCAAGGGAGAGGCTGCTGCCACTAGCACCGCTCAAGCCTCCTCCATATGGATCTTTGCTTTGCTTCTTCTGTGCCTTTCGCTCGGCCTGTTGGCGTTTCTTAGCCTCCTTTCTGATAGCCTTCTCCTCCTTCCGCTTGCGCTCCTCTTCGCTGGCCAGTGACAGTCGTACCGCCTCCATGAACATCATCTCTTCTAGTTCTTCCATTCTGGTCCGCCTGGTACCATCTCCTTGGCCAGCGGATGACCCCCGCTCACCAGGCTCCAGGCCGTCGGGCGCGCCAATGGCCGAAGTACTGTTTTCTGGCCCGGGCGTGCTCGTGCCGTTGCTGCCGGTACCGTTATTCCTACGACCGAACCGTCCGCCACGCAAGAGCGAACGTTGTTCGGTTCCGCCTACCAAAAACGCCGCTGTATGAAGGGCCGTCGCTGCTGCGGCGCGGCGGGCCTGATGTGCCCGTGCGGACGCCAGCTTAGTCGCCCAATCCGGTCGCACGCGGTCCGTGGTGATGACACCTGGGGCTGTCGCCGACAAGCTGTGTGTTCGCCTTCGTCCGTGTTGCTGCGGCGACGTAGGTGGCAAGGTTGAGTTCAGCGAGCTCTGGGACGACATGGCTGTTGACCCAAAGTTGGAGGACGACGCCGTGTAGACCAAGCCTCGTCGGAATGGCGGGGCCTCGTACGTGACACCAAATTCGGGTTGCTGGCAGTAAGGGCAAGCCGCTGGCTCCGAGATAAGCATCTCTGGCGGGTCGTCGGGATTCAGGCCCTCGTTGGGATCCCGCGCAGCACCGTCAGGGTGGTGCTCGGGCAGATGCGGGTCGGCGCGCTTGATCTGGACAAAGCACTCGCTGCAAATGGGCTGGTCGCAGCAGCGGGTGCGATTGAGGTAGGGGGGATAAGAAAGGAAACAGATGGGGCACTCCGAGGCGTCCTTGTACAGGTAGACCTCGATGGGTTGACCGTTGACGAACGGATCGTGCGGCAGCATCACCTCTTTCGGCGCCAAATCAGTAGATGAAGCATTCCGGGAGCTCACGCTCAGAGCAGCTGCAAGTGCCTTTGCCCTTGGCTTGATCGATGAGCTCTTCACCGTACCTCCAGCCGTAGGAGACGGCAAGTTGGACCCATTGGCTGATTCGCTGCGATCCGAGGCTGCCGACATCGTGCGGGGCCCCATAGGTACCGTGAGATTGTTGAGATTCTGTGTGGATGCAGACGGTGGTGGCGCGGGACGGGGCATCAGCTCGGGATCCGGCGGCGCATCAGCCGCCGGTATGGGGAGACCGCGGGCTGCCGCAACGAGTTGATGTTCCGCCCAGCTTTCAGACCAGTCATTCAGGCCACGCCAGAAGGGTGCAATCTTTCGCTCGACCTGAAGCTTGGGTTAGATCTGCAAGATTGTCGGGGAAACAGACACGGCAAGCAACTCACCTGCAGTTGCCTCACAACTGGTTTGCTGAAGTCTTCGGTGCCAGTGTATGTACCCAAGGTGACAAGGAAGCCACCGTCGATGTGCTCTTCGCGCATGCTGCGCTCTCGCTCCTTGGCACGAGCAACGCGCTCTCGTTCTAGCCTCCGTGCCTCTCGCTCCTGTCGTGTCTCCCGACGTTCAAATGGAGCATCCTGGCGTTCACGGTCGCGAGAGCCGGTTTGCAGGCTGAGAAGGCCGCCGAGGTCGCCTCGACTCATACGGCGGGGTCGGCCATCGTTGCGGCGTGCATCTAGGCCTTCGGCACCGTCGCCGCGCGACTCTTTTGTGTTTGAATTGCCCATGGTAGTATATTAGGTTGCAGCGAGCTCGGATCGATAGGAATCGTAGCAGTTGACGACAAAGGCAAAGAGCCTCAGCGGAGGTCAAGGTTCCAAGTTTGAGTCGATCGGGCTCAAAGTTGAAGGGGATGGGCTCGAAGGAGCTCGTCCAAGAGCACCTCGGAGCACCTGCTACCAGGATTGTGCACCCAGTCCTAGCAAACAAGAAGGCGGGTGAAGGCAGAGCAAACGAGGCGGTGGCACAAAGGGTCGGTGTGCTCGGGAAGTCGGCGGCCGTATGCGCGTACAAGTCGAGCACGCAGGAGTCGGCAGTCTACACGCCCCGGCGAGACGGAAAGGCGCTCAGATTGCGGGCGCCGTCAGCAGGTTCATGTCGGTGCGGGCGGGGGCCTCTGGGAACTGCTGCGGGAGGGTCGTCGTCGAGATCGCGAGCGAGGCCGTCGTCGTCGGTCGATGCTGCCGGCGGATGACGGGAGAAGAAACAAGCGGCCTAATCGGCAACGGAGCGATGAAACAACGAGAGGCGGCCGCCGTGGGGGAGGAGGGTGGGAGGTGGAGCAGCCCGAGCAGGTCGGGTGAGCACTGGTGAGACCAAGGTATAAAGCGTGTGCTAAAGACGACGGGCGACGTGGTGCACAAAGTCTGTCGGGACAGCTCCACGCGACCTGAAAACGCAGAAACCTTGTAATGCTCGCCGTGGGGCGCGATGGAGAGCAGGACGCTGGCGGGAAGGGGCGAAGCGGTCACAGCTCGGGGGAGGACAAAGTAGTCGTCGTCGCCGTCGTTGGCATCGGGACGCTCGAGGTACTGGCGGTTGGCCGGAAGGCGGGACGGCCACGGCGGATGGCGTTCGCTGCTGGAGGTACGAGGGAAAATGTACGGAGTACACCCGCCTCGTATGCGCGGGACCAAGAGCGGCCAGACCGATACCGCACTCTTTGGCGCAGGCCCCCCGGAAAACAATGTACCCGTCAAGTACCTGCGGTACCTTCCGTGGGGCCGCCCCAAGCAGGTGGTGACAGGCGGCAGTATCAGATGCAACAGGCCGCTCCAGACCCGTCAGAAGACTCCTCCAACCCCAACAAGGCGCTACAGCCAGCGAGCCGCACGAATCCGGCAAGCCTGAAAGCGTGTCAAGGGCACAAAGAGTCCGCTAAAAAGCCAATAACGCCAGCGGGCAAATTGCCTGTGCTCCCTTGCCCTGCTGCGTTCGCGCCTGCATCTCGGGGCCCATCTCACCAGCACCCGCCTTGCGGTGTTTGTTTGTTGGCGCTTTCCAGCGTTTCCAGTTTGCAGACCTGCTTTTGTCCTGTCGACAACACATCGTACCCTGCCGCGCCAGGTTGCTCTGGACAAAGTCCGGAGTACATACGGCCTACAAGTACTTCTGACGACTTGTTTGCCCAGCGGCACAAGTGGAGGCAATGAGGGGGAGGGACTGCAGCATTGAGACAAGGGTCACAGTCTCCACTGAGGTCATGAGCTCATCACGCCCCCGCGTGCTACCTTTCAGGGCCCCCAGACAAACAATCGTGTCGGACAGATCCATCCCTGTAGATTGCCTGCTGCGTTCCCATGTGCTCGATGTGGCGTCCAGGTCATTCTCCGTCCGCGCGCAACCCCCAACGAAGTCCTTTGGAACAGTGACCATCGAATTCGCTCGCTTGGCAGCCCGTCAAGGAACGAAAACACTCCCTGGTCAACGCCTCATCAGGTTTTCCCCCGCCCTTTCTGGTCCGTGTCCTGATTCCATTTTCTGCGTGGCCAGCCACATCCGACCAAGGTCGCTTTATCCCGAGCCATCCGGGCGGTCCGGGCGCCCCTACCGGCCCCCCAGCTGTCAATCACCTTCCCAAGTGCCTGCCAGCACCACGAATGGCCTGAGGGGGGAGCTTTCGCAGGCTTGGTGGCGCATCTACGGAGCACGCGCATGTACCGTACTGTGCGCTGCACGTCTCGAGCCCATCCTTGCAGCTGGAAGCTCCCGTCGTGCAGCTACCACGCCACGGGGGCGATAAAGCTTGCGCGTCGACCTGTACACCAGGACACGCAACGTCCTGTGCGCTGTGCCACGCTCTCCGTCGTCATCGAAAGCCGAGCTGTTGCAAAGTGTGTGCTAAAAATGGCAGCGACGGCGCCTGACTCGGCATCGCCAAGCAGTCGATCGCCTTTAGTGGGAGCAGTGCCTACATGCCCGAAGACCTCAAGTCCCCAAGCCTTGGGATAGCACTGCTTGAGCAAATGTGTTCACTTGCGCGCCATGTCGATCGCCCGTACGCGCCAGTACGCAACAGCCCTGCTGATGTGGGCAGCGTAGTAGAGTTGAGTCGATGGATGAAAGCCTCCCGTGCGGTACGACAGAGGTCGCAGCTTCTGGATCAATCGCAAGCTTCCCCGCCACTGTCTTGGGCTCTTGGTCAACCTTCCCCTCGGGCTCGGCACGTGTATTGCGCCACAGCAACCTCGAATGCTGGTATTCGGCTTCCCCTTGGATCTCGGTTTAGCTCATAACTAAGCCACCGTCCTATGTGCGATACCTTGTCAGGAACAGCGACGCTGCAGGGTCTCGGCATATGCCAAGCCTAACCCTCCGTGCGCCATCTTCCAAGTGCAGATAGTATGCCTGCCACTGAGCGACAACTTGCGTTCATCTCGCTGGGCAAACCCCCAAAGCGCCATGTACACATTAGGTAACGTCCTATCTTCCTGGCTCAAGAAAAACAGTGGGCAGGCAACATGGCCCGACGTAGTAGACGCACAACAAAGAATCTAGATGTGTCCCGGAAAATAGCAAATACGGTGAGCTTTGAGGGATATTATATACGTATTTCTAACCCTCTCGCCCTAGGTGCCTCGTATCTGAGATGTCCACGGGTAAATCCAGTGTTTCTTGATCCGTGCCCTCGTTCCCGACCTCCTTCGGCTAGACGCCCTCACTTGCATTGGTACGAAGCCCCGGAGATACGACTTTAGGTATCGTTCTACATGACACAGTGCCCCGTAGGGGTTGTGGTGCCTTCGCTTCATCATATCGTGAGAATACATCGTGTTGCAGCCATACCACTACTTGCATGTATCATCAAAGCAACATGAAGCTTCCACTTCCAGCCCGAAGTCTTGAGGCATAAAATTCGAGCAGCAGCTCTAGTTGATTCGGTAGAATGTGGCCCAAAATGCATTGAAATAGTCCGGCCGCCTAGACCTATGCCTTCCCGGGTATCTTCAGTACATGCTGTCCAATGCCAACTCCGTCCATGCTTCGTAAAAGGTCTATCGTTTTGGTGCCCACGCCTGCAGCCACTCTCTCATCTTGTCCAAGTTCCCCTTTTCTGCCTCGGCCGCTGCCACGCACCACTCCAAGTCCCAGACGTTCTCTGCAGCGACCATCTCCGCCAGCTTCCTTCTCTTCTGGTTTGCATCATCAACGCAGAAGTAGACCGGTTCGTTTTGGTTCGGGATATTCTCTAGCAACGGCTTAACAAGCGGCAGGGCGGCTTGGGCAGACGACCCTCTGGGCTCCAGGCCCATATTGGCGCGACCGGTCTTGCACCATTCATTGGCACAGTGTGACTTCCCGCAACCAGTCATCATCTGCTGAAGATAGCGCCTTTCTATCCGCCTCCGTAGCGCCTTGCCTTCGGGGTCATGCATGCTCACATACAATGGCCCAAAGCAGAGCGAGCAAAGGCCCATGTCGTTCCCAGGCCCTTGCCCATGGGCCGTGTTGGCACCGACTTGTCCTTTCGGCCCCACGCCATGCAATGTCCTGCCGCAATTTACGTTGCGGCAGATCTGCGGCTTTGCGCGGCTGACCTTGTCTAGTTCGTGATGCTTGAGATGAGTCTCCATGTCTCGCAGTCGCACGATCTTATCGCAGAGATGGCATTCCGTCGTTCGAGCCCCGTCCGCTAGTTCGTGGGCTGTCATGCCAGACAAGGCAACTTCTGGAGACGGGTTGAAAGGATCGCCTTCCTGTGGCACTTCAAGATGGCAAAAGCGGCACAGGATCAATTTGCCCGGGCAGACTGATGTTCGGTGCCGAGCAAGGTCCGTAAGAGAGTTCGTGGAGAATTCGCATGAAGGACATTGCCGGTCGGTGTGTAAGTCTTCGTCATGTTTTTCCTTGCTGGTCACCGAGTTGCCGTGTGCAGTGTCATGTGGACAGTGCCAGTGCGCCTCCCATTCTGTCGACCCTTTCTTGAAAACGGACTTGCAGTGCGGGCAGAGGATGTTGTTCCTCCTGCAGAAGCTCTCGTGGAGAACCATGGTCCGCTTCGGGACCCATTGCAGACAGTTCTTGCACTGCTCTTCATCTGCGCCATGGCTTTGGACACCGTCCATGGCATCGATGTTGTTGTCTTCATCGGCGTGGCCAGCCTTGGCTCGGATCGTATACGATACAGGTTCCGTTTGATGTTGCGCTCCGCTCGACCCGTGGTACGCGTGTACCGACACGAGGATTGATTCGGCACCCTGCATCTCCACATTGGATGGAGCGATTGAGATAGCTTTGCGACCGTGGTCGGCGGGATCGAAGTTTCCAAACACATGGGTCGAAGCTCGGGGGACAGTCCTTTGCTGAGACGACTTTGGTGTGACGAACAAATCGAGCATATCCTCATCCCCAACATCGCTGAGCATGATGGTAAGCGGTTGTGACCGATCCCAAGACGGCAGCACATAATCAACATAGTCGCCGGGCGAGACTTGGCCCTGTAGGTCCTTCCAAATATCAAGCTCACCGCCGGGAGAGCTCCCACCCGTGGTCGGTGGTTGGTTCTTCGTCATGATCTGGCGCATAGTCTCCCTGGCTTGCTCCTCATTGAGTGCTTCAATGTCAACCTCCAGGTCTGTGTCCACGACGCATATTGCGTCTCCTTCGGGGGCGAATTCGTCCGCCAGAAAGTTGAATGTCTCGCCTCGAACGCCATGGACCGAAAGCACGGTGTTCTTGGTAAGACACGTAAAGTTTTCTCGGAGATATCGTTCGAGCAGCGACTTCCAGTCATCTGGATTGTATCCCGCTTCGAGGGGCCGTAACCGCACATATGTGCCTTTGGACAACTGCTTGGCGTGGACGGTGATCTGAAGAGGCTCGGAAGCTACCTCTTCTGCTGTTAGATCCACAACATGGTGATCCTCCACGTCCTTCGCAGATGCCAGCTGTGCCTCCTCAATTCCCAGCGTCTCGATCAGGAAAGGGCTTAGACATAATGTTCCCTCGGGAGCGGAGAACTCGCGAATGCCGGCGAAGACAACATTGTTATTTTTCGGGTTGACCAGTCGAAACGTTAAAGGGTGTGGAAGCTGTTGGCTGTTTTCATCTTGGCCATGGCCCGCCAGAAAACCGGCGCTATATGGGTTGAAGGGATCGGTCGAGGTAAAGGTCGCTCCGGTCGGTCGTCGCGGTGATGCAGCTGCAAGGAGCTGCTCGAGGGCGGACTGAGGGAGTATGATTTTGTCGCCAGAGAGGTTCTTTATGCCGATCGAGACTGGAGGTATAACGGAGTACGCGTTGGACCAGCGAAGCTCCGGAGTCTCATCCATGGCGACAAGACGGAGAGGGTCCTCGCAGCCAAAGGGAAGGAGCGCGCGCGAGGCGGGGTTCGAGAGTGCTATCGCGAGTGGTTGACGGAAAATGCAAGACGATATCGGTCATCCATGTCTAGCAAAGCAGAAACCAGAAGAGTGAGCTTGATCAAAAGACTTTTGACTGCAATTCACAGTTTCGTGCAAAGAAACTGGATGCACCGAGACGGCTCCGTGATCAGTCAGCGAGATTCCGCCATGTTCCATGTCGTGGCGTTGATGCGTCCACGGTCACGTGCTGGCGCTCCTTCCGCGCAGAGTGCAATCACTGTCACCATTCTGCTACAGTACTGTCCAGGGAAATCTATTCTTCCCATTAGGATTCTGAACTCCACGGTTCTTTGGTCCTCCAAGGCAGTTGTTCACAGCATTCTCGGGCAGGACTGCGACGCGATCAGAGCTTGGTGGTCAAGCAGCGTGCCGCAGCTCCTCCGCCGCACTAGCAATTTCTCCCCGAGACCAACGCGACGATGGATGCAGCAACCCCCCGCCCGCGGCGCCCCTCCGGTGCTCGGGCCGGCCCCGGGGTTGATGAGCTCCACCTGCAGCTAACGCAATGACGACGGCTGTCCGGCAGGGTTGATGGCTTCATTCTCGGACTTCTTCCCCGACGAACGGCCGAGACCATGAACATGCACAGCACGAAGCAGCCAGACAGGCATCCCTGCCGCCTCGCTCGCTAACGGCGACGCCACGCATTCGCGCGACAGGTCCCGACATGCACGGGAGAGAGATGGATCTGGGGGGGCCTGCTGGGCGGCCATCTGAGAGCCACCAAGGAGATGGACTGATCATCATGCCAGCTGGTCGACAGCGGGTCAGCTGAGGCAACGCGACCACTGGCGCGCCTGGCAATCAGTGTCAGGGCCCTGACCCCCATCATGGCATCCCAGCAAGGTGAGCCGGGGCAGGGTAAGGTAGCAGTTGCAGTCACAACGGGGCCTGCAAGGTGAGAGAGAGGACGCGCCAGATCTGGTGGTGGTGCTGGTATTAGTGAAGCCTGGCGGCGACGCCAACACACCAACCCGCTACATAAACGCATTACGTCTAGACTGCCGATTCGTTGCGGGACCCCCAACACGCGGCGCCTCTCTCACTCGACGGCTGGTGTCAACGGGGGACGGGTTCAGGTTGACCGCCTCTGGCGCCGGACGAAATGGTCGCGACTGCGCGCTGGCACGGCACCCTCTGAACGGCCGAGTGGACCGATAAGCCTCGACGTCCACCCACTGGCGGCCCCGAGGCAAGATACAGAGATCCTGGACCCCGTTGGTTCGCCTGTCCGCACCGGTGCGGCCTTGCCTGACTGGCCTGACCTGGCCCACCAAGCTCACCTTGGCTGCCCTCGCCACTGGGAGGAGGCCCGGAGCGGACGGTCTACCCCCAGCAGTGAGACAAAAAGCGTGGACCTCTGTGTACCCAGTAAGACGGAGCTCAACGAGCACGACAGTTGATAACTCGCCGGGCGCCCAACACACGTCTCGCCTGCTCCCCCCTTTCGCTTCTTGGCTTCAGTCATATCCAGAAACACGCAGCTGCCCAAGCCATTTCCACTGCAACCCTGTACAGACCGCGGCCGGGCAATCCAAGGGAGCTTCGTCATCGTCATCGACGACACACAGACGTCTCGACGCCAGGACGTAACCATCCGCAGAGCTACCCAATCCCACCCCAGCTGCTGTTTCAGCGAATGGCCAGTGCCTTACCCAGCCGCGTTTGAGCGGCGGAATGCAATTTGGACCGTGTCTCACAGAGCCATCAAACGCGCAGTCTCTAAACGATTACGGTCAGCGGTACGTGCGCTTCCCCAGCTGCACCTTAAGCTTAATTATTTGTCGATGTCTTTATTCCACTGTGACGCACACCCCGGCATCTAGGCAATAATAGATCTGGGACACAATCTGGGACCAATCTGGCACAGCTCCCGCCTTCTTTAAGCCCCCTTGATCCTCATCTCACTGCACCCCTGGCTCTCATTTCACCAGCTGCTTTCTCTCATTTGCATATATAGCGGAATCCCCCAAGAGTCGTAGACTGACTGGCATCAAAGGCATTTGTAGCGACACCGCACGACGTATCGTGAACCGCAACCTTGTGCAACATACAAACGATCAGTTCCATTCGCACGTACTATACGGCTTCTCGTCTTTCACTTCAAACTCTTCTCTTCTCTGCGTGGTCCCTGGCAGCCTGACATGAGCCAAGCTACCGTCGACAGTCAAACGCGTGAAGAGCTCGAGATAACAACATCATCCTTAAACCTCTTCGACATCCTCCACAACTCTCTCATCCTCCGCAATACCGTTCCCCACCTTCCTGTCTCCAGCATTCTGAACCTCGCAGCTACCGACCGATCCTTCCGGGCTTTGATCAACCAGACTCCAGGCGTCTTCAGACACCTTGACCTCACGCGAGTCAAAACCGCCCAATTCGACATCGACGAGATTGATCGCGGCGGCCAGATCTGGCGCAATGTGCAGCTCGACGAGTATCTGACCGAGGATGAGTAAGGCACGACGAATGTTTCTCATCCGACCACAAATGGGCTGACCGACTCAGTTTCTACTCTGGGCCGCTGAGAGGAGTCTTCTCGACCCTCAAGCGACACAACATCTTGCAGGATGTACAGACCCTGATCCTCGACGGCCTCTCCGTCACATCGGAGCTGTGCTACGACATCATCAATGACCCATCTTTCAACGTGCGCATCCTGTCCATTCGCGATGCCAAAAACCTGAATCAGGGCAAGCTGCGTGGCGCGCTGCAGTACGCATGCCGTACGACCCGCCCGGACAACACGCCGCGCCTGAAGGCTCTGTACGTGTTCGGCTCCAAGGATGCGGCGCCGGTCGATGACTCGACGTCTGGAGCAACCACTACCGGGCAGCGCCCTCATAACGGCCATCCCCATGGATCGTCCATCAGTGCAGGTTGGAACCAGAAGAGCCAGTTGGCTCTGACAAGCGCGCTTCGTCGTGAAGGCGACGCCTGGTGGTCCAAGAAGGGCCGGATCATCTCGCGTCCAATCTCGAACGAATGGGTGAACTGCATGGTTGCCTGTGAAGGGCTCATAGCGTTCGATGCCGTCCTGTGCCACGGCCCTCGCCATCGTAACTCGCCTGTCTTCGGGAAGACACCGTTCCCTCTTCGCGTCGATTCCAACGAGCCGGCAGTCGCCACCTACGCAGTGTCTGGATGCGAGAGCTGTGGTAAGGCGCCTGAGGGGTTGCACCACCCGCAGACGAGTCAGCCGATGAGTCTCCCATTACTCGCGCCGCCTCCGGTGCTCTCCTCTTCAATTCGCGCCGCGACCTCACCGCACCACCACCGGGGCTCAAACGAGACACACCACGAGGAGCTCAGCTTTGTTGCTCGGTGCATGGACTGCCTTCGGGAGCGATACTGCGCCGGCTGCCACAAGTGGTGGTGCGAGGATTGCTACCAACTCCCTGGGCAATATGCGGCGTCAGGTGCGGAAGTGAGCAACATTGTCGTCGTCGAGCCCGAAGAGGGCGAGAATGATGACGCAGCCGTGAGTGTGTCCGAGAGCCTGCAGACGATTGCCATCACCGCGACCCCAAAATTCAAGGTACGACATCACCACTGTCACCAGTGTCTCACCGGGAGCGAGCCGGCAGCGTGAAGTACTAGGGGCACAAGGTGTAGCGTGACATGGGCTGTCCACCGCCCGTGTCTCGAGCAAGCCTTCTCCAAATTGTATGCGCAAACCGGCTCAATCTTTCTTTCCCCTCTCTTTCGCTTCACAGGAATTTCGTCGTTCTGGTATGATATTATGCCTTTAAAAAAGGATTTGCTGACGGCGGCATCGTGCAGAACCGCATTGCAAAGAGCTGCTGGGAATGCGGCAACAACGTAAGCTACCGCCGTGTTGCGCCTTGCCATGCCGAGTTGAACACTGACGTGTAGTTGCCAGTGCGATTCTTGCATTGATCGGACCCAGCGTGTGTGCAGAAAGTGCTGCGCCGGGTACTGCATCATCCACAACGAAGGGTCTTCAGCGACGCACGTAAGTCTCTTCCTAAGACCCAACACACTGTTGTTCCATGCTAACATTCTGCGCAGTGTGACTGTATGTCTGCCTTTGCGGAACCTCATGTCAAGACTTTTGGGCACCGAACTTGATGCTAACCATCTGCATAGGGTGCGTGTCGCGCGGTCGCGGCCTCGGCCGTCTGTAGACCTGATGCCGGCCTTGGCAGGACGCGGCACACAACAACACGGCATGAATGTAACCCTCACTGGGCGACTGGGGTGACACCCGGCTGGGCGGCGCCTTGCCCTTCGGGGATACCGAAACTGCGGCCTTCGAAACTTGGGTTGACCGGAAGATCATGCCTAATGTCGGCGACGAGCGCTGTTTCGAATTGATACCCCCCAAACGAGTCAGAACAGAAAGGGCCTGAAGGGGAAGCGCGAAAAGCAAGCGTGCGATTTTCGTATTTGTCACATGGGGGGTTTTTTGGAAGCCAAAATTCGTTGAGTGACTGGACAGGGACGGTACATCACATCACCAGGGCGAGATCGATCTTTCACTACCGTGCAGGCACTTCTGCATGGTCGGGTAGCATTTGTTTTGACGATGGGGGTCCGAAGACAACACACCACTTTAGCTAGGAATACACCACTCTTTTGCCACTGTTCAAGGCTCTGCGTCGTCCCGTGGGACGTATCGCCATACTTGCAGCACCGGTACATTTGTAGCAGCTTGTGTGTCCGGTTCGGTTCCTGACACCTCATCGTGCCGTGACCCTCACACGTTCTCATCACACACGTGGATGACGCACGCCGTCCATCCGCCATCGTAGCAGACTGCGACTCGTCTAAGAGGAGTCGCATTGTCCAGACCTCCAGGCAGGCACCACGGTCTAGACACCGTACCTGTCTCACCGTGCGAGTGACGTCCGGCTTGGCTCGGGGCTGTCACACCTCGAACCTTGACTCTATTTCTTCTCAACCTGGTAGCAGGTCTCGGCGGTTCGCCGTTTTGGAGTATTTATAACTGTTCCCCCGGCGCGGTGCGGTGTGGGTGTGGGACAGTGCGTTTCGGGAGGCCGTGCTCGGATGCTGAAGACAGGACGAAACAAGCCCCGGCTTCAGGAGAGAGAGAGAGAGGCCGAGAGCATGAACGGGTCGGGCCACATCGTTGACCTGGGGGGAGCCCTGCACCGTGCGTAATTTATAGAACCGTGCCCGTTTCGCGATTCGAAAGTCGCATCAGGGGACGTTGCTGCCGGTGGTGAACTTGCGCGCGACAATCGCGGAGCCCAGCTCCTCGTACTCCTGCTTCGTGACGACCAGCTTCTCGACGTTTACGTGATTCGCCATGTTGGCGGCGCCCGTCCACGTGCTAACGATCGGGTCCGCCGGCCTCGCGACGCGCACCACGCAGTCGTCCGGGAACCGCTGCACGACCTCCCTCTGCAGGCGCTGCACGAACCCGTCGAAGAGGGTGTTGCCGCCCACGACGACGATGTTTGCGAGCAGGCCCGGCCAGAGGCCCAGGGGCAGCTCCTGCAGCGACTGGTAGATCAGGTCTGCGAGTCCCGGCTGGCGCATCCCCATGTCGGAGGGGTTGAAGATGAGCTCCGGCACGGCGAAGCGCTCGTTTCGCAGCGTGAGGATGTCCTCGTCGGCGTGGCTGCCCGCGGCGGCGATCTTGCGCGCCTTGGTGTGCCGCGCGGGGTCGTACTCGCGCAGCTCGCCCTTGCTCCTGGAGTGGAAGTCCGGCAGCACGTAGTCCTTGACGATGCCCGCGCCCGTGAGGTAGTCCTCGCGGCGGTCCCCGCGTGTGCCCCTCCAGGTGCGCTCCAGGTCGGACTTGAAGTCTGCGGAGACGTAGCACGCCGCCTCCTTCATCTCGTTCACAATATACGTCTCGTTGCGCACGTCAAAGTGCCGTAGGGAGATGAGCCGGGCGAGGTAGTTGGTCAGCAGCTTGCCGCCCACGTCGAGGCGTCGCACGGCCGAGTGGAGCGGCTGCCCGCGAAGGAGTGGTGTGACGGTCGTGTGCGAATAGCCCGAGTCGACGAGGAGTAGCACTTCGGCAGGCGTGCCGGCCACGGTAGCGGCGTCGGTCGGGGTACGGAAGAGGGACTGCACGTCGTGGTAGGCGTTGAACGCGGGACCTGTCCAACGTTAGAGCTTCCTTCGCTAGACACCCAGCGCCGACGAGCCGAGCCACTCACCAACGCCTCTATAGTAGCTCGCAAAGCCATATTCCTCAAAAACAACCTGATCGCAGTTCGTCTGCAGCGCAGGCAGGCCATTCGGCGGCTCGGCGAGTATCAGACGCGTCTCCGCAGGGTCGCACCTCAAGGGCGCCTTGTCGTCAAACAGCTCGTGGTCCCAGACCTCCTTCTGCGCCTCCCAATTGACGATGAAGCCCTTCTCGACGGGTCGCCGGAACTGAATCTCGCCAAAGTCGCGGCACTTGTCGAGGTCCGATGCGACGTAGATCTTGCGCGCCCGGTCGCGCGCGATGCAGTTGGGCACGATGCGCGGGTCGCCGGGCGGGGAGCCGTCGCGCACCAGCCCTGCCTTGAGCGTGTAGGCGCCGTTGTCGAGGACGAGCGTCGTCGCGGGCCGCGCGGGGGCGGCGGGCTTGGACTTGCGTCCGCCGGCCATGGCGGATCTGTGGCTCGAAGGCGCGTCGTCGAAAGCAATCCGGCTGTTGGATTTTATGAATATTTACAGAGGAAAGATGCGCTGAACGTGCGACACAGGCATTTCGTCACTTCGGATGCTTACGTAACATTCCTTCTCTTCCACTTACACCGACCCCACGATTCACCATATAAGACGAATACAATTATACGAAGATGGTAGCAAGTAAATGATCTAAGATTCGAGTGGAAAAGAAGAATAAGGGCAGGCAATGGTGATAGGATCTGAGTGTCCTGCCAAAAACTGTGCCTGAATGGCAACCGTTACCCGCTCTGCCGGGCGAACAGCACACCTCTCGCTGGGGATTGCATGGAGGCTCGAGAGGATCGGAAGTTGGCGTCCCTACTCCGCCTACTTGGACGGCTTCAAAACTCCCGTCCGCAGGAAAGGAGCCTCAAATCCAACCACCTCTCCCCTGCCATCTTTGTAAAACAGCACTCTATCCATCGGCTCGCCACCGTAATGCACCCAATCGCCCAGCGTCCACAGCACGCAATCGTCCTGGAGCGTGCCCGAGGCCGGCAACTCGGACTTGGGCGGGCCCGCGAACTCGGGCCACAGCCGCCACACCTCTCGCGTGACCTTCTTGCCTTCCAGGGTCGTCTTCTCGTCCAGGTCCGTGGGGAACAGGCGCACCGTGTGGCCCAGCTCGGCGGTGAACTGCGCCATGGTGTAGTTCCAGATCTGGGTCAGCGCGCCGTAAATGTCCGAGCCGTTGCGGTGCATGGCCTTGATGGTAAGCGAGTCGTTGTCCATTGCAAAGGTTGCGTCGACATCGACCGTGGTGTTGTCGTGCTTACTGCCCGAGGTCTTGAATGTCTGCGCGTAGCCCTTGTCGGCCTGCTGTCGCGCGACTTCATCCACCGCAGGCACGATGCTCGCCAGCACGGCGTCGTTGAGGATCGGAATGGCGTTCATGGGCCCCGCGCAGAGGACAATGAGCCCGAGTCCGTACTCGTCCACGATGGAAAACTGACTCCGGTACGACTGGGCGCCGCCGCTCTTGGCATAGATGGCCACGGGGTGTGGGTGCGCAGGAGTGAGGTTATGAGGGCGGAAAATCTCCCAGGGCATGCCCACAGCGCTGAACCCGCCGGTGTAGTCGTTTGGCTTGAGCCACATTCGGTGTTGAGCCGGCGTCAAGCCAGTGGTGCGCGTGAGTATCGCGTGGGCAAAGCGCGAGAGGTCCGCGATGGAGGACACCAGCCCACCGCCGCTGAAGCAAGTCTGTCAACACTTCGAATCGGAAGGGGGCCGCTTTTTTATCAGAAAACTTACGGTGCGTTGAGACCATAGTCGGTACCCCAGCTGCTCTCTCCAGGGGGAATCACCGCCTTCGCGTCATCGCCGGGGGAAGGTCTTGTGCTCTTCATGTGAAGAGACTTGGCAAGGGCGTCTTCGACGAGTTGCGCGTAGGTCTTCCCTGTAGCTTCTTCGACGGCCATGATGAAGATGGTAAAGGCGACATTCGAATACGCGGGTCTTTCGCCTGGCGCTACGACTGGGTAGGATTTGATCATGCCAGTCAAGAAGTCTAGGAGCTGGTCAGCTTGACATTCCTGGCTAGCTGGACAGCATTGGCTATTAAAGCAGTCTGACCTTTCTTCGAGCAGGCCTTGTTGAGGGCAATTACACCGCAGGGCGGGTACGCCGAGTCCTCGATCGGCGGGAAGCCAATAGACAGAAATACCTCCTTGAGATAGTAGTACTCGGAGAATCCGTCTAAGTCGTCGTCAGCGCCGCACAAGTATCCGGCTGACAGCTTCTTAACTGAGACTTACAGTTCGTAGGCGCACCAGACAGTTGCGTCGCCAGCATACCCAAGCTCACCTCCTCCCAATGCACCCTCGACTTGGAGTCCCTCAGCTTGGACAGGTACTTCGTAACCGGGGCATCGAGGTCCAAGCCGCTCCTGATGAGGATATAGTCGGAGAGGAGCTTGCTCACGGAGCCGACGAGGTACTGCGAGTCGCGCCCAATGTCCTTTGTGCCGTTGACGTTGCGCTTCGCGAGGTGGTGGTACTCCCACAGCGGGACGCCGGGCTCGTCTTGATCCCGCGACACGACGGCGATGCTGAAGGAGACGTTCTCGACGGGCCAGCCTGCCTCAATGGTGCCGGATACGGCCGCGTCGAGCGTCTTGGTGAGGTTGGCGGCTGCGTCGCGCAGGGTCGCGGCATCGCGCAGGCGTGGCCTGGGCACGACGGGGCCTTCGGGGCGGCAGAGCAGGGCCGCGGTGGCCAACCCGGAGAAGATGGGGAACAAGAGGCACTTCATGATGAGGTATGTCTAGCAAAGCAAGATGAGAAGCCGCTTGACTTAACTTCCTTTGCGGGTTCATTCTGCATTTATATATCGATGCCCATCTGCCCAAGATAGCCAGCCATCAATCATCTTCGTCATCTCAAGACTGCATTGCCCATCTGGTCCGCGAAGCAGAAGGCCACTCCACAAATATTGAAGCCGAGATACGATCAGGATCCCGGGTTCATCACCAATCAGATGGCGGCAGACGTCCAGATGCGGCCTGGGTGTTGGGTGCCGCATCAGCGGGCACATGGATCGACACTGGGCTTTGCCCCAAGGCGGGTGGCGCTGCAATTGCTGTGGGGCGAGACTCAAACGATGAACGCGAGATACGGTGCATGTCGGCACCACCACCACGTCAGCTTCTTGATTGTTGTAGCGACCGATGATATTGCATCTGGAAGAAATGCTCCCAGAAGGCATTAGCAAGCCTTGGGAGTCGACCTTGAATCACATTGCGTGGCGCAGGTCGACGATCCACGGTTCAATGCCAACGCCAGTTCCCCCCTGGTCCATGCCCATGTGCATTTGCGCCCTCCAGTTCAATGGGAATAATGCTCATGTTGATTGCCTTTCGCGAGGCGAATGTCATATCTTTGCGCTGTCGAGCACCTTCTTGGGTGCCACGAGTCCCCATCGCTCGGCGATGCCATCCCGCGGAACCACACCCTTGAGGCTGACGTCCCTCTCGTTGACGAAGCTCTCGCCACCACTCCCCCATGCAAAGTCCCTCCATTCACCGAGCGCGGGCCACATCTCGTCTCGTACAATCACCGCAATCTGGTCCTTCCTTGCCGCCGCCGCCGTCGCCGCCGCGTCGCCTCGGCTTGCCAGCCCGACAACGCTCTTCCACAGCTGCCACGTCTCCTCGAGCTCCTCCACGGCGGCGACGCCCATGACGCTCACGCCGATGCGTGGGGGCAGAAGCGCCGCACCATCTCGGCCGACACCCAACTCCGCCAGGATGCCTGCTGGGTAAGCGACTGTGCCGAGGGGAGCACCGATCCGTGCCCAGTTCTCCAGTGCCCATCGAATCGCAACCTCCTCGAGGTGCTCGCCGCGCTGTGTCGCCAGCTTGGCCAGGTCGCTGCAAGCCCTGCGCAACCCTGGTGGTGCCGGGTGCCAGCTCGCCTGGGGGCCGTTGTCGACGCCGCGCGTCGTCAGCAGTCCCATGCTCAGCATGCTCGCATTGAGTACGCACTCGACACCCGCAGCGCGGAACCGCTCCAGGTAGTCGGGCCGGCCGAGGGTGCCGTTCTGGATGCAAAAGTTGCTGTACGAGAGCACCGCATCCAGAGGCTCGCCCGTCTGCTCCAGCACCATCTCGGCCAAGGAGGCGAGCACCTCAACGGGGTAGCCGCTGATGCCGACGTAGCGCACGAGTCCTTGATCTCGAAGGCTGCGCAGCTCCAGCACCGCGGCGAGAACGTCCTGCGGCGAGGCAAACTCGACGTCGTGGGCGTAAACGAGGTCGAGGTACGGCGTGCCCAGGCGCTCCAGGCTACGGCACACGCTGTATCGGATCCATGCGGGGGAGTAGTCGAACTCGCTGCTGGCGATGCGACCGGCCTTGGTGATGAGAAAGTACTCTTCTCGCCGGGGCGGCGGCGTCAGTGTGCGCAGGGCATCGCCCAGGAGTGTCTCGGAGGGCCCATAGTAGGGCGATGTGTCGAACGCGGCGATGTTGTGCTCGAGAGCTCGGCGGACGATGTCGGTATAGGGCATGCGCGTTGGATCGGGATGATACTGCGTATTGAAGGTGGCAGTCCCGAGGATCAGGGGCGGAAGCACCTGGGACAGTGCCGGCCGCTGTCCAACCAGTGATGTCGCCATGGTGTTGGTTCGGCCGCGATCGCTGGAGGCGATACGGTATCCAGCGCGGGGCAGCACCTGGTTCGGTAGGTGGTAGAGTGTAATTCGGAAGCGCGCAGAGCACAGTCGCCCGTCAGTCACCTCGCAGTTCGGCACATGGTCGTCAAGCGATACGCATGGTGTGCGGTGTCTTCGGCTGCGAAAAGTGTGAACGTTGAAGGAGAAGGGGCGAAGAAGGGCTGTGATTATCAATGGTCGAGACCAGCTCGGAGCCCGCTCGGACAAGATAAGTGGTGATGTAGGTCACAGAAAAAAGTTGTAGGGGCGCCGCATCCGGCCAGCCAATGGCAGCGCCAGGTTCCCGCGCATGCGGAACTCGTTCAGAAGAAGCCCGTTTTTAAGCGTTTCGGCAGTCCGTCAATCAGGGTCCCCTGCGCCGATTGCCCCTCGCCATCCACACGGTTTGCAAGGTTACGAGAAGCCCATCCCGTGGAGGGCGGTGCATCAAAGGCGATGCACGAGCTGAGGCGTCAACGCGCGACGCTTCTTTGCCTCAGCGAAGCTCGCGACTTGGCGCGCTCTATCGTCGGTGCAGGCGACGCGCGCGAAACTCACCGGAAAGTTGCAGCAGGCGTGTGGGCGCCCGCCGCCGAGTGATGATTCATCGCCGTCTCCGTGCCGTCGGCTCTATCCGCCTCCCGGTCTGGCCTTGCCCCAAGGCGTCTCCGACTGGAGCGCAGCGCCCAGAGTCGTTGACACCATAGCAAACGCCAGGCACGCGATCCGCCGACCCACATTGACACCCGTGGATCGCATTTGGTGCCCGTTCGCTCAGGCTTCCATGGCGCGCGCTGGCTTTTATGAAGCACGTTGAGAAATAGAATTGGGGGAGGCTCGTCAAAGTTGCGGCTTGTGCCGTTGCCGTACCTGCACCGTAGACGTACTTCACGCACGGGTCGGTGTCGGGATAGAAACATATCCTGTGTTAAGCAGCGCGGGGGCCGCACGGCACCACAGGGTCGCAATTCGCGGACAGCGCTGCAGAGCTGCACGTCGACTGCCATTTGCATCTTCGTTTCCGCGCACATGCAGTAAATAAACGGTGACTAGTCGGTCCGTTTGCTGAGATCCCGGTCAGCAAGTGTCAGTGTCGTAACCTGCTGTAGCAATCCTTCGCGCCCAAGGGGGCGTGCCACCCTTGCAACGCTGTGCCCTGGCTGTCAATATTCACATTCACGAACAGTCCTGTCGAGCGAGAACTCGGTTGGCGCTGCTCCAGACGCGTCATTGCATGTGCAACCCGGCGACGCGCATTCAGTCGCAAACCTGGTGCGAAGCAGACACACCGTGTCAAGGGACGTGGAAGTCGAGGCGCGGGTTTTCGTCGCGTGCACGACGACAAACTTCGGTGTGGCAGCTCGGATTAAAGAACATAGGCGCCAGTGGTTCGCGGAGTATTCCGATCATCATTTCGTCAACTCTCAATCACATCTGGAGTACCTACTATAGCCACTATCCAACTACGCGACCTGTACTCAGTAACGTGGGCCTCGCAATACTCCGAAACTCTCGTCACCGCCAGGTGGGGATGCTGCGAAACCCACCAAGCACCTGGCATGCCGCACAACCGTGCCTGGACCAGCCAATCGCGGCTGGCAACGCTTAGACGCCCATGGGCATGGTCATTGACTTCACCACGTGCTCAGCACAACACGATGCAAGATGCTAGAGGGCTACTAATAAAAGGTTGTATTTAAGCGTCTTAGCCGCCAAATTTACGTCTCATGTGAGAAACTCATTAAATGCGTCTTTCGTATCTCTCAAACACCTTCCCCGGGGTATGAACGTGCGCACGTCTCCACTCATCACATCCGTTGCGCGTAGCGAAAGCAGCGATTAACATCCTTAGACAGTGGCCTTCTCCAGGTACTCACCAGCGCCAATGGTGGAGGCGAAGGTGGTGGTGGGCTTCCACTTGGCCGACTGGCGGGGGGTCGTCTCCTCCATCATCTTGTCGACCTGCTCCAGGGACAGACCCTTGGTCTCGGGGACGAGGAAGTAGGCGTAGACAAAGGCGCAGGTGCAGAGACCGCCCCAGACGAAGAACACGGACGACCTCATGTTGCCCTTGTCCTCACCGACCATGTAGGGGGTGATGACAGCAATGATGGTGTTCCACAGCCAGTTGGAGGCGGTGGACAGACCAACACCACGGGAGCGGATAGGCAGGGGGAAGATCTCGCCAATGACGATCCAGGCACCGGGGCCCCAGGTCGAGGCGAAGAAGAAGATGAAGATGGCGATGAAGGCAATCTGAGCGTTGACGGCGCTGATGTTGTCGGCGCTGCGACCAATGGGGTTGGTAGGGTCGGGGTGCGTCTTGTTGAAGCCGATGGTGACACCGATGATGGCGACGAGGAACTGGCAGATAAGCATGCCCAGGGCGCCATAGATGAGGATGGTGCGGCGGCCGAAGCGCTCGACGGTCCAGAAGGACAGGGGCGTGGAGCAGACGTTGACCAGGGTGAAGATGAGCGAGATCAGGAAGGTGTTCTCGATGGCGCCAGTGGTCTGGAGGAAGGGAGTCGAGTAGTAGAAGATGAAGTTGACACCGGTCCACTGCTGCATCATCTGGAGCGAAGTGCCAAGAATGGTGCGGCGAAGGTTAGACTTGGACTGCCAGAGCCCGCCCTTGAAGCAGTTGGCCCAGCTGCCGAACCAGGTGGTGTTGGGGATGAGAGCACGCTCGTACTCCTCGTTGGCGATAATCTCTGCAATCTCGCTCTGGACGTACTCGGAGTTCTCGGGCTGGCCACGGACGCGGGACAGGGCAGAGATGGCCTTGTTGATTTGGCCCTTCTTGACGAAGTAACGGGGCGAGTCGGGGAGGAAAAGGAGACCACCACCCAGGATCAGGGCCCAGGGGAACTGAATGGCGATGGGAATGCGGTAGGCGCCCGTGTCGGTGCGAGTCTTGGTGGCGTAGACGACGATCGAAGCAAGCATGATACCGATGGTGATGCAGAACTGGTATCCGGCAACGAGGGCACCACGGACCTTGCGAGGGCACTGTATTGTTTGTTAGCGCGCTTGCCCCGTTTCTATTCGCGCCGCCCAAAATGAGAAGACTTACAATCTCAGACATGTACAGAATGACAATGGCGGACTCGAAACCGACACCGAGACCGGCAACGAGACGACCGCCGACGATGGGGCCCAGGGCGTTGGAAGGGCTGGTGACCATCTGGACAATGCAACCGACCATGTAGATGAAGCAGCCGATGATGACAGTCCACTTGCGGCCAATCCAGTCGGCGACATCGCCAGCAATGAGCGCACCGAAGAAGGTACCGCAGGACAGAATGGAGACGATCAGGGAGGTCTTGCTCTCGGAGACGGCCTTGTGGCCCTCGCCCATGACGGCATCGATGAAGATCTGGGAGCCGAGGACGCCGTTGATGTAACCGGAATCGTAACCGAAGAAGATACCACCGAAGGAGGCGAAGGCGCAGAGGAGGTAGGCCTTCCAGGTGACGGGGGCCTCGATGTGCTCGACATCCTGCGCGGTGTGGAGGATGGCCGAGGGCCGGCGCTCCTCGGTCGGCTTCTCAAGCGTGTCGGCCATTGTTGATGAAAGGCTGTTGCTGCCGCGTGCCTTGTTGCTGCTGGGAGGTGTTGCCTTGATAAAAGGGGTGGCTCCTCAGGAGAAAGAAAGAAACTGCCCCACGACGCGAGAGACACAGACTCTCTATTGTCTTGCTTGGGGGGTAGGGGGGGTGCGTGAGTCGCCGTGAGACAAGTCGAAGATGGACGGACGATGCAGGGGAAGGGGAAAGGGCACGAACGAGGCGAGGAGGGAACGAGCCATCCTTTTTATTATTGACGACGAGGAAGGAGCGAACAGAGCAAATGGGGGACGTGTGGGCGTGAGCTTGGGCATGGGCGTGGGCCCTGCACCTAGAGTTCCATCCGGGAACGTGTGCCTTGAGCGGTGATGGGCGTGGTGGCATATGCGAGTGAGCCAGGCCGGCGGCGCGTGTGTCGTGAACTGAATCGAGGCCATAGCTTGCTTGCCAGGACGTCTCACTCTCACGAGTTGGGGGGGCGTTCGGCATCTGGGAGGGGGGAGGGGGGTGTGCGCAAGCCCGCGCGAGAGCTGCCGCGCCGTACGTACGTACGGCCAAGGCATGGGTGGTGCCATCCCCCGGAGGCGGAGCCGCAGGGAAAGCCACGATTCACGGGGTCGCCAGCGCGGTCTGGAGCGGCGACTCGGCGCGCGCGACTCGCCTCGGAATCATCATGGGGGAGGGCAGAGCGGGTAACTTTCTTTAGCACGGAGCTTGGCTGGGCCTGGAGACCCGGAGGGGCAGCGGTGCCAGCGCCGGGTACTGACTGAACCTCCAGGGCTGGGCCGCCTCGCCTCAGGCAATAGCGGAGCCCGCCCGCGCGCCGCCCGCACTCCACGCTCAGGCTGCACCTGCACATGCTGCCCGGCCGCTGGGCGTCCGCCGGGCCTCTGCTGGGCCTCTGCTGCCCGCCTGTTGGGCCTGGTGGTCCGGGGAACCCGCGTGGAGAACAGCGGGCCACCTCCAGGGACGGGGCCTGGGGGCGCTGCTGGGCTACGAAGTAACGCCGAACCACGGTGGGCCCCGCTGCCAGAGAAGCGCCGAGAAGCGCCGGCCGTTGGCTCGTTTGGGACACGCGAGCGCTCCCTCGACTCCCCTCGTCGACCCGTCCGTCGAGTCGCAGTCGTCCCCCAGGGCCGAGGAAAGCAAGGTTGTTCGTTTCGGCGCGCCGACATCCAGGCCAGGCCAATCCAGTCCGGGGGACGCGCGCAACGGACAATCACGCTGCGCGGCGGGCGGTGCCACTCTTGGCTTCCCCGTGGGCAGCCCGAGAAGCACAGGAGACGACGGGTCGCGCGAGCAGCACGTAGGCCAAGAGAGAGCAGCATCAGGAGATTGGGAGCGTCACGTCAGAGCCTTCTCAAGTGCGACCGGCAGCTTTATGACGAGCGGTTCGTGGCAACTGGCTCACAGGCCGCCGCCTGCCCGCTGCGCTGCCCTGACTGCCGTGACAGGCCGCGGCAGACCGTGGCAGACCCGTGGCAAGCAAACCCAGGTCCCTGCGCGAGCTGGTTGGGGCAAAAGCAGCTGGAGGCTTTTGCCTTTGGGGGCCTTTCCATCCCTTCCCTCCCCCAAACCTGTCTCTTATACACATCTAGATGTGTATAAGAGACAGGGGGTGGGGCCCCCTGGCCCGATGCTCGCCTGGGGCGACGTGCCGCGAAGCTTTTTCGCTTCCTTTCTGGGCGGTTTCTTGTCCTCGTTGAACCTCGACTCACTCACCAGGTGCCTTTTGCCTGGGCACGCAGGCAACGGCCCACGATCGCCTCATGGTGTCGATCGCGCTTGCTGCTCCTCGATGCCTGCTCGAGTGTGCTGCTGTCGCTCCAGCTACCTTGGGCTCTGTCCGTTACACAGTACTCTATTCTGCGCACACCTTGTCGCTGCCACCATGGCCATTCGGTCGTCGTCTGCCGGCTCATCTGCCCACTTGCGGCAGAGCCAAGCCAATGCCGGCCTGGTCACGAGGGCGCCAGACGCAGACAGCCCGCGGGCTCAGCAGCGTGGCCGAACGCCACCCGTCGCGATCGACTCCCCCCGTCCTTGGCTGGCCACCACTGCACCCGTACGCTGTGACCACTGAAAGCCCAGAAGACCATGCTCCCGATCACACTCTGCGTGCGCCATCTCGACGCGCGATCCTCCAGTACAGCTACGACTGCTACAGTAACGTTGAACCTAGAGACATGATTCCTCGCATTCCACTGTCGAGGCGTTCCCAGATGCCAGGTAGCGCCGCCTCGACCACCGGGGCGGCCAGCAATCAGTCATTTTTCAGGGATTGATGACTTGCATGTCGTGCCGTCGCCGGGCCGCTCCACCAGAGTAGCCTGCATCGTCGCCATCCGCTGCAGAAAGAGAGAGAAAAAAAAAAACAATTCCTTCGGCGCCTCCCCCTGCCCCGGGCCGACAGCCACCCACCCCGGTCGTGGCACCCAAGGGCAGAGAGCATGGCTTGCCCCGGTGTCAGAGGCCCAGCAGCCTGAAGAACTACGGGTCTCGGCCTGCCCCCAAAAGGCCAATTTTCGGTCGTACTCGACACGCTATTCCCACCTCCCAAGCCCGCCGCTGTGGGTGTGCAGCAGCACCCCGTCTCTAATTGACCGAGCTGGCGGCGACTTGGCGTGGCGTCCCGAAGTCGACGCCTCCTCCGGGGGGCCGGGGTGGGCATCCATGTGGGCGGGTGAAGAAGGATCTCATCTCTGCTTGTGTGGCGGCCGTTCCTGTGTGGCTCGTGTTTGCTGCCTCGTCGTCGAACTCTCCCAGTAAGCCGTGTGAATAGGCTCAATGCACCAACATTGCCTGCCAGGACAGGGCAGCCGTTGGCAAACTCTGCTGGCGCCTGACCGTTGATGCCGTTCTGCCATGCCGTCTTCCGCCCACGAAGCAGTCAACAGCCGAGCGCGCCCATCCATGCACATGCCCCTCCGCCACCGACGAAGATCTTCGCGAGCGAGGAGAATCGTCATGCGAAAAACTGCGCTCCAGGGGTCTCCCCATCCAGCGACATCTGGCGCGCCCCTCCCCCTCTCGGCCCAGCTCGAGGGTGAGGGTCGCGATGAGGGTGAGGGTGGTAACCCGCGTCGTCTGCAGACACCGTCCAGCCTTGTTTCGAGCCTGCGACTCCTTTCTGCACCCACCGTCCACCTCGGCTGCCCACGGGGTTGCGTGTGGCGTCGCCGGGGGTGGGCTGGTGTGCCTCATGGCAGGTGGATTTGGCCGAGAGCAAACATGCGCCAGAGGGACGACGAGAAATTTTATCCGGGGGGAGGAGGGGCGTGTGCCAGATCTGATGCTGCTAGCGAGGGCTGCTAAGGCGAGGGCGCATGCACTCGCTCGATGCACGACGGCCCATCGTGTAAGTGCCCCATGGGCCATGGGACGACGCCGGCGCCGGATGCGTCCACAACCCCAGGACAGCCGCGCAAGCCAATGCCTGGTGAGAATCGACTCGGCGCTTCTCCCTTCGCTCGGCGGGCGGGGGGAACGTTGTCATCGCGACTTGGCCATGGCATGTTTCCCGGCCCGCGGCTGGAGGATTGCGTCGCGCGTCTTGCGTGATGCTCTTCGGCCCGGATGCGTCTAAACGCTCATGCAACAGACGCTCCCTCGCCGCTATTCAACGCTGGCGTGCCGCATGGGCGCTTGGCTTCAGCAAGTCAACGGCCAGCATAGAGATTTGACGCACAGCCGTTGACGCGCCCGTGATGACCGCCTTGGCCAAGGGGCAGCAGGATGGTCCGCAGAAAATGCTCTCGAGTGGATCGTGCCCATGTGGCACCTCTGAAACCCAACCCGCATCCCCAGAAACTTACATTTTGCGCTGAAGTCGCGTTGCCGGCCCGCCGTGGATCGCTGTTGTGCTCTGTCGAAGCATGTCTTGGCGTTGGCCGATGCTCGTCCACTGTGGAATGTCGAGTGATCTAGTGATACACGGCCAACCTTCAATACGCCACAACTTCACGATGGAGTATCTCGCTCCGTTGCTGTGCAAGCAAGCAACAAGTGCGCTCACGAATATCCATTTTCAACGGCAATGTGGAGGTCAGCAGACCTATCTGCCCATGCTGATGACAGAAACCGTGTTGGGCACTGGTCGTGTCTCTAAAGTTTGCTACATGCCAACATGCATCTCTGTCCATGTCACACGCCAAGAACACGCAAAACGTGCGCATACACATCGCCAGGCTCACCTAACAGCTTCGATTTTGGCAGCTCACCGCCGCATTCCAGTGGCACGATCATTCCGTCACGCGATTCTTACTATTCCTCCAGCGCCACCACAGCTGTTGTTTTCGCTACACCTCATGAGTCCTGCTGAGCTTGCAAGCCAAGCGAACACGGCTTCGCAACTGCATTCTGCTCAGCTGGTCTAGTAAACCGCCGAGATCAAAACGCCTCCAAACGCCTTGTTGATGCCGGATATGGCATGGAAGCGGCATCCTGCCCGGTGAGGCTGCCGCGCCGCCGAGATGACTGCGGGATTCCACATGCACCCTACCGGGCCGAAAGTGACCCTCGCTGACCGCGGGTCAGTCAGCCGAGTGCATGTACGAGCCGCGTCCCGTCCACACACACGTCGAAGAGCAGGCAACTTGCACGTCTGGCTACGTAGCATTGCCTCCTCCAACGTTCGAGGCGGGCAGTTTGACAGCCGTACTACGAGGAGGAGGGGCCGTCTGCCGCCAACAACTGGCAGACCGGTTCCAGGCTGTTGGTCGCGTCCAGGCCCTTGCCGCCCCCCTGGGACCGTGCAGTCCTGCGATGCGAGCGCCTTGACAGCCGGGGAGACTCGCCCGGCCTTGTTCCTTACAGTAACACCTTTGGGGGGGTTGCATTGTGCACCTGCATCCATGCCGGGAAGCGGCTTGGCTCGTGCGCGTCCGCTGCTATGCTTCCGAACATTTTTAGCTGGAGCATCACCACCCTGGTTCGAGCATGTGCCAGCTGGGCAAGCAGTTGAGTCAACCCACCAGTCTCCTGCTGTGTCCGTTGTTCCTTTGCTGAGGGATCGAAGACTTGCAGGTCACGCGCGTGGTGTCTCGGCCAGACCCTGAGCTGTCCGACCAAATCACTGGTGGATTTGCAGTGGACGTCGGACGCAGAGAGCCCGAAGTGCCGAGCCACCTTTGCCACTGTGGCTGGAGCAGATGCGCGGCGCCAAGCGTGCCTGAACCGAGATCTAAGGTGGCGCCCGTGATTTGAATTTTCGGCCCCAGCGGGTCTGGATTCTGGAACCGTGATCACGCGGCGCATCAGGCATCTCCCAGTACCCAGCGCCAGCGTTGACGTCGACGACGATGCCAGCCGGATTACATACGGAGCTGCGCCCCTCCGCCACAGGCTAGAGTTCGTCGGCGAATTTTTCTATGATTCTACGACCCGTTTGGCCGCGTGACGTGTGGCTCAACGCTCCGGATGCGGGACGGTCCAGCCCTTTGCCACGCGATGCCAAATCCGCGGGCACTACGACTCCGTATACACGACAGTCACATGACACTATGGACTCGACGGTCGTCTGTGTGGAATCTATTCTCATGACGGTCCCCGGGCGCTGTACGGGACAGTCACTCTGATGCCGCGAAGGGAGAAATGTCCGTTACGCAAGTAGCTTCCGGCTCACGCGGATCGCGGCGCTTCCAGCATCGTGAACAGTCCATCACACGCGGATGCGGCGAGCCAACTGTGGGAGCTTCGGCTTCAGCTTGATAGTGCCCTGCCCTCGCAGGGTTACAGTCCCGCGGCACCCGGCAGTGCTTCGCCACTGCCTTGCATTATCGGAGACGCCCTCAATCACGCCCATGGTGTCTGTCCGATACACGCCCTTGATCATCAGTCACCTGGCTCGGGGTCTCATCTCCAGTCGTATGCGAGCACGGTCGCGCGTGCAAGAACCCAGAGACGGGGGCATTGTCCGGGCGCTGTACTGTCTCTTATTCCTCGACTCCCCACGCGTGTCGTACAGCGTACTGTACCTTGGTGCTCATGTTGGCTCGACATAAAGACAATGCGTTGGTGATCTTGGCGCACTTGGCGCGGTATACTTCGCCCCAGCTCCCCGGACGAACCCACGAACCACATAGCTGCTTCGTATCCTATGGCCTTGTTTCGCCCCATGTGTGTTGGAGACCACAACGACAACCTAAAACGCATGCCACGTGGTAAGAGAGCAGCTATTTGGGCACTGCTGCGTTTCAATTCGGCCTCCGCTGCTATCGCTGCTGTTGTTACCCTGTGCCGTCGCGCCTGTCGCTGCTAGCGTTCCTGGTATTGCTGCTGCTACTGCTTGGAGATGTTCTTTTTCCGTGGTGGCCAAATAAAGAAGGGCAGATGTCCAAATCGCCCTACTAACTCCCCCGTCATTTTGTTCAGTGAGAGGAGAACGTCTGTCTGGGTGATCGTGAGGGCCAAGACGACATGCCAGCGGCGCACGGGGTCCTACCCTATATATATAAACCGTTGGACTGGAGCTCGGGCGAAATCATCGTAGGACCAACAAATCAGATGTCTTCATCTAAGGCTGAAACCCTGAAATCAATGTGGAGATGAGGCACCTCTACCATTGTGCGCTCGGCATTGTCGAACCCAGAGGAGCATGGTTTCCCCCGTCGAATTGGTACGTGCGTCTGATATCCGTCAATCATGGGGCGTCTGGTGTAAGTGAACCCACTGCATTGAACCCACCGGAGTCCGACGCCCTTGATTTAATACACTGTATGATTATGAACGCCAATGATTGTCAACTCTCCTTGCTTGACTTCGACTTTACACCTCGAACACCTCCTGGCCGGTTGCCAATAGCAATGAGTTTTGTATGGTACAGCGGCATCGTGTTTGTCGCCGTACTGACGGCGGCCCTCGTCCGTCGGGCGTCTTGTCGTGCACCCCCCTCACCTCTAGTTACGGGAAAGAAGAACACGGTACTATTCCTCACCGATTGCGCCCACGGCCTGTCTAAAGTCCACGTCGCGACGACACTCGCTTTGCTTCAGAAATATCCCTCGGTCGACATTCACTATGCATCCTTTCCGATGCTCAAAGGCGAACTCCAGCGCGTCTCCGACGCGGCGAATTCTAAAAGTGCAGAGGCGAGACCGATACAGTGGCACGAACTACGTGGGCCTAGCTTTATCCAGGCAGCTATGCGAACCTGGGGCGATGCCACTGGGTTGATCGCGCCGCCGGGCATCGCGGGGAGCGAGAAGCTTCTGCGGGACTTCGAGCTTGTCGCTTCACCGTGGACTGCGGACGAGCTCTGGGATCTATATTGCCAGATGCAAGAGCTGATCGAGCAGATTGATCCGGCGGTCGTTGTCCTGGATAGCATGCTGCGTCCTGCCATGGACGTCTCGCGCAGCTTGAACAGGACAAGAGTGGTCCTGTCGCCCAATGCGCTGACCGACGTGCTGGCCGGGATGCAGCCTTGGGGAGCGCCGTTCTGGAAGTACCCGGCGTAAGTTCCAACCCAACTCCTGTACAGGAACGCCCAAGTGTAGGGGAAAGCATACTGACCCGAGGCGCATACGCCCAGCCTGGGCTCCGGGTTCCCCTTTCCGCTTCCGTGGCGGCTGGTCCTAGCGAATATGTATCTCCAGCTTCGTCTCATATACGGCGTCGTCTTTTCGCCTGCCCTCGCTGCAAAGCGCAGGTTCCTATCCGACAAGGGAGTTCGCGATCCCATGCCACTCGTGGACGTGAAATTCCCCGAAGCCCCATGGATATCCATGGCTTTCCCCGAGGCCGGGCTTCCCTTGGACTTTATCCCATCGCACGTCATGCCTGTCGGTCCTATCGTCCTCGACGTTGCAACGGCCGACAAGCAAGACGAGGAACTCGCCTCGTGGTTGAAGAGGGCGCCGACGGTGCTGGTCAACCTTGGGAGCGCGGTCGAGTACGACGAGCGCATGGCGCGAGAGATGGCAGGTGCGCTGGCGACTGTGCTGGAATCTACCAACACCCAAGTGCTCTGGAAGCTTCAAAAGGCGTGCGAGTTCTCTGATGGTGCCCTCGAGCCGGTAGAGGAGCATATAAAGAGTGGACGGCTGCGAATCGAGAGCTGGCTGGACGTGGACCCCGTTTCGTTGTTGCAAACCGGCGACATCATTCTCTCCGTCCATCACGGCGGCGCAAACTGCTACCACGAAGCCATCCTGTCGGTCGTTCCCAGCCCACCATGACAATGTTTGGTCGTTTGACTGACACACGCAGCAGCACCGGCGTACCCCAGGTTATCCTGCCCTTGTGGGTAGACTTGTACAACTTTGCGCAAATCGCGGAATATCTCGGTGTTGGCATCTGGCCGGGGAAAGACACGGCTCCGATGTGGTACGCGGAAGTGCTGAGCGACGGGTTCGTGCGGGCTTTGACTGGGGAGAGCAGCGTGGCCATGAAGAAGAGGGCCAGAGAGCTGGAAGCGGTTGCGCGACGATACGGAGGTCAGCGGGCGGCTGCCGAGAAAATTGCAAGCATGGCCGCAAGTGGCCGTGAATGCTGACCAGGTGGGCCAACAGAGGTTGCTGGTCATACATGATATATATATCTCATCAACTCCACTCGATCGGGCGCGACGATGCAAGCCGTCTCATTACAGTGTGGTGCCTGCGCCGCTCAACGTGTCTCCCCGGCGGCGCAGGCGCGGGAGCCGACCCCTGCCGCACCATGGACCACGTGAAGCTCGTATACAACGGCGTGTTCTTGCGGGATTTTGAGGTTTAAATGAGGGGTTCACGGGCGAAGGCCAAATGTCAACAACAGAGGTTGGTAACGTTTGTTGGCCGTCTTTGTGCCTCAAGCACTAGCCGCGATTTGGGATGCCGGTCGACAGAACGGAAGAAAGTACTGTACCCACCAGCCAGATGAAGGGAACCTGCAATCTCGTACTTCGTACTCCGTAGATGTCATGTGGAAACATTCATGTACGAAGCACAAAGTACCTTCCAGTACATGCACGAAACGAACCCGGGCTTCAAAGCGCATGCAAGGGCTCGGCGGCAGAGAGTGATACCGTGGGATTGTATCCGCCGTCGTGCAATTGCCCAAAGGGGACAGAGCCCTGAGCTGACTGTCTTGCACCAGCTGTCGAGGCACGCGGGCGGCACGCGACGAGGCACGGCGAAACAAGGTTGAACAGGGTCCACCAGTCGCATGGCCAGATGCAACCGTCAGGGTCGCCATGACATCAAGCAGACAGGCAGGGGGAGGCCCTCAGCCCCATGCAGTACAACGGCGGTTGAGAGGTTCACGGCTCAGCGCGTTGTGCAACAGCCGTGTCTGACCCAACGATGCTGTGCTACCGGATGCGAGCCGCGACGGAGCAATGTCCGCCCTGTTGCATGTGGCCCAACCATAAAGTTGAGTTGACGACTCGACGAGCTGCATGGACCGGGGGGGACAGGGCCGACGCGTGGCGAGCGAGGGAAACGGGCGCGCGATGGACAGCGGCCGCGCCTTGTCCGATTCGCATGGCCATGACAAGAGCCATTTCATGCTGTGGGCAAAATCTGAGGAAAGCTTGCACATACCTCGCCTTGCCAAATGCGGTAAAAGTAACGCTGCACCGCCCTGGTGGCTACGGCGGCCATGCCACATGACAATGGTGGGCTTCAACGGCATGTTTTCGCCGGAAAGCCACTGGTTTCAAGGCAGTGTTTCTGCCCTGCAAGCGGCTTACTGGATTGAGAAAGAAAAAAGTCTCTCAGCCCCGGGCGCAGTTCCATCGCTGACTGTTGTGGGCAGAAAGGCTAATTACAAGCACTGGGCGATGATTCCAGACTGGACTGGCCGTTCGGGGAAAAAAAAATTCTCAGTTCGCCTGGCAGCAAGAGCAGGTGGATTGATCGGGGGGCAGTGGTAGAGGGCAAAGAAAAAAAAAGCTAAACTCATGAAATGCCTCACATTGCCGTTTGCCGCCGTTGGAGGGAATGGGAGGCCGCCTCGAGACGTCGAACAGCCGATATTGGCTGAATGACAAGCGAGGAATGAGGGTGGATGGATCGATGGGAGGCGGCGGCGGCGGCGGCGGCGGACGGCAAGGGAGGGACGGGATGGATGGACCCGCGGACGCCGATGACGCTGGCCCGCGTGCTGACGGTGAGATTCATGTTCCTCTTCTCTTCTGTTGCAGCGCCGCGCAGCTGATGGATGACAACCAACAGAGCCCCCGTTGGCAGGCCCGCGTCCGTCCCGGAAGCCAGCCGAAGCGGCGACCCCTATCGGCCCAATGGGCGCCGCTGATCTGTGGCCCTTCTCAGCGCAGTGCCGGCCAGGTTCCCCAGGCCCGGCCTGCCAAGTCCCGTCAACGTATATCGCTCATACCGTCAAGCTCTCGCGCCTTCAACCTCGATACCTCGAAATTGTTATAGGAGACAACCGCGCACCGCCCGCCTCGGTCGTGTGTCCTGCTTTCGTCTTCGCTTGCCCCCCCTCCCTCCTTGACTGCCTGGCACTTCTGTACACGGTCTCTGGTTTCTGTACCGTCGTGTACTTGCCGTCCTCGTACTACCCGACGGTCAGCTCAGACGAGGCAATTTCACGACATGGACCCCCCATCCAAACCTAGCTAGCCACCGCCATCAACTGTCGCTGTGCCTGCCCGCATAGCCTGCCTGCCCGGCGTCCAGCTTGCAACCTTGCCTGCGCTCCTCGTGGCCTTTGCTGTTGTTGGTTGGTCTGTGATGTGGCCACCGCAGTATGACCGCCCTCCGTGACCGCATGTGATGCCCATTTTCAGCGCAACGCAAATGGCGGCTCCATCAGCCGTCGCAGGCTGCGCCCGCGAGCCGGTGGTGAAACTAGGTCGTGGCCTTCCCGCGCTGCCTCTCAGGATATAAGAGCCCTCCCCCAGGGCCGATCGACTCTTTCGTAGACGCATTTGGTTCTGCTCAGTTCTGCTCGCCTCCCGGGTCGTCCCCCGTTCCCCTGCTCGGCCCTCCCCCTTTTCCCCTTGTCACTCTCCATCTCTGCAACTCTCGCCATCATGTCTTCCGAGAAGGCTGTAGAGGCGCAGGCGGCTGAGCGAGTCCGCTGGGGCGACGAGGAGCAAGCCCGCGGTCGTCGCGACTCCCGCTCGCGTCCGCAGAGCCGGAGCGGCTCGCGAGAGTCCCTGGCGATCCGCAGCATTCACTCCAGGGGCCAGGTCGACCCTTCGCTGACGCTACCCATTCAGTACCGCACGGTGTAAGTCAATGGCCGGCGCAGGAGAACGTGATACTCAAGTGACTCGTCGCTGATGCTGCTCGATAGCTCCTTCCAGATCGAGGAATCCAAGGCCAAGGACCGAGTTGAAGCCATCAAAGCAGCCAGCTCCGCTGCCAAGGGTACGTCGACGAGTATAACCAACACATAAGCCGGGGGTTGAAATTGACAAGGCTCTAGACCTGAGTGATCTTGAGTGGCACACAATCACCCCTGAGGAGGTGGCCAAGCGGCTCACGACCACTCCGTCCTTTGGCCTTTCCCGTGACCAGGTCCAGCGTAGGCAGCAGGAGTACGGCAGGAACGCGCCGTCGCCACCCAAGACAAACCGCGCCTGGACCATCTTTGGCTACTTTTTCAAGGGCTTCGGTGGCATTCTTCTCGTGGGCAGTATTCTCGTGTTCGTGTCATGGAAGCCACTCGGCGAGCCTGCGCCAGCTCTGGCCAACCTGGTATGTCTACTGCACTTGATTCTTGTACTCGACGACGGGAGCCTAACACTCGAGTGACAGGCTCTGGCTATCGTCCTCCTCGCCGTCTTCTTCATCCAGGCCGCTTTTGCCATGTTCCAGGACTGGTCCACCTCCCGCGTAATGGCGTCCATCAAGGACATGCTCCCCGAGCAGTGCCAGGTCATCCGAGACAACAACGTCGTCAGCGTCCCTGCCGAAGAGCTTGTTCCGGGTGATGTCGTGCATATCAAATCTGGAAACAAGCTCCCGGCCGACGTTCGATTTATTCAAATTTCCTCGGACGCCAAGTTTGACCGCTCGGTGCTCACGGGAGAATCGCGACCTGTGCCGGCCACAGTCAAGAATACCGATGTGAACTATCTGGAGACGCACAATATCGGCCTTCAGGGCACGCACTGCATCATCGGCTCCGGTGTCGGTATCGTTGTGGCCACTGGCGACCGCACGGTTTTCGGCCGCATCGCTGTGCTCACGAGCGAGCCCAAGACCAAGATGACGACCTTGGAGCGGGAGGTCCTGTACTTTGTTCTCTTCATCTGCGCCATCATGTTCACCATGATTGTTGTGGTCCTGATCGTTTGGTACGTTCCCCCATCCTCTTCAGCTACTAATTCAGCTGGGCATCAGCTAATACGGAGGATGAAAATAGGGGCGCTTGGCTGCGTCGTGACCACCCCGATTTCATCTCCGTGTCCGCACTCATCGTGAGCTGTGTCAGTGTCGCCGTCGCATTCATCCCCGAGGGTCTTCCTATTGCCATTACTGCCGGCCTCACCATCACCGCCAACATGATGAAGAAGAACATGATTCTCTGCAAGTCCCTCAAGACCGTCGAGACGCTTGGCTCCGTCTCCGTCATCTGCTCTGACAAGACGGGAACACTCACCCAGGGCAAAATGACCCTGACGGACTGCTCGATCGGGACCAACAACATGACCGTAAAGGATCTTCAGGAGAAGATGGCGTCGAGTGAGAAGGCTGGCGCGCTCGGCCCCTTTGGCCAGCTTGGCGCGCTTGCCGCTCTCTGCAACGCCGCTGAGCTGGACGCCGCTCAGGCTGACGTCTCCATCGACAAGAGAAACATCTTTGGCGATGCGACGGATACTGCGGTGCTGCGCTTCTCTGAGTCGCTGTCCGCCGGCAACGTCGGCTACTTCCGCGGCTGCTGGCAGCGTGTGTTTGAGCTCGCCTTCAACAGCAAGAACAAGTTCATGATTCGATGCTTCAACATTTCTCGCAGGGAGGCGCTCCAGAACACTCTACACGCTGATGCAGCGGCCAGCTTCAGCGACTCTGATCTGTATGATTTCCCACAAATTGGTTGCCATTTCGGCCATTACTGACGCGCATGCAGGCTTTTGACCATGAAGGGTGCCCCTGACGTTCTCCTTGGCCGGTGCACGCAATATCTCACTCCTTCTGGTGTGCTTGCCGACATTGACGAGCACGTGGCGGCGACTCTCGAGCATGTCAAGAACATCTACTCCTCTCAGGGCAAGCGATGCCTGCTGCTGGCGAGGAAGGTCATCCCGGCCGACATGGTCAAGGCAGTTCCGGAGACGGTCGAGTATGAGCAGGAGATGATGGTGCATGCCAAGACCGGCCTGACCCTCGTTGGCTTGGTTGCTATCGTCGACCCCCTGCGCCCTGAGATTCGTGACGTCGTTTCCACGCTTCGTGGAGCTGGCATCCGTATCGCCATGGTGAGATTCTCGTGTGCCCGCTCCTCAGAACGCTTGCTCTAACACACTCCAGGTCACGGGTGACTTTGCCCTGACTGCGCTGGCCATCTCTCGGGAGGCCGGCATCGTCACCTGCGTAAATGTCGACGGCGTTGCCAACCTCGAGCGATACTCCGACACCGGCTCCGGCTCCGGCTCCGATGAGGCCGACGAGCTCAAGGACAAGTCTTCGCCATTCACTCGGGGCGCCATCGTCATCAGCGGGCCTGAGCTCACGACTCTCAACGAGAACCAGTGGCGCCTGCTGACCGAGTACGAGGAGATTGTCTTTGCGCGCACGACTCCTGAGCAGAAGCTTCGCATCGTGCGTGAGTTCCAGAACAACAACGTCGTGGCTATGACTGGTGATGGTGTCAACGATGCGCCGTCGCTGAAGGCCGCCGATGTGGGTATCTCGATGGGCAGCGGGTCAGACATTGCCATGGAGGCGGCCGACATGGTGCTCCTGGACACGTTCTCGTCGGTCGTCATCGCGGTGCAGTACGGCCGTGTGGTTTTCGACAACTTGAAGAAGGTAAAGAGCCCCAGACATTGGCGACTTGGGCTGGCAGTCGACTAACACGCTCTAGGTCATTGCCTACCTGCTTCCCGCTGGAAGTTTCTCAGAGTTCTGGCCCGTCATCACCAACGTTGTCTTTGGTCTTCCCCAGATTCTGTCTTCTTTCCTCATGATCGTCATCTGGTATGTGAACACTGCCAAAAAGTGCAAGTAGAGAGACCTTTACTGACGACGAGGGTTGTAGCTGCTTCACTGACTGCGCTGCCGCCACCGTTCTGTCCTTCGAGAAGCCCGAGGCCGACGTCCTCCTGCGCCGCCCCCGCAACGTCAAGAAGGACCGCCTCGTCAACTGGCAGCTGATCTTCCAGGCGTACGGCATCATCGGCATGACCGAGACCATCACCTCGTTCGCCATGTCGTACTGGTACCTGCAGCGCAGCGGCATCCTCTTCAAGGACTTGTGGTTCGGCTTCGGTGTCGTCCCCAGCTACGTCGACCCGGACTACTACAACCAGAAGCTCACCGAGGCGTCGTCCATTTACTTTGTCAACCTGGTGGTCATGCAGTGGTTCAACCTCATGGCGACGCGCACTCGCCGCCTCAGCATCTTCCAGCACCCGCCGCTGTTCAACAAGGAGACGCAGAACCTGTACCTGTTCCCGTCGATCCTGTTCGCGCTGGTCATGGCGTTCCTGTGGCTGTACCCGCCCGCCATCCAAGAGGTTATTGTCACTTCGGCGGTGCCCGTCGAGTACTGGTTCCTGCCGTTTGCTTTTGGTATCTACATTATCCTGATTGATGAGGCGAGAAGATTCTGGGTGAGGAAATACCCCAAGGGCTGGGTCGCCAGAGCGGCTTGGTAGCCGTCTCGAGGCTCCGTCGCGTCTGGATCCCATGTTTCGTTGTTTTAATGTATCTACTCTAAAGGACCAATGGCTTGCTCGGGCCATTGAGATTGAAGCTTAATTTCTTACCAAACACAAGTCTAATGCGGGCCTCAGTGTGGTGCTAAGATGTTCATGGTGGTCGTGCAACGAGCTGACAAGCCCCAACAAGGCAGACTGCGTGATCTCGATTGCGCGTCTTCCACATGATGCTGAAGGGCAGCGACATGGATCGTCGTGACTTCAACGCCTCTCATGAAGAACTGCACCATTGCTCAATGAAACGATGTTCAACCGTCAAAGCGCACACGCAGTAACTGATGATCCTTGTCGGTCGGGGCGCTGTGTGCCTGACAGTGTTGCCAAAAATAGCGCAACGGGACAGACAAGCCGCATAGCTTTCCTGTTTGGTGTGGTCAGCCCTGCCGCTCTGCAGACCATCTTCATGAGCCGCCTCCGCAATTACTTGTGCCTGAAATGAGGCTAAGGGCTTTGGCCCACCGGATTTGCAGAGCGGCTCTCAGCTTCTCCCGTTCTTGGGCAACTGATCTACGGGTGGCAGGGGTCGTCGGACAAGCCATAAGCCCGCATTACCCTTTCGCCGCCCGGCGCGCTGCCCATCACCACCGCGACGTCGGGACAATCGCGCGGCAAGATTATCTTTTTATTTTCGACCGTTTTTCGTCCGAAGCTCAGGGGCACGATGGCAGTGTCGCGTGCTCTGTTGCCTCGATTCTGGTTGAACGGCTGAAGCCCCCCTGCAACTGCTTGTTTATTAAACGGGCAATATATAAAGGCACCGGCTGCAGCTCCCACGATGATCAGTGCTGAAAGAAGGTCATCCTGATACATCCGTTCAAAGAAATACCACGCGGTGATCATGAAGCTGTCTGCCCTTTTCGTCTTGGCGGCGAGCTCGCTCGCGCTCGCCGATGACCCGAGCAAGTGCAAGGCCGCCGAGAAGAAGGACGCCGCCAACTTCGTCCTCGTCGACCAGGGCGTCAACAAGCACCTTGCGCCGCTGTCCAAGATCTTCACCAACGCCAAGAAGAGGGCCAACGTGTCGGACGTCTTCAACGATGGCAACCACAAGATGGCCGGCTCCGCGACCAAGCTGTCGTGGGAGAAGACCAAGGACTACAACGACATGGACACCAACAAGTGGGTGCCGCAGGGCATCTCCTCGACGGCCGACGCCCTCGAGGTGGGCACGTACGACGGCAAGGACGGCTGGCTGGTGAGCTGGTACAGCGACTCGACCAAGCAGGTGCGCATCAGCTTCGTCGACAAGAAGACGAACAAGTATCGCAACGCACTGCTCGTGTACCCCTCCGCCGATGACGACTTCAAGGGCGTTGGCATCCACGCCGGCGGCATCATGTGGTACGGCGACACGCTGTGGGTCGTCGACACTTCCAACGGCATCCGCGTCTTCGACATGAGCAACATCTGGGAGGTCGGCTCCGGCGACAAGGTCGGCAAGGTCAGCGCTGGCAAGTACTCTGCTGCAGGCTACAAATACGTCATTCCCCAGAAGAGGTAACTCATCCCGTAACATGAGCCACGTGTGCTCCATCTTTGTCGCCACGATGCTAACATGTTGTTGTGTAGCTGGTACAAGTGGACTCCCAAGTTCGAGTTCCGCTTCTCGTACATCGCCCTCGACCGCACCGCGTCTCCCGACCGCCTCATGGTTGGCGAGTACCAGAAGGAGGACGCCAAGCCCAAGCGTCTGGTCCAGTACGAGCTCGACGCCAGCACCCGCGGCCTGAAGACCGGAGCCGACAAGAAGACGGCCAAGGCCGTGTGGGCGTCGTGCGTCAACATCCTGCGCATCCAGGGCGCCGTCCAGGCCGACAAGAAGATCTACATCTCTCGCAGCAACGGCGCCAAGGCTGGCGATCTCTGGGGCTGGATTCCCGGCAAGGGCGCGCGCAACAATGCCGGCATGCTGCCGACCAGCCCAGAGGACCTGAGCTACGACAAGAGGGGCAAGAAGCTCTACGGCCTCACCGAGGCTGCTGGCAAGCGCTACATCCTCACGCTTGACACCTCCAAGGTCAAGTTCCCTTAAAGATTGAGTCGATCTTCGACGGTTCATCTCTTTGTATATATATAAGTGTGGTCGACTCATTGCCAGGAGTAAGTACATAATTGGCATCATGGTATTAGAATAGGCAAAATTTTCCTTCTTGTGGCCAATGCGCCGTGTATAATGGACGTCAGTTTGGTGAACTATTGCCCGTCGAATGTGAGGGCGACTGCTGTGCCCAGTCGTCGACGTATGTGCTCGTCAAAATGACCCCAACTCCAGCGATGTATTGTGCAAAGAGCTGGGCCTGCGCAAGCGCCGACCGGGGGACCGGATGGTCCTCCCAACATCAGTTCGAAGTTGAAGTGGTCCCTCACCTTACCTCTCGGTCGGCTTGCCAAGTCAAGACGTATCGGGAACATCGTATTCGGTCCAGTCGTGTTTTGTGACTGCCGTGTTGGGCGTCTTATTTTTAAGCTTGACCTGTCCTGACACACAACACTCGGTATCATATGGGACCAAGGTTAAGCCTTGTCACTAGACGGCCGCCGACGCCATGCGACTCGTCTCGTCGGTGGCGAAAAGGGTGCTTTGACCAGCACGGAGCAAGATCACATCTCGCGCAAACCTACTCCGTACGCATACGTAATACAGGAGAGCGACGGTAAAAGACCGAAACGCTGCCAGCGCGGGCTGATAGCCTAGCGCAGGGGCGCACAGGCCGCAGCTGGATTGCCTCTAGCACCGGTCACCAAGCTTCAGTCCACTTCGTGTGTATAAGAGCGTCCTGCAGCTACTGGCAGGCTTGAAGGGAAATCAAGGCTTGAGGGAGCCTGTTGGTACATGGGATGTATTGTATTCTTCACAGTAGATGTACATAGCATACACTTGGTACACTGCCAAGCCTCCTCCATGACGTCCGCCTACGCCTTGCCCGTGATCCAATCCCTCTCCTTGTTCCTGGACAAGCCCGCCGTACCCGTGACAGGTAGGCCGCGCCTCTTGAGCTCTTCCTCAATCACCTTCCAGCGGCCCACAACCGTCTCCTTCTCAATGGCGCGAATCTTGTGGCTATGCACCTTGACGTTGGAGAGGCGCTGCAAGTCATCCCGCCGGCTTAGCAACTGCGTCAGCTTCTGCGGCTTGGGCTCCTTCGCGGCGAGTGTGAGGATATGCTTGACGGTCGTGGCCGCGGCGAGCTTGGCGTCGGGGACGAGGTTGCCCGTAAGCTGGTAGAGACGCTTCCGAACCTGGACTGCGTGTCAGCATTGTATTCGCGCGCGAAGATGTAGGCGTGCGGGAGGCATACAGCAAACTTGGCTTGCTCGTCGAGCGCGATGCTCTTCCACGCAGGGTCCCATGCCTTGACAAGCTCCTTGGCCTCGTCAAGGGTCACTCTCTCCGGCGTGTCGACTTCTTCCAGCTCGGCCGTCAGGCCCTGGGAGAGCGATGAGGCGTCGCCGTTGAGCGAAGCCTTGCCATCCTGCACCTGGATCTCGACCGCCAGCGTGCTATCCAACGCGCTTCGGTCACCCTCGTTCCACTTCTTGGTCGCCCAATCTGCAAACACGCCCGATTCTTGTAGCGCGAGCAGCTCAACGACTGCCCTTCTCAGGTAGACCTCCACAATCTCTTTGTCTGCCACCTTTGCAACGTTGCCAAAAGCGTCAAACTCGCTCTCCGCGCCCCAATGGCCGGGCTGGTCCCACCACGTCGTGATGGTGCTAATCTCCTCGAGGCCCTCGGCATCGGTTGCCGGCACGTAGGTAGGGTCCGACGACTTCAATTGCGATTCGGGTGTCGCTTCCGTACGCTTCGGCGGCAAGGTCAGGCGGGAGGCCAGAATCTGAGCGGGGGTCCGGTCGGGGTGAGGCTGGTACTCGAGAGCTTCTTCCGGCAGGTTTGAAGACTCCTCAGGCTCTGGTCTCTGTGTGTATGGATCTTCCGGGCCTGGCGCCTCGCCCTTCCACAGCTTCCCTCGCACCCATTCCGTGTTCTTTCCTCGAGCGACGCACGTGGTCGAGATGGCGCGTGCAGCGGCGAATGATGGTCGGGCAGGGCTAGCCGACGAGGGAGCAAGATTCAAGGGCAAGGCCTTGAGCCCCGAGACTCGGGGTATTCGTGGCATTTCGTGAATTCTGTTGAGCGCGACGGCACTCGTGACGTTGAAGGGTCGACGGGTAGAAGCCGCTCGCGATGGGCAACTTTTTTGGTGCCGGGCACAGGGGACCAACCAGAATCCGCGAGGCGACGCCGGACCCACTTTCAGCGGCAGCCGCCTGCTGTGACCACCGCCGCCAGCTCGAGGCTCAATCGCGGGTCGTGGAGCGTCCCATCCTGACGAAGCCACTGCATCTCCCTTCAATCTGTCCTGACTTCCACCTCTGCGCGCGCGCGCATGCCGAACAGCCTGTCGCGATGGCGCGGCTACACATCCTCGCGCTGCTCATAGCGGCCTTGGTCGCCTTAGCATCTGCGAGCTGTGCGTTTCCTCAACCTGCTTGATTGCGCGTCGCAGTCACGATTGCTGACCTCCCACAGCTGCACCGACCTTCTGCAAATGCACCTGCTTCAAGAACAGCACCATCATCCCCTTAGGGCCAAAAAGCGGCGACTCCTCATCTCCGTCCTCTCTTCGCCGATCAATATCCCTGAGCTCCTTGCTGGGCCCGCGACTCGCCGTCCGGACCAGCCCCTCTGCTCCCGCAGGCAACACCCGGCGGTCGGCATCATCATCCTGCTCCGAGTGCACCAAGGCGTTCTGCCTCAGCCAGGGCATCAGCTTCTGCAAAGACGCCAAGGAGGAGAATGTCGTGACTATGTGTTTTCAGCGGGACAGCAACAAGGACAAGATCATCGTATGGGGCTTCATCCTTGGGACAACTGGGCTCCTGGGCTGGTCGGCGTTCAAACGTGTCATTGAGTGGCGAGAAGGCAGGGCCATGGGTCGGCAAGATATCAGTTATGCCCCAGTAACGGGCGGTGGGCAATAGCATGCGACTACCTGGCGGTCCAGAGCATGTATTCACGGCGCAACGGAATCATTTCCATTTCTCTTGAACTTTGCCTGTCCGGCCCGCAGAGGGCGTCCGGCATACCGTCTGATTGCCCGCAATGACAAGCTTCCCGCGCTTGACCCTAACTTTTATACCCCGTCGCAAAACCAGCCAGGCAGCATCTGCGGCGCCCCTCAAACAGTCATCGCTCGTCGACACGACACTATACTAGCTCTCGGAAAGATCCGGGCCTCAATATTGTCACACAGCAGCCGATGTGGAAACCTAGTCCTCCTCCAGCATGCTCACTTTGGCATCCTCGCCAGCGCCGGAGCTGCCGTTGATGGCGCGCCGGGCGCGGATAGCCTCGGCCAAGTCCTCCAGCACAGTCACGGTGTCCTCCCAGTTGATGCACGCGTCCGTGATGCTGACACCGCGCTTCAAGCCAGACGGACCCTCGGCAGGCACCTTTTGGTTACCCTCGTGGATGTTTGACTCGATCATCACGCCAATGATGGAGCGCTCACCCTCGCGCAGTTGGTCGGCAATAACCTTGGCAACCTTGGGCTGATTGTTGTGGTTCTTTTGCGAGTTGCCTGGCACAAGTTAGCCTCTGTGAGATCGAATGGTCGAGCATGACAGATTTACCATGGGAGCAGTCGATCATGATGGCCTGCTTCTGGCCCTTGTCCGTCAGCGTCTTCTTGGCGGCCTGGACGCTCTCCTTGTCGAAGTTGGGGCCCTTTGTTCCTCCGCGAAGAATGACGAAACCGTGCTCATTGCCCTTGGTGCGCGTGATAGCAGCCAAACCCTGCTTGGTCACACCCATGAAGTGGTGCTTGGAAGCCGCAGCCCCGATGGCGTCAATGGCAACGCCGAGATTGCCGTCGGTGCCGTTCTTGAAGCCGACCGGGAAGGATAGGCCGGAAGCAAGCTCGCGATGCAACTGAGACTCCGTGGTCCTCGCACCGATAGCGCCGACTGAGATGCAGTCGGCAAGGAACTGTGGGGAGATGGTGTCGAGCATCTCACTGGCAATGGGCATCCCGTTGGAGGTGAGGTCGACGAACATCTGGCGCGACACTCTCAGGCCCTTGTTGATCTGGAAGGACGAGTCGATGTCGGGGTCGTTGATGAGGCCTTTCCAGCCAACTGTCGTGCGAGGCTTCTCGAGGTAGGCGCGCATGATAATGCACAGATCGTCGGACAGCTTGTCAGACAGCTGCTTTAGCCGGGCGGCATACTCGTGGGCGGCGGCCGGATCGTGGATGGAGCAGGGGCCAACGACGACCAGTAGCCTGTCGTTGCGTCCCATGACGATATCTGCGGCATCGTTGCGGCCCTTGACGACGGTCGTGATGGCCTTCTCGGTCATGGGAATCTCGGAGGTGAGCAGAGCAGGGGGGATCAAGGGATCCTGGCCGAGCACTGCCTTGTCTGTCAGCGCGTCTGCTCGGACGACTGGCGCTCTGCGAATCACAGCCATGGTGCATCCAAAGAATCATGGAGGGGCGGGAAACGGCTCGAGGCGAGGTTGAGAGGTTCGACGCAGCTTCATTTGTACAACCGGGCACCGGCGGCCGGTAACATGTCGCAGGGCGATACGACGGCCCGTGCCGAATCGGTGCGTTGTCGCACAACGCACTCGGCGAACACGTCTCACAATGGAATGATTTGGAAGGAGCGGACTAACCTCTCGTGTCGTCCGCGGCGAGCGGAAGCATGTCAAGTCCGGGCATTGCGTCTGTATTGCAGAGATGGCGGGATGCGTAGAAGGCGGTGGCCGGTGGGATGAGGGAGGGAGGGGCTCGATGTCTTGAAATGCAGTCACAAGTGGTAATGCACCCTGCAACGCAAGCTTCCGCGGAGGGGTTGGGTATAGGGCCAGGGATGTCGCCGGGCAGTTAATGGACGATGATGGTTGGAGAATATGGACCGCGCAGAATGCTAGGACTGCACTTCTGCTGCGAGGTTTTAATGGTGGTCTCAATGAGTCAGAAGCAAACGCATTCTCCCGAGTCGCACAACGGGTCGCCCAGGGCAAAAAAATCAGAGATCGGAACTGCCTCGGAGGGACCCCACCAAGAGCTCCCTCCGTTCCACGGCCGCCAGACTGCGCAGTACGTCACAGGCGGCCACTAGAATTGAAAATGGGTCCCGCTCAATTGGCTCGAGAGGCCAAACTGCAAAAGCGATTTTATTGCGGGAGGACATCGCCATTGACCGCCGCATGATACTTTCGTGTCGCGGGCTGCCGACAGCGATAATTCCCCCGCAATATCGTGGCCAATGTGCCGCCGCTGTGCCGCCGCTGGGGAGTCAATGGGAAGCCTGGACGTGGCCTGAGGGGGAGGGGCATTTCCGAGCTCGGCCGTCACCGAACTCGAGCCATCGCGTCGACCGCCATTTGCAGCTGCAGACGCCGTCCGTAGCTCGCCAATGGCACCAGGATGCCGCCGCCATCATTCGGCGCAAACCCGTAGCATCCAGGCAAGGGATACTGCGACTGTTTGCTGACGTGGCGTTCCGTGCGTTTGCCATGGACTCGAATCTGCGTTGCGCGATGTGGCGGCGCGGGCGTTGCTGTGCCAGACGTGGACGGGATGTAGGCCAAGCTGTCTCCCTGTCGCCATTCCTCCGACGACTGCGGCGCGAGCAAACAATCGAGGAAACATTGGAAATCGTTCGTGAACTCCTCGGCCAAGCCGGTGGGATAAAGGAGTGCGGGACTGGAGAAGACGGGTATCCCGGCAGACAACAGGACCCAGCCACGCGGTGACGCGGACCGCTCGCGATTCCTTTGATGGTGCTGATGATGGAGGAGGTTCGACACGTCAGGACAAGGTCTCGCATGAAATATAGCGTCATAGAATCGCCGCGGACACTTTGGAAGACCCAGAGACGAACAACTTGAAGGCCAGCCGCGTCATGTTGAAACAGCCCGTCCATCTCGCCTAAAGTGCTTCCTAACTCGCTACATTCTAGTAGCCGTCGCCCGCCCACATTGCACGTGTCGGGTTCTTGAAGCAGTCGTGAAACCACCGAGACAGAGAGATCGTCCCCGCAAGAAAGAATGAAGCAGCACCGGGAAACGCCGTCAGTTGCTGGCGGCGACCATCACATCGCGCTTCGATGCATTGACCGACGCGCCTTGCATAGACCGCCTCGTGCCACGGCCGCGAAAGGGCGATGACACGGGCCTCGGGTTGGACGAGAGCGCGACGGGGAGCCCGTGGTGCCCCACAAAGCCGAGAATTAGGTGGATACTACAGGCGCTGCTCCGTCGGCCCTCGCCTCAGGGTCCTGGCCGGCCGCTGTAGTGTTGCGTGGTTGAAGTCCCCGCCCGGAGGGGCTGGGCACTCCAGGGCTCCTTGGTGCAGGCCTGCGGGTGGAGGCACTGGGCGGATGGCGGGCAGGTGCCGCCAGACACCGCTCATCAACGCCAACGCCCTCCCTTTCAGCCCTCCTCATGGAAGGAGGGAGGATCCCCGTGCCGGCACTTCCACTGCCAACCACCGCGCGCGCCGCGCTGCCAGCGCCGAGCCATCCTATTTTGTCCCAGCCCTTCCTCCCCCAGCGCGCCCCCGCGTGTACATGCACGTCCATCCCGCCCCCCATCGTATTCTTGTTCACTTCCATCGTTTTCTGTATAGCATCAACACAGTACAGTACAGCTCGAGGTCATCGCCCGGAGCGCGACCGATCCGCCGCCAAGTCGCAGTCTAGGTACTCTCAGCCCATGCTGACCCACCACTCCGACCCTGACTTCCAGCCTCTGGCGGACCATTCCACGGCTTTTTGTTCCGTTCCGCATCTGTGCTTCGCTTAGAGCATCGCCGAGCTCTGTCAACTCTCACCTCGCAGCCTCGTACTCTGCTGCCGTGTCTTGCATTTTTTTTTTTTTCTTCTTCTCTTTTTGCCTTTTTCCCTCCACGTCTTGTGTGTTGGGCGAGACTCGCTCTCCCCCCCGGTCAGCTTTGGCGTCATCCCGCACGCCCTCGCTCCATCCGGGTCTTGGATCGGCTCGCTCGCCACTGCTCCCGTTCCCCTCACGACCGCCTTGGTGCCTGGGCTCAGCCTCCTCCCACAGCCGCCTTTACACTTCACCATCTACACAACAACCGCGACACACTCTCTCTCGTTTTCGAACTCAAGCTGTCCTTTTGTTCCGTTGCCTCGATCTTTCTTTCCCGTACTCCGATCGCCGGCCTAGTCGCGACGTAGTGCCGCGCATTGCCGCTGTACCCCGTTGTCGGAATCGCCATCGAGGTCCAGAGGTGCATGCGGCTGGACTTTCATGCCCAAGCTGCCGCTTGCTGGCCGTCACGCCCCCTGCCAGTTTCTCTTTCCCCCACAAGTAGCAACAGAGCGTGCTGCGTTGAGATGTTTGCCGCGGAACACTGCATGATGGATGCCTTGGACGCCGGCAGGAAGCGTCTGCGGGACGATGACGATGCCAACACCACCGCGACGGGCTTCTCCGAGCATCGCAACGTATGTCTCGCCCCTTGTTCCGTACTTTGTTGTGGCCCTGAGCTGACAGCGGAAAAGAAACGTCTTCAAGCGTTACCTCTTCGCACATCTCCCAAATGCAGTCAGCAATGGCCCCCATCAGCCAGCATTACACCGCTCAACGCTGGCGCCAGCGGGGGCATTCCACAACCGCATCTTGCTCCCCGATCACCGTCACCGACAGTTCACATGCAAGTACACGATGTCGATATGGAGATGGCCGACAGTGGTCCCCCCACGCCGAGCCATACATCTGCCAGCCATGCGGCTCTCGATGCACTCGACCGAAACAATGTCAACCGAATGCCGACTCCCATTCAGCCAAGTTTCATCGCCCAGGTTAGAGGCCAGCAGTGCGACTGGGCTGCGCCTGGTGCAGCTATGAACGGTGTGGTGAACATGGGGCATCATCAGACCGGCTTCTCCGATTGCCAGAGCATCCCGCGCGCGATGGCTGGTGAAGCGGATTGGGGTGCGGTGTCACTCAGCAGACGCTTACCTTCACCAATATCAGAGGGAGGGGACTCTACGCAGAGCCAAGCCGCCACGTCAATGGCAATGGACGACGAGGCCTCTGTTGGATCAGTGTCGTCTGTCTGCGCGCGGACATCGCCGTTACACGCCATGAACCATCCGAATGCTATGGATATGGAGTCCCACCATGGGGAAACAGAGGCGGCATCCCCGTCGCCTGGTCGCAAAGGCCATGTGCGGAGCAAACACACCATCAACTCTTGGACATGGCAGCCAGGGATGAAGAAGAGTTTCAGTATAGGATACCGCTCCGACTGCGAAAAGTGTAGGCTCAAGGTGCCAGGCCACTTCAACCATATCGTCATCTCCTAGGGACGAGAGACACGGTTGGTCGACCCAAGCACAGATCTACAGCTCTAGGACACTGCGGTAAGGCCGTTGAACTGGCGGTCCAAGCGAGGACAACTGAGAAGCGGCTGTTTGGCCACTTCACGCACAGAGGAACTCCTCACATCACAGAACCCCCACATGACTATGCATTCGGGACGAAATCAGCCATTGTCCCCGTATGCCGAACCCAGTCTTCCTACTCTTTCTTCATGGATCCCCATCTGGGGCAGGCTTGTCCTCTTCTAGGCGCGACACGGCTAAAGCGAAATTCGCTCCCACCGGCGCCCGGAAGACGAGAGACAGTACCACCATTACGCATCGACATTTTTAGGCTGCTTACCTGGCGGCGTTCACTCTCGGCTTTTTCCTTTGTCCACATCTTACCCTTGGGAATGCATCAGGCTTCAAGCGTTTTATTCACATAGCGACCTTGCTTTACTACTTCACACGCGAGCTTTGAGACTCAACAGATTGGCACGCGAGCTTAGCCAGAGCTGCCCGTGGCCGCAATAGAAACGTTATAATTGGGATGATTTGGGATAGGCGAGAGCCAGCATGGCTAAGATAGCACGAAATAGACGGTGTCTATCCCAGCGGCTCTGGCCACAATCACACATGCCGTAGATCGTTACCTGCCAAAGCAACTGGTCAAAAAGGGCAACCATGTTCAGATCGTGTAGATTGCGTAGTTGGGATTAACCCCCTGGTAGTACATACAGCTTGTCAAAAACGACTCCTGACGCCATCTAATGCATAGCCCTTCCACGGGTATGATACATGTAGGTTTGCCCCTGCCACCCATGCCTCGCTGGATCAGATCAGAAAAGGAACTGGTAATGTCCTGCTGAGCCGCGGCTTTTTACCACCGCCACCACCCTCGCTTCTCCGACGGTGGCTGTCCCGTACTCGCAGTTTCCAGCCCAAGCTGGTCTAAGCTGCCTCCTTGACGCTGATTCTCCTTCTCTGTCGCCCACGCGTCCTTGGCCTTGGCCTCGATCGACTGGGTCAATGCTTCGGAACCTGCCGATGTTCCAGCTTCTGAGGATGTGTCTGAGCCATCGCTCGATGCCTCTTTGCCGCCAAAGAGACCAGAGAAGATGCCGAAAATGCCTTTGCCTTCCTTCTTCTCCGCGCCGCCCTTGAACGCAGCCTGGACGTGCTCCTCGAAGTGTGTTCGGTGCTCGGGCGGGGACAGCAGCGGAGGCAGCTTGATGCCTTGGGCTTCGGCCTCGCGGTTGGCCTCCTCGACAAGGGCAATCTGCTCTTCGGTGGCGGTGCCCTTGAGATAGGCGATACGGGCGGCAGACAGGGAGTCGGCCTCGAGTTGCTTCTGGGCTTCGACCCATTCGGCGCGGCGGGCGCGGTTGTATCGCAGCATGTCCCATACGGAGTAGATGCTCACGACACCGGCAACGGCTGTACTCAGAGACCCGTCAGTACTTGAACGGCACGCGCCCATGCAACCCGCGAAGCTCCATCGCCACAGTCAAAGGTCACCTACCCGTAAAGACGACGATTCCTCCGACGGTCCACCGATGCGCCACATCCAGGAACCTCCTCGACGCATCAACGACTCGGTCCGCTCTGCTCACCTGCGCCTTCTGGGCCGCGATATGCGCCTGCCGCAACCGGCGGACTCTCTGCTCGGGCGTCTCGCCGGGGATCCGGGGCGAGGGCTTCGGCGTCGCGGTCGCGGCACCGCCGGCGCTCTTGGACGTGGCGTGAGGAATCGTGGACGTGAAGCGCGTGGCGTCCTTGACGCTCCTCGGGCCCATTCTGGACGCCATGCTGGGCAACAACGGGGCGCTATTGCGGATGTGGTGAGGGAGGAGCCGGCGACGTGGGAAAGAATCGGGAGAGGCAAAAGCCCGCGGCAAAGGGAAATGGGATGGACGGGATGGTTGCTAGCGCCCTTGAGATTTTTCGGGGCCAAAGGTGGACTGCTGAACGGTGGAATTCAGTGGGCGTGATTGGGGCGGCGAAAGTTCGGCCACGGGAGCTGCCAGGTGCCACAATGCCACGAAGGAAGTGGTCATAGAACGAACAGCCTCAGAGCGCGCGAGGCTCAGACGCTTGAAGGAGAAATGTATACTGTATTCTGCGGCGAAGGCGGAAATGGTCTCTGTCGAGCAGCACGTGGACAAGTCGATGCGTTGCAGCTCGAGCTTGTCTGGTTCGACAAAAGGCACCCACCCTCAGGACGCGAAACCTCCTCGTTGGCTTCATCACGAGCAGACACAGACGAGAAGCAGAGCATTGCAGCAAGTACAGGACTACTCCGTTATTGAAAAGGATGTACGGCGCATGGCGTCTGGGCTACGAAATTATTGTGCAAGACGCGCGGCGATGAAGGCGGCGAGCACGAAAGCCACCAGAAAGTGGGAATAGCTTCTCGCGTCCCGGAGATCAAACGCGCGGCGCCTGTGCTGCAGCTGCATGGAGCTTTTCGAGTGCGTGGTCGTAGTGGCAGGACGCTCAATTTCCATGGGCAGCCTCAACGCAGGCACGAGGGTCACGATGCACCTCGCGACACCAGCTACGGCATCAGTCACTAGGAAAGTCTTCCTCATGGCGCTGCTCAAGGCAACGCTCACAATGAAAACGAGTGGGATATCAAAAATTGCGCCCCCCATGGCCCCGAAGGACAATGGAGCAAGGATGACACCGCGCTGTGCAATGCAGGCCCTCCTTACTAATTTCCCCAATTCTTGAGCTGGGAAAATCGGAACAAGGTAAGTATGAAGAAGAAAAAGAGAAAACGAGCAAAGGCGCGCACCGCGGCGCGGTTTTATAGCTCCAGAGATGGCGCGGATGCCTGGGGCACCCACCAATCCAGGCACCAAGGCTCCACTGAACCTGTCCCGGCTGAGGTAAGCTAGGGAGTAGTCAGCAATCCAGAGCCACGTGACGCACGCACAATCAATTTTCGCTTCCACCCCACTAGGTACGTATCGCTTGTAGGGCACGAAAACCCTTCGACCAAATTGTCGAGCGCTCCATCTCCAAAATTTCAACGCCTACCGAACATCGACAACCGGAGCGAGTTTGATCGCAAGCAGGCACAATGGTACGAGGCCCACGCCCGATTCGAGCACGACGATGCGCAAGACATCAATGCTGACGTTGATTTTCAATCCAGGCGATCAAGCACAACCAGAAGCTCGTCAACAACCGTGAGCATCCACCGCCGTGACGCCAACGAGCGACGAGACGACGAGCGCAGCGACTGACCCCCGTTTACAGACTTCCGCAAGGACTGGCAGCGAAGGGTTCGCACCCACTTCGACCAGGTATGCGACATGATCCGCGACGACCGATACGGTGTTATGCATTGGGAGCATGGATGTTGACTTTTTTTGGAACAGGCCGGGAAGAAGGCTTCGCGCCGCACTGCCCGTCAGGTCAAGGCTGCTGCTCTTGCCCCTCGCCCCGTCGACAAGCTGCGCCCTATTGTGCGATGCCCGACCATCAAGTACAACCGCAAGGTCCGCGCCGGCCGGGGTTTCACCTTCGCTGAGCTCAAGGTACGCAACGACTCTGCTGGACCCGCGCAGACGACACGGGGATATGCCGCTGCCGCCGGGTCGGGACGACGCTAGAATGGGAAGTGCGAGCGGATGTTCTAACGATTTCTCTGCAGGAGGCTGGCATTGCCCGACCTCTGGCCCGCACCATCGGTATCTCCGTCGACCACCGCCGCCAGAACCTGAGCGAGGAGAGCCTGGCCATCAACGTGGCCCGCCTCAAGGCCTACAAGGAGCGTCTCATCCTCCTCCCCCGCCGCTCCAACGCCCCCAAGAAGGGTGACACCAAGACCGACCTCTCCAAGGTCGAGAAGGCCACCTCCGTCTCCGCCGTCCTGCCCATCGCCCCCACCGACCTGGCCGTCAAGGAGATCAAGAAGAGCGAGATGCCCGCGCCCGTCGAGGGTGGTGCGTACCGGAAGCTGCGCGTTGCCCGAAGCAACGCCCGGTACCAGGGTGCCCGCGAGAAGCGCGCGCGGGACAAGGCCGAGGCCGAGACCGCCAAGAAATAAACTGTCAAAAAGGGAATTGGTGTTTGAGGGTTTTGCTCTTTGCGTCTCTAAGGGAGTGGCAACGTTGGTACGAGGCTCTTCGGGAGTTCTTGACTGGGCTCAGGAGCAAAGGTACTCTAGATCCAGGACAAAGAATTATTGCATGATCACCGGCTCTGCCATGTATTCAGATGGTCAATGGAAGCATTACGTGAGCGAAGGAACAGTTGACACGCTTGGCAAAGTCCCAACTCTGGTGAAACTAATTGAACCGTTATCTGGCCACAGCTATTGATGGTGAACAACTGCTGGAGGCTGCGAGACTAGGCCTTGGCTCTATCTGCAGCAACCAACTCCGTTCCTTCCTTGATCAGGTCCTGCAGAAGGCTCAACCTCAATGGCGGCAGCGCATCCTCCCAATTTCTCAGCAGCTCCGTGCAGAGGATCAGCGCATTTTCCCTGTCAATCTTTGCCATGCTGGCCTGCTGTTTGGGATCGACCTGCTGCGGCTCCAGCTGCAGTCCAGCAGTCAGCGCCGAGAGACCAGGCTCGACCGAAGCAGCGGACAGCGAGGCCTGAAGCTGCATGGTGTCGTCCGCTCCGTCCCCTTGCCCCTTGCGGCCCGTGATTGTCTCCATGAGTACGTTCATCGAAGGGAACACGAGCAGCAGGTTGATGATGAGGGCCGCGCCGTCTCTCGAACGGCTCATGAGGGCAAGCACGAACCAGGCCTCCGAGCGCAGCGTTGGCCACTTTTGCTGCGTGACGAGAAAAGCCAGGGCCTTGTCGATGGCATGCCTTTGGTAGAACTGACCGCGGCGCTTTTCGTCGTCCGATCGCAAAAACTGGCTCGGTTGATCGCCTTCAGATGGGGCTTTCGCGGCAGCATCGTCAGGCATCGAGAAGTTCACCTCTTCCCAGTCAGGGAGGATATCCGACAAAGGGGTCGCCGAATGCAGAACGCGGCACAGCGCGGCGATGGCACGGGATGCCTCCAGACGTGTGGGCTCGGCGTCCGACCTGTCGAACAGGGACACTATGCCGCTCACGCTTGTCCTTTCGTGGTTCGGGCTCGCTGGATCTGCGCTCAGGGGCGTGCAAATGCGGCGAACATTCTGCGGGCAGTTGACGAGAAGGAGTCTGGTGAGAGAGACTGCCGCAAACTGCACCTGCGGGAGCGTGTCCATGGAGTAGATTCGGGGGACGCAAGTTGGGCTCAGCAGGTCTCCGAGTGATGGCTTGTTCTGGGCTGGGATTGCGAGATTCTTGAGAAATGATAGCGCCGAATGAAGGAGCTGCGAGTCTGTGGTCTCCGAGTTCGACAGAAGCTGGATCAGCGGGATATGGACCTGTTCGCGCTGGACAAGTCCAAGAGACACTTCATCAGACCGGGCGAGGTTACCCAGCGCCAAGCAGCCTGCCGCCTGTAGCAGAGGCGTGCTACCCCTAATCCAAGACAGCAGGATTTGTGATATTGGCGAAGACAGCTGGTAATGTTTTGAGAATGCATCATTCGCAGACAGGTCAGCAAGCGTCGTGATGAGGGCCGTTCGCAGCTGCTTCACTTGGGCAGCGGTGTCCTGGTCTTCGAGCTGCTGGGGGTCAATGTTTGCGTGTGCATGGGTGAACGCGTCCATGAAGAGCCCCATCTGATTGTCGGAGATTATTCTCGACTGAAAAGCCTCGCTGGCCAGATATGCAGCTGCCACGCCGGTGAGTGCCATGAAGTCATCAGCATCCTCCTTGAACGGCGGGTTGTTGGCCAATTTCAGGAGCGTCACAACAGTCGCAGGGTCCGCAGCCGCCGGTTCCCCTTCCTGAGAGACCAGAAGCGCTAGAATCTTGCAAAAGTACGGTACAAAGGCGACGTACTTGGACAAGACGGGCGAGGAGAGCAACCCTATCAGCTTGCCACTCAGTTGAGACTGTGACCCTAGCTTCTGGGCGGGTTCTGTCCCTGTCAGTCCTGGCGATCTTCCAGAGTAACAATGTCAGAGCTTACCATAGTCCACCATAATGTTGTACAGCACAGGGATCGTGAATGGGATGAGGCTTTCGTCAGACAGCTGGCGGATTACCGAGTTGAGTCGGTTATCGGCGACCAGTCGCCCACGGTTCTCGTCCGTGTCGGCACATGAATTGCCAATCAAGCGCAGAGAGTGGACTTTGAGTCCCTGGCTGAGCCCGTCCTCGGCCAATATCTCCAGGAATAGGTCCAAAATGCCAGACTGACCCAATGGCACGCGCCACGCGACTGTCTTGAAGTCAGCCCCGTCGACATTGCTCGGGAGTGATATCCTGGTACAAATCAAAGAAATTGGGTGCAAATCGATACGTACCATCTCTGCTCCCATCCCCAAGCTTCTGTGCCAGCAAATCCAGCTCGTCGGACCTAGATGCCCAAGCCTCCTGGCAGATCCTCAGGACAGGCGCAAGCCTTGCGACTCTGTCCTCTCGCACGCCTACCGGCTCGGACGCTTCGTCGTAGTCATCCTGAGATACGTTACTGCCATACTGCTGGAGCAGAATCTCGAGCTGTTCTGGCGTCATTGCACACCAAGGCTGGTCACAGCTAGAGGTCCGTGGAATAAAGAGAGTCGCGACAGCGGAGTCCCAATTCCCCTAGTGGAGCATCCACGAATCCACCGGTGACCGTGCTCTGTCGGCTAGGAGCAATGCCGTACACACACGCTCAATGAATGCCAAAAGAACAAACGCTGAACTGCTCTGTTTGAGGGAGCTGCGGACTCGGATTACACAGCTGAGATGGCTTGGCTTTCTCACAATCACGTTTGGCCAATCAGACGGGCGAGCGTTGCGCAGCCATTGGTGCCCGGTACCTTCCGCACCCTCACCTGCTGCTCACCTCGGTGAGCGGGTCATCCTCGGCTATACTGTGTCTAAGCCAGGCCTTTCCGAGGAGCGGAAACAATCGCAGGCGGCGCCGGAGGAAAAAACGAGAACGCCGAACCCCCAAGCCTCACGATCCCCCGTCCAACAACCGACACGAGGGACGCAACCCCCAAGGCGGCCCACGAACAAGACAGAGGGCTATTGCGTGGCGAAGCCTCGACCGCCAGCGATCACGACCGACGGCACGCATTCATCACAATGGTACGACAGCGCTTTCCCCCCTTTCACGCGGCCGTACTCGCACGGCGCCAAGATGCGCATTTATGCGCCACATAGGCTCTTGCCCTCTGCAGCCATCGTAGAGGAGCGATATCCCTCTCAGTCGGCTTGCTAACCTATATTCCGGCTGCAGGCGCACCGCTTCGTGTTTACCGCCTTCCTCACGGGCTCCCGCATCCTGGGGCGGTCGTTCATGGCCGCGTACCGACAAGCCCAGGCGGCGTCCAACTACCAGCGCGCCCAGGCCAAGGTCAACGGCGGCTCCTCCGCCCGCGCTTCGCTGTCGTCGGGCATGACACTCGACGAGGCGTGCCGCATCCTCAACGTCAAGCCCCCGGCGAACGGACAGGCCAACGTCGAGGAGGTGCTCGAGCGGTACAAGCGACTGTTCGACGCCAACGAGCCGCAGAAGGGCGGCAGCTTCTATCTGCAGAGCAAGATTGTGCGCGCCAAGGAGCGATTCGAGCGGGAGATTGGGCCGATACGAGAGAAGGCGGAGGCGGAGGCGGAGACCAAGGAGGGATGGAAGCCCAAGGTCTACAAGGACCGGTAGGCGAAGCCACGCCCAGAAACAAAGGCTCTGGAACATTGCTGCGGCGCCGCCGAGGTCTCGGGGCCAAGAATCAACAGCCCGACCCGGAATGGGATACAGCAGGCTTGGGTTACCTGCCAAACGAGGCCAGACCGACTCGTCTGGCAAAAAACAAGCGCCTCGACCAGGTCATCAAGGCCATTTAGGGAACCACGGTGTTCCCTATGTATACATGTACATCTTCACTCGACTGCGGCATGGCACGGCGTTTTATGGGTGGCAAGCTAGAGGCACAAATAGCCGCTGGATCTTGGGACTAGAGAAAAGGAGACGCCCTTATGTGATTAATACACTGTGCAATATGACGAACTGCATTGTCGCGGATCTCATCCATTTTACTCGTGTCGGGTTGTGCCGTGTTTTCAAGTTGTCGGTCCGAGCGGAAAAGACGCCTGTCTTCAGCCGACGACGACCACTTGTGGGAGCGATGAAAACGTTCAGCCTCCATAAATAGTGACGCGCTAGACCTTGGATACCTGCAACAGGACATTGGAGGGAACCTTGCCAGTTTCTCTCGGGGGATTGAAGTGAAATTGTTTGGTCTTTTGTGAGGTGACAATGTAGGGTAGCCGTGTCGTCTAAGGATGCGATTTACGGAGTGGGGATCGAGACGCGCCTCAGTTGCCAGACGCGTTCCGACTGGAGCGATGCCACTTTTCCTGCGCCGTTGCTGTCGTACAAACAAGAGTCTACAGGAAGAATCGGCTGCAGTGTGTCGCGCACATGGATTGCCTATTCCTTGCGCCGGACCAGACCCTTCCAAAAGTCAAAGCTGTTCTCGTCGCTTTGCAAGCTCCAGATCCTGCCCGTCCCTCGCCCTTCCCTGTCCGTCTCCTCCACCCGTAGCATGCCCCAGTCGCGCGTGATGCCGAGCACGCGAGCCTTGACACCTCCTTCGGCTTCGAGCGACACAGCCTGCCCCGTGTGCAGCCAGTGCCGATAGTATCGCCTCTCCAGATCTTCCGAGAAACCCTCGCGGCGGAACTGTGCGTAAATGGCCTCGAGGCGAGTTAGGATGCGCGCCAGGAGGGCCTCGAGTCGTGGTGGGGCTGTTCCTGCGGGGAGGAGATCTGAGATGGAAGTCGTGGGGCGAGGGTTGATGGCATTGATTCCGATACCGAGGACGATCTGGTACGCGCCGTCGGAGTAGCCGCACTGGGAGAGGATGCCTCCAATCTTGACGTATTGCTTCGCGGACGGCGGCTTGGTCGGGTCAAGAGCATCTATTCATGGTCAGCCAATGACGGGACTGGTTATGGGAACCGCCGAGTCGCGACAACGTACAGATATCGTTGGGCCACTTGAGCCTGACTGGTAAGTTCGCGTACTCGACGTCCAGTGACTGGATGGCCTCGACGATGGCGACAGCTGCAATGTATTGGATAAAGACGACCGGCCGCGAAATGGCGAGGTGAGCCGGGTGATTGATTATGGTTGAGAATAGGAGTGCGCCCGGCGGCGCGAGCCAGACGTTCGTTCCTCTACCGCGGCCGGCGACTTGCGTCGATGCGGAAAAGGTGAAGCCCGTGGGCAGCTTGGAGATGAGCTTCGGGTTCCTGAGGAGTGTATCAGCAAGGGTCACGATTCGAGGGAGAAAAATTGGCAACTCACTTCTCAAGGAGAGAGTTTGTGCTCGTCACGACATCGCCGTAGAGGAGAATGTTGCCCCAGTCTTCGGCCCCTTCCGCTACCTGGAACCGCCTTAGGCTCGAGTAGTAGAGTTTGTGATTGAAGCGCGGGGTCACTTCATGACTCGGCAGGGCCTTCTCATGCGCGACGATTGTCTTGGTGACAGCTGAATAGTCGACGATGCCGTCTGCGCCACCCTCTGCTGGAAGTGACTGTCGAAGCTCCTCGACTGAGAGGTTGTCCTCATCGCTCTGAACATGGAAAGTGTCTGCTTCGCCCTTGACGAGCTCCTGGCCGTTTTCTTTCTCAAAGACGTCTTCCCAGCTGCACAGTATCTCGCTGACCTTGGTGTTGTCGATAGCTGAGAGATGGAGGCTCGATAGCGGAGGTAACGCCGCTACCTCTTGGCTCACCTCTAGACCGACACTGGCCAGGCATGCCTTGAGGAATTGAACGCGCTTCTGATCATCTTCAGCCAACTTGCGTATCAGCTCATCATAGCCGGGGATATCTGGTTGTGGGTAGAGGTTTGCTGGCGCGAATCTGTGCGCCTCGTCAGCATGACAGAGACAGAGAATGGAAGGCAACATACTCAGGATGAGGCCCGGTAAGTAGGGCCTTGCCGTCACCGACATGGCAGAGCACCACAGCTGCCTTGCCATCCCCGCCATCGACATCGATTTCCTCGTCGTAAGAGGCCAGGACCTCAACTTTGCGGTTCTTGACACTGGCCGCATCGACAAATAAACCGCCACCGTTGTAGTACGATGCGAACCACTGAGGGACCTCTTCTTTGAATGCTCCAGTCGCAACCTTGAGCACAGCTGCTCGCGCGCCCCTCTCGCTCTGGTACTCGAACCCCTTGAACGCGCCACCACGACATGTGCCGGGAAAGAAGGCCAGCTCCCGACTGCCAATGACCTCGAGAGGCTTGTTGCCGACCTCGAATTCACACCGCGCGCTGCCGTAGTAGCCGCCGGCGCACAGGCCGAGGTATGCGCCGCCTCGCCGAACGTAATCGGCGACGCGCCGATTGCCCTCGCCGTTCAGCACGCGGCAGTAGCCCAGGTCCGCGCCACCGGGGATGACGAGCAGTGCGCATGTCGGCGCCCAAGGTTCCTTGAGAATAACGGTTTCATTGATGGGGATGACGGCGTAGTTTGGAGAGAGAAGGCGGCGGAGGGAGAAGACGCATTGCCGGACCGACTCGGCAGTCGTGCCGGTACCTGGCCATGTTAGGACTGGCCCCCGACTCCCTGACTATGTGTGCAGAGCATGAGAGGTAGTGAAGACCTACCCGTGTAGACGAGCACGTTGAGTTTTCTAGAAGTCATGGCTGGATGGGGTGTGACTGCGCCCCCAGGTCGAGCGTTGAGAGGGATGAAACTTGGAGGTTCAACTGCCGCGTACGGGTGACAAATTTCCTCCTTGCACACCACGCCACGCAGAGGTCGCTTACAGGCACAATGGGAGCCCAAGCCTCACGTCCGGAAAGCGAAGCACCGGCCCCGATCGCAAAAGAGCCAGAGACGAACACACCGTCACCAGAAGAAATTGAGGACGACGATGAGCCGGACGATTGGTGAGTGGCGTGGCGGACGGAGCCGCGGCGGTTCCCGTTGTTCGGCGCTGAAGCCGACGCTAAGCCGATACTGACCTTTGGGACGTCAGGGACAAGCGGATATTCAGCACCGGATGCGCAGGTAAGTAGCTGCAGCACAGCGATTTATATCCAACTCTTTGCAGATGACATCGTCGCGAGGGGGGCATGCCACTTCCGGTTTGTGGCGGGGAGGTCGCACCCGTGCGACTGACGTATTTTGCGCGCGGTGAGAAAGTCGGCTGACAACGGGTGATGGATGCCCCCGGTCTAGACGAGAACGCGAAGATGACGGACTGCTACTTTGAGAAGAAAGACTGGAGGGCATGTGCCGCCGAGGTGAGTTTCTGGCAATTTGACATCGGGATCAATTGCGCATCTTGCATCTTTGTTCGAAACAAAAGTTGTCAGGTTGCGCGGATCGTGCGTGCTGACGCCGTGGTGTCACAGATGGAGGCGTTCAAACAGTGCTGGAAGCGCCACGGCAACGACGAGCGCACGGCCACCAAGGACGCCTAGACAGTGTACCCTTTTGTGTATTTTTACGGCGTGTACGAGTATAACGGCCGGCTTTACTACTCCTCACATTGTACAGTATTCGATCATGATATACAGCCATTTGCACAGAGCGGCGCCAATACGATGATTATTACAGTGATAGGTGACCACCTCAGCCCGTGCGGCAGCCCGCCCGTGACGTCGTGTCATAGACGCGCTGCGCTGTCAGTCGCCCCACCAGAGCTTACTAGCGACCAGCGGAGCCGCTGCCGTTTTCGACTTCACAAGCAAACCTCTGCCCGTGAAAACCCAACGCTCGAGCTCCCCAAAGGTGCACACCCGCGCAACGCCGCGCAACAACTACTCCCGCACATCGATACCGCCGCACGTCACGGAAGCATGCTCCTGCCGCGTCGGCTCGCGGCTGCTGCGCCGCGGCAATTATCACGCCGGGCGCAGTCAATCTCCTCTCTCAGCAGGACTTGCCGGCCCTATACCTCAGAAGCTGCCTCTGCTGCGACACAGGAAGCTGTCGACGAGCCGACAACGACACCAGCAAAGACGAAAACCGCCACTTCGGCGACGACTACGACCTCAAAATGGGCAAAGCCCAAGACCGCCGCAAAGACGTCCGCCGCGACTCTGTCCACGTCCGCCGCCAGCAAGCGGACAGCCGCCGCCCTACCCTCCGACGTACTCTACCAGCCCAAGACGATAGCCCACACCGCGACCAGCGACGTGGCTCCCCAGGAAGCGGTCGGCGTGCCGGTCATCGACTGGGCGAACAGCTTCCACGGCATTTCGTCCAAGCCGGTGACGGAGGAGCAGTTCAAGGTGCTCATGCAGCCCATCAACGAAAAGGACATTGAGGTCAAGCCGGACGGCGTCATCTACCTCCCCGAGATCAAATACCGGCGCCGCCTCAACGAAGCTTTCGGGCCCATGGGCTGGGGCATGATTCCCAAGGGTGAGCCCGTGGTCGGCAACACCATTGTCACGCGCGAATACGCCCTCATCGTCGGCGGACGGTATGTCTACCGAGTGATCCCCGCCTGCGGGTTCCACCGCCACGCTGGTACTCGCGGCTAACATGTTGCAGATTTGTCTCCCAAGCACAAGGCGAGAACGGCTTCTTCAGCCCCGACCAGCTGCCCTCCGCCGTCGAGGGCTGCAAGTCCAACGCACTGATGCGATGCTGCAAAGATCTCGGCATTGGGTCCGAGCTTTGGGACCCGCATTTCGTCCGCTGGTTCAAGAAGACGCGCATGGAAGAGGTCTGGGTCGAGCACACGACAACCAAGAAGAAGCGCACGTTTTGGTACCGCAAAGGCGAGGTGGACGTGGCGTACCCTTACAAGTTGGCCAAATAAGGCCACAGACGCACTCAGCAGGAAGGGTACCGGTAATTCTAGCCGGCGAGTCGAACATGAGTTGAACATTTAAATACGAGGGTTAGACGACTGTCAGGCAGGATGGGGCGAATGTACAATACGGGGTTTACAGTCTCAGCTAAGGGGATGCGCCGGCGTTGGATATACGGCATACAATACTGGGATTTTCCCATCTATAATAGCGATGATGGGGCTAATATATTGAAGTATCAGGTGTAACCGCGTCTATGTATCACTGTCTGAAGACAGAAAAGCCTAGCAGCGCTGCGCCCTCCGCGAGGAGGTGACAACAGCGAGCTTTCTCTCGTCTGGAAGGGGAAAATGTGCCATCCACGGCACCTCTACTGGAAACGCCCAAACTCCCGTCTGATCCAATTTATGCGGAGATCCTAATCCTCCCGCGCCGAGCTCGTGCCTGTGTCAGGGCTAGCACCCCAGCCCCAGGGCATCCACGTCCCGCTTGTTGGCTGCCGGCGGCGAAGATTACCTTCGTCTTCGGTTCCACTTTCAGCCTCTACTTTCTCAAAGTCTGTCTCGCTGCGGCTCTTGCTTAGGCCGCTGGCGGGTCGCTGCGTGGGCTCGTCGTCCTCGGCGTTGGCGCTACTCGCGAATGCGCCGGGGAACGCTCCGCGACCACCACGCTGTAGCTCCTGTTCCTCCCGGTCGAGCGCCGAAAGCGCCATCTTAATGCGCTCGCGCTGGGCGGCAAGGTAGTTCATTTTCTCGGCTTCACCCCGCAGATTCGGCGGGATCAGCGACCCGGAGCGAGATGCGCCGGTAGTAGTCGGGCCGGTTCCAGCGCCCGCCGCGGCCGTGACTGCATTAGCAAGGAAGTTGTAAAACTCGCTGCCAGTGTTCACGCCTCCCCACCGCGTCGTTGGCACGCTAAATCTGGCGAGGAGGGATTGCGTGTAACCCTGAGGGCCTGGCGTCTCCTGGACGGGTGGCTGCTCGGTCGGTGGAAGGCCGAGGATGTTGGTCTTGAGGTATTCGATGGCCTGGCGGAAATACGTACTTCCCGCGGCCTTGAGGCGACGGTGGGAGCTGGCGATGAACTCATCGATACTGTTTTCATTGTCCTCGAGGAACGGATGGATCTTTTCTTCGTAGAGGACGCGGGCCCCTTGCGTCTGGGGCAAGATGAGGTAGAGGAAGAAGAGGAGTCGGATGTATCCGTAGAAGGGAATCCTGGAGTGGGAAAGTGAGCAAAGTTCTGACAGGTGGGAGGAAGTCCGACGCACCAGAAGAGGATAAAGTTGAACCACGACTCGACCAGGAGGCAGCAGCTGAAGACAACCCAGTACATGAGCCAGGGCGTGAGCTGCGCCGGATCAGACGTCTTGAGGGCCTTGTACGATGCGAATATGGGGAAGAGAAAGGACGCGACGGAGCTATGGTTGAGTGCGATCAGTTAGCAGATGCGCCGATCGTATGCGATGCGATCGCGGGGTGTGACGCCATGGCGGGGCAGCAACTCACGATAGCAGCATGGCAAAGATGTCGAACATGATGGCGGTGGGGGACTGTGCGGCCGAGGCGACGAGCCTCTCAGTCCGCGCAGCTAAATCCGAGAGATGGGAGTAAAGATGTCGGCTCAGGGCCGAGGAACGTGCGATAAGCGGTGCGAGCGAGGGCGGGTGAGGTTTTGAAGGGGAGGAAACGTGAGGACGAGAAGGCGGCGAAAGGGAAAGAGGGATGATGCAGGGTCACCGCCAACTGGGGTTTACTGGCGTGGGAGCTCGGCACGGCGGGTCTCCAGGCGGGTCGGGTGGAGGCGGCGGGGGGCGACGCTGCAGCGGCACCTGATGCACTAACCCGCTAACCCCACGTCAGCCCAAGCACTGAAAGCACGGTCAGTGGGTGGCCCGAGTGTATCCGATCTGGCCCCGTGATGGCCCAGAGTGACGCTGACGAACCAACACGAGACAGCTCCTGGCCTGAGCCCTTTTGAAGGGACGGGAAGCGAGACAATTAAGAAGGCCCGGCGCCGCTGTCGACCACCTCGGATCTGCAGAGGAAATGCTGCGGATCTGCGTCTATTTGGCGAGCACTCATCGGCCATCTAAATACTTCCAGTTTGCCCGCCGGGCCGGACGGACACGTTTCTTCAACCACAATGACGCGTTTGGGCGCAAAGCTCGGGTTCCCCGGATATCGGTGCCTGCTGATGCTGGCGCCTGGGCGAACGCCCATGCAGATGATTATTCCCTGCGCGACAGGGCCGCGTGGGAGAGCACGCAGCCAGCGGTCGTTGCAGCCAACATGGTTCGGCCGGGACGGACGCCCAGCCCAGGAGAACACTACTAACGCGATCCGTCGCCGTGGCTCACCAGCAATGACGCATTCGGCTCGGTGATTAAGGACACACCATCGTCAGTTCTGCTTCCTGTGTGCTCTGTCTTCTGTCCTTTTGGCAGAGGACAGAGTTGCAGCTTGCGCAACGCGCGTTGCTGCCTTGACCGCCACGGAGCAAACTGCCTCGCGGCTTATTATCGCCAGAGCTGCGTCAGTCAATCACCGTTTGTCCAGCCACCACCAACTCTCATCCCTACCCAAACGGTTATGAATACTGTGGCTTCTGTCGGTGTCATGATCGTCGGCGCCAGCTTTTCGGTGCAGGGGCCCTTTTGAATGACAGACAGCCCTCCGTTGGCTCCCAAGCCACACCATACTAATCGATTCATGCCACGCCTTCTCTGTGCGACGCTGGATGGGAACGAGGCTCGTACTGACTCACGTTGCACCTTCACGCGCCGAATGAGAACAGCATATAATTGACTGACGAACATTCATCATTGCTCCGCGCGATGCCTATTGAAATGCAGTAAATGACACGACTTTCCTCCGGCGCCTAGAACCTCTGACCATACGCTTCATGTCGCTCAGCCCGACAGTCTCGTGCTCTCCAGAAGCCCAGCACTGACAGTCCTTGCCAATGTCGCCAGCTGCGGACCATAGGTCCAAGCAGCATATGCGCCTCCAACCAATGCCGCCCAGGAAAGGATCCCTCGCACGACGAGGATCTTCTTCAAGGTGCTCATGGTTGCGGCGTCGTTGACCCATGGGAACGGAGTGTCCTTGGGCACCTCCTTGCCAAGAAACTTGCACAACGGCTCCCAGCCATCCTCGGCTTTCCACACAAGGACCTCGCGGCCTCGCTTCTTGGCTTCGCGCAGGACAAACTCCTGGTACTTATAGTAGAAGTCGGGCCCGGGAGGGGCGCCAAATTTGGTGACCCATCTGGGTCCCGCGACTTGGTGAACAGTGTAATGTAGTCGGTCGGCCTTGATCGGAAAGCAGATGACGTAGTATGTGAGCGACATGAAGAAACCCAGGCTGTCCATGAGGCTCTTGAACCAAGCCTCGCCACCGCCCTTGCGCTGGTTCAACACAAGTGGCGCATTCGGGTACATGTCCATGAGGTCGTCGATGAACCAGAAGCCCGGGAAGTCGGTCGTGGCCTCGTAGCCATCAAATATCTTGTGCAGGATCTTTTGCCGTTTTCGACGGTCCTCCTCCTTCATGGCCGCGATGACAAGTTCCAGGCGCGAGCTGTGAGGCGCTACGTGCGCCATGTGCATGCACGGGAAGTAGCCCATGTGAGGCATCTCCAATGCCGCCTGGAGGGACGAGGTGGCACATCGCGGGAGGCCGGCGCCGAGGACACGGATACGAGGCCCTAAGGCACTTCGATCGGGGTTGCTGTCATCGCTGATGAAGCGCATGGTGGCAGATGGTAAGAGTGAAAATGATCGAGAACCAACACGGAGGGCTAAGCCAGGGGAAGTGAAAAGAGCTTCACGACTTACTCCCGCCTTTTCGTAACGTAGGACATCGCGACGGGCAATCGGGGCTCTTGTACCTCCTCAGTCTGGGCTCGCCCTGCAATAGCATCCCGGGCCATCGCCATGAGCGGCGGGTGCAGCCCTTCGTGATGCTCGTCGCTCAGCCTTACGGTCCAGCCGCACGGTTAATATTCCTTCGTCATGGCCCGAATACAGCTGGCCAGTCAGGGACAGAATGCCGCGCTTGATGGCGCGCTTGGTGATCGCCTAGCGCTTATACCTCATCATTGTCATCGGGTCTCGCCTGGCCTCGCGCGATGGGCCGACAGGGACGAGAGGCATAGTGCTGACGAGAGCGCGAGGGCTCGTGCCGTTTCCCGGAAAGCTTGGAGCAAAAGCTGGGCTGTGTTGGACAAAGCTTGTGCGGAGCATCGCCCTCGTCACTATGTGAGAAATTCGCGGCTGAGCTGGTCAATGAGAAACACCCTGGAAGGCCTGAACACCTTGTAGACGATTTGGCTTTCCGGGGCTCGTGGTGACGGTGCGAGAGTTCTGAACTTCGCCCTCAGATGTGGCTTGCGTACCTTGACAGGTGGCTTGCGTCTAGAACAAGGGGGCATTGTTGCCGCAAGATAGAGGCATTTGTGGTCGTGGACTCTTATGAATTGTCTGTGGCTTTCACGGCTGACCACCAAGCTGTCGGCATGCGACGATATTTAACCGTCTAACCAAAGGTCCCTGGCCACTTGCTTCACGAGCCGGAGCTTCGCAAACATTCTCTCCTCCGTCATGCCCTCCGCTCCAACCGCCACGCTCGCGAACCCACATTGGGGGCTGATCCCGATGCTTCTCATCACGTCGCTGACGGGCCGCCCTTGACCCTCGGCAATGATTTGCGCCGCCTGTCGCACCCGGTCCTTGATCATCCCGGCATCTTCGAGTGCCGGGTCCTTGGTCGTGACAACCCCGAGCACGACGTTCTTACCTACGGGGAGGAAGCGGAGCGGCTCGAAGCCTCCGGAGCGCGGGTTGTCGTACTCGAGGAAGAAGGTGTCATAGTCGAGGGTCGCGAAGAAGCGCTGCGCAATCTTCTCATATGAGCCCTCGCTAAAGTGCATCGACTTGGAAAAGTTGCCTGTCCGGCAGAGTTAGTCTCTACGGGAGGAGATTGCGCGCTGCATGAGGCTCAATCATGGCCACTTACCCCGGCAAATGTGAAGCCCAACATGTAGACCTTCTGGGCGGTCCGCGATACAGTCGTTGTGCGCCTTGAGGTACAGTTCGAACAGGGCGTCAGGATCCACGCCGTCCTTTTGCAGCGACTCGCGCATTTCGTCCGAGCAGAAATACGCCAGTGTCGGGTCGTCAATCTGGACGTTTCGGAGACCCTCATCGTACAGCGTCCGAAGCTCCTTCCTATACGCCTCTGCCAGGTCTGCGAAGAACTCCTCGTCGCTGGCGTAAGCCTCAGCGCTGTAGCACTTTCCCGGGGCCAACCGGAGGTGGAAGTAGCAGGGCGGCGGCATCGTGAACTTGCACTCGGCCCAGCGCTCCCGCGGGACCGAGTCCCTCAGCATGCGCCAGTTGTCGAGGTACGGGCTAGTGCGGTACCCAATCTTGCCCTCACACACGGCAGCCATCGGGTACTGCTGCCCGGCCTTCTTGAGCGCCGCGATGGGCGGTGCAGACAGACGGGCCAGGTCCCACGGCACGGGACTGACCTCGCGGAAGCCGTCGAGCTTCTCAAAGAAGCCTGAGAAGTAGTACTTGCGATCGAACTCACCCGAGGTGATTGCGCGCACACCCTCGTCCTGCTGCTTGCGAACAATGTCGGCGATTGTGGCGCGCTGGCCCTCGCGAAGCTCAGCCGGCGTAATCTCACCCGCATCGGCGCGTTCTTGCAGCTTGGACAAGGACTCTGGCCGTATAAGCGACCCGATGTGGTCAGCGTGGAAAGGGAGTGTGTTAGGGGCCATAACGCTAGATGATTTCAGGAACGGCGAGGATGACGGTAGTTCACTTTGTCTGATCAATGACTTTTTTTCTTCTTGACGACTCAAGTAAGTAAGGTATATAGAAGACGGGGCACCCGTGATCCCTTGCGACTGGGCAATATGTGTCTGCACAATGCTGGGGCTGTTTCGCCTCCGTCTAATGTCGCCACAGGGAGTTCACGTCACTTGACTCCGCATTGCACCTCGTCGGAGGTTGCGCTTTGGAGCTCCGACTTGCACGTCGCCGGCCGGCAGAGCACAACGGCAGATGGTAGACCCATCTGGACTATGTTCCGGCTAATCATCACCGTCGGAAGAAATGAAATCGAATTACCCGCTTGGCTTGTGGGCTCTATACGTAGTTCATGCTACGTAACTGATAGCATCACCCATCAGGAGCTGTACGGCAACGCCCGCTGCCTTGCGTGCGAGCAGGCCGGATCGTCGGGTGCCGGGGTACGGCTGGCAACGCACAAGGCCAAGCAGAGGACGAAGGTCGGCAGATATATAGTGACGTTCATCCCTGCATTCTCACGCTTCACTGCGGGGTTCAGTTCCTCTCGGCCGACGAGACCGTTGCCCACCTCTAGCAATTTGTTTCGGTACGCTACCGAGTCGACTTACCAGTTGAGCAGGGGGTGGCGGAGAACTGGCTCACTAGCGTGAGTGCAGCTGGGTTTCCTGTTCGACCCAATTACTCGCGGCCGGATTTAAAACCTCTGTTATCTGGCCACGAGAGCCTGCGACGAGAGGCGTGGCCCGCTCCTTTCCAGGCACCCGTCGCGAGTACACGCGCGTGACAGTACTCACCCTCCTACACTCCCGTCCATGCCATGTGAAGGCAAGGTCCCGGTATTTCCAATGTATCGTGTCGACGTCTTAAGACCTTGTCCGACGTCAGTGACAAGATGCGACCGAAGTCACCCTCGGCGGACGGGTCGTCAAAAGCGCGGTTTGATGCTCCTTCCCGGGAGGTCGCTGCACGATAGTAGTCAGTCCTGGTGCGCGCTTTGCGGATGACATACGTGCTCCCTGCCTTTCGACCGCACCGAGACGGAGATCCAATCTTGTCCGCCGCCGCAAGGATGTTCGCGCTGTACGTCGCAGGGCTGAGCGACGATCAGTAAGTGTCTGCAACGCGTCTCGATCTGCCATCTCACCTGCGCATGGCACTGAATCGCGATGTGAAATGGATGTCGCGCGGTTGTCTCGCAATAAGATATTCTGCCACGACCCCGCCATTTCGCGCGCCTTGGTGGCTTTCCGCGTCGAAACGACGCGAAGAGAAAGCCTCGGCGAGCTGTTCGCTGAGACAAGTTCGTGGAAAATACAAAGGGCGACGATTTCAGATGCCATTCCACCATGGTGGAGCGACTCGCGTTTTATGTAATTGAGCAAGTCGCGCTACGCGCGTCGCAGGCCGAGACAGCATTCCACAGATACAGCAAAAAGCTGCGTGGGGTTCTCAATTTCGAAGCGCGTTGGGATACAGCTCGCCTGTAGGCCATTCAGATCATCGAGATCGAAGAATGAGAGGTCCGAGTCGCTTGCCCGGAGGGTAACGCTTCACGTTGCATCCCGACCCCAACTGCGGCGCCGCAGCCGGCCGCAGTTTTGCGGCTGTGGCTGCTTTCTGCGGGAAGCCATCAGGCAAAGTCGGAGTATGCGACGAGTTCATGTCGACAATTGATATCTATTCAATCGACCGGCGATGCCGCTTGGCAGGCCAAAGGCAGACTCCAGCCAGAAAAGTGGCCTGGTTTTCGACATTGCTATATGTGTGATTTCGATATAGTAGAATGCACAGGGTTCAAAAGTACTGTGTGCGTCATACATTTAGTTGTAAGCTTGGTTCAGCTATTGGCCTTGATTATGGGAAGCTAACATGCACATTGCTGATCACAATGCACACTTGCTGATTGGTAGCCACAACGCGCTCGTAGACGGCCACATGAAGAAACCTTCCGTGAAATACATTCATCAAACCCCATGACCAACAATACATCACTATTATTGCCTACCAATATCTCGTGGACCTCACTGCTGCCGTTTCCTCCAGTTTCGCACACAAAACCAAAGCTACCCTACATCACTTACACCGGAGCCGGAACAACAGCGATCCGCGGCACGGCGATGGTTCCATTGAGCCAAAACGCGTCCCCCACGTCGGCAACCACATCGCGTTCTCAATGCATTCGTCGCTCGGAGCCGGATTCTCTGCCCAACCAGATTCGCGTGTCTCAGCCCCGAAGCTGCGGGCAAACGACGGCCGTCGCGACCATGCCCACAGGACAAGCACGTTTTGTGCCCTGCCTTTGATTGCCCGTGGTGTATCGCGTACCAGTCCCCGCTGGACGCCTGCGCAACGCTGCTGTCAGGCCTCACGATGAGGCCCCAAAGGGACGCCATCAAAGCTAGGTCGGAGACGTGAGTAAGGTGGCGAGTGCTGCCTACTACACGTCACAGAGAAACCAGCCTTAGCACAGTGTCCCTGACGCATGGACACTTAGAAGCTCTAAGCTATTCCCGAAGCCGCACCTGGCTAAGCTGTAAGCCAGCCAGATCGCGTAAAGCAGGTTTCGACGTCGTTTCGTTTTGGCCAACGCCGACGGTCCGCATGTCGAAGCTCGCAGGCTTACGATGAGAGCTGGGAGCTCGCTTGTTTGATTCATGTCAATTTGGCCAAGACGACTCAGCCAGCCTGCCCCGAGGCCGCGAGGCCTATGCTGGAATGGAAGCAGATTGGAGAGTTGCAGTTTTGCACCACTCCCGATGAACCGACGTCTGGAATCCGTCGACAGCCCGAGCTTCCTCCCACCCAACACTCCACACCGAACGCTCGGGGTGGGGTTGAGACACAACATCGGCGACTCTCCCGCTAGGCATCAAGCAAGCGCAAAGCGAAACATTCTTCGCAAGGCGACACACCGCGCCATCCGCCTGCTTCCAATTCCCCGCCTGAGGCTTGGCACTCGACGTCTTACCGAGCCGACGAAGGCGCTGCCACAGACGCACGACCGGCCAGGCGCGAATCACTCACGCGTCGGCCGAGTTATAAATGTTGTCGGGTCTCCTTGACCAATGCCTCTCTTCCCTCCTCAGCAACCAACTAACCAGCCCAGCCTCCAGTCGCTCGCTTCAGGATCCTCAGGACCTGCCATTCATTACTGTTCTTACCATAGTCATTCCTTCGGCTTAGTCCAAAAAACCAACCATGCATCTGTCGAGTCTCCTCCTTACCGTCGGGGCCAGCTCCCTGGCCCTGGCCGCCAGCCCCTACCCGAATGCCACCACCACGGAGAAGCCCAACACCATCACCCAGACCATCACCAGCACTCACATTGGCACCATCACCACCTGCCCGCCCGATGTCCACGACTGCCCCATCGGCAAGAAGTGGACCAAGGTCGTGACCCACACCAAGGAGTACTGCCCGGAGAAGGAGAAGGAGAAGGAGGAGAAGCACAAGCACAAGAAGATCGTCTGCCACGGCGACTGGTGCGCCCCCGAGGAGCACTGCGACAAGTGCGAGCACCACCGCGTCGTCTGTGAGGACGACCACTGCCGCGCCGAGCCCTGCAAGAAGGAGGACGACCCCCACAAGCTCGTCGTCTGCAACGGCAAGGAGTGCCACTTCCGCAAGTGCCACGGCGAGGAGTGCAAGCGCAAGATCGTCTGCCACGATGGCAAGTGTGTCTTCCCCAAGTGCCACGGCCACGAGTGCGAGAAGAAGTGGGCCTGCGACGGCGACGACAAGTGCAAGTTCGAGAAGTGCGACGGCGAGGACTGCGGCAAGAAGGTCATCTGCAAGGACGGCAAGTGCAAGCCCGAGGAGCCTTGCGACCACGAGTGCCCCGTGCCTCACCACAACAAGCCCGAGCCCCAGCCCAACCCTCAGCCTCACCCGGAGCCCACCCACAAGCCTCACCACCGCCCTACCGGCTTCACCGAGTCGCCCAAGCACCCTTACCACACCCGACCGGCCAACACGACCGTCCCGGTCCAGGCTGGCTCGGACAAGAAGACGGTCGCCCTCAACCTGCTCGGCGCCGCCGCCGGTCTTGCGTTCATGCTGTAAAGGCAGCACCGCGCGTGAGCTGGAAAACTGTGGAAATGGGGATAAAGGCTCCTCAGGGAGCATTGGTCTACTTTGGGTACTGATTCCTGGGTAAAGGAGTTGGATTCGTTCATACGCATGGCTGTTTCTTCGTTGATTTGGGTCACGTTTTGACCCCGTGAACTTGTTCAGGCTGGACGGTTTGCGTAGTAGTTAGGAATCGCATTTTTCTTCAAGCACATGTGCGCTTGGCTCCACGTGAAATATTGTGATCACGGTGCATGGTTCGCGACGCGTCCGAATTTTGCATTCCGGCTGGTGCAGACCACCAGTCGCGGTTCGGGTCTGCTCCTGAGCCACCTCCCTGCACCAAAACAGTCCCCCCCCTGCGGCACCATTCCTTTTTGTAATTACCACCTACCCTTCTCAGCGACTCGTTTTCCGTTCTCGAATGTGGCTGCCTTTGTAGAACGCGAAATGGCTTCGGTGGCCAGTCATGTTTGAGGGCTTGAATCCGTAAGATGAAGACGAGACCGCATTGAGGGTAAAGACTTCACCCAACAGGCGTGACGTTGAAGCGGTCACAGAGCGGCGACTTCCTGATCCAGAGCTTTAGGATGTTTACAACGAATGTGTCTTAATTACACAGCTCGGGACCAACATGCAAAAGCCGGGTTTTGGAAGGCGGAGGGCCTTTGCTGCAACCAACGTTCATGTCTGGTACCCGGTAAGTAGCATTAAGTGATTCGCCAACATGCTTTGCAAATGTGGCCACATTCGCCTTCATGCACCAAGCAAGTCGCGCGAACTGAACAATGGAGAGCCGGAAGGGCAAGATTTGCTAGTTACGCGTGAAGTGACCCCGGAGCAGATGCCCCTCACTTCTCAGGATCAACGCGCGGCGTTGCCTCAAAATTTGCGCTGTAAAGTCATGCCACCATGATACAGTCGACAAGATCCCCGATGTGTAGTCAATTGATGGTTGCACCAGGCTGGTTCGCGGCCCGGGCTGGAGATGAGTTCGAGCATGCCTCCCAGGCTCCATGCTATTCCAGGGGAAGTAAACGATTGGTAGCCGGATTGAGGCAGGGCTTTGTTATCCGGCATAATGCACCATGGCATTCACGGCCCGTCATCATGCGACAACGCCGTACGATCTGGGAATGGTGCTCTCATGGCCTCGACATGGGTGCCCTACTGAGGACCGAAGAAGCACTCATTGCCAGAGAAAAGCGATACGGGCAGTGCTGAGCACCTTTGAGGTATGTGGGAAACTGCAAGACCACTGGTTCTAGTCCAATGAGGCTTCAGGCCTCTGCTCCCAACACAAAGATAGCTCACGCGCCAACTTTGCACGTGGATGTGGTCGAAGCTGGCCAAAGATATGACGCTAAACAAAAATCCGAGGGCCCTCTGCCAGCTGCCATGAATTGGAGGTGAGTTTCCATTGCTCCGATCCTCGAGGTTGGCTTCGCACCTCAGCGACGCGTCGTGGATCTATTCCACGATGCGGCTTGAGGAAATGGCTGATGACAACCCAGTAAACGAGCAGAGAAGTAAGCTGAAAGCATGCATTCGCGTTTAATAAACCTTCTTCTTCCAGACGTTTGTGAAATTGCAGGGCGATTCCGCTTCACGAACACCCACCCAGACACACCTGCACAGACAAGAGTTTCGTATTCGATGGAGATCATGACTTAACCTAGAGATAATCTCGTGGCCATTTGTTACTAGAGAAGCCATTATATACGAGCTGATTTGGAGGCAACAAGTTCTTCCATTGACCAAGTCGGGGAGGATCGGGAGCATCGGGGAGCACGACCCCTAGGAGGCATATACACTTTGCTGTGGCGGCCGCATTGACGTTAATTTTGACATTAAAAGTATACCGTGATCACTGCAAGCATAGATTTAGCGCGATATTCAGGTACGAGATAATTCATGGAACATTATAGATCATCTAGTGCCCACGTTGGGCGACGTGCCGTCAGGTCACCAAGCCAAGGTCTGGAGCATCGTAAGCTGCAGCCAGTACCGATGGCGCCGGCTATGCAGGACATTGCATCAAAAAAATAAAGAGCGGAGAGAGTAGGATCGAATGGATTTCGTATCATTTGCTAAGGGATCGCTCCAGTGCAGCCCCGTCCGTCTTCGCGACGCCCAGCCGGTCGCCTGGCTTTCGCGCCGTTTCGTTTGGCGGCACAAGTCGACAAACCTTCGTGAACTGGGTTTGTAAAGCCTCGAACTTATGTTCAAGTGCTCTGAAATTAATCTGTAGGCAAGCACGCCGGAATACCAGTTTAAAAGCAGTGCTGTCCTTCTCTTTACCTTCCTTCTTGTTGCACACACAGATTCTCTCGTCAACACCACCCTCTACTGTCAGGCACCGCGACACACATTTTCAAGATGACTCCGACACCCGCGTACGGATCAGAGGTAAGCAGGCCAACATCCCGTGCTCGCTATTGCTTGGGTCTGGTACTCAAGGCGAGCCAATCCTACCGGATCGTGCTGCTGACATTGGCCTTCACCTGCAAGATCATCGAGATGGAGAGCCCTGTTACTCCCATCCCCATCAACTTCGACAGGGGCACAAAGGCCGCAGTTGACTCTGTTCGCCGGAGCTCGGATTCTTTGAACAGCTCCGAATCTCCTTCGGTGCTCTTCAACAAAGGGGACGACTCCGGGTCGGTCTTTGACCCGACGTCCCCATCGTTCAGGTCCCGAAGTGCGGATCTGAGCAACCTGGAGCCGCTCCCCTCCATGTCCGGTCTTCAGGTAGCCTCTGCCGACATCGAGGCAAACACCATTCCCGCCGGCGACGGCTGTAGGCGGTGTCAGAGGTGCCTCAAGGTGTTCCCTCTGAGGCGCGTGGCGGACCACTTGAAGAGCCACCGGATCAACCAGAATGGCTGCGCGGTGGCCCGCAACCGCCGGTGCCGGAAGTGCAAAGCGCTCGACAAGAGCTGCATCGTCGCCAAGAACCCGGCAAGAAAGGACATCAACACGCTTCGTTGTCTCGCGTGCGTGGAAGACAACGTGTGCTGCTCGATGGTGTCCCGGCGCAACATTGTGGCCAAGCACCGCGGGATTCACCCCGCCTTGAGAAAATAGGAGCGGCGGGTGAGCCGTGTTGTTTGTTTGCACCCTCTGAACTCTCTTGGTGTAAGTGCTGTATAAGTCGTGTCGTGGATTACGTTCGGGGCTAAAGGCGTACAGATTCAGAGTTCACGGTCGCCAAGACCTTATATTGTACAACTGTGTAATAGCTTGGGTTCACGCAGACGACATCAGACGAGATCTGCAGAACAGCTCCGTGACGTGCGGAGAAATGGAGTTGGGCGTTTCGGTCTGGGAATTTATAAAAGGAGCATCTTGGCCATCTGCGAGATCTGCAGAACAGCCGTGTGGCATACCGGAAAGGGGAATCTTAACGCAGGCGAGATCTGCAGAACATACGGCGGACATGCAGGGAACGGAGTCGGGTATTATGTGTGAGGACATGTGAGAGGATGGATTATGGCTACCGACTGCCTACGAGATGCATATTGGCGGCTCGGGTGCGTTACTGTACGGATTGACTTGCGTTATAATCACTCCGATGCGTTGTGATCGACATCGAAATCTCACGAACCTTTGGCATGTCATACGAGGATTCTCCGAACGTCATGGGAGAAGCCACATAGCCTGAGAGTGGTGATTGACATCAATACCTTGCCGCAGACAGCATCGCTATGAGAATCGATGGCTGGCTGTGCAGCATCGGCCGTCTACCATGCCAAAACTAGTGGCAGTCGGAGTGAACCAGGCCATTTATGGGCTGTGCACAAATACGAAGTACAGATACCGCATGCTAACCATTGAATCAAGGTTGCCCGTTGCGCCAGACGAGCAGCGCATTTTACCAGTCAACCTATTGGCATCGTAATAGCAACGGGCTCCCTCCATGGCCACTGGCGACAACGAAAACGCCTTGCGTGGTAACAATAGCCCAGTGCGATATGCGGCATTCGCACGCAGGTCGGAGATACAAACCCCGACTCTGTCGACGACCCGGCGATACCTCGAGGGGTGCAGTTATCCAGACGCGCAACTCGGACGGCTGCTTTGAGGACGCAAGCATACCTGGCGTGACTCTTCGCCCGCCAGGCAGCAGACGAGGATCACGACAAGGCGGACTCGTGTGCGGCACTACGAGACTATTGGACCTCGCATGAGACAGCTGCGCTCGTTGCCGCTACCTCCGCGAGATCATCCGCGACACGTGAACGGTCATGTTGTGTCCGGCCAATGTTTGCACGTCGCGCTACCTTGTCCTGCCTTGAGATCAAGACGCTACCCTGGTCGTGCCCGTCGGACAGCCGAAGATACCGTGTATGGCGGCGACTCGTAACACACTGCTGCCTGCACAGCCTTCGGGTACGACCTATCGCAGGTCGCCGTTGCGTTGACCACTCTCCTCCAGCGCCACCCGTGCGTCGCGTCACGAATTATACGACGCGTCGTGAAAACCGACGTACGTACGGTCCGGTTCTGCCTTGCACGGCAGAGCTGGCGCGATGGCTGGTATCGTAATGCAGGGATTCTAGTGCGGCGATGGAGGTCGGGAGTTCACGTCGTGACTCATCGTTGTTGAAACAGTCGAGGAACGGGGATCATGCACGGAGGGTTCGGCGCGGCAGGGACAACGCCAGCGAAGGCGAACTGGCGACCGTGCGGGCAGAGAAAGAAGGCACAACGGGAGGATGGCAAGCTCGAGGTGAAGTAAACCACCGTGAACGCGTGTAGTCGCGATGACGCATCGAGGTGCTCGTGATCTGTGGCGAATGTCGGCTCCCATTGATAGGTGCATGACGCATGCACCCCGCCGCGCCCAAAATTCCCAGTTCAGGAAAGGAAAGATTCTACGCAAAAAGGGGAACCAATTACGAGTGCAGTTGGGAAGGGATGGAAGGCGGAAGAAGATGGACATGCCCAACCAGTTGAACGTCGAGGACGTGTAAGTCGAGGTGACGGGTTGGGAAGCCGTCATGCCGGGTGGAGCAGCTCTGGATTCTGGTGGCGCAAGGCCCGTCCCGACAGGCCGGTACCGTCACGTGCTGTGGGCACCCGCTTGCAGCGCTTCTGACGGTGCGTGCGTCTTTCCACCGGTACGTACCCTTGCACTGTGGCAGAGCCGTGCACCGCCACCGATTTTGCACGTGGCTCGGCACTCAACGTCAAGCCCCAGTCGCACCGCCGTGAAAGTGGGCAGCCGGCGGGGGCCAGCCGATCTCAGACATGGCAACAAAAACAAATAAAAACTTGGAACCAAAACAATAGCCCATCGCCCCTTGCACGCCCCTGACCTGCGCGGGCGGCAAAGTGGGAAAAGCAAAAGCGAAAAGAGACAAGACACCCGTTTTTTGGTCTGTTCTTCGATGTGACGCCTCGCCATCAATCCTGCACGGAGTGCCTGATGTGGCGCCTGTCGATAGATGCCCAATGAGCAAGTGGGCAGGTGGCCCGTCGCCATGCTCGGAATGACGTGCAACCTGCGTGACAGTGCTATCTGTCGGGAAGGGTTAGCCTTGTCATGCCCTCTTGACATCTACAATGCCTTCCGCAAACAAGAGGGGTCATCCATCAAGGATCTGTCATTGTCCAGCTGTGTGACGTGGTTGCAGTAAGGCATCGAATAGCACGTTAGCTGGAACCGGAGGGGTGCACGAGCAGGCAGGCACGACGGGATCCGCTGCGTCAAGATTCCTCCGCCGCGCTTGCTGCAGGCGATTGCAAACACGGGAGCCCGCTGGTCGCTGCATCAGACTCGAGGTGGTGACTCCGAGGTAGACGCGCTCGGCGCACGCCACCCGACGATGCATGCGCGAGGCAGCCGGACTCATCGGGTATCCTCGCATTCGTAGGGCCAAACTACGGCCTCCTGCGCGGCCGTGTTTCGCCATCTATCGGCTGCAAACCCTTGCGCCACGGCCGGAAGTCTGGGCGGCACCTTGTCGGTTCTGTAGGCGACAGGCACCTTGCTGGCTAATACCTCGCGTCCGAGGGACCAAGGACGATGAAGACTACTCCTGGGCCATTCCGCTGGCTGCCGGCCAGCCATGCGGGTGTCACCGGCGCATCTGCATCCCGTGGCTTTCACTCCAACGGCGTGTGAGGCCAACAGAAACCGGTGCTGCCTATCTCGCAGTCCGTGCTGTGGGACGTTCTCTTGGTTGCCTCGCACGCACCTCACGCAAGGACACAAGCAGTGTCACGGTCTCCCCGGACAGGCGACAGGCAGCGGTGGCACCCGTGCTGGGTGCGCTCATGTTGCCTGACGACAGGAAGGTGTCCAAATTTACCCTCTGTGCTCCCTGGGGCTGTGTCGACGAGGCCAGACGTCATCCTGCTGCGTCCTGCAATGTACAAATCAGCGGCCACAGGCATCTCCCTGCCGCACGCCCTTGACGGCGTCGGGTCAGGGCTACGTACTGCTCGCATAATTCATGTCCGACATGCTGCGTCAGTTTGGCCGACGGCAGTGCGACCTACCTTGTCCTCGAAGTAGCGGCTTGGTCACCTCGTTATCGCAGCGCTTTCTGGACGGGACGACAGCGGCGCTTGGCACGATACAGGCAGTTACCGCCTCGAAGAAACACCGAGAGCCAGGCAACGGCCACTCTGCCAAAGTGTCGGTCAGCGTTTCTTCTGGCTGACGGCCATATACAGACCGCTCGCGATCCCTATTTTTGGTGGACTAATGGAGCCCTCCGATGTTTTGACGTCTGCACTGCCGGCGAATGGTTGGGCTGGGCGGGCAGGGGTGCGGCCCCCCCAGAGAGACGTGTCTGCACGCCTCGCCAATCGCGACGGGGGCCGGGTCGCCGTCTCCGGCAGCCATTCGCCAGCGAGGGCACCTTTGGACATCAATACAGCTCAAGGGCATTGTCCGTTGGGAGACGATACATGAGCGCCGTGGTAGGCTGTGAGTCACGGTGCGGGCTTGGAGGTCGCCGCGCCCTGCGAGGACCGACGGACTACGCCTCGCCGTGAGCAGCGCAGCACGGCCGAGGCCGCGCGTGCAACATTTCGTTGTGCTATGCTTCATATGAAATTGCGAAATGAGAGGGCGGGAAAGGCGCAGGTGAAAATTTTTTGCCCATCCCCCAGCCCAGCGCACCCAGGTCCCTGTCAGATCGAGGGGTCAGGGGAGCAAGGTGAGAGGTCCGGGGGAAGAAGGAGGGGAGAATCACACCGGCCACCGAGCTCTTAGCGCATTTTCAATTTTTCCAAGGTTCCCTTTAATAAGACAACGGTGGGCGTGGTGGAGGGCGTGCCAGCTTTCTTCCAGAAAGCAAGGTTCCTAGGTACTTCAAGGGCGGGCAGGGGGAGGGGGTGGCGGCGAGTCTTGTCTGGCCGAGGTTGCGCGCGAACGAGTACGAGGGCTTGGGCTTCGTCCTCTGCCTGGCACGGGCTGCGGCTGGTGCCACTGCCGCGGCCGCGACCTGCTAGAGGTCATTGTGCAGCTTGACAGGGCCGATATGCGGCCATCTCAGCGAGCCAAGGCCTCTTCTCTCTTGAGGATACATGCAGGTCATTGGAAGGCAGGCTCCTCGCCCTGCACCATCGCAGACTCGTGAGGCATCCATTTGATGGCGTCCCAGCACCATCCTGTGAACGAAGTAGGGGAGAGCTGTAAGGGGTCCGGCGCGGTGGCGTCGAATCCGACAACATGGCTGAACCGACGGCCTCTCGTACGCTCACAATTGGCCCATACAGTGCGGTGTTCCTGGCCCATGGGTGCGCCAACATCGCATCGCCAGCGGAGTGGGACTCGACGGCGGGCAGCTCAAGTGGAGGCATGCGGCGCTGGACACTCCCCCGGGCCGCTCCCAGTGGGCCTTCTAGCGCGAGGAGGTCTCCATAGATCCCCTGGCAGAGCCCTGTCTTCACGCCGTGTGTGACTCGCGCAGAGGTGCAAAGGTAGGTTACGGACTGGGAGTCGATCCCTGAACCAAAGCACGCACATGTGCATCCGAACTCGCTGGCCAGCTTCACGCTCGCATTCGGAATGTCTGTGCGTGATGTTGAAAGGTGGATGGCAGACCAGGGTTTTGCCGAATCGCATGTTCTACATTGACCTTCTCGCTCGTCCAGCAGATCACTCTTTCCTCGCGTCGGTTTCCAGCCAAAAAGAGTGACTGGAGAAGGCCTTTCCCAATCTTCGCTCGATCTTGAGGTCCATCAGCGCAACATTTGCTCACACGGCACGCGCATACGCAATCTTCCAAGCCAGATGAGCAACGTCTTGATCAGCCACATCTTGGCCCAGAGGTCGAACAAGGGCTTGCAAGAATGCGACTTGCCTTCGAACCGCCGAACGGAACAAAGTGAGATCTTACGGAGCATACCGATAGCCTGGCGTTGGAGGACGCGACAGACGTAGTGAGACAGGCATACACATTCCAATGGTATGCTGCTTGACCTCGTGATGGAAATTTTCGAGATAAACACGTCGACTTGACGTCAAGATACGCCGCAAATAACATGCATCTCAACGCAGGGACAGCTCCTCTTCCTCATATGGATAATCTAGCAAGAAAGTAGGTCGCGTGCCCCAGTGTCTAGCTGCGCTGGAGGGTCCTCCACGATCTGGGACGCGTGCGTCTCTAGCGCAAGAATCGCGCTGCAGTGCAGCTGTTAGTGGTGGTTTCTGGGGGATCTCACCAGGAATCAACCCCATTCGTCAACGCCTGTTCCAGCACATGAGCCCTCCGAATTCGCCGTCATGCGGTGTCTCAGGGCAGCTTCTTGCTTCAACAGTTGCATTCGTTCAAGTGCCACAGAGTTTTTGAAGATCTGCTGGACTGGGGCTTGTGTGAAATGGTGGCGCGAAAGTCGTCCTTCGACATGACCCAACAGCGGCTAAGCCATCAACAACTCGTGACGCCCACAATCAAAGGTGCGAATAAGGTTGGCCTACTCCACTGCTGCCGTATGCAAGGCAGGTAAACAGTTGAGTTCTCGGAGGCTCAAGTATCTGACTCATATGGGCGGTCACCAAAGCCATCGGTTGATGAGGATAGGAATGGTGGTGGCTCATGCAGGGCAGAAAGCCGACAAGGCCAACACAATGCTGATGCTTGGGCCATGTTCCATGAATAGAGACCATGTGTCCCGACCAGCGAAAGGGGGAACGACGTACGCACGAGCAAGTGCATTGATAGTTCTGCGGCGCCGGACAAGCCCGTCATTGTAAAGGATGCCTATGTATAGAGCATCGTACTGTGCCCGCAAGCCATAGATGCATACACCTCGCACACGGCAGCTTCGATGCGGCAACCAGGATATTCAGAACATGGAAGATGCTCACCCTTTCCCATATCGGCTTTGCAACGGAGCTTGAGTCAGGAGGCGCGTGCCCACGGCGCTACCGTATCGTCGTCGCGATGAGAAATTGTGCGTCCCGACGGGCCTCTCCGTCAATGTGAGCTGCAGCACTTTCGTCTTGCTTGGAGTTGCTCGGTCGGCCAAGACTACCGCGCATCAATATCTTCTGGGAAGCCATTCCTTGGTATGGATCGAATGTACTTAGTACAGCAGGCGCACTGGCCGATCGGACGGTGAATGACTGTCCTCCGAGCTTCGGTTCTTGGTGCTTGTCGTATCGGCCAGATTATTGCCAGGGAACTTATGACAGGGGAACCCTCCAAGGTCGCTGCCTGCCGAGCCCTGACCAGGTTCTTCTCAGCAGGTTGTTTCAGTCGCCCTAGGAAGAAAAAAAGTTTTCCTTCCTCTGACAGGGAATCGCGGGTCAGAGCGTCCAGAGACGAACCAGGCTGAGTGAGTGACGCCGTGTGTTGGCCCCAGGGCCCTGCACGCCACATCGACATGAATGGTACCTACCCGATCTGAAGCTCAAATTTCGAGGAGCGGTGGACAAAACGAGCCGGCAATTGGGAAGCAACAAAACCACAGCGGCGACGCGACATGCACAACAGAGGATCCGACACCAGGTCGGTGTACACGGTAGTACTCTACGATTGAGAGGAAAGCAATGACGACGGCCATTGTGACACTCCTCACCCCTCCCTACAGGCTGAAATGGCTTGCTGGCGTTGTCACTGACTTGCATTTTGACCGGACACCAGGATCGCAACCCACAACCCGGCCCGTCATTTCGCTTGCTGGGATACGGTAAATTGGGGACGGGGAACAGGACTAGGAAGGCACCCGGGACCGCGGGAGGCCTGTTGAGAGGACTGAAGAACAATGCATGAGCAAGAAATTTCGACAAGCACGTCGTTTTGCGTTTCAATCCGGAACACCGCCGACCGCCAGCTGCAAAAGGTGGATGCGCGAATGCAGGCAGCTGCGACTTTGACAACGGGCGCGACGCAGAGCCACAACCACGGGCAAGAGAGCTGGCCCCGTCCTTCGTATGCAGTTACATGGCGGCCGCCACTGCGCCAGATCAAGATCAGCCGAGCGCAAGCCCGGTGACGACCTTGGCGGCGCCGGGGCCCAAATTCACGATTCATTGGCGGCTCTCACGCTCCATTCAATCGTCAGAGTTGCGATCGCAGCCTCAGAGCGATTGTCAGCACGGCTGGTCCGACTTATCAGCTGCGGCCTCATCGCCCGTCAAGTCTGATTCATTCACGGTCAGCTCGGGCGCAGCACCTGGCCGCGCGCGCGCTTTCTCTCCTGTCTCGCAGCCTGCGGGCCAACGAAACTACGTGAACGCCGTCTCACATTGTCAGCTCGGCGACTGCAGAAGCAACAGCCAGTGACGGACGCCAGTCTCGCCAGAGTCACACACACTGGCGCACCGGCGGCTTGCACCAACAGCCCTGGAGCGCGGCATCGCGGGGGCCGTGTCTTCTGGCACTGTGTAGCTTCCGCCCGAAGCTTCCATAGGTGTGACTAAGGCACACGGCCTTGACGCCCAATAGCGGCACAGGCCACAAACACTGGCGAGAGACGGGCAGACCTGAGCCCGATAGCTGCACGCCCCCTCCAGCCCACAAGCCTGGAAAACGAACAACAGCGCAATCTGGTTCCTCAACCACGGCGAGGTGGCACACCCGGCTCCAACACACCACGAAACGGCCCCCCCCCTTGTCGCATGCCTGTCCAGCCTTCTTGGGCTACCCCCCCCCTGCGGTCTGTTTGCCTTGCTTCCTTCCACGGCCGAGTGTCCATCCCCGGTCTGGAGTGAGGCCCCAGGAGGCAGTCAGCGACCGTCGGCCGTCGCCTCCGCTGCCGCACAGGCTCAAATATATACCTCGACTCACGCCCACACCAGCCTCTCCCCTTCTTTTCTCCCAACCCTTTGGCTTTTGCCAATAAACAAACTCTCACCAACACGCTCTTTAACAAGCTGGAAACACGTCGGTGTCGACGTCGGATCTGTATTCGCTCAACGACACCTGTCTGAATCCGCTGGCCACGAGTGTCCAGCGCCATCCACAGCACAAACACCACAAGCCAGGCTCGCTCGCGACTTGGCTCACGATTTCCTCTGCGGCAGAGGAAATACAATCTCCACAAATCGGTCATGTTTGCAGAAGCAGGAGTCTTTTCTAACCCCTACACTTCCGACCACATACCGAGGTGACGGCCCGTCGCCTCATCCCCACGCGTCTCTTCCCCGGCGCGACACGACGACCTCGACCGAGCAAACATCGAGATCGAAATCAGCACGACCGACCACTCTCGCGACGGAGGCGCTACCGACCTCCCCGCGGACCCCGCACGGCAGTTGTTTCACTGCCCGCCGCAACCGCCACAGAGGAGCAACCCGCAAGTGGTTTAAAAACCAGCAAGACGGCCGGATGTCGACGCGACATCGCAGGATCAATCAAGAACAATGAACTACCCATCACCACGAACGCCAGGATCGACTCCGATCCACGAGTGGGAGTACTCTCGAATGTCTTCAGCAACTCCCACACCCTCGCCACGGCCCAACTGGTTCGAATCGGCCACGCCGCGGCGACCAGCGACGCGTGCCGCGCACTCTCGCTCAAGCAGCTACTCGCAGCATGGCAACTTCACGCCACGGACGCACATGGAGTCCCCGCGATACAACAGCTACGGGGACTACTGTACGGTTGATGTGAGTGCCAAACATTTTTCGTCATCGCGCCGGCCTCCGGGCCCTTTCCAATATAGTCCCAGGCGCGATCGCCGGCACTCGTATACCTATGTCCGGGCCTCTACCCCCTATGGAGAATCCGACGAGGACGAGATCATCGAGGCAATGGGGCACACCTACGTGTTGCCTGCCCAGTCACGGTCCAAGAGTCGCCACTACAAACACCACAATATCTATGACCATGATGGGGTATGGTACACTAATTACGACGACTACCTGCAGAACGGCGCCTACTACGCTGATCCTGCCTATGCTCGGGCCGCACACTACGAATCGCCCAGACCACAACCTCAAGCCCAGGCCAGGCCTCCAACAAGCCATTCACATGCTCGCCGGTCTTCAGCATCGGTACCTCAGCGGCCCGCCACCACTCGGCCGTCCAACACGCCTCGCGCCAAACCCCCGGCTACACCAAAGGCCACGGAGGCTGACGCTCGTCGACACAAGATCCCCACCGGGTACTCTCTTAAGAACTGGGATCCCGCGGAGGAGCCTATCCTACTCCTGGGCAGCGTGTTCGACGCCAACAGCCTTGGCAAGTGGATCTACGACTGGACTGTGTACCACGAGGGTCCATCCACGCCCATTGCCGACATGGCTGGCGATCTCTGGCTTATTCTCATTCAACTATCGGTCCACATCAAGGAGGCCGAGGAAAAGGTCGGCCTTGTTCGCAGTGCCGAGAATCGGGAAATAGTCAGTGAGTTCATCGACGGCGGCGACCGCCTCATGGAGAAGTTGAGATCCCTTCTCAAGGCATGCGAGGCTCCCATGTTGAGGGCGGCTCGCAAGAAGCAGGCCAGTCTGGGTAAGAACTCGGGTGTCGAGTTTGTCGAGACGCTGTTTGGCCGCGATCGTGAATTGGCCAAGACTGAGAAGTTCATGCAAAGTGTTCGCCTGTTCAATCTGCGATTTGAAGCAAACGCCACCGAGATTCTCGCCCGACCCACTGCCTAAGGGAGCGCGCCAAGGAAATGCTAGCCAAAGGACCGGACTACTTTTCTCTTTCCTGTCTCTCTCCTAGTGTCTCTGCCCTCTTGCCTGACCCCGGTTTCGGACCCGGAGCCAGCTGGACACCTTGGTTCCGCACGGACAGGCCAGAGGGTTGTATATTACCACTATAGAGCCGAGGACTGCCGCCGGATATATCCGGAACCCGCGGATTTCCTTGAGTTCTCTCGACTGGTTCCTCGGACATATCCTTTTGGCCCGAGGAACCCGGTTTCTTGTGTCCTCACACTACAAGACGACCAAAGGGCAACCTGTACTACCAACAATGCACACGCAGAAGGGACCTGGACAACGGAGGGCATTTGACCATTTATAGATACCCAACGCTTTATGCGAGCGTCACGAGCGAGCGAAAGAAGGCTGAGGCGGATGGTGTGTCAAGTGCCTGTTATTATTATTTTCCTTTGTCACGAAAAAAGTTGGGACGCACGGCCGAGACGGATGATGCATTCAGTTATGCACCATGACCGGTTGAGGTGAGCCGAACCAGCCAGGATGCGAGGATACGGTTCACGCTCCCGGTTAGATTTTGGATTTACGCCTGGCCTACGAGGTCACGGCGCTGGAGTTGATCATGGGAACGGGCCTTAGTATCACGTTTGCGTAGGATTGTATCTAATGAGGCCGAATGGAACTTGATATCACCACCACCAATGCCCCAACTGAGCGAGCACCTATGTGTTTGGCTAACGATGTGGACTTGCTGTAGCTCGAGCTTGCGCCGACCCCCATGACAGTCCATCACCGTGAAGTAGTCGGTACCTTTGCTGGTCTCTACGTTCCCTGCCGGCGCAGCATCCCACAACCTGGAACGGCGTCATGCTCGCGGCATGACGGGCGTCATGCTTTGCGCTAACAAGCGTGCCGGGGCCCACCGTTCGTGACGGGCCGCCTTCCCGCTTTCAGCCTTTCCTGACGCGAAGCTGTCCCCTTCCAGGAACCGTCACGAGATGGCATCATTGATGCACGAGGACGAGCTGCAAACCCGACGCTCCGAGCGATTGAGTTTTGAAGCCCGACGATTAAACGCCGCACTGTGGCCCATCTCATGCGTGTGCGTAAAGTTTCTGTGCCGCCGTAGGCTGCCGGTGCCACCCGCCGCTCTTACGGACATGCATCCTGGCTCGGAGTGAGTACCTAACGGACGAGCGGATCGGATCGCTGGCTCTCTGCGCTGGCCATCCCCCCTCTCGCGGCAACGCGTACTGCTAGTCAACCGCTAAGCAAACGATGGCGACACGGGTGGTCATACCCGTTCGGCTTCCTGCCTGGCGACACGGCGTGCGAAGGCGAGCCCGTGACCTGTGAGACTCGACCCTGCCCGAGAGGAGCGAAGAGGGGGGGCAGCTCGGGTGCTCCGCAGCGCAGCGTCAGCGAACGGATGCGAGCTGCAGCGGGCCATCTCGCGAATCTAGGGGCCCGCGTGGGCGCGCAATTGGTGCATTAGCACAGGCACGGCAGGCTGGCATGCGTGTGTGGCGCTCGCTGATGATGCGTTGCCAGCATCATCGCCCGTCACCCGTCACCCATAGGCCGCGTGCAGTACCCCCACTCGCCTTTTGGCTGACGCACTTCCTTGCCGTGCCTGTGCGTGCGCTCGCCGCGGTTGTTGTGCCCAGTTTCGCAATTCGTACGGTACGGTGCCACGGACTGATATCACCGGTCCTGCCCACTTTCGCCCTTTCGCTCGCCTACAGATCTGGGACGCGCCCCCCTTCCGTGCCGGCGAGCGGCGTTCAGAGGCAAAATGAAGACGGGAACGCGAGTCAAACGCGCAGCCCGCAGCGTGGGCCTGAGTCGTGCCGAGCCGTCTTTCAGCTCATAGGCAGGCAGCCCCGAGACAAGCGGGAGGACAAACTTGGCAGAGAGAACCCCCCCAAAAGGTACCGTCCATGTATATTCAGTATTCTTGGCCTCGGCGGGGGGTGTGCCTGCGTGAATGCTTCCATAGGTGCGCGCGCACTCATTCTCCTCATCTTGCCCCCTCCGGTGGTGCAACCCAGAGGGCACACCGAGGTTGGAAACCTGCAGGGCCACCCTTCTGGATTCGCTGTGCAGCCGCGTGGCTGCAGGCGTGTCTTGGTCCAGCCTTAGCGAGACAAAAAAGGGTCGCTGGGATCGGTGCAAGACGGGATGCGTGGAAATGGGCCTGGCCTTCTTTTTGCCATGCCGCGCGGCGCTCGTGCGACGCTGCACTGTGCTCACTCACACGCGCACGTATGCACCACACGCACATGTACAAGCCCGCGCTTCCAATGTCCTGGCCGTGACGCTTTAGTGAGACGGAAACGAAGGGAAAAGGTCTTGATGCCGTGCTGGCTTCCGGTTGGTGCGAACTCGCTCCCCTTGCTTTTGCGCTGAGTGAGGGTCGCACAAAGAGGAAAATGGGGGGGCAGGATGGGAAAAATGGGTGTGTTCGCCTGCGGGCAAGGGGAGGAGGGGGTTGGTTGCACGCGGCTATGGTTCGAGGTCATCTCGCAGGATGGATGGACCGACGGAATATCACACTGTCACGGTGCCGTCACGTCGCACCCAAAAGGACAGGGCCGAGCGGTTCGTTGGATTGCTGCATCTCTCACGCAATCTATTCTTGGGTGCCGGCTGGAATGGCGGAGGTCTTTGGTGTGTCCGTGTGTCGACCTGACTTGGCCCAGTGCCCTCCCAGCCACCAACACCACGGTGCCTCGGTGAGGGCGACGGTGAGCCGCGTTGGGAAGCTTGAGAGAAGCAAGTTCATGCACACTCCCCTCCCCCCCGCAGGGCGAGTGCTCGACCTTTCCCCCCGTCCCGGGATCCCGCCAGGCATCATCCTTCTCGTGCCTTTCCGGGGGGAGGCGGCTAGGACACGAACGGGAGCGGCCCATTCTTGTGACCTCAAAAAGAGGGGTACGAGTGCCGACAAACCGCACCGGTGCGACGATGGAGAGGGGCTTGTGAGCTCGCCCGTCGCGTTCCTTCATTCCGTCTGGCGCACGCGTGGCCTCAGCTTCGGACACTCACAACGAACCTACTCTTGGCGATTCATTCTCACAAGCTTGACTCCAGCTTTCATCAGCCGCACTCCTCCCTGGCCCTGCTGCACCCCAGCGATTTCCCTCGTGCTGAGAATTCTTTACCAGGACCAGGTCCGCTGCATCTGACGTCGAGAATGGCACTGGCAGCCACCATTGTGGCTCGGGCCGTCAAGGGAAACGAAGAGGGGGCTGGGGGGCGGGCCGACTTGGCCATTGGCCCCCGAACACCACGCCGGGCGCTTAGATGTGCCAGGTCTTGCATGACTTGCATGCGCGCCATGTGCATTGTCCGTGGCTTCGCGGGAGGCACGGAACCGCTCAGCCAATAGCAGCGACGGCCGTATGCTGACTGTGGCACGGAAACCCGTGGTGGCTGCTTTGCCATGCGAACACCAGGTGTTGGGATGACCAGGGACCGGGAGAACGTGCTTCAGTCAACTCATCACTTTGGCCGCGCTTGGGGCCGCTGCTCGACTTGGCAGCCATTTACATACATTCGGGGCGTGCTTCGAGGGAGCTGCACAGTTTGCCAAACACGGTCAGAAGGAACGTGGAAGTTACGCTCGCTGCTTACGTATCTGACCCGTATCTGCATGCGGAAGACGCGGCCGTCAGACTTGCATGGCTAGTTCTTCTTGGACCCTTGAGTCTAGGGGTTGCATTTGAAATCTTCAAGACCATGCCCTGTCGACTTCTTGGCTGGGGGCAGACGCTCTAACCATCCCACATGCAGCTCGTGGACGATGAACTCTGGTGGGTTCAAGAACCCGGACTGACAACTATCCACGGTTACTAGGAACCATTATGAGTGAAATTATGAATAGACATGGCTCTTCTCCATGAGTTCAATGGCAATATTTTTCTTCTCTTGTTTGCTGCAACTTTACGATACCATACTGGGAGAGTTGGGTCAATCTCTTCCGGATCCTGCGGGCCGGGCCGGACGGAGACTGGATGCACCCTGGCAAAAGCCAACAGCCACGTGGAGCACATGCAAAGGGACACAACGAAAACCTTTTATCTGGATGCTAAAAGTCTTGGAGTTGATGGGGGCAGAACGTTGCAAAGTTGGCACCCTGGTGCAGGAACCTCCGTCCCGGCCAGGAGGCTCGGAGCTTGGGCCGCAGAATGGGCCGCTCCGGACACAGCGGGGTCTGCCGTTACCGGGATGCCGGTGGTGGGCCCGTATCGGAGGAACCCTTGGCATGTTTGGGGGCGCAAAGCCTTGCTGCGGCTTATTCGATATCTGAGCATTCGGTCTGTTGGAGTTTTGAGACGTGCCCGAGGATATGTCGCTATCAGGAGCACAGTGTTGGGTGATGGGGTTGGGGCCGAGATAGAATGTGCGCCACGGGTAAATTCGCTTCGGTGGCACGTGGAAATAGACCAGACGTAAAGCAAGTATGTGTGCTTCAGAGCTAGAGAGGACAAGAGGCCTCTGCTATGTCACGGTCATGTAGGTGCATGGTCACGTAGAGGCTTTGGGTCCAACACGAGTGAGGAGACAACGGCAGTCTGGGTATATGGGTCGCTACCTGCCACAGGAGAAAACTCAACCAACGCTCACAACTCCACTACTTCCAAATGCTGGAGCTCGTCGCTCCCGACTTCTTCCCCTCCTGATATGTCTCACTCAGAGAGTTGTACAGAGCCTTGACTCGCTGAATCTCGCTCGTCCACTTTGTCCTCTCCGCCTCATCGTCCAGGAGAGCCACCAAGTCGGCAAGCGACTTGCCTTGAAAGAACTTGTTGTTCTTGTTGTACAAGGCCCGTTGCTGCACCTGCTCGTCCGTCTCCCCGCCCTTTACCCGGAACACCTCCTCGAGGATCTCAATGTCGTACGGGATCGCGAACAAGTCGCGGCTGTCCTCATACGTAAAGAGATAGTAGAACTCGCTGAATCCGGACCACGCGATGCCGCTGAGGCACAGGCTGCATGGCTCATGGGTTGCAAAGAAGATGCAATCGCGGCGCGGGTCCGGCCGGGTCGCAGGGTCCGGGAAGTCGGCGGTGAAGAACTGCTGGATGCAGTTGATCTCGCCATGAAGCAGAGGCGAGACGCGCTCGTTGTTGGTGGCGACAGTGAGAGGCTTAAGATCCTCGGAACGGGCGAGGATCGCGGCGCCGAAGAGCTTAGAGCCGGAAGAGACGCCCTTCCGGGTGAGCGGGACGATGGAGGTCTCCACAACGGAGAGAAGAGTGGAGAGCAACTTGACGATCTCGGCCTGGCTCGACATGATGGATTCGGTGTTAACAAGTCTTTTCTTAGTAGCGGTCAAAGTAAAGTGTCAACCTTGAGGGTTCGTGGGATTGAGCGGAGTTTGTGAAGTTGATGCGATAATAAAAGGCCATGCGAGCCTCGGGGTGGGGTCTAGCTCCGGGACGGCGACCACCGGGACCCGCATGTGCGGCGACCTCCGGCAGGGTGCCAAATGTGGAAGTCTCGGTGAAGGAGTACGGATGTGAGCTCTGTGACTGTATCCCACACCGTTCTTGAAGCCGAGACTGTTAAATTTTTCCCAAGTGACCTACATGAAACACAGATAATCATGTCGTAGAAGGATTGCAAACGGAAGGCACAATCCAGTTCCTGCGTACACCCTCTGAATCGATGACTAAGCCAACAACATTCGCTGGAAGCAGACGCCCGTAAAATTTCCAGCATGACAAGCCTTGGAGGCCGCGACTACAACTCTTCATCAAACACGCCGTGAAAGAGAGACCGGGCGCCACCAACTACTCGCGCCGTGCCCTATAATGCATCCTCCTTCTTATCTGTGATTAATTCCTGCGGGACAGGCATCGCGGGCCATCGCGCCGTCACATTGTTTTGCGTCGACTGCGATTTACGTTTCAGTGTTCGCCAACGCAACGACGGCCCAACATGCATTACATTCGGCTCTTGCGCCCACCAAAGCTGTCATCATCCCAGCATCGGATGCAGGCGGAGCTGGTGTTTACCATAACCACGGACTTGGGAGATTCATTCCTCTTCCCGGAGGCGCCCATTGACCTGGTCGTCACGGCGCACGTCTACTCTCCTTCGGGCACGTCCATACAAGAGTTGTCACAGCATGGCAAGCTGCAGTGGACGCCCGGACGGCGCGTTGCCAAACCTGTGTACGAGCTGCCGCCCACGGTCGTCAATGCCATGATGTCGGGTCACGCCGTGGAGCTCTGCGTTAGCCCGGAATCGTCATTCTCTGCGGACGGGTTCTATTCCATTCTCACATCCGCAAACGATCAGCATTCACACATCGGCGGTCGGGGCCTGGTCATGCCGGTGCAGGTGACTCTCAACGGGCCAGACGCCGACGATGACATTTCTACCCGCAAGATTCGTCTCAATGCAAACAACGAGTTTCCGAAATACCTTGAGATTGAAGAGGAAATCGGCGAGAGCATTGCCCGCCACATCTGGGATGCTGGTGTCGTCGCGCTTTCTGCCGTGGCCGCCACTTACAAGTTCCCCCAACTCGAGTCTAGCCAGCACCCCTGCATGCAGACCCTGCGACGAATGTTCGACACAAGCGAGTCGGGCATGAACATTTTGGAGCTGGGCTGTGGCGTGGGTATCCTCGGCACAGGCCTCTGCGCCGTGTATCCGCGCGATCGTGCCGCCGACTGTACGATTCTCATGACGGACCTGGACGAGGCGGAAGGGCGGGCTCAAGCCAACATAGCGCTGCTCAAGCACAACCACTCCGGCTCACAGCTTGGAAACGCGACTATCCTGTACGAGAACCTCAACTGGGAGCACGGGCGACAGGGGAGATTTGGCCCCGAGGTGCAGCGCCGGCGCTGGGACTTGGTGCTTCTGAGTGATTGCACCTACAACGTCGACGTGTTGCCTGCCTTGGTAGGCACACTGTCTGCCTTGCACGATGCCAACGTGCAGCAAGCGCGAGCGACTGATGGCGATACGAATGCGTTTGCGACGAGGGTGTTTCTTGCGACAAAACCGCGGCACGCTTCTGAAACGGCGCTGTTTGGCATGATGGAGTCTGAGGGCTGGAGGACGCTGGAGACTCAAATTTTGCCCTTGCCGGTGTTGGGCGCCGAGCCGGAGTCGGTCGAGATGTACCTGTTTGAAAAGGTATGACAGACGATGGCGACTCTTATGAGTGTACAATCCCGCTGTGCGTATCGGGAACCTAAAGCGTTTCGCAACAATGATTATGATTAAATGGTATTGGCAACCGCAATTAGCTGTGTCTCTAGTCGTCAAAGCAAACCCTGTATATTTCTGTGCGTAAACGATCCAGCATGGTGCGCCCAAGACGGGCGCATGTGTATGAGATCTTGGGAGCGCATCTCGGACGTGAAGCACCTAGAAGGGCGGCACCCAGGAACAGAGGGGCGCTTGCAGCCAGCACGTGGCATCATCAAGGACGGGAATCATTGATTGAGCAATGAGTTGAGCAACACGCAGTCGGCCTGATGCACTAAAGCCCTGTGAAAATCGTCGTCAAACGGATCGTGCGATTTTAGATGATGCCACTTAAGTGGCAGTGGCCAAGGGCCATCTCAAGAGCTCCTGGACGTATCATACGCGGAACTCCATCCAAGAAAGGCACCAGCGAATGAACATCATGTTCCCGAGGCGTTGCGATATATCATCCTTCTTCTCGCTTGAAGTTCGTCGATAAGTTCACGGATCTCGTTATCTCGATGGGGCATGTTTTGTGCCCATGGACGATAGAACGTCGACAGTTGGCGGACACTGTGACCGTGCCACCGGACGCTAGAGTGCTGAGTGGCGTAGGTTGGCCGACAGCCAGGACCCCCCCATTCCATCGGTTGTGGAGGCCGAACGCGCAAGCAACAGGTCGGGTGCTAGCGAGGGCATCTCACGATCTCTCAATGCTTGAAGAGGAGGCGGCGTTGACGGAGAATAGGCGTGTTGTCCGGGATCAGACTGGTGCATCAACCAACTCATCAAGACAGGCCAAGGCACACGAAGCGCAACGATCTGCGACGACGGCAAACCCAATTGTGAGCGCTACCCAACCACGACCCTTGGCAAAGGTGGCTCGTTGTCGCTCCGGCCGTGATACCAACGGCTAGTTTCCAAGTTGTCGGACCGGGTATTTTGTCCTTGCGCTATTGTTTAATTCCATCATGGAGACGTGCAGCGCGGAGAAGATGATATGGAGCTGGGGCATGCAGCCAAAACATGCAAACATGCATGCGAGACGGCCTATTGATGAGGGGCTCTTGGCCGGATGAGTCTTCAACGCTGTGGGATGGGCGCATTCCCCACCTTTCAATCCCTGTTCGTGGCAGCAAAACCCGGGCCGTATCTCCGGGGCTGATGAACGAACGGGCGCCCGTCCACCTCGCCGCACACGATTCAGCGTGGACCGTGTATCCATCCATTATGATTTCTGTCGTTCGTTGAGTTGCGGCAATGCCGACTTCTGCGCAGGCAACGCGACCGGCTCCAACTAGGAATTGAAACTGTTCACTTTCTCCTCGCCTGCTGCGGCGTCCAAAGAGGAGACCAGCGTCATCTTACTCGTGGCTTTGGCCCTGCGAGGACCTGCACGAGTCAGAAATTGGCACCAGGAGCAAGAACACGCCGTCGGTTCGCTTGCCGCTCCTGCCCTGGCCACCGCCGCTGTTTCGGGGGAATGCAGGCGCCTGCCGGCTGCGGAGAAGCCTAAAGAGGCTTCCTTTTCGTGGCACTAGTGGCGGTCAAGGCCGACACAAACAAGGGTCCTTCCACCTCGAAAAGGCCCACCATCCCTCGTGGCATGGATGGATGTCGGCCGTGTGTGTCGTTCTCCGCGCCTGTGTCTGAGCAACGGGGAGCCTCTCACGACAAAGCTGACGACAACGAGACTTGGCTGGCTAATCACGAGTTAGAATTTTTTTCCGCGCATTTCCCCGTTTGCTATTTCGAGGACATCTGCCGTCAACGTTCATGCAGATGGCTTTGAGAACAGGAGTGGGATGATCTCGGGAAAACAGTGGGACAGAGATTGAACCGACCGCGTCTCTCAGGTCCGAGTTTGTTGCCGCTCCACTCCCGCGCAACGGCCTCCAACAACGTCTGCATTGGCAAGCAGATTTTAGCGGCCGCGTGTCGGGGCTCCCATTCCCGGGTTGCGGCAAGCTCGCCGGCGCCTGCTTGTTGGTGTCCAAGGCAAACCCTGACCTGACGAGCACGCCCGGGCGACTGTGACCCCTTCTGACAACTCACCGCCGCCACGATTCGCAGCCGGTCAACATGTACGAAGAACGTGTAAGTGCCCGGTGGCGGCAGGTGTGGATGCGCGGATGGGCCACTGGCCGGCTGGCTCACTGACGATCCGGCCATCCACACCAGCAACAGGCCGAGTGGGGAGACGCGAGTTGGCACCGCTCTTGTACCGAATTTTTGGTCCCCAGGCAAGGCCAGGTTGGCCGCGGATCCCCGTCCCCCGCAGCAGGACCTGAACCTGGATGGTATGTACGGGCGGGCGGTTGCTTGGTAATACGCCGTCAAGCTAAACTCTTGGCTTGCGCTTCAGCTCGACTTGTTTGCTCTCGCGTGCCGTACCCAGCGGCCAGCCCGCGTTGCATCGTCTAAGTGGTGCCTTACCCTGCCCTGCCCTCGCCCCGGCCGTCGCTCGTCCGGCGGCCGAAGCCATCGCCGGGGCCTTGCTCGGAGCTCCATAATTCTCTGGGTCCCCCGGCGGCGGCCTGCGTGCGAGAAAAGTTTCCCAACTTGGCAGATTGCTCTTTCGTGTCAATGAATCGATGGAGCCTGCCCCGGCAGACCTCAAATTTGTTAGCGTTCCCCACGTGTTGCCTCGAGGGCAACTGGGTGACAGTCCCAGCGTTTTAAGTCTCTTGGCCCCTTCTACTTACACCACACCTTCCTTTGCTCTTTCTTTCCCTCCTTCGCCACACCGACACAGAGAAGGCAGAGGAGCCTTGCCTGGCAACTCCCTGTCCAGTCAGAGTGCCCGTCGTGACTTTGCTTGTCCTTCTCTGTAGTCATTGTGTCACGAGCTCTCGCTATCAAACTCTTTCGTATCCCAAATTTGCGTCTGCTCTAATCATACCAGGATCTGGCCCGCATTTTGTTATCGGTTCTGTACAAGTCCGTGTAGATTGTGCCGTGTCGCCCAGTCCGCGAGACACCATCGGCACAATTCGACCGACCACCACCGATCCGTCTCACTCCAGTCACCATACTGTATCGAGGATTGCTGTTAGGCTATTGAGCCCGGCGTATTGCTCAGAGAGATGGCGCAACCGGGCGACAAGGAGATTGAGGCGACTATGGCTAGCAGTATCCAGGAGCGTGGCCACAGCGGCATCTCTCGCCGTGTCTCTGGAGACTCTGCCCTCACCGCAAGGGACATCGGCACGAACTCGACCAACAACGACGCTCATGAGCACGCTGGAATCTCGGTAGAACAAGCGCAAGCCGAGTTTGCCGAGTTGCAACGAGAGCTGTCGCGTGTCAGCCGCAAAACTAGCAGGAAGCAGACCGCCGACCCCGAGAAGTCTGTGCCCGTGGAATCCTTCAACTCCGACAATGACTCGGTGTTCGACCTCGAGACTGCGCTGCGTGGTGAGCTGGTTGCTGGCCAGGAAGTCGGCATCAAGGAAAAGCACATCGGTGCCTGCTGGGATGGACTTACGGTGAAGGGAATCGGCGGCACAGCCAACTACGTCAAGACATTCCCCAACGCCTTTATCGACTTCTTCGACATCATCACACCAATGGCGGGGCTACTGGGTTTGCGAAAGAAGCCAGTGGAAGCGACTCTGCTTGACAATTTCCAGGGAGTTTGCAAGCCCGGAGAGATGGTGCTCGTCCTGGGTAAGCCTGGTTCCGGCTGCACAACCTTTCTCAAAACGATAGCAAATCAGCGCTACGGGTACACGAACATCGCCGGCGATGTCTACTACGGACCGTGGGAGTCGAAGGACTTCAAGCGATACAGAGGCGAGGCCGTGTACAACGCCGAAGACGACATTCACCACGCCACCCTCACTGTCGAACAGACGCTCGGGTTTGCGCTCGACACCAAAATGCCCGCCAAGCGACCGGGAAACATGTCCAAGGCAGAGTTCAAGGAGCACGTCATTACCACGCTCCTCAAGATGTTCAACATTGAACATACCCGCAAGACGGTGGTTGGCGATCACTTTGTCCGTGGCATTTCTGGCGGCGAACGGAAGCGAGTGTCGATTGCCGAGATGATGATCACAAATGCCTGCATCTTATCATGGGACAACAGCACCCGAGGCCTTGATGCCAGCACGGCGCTCGATTTCGTCAAGTCTCTCCGCATTCAGACCAACCTCTATAAGACGACTACGTTTGTCTCACTGTACCAGGCCTCGGAGAATATTTACAAGCTCTTTGACAAAGTGATGGTCATCGATGAGGGAAAGCAGGTCTACTTTGGTCCCGCGTCCGAGGCACGTTCCTATTTCGAGGGTCTAGGCTTTGCACCCAGACCGCGACAGACTACGCCCGACTATGTGACTGGCTGTACCGACGAGTTCGAGCGTCAGTATGCCACCGGACGATCCGAGACGAACGCCCCGCATAGCCCCAATACGCTTCTCGAGGCATTCCGGAGCTCTCCCTACCAGCGTAAGATCGAACACGAAATCGCAGAATACAAAGCAAACTTGGAGAATGAAAAGCAGAAACACGAGGACTTCCAAATTGCCGTCAAGGAGAGCAAACGCGGCTCGTCAAAGCGGTCGGTCTACCAAGTCGGCTTTCACCTCCAGGTGTGGGCGTTGATGAAGCGCCAATTCACACTCAAGCTCCAGGATCGCTTCAACCTCACCTTGGCATATGTGAGAAGTTTCATCATCGCCATCGTTCTCGGTACACTCTACCTCAATCTCGGCAAGACATCCGCCAGCGCGTTCAGCAAGGGTGGTCTGCTCTTCATCGCTCTACTCTTCAACGCGTTCCAAGCTTTCTCGGAACTCGCCGGTACCATGCTTGGAAGGGCGATTGTCAACAAGCACAAAGCTTACGCATTTCACCGTCCATCCGCGCTGTGGATTGGACAGATTCTGGTCGACCAGGCGTTTGCCGCTGTCGAAATCATGATGTTCTCCATCATCGTCTACTTCATGACAGGACTTGTGCGGGATGCCGGCGCCTTCTTCACCTTCTACCTGCTGATCCTGTCGGGAAATATCGCCATGACCCTATTCTTCCGAATCATTGGCTGTTTGAGCCCAGACTTCGATTACGCCATCAAATTCGCCGTCGTCGTCATCACGCTTTTCGTCACGACCTCTGGATACATCATCCAGTACCAGTCCGAGAAGGTGTGGCTGCGCTGGATCTACTGGGTCAATGTTCTGGGCCTCATCTTCAGCTCTCTGATGCAGAATGAGTTCCAGCGCATTGACATGACTTGCACCTCTGATTCGCTCATCCCCGCTGGGCCGGAGTATACAGACATCAACCACCAGGTCTGCACTCTCGCAGGCTCCAAGTCGGGAACCACATTCGTTCGCGGCCCGGATTACATTGCGCAAGGCTTCTCATATTACCCTGGAGATCTCTGGAGAAACTGGGGTATCGTTGTGGGCATCATCATTCTTTTCCTGATTCTCAACGTCGTCCTGGGTGAGATGGTCAAGTTTGGCATGGGCGGCAACTCCTTCAAGGTCTACCAGCGACCGAACAAGGAACGCAAACAACTCAACGAGCGCTTAATGGAGAAAAAGGAAACGAGGCGCAAGGACAGGTCTAACGAAGCCGGCTCGGACCTGCGGATGAAGTCAGAGAGCATCCTTACTTGGGAAAACCTCAATTACGACGTCCCCGTGCCCGAAGGCACTCGACGGCTCCTCAACAATGTCTTTGGATACGTGCGCCCAGGAGAGTTGACCGCCCTGATGGGTGCGTCGGGTGCTGGCAAGACTACTCTGTTAGACGTTCTGGCCTCTCGAAAGAACATCGGTGTCATCCAAGGCGATGTCCTGGTGGACGGCGTGAAGCCCGGGAAGCAGTTCCAGCGATCGACATCGTACGCCGAGCAACTCGACTTGCACGAGCCCACACAGACGGTCCGCGAGGCTCTGCGATTTTCTGCCGATCTACGACAGCCCTTCGAAACTTCCATCGCCGAAAAGCATGCCTACGTGGAAGAGATCATTGGGCTTTTGGAAATGGAAACGATGGCCGACTGCATCATCGGAACCGCAGAAGCGGGCTTGACCGTGGAGCAACGCAAGCGAGTAACGATTGGCGTCGAGCTGGCTGCCAAGCCGGAGTTGCTTCTTTTCCTGGATGAGCCGACGTCTGGCCTCGACGGTCAGAGCGCGTACAATATCGTGCGGTTCCTCAAGAAGTTGGCTGCTGCCGGCCAGGCCATCCTCTGCACTATCCATCAACCGAACGCCGCCCTCTTCGACATGTTTGACCGGCTTCTGCTCCTGCAGCGCGGAGGGCGCACCGTCTACTTTGGCGATACTGGTGATGATGCGAGTATTTTGCGAGCATACTTCAAGCGCCATGGTGCGGAGGCTGCTCCCACGGATAATGTCGCCGAGTTCATGCTCGAGGCCATTGGCGCCGGAAGCACCCCGCGTGTGGGCAATCGCGACTGGGCGGACATCTGGGAGGAAAGCCCCGAGCTGGCTCAAGCGAAGGACCAGATCGTAAATCTCAAGCGAGAGAGGGCTGCTGCGGCGCGCGAGGCCCGTCCCGAACTCGAGAGAGAATATGCCTCCCCGATGCGCCATCAGCTCAACATTGTGTGCCGGCGGATGTTCCGAGCTTTCTGGCGGTCTCCCAACTACCTCTTCACTCGCCTGTTCAACCATTTCGCCGTTGCCTTTATCAGCGGTCTGACATACCTCAACCTCGACGACTCGCGCTCTTCTCTGCAGTACACCGTCTTCGTCATGTTCCAAGTCACCGTCCTGCCGGCTCTCATCATCTCCCAGGTGGAGGTCATGTTCCATATCAAGAGAGCGCTCTTCTTCAGAGAAGCCTCGTCGAAGATGTACTCGCCGATTACCTTTGCCACGGCCATTGTCACGGCCGAGCTCCCATATTCCGTTCTCTGCGCAGTTGTGTTCTACATCTGCCTGTACTTCATGCCTGGTCTTCAAGCGACGCCTTCGCGCGCGGGGTACCAGTTCTTCATGATCCTCATCACTGAGGTGTTCGCCGTGACCATGGCTCAGGGCTTGGCCTCGATGACACCTTCACCACGAATTTCCGCGCAGTTCGATCCGTTCATCATCATCATCTTTGCGCTCTTCTGCGGCGTGACGATCCCGGCGCCACAGATGCCCGGTTTCTGGCGCGCGTGGCTGTACCAGCTGGATCCGTTTACGCGCCTGATCGGCGGCATGGTGACAACGGCTTTGCACGGCCTTAGTGTCGTTTGCAAGCCGCACGAGCTTAACCAGTTCACGGCCCCGGAGAATAGCACCTGTGGCGAGTACATGCAGCCGTTCTTTGCCAATGGCGGGAGCGGATACCTCGTGAACAACAGCACGCGCGACTGCGAGTACTGCGCCTACAAGGTCGGAGACGAGTTCTACAAGCCCCTGAACATGTCCTTTGCGAACCGCTGGAGGGACCTGGGCATTTACATTGCATTTATTGGAAGCAACTTGATCATTTTGTTCATGGCGGTAAGTTCCACTCAACGCCTCCCTTCAGAAGTCATCCCATGCCATGATGCTGACGTTTTGCCACTAGACTCGTTTCTTGAACTTCAACAAGCGGTAAATATTGGGGCGGAAGCCATTTGAGTGGCAGGTGTGCGTTGCCACGCACGAGCATGTGCCTGCATGTGTCTACGGACGACTGCAAGGATTCAAACAGTATAGGTCCATGGCCTGGCGTTGAAAAGTTGGTGTACATCAACCGATAATGATAAATATAATTAGATCTATAGACGATGTGGATCAGCAAACTGGCGTTTGCATATACAGCAGTGTTCCTGTTCAGGCCGACGTACTCAATTTGTCAGTGAGTGTGCGCCGCTTACACTTGACAGTCGCGGCACGACCACTCGCCTTCTTCACTTGGGGCATGCCGGTAGCGGTCTGACTTGAGCTTCAAAGTAAACTGGCCTACAAGGATCATTATAATTGCGATTGCGTCAGGCCAACAGAGCGCGGATCGGTTGTCCCAAGAGATGCGAGTAGTCTTCATTGTATACAAACAGCCTCGGAGTGGTGATGAGCTGCCAGCCTGGCAGAATCCTACACTGAGTGCCGAGCGGCAGCGTCTTTGACGATGTGTGAAGGCTGTGAAGTGAAATTGGTCCCAGCGACCGTTAGGCAATACGAAGGGCGGCCGGTCGTCACTCCGGGCCATGGTTGTCGATATCAGAATGACCCGTCAACATCGCCCAAAGCTCACCGAACCGTGTGCCTGGAGTCATGGCCAACCCCGCCGGCGCGCCCTGCTCTACCATCGCACCTTTGTCGAGCACGATGACGTGGTCGAAATACTTCATCACCACCTCCAGACGGTGTGCGACCATGACGATGGTATACGAGGCAAACTCATGCTGGATAATCTCTTGCATCATGCGGTCCGTCGCCACGTCGACGTTGCTGCTTACCTCGTCCAGGAGCAATAGCCCGCCGCTAGGATTGGCATTGCCCACATGTCTATCCCTGATCCGCTTGCGCAAGATGGCACGGCCGAGGGAGAAGAGCTGCTTCTGCCCGGCACTGAGGTCCGCTGCACTCATGCCACGTTCAAGACCGCCTTTGTGTTGCACGAAATGGGCCAAGTGTACAGCCTCCATGACAGCACGGCGGTCTTCTGGTGACGATTCGTCGAATGGGTCGAGATTGGATCTGATGCTGCTACCGTCTGGTAGGAATACTGCGTCCTGAGGAATTGCGATGATTCGCTTGCGGAGTGTGGCGCGTTCGATGCGTGCGAGAGGCACGCCATCGAGCTCGATGCTGTTCGCGCAATGCGGCAAGGGGTCCAGGAGACGCAGAAGAAGCAGGATCAACGTGGACTTGCCACTACCTGTCCTGCCGCAAATCGCGACTTTCTGGCCTGGCAAGATGTTCAGCGACAAGTCTCGGATGCACAATCCTTGCAAAGAGGAGTCGCGGAGGTTCCCAACTCGTGTCAATGATGCAATATCGTACGCAGCAGAAACGTTCCGCAGCACGATACGACCACCGACAGGCCAGCTCTCGGACGGCGTCAAATCCTCCCCAGGTAGATCTTCCGGCGCGACCGTCTCGCTGAACGTGCGCAGACGGTTCACCGCGCCGATGGACGTTTCCAGCCCAGTGTAGTACTTGATGAGCTCCGAAAGGGTCTCGCCGAAACTCAGCAGCGTCACCAGACTGGCGCCGGTAAGACCCGCGTTTGTATGGAGCTGTGTTGCAAGAGAAACGAGGACGACAGCTAGACCGGTCACGAGGAGCTGCAGAGCGGTCATAAGCCACTTCTGAATGACGCCTAGCAGGTACGCAGGACGCTGAGACGTGTCCAGGAGGAAATCGTTGCGCTCAATCTCAGTATGGGTCCAGCCAAAAGCACGAATGGTAGCCACGCCGCGGATGGTATCGATGAAGTGTGTGCTAAGCGCACGTTAGCAAACCGAGTCTACACCCCTGAGCGCAGTAAACATACTATAGAGGGCTTTTTGCTTCCAGGTCTAACAGTCGCAATTGCCGTGATGTGCGAAGGTAGAATTTCTGAATCGCATAAAGAACCCCGAATAGGAACGGATATCCTATCGCTAGATATGGCGAAGCCGCTGCAATGACGCAGGCCATGCCGATCATATCTGCCAAGTCGAGCGTCACGTTTGTGAATGCTGTTGGAAGATCACCGTCAATGAGCGTCAAGTCCTGCGAGAAGAGGTTTGTGACAACGCCTGCGTCGGTCGTCGTGAAGAAGCTTAACGGCGCGGCGACAACAGTATTGAGGGCACGCCGGTGCAGTTCTGTGCCAGCAAATGTGATCATCGAGATGAGTGTGGTGATGCCGTTCCCGCCGAATGAAACAAGCTGGGATGACTTCAGCAACGCGTAGATGCCAATATAGAAGGTGGTTGGCCTTGCGAATGTGTTGTCGGACCAAAATTTGAGCCAAGTGGTCGCAAAATTGTTGCAGAATCCGTACACTAGAGCCGTGACGACTAGGCTCAACAGTGAGAACGGATGAACGCTTCGAAAATAGTGCATATACACGGTCCAATCCCCCGTTTGCCGTGAGCGCGACATCGCCTCCGACTCAGCCATCGGCGTCGTAGGCTTGGCCCGGGTCCCCGTCTCCGGCGCTTGCCGCGGTGTTACTTCGATACTGGGTTCCGTGGCACCCTCTGTGAGGCCCAAGCCACGAACATAGCAGTTGTGGTCCATCAGGTCGCTAAAGCCTCCTGATCCGACGACGCGGCCCTCGTCACCGAGAATAATTATGTGATCCGCGGACGGCAGGTGCTTCACCGCATGTGTGCAGACAATTGCCGTAGCATTTCTGCGCTGGACGATGCCTTCTGGGCCAAACACCCTTCGGAACAGCTCGGCTTCTGTGTCTGCGTCCAAGCCACTCAGAACGTCGTCAAACAGCATGACATCAGCATCAGAGTAGAGTGCTCTCGCCACAGATACGCGCTGCTTCTGTCCGCCACTGAGCATGATGCCGTTGCTGCCAATCCGCGTGCTGTCGCCTTGTGGTAGGTGCGTGATGTCAGCGCTCAGAAGAGTCGCTTCCAGAACTTCAATGTACCGTTTCTCGTCAAAGTGGGATCGACCGACCACGTTGTCTCGAAGACTAGCGTTGTAGAGAAACGGCGACTGCTCACAGTAACCAATATTGTCTACAGGAACGTGTGTCTTTACTGTACCCTCTTGAGTTGGTGTCTCACCCAGCAAGGCCTTGCAGAAAGTCGATTTGCCGGATGCAACAGGGCCGATGATCAGTGTGAGCTGCCGACTTGGTATTGTAACGTCAATATTTTTCAGGACGATATTGTTGCTTCCCCAGCCAAATGAACCGTCCTTGATGGAAAAGGCAAGGTCACCTCCAAGTGAAAGCTGCGGACCACCCGATTGGGACGGGCTTTGTTCGACGACTTTATCGGACACGACACGGAAGTCTCGTCGTTGATCGGTGACCAGAAAGGCTTGTATCCTCTGGACACATGTGAGACAGGCGAGAAGTGTCGGCACATACTGGAACATCATGCGCAGTGGTGACGCCAGAAGAATGATGTATGCAATCGAGCTGAACAACGTGCTGACATCCAGAGCGCGCGAAGTCACAGCAAAAGTCATGACTGGCGAGAGGCAAATTGGCGCAAAACCGAGGACCGCTGACACAATTGCCAGCCATCGAAACTGGTTTCCAGTGGATATCTCGCTCACACGAAGACCTTGGATTAGGGCGGCAACAGGACCGCTGATTCCGGACATTTTGTAGAGCTTCATGTGTGAGATGGCGTGTGCTGTGAGGCCAACCCGCTTCTGGATACTTGACATCCACCTGGCTTGCGCCTTGTTGAAGAGCGGCAGAAGAACCGCTAGCCCTGTACCGCAGACCCCAATGACGATGATCGGCGTGACAAAAGCGGCCCCGAGTTTAGTGTTTAGCAGCCAGCTGCCGACGGCAATCTCAACGACATTTGCCCATACCTCATGTGCGTATACCCCGCCTTTGACAATGCGCTCAATATCAGTGCTCATCAAAGTGATGGCTGCCGTGTCATCCGTTTCCCCGAGCTTGGCGACGATTGTCTTCCTGTATATAAGAGAGACAAGACACCCTCTCATGGAGAAGACGGCCTTTTGGTTGTAGTAGTCGTAAAATGCTGTCGAGACTGCAATGCCGAGGTAGATGAGAGCGCATGCGCCAATCAATCCATATCCAACATTAGATCGACGAGACTCGCTGGGCTCAGCCAAAAAGTCCAAGACTGCGTTGATAAAGAGAGGTTGGCAGAACTTGAAGCCGATGAGCGCGACGCGAGGCGCTACGGGACGCAGAAGCGGACCAGTCAGTGTCTTGCATAGGTCCTTGAACAAGCCAAATTTGATGTCACTCTTGTATCGTTCAATATCGATTCGCTTTTCAAGTCGTGTATACAGGGTGTGAGCGTTCATCTCGACGTCCAGCGGATACAGTCGATCGATACCGAGGACCAAATGATAGCCTCGTAGTAAGAGTCGGTTAAGCCAGAAGTACACCCCCAAGCTGAAGATGTTCGTAGACTCTTCTGGGCTATGCTTGTCGGAGTCCCAGCGAAGCCACCTGGTTTTCGGGGTGGCCTCAAGACACAAGATGGCAACTTTGAGGGCAAGGAGGCTTGTAAACAGTCTGGCAACAATGCCTTGTTGAGGGTTGACTATTGCCAGCCATGCCGTTCGAACTTGCACGACGTCAAAGAGTAAAGTCAGAAGGACGTAGACGCTAAGCAATGCTGATGGACGACATGCACGTTCATGTTCCAGGTAGGACAACGGAATGGCGCAAATAGATGCGACTAAGACGAGTGTTGTCGAGCCAATGGCAAGACCGCGAAGAGGGGCTGAGGTCTCGACGGAAATGATGGCCAACAGGCATAGCTGTAGGCCCGCGTAGACGGCAACGGTGGTCTGAATCCGTGTCAAACAAGAGTCGGACCATGGGCCAGTACTGACTCACCAGCTTCGCGTATTGCAACATCTTTCCATCCACCAGGCGCGGTTTCTGGGCAAGAACGGCGATTCGCGCGAGTGTCGCTGCAATGAAGACAGCAGCTGGGATGACCAAGAAGAATATTCGTTCAAACTTTTGGGTAAAGTCGAAGTCGTCGCGGCACCCTTGGACACCCGGCCCGAAGGCATCGTCATTGAAGCACCCAACAGCCCTCATGACGGCTGTGGAGTGTCTTGACAATGTGAATAAGGGCCGACCCGCGACGGGCCTTGCGCGGTTTCATGGCCGTCCGCCCGCCCAGTGAGTGGCCTGGATGCCTGGCAGCGGCAACAGGGAGGATCGACACTCGACGCTAGAGCGCGGCCAGGCCGCAGCTCCCACGCTCTCGCATCGACGACCGGTTTGCCGCTGTCCATATTAGGCCATCTCCGGAAACATTCGCTTTGCCGAGACAACGAGCGGGGCCGTTATGCCGGCGACGGGGGGACTCCGCTCAGCCCACCGTCATTGTCTGGCGATGGGGCCCGGTTCCGGATTCGGGGCCTCGAGCCCAGCTTCAGCGTGTTCAACATCGGACCAGCAGCCACAGCCATCAAGGGATGCCCAGGCGCCCAGGCCGTGCTGTCAGCCCAAATGGCACGTGTTGACGGCCACGTCGGCCAGCGGTTGGGTGACACTGCATGAGCCTCACCCGGCGGCGCCGCCCTTGTGAATGGTCGGCTGATCACGGATGCCACCCACGCGCTAAAAAGTTAATCGGACGACGGGACTCGCGTCGGGGGGCCGAGGGACCGCTGCGCGCCTTGCAGTCTGCTTTGCCATGATGGACTGAGTTTTTCGGTGATGGTGTGTTCGATCTGGCCCCCTTGTGTCCGAGGTGACATTTGGCGCATCATATGTTGACGCAGAGGAGGAAGTACAAATGGCCAGGCGCGTCCAGGGGCAGGAACGTTCAGCGAATCTCACTGTTCGTAAGCCCATCATCAATCGTCCATCTCCGGCGCCACATGTTACCGTGTTAGTAGCCTGCACTGACGTCGCTGCCCGACTCGCCCTGTCGTCACTAGCGCTCCAGGGCCACTTCATCTACAGACCACAACCATCACATCACCTTTACACCTCCACCTCTAAAACACCACGACCTTAGAGTCTACACACTATCGACAAGATGTGCATCGTACTATTCACGACGGCGCATCCCAAATACTCACTCATACTCATCGACAACCGCGATGAGTACATCCTGCGCCCAACGTCCCGGCCCAGCTGGTGGACGCACCCAACCTCGGGCCAGCAGGTGCTCTCCGCGCGAGACCTGCAGCGCGCCGAGAAGGGCACGTGGCTCGGCATAACGCGCGACGGACTCCTCGCCGTCCTGACAAACTACCGCGAGCTCAACCCGCAAGACGCAGATCACCCCGTGCACGGCATCCGCAGCCGCGGCCTGGTCGTCAACTCCTGGCTCGGCGGCCTGGCCGCGGGCAAGGGCGGCATCAAGGACGGCGTGCACCACCTGGTGGCGAACCGCAATGTGCAGGGCGTGGGCGGCTTTTCCATGGTGAGCGCCAAGCTGAGGCGCAAGGGCGGGGGCATCGCCATTGTCAGCAACAGGGCGTCGCATCCGGACGACGTGCCACTCGTTGACCTGAACAGCCACGAGACCTGGGGACTCAGCAACACCGTCTTCGACGACCCGCAAGAATGGCCCAAGGTCAAGAGCGGCAAGCGCCTGCTGGACGAGGTTGTGTCCAAGGCGGCCAAGACCGAAGCCTCGCAAGAGGAGCTGATCAAGGGCCTCTTTTCTGTGCTCGACGTCGACACCCTACCAGAGATGAAGGAGGGCCAGGGCTTCGAGGCATACGTGAGCCAGCTCAAGCACAGCATCTTCGTGCCTCCGATCGGAGACCAGAAGCACCGAGAGGCAATGCAGAGAGCCATGGCGAACGGGCGCTCAGACTGGAGTGTTCTCAACGGTGACGCCAAAGCCGTCGAGGAGCTCCTTGCGGAAGAGCGACCGGATGCCAAGACTCACCCAGAAATAATGGCCGCATTCGAGACGGGCATGTATGGGACGCAGCGTCAGACGGTGCTGCTGGTAGACTTGGAAGGGAATGTGACATTCACCGAGCGCGCTCTCTGGGACGCAAATGGTCATGCGATCCCGAGAGGGGAGGGCGATGTTTCCTTCAAGTTTAGAATCGACGGCTGGGACGATTAAGCAGGGTCATGAAGACTTGGTACGAAGTAACTCATTGTTCGGCGTTTGGGATAAGTAGCACAGAGGCCTCAGATTATAGAAGCCAAGACGATAATGACAAGATATTGGTACATTTAGAGAATCATGTCTTTGTACTCGTGATTGTTATCATTCCGATAATCGATGCAACCCCTCATGCGGGTCGTTGAGACCCTGCCCGGCATGCTTTCCGATGTGCCCAACGCCATACCATTTGAAGAACGCCGCGTTCCCATTTTCAGCGCTCCGTTTTGCCCACCGTGACGCTCCATCCCAACTATAGCGTTGTCTATTCAGCTCGTTTTCTGCTCTTCAGATAGTCTCGGATCTGTTCGTGCTTGCTGGCGAAGAACATGCCAGACTTGTCCCCTCTCCACACCAGCACGCCAATCTCCTCCGCAAAGCGAGCCGTCTCGAGAAACTCCTTATGGTCGTCAAAGTCGCGGAACAAGAATCCGCTAGTCGTCTTCATACGCTCGTTCTCTAGCTGCCATAGACGAATCTGATCAACCACAGTCGGCGGTAGAACCGGCTTATTAGTTAGCGCAGCCGTGCGGTGCATTTGCTCGTGAGCGTGCGCCGCGAGGTATGAGATGATTTGGTCGGCGGTGATGCCAAAATTGATGGCCTGGCGGATAGAGGCGCGGGTAACCCGGCCGGCAACCATGTCTGGGAAGCGCATGCTGAGCTTGGTGAAAAGAGCGAGCACCGCAATTTGTAGGGTCGACTGGGTGTATGCGTATATGCGATAGTTGGTTTCCACGACCACGCTGCCCTTCTGTTCGCCGCTGCCGCCCAACGGTCCAGCCTGGCCAGGATTGAGCGCGGCGGATGTTGCGGCCGCCACCCCGTCGCTGATGGTCCGTAGGCTGTTTCCGCCACTGGTCAAAGTTGTCGCCAGCCTAGTCGGGAAGAACATGGATCGTTTATGCTGCGGAATGTAGATGAGCCCAAAATCCAGCAGCGAGGGAAGCATGTTCTTTCGCTGTTCCGTCAACGCATTCGTGTCATAGGCGCGACCCAGTTCGAGGCTGGCCAAGACAAATAGGAAGGACAGCATGTCGACAGTCTCGAGCCCGGCAGCCTTGTTGATCTCGCTTGCTTCCAGCCACAAGAGAAGCAGTGTCCAGACCTGCGCGTTCGCCTCCTGCAGCAGGAACGTGAAGCCAGCTTGCGTAATGCCCACACTCCCATTTGGCCGCCTGTCGACCAACCGCCCGGCTACAAGCAGGTCTTTCACGCTCTTATTAGGCCCGGAAGACTCGCCAGCGCTCTTGTAGCCGACGCTGGAGACCACAAAGTGCAAGATGTCTTCCCATTTTTTTCGCGCGTATCGGTCGAGGAAGGCGATATCGATTTCGGTGGGAACAGCGAGACTAGACGGGACGCCGAAAGAATTGTGCGTGCCACCACCGGTGAGGGCGAGCCGGAGAGAAGTCTTGAAGTTGGCAGTCAAGTAAAGCTCTTGCGGCTTCTCCTTGGACGGGGCCGAAATCTGTATGATGTGCAGTCCTCGAAGAATCGAGAGCGCCTGGTCTTTTTGCCTGCAGTATGTCAGACGCTGGACACGTTAAAATCGTCGTGGCAATCTTGGCGCACCGTTTCGCGTCGGGTTTGATCCAGTTGTCGAGATCGGAGAGTAGCATTGGCTTCGGCATGAAGAGCATCCGCATAACAAACGTCTTCGCTGCAACGACTGGTCAGCTCACGATTGATCAGCCTGTGCCTGAATACGAATATCGCACATACCCAGGTGCGTGAGCATGCGACGGAATATGGCAAAAGCGGTCGAGGGCTGCTGGTAGAGCTTCCTAAAGGTCGTGCCAGGCAGCTTCTCGAGATACTCCGCCAGTTGGAGGGACTGCGCCGGACTGACAGACATGTTGGCGGCGGTTCCAGTCTGTCAGTGTGTAGTAACTGTCACTATGTCATTATTGAGGAGCGCAGTTCCGGTTTGCATGCAATCGGAGACTGCTAACGCGGAGGGATGTTGTTCGAGAAGCTTGGCTGGGAAGGCAACGAGCAGATGAAGGTTCACGGCAACCAGCCAAGAGGTGCAGGGCCCGGGTGATGGTCGGATAATTGCGTCAGCGATGTGGTTGTGGGGACCCCGTCGGCGCTGAGGAGCCGAAACGCGGGTTCAGGGCGCGCCGACCGTTCAATGCCCGCCTCGGAACTCAACTGTACTCCGTATTAGACACGCCAGCTCCCACTCAGCCAAGCTGCCACTCGTGAAGCAGCGAGTCGCAATGGCGAAAAAATTGTCTCCGACGGGCTTCACCAAGGCCGTCAGTTCTTCAACCTTTGTCGAAGCGAGGCCGCGCGCTGACGCTCACTGCAGGTAATGCGGTCTTTCATGGCCGACTCTGGCTTGGAGCCGAGGTAAGAAGCCGACTGGCGTTTGCTCAGCAAGATGCGGACTGCTCAGATTTTACACACAAATATTTTGGAATGAGTGCATAATTCTTACAAAGTTCTATGCTAGACTTCTTGGGCCACGGGTAAACTATGCGGAATTCGACTACCTCGACGGGCGTTTGATCGCTGATTGAGATCCTACAGTTCCGGGTCCTCAGCGCATCTCCCGGCCGAGTCGATTTTGAGATGGATATCCACAAGGATCATACGGTAAAACTCATAGGATCTCACAGTGGCATTTCATTGCTGATGGGGTTTCTAGAATCGCCTCCAAACTATCCATGGCGGTACCATTGCGAGCCTCGTCGACCTCGGCGGGTCCTTGGCCGTCGCTTCCACTGGCCGTTTTGCAACGGGCGTTTCAACGGATCTGAATGGTACGTGCGTAACGTACACAGACGGAAACCAAGTACTAACGTGAGCAGTGACCTATCTGGCTCCAGGTGGGCGGCCAGGCGACTTGCTCAAGGGCACCGCAATCTGTGACAAAAGTACCAGCCTTCTATGCCCTCCCATAGCACCGTCAGAACCAGATACTGACAGCAGCACAGTTGGCAAGACGCTCGCCTACACCACAGTAACCTTTACCAACAGCAAGGGGCAAATCGCCGCCAGAGGCAGCCACACCAAGTACGTCCCAGTCGTTAGAGGGCTCTTGTGTGCATGCAAAATCTAACTGCCGCAGATATGTCACAGGAACGATGGGGGCCGACGGGCCATACGTCGCCCCTCCCGAGTATTCCGATGTAGACTAGACATGCAGCGAGTTGACTTATAGACCTTTATTATGCTCTGTGCAGCACGGCGACGATGCGCTAGGCACCAGAGTTCACACGTAAATATACAAATCGACGACGCCGACTGATCGCTATTTCTTTAAACAGAAAGTCCAATTGGCATCCGTATTTGCCATCCAATTGCCCCTCGTCACCTCTTCTCATTGTATGGTACGGGGCTGGCCTGGGGCGGGGTGCCATCGGCCTGGTGGTTCAGGCCCATTGCCTCGTAGTGAGACGGCGGCGGAGGCGACATGGCGCCAGTCTGAACGCTGCTTTCGTACGAGCGCTGAATGTGTGGTGATGCCGGCTCCGTCCAATGCTGCTGGGGAGACAGCTCATGCCGGAACTGCGGGGCGTGCAATCCCGCATGTTGGGGTGGCAGCTCTTGAGGGTTGGCGTACACCGGGGGCATTGCTGGCGATGGCTGCTGCCGCTGCTGCTGCTGCCATGTTTGCGGCGGGGGCTGGTGCGTCTGGGCACTGTACTCCACGTAGCCCCAGGGCGGTTGCTGGTGAGCCATCCCAGGGGCCATGGGCCGGACCATCATGAAGGGTTGCTCCGTGGCCCAGACACCATATTGCTTCTTGGTGCCGAGGGCGAAGAGTATCATGAGGATGATAAACGACGGCCAAAAGTTGAAAATAACATCAAGTATGGCAAAGTGAGGTCCCGGAGTCCTCTCGCTGACAATATCAGTGCCGAGGGGAATGTAGTCGGCGTAGTACCCGACGTTGTAGCATGTCTTCATGAGCAAGAGAACGGAGCACACGATTAGGTACCGAGTAGCCTGTTCAATCAATTAGCCGCATGTCCAACGTGTGGCCTCTCAGCCTTGGGGACTTATCGTACAGTCGTTACCCGAGGCTCAGCGCGAGTCTTGACGGCGACCATGATAGATCTGGCCAGGACAAAGACGTTGAAGATCATCTGGATGACGAGCATCGCAAAGGTGACTCGTCTCAGGTCTTGCAGCAGCTTGTAGTTTTCACTGAGTGTTGTCGACACTGCGCCTTGAAACTGGGCCGTATACATCTTTTCGCTAAGCGCAAAGGACACAAGGTTCAGAATGGCGAGAAGGCCGGCGACGCCATATGCGCCCCATTGGATGAATCGATCGACCGACGACACCTTTCCGGCGTGGATGAAGCTAGCAGCCTTGCCGAGGCTGAGCAGGGCGACCAGGATGCCGATGATGGCGAGTTCGTCGAAGAACGAGCCGAGTATGCTGGTCTGGTTTTGCGCCCTGCGGATATTGTTGACGAACTGGTCAACGTCGGAGCCAGAGATGGAATCGTATAATAAGCTGTAGAGGACGGCCAGAAGGTAATTGAAAAAGATGAGCACAATTCCCCTGCACAGAATGATTTGTTAGAAAGCCCGATATTTCCTCACTGCTTTGCGGAGGTTTTCTTACAGGCAGAAAAAGGCGAAGGCGGCTCTGTAGAAGGTGAGCCAGGATCGCGCCGGATCTCGGTGTCTGCGCGCCAGGCACAAGGAGCACAGGAAAACGATGACGGACGGGACGGCGGTGAGAATCAACAGCGCCGCCGCGGCGATGTTGTATATCGAGTAGTCGTTCATGATGGCAGACGTCGGCGAGAGCGTCGCAATCGTTCACTCAAAGACCGTCACCACCGAGCGGTGTTGTGGCGCTATCTCCTCCCCGGCCCGCGCAAAGGGAACCAACCGCTCACGCCTGTGACAGCGAGAAGGTGCGATGGGAGGATCGCGCTTCTCGCCAGTGCCGTCGCTCGAGCGTATCGACGGTCGCCACCGGGATGCTCGCGCGTGAAGTCGCCGCAAGGGAAAATTCGTGGGATTGGGGTGTTGAAGGAAGACAAGCAGCAGCCCCGTCGGCAGGGTCACAAGTAATATCCATGCCATGGCCCATGGATCCCCTTGGCGGTCTCGTCGCCCAGGATGGCTGTGGCCCGAAGAGGGCGCACAAGACACACAGCCATTCGTCTGCCATCCCAGGGGATGCAACTCTGGCGTTCAGCTGGACCCCGGGCTAAGCCGCCCGTGTTGCTGGAGCTGTCTGGACGGAACAAGGATGCCCTGCGCCTCGTCCAATGGTGAAGCCGGGTCTCGGCGCTAGAGCGCATGCTGCACTGCCCCATCGGCCGCTTCTGTGGGCTGCTTACCTGCAGCAACACGGGCTCGACAACCGGTCCCAAGCCCTGCTGCTTGAGCCACGAGCGGGTGCGTGCGCCAGATGGCCGCCGCCTTCCGGGGCGGGGACCAGTGACGAGCACAGGGCCATTGTTGGCGCGACACGGCAGATGTCAGTGCGATGTCAATCAGTCATTCCGTCGGCAGCGCGCTCTACATGTCTTCGTCGACTGACTTGATGCATTTGCAAGCGAGGAAAGAGCCGCACCCAGGGACCGTCTTAGCGGTGAGCTAGCAGGCACAGGCGAGTTTGTGATTATTCGGGCAACCGTTTCAGTTCCACTTGGACCCGGCCTAGCGTATCCTGCTGGGCCCGTTACAGGCCCCAGGAACCGTAGGGCTCAGAATACACGCGTCCCCAAGCAGCCCATTTTATAAGCTCCCCAGGCAGGCCACCACAGGGCGCGGGGTTCCGGTGGCGGCCCTGGCGTTTCCACCACTGTCGTGTGTTCAGCGGAAACCGTCTGCGTTGCCCATCGCACGCGAGGTTGCTGACGGCGCCTTCAATGTCGTCCCAGCCTGGAGTTGGACCAACGCCATAAGCAGCCCTAAACATCCATTGGCGGAAGCTCTGAACAAAGACTCTCTGTCCCAACATGATTCCTGAGAGCTCTGAAAGGGCACGACAGTCCAGGGCGACGCCACCACTACATGTTTGTCAGCGCCATCTTGAGCAACATCCGCATCGAGCACTGTACCATCCACCATGAATCTGCTGTGCTGCACCGCCGGAGCATATGCCCCTTGCCTTGAGCGTCAAAGTTGGCGAAAAGGAAGCTCAGGCTGGAATGCTACCCTGGAGAGATGTGCCTTTTCCGGCTGTCGTCACCTGTCGCCGCGTGACGCGCGCGCGACTCTTCCCTGCGCAACCGTGACGTCACTGAGCCAGATCGCGATCCAGTTGTCAGCGGCGCGTATGAGCAGCAAGGCGCCACCGCCTGGGAACAAAGCAAGGAATCAGGTACATTGCGTCGCGGCCGTTGAACGTTATAAATTGAACACATATGTCGTTTCCAGTGTGGGAGAGTCCAGACCGTACATCCTATTCGGAATACTAAGTTACGCTTCTACGCCAGCAACTGAAGATAACACCCAGCATCCAAAATGGCCATCACCACCGCAATTTCCGACCTCTTCAAGTCCTTCTATGAGTTGATCTCTTCCATCTTCGGTGCCGCCTACGCCATTGTCAACAGCGTTGTCGGCGCTGTCGTCGGTTTCGTTACAGGCATCTTCAAGTTGGCCGGTGACGTCCTTGGCGGCGCGATAGACATTGCTGGAGGTGTGGGCAAGTTCATAGCCGGTAAGCCTCCTACACGAACGCGACATAGGCTCTGTCGAGAAGGTATGTCTAACGGTGGTATTGTAGGAAACATTGTTCTCATTTCCGTTGGCGCACTCCTTGCCTTCGCCTTTGTGCGGTACACGGCACAGGGACAGCGGATCGCGGCGCAGAAGAAGACGAATTAACGCGACGGTCGTACAACGAAGTCGGATCATGTCGGGCACGCAACACAAAGGCAGTAGGGTGTTGTCACTTTAGTTTTCGCACCGACGACGTGGAGTTGGCGAAAATTGTCGTTCAAGGATTGGCGCTTGCTTTACACAAGAGACACGATACCCCCCAGTCCATGTTGTCCTCCGAGACCAGCGTCGCTGGTCGTAGCCAGACTTTCAACAAGCTATTTTCATGCGCATCATCCTCGTCGCAGCCGTTACTCCGCCTTCTTTCCCTTCAACCTCAGCCTCTCGTCGGTCCCGTGAAACCAGTCCAGCACGCCAATGCCCCCAAAGTAAACATCGAACCTCTCGTGGTGCCTGTCATGCTTTCGCGCCGCGCCACCGAAGAAATCGTAGCCGCTGTGCACCGTCGAAGTCTCGACCAGCTGCCAGGCGAGAAACACCCACATGGTCAGGATGTGCGTGCGCAGCAGCAGGGGCGGCAGCGCGATCGGCAGGGTGTTGGCCACGATGTGCTCGATCGGATGCGCATACTGCGACGAGAAGGCGACCGGCGCGGTGAACTTGTGGTGTATCTTGTGGATGCGCTTGTAGAAGTAGCGCACGTGGAAGAGCCGGTGCGAATAATAGAAGAGTGCCTCGCGCACGACGACGCAGATGATGAAGTCGCGCGCGAACTCGGTCAGCGAGGGCAACGCGGCCTCAACGCGGACTGCAGGCGGGTGACCCTGCGCGTAAGAAGCATAAGTCAGGGCGAGGTGGATGGCGGTGATGAGGATTTGGTTCCGAGTTGATACTGCGACGGCGTGCCATATCTCAGCCGCCGTGGGCTGCTTCGGCGCCGGTTGGATCTTGTGGCGCTCGGAGAACGCCGGCGCGATGGTGTCGAGAGAGACAAACACGATGCAGGGTATCCACCAGAAGACAACTTGGATGACGAGGTTGCCTACAACATCGATGGCGTACGGGTTGTACGACGCAACCGTGTGCTTCCACAGGTTCGTCACTTGATCCATGGTTTTGGTCCCGAAGTGAAACGTCAATGTAATCCGCCGTCGGGTGGAAATGACTCTGGCGACGTGAGTAGCTGGGAAGCGCAGCTGTCAGCGGCTCGCGCGGGCTTGTAGTCGTAAGAGACTAACGTCCAGAGTTGTCGCAACTTCACAAGGCGAGAGACGCCCTTTAGCACATCGACAACACTATATAAAAGCTTCAACGCGGAGGCGAACCCCACTGTCCATACGAGCCTCGGCTCCGCGTTAAGCCATTTTCGCACGCCAGTTGCCCGCCAAACCGACCTGCCAGCCCCTTCCCACCACTCCGGGGACCCCGGAATCCACCCGACGCCATCTCCGCGCCGTCTCTGACGGGCATTTCCTGGCACTTTTTGTGTCGGAACAGACCCGACGACACAGCATCAGACGACAACGTTCGATAGATCAACTGTTTTTTTATTAACGTGCTGCTGCACCTGAAGTCAAGAATGTACGATCCTGCCGAGCTCTACATCTCTTGCCCATTCTTCGGCATCATGTGATTCCTCTTGCTGAGGTCACGTCTTCGCATGAGGGAGCGACCGACATCGCTTGAAGGGCGGCTCACTCACGCCACCCTGACATCCAGCTCATCAGAATCCTGTAGCTGGCTTCTCGTTGAAACCGCGGCACCTCGTGACCCGCCTCATCAATCCCGACGAACACCAGTTTCCTGTCCCTCGTGCCCTTCCACTCGCCCGTGCCTTTGAAGTGCTCAGGGAGGGCCGCCCATCGCGCCGCGCGGTATTCTGCCTGCCCGCTCCATCGTACTTCATCGTAAGCCATCTTGTTGCCGGGCGTATTGCAGATGAAGTCATCGTTGCCGTTCAGAACCAACAGCCTGATGGGGGCGTTTTCCTGCGTCTGATGGGCATCGAGCACACTCGCAATGTCCGAGAGCATGGAGCGGTAGTATGAGTAGCCTTCAGAATACCCTGCACTCCAGTACTTGCCGCCAAGTACCCAGTTCGCATCAAGGAAAACGAAATCCTCTGGGAGACCGAGAGCAGAAAGGACGCTGGGCTGGCGAAAGTACGCTGTTATATTACCCTGGACAGGATCTGCGCAAGCTGCGTCTGAGCATATGTGGCGGACTGTGATGCTGTGTGAGAACATGCAACTCGGCCTCGCAATTCGGCAAAGACTTACTGTCATAAAGATCTCGCCCTGATGCATCGTAGAAAGGTTGCCACTTCTGGCAGTACGTGGCTGCGCCGTAACACAGAATGGGGTCGTCCGTCGCCAAGCACGCTTGACGCTGCCTCCAACACTCTGGGAATATCTCGCGCATGGCATCACAGGCTGTCGCATTCAAAATGTCCTTGCCACGATCGCTTTCGCAAAGCAACTCGTACGCGCCCAAGGCCGTTGCGGGAAGATCAACTAGGCCGTTCACGATGATCATTGATGTGATGTTGCCCTTGAAGGCGTTCTTGCTCCCGTACCTACGAGCATCAAGAATGTGCTTGACATACGTTGGCGCGTAATGACCTCCGTACGACTCTGCAGCGAAATGGATCGGCAGGTGTGCCCTCTGAGGAAACAGCTTTGTGAAGAAGATGTTGAGGAACGTCTGAAAGTCTTCGGCCGCGTCTTCATCTCCGGTCGAGAGGTGGTCCTCATCCGATACCTGGGACAATCCTGCACCAGCGGGTTGCTCAAGGAACAGCACAGAGGCGTTGTTGTTCCAGCTCCAAGGGTTCGGCTCTGTCGTGTTTGTGCCCGGCACGAGGGTGCAGGCACCCATCTCAGTGAGGGCGCCGTACATGCTCGATTCTCCCGGTCCCCCATTGATCCAGAGGACAATCGGGTCCTTCTTCGGGTTGCCTCTGCTTTCAAAGAACCAGTAGAAGAGGCGCCGGTGGTCAGTCACGTCCACCGTGCCAGTCCACTGCCGGCCGCCATTGGTGTTGCACAGCGTGTCATTTTGCCGCTTCGACGTGTGCTGGCCAGCCTTGAAGGGAGAAGGGCTCTTTGAGTCGCGAATCTCGAGAGCAGGGTCCGACTCTGCCCGCTCAACGGAGATTGCGTGATGACCTATCCGTACCGGTCGAGGTAAATCTCCCAGACGCACGAGTCTCGCGGACGCGGTCTGCAGTAGAACACTCGACAGTATTACCGCAATTGATATGAGCATGCTGCAGTCTATCGGGGTACTCTGCTGTCGTAGAAGGAGGCACACAATGTGTGAGAAACGGCTGTACCTGCGTATGGTGCAGAAATGAGGGGATGTGTGCTTCTTGTAAGTATTGAACCCCGTCAGGAACGTTTTCCCTGCACAGGGGCAACTTGCAAATAAGACTGCAAAGTGTGACGAGCCACCCCCTGTCAGGAACTCACACGGCCCAGTAGGACATCATTGTTGGCTGCTCTCCAGGTGCTAGAGCCCAATGACCGGAAAGAGCGACCAACACCACCGGTATTAGTACGGAGTAGGAAGTCGAAAACTATGAGAGCCATGCAAGTAGTAATACTCAGCACATTCGACGTGGTCCTTGGGGTTGGTGCACGGCCTGTAATTGGCTTCGGCATGAGTAACAGCAGTGTCATTTCTTCCTAACCTTGGCCTGGACAATGGCGACACGAGCCAAGCTGTCTTTCCAAGCAAGGGCGTATCGGCAGCGATGCCAGTTTCTTCACCCACGGGCACACGGGTGAAGTGAAACAGATTGATAGTCCAAGAAATTATCAGAGTATCACATACTTCAGAGTGCCTGGCCGGAGTGAGCAAGCGAGTCATTACATCGTAAACCCAGTCCAAAACATGGACTACAACATGAGCGGTCCACCACCGGCTGCGTACCCAGGTAGATAGCGACTTCCATGCCCTTGACGCTCGAAAGCCCCCCAGCATTCGTGTCTATGCCATCCTATATTTGCCAAGCGGTCCCTCTGTGAACAAACGTGTCACTTCCATCTTCCATGATCATCACCGCCAGCCTATTCTGCCGGATGTAAATACGCCACTGTACTTGTTCACACCACGGGCCCGAGAACTCCATAGTCCCAATACACCATCTCAAACACGCACTCACGTCAGAGTACTCAGCATTGCGCGGACAAGTCGAGGCGGTGGACCTGCGCGATGCCAAATCAGCGGCCGGTCCAACAAGCCAGATGTCTGCACATCAGGGCGCACCTTATCGGTATTTTGGTACGCTGATGGACATCCTACCTTTCTTGTCCTTTTCAATCCGCGGCGGCTTGGGGCCAGCAATTTCCCTCTCCACCTTCTCCTCGTACACGACTAGCTGACCGTCAGGTAGCCTCTCAGTGCGGATAATTTCGCGCTCGCCAAGGTCGCCTCGGGGGCGGTGAGCCAGCTCCATCTCCAGAGCCCGTATCTCGGCTCGGATGTCTCGCCCAGAGCGAGACCGGGATCGAGAACGCTCCACGACTGGGCCGACAACTAGTTCATCATGATGGTGATGGTGATGGTGGTGGTGCGGGTAGGTATCATAGCTTGTAGAAGTCGTAACAGTTCTGGCTGGCGAGGACTCGCGGATTACAGTCTTCGTCCTGTCGACTATCTCGACCGCAGGCGCGGCGTCAACGACCACAGGGGCTGGTGGAGGCGGAGGGATAACCACTTGAGGGGGAGGAGGCGGCGGTGGTACTGCCACGGGTGGCGGAATGACGAATTCCTCCTTGCGCTCCTCGATGGCCCCAGCCGATGAACGTGCTGCGGCTACCTCGAGCTCGGCTAGTGAGTCGGTCAGCGTGGGCCAATGTACCGTTAAAGTTTGAACCTGCCTTTGTTGTACTCCTCACTCAGCTTGAGCAGCTCGTCAATGTTGTCTTGGCCAAGGGCCTTCTGGACAATTATCGTGTTCCCCTAGAGAAGGCTGTGAGTAGGGGTAATAGCTACGTGAGTATGACAAACCTACCTCTTCCACGTAAGGGTAGCCGAGATCGATCAGAGCACGCTTGGACACAAGCCTCGCGGGAATCTTCGTCTTGCCCTTCTTCGGATACTCGCTCCGGACGGTCGTCCCTCCGGCGCTGCTGGATGAATGGCTAGTTGTCGAGGAGGAGCGAGAGCTAGCACGATGAGTACGAGTCCGGGTGGAACGAGACTCGCGGCTCCGATCCCTCCGCTCTCGCTCGCGGACTAATTCCCGCTCGCGGACCCGCTCGGGGTATGGACGGTACTCGTCGTCGCCATAGCGATCAGGATCAACGACGTTTATATCGTCGTAGAAACCTCGGTCGCGATATTGTCTTGGGGGTGGCAGTCCACGGGTCTTTGGCAGAGGAATAGGCGTGTATGGAGGTGCACGATAGTCCTCGCGGTAAATGTCTTCGCGGCGGGCCGGGGCAGGGTATTCTTCACGCGGTTCATAGATGCGTCGGAGCGGGCGCCGGTCGAAGGTGTCCAGGGACGATTGACGCCGGAGAAAGGCAGGCCGCCTGGGAGAAGAATCGCGGTAATACTCGCGGTCGCGCTCCTTTTCCATGACAACCCGGCGGTCGTAGTCGGGGCCCGAGGGTGCTCGTTCCCGCCTTGGGTCAAAGCGCGGCTCATCGTCATAATATCGTCGGTCGCGGACCAGGTCGTCATCGTGGTATCTGGGACGGTCATGCCTTTCGTCGGAATGGTCACGGCTGCGCCCGCCTCTCATGTAATATCGGTCATCTTCGACGCGGTCCCGCTCGTACATGAAGCGATCCCGGTCCCAGCGCTCGCCGGCCATGGCTGTGTTTTCGTTCAACGGCGGTGACGACGCTGGCTAGAGTGCAACGTATAAATGTGTGACTTAGCACTGCGTGCAACCGCTGAGCGACAGTTGCACCTAACGCGGGTGGAAGACGTGATGTGCCGATCGGACAAAGGCTTGCCTTCTCTTTACCGATGCCGGTGCTAGCAAATCCTTTGGCGTGGGAGAGAAATCGTGTGCTAGGGAGAAGCGGTGCAAGAAGAAGCCGAGGGCACGCAGCAGCGGGAGGCGGAAGCCAAGGAGGGCCACGAGGGGGGCGATGACGTCGGACTGTAGGAGATGCCCCGCCTTGGTTGGTGGGAGGTTCCAGGTTTGGGGTGGCAGATGGACGGGCGATTTGGCAGGCGCGAGCCACTCAGTGCGGCGCTTCAGCTGCCTTCAAGCACGCACAGCCACGACTCGAGGACAAAGTCCGACCTGATGACCTCGTCGACAGTGGCCCAACTGACCCGGGCGAGAGGTCATCCGTGGGAGAACCTGGGTTGTAGCGAGCAGCCAGAACGGTGACGGCCACGCGAATCTGAGGGCCAAGGTCTGCCGTATTATATTGCCCTCCATGCTCAGTCTACGCGGCTACGGATTGTTGCGCACTGCTGCGATCGTGAGTCGTCGCAACGCATGAGGCCCAATGCTTGCAAGGAAAAGGGAGGCTGGTGTTTGGCTTTGGTTGGGTTGCTGCTCGACGCCTGATGGTGGGGACGCCGGTGGCCCAAGATGGCTGCCATGGCCTCGTACAGTGCTGTACATGTGCCCGCGACTCCGCCGGCACCAAGTAGTGCGTCCCAGCTGACCAGGATGAGGCCTTGAGCCTTGAGCGAGCCCGCGATACCGTTGCGATGCCTCCCGATAGTGTCAGCGGCCAACGCTCGCGCAGATCCAGCCGCTGCACGCACGAAACTCCTCGATCGCGCATGCAAGAACCTGCCCGCCACCCTTTGTCGGTTGACCCAAATCCAAAATCCGCTCCACGTCGCGGAAGCGGCCCTCGCCGGCGGGTAGACGAGCCGCTCCTTCGACCCGCGCTCTAACAGCAGCCATCCGGGCTCTAACGCCACGCTGCGCCCACACTGTCCCACAACCTCAAAGCCCGGGCACTGTGGCCACGCTTGCCAAGGTCACCCACGCATCCACGCCAATTTACCTTCAACTATTGCCCACTTTTCGAGGGCGTGCACCCTTTCTGGCTCGGAGGGGAGATTGGGCAGCGAGGGAGTTCTTCGTTCTCTCCATTGTTTGCAAGATCTTTTCGGGGCTGGGGATGCGACATCGGGCAAGACGTCGTGCTCGATGGGCCGCATCACGTTGCGGCGGCGGTTTTGCTCCTGCAACGGTTGCAGACCCATCCATCGTCTCGCCCACAGGCGGGTAATGCCGGTGGGCGCAATACCGAGCCCTGCATATGCCAACCCGCAGCCGGGCTAGTGCCTGGCTCTTCATAATTTGGTACAAAGGCACCACCTGGAACCACTATGGCTAACTGCTCCTGTGCGAAGCATCCGATACGAATGCAAGACGGCGAGTTAATGTCACGCTGTGGCACCCAAAACGCCATCCGTCTGCAGCTCGCCGGGTCTTGTTCTCGATCTCCGCGCCGAGGCACCATGCTGACAGCCTGCCGGTAGAGCCAGTTTTGCTCTGCATACAAGCACGAATTCGTACTTCATGAAGGCCGGATTCCAAACCATTCGGCAAGGAGGGACAGCACGGACCGCCCAAGCCGCCTCAGCCGCCCACCACCCGGAACGGGAAGACTGACACGGCACTACCGATCATCGGGTACCGAGGGAGTGGGTCGTTTCCAGGGCTTGCGAGGCTCGGCTTCGACTGGGGTCGCAAATGCCTCGTGCTGCGATTTGGGGGCCGCGGAGCATTCCCTGTCATGCAGCAGCGCTATCTGAGTCAGGCCAGGCGCCTCAGTGACATCGCGACCACGTTTGATGAGACTGCCTGTTTCTATCCCTGTCAATCCCTCCATTTAGGCGAATGCTCGCCAGCGATCTTCAACCCTTGCGGTTACTGGCACTTGGCGGATGGGCGGTGCCAGTCCATCTCCACGCTCCCCTGAAGGCAAGTTTGACAGCACGGGTGAACTCTTGGGTGAATGCTCTGTCATTGTTCACAGGATGACAGGTCATCAAACTAACAACTGACAGCACGTCTTTGTTCATCACAGTCCGTGCAGACTCAACAAGATCGGATTCGAGGCTGCTCCCGACGAATGCTGGGATTCTGGATATAAGTGGCTGACTTGCAAGACTGGACGAGCGTGAGAGCTCAAGGGCCTGGCTTTCGTCACTATGGCGCATATTTCTGCACCATCTTGAGGATTGCTGCGTCCACCTCCTTTGGACTGGTTGCGTTGAGGTAATGGCCGCCTCCTTCGACAAAATCCAGCGTCGCCTCGGGCGCGTTTGTAAACAATTTGATGTGCTCTTCTGCTACCGGACGCCCAAACACCGGGTCCTCAACACCCTGCCATGATGAAGTTAGCAAGCCGGAATCCTTCCGTCGCCAGGGGGACACGAACGTGGAGCCAGTAGACGGGGCACTTGATGTCTCTCAGTCGAAGCAGCAGCCCATCCCTCTCAAGGAGATTGATCAGAGCCATGCGGAGCTTCTTCCGGCCCTCATCACCCGAGTACACGGCCTTGAGGGTTTCGTCCCAAAAGGATAGGGTCTCCGCTGTGACGGTGCTGGAGAACCCCAGCTTCGCAACCATGCCGCGCCAGACCTCGTCGACGACGAAGTCCGGGGTAGGCACGGGGCTAGACCAGGCCTCATAGAAAGGGGCCAGTTGGGTTTTCGGGTCCCAGCAACCCTTCTCACGGGACGCCGCAGACTCGTAATCCATTGAGCTACCGAGAGGCAGCAAGCCCAGGATCTATTCTCAATTAGCCGTCTTCGAATCGCTCGTTGCGAAAGAAACCTGAAGGCAGAATGCTGCCGCGAACCCCGGCAGGCGCGGCAACCTGTCAAAAACCGATCGAACCGGGGCACATACCCTGTCTGGCGCGAGAAGCGCCATACGCACAACCATCCACCCACCTTGGCTGGTGCCAAGAGCGAACGCCTTGGGGACGTTCAAGGCGTCCATGACCTGCAAGGCCATTGTTGCGGTGTCCCAGTAAGTGAACTGTTCCGACGGAGAGCTGGTGGCACCGTGGCCAAGCGGCTCGATGGCAAGGAGGTTGGTGACATCGGTGAGGGCCTTGTTCTCAAATTGCACGTTGAACAGAGACGACGTCGTGCACATGGAGTTGATGAGGACCACGGTGGGCTTTGCAGGGTTGATTCTTTCCCCGGAAACGCGGTAGCCGACGGTAATGCCACCCAGGTGAGGGACCTTGACAGTCGTGGTAGCGGCCATTTTCTGTCACTATCTCTTTCGAAGGATTTGGTCAACAAAAGCAATGTGACAGCTTGGCCCAATATGCGAAGCGGAGGTAATGCAACTGAGGAGCCAGCCTCAAAGGCAACCTGTGGGCTGTGCGCTGGTTTTGTTGCCGTCCGAGGCACAACACATGGACCGAGGGGCAAGTCCTCCGTGGACTTCTTGTACAAGCCATAGCCATGTCCTCTTCAACAACTGGCTGTCGCAGAGTTCCGCTCGGCTTGCATTCCCTATCATGGTCACTCTGCCCGCTTACCCCGCTTGGAGCAGCGACTCTTCACTAATTTACAAGTGCCAGGGCCCCGGCTGCGCTAAGTGGTTCCCCGAGGCTCATGGGCGACTAGTAATAACTGGAGTCGAACGACCTTGTCCAGTTCGTCGGCAAAACGAAACATGGCAGGTAGGGGTGCCAACCCTCGGCCGCGCCAGCGCATGTATCAGCCATGTCGCCGCGCAAAGCGGACGCAGGGAGGATCCATCTGCCGGCACTACTTTTTTTGCCGTCCTCGAGGCCGTTGGAAGTGGGTTTGGTCGAAAGATGGCGTCGGGTGCCATGGGCTCTCAAGAGACTGCCGATCATCTTGTTCCCTGTCAAACTCAGTCTGCATGTGCAGAGTCCCCCTGAAGCGTCTTTGTTGAAGAACTGCCTCCGATTCTTAAGCCTTCGCGCTTGCCCCTCGTGTGTCTTGATGCCGTGACTTTTTCTATACCAGCTTGGACAGCAAAGCAGCCATGGCATCAAGCGACAAATCGCCGCTTCCAGGCCTCCCGGGATTCGACCCGGACAACCTGCAGCCGTGGACTGTCCAAGTTGTTGCCTCCGTTACTGTACTGGCAGTCGTTGCCGTCACCCTGCGAATCGTGAGCCGAAAACTGAAGCATCAGCCGCTATGGTGGGACGACGGAATGATTGTCTTCTCCCTAGTAAGTCGTGGAAGTGGGCGAGACAGGAGCTAAACAGGGACCTGACATTGAACGCAGTGCTGGAACCTTGTGGTCGTCGGCTTCATCTTCGCCATGTACTCGGCAGGGATGGGCATTCACGCTGACAAAGTTGAACCCACGTCCATTGTCATGATGGCCAAATGGCTCGTCGTCGCGGAAGTCCTCTACGCCTGGAACCTTGGCTGGACCAAAACAGCGTTGTTGCTCATGTACTACCGCATATTCCATCTTCCTTACTTCAAGAAGATGGCGTGGATAGTCGGCGCGTTCGTCTGGGCGTGGGTGATTTGCATCACTTTCCTCTTCATCTTCATCTGCGTACCGGTTCAGAAGCTATGGTACCAGGACATCCCGGGACACTGCATCAACCAGGTCGGCACTTGGATAGCCAACGCCGCATCCACGATCTTGACTGATCTCATCATCCTGCTAATGCCGATACCGCAAATTTGGAGCCTACAACTACGCAAGACGGAGAAGATCGGTCTAACTCTAGCATTCTGCCTGGGCTTTTTGTGAGACACACTTTATCTCGAACTCTCAAGCAACCCTGCTAAATGTTTACAGCGTCGTCTTTGCATCTGCCTACCGAACGAGCGTTCTCTTCACATATACCAACACAGACCCGACATATACCCTCGCCCCCACCGTCGGATGGACTGCCATCGAAATGTCTGCCGGCATAGTCTCTGCGTGCCTACCGACGCTCCTCCCCATCGTTCTGATTTTCCTCCGCTGGTGCGGCCTCAAGCGCGATCCGTCGGCAATTCAGGTAGACGGCGACATGCCCTTGACCTTCGGCGGGTCTGGCGGCAAGGACTCCAAGGGGTCCAAAGGAGGTAGCGGTAAACGCTCCCGCGGGATGGATTCGGCACTGCGAACACAAGATGATGTGCGAGGGGGCGATAAGACCTTCTATAGGCTGCCGGACGACACAGAATCCGACAGTATCGTGTCCGGGCGAGTGAAGCCCGACGGCGAGGTGCCGACGACGTATTTGGACTCGAAGCTGCGACCAGATGTACGAGGGTATGAGCATACGACCAGGAGTTTTACCGCAGGTGGGCATGCCAACAGCAAGGATAACATTCCAATGCATTCGATTCGCGTGGACACCGACTTTCAGCAGTCCACCTACAAGCAATGATTCTTCGCTACCGAGCTTAGCGTTTTCGGACCGATTCTATCTTGGTAAAAAGTACAATGTTGGCGAATGAAGAAAAGACGTCAAAAGCAGCTTCTTTACGTTATAACCACTCTGATGTTTCTACCGCTAAGACTTGTACGAAATATGGCGTTTTCAATGAGACATAGAGCCTTGGATCCGAGAAAGTGCTGATTCGAACGAGCCTGATCTTGCTTTGTGAACCTTCAAAACTGAACGTAAATGTTACATGTCTCCCATTTTCGCCCCAACCCCGTCGCTTCCGGTGACTCCTGGGCGTTTGTGCCTACTCACTGGTGTTCTAAATACTGAACAATCGATTGTTTGAAGTGCCTAGGCAATGTACCCAGCTCAGCAACCGAGCTCGACTGCTTGAGCGAACAGGGCGTAGGTGTCGGCGTGGTTGAGATTCATTTGTGGAGGAAGGCTGCGGATAAAGTCATAACCATAGCCGGCGTAATCTTCGGTGCCCTGAATGTGGCGAAGGTGGGTTACCTCATGAAGAACTACGTTCCCCTGGTCTTGTTCGTGACAGCCGCGACTCTGATAAGGTGTTTGGTAAAACCCTGGACAATAAGCCATGAGCCCCATACTCGGCATCGTGTAGGCCAATATCGCGTCAGAGCACTGGTTCATTGCGTCACCACAGAAGAACTTCGCGCCAGAGGTCATACTGGAGCACTCTTGCGCAATTCGTCCGTATACTGCTGAGACGACGCCACGGGCTTCAGGGTCGGACCTCTTAAAGTACTCCACGAACCTCCGAGTGCCTTGACAGGCTTCTTGCTGAGATCTTTGTGCAAGGCGAGCACAATGAGTGATATCTGCTTGTATGGCTCGGGCTGCCTGGCTCTGGCAGTCTCCCTGAACTCGGCTGCGCTTGTGGACAGCAGCATGAATTGCAGCAGATGCGACGCCGTCGATCTCCGCCGTGAGGTAGTTCGAGACATATGGGACTGACCGAACCAGATTATGTTGCTCATCAGCGACAGCAAAAAAGCCATCGGCAACGAATCCAAATTTTCCTCCAGAAGAAAGGTCGTGGGCTTCTGCAGCATCGAACTTCGTCTCAATTCGCTGGCCAGGGGCAATTATCTCGAAACTGCTGTGGTTAAGCGCGTGCTTAGCCACATGAACATGAACACCTTTGAAAGGCACTGGATCCATCCTGTCTGCTGGTGGTGTCAGTGACTATCGGCTCTAGAACATGAATCCGTTCACAGTATCCCATCACAACGTATCCATACCTCCAGAGAAGACACGAACTTTCTCGTTCAGGGTGGCACAGAGAAGACCGCCAGTCTTGAGAATCTTGTGTGCTTTGTCGTCTTTATTGGTAATTGTGACTCTAAGTGTAGAGTTTCCGTGAAGCTCAAGTTTCACATCGAAAGGAGACAGGGCCCCTTTTTCTGTCGAGGGAGCACCGCTTGCCATTACTGCGAGGAAAATAATTGCTGAAATGGACTTCATGATTGAGTCCAGGGCCATTGAGTTGCAGAAGATAGTACCTATTGCTTAGGCTGCTGATATGTGGGCATTTCGCCCTTCAGTCTCACGGGTCTGTGGGGAGGTTTATATCACGTCGAAATGGAGAGAAGCAACAAGCTCCCGCATTCGCTTCTACGGTATAAGGGACGAGGTAAGCGCACGCCGTCCGTTCACATGATGCTGACAATGCGTCTGTCTCTCCGACTTATCCAATATACCCCAAGCCGATCAAAACCCCCCGCAATCAATACTCGACCGCCAAGAGGCTTCGTAAAGCCTTACCGACCCGAAGCATGAGCGTTGGTGCCGCCCAGTGCTCTTGGCGGGACCATGGTGAGGAGTCAGCTTGCCACCATTCGTCAGGGCCCACGAGCGACCAAGTTAACAGCCGATTGCACTTGGATGTGAGCCATATTTTGATTGAATGCCTGCTAGCCACGGGATTTGCATTCTCACAAGCACCCGCAGCTGGGTGAGAACGTCGCCCGAACCTGCAGGGCCGGAGGGCACGGCCTATGGACTGGAGGCTAAAGACCCTCTTAAGGCTTGCCTGGACACGACAGGAGCACGATGTTGGAATGGTACTCTGCATGCAGATTCAAGCAAGCATGCTGCAGCTATTGGCGATCATGTCGCCGATTGATGAAGGTGCAGCCGGATCATTGGATTACATATATATGTATCTTGCGCACCTGGCCTTACATCCCTCTGAGCGTCACGTCGCTTGGCGGGGTGTGGACAGCCAGTTGGTTTGTATCTTTACCTACGCTTATAAGCTTGGTCAGCTAATGTCTTCGGTTCTATGTACCAAAATCTTTGGTGGCAAGCTCGAAGAAGGAGACGATGAAACTGGTCTGGCACAATGCTCGTCGCAAAGGAGTCTGATCGCCGCTTGTCGCATGAACCTTCCAGTGTACAAAGCACATACCCGGCTCACGTATGCTTCCCCGTCCCTTGGCTCACTGCCCGAGGTTGTCTCAACTAAACGAGGGAACCAAGAATGAGACCAGTGTCCGACGGTTTCAACAGCTCGTTGAACCGTGGCGTCCATCAAGACTAGTTCTGCATTGATGATTTCACATTTACAGGCTGCGGAAAGCGCGAAATATTTTCGGACGTGATTCCTCGTAAGGAGTTCGATTTCGCCCCTCATTTTTGCGTCTGACCGACCTGGAAATGTCTGGTACACGACGAGTGTCACTCATCATGACCTGTGACGTCTTGCACCTCGGGCGGGGTCCCGTCGCCCATTTACCAGCAATTCCATCCAAAGGCTAGGGTAGAACTTTCGTGACAGTGATATTCTGCGAGGAGCAAACCACGATGAACGAAACATTGCCTGTGCGTCATAGCTTTGGATGCGATTTGGGTACGCGCCCGCCTGTCCTGTGGCTCACAGCTGGATGAGGTTGGGATCGAAAGACCCAGTTGTTGTGCCAGCAACAGACTGGGTGGGAACGTCAGCATGCATGAACGCTATGGCGTGCACGGTGCACGGACCGCAGTAACCGCACTACCGCAACGAGTGTCCTGTCAACTGCGGGACACCTCCACAGACACACTGTCAATTTCCAAAGGCACTGGGATATCTTCTGCACGTTCACTCGACGTCAAAGCACGTTTGCCTATTGACAGTGCCTCTTGATGGCCGTGCGGCACCCTGGTCTGGCCTTTCACGCATAGCGCCAGAACAACGCCGTGCGTCAAGCAAGCGACGCGTCAATGCGCGCTCTACAAAAGTCAGCACAGTAGCCCAGGTCCCGTCCGCGCTTGCAGGAGAGCAAAGCACTGCAGACTCATCCAGCTGACGATGAGCAGATGTTGATGTTGCCATGAGTCCAATCGAGCCCGTCGTTTCCGCACAGGAGCCCTTGCCGCCCGGCTATGGCTTTCTCAGAAAAGGAAACCCCTTCATGACCGCCCTTTGCCGCCGCAAGACGCATGCTGCACACAAAGCTCTCTACGTGGTGCGGGACAAGCGAGCTATCGTCGGCCTCCGCGCCCCGAAATGGATCTTGAGCGAGGTCTACCAGGAAGAGCGCGAAAGTAGATTGAGGCGGCAAGCCAATGTCGAGAAGCGTGACAGTGGCATGGAGAACGAGTTCAGAGGCGCTATTGAACGAATGTTTCCCAATGTACCACCAGAAGCTCTCACCAAGATCATCAAGCGGGCCACGAAGAAGAGAACCGGGAGGGTAGGGAGGACAGCAAAGCTGACGCTGGGCGAAAAGGTGCGCCTTGCAGTAGCCGCCCACATTCGACATTGTCATACACCATACGAGCGGATCTTGGGTAAGACCAAAGACAGAGCCGGGGCAAGGAAAACAGTGCTTCCGCAGGTCAACAAGCTAATGGAAGAATGGGGTTGGCGGGACGCGGACGGTAGGAGTGGGATGAGCGGGAAGAAGAGACGCGACGTGGCTCAGAGAGCAGCACCGGCGACACGGGCTGGCCGGACGCACCGCTCCCCGGCCAGCTCTGCACCCCGGCCAATGCCAAGCAGGGAAGCAACAGCAGTGAGCAATGGCGCATCATCCAAAGCAGGTGCGTCGCCGCAGAACGCAATTGAGATATCAGACTCTTGCGCGGAGACTGACACGGACTCGGACCAACCGTCGTGGGATGAGGATTCCGAGGCAGACAGTGGGGATCGGGAATGGATATTGATTGAGGATAGCGACGAGTGACAAGAACCCCTCCTTGCCGGCGACTGGAATCGACGTTTAGTATTGTACAGGGTGCTTTGTACATCAATTTCTAATGGGATGCTCTTGTCAATCGTGCTCGCACTGCAAGACTCGGGATCGCGACAGAGCACTTTCAGCGCAGAGTCGAACAGTGTCACGAGGACAACCAACTCCACAGAGCGCCGCGGATTTTGCCGCACAATCCAAGCAACCCAAGGTGCCTATCAGAATTGGTGTGCTGCTGGAGCTGCCCGGCATATTATGTACCTCAGCCCCTAACGATCACTTTCACCGTGTCAAGGCCGATGAGCTGTCGAAAGTGACGGGGCCCACCATCGCGGCACGGCTGCAGGCTGCAGGCTGGAGGCTGCAGCTCATCCGCCCGTGCTACCGAGCTGGCGCCCGCCGTGGGCCGGCAGCCATGTGGCGCCTCCTGGGAGCCGATCTCACAGACAGACAGCACAGTCCATGTGCCTGTACCAAGTACCTACACGCCCTCCAGGCTGATTGAGCAAGGCGACTCAGGTGGCCTTCATTTTGCCCTGCATACGCACAGCTGTCGGGCTCATAGTTTTGGCTGTATTTGAGGCCTTCGAATTTGGGGCTAGGCGCATTGTCCCATACTTCTTGCTTTGTTTCGACATGCTTCCTGTCTGCCGGGCAACGTCTTGCCCCACGTGATACCGTGCTACCTGGGTACCTCGTACCTGACCAATACCACGCCGCTCGTCTCTCAGACTTTCCAAAGAGGATCTCATTCCGGATCGCGTCCGTGTCAAGTCCCCTGACAAGGGTCCGAATTGAGCTGTCGAGCGTCCTGTGCGAACCACACGCCGTCGCTACGATTATCAATGCCCTCGTCCCCTCTTTTTTGACTGCAAATTACTGTGACCTGGCCACATCGATGCCTTCTTGACGCCCGTCAGTCGTCGTACACGGGCCTCGACAGCCTTTGTTTACTTTTGCCCCTCGACCAGCACCTTGCCGCGGCACAGATCGACTGCCTGGTGCACGCGAAATTTGACCTCTCAATCACGCAGTAAGTACGTCATGGAGCGCCGCTCAGCACATGCAGAGGGCAGGATATGCAGTGCTTATGCCATGGCTTTGAAGCATCAGTTCGTCCAGTTCGAATGGATGGCGCTCCCGAACGCCCCAGCGGCATCCCGCGCCTCTCGAGGCTACCGGTGCCGCGCTCTTCAGCCCTCCCCAAACCTTCGGGCGTACCCGCACCGTCACCCAGCCGCTCCGTGCCGTCGAGGGAGAGCGTGACCTACGGCATGTCGGGAGCCCGAGAGCTTAACGTGCCTAAGCTGCGAGCGTCGTCATCACGAAACCAGCTGCGATCTGCTGCAAGCAACACCAGCGGGCGGGAGACACCTTTACGGGCCCCGGCATCCCGCGATCAGCTTCGTCCCACAGCAGGAGCAAAGCCGATTCAGAAGCCGCAGGCAACGAGGCCGCAGACATCCCGAGTTTCTTCTCAGCCCAACCGGCGAATAAGCAGCAGCCACATTCGGCCGCCTCCCTGCGATGGCCTGCCTGAGGCTCGATCAAGGGCACAGCTAACAGGGCCCTCCCCGCCGTTGAGCGAAAACGATGATTGGGACAGCATCTCTACCAAACTCGAACCGGCCGCGACCCCCGAACCCGCGGGCAGATCGCGCCCCTCCCTCGCTGAGCGCACGATGGAAACTTTGGCTCGGCTCCCATCCTCGCCCGCTATGAGCAAGAAGTCGTCCACATTTTTTGAGCCAGCACGACCATCACGAGCTACTAGCGGTAACTCGCGACCTGGATCGAGCTATACCTCCGACGGATCGGGGAGAGCCTCCTCCAGACAAGGCAGCAGGCCCGGGTCGAGTGATGACCATCAAGATGCCCCATACTATAGCGCTCGCGCCGCCGCGGCCGTCCGCAAGAACTCTGTTGCCTCGACTATTGGCGGTACCCCTCACAGACAGTCAACGACGGGAAAGTTCGAGACCCCGAGCGCAAAACAAGCCTTCAGTCGCCTGTCCACCCCAGTATTCAAAAGCGTGGTACCGCCGTTGCCGTCTCCCGTCGACGAAAGGAATGCCAGTCCAGGTGCGCGATCTGTAGGGCCAAATCCACTCGGGTCAGGGGCAAAGACCGTGTCGGCACGGCCGTCCAAGCCCAGAGCATCTGTGGGAGAGCTGCTAAGGAAGCCCTCTCTCCCAAATCTGACCAAGGACACCAGCAATCCAGCCCCAGAATCAGCTGCAGCCTGGGATGGGACAATACCATCTCCGTCTCATGCAGCTGGCTCTCTTAAAACAGCCCCGTCGCCTGCGTCTCTGTCAACTCGCAAATCTTCGGCGGCGCTGAGAGAACAAATTGCGAAAGCCAAGGCTGCCAAACGAGCAGCTGTCCGGCGAACATCCGCAACTCTGGAGCTATCATCTGGTGGTGGCTTGCAACAATTTTCCCATGACGACCAATTCGAGTTCGCTGTGGACCATGACGACCCATTCAACCTTCGCAAAGGCGAACATCCCGGCGCCAAGGTATTGAAACAGCGGGTGGTGGCAGCTCGCACAAGTGGGCGCCTCAACATTGCGGCTCTTGGTCTCCAAGAAATTCCACCAGAAGTCCTGAACATGTATGACTTGGAAAGCATCGGGGCCCAGGATGGCAGCTGGGCCGAAAGCGTGGATCTCACCAGGCTTGTGGCCGCTGATAATCAGCTCGAAAAGTTGGATGACGCCATCTTTCCCGACACGAGCCTGGATGCGCTCCGGGACGACGATGATAGCCAGGGCAACATTTTCGGTGGTCTGGAGACACTCGATCTGCACGGCAATCTGCTTTTCCATGTGCCATTGGGCTTCCGTCGGCTCACACAGCTGACGTCTCTCAATCTGGTGGGTTCGAATTTGAAGGCAGAACTCTGCATTGTTGGGCTGACGCGCCATAGTCATCAAACCGGCTCGACAATAGCTGCCTCGATGTAGTCTCACAGATGACTAGTCTTCGAGACCTAAAGATGGCGAACAACTCTTTGACCGGTCCACTAGATGCAGCAATCGCAAGTCTTGAGCTACTGGAAATGCTCGATGTCCACGGAAACAATCTCTCTGCTCTGCCCTTGAGCATGGAGAAGTTGTCGCGGCTGCGCATCTTGAATTTGAGCGAGAACCACCTGGAGTCGCTGCCTTTCGATGCTCTGGCGAAAATGCCACTGACGGAGCTCACTGTGAAGAAGAACAGGCTGAGCGGAACCCTTATCCAGGATTCTGTTGGGATGCTCCCTTGCTTACAGTCACTGGACGCATCTTCGAATCAGCTCACCCAGCTGATATCACCAGACACCAGTATCAGCCTTCCTGCGGTCCATGCTGTGTCGCTATCTATGAACAGATTGCGAGCACTGCCAGACATGTCGTCGTGGACAAACCTTCTGACGCTGGCTGTGGACGAGAATAGTATTGCCACTATTCCTAACAGCTTCACTGGCCTCGAGAAACTGCGCCACGCTGATTTTGCGAGTAATGATATCCGCGTCGTGCCCCCGGAGATCTCTCGAATGGCTGCTTTGGCTGTGCTTCGGTTGGCCGGCAACCCTCTACGGGACAGGAAGCTCATAACCGCTTCAATCGACGAGCTCAAGGAAACACTGGCGGTGCGATTGGAGCCGCCGCCGCCTTACCAAGAAACTAGAGAGCAGGCGACGATTACTGGATTGATGGAACGACTCGTGGAGCTGGACAGCAAGGCGATGCCTGCAGTGGACTTGTCCACCGGCCACGAGGCAATAGATGACGATTGCCGATCCGACGGCGATGACCACTTCGCAACGCCGCCCACCTCAGCGCCGCATTCGCCTAGTCGGTCACGGTCTCACACGATAGGCAGCGACTTGTCGATGTCCCCGAGCAAGCAGACACAGGGCTGGATTGTCAAGGCTGGCGGTCTGGTTGACCGATCGCGGACGGATTCATCCGTGCTGGACCCTGCGATGTGCACGGCATTGGCCGCTCAACATCAGGTGCGGCAGGCACAGTTGCACCACAACCTCTTCACTTGCATCCCCGCCTCCTTGAGCGTCTTCGGGGCGACTCTTAGTTCGCTCTCGCTGACGCATAATCATCTGGCTGGCGACACGTTCTTGACTGCGCGACTGGAACTGCCTGCACTGCGGGAATTGAACTTGGCATCGAACCACATCACAAGCCTGCAATCATTGATCCAACATCTCGACTCTCCGGTCCTGGAGAAGATTGATGTCTCCCTGAATCGCATCAAATCTCTGCCGGAGAACTTGAAGCAAGCCTTTCCCCAACTAACAGTACTATTGGCTGCAAATAACCAGCTAAATGAGCTTGACGCCGAGACAATCAGAGGCTTGCGGATTGTCGACGCATCCAACAACGATATTGCGTATCTGAACCCTCGCATCGGGCTGCTTGGCGGGCATCAGGGACTGCATAGACTCGAGGTAACGGGCAATCGGTTCAAAGTCCCTAGGTGGAATATTTTGGAACGCGGCACTGAGGCAACGCTGCAATGGTTGCGAGGGCGCGTACCCGCCGAAGACATGGCTGCATGGAAGGAGGAAAACGGCGACGACAGTGACTCGACTGGCGAGTGACACAGAAAGCGAATGCGCCGCTTACTCTCTTGTGAGTTGAGGCTTGAACCCTCAGTGCAGTTGGTGGGCCTCGTGTCCCCGCCTTCCTTCCCCGGCATTGACTCGTGATACCAAACCTGAGTCTTGTCGGAGAGGTTGACCTCTCTTTCTGAGACAGGCCAGTGTTCAAGCATGCATTCAATGTAGAGATCATGGTATTGTGTTAGAGCCAGGAGAGTGTTGACCCGTGTTAAGACTCAATACACCATCGCTGGACATGGAGCGAATGCAACTCTAGGAGTCGACTCGTAGTTCGGAGCCACTGGTACCGATTCACAATTCGCCATTACAGCTCCAGTGCGACGAGAAGTAGCTCGCCGTGACACGTACCACCGCTGCTGTTTGGAAGGCAGTTGCCCTCACCAAGTAAGACCCAGGTGTTAGCTTCCCAGCGCAAAACCCTCCACAGGGCGGCAGGAGTGATCAGTCTTCGCCGAGCATCATCATCAGACACTTCGAGCCCTGCTGTCCATCTCACAGGTGGCATCATGCGGTCTGATCTGACTCGTCAATTAATCTATCACCCATATCCGGACGGCGCTCGACATTGCTCGACATACATTCACAAAGCAGACTTCTAAGATACACATCTTTACTGCTCGACTCACTGTCGACGGCAACGCAGCTACCTCAAAACTCAGCCAGGCTTCCGTTTCCCGGAAACCCAAACCACGACATCGAGTTTATCTCCGCCGCTCCGACCGTATCTATACTACAGCGAGGCCGCCATATCTTCAACAAGTCCGCCATGACTGGAGCGACGGGGGCCGACTCCAGCGCGCTCTGGAAACTGCTGATCCCGATATCGGTGTGTGGATGGCTCACATTTGGCGTCATCTGTATCCTGTGCCTCAATGGCCAAGGCAGGGCCGGGCGATGGGTGCCTGAGTGGTACCTCGATTCCGATAGGACACGGAGGGACAAGCTTGCTGTGGTACTGTGGTGGTTTGCTGTGTTGATCATGTGGCCTGTGATTCTGCCGCTGATGGGTGTACGGAGTTTACTTCACCATGGGAAGAAGAGCGTGGAAAAGAGGAGCAGAAAACGGCGCGTGCAGGCACACGAGCATGAGTGCGAGGAAGGCTATGTGCATCCAGGCACCTCGTGAGGATCTGGCGGGCGGTAGGGACGTCTGTTGTGTGTGCTCGGAGGGCAAATGCACTTTGGTTTAATGTTACAGAGAGCGTTCATAGACTATGGCATCTCTTCTTCGAAATCCGGAGTACTTTGCGTGTAACAATCGCCTGCTGTACTTCGTCCGTGGTCCAGAACTCCCAGGTCTGTCTGTACCTGGGCGAATCGGACGAAGCTGTTTCAAGTTGGAGACTGACACCCGGCATTATCGCGAAGCACTCGCAAAGCGTGAGCTAGATATTCTGAGACACCGCACTCACGTCTGCCTCTCGCTTGAACGGGTCAGTGTAACGCGTTCATATACGTGTGTGCAAGTGGAGACGTGGAAGGCTCATGCTCCGTAAACAAGGTGATTGTTTTCGGTGAGACTGTTCAAGGGGTTCGGCGGGAAATTCTCGGCTATTTCTGTTCGACCCCTGACCTGGCCCGGAACCGGCTCCCGCCAGCACAGGCCAACTGGATTGGGTCTAGCCCCTACCCCAGCGACAGCCAGCCTCTCGACTTTCTCCCCAGCAACAGCTCGCACGCAGCCGTGCCGCATCGTGACCTTTCAACAACTCTTCGATCTCCCGCTTCGCTGCAATTGAGCAACTCTCGCCCGAATCTACACGATTTTTGCGCACTCCAAATACCCCAACGCTCTACGCTATTGCGATAAGCTCCCCTGCAATATCGCCTTGCTCGAGCTGTGCGACCGCCTTCACGTGTTGAGACGTAGCTGGCGTCATCAGGCCGACCCCGTTAGGCACACAGACGTGCCTCTCCGGTGGTGCGGCTGAACACCTCGACCTCGCTCAGCAACGAAATCATCTCGAAAACAGTTCATCCCACCCTCTCAGTCGAACACACTGCATCAGTCATAATGGCTTCGGACACGGGACTTGAGACTCGGCAGCCGAATGGCGTGACGCCCGACGATGATGCCCTCAGTCCAATTGAGCCCGCCACTCCACGCGAGACCGGGCCGCCGCCTTCATCATCGCAGATCACATTGCCATCGACCGAAATACCAGGCTCACCGATAGACCCCAATCAGTCCTTCAAAACTGAAGCCAACGATGACAGGCCCGGTGCGACTGTAATACCCTCCTCTCTTACCCCACCACCGTCAACCCAGGTCGCCGCCCACGCCGCAAGCAACGCAAGGCGAACCTACTCACAATCACAGCAATCCGCGCTCTTTTCCCCGCCAGCCACCATTCTTCAAAACATCCGCGACCGCGACCTGGGCTCAGATTTCGTGCCCCCAGCGTCCCAACAAATCCTCGACGCTCCGGCCGACGAGCTTCGATCTATGCTGCAGACCTGCGTTGCCGAGCACCACAAGCTTAAAATGGAGGCTGCGCACCACAAATTGCAATACAACCTGCTGAGCCTGCAGGCAGAGGAGGACTCCAAGCGCGCTGCTGTGGAACACGACATGGTGCGCCGGGAGGTCGACGCACTTCGCTTGGCTGAGCATAGTCGACAAGCAAGACGGGAATTGAGTACGGCTTCCGAGTCCACACAGCTGAAGTACCTGCAGATGAAGAAGTGGTACGAGGAAGCCATGGAGGAAAATGAAACGCTTCACCGACGACTCAAAGCGGCCAAGAAAGTCATTCAACAGAAGGAGGAGGAGACTATTGGTCTTGCTGAGGAAAGGGACATGCTCCTTACAAGGATTCGGGAAAACCGCGAGCACTTCCACAGGCTGTGCAGTCCCGGCGGCATTTTCCATCACGCTCTGACCCCGAAGCAGCAGAGTGCCTCGACCCCGCAACAGTACCGAACAGCGCATCATCACACACCGAGATCAGCGCAACGTGATGAACACGACGTCCCGGAGCATGGTCTTTCCGCCTTGCTGCAAGCCATGAGCCAGGACAATAACAGCGCCCCATCTACACCACATCGTGCTGTCCAGCGTCACGCTGGGAAGCACAGTCGAAACGCTCAGTCCATGTCTTCGTTACCCACCACGCCGGTGAACCGAACCCGCGACGCGGCTCTACTGCCTTCCGTCGACTTGGTCCCCCAAACAGAACCACGCTATCGGCATACTCAGTCTCACTTCGCGACGACGACGCCAACACCCAAGCAAGAGAGGCGACGCAAGAGTAGAGAGAGCACGATATCAGTGGAGGATACGGAGGAGTTGGCCAGACAGGCCCTGGAGTCCGCCGCCGCTGCATCCTTTACATCACATTCATCGCGGCAACCGCTTCCACGCCATCGACGCCGCACTGAAGACGATGATGCCGAAGAGCTTGCCGGCAGTCAGGCGAGCCAGGCAGCTACCGAGATGCTCCGTCGAAATCCAGGGAGGAGCTTTGATATGCCCAGCTCGGCCGGCTCGCGGGATCTGTCCCCACACCCGACGGAGACGTCAGCCAGGATGCAAGCCAAGCTCCTATCAACTACAGGCAGCGGTGTGGACAAACGCAAGTTCAGCGAAGGGTTGCCGCTAGAGGACGACATCAGACGGGGTCATGGCAGCCCCCCAAAGAAGATGCGCGTTGGCGGCCCTCTGCCCGATGATCCGCGAGTTGGTTTGGGCATCCAGTACCGCGACTGAGATAGATCATGGGATCTGGCTTGGACATGTTATGTTGAAGAGTTACAAATGGCCCAGATGTCATAGATCGGCCCTGGCATATCTCATTGAGTGAGAACGAATGGATGAATACCAAGCTACCTTAGCAACACTTGTCGCGATTCCCTGGGGTCATCCAGCCATCGTGTGAGCACCTTACTGTCGTGTCCGGCAGCATTCTACCGCTTGCTTGCCAACATCGACCAGGTGTGTTAGGCCACTGCTGCCATTAATGCTTTGGCACACTCGCCAATGATGGCATCTTGATCCCCAATATACTTCCCGGTCATCTCGATGAGCGCTTTGAGAGCTCCCACATCGTCAAGCGCGCCCACATCTTTGTAGTCTTGGGGATGATGCACAACGTATGTGCCGCCAAGCCCAAACCAAGTTCGTTTCTCCTCATCCCAGGCAGGGATCTCCTGGCTCACGTTGAGGCGCCAGTACTTCTTCTCCATCGGCCGCGGGGCAAAGGCGTTCACGAGGGCGCGGAAGAGGATGTTGGTCAGTTCAGTATTGGTTGCAACGGCGGCGAAGGCGGCTTCGACAGTGTGGCTCGGAACAGCGCCAGGCGAAGGGATGGATTGGTTCGCGGCCATGCCTGTGCCGATGGAGAGGAAGCACGAGGTAGGCCGCGCGGGCCCAAAGACGGCCAGAACCTCTGTCCAAAGCCTGTCCGTCGCCAAGTTTCATGTCAGCATTGCTCGGTCCAACGCGCGCTTGTTGGCCAGCGGCTGGTCAGTGCACGTCGCGGCATTCAGGGGCTCATACCATCCCAGGGGGTTGTTCGCCCCCATGCCTCCATCAACGAGGGTGTAATTCCCGACCGTGATGGGGGCGAAGTATGCTGGCGCAGCAGACGTCGCACGCGCAGCCTGCCAGATCTTGATGTCAGGAATGAGGGACATCTCCTGCTTGTTCTGGTACGAGCGGAGGAAGATGGGCCCGCGATTGTTGCCGGCCTGCTGGGACACGGCCATGCAGAATCTGTGACAATGCAGGGTCAACGACTCAAAAGCCTCTTGCACCGTGACAGAAAGTCTGCTTACACTTTGCACGCGGGGTTGCCGGCGGCTTCGAGGAGCTCCGTGTTTTCGTCGCCCGTCTTCTCCTTGATGAGCTGCTTGATCAGGCCCTCCAACACCGTCTCGTCGTAAAACTCTCCATTGCTGATGAAGTCAAGGCCTTTCTTGAGCGTGCCTTTGTTGAAGATCTTGACCATGAAGTCTTCGTACTTCTTGATACACTCATCGACACTCATCTTGAGGCGCCCGAGAATGATGGCAATGTACCCGCCTGTGCTGGTCCCGCCAATCATGTCAAACACCTCGCAGGGCTTCTTGTCTGGCGCGGCTTTCTTCATGACGGCATTGAGGAGGTGCAGAGAAGATAGACCACGGACGCCACCGCCATCTGTTCCCGTCGCGGCATGTTAGCATCCTTGCCGGGCTGCGCCTTGAGGTTCCATGGACTGACCGAGCGAGAGCACCCGTAGGGGCCGTTCGGCTCCGGTGCTAAGAAGTTGCGCCGTGTGCAGCCCATCGGGCAGGGTCGGCATGAAGCCGGCCTGTATGGAGTTGTTCACTTCCCTGAAGACCGCCTGGATGTTCTCAACCTTGGACACGATGTCGCCGTAGGCAGGCGGAGGGTCGCGCTCGACTGCGTTGTGTTAGAATTGTGCCAGTCGCCCCGAGAGTCCGAGGAGCACTGACTCTCATCCGTGTCAATCTCGATCGTGAGGTAGCCCTTTCGCGCTGAAATGGACCAGCCGGAGAAGCGCGCACAGAGGCGGACCGCAATGACATTGCCATCCTACCAAGATACGTCAGTACCTGTACCTTTGCAAAAGGCGCCCAGTGACGGCCATACCTCGACCAAACGTAGCAAGTCGTGTTGCTCGTCGAACACCTTTCCTTGAGACTAACTGTCACGTCAGCCCTGCCGCAGAAATGGAGCGTTGGAAAGCCCATGAGTCTAACCCAGCCAAATTCCTCCTCGAGGAAGCGGTTGTCGTGGCTCTTCCACACGAGGTCCACCCCATCCTTAACGCGCGGCTTATAGGCCGATTCATCTTCCAGAATCGCGAGCTCAAACCACGTCCAGTTGCCACCAGAGGTGATGTCAGCGTAGCCCTGGTCGTGCGAGTCAGCTAGCAGCTGGAGACGATCGATCTTGCGAATGGTTCCGATATCGAGAGCCTGCATGTGACGTAGCGTTGTTCATGTTAGTCGACCGATCATTCCGCCGGGGTGCCGCCACGAGACTCAGGACTGACTGGAGTTTTGAACCATATCTCGGCTTTGATGTCGGCATCGACAGCTTCCACGCTGCGCTCCTCATCGCTGGCAATCAAGTACTTTCCGTCTGGGATCTGGGACTGATCGGACGGAAAGGCTTTGCAGCCTTCGATGTTCTTCAGTACTTTGGCGGGCATTTTGTCGAGGTGACGGAGTGCTCCAGTGTCTTGCTCGTCACGCCCCCATATACGCTGGAGGTTCTCTATATATATCGTACAAGCTGTCTACCCTTTAGGAACCATGGATGCGCCGCAATCGTTGCCCCTTCGCAGTGGGCGGGCCGTTGAAGACTCTCACCGGCTTCCCAGTAGTTCGCAGGACGCGACCAGGGTCCGATGTCGTTCAGCTCGCCCAGGCTGCCGCTCCATCACCAACCGTTTGCAGTCCTGTAAGCCGACAGCGGCACGGCAACCATCAACATCCTCTTCCTGGCGTCAGCCACATTGCTACGAGGAGCTTTCTGAGACCAGGCTGAAGACCACACAGTCTCGACATCCTCGCACGGGTACTCTGTGAGGGCTTGGGGATGCACTAAGCTGCTACACTAAGCTTCTGCAGTAAGCCCCAATTGCCAGCCGCTGCGGCTGACAACACGAGGCCTCAGGTGAGCCCAATCCCAGCTGCCGCCACGCACCAAGATATTGCCGAGACTCGCGGCCACTCCAGGGAGGCTTAGCTGAAGAAATGCCGTGCAAACGCGGCCCGTCCCTTGGTGATCCGAATGGTAATGCCTGCTAGCCACAGAGCTATTACCCCTGCACATTCGGACATCCCCGCGAGTTCTAGACACTGATAGCTCGTTCTACTAGGAGTCAATACTCCGGGGACCAGCGTGGCTGATGAAACATCACCTGCAGCAGGAATGCTGTCCACGACCATGTGGAGTCTGTCCGAGCTATGAGGCCTCACCAAAGCAGCCACCACAATGGCCAGTATTTCCAAGGCCTGATGAGTGACGGGTGGAGATGCTTGACGCCGACACATGCCTCATGAACCAGATGGGAAGCTTTTTGGCTGGAGCAACCCCCTACCGATTATCGGATGAACGCGCGTGGATGTACTACGTAGCTGCCGAGCAACGTCTTTCTTGTTCCTTCGAACTCGAGGGGCGCAGACACAGTACCAGTAACCACACCCAGAACTCGTCACATATAAGACGCAGAGCCAGCACATTTCATTGTCGCAACGGTCGGTTCCTATGTCAGCAAAGCGGCGCGGCTAAAGCTCAATGTCGTTTCAATGAATACTGCTATATATAAACTAGAATAGCTCGGACCGAAAACAAGCTTGTGTAATGTCGGTCGGGCTTTAATGGGCGAGGTGTCCTTGTGCGCAACGTCCTCCACCACCTTGCACGTGAACCGCATGCAATCGGCCATGATGGAACTATTTGCCTGCAAATGAAGTCGGCTCCCTTTCGTCGATTCGGTGATACTAGGTGCATTTGCCCTGTAGACCTGGTCAGCAACCTTCACGCACCAGTGCACGAGGTGCTGGGGAACGCCGAGACGAGGGTGGCCGTACGACTCCTGCGCCCTTCAACCGAAGGCAGAATCCACTGCAGCAAGCGCCCTAGGAAGTCTGTCAGTACTTCTGGCGCTGAGCTTGAGTGAATCTCTCCGCAATTTACCTTGCTTCCATCCGGCTGGCAAGCTCTTCCTTTGCCCTTGATGACAGTCACGTTAGCGTCACCACCCACACTCAGTCATTTCTGTGGACCAACATACAAGGCAGGAATTCTCGTTCGGGTTTTCGTTCGGGTTTTCATCGGGGAAGGCGAGTGCCAAACCGGCAACGAGGGTCAAGATAGTGATAAAGAACTTCATATTGTCGGCTATTAGATTGCTGGGGTGGAAGAGGTGTTCGATCCGACTTGTATCAGCTGGTCGAGGCAACAGGCTAAGTTTATATTATTTCGCTTGTCGAGAAGAGAGATGGTACAGCTGGGTGGTGTTGTGCATTTATATCGATGAACAGGGCACTGGAAAGTACAGCTTCTGTCTTGAAGGGGATATGCGTCACATCCTTCGTACGTCAACAAGCATATCACTGAACTGCCGCCTGAAACATGAAGGTCCTCGGTGCAGATCCACATCAGGAATCATTTCGAGTCCGTTGCCAAAACCAAGCGACATGCTCAGCCGCCAGATTTGTGTGCGGCTTCGAGCGCAAGTGCCATGTGAGGGCAACCGTTGGTCCGTGGTCCAGCCACCGAACTCCTGCAGGTCCTCAGCCTGCTCAATCGATGGGGAACAATGTATCGGCCTAAACTTAGAGCAGTCTCGCAGTGTCGTGCAATCATGTGCAAAGTGTTCTTGCATATTGGCATGAATTCACCCAGTCAAGATTGGAGCGTCAATCCAGTCACAGCGAAAATGATTGCCACAACCAAGCTTACGCGGCTCCAATCTCGCTATAGCGAGGGCTACTTGCTGTTGGTAGGCATCGATGCCGAAGTCACGACACTTTGTGAGGTGTCTTTTCCGACATCGCCGGTCGAAATCTCGGAAACTTTGGACTCGTTGCCCCGGAAATTGTCTCAATGTGGACATGGACATCAATGGCACACTGACTGCCAAGCTTGGCTCTCGCGCCACGCTTAGCCAAGTGCGATCAGGACTTGGGTGCTTCTTACCACTGCCGAGGTCACGATGCTGTTCCAAAGATAAAATTGGAAGATGTGTGGAGTAGAACGTCTCGAGAATGCACTCCAGGCATTGCAAGGCCGTGCATGTGGCTGGCTTGGCTGCCAAACCCTCCGCTATTCGCCATGCACTCTATTCAGTCAGGATCAACATGGACGATTTGTGGTGCGGGAAGAATATCGGAGGATAAGGGGCCTTTGCGCCTCCCAAAACAGAGGTTGAAACTACGAGTGTACCGATCCCATTTGTTCCGATGCGCAGCGACACACTCGTACATGTACCTGAGACAGCAAGCACTGGGAGGGCTGTTTGGAGGAACGTGCCATGGCCCCGCGAAACAATACACGCGTGGTAGCTATGAGCTGTTTGCATTGGGCACTGGATGGTGTCGCCGCGTCGCGTTTCCGCAGCCGGGACGGGCTGTAGGCGACCGAGAGCTTGGACCGGAGGGATGAGCAAACCATGCCAGAGCAAGAACCCTGATACAGGGTATGCGCAGGTCTGGCCGAGAGAGTTGTCCGTCTGCTTGCGCTGTCTGGTGCATCGCCGCGATAAAGATGACTTCTTGTAACCGACAGAGCGGCCGTCCTTGAGTATGAACATCGCAGGTATTGCAGTGTTGACTTAGACACGCTCTAGAGTCAGCAGTACTAATCTCTTCATAAGCCCCCAAATCCGATCCAACCGGGGACATGTTAACCGCCAACACCGCCAGCCAGCCAGTGAGGTGCCAAAGACTGTCCCCCCGCAAAGACCCAAACCTCCCCCCCAACCCAACCCCCACAGCGGAGCGCGCCCCGGCGGATCGAGTCGGCAACGGAACTCGGAGCTTCACGGCGGGCGGATATTGAATTAGCCGCCCGCATCCGACCTCACCACCGTGCCGTCGTCCCCTTTCCTTTGCCCGCCCGCGCGCCGCTCGACATTTTTCGACTCTTGACATTTCTCCGTTGCGGTCGCGTTGTTTACATCTGGCCATTGAAAAGGGGACACAGCAAAAAAACTCCACGCACGGGCCAGGTATCTATCACGATGAGCGCCCTGCCACCACGCGGCCTTGCCGCCGTCCTCGCCAAGTCTGCCTCCGACGTGGTCATCCTCTCGTCAGTGCGCACGCCAATCTGCCGCTCCTACAAGGGCCAGCTCAAGGATGCCTATCCGGAGGAGCTTCTCGCTACCGTCCTGCGCGCCCTGCGCGAACGCCATCCGGATGTCCCAGTGGAGGACGTCGGCGTCGGCGTCGTGCTCTCCGAGCTGGGCGGATCCAAGGCCGCACGGATGGCACTCAACCACGTCGGCTACCCGAATGAGACGTGCCTCTACACAGTCAACCGCGCGTGTTCGTCGTCATTGCAAGCCATCGCGTCGGTGTCCGCGCAGATTCGGACGGGCTTGATCAGCGTCGGCATCGGCGCGGGCATGGAAAGCATGACGAGAAACTACGGCAGCAGGGCCGTGCCGGTGGACGTGTGGCCGGAGCTCAAGGAATCGCCCGTCAAGGACGCGAGGGACTGCATCATGCCCATGGGCCTCACGTCTGAGAACGTGGCCTCGCGCTTCAACGTCTCGCGCGCCGACCAAGACGCTTTTGCCGCGCAGTCTCACGTCCGCGCCTCGGCAGCCCGCGCCGCTGGGCGGTTCGACGACGAGATTGTACCCGTGACGACGCGCTTCCAGGAGGTCGACAAGCAGGGCAACGCCGTGGGCGAGGAGCAGACCATTACCGTCACCCGCGACGACGGCATCCGCGACACTGTCTCGGCAGAGGCCCTCGCCAAGCTGAAGCCCGCGTTCAAGCCCGACGGTGCCTCCACGGCCGGAAACTCCAGCCAGGTATCCGACGGCGCGGCAGCGACGCTACTGATGCGCCGCAGCACCGCCACGCAGCTCGGGCTGCAGGACCGCATCATCGGCCGCTTCGTCTCCGCCGTGACCGTGGGCTGCGCCCCCGACGAGATGGGCATCGGACCGGCACTGGCGATCCCACGCCTCCTCGCGCAGCACGACCTGTCCATCGAGGATATCCAGAGATGGGAGATTAACGAGGCGTTTGCCAGCCAAGCGATCCACTGCCTGCGCGCGTTGAACCTCGAGAAGGCGTGGGAGCAGGGTCGTGTAAACCCAGACGGCGGAGCGATTGCGCTGGGTCACCCGCTCGGAGCTACTGGAGCGAGGATGACGAGCACGCTTATGCATGGCCTGCGGAGAGACGGAGGCGACCTTGGAGTGGTGAGCATGTGTGTGGGAACGGGCATGGGAATGGCAGGTCTCTTCGCCCGTGAGTAATGGATGGGGACCGAATCCGAGGACTGTCACTCCGAGGATTTTGAGAAGCTGGTGCACGCGCAGCGTGTTGTATTACGACTAGATAGCATGCAAAACGATACATATTGTGACTGACACCGTCCAACCAGTGCGCGCAACGCCTATACACTAGATTGCGACAAGGAAACCTTGCGCACCATCGACTGGTGAAGCTGAAGGCCGGTTCTAGCAACCGGCTTTGCCCTGAAGCCGACAACCAGACCAGACTGCGGGTCGCGTTCCACGCCGCGACCTTCAACAACCCCAGAGCGGTCCACGCCGAGCCCAACGAGGCTCTTTCCGACGCGGTTGTAGTCCCCGAAGAAGGCGTGGGCGCGCGCGTCGCTCCCGTGGGTCAAGCCGTGGCCGAGCGTGACGCCCCAGACTGAGCCCACGCGTATGGAGTGCGCCCTCGAGTTCCTATCTCGCTGAAGCATCACCGAGTACACGGACCCGGTGTACCGCACTATGCCCTCCGCGACATCCGCAGGGAACGTCCACGACTTTCCGTCGAGAGATATGGGATGCCAGGGCGTGACGACGAGTGATCCGACCCGACAAAGCGTGGCCGCCTGCACGGGCGTCCTCAGTACCAGTGCGACCTTTCGCGACCCAGATGGGGTGCGAACCTTCATGCCTCGCTTCAGCTTTCGAATTGGTACGATCCTCCCGGAAGCCAGTTCTAGAGGAGTCGAGCTCGCAAAGCATACGCCATGGGCATCGCGATACCGACTCATGGATATTTTCGGTCGGCTACCCGCGTGGCCACCAACATGATGGCCTCCATAGCCAACGTAACCGCGTCGAGTTGTCGGTGTAGGCTCAGGGGCAGGCAGATTGTCAAAAACCTCGTCAAGTCGGTCGCGGCATGCGACGAATAACGGGCTGTTGATGCCATATTGCAGTGGACCGGGATCCTTGAAAGAGTTGCAGATCTGCCGCGAGTGGGCGTTGTAGTACGACGGCAGGTAGTGCACACCCCACTTGTTAAAATACTCGTCGGTGTTGATGGCCAGAGATATTTGCCCCTTGGGCTCTGGCCCCGTCAGATCCTCCATCAACGACTGGTTCAGGGGGTCGAGGTGGTTTCGCGCCGGGATTTCGTCGAGCAGCAGAGCCAGCTCCTTTTGTTTCTGCGCTCGTCCCTCCGCGAGCACCCTGTGTTCACCATCTGGTCCGATGGGGAACCATGAGGACAGGTACTTGCAAATCCGTGCTCGCGACTCATGATAGGCCACCTCTGCGTCACTCAAGTCGGTAGCCTGGTGAGCTAGGCTTCCGCGCACCGACAGGGTGAAACTTCCATGGTCTGCATCGTTCAGCGTTTTCGAATCTGGGGACGCTGAGGGAATCCGCGCCGTGTCGAAGTCGAGTGTAGCTTCGACATCTAGATCGGTGGGTCGTAGAATGAGTTCTCCGTCGGCCTCGTTCGCGGCACCCCTCCTGACCCGCAGGAATATGTCACGAGACTGCCCGTATTGCAGATTGCCGAGCGGTATTTGCAGCACCTTCAGTCTGCTTTCCTTCGATCCCGTCTCTCTCGCCTCTTCCTGGAGAACCGACGAATCCATGGTCTGCTCGACCTGGAGATCGTTCGAATAGGTTAGTGTTAGTTTTGCGTTTGTCGCAAATGTAGCCTGAAGGTTGGCAACCGCGTGAACAAACACGGTGCCGATCATGCCTGCGTCTGGGATGAAAGCGTAATTGCCATTTCCAAACTCCGCCAGGGACTTCAACAATCCCGACCTCAAGCTGTAGCCGAAACCGAATGTGTGGATTGTTGCGGGCAGTTTTGACATGGACCTGAGTTTAGGAATGTAACCGGCCGGGGGGCACCTAGATGGCTGTGTCAGTACATCAAAGTAACGCAAGGTCGGAGAAAGGGATGCCGACATGTGATTTGGCATGCCGTCCGTGAGAACCATCATGGCCGGCACTCGTGAGCTGCGTCCTCCGTCCTTGAATACTTCGATGGCGTCGCGGATCCCGTGCCAGAGATTCGTAGCATCTTGAGGGACCATGGCTTTGATGTTGTCCTTGGCCTTGGCCTTGGATGTATCGTTCATGGGCTCAAGGTCCTGTATAACCTTTGACTTGCTTCCGAACGTGACGATTCCAAGTCGATCATCCGCGTTGAGGGTTTCGATGATGGTGAGCGCAGCATGCTTCGTGAGATCCAATACAGAGAGTCCGGTGTCTTCGGAACCCCCTTCCCCTGGTACGGGAGCGGATGCGCCCATGCTGCCAGAGACATCAATCACGAGAACAATGTCGCAAGGTACATGATGGATATCCACGGGCGGTGATTGTGGAGGCTGGACCTTGACGACAAGCGCCTCCTTTGACGGCACAGGACCAAGATGCAGAGTTGCGCCACATACTTCCGCGCTGACGAGTGAGTGCGCGGAAGCGGCTTCGTCGTAGCTCGGCGGTGCGTCGTTGCGAATTGGCAACCTCTGTGGTTGTGTGTTAGCAGATAGATCCCGAGGACTTGGACAAGGTGGGTGACTGGGTATGAGTGGGAATGGGGTACATGCCATGGTGACTGAAGCAACACGAGGCAACTGCAATCCGCTGCAGAAGTGTAGAGTCGAAACACGCTCGTCTTCGTCGAGATTCAGTCAGGGGACAAGCAACTGTCATGCAGCAACGTCGTTGGTCGACGGTGGCAGGCGGATGGTGGCCGTTTAAAGAGGCCCTGAGTCTGGAGATTTGGTGGCGTCAGCACAGAGCCTCTGGGGTCCGGCAACGTTCCGATGCGCTGCAGTTCGCCTCGCGAGACGACGACATCCGCAGCGATGATACAGTTCTCCATGCTTGCCAGACTGCGGGCGCAAGGCTTCGTTGCGGGCTCTCGCGTCTCCACCTCTTCAGCACGGCGAAGTGAATACCGAAATTGGCGGCGTCGCCCATGATGAGATGGGAGATGCCAAATGCAGGCCACCCACCTCCCGGGGCATTCATCCATTCGCTGCAATGCGCGCGCCGATGCAAGATCGCCGAGCATTGGGTTCTCGGTGGCCCTCCGGCAGGGCTTGTGGCACCCCGCGCCAGCGGGCCATTGGCCAGCCACACGTGCGGGCAGACACCAAGGCTGTTTTTGGGCAGGCAAGCCAAGGTGTCCTGTGAGGCTCCTGACAAGGCACGGCGACTTCCTGGAGCTTGGGCCATGCGAATTGGAAACGGCGTCAGCCAGCGGGGTCGCTCATTGGGGCAGCGTCCAGGCTGCGAGATCAGGAGGCCAATGGCATCGCTTTGCGGCTGACACAGCCCTTAAGGATGGCGTCCTTCTTGGGGCGCCGGGGAGCTTGGGGCCCTGGTCCGTGGGAAACGGGTGCACAGACGGCTGCTGAGCCTCTGCATCAATCTTGGCGAGACTCGGAGTCTGATCCATTTGTCCTGTCAGACGAGGGCATCTGATCGCGCAACAACACCGCGCATCTCGAGGCTCTGCCTCCCGAAGGCTGTCGCCGGTCAAGGCATGCCAGCAGTCCAGGGCGTCCGTCGGCTTGCGTGACGTCCGCGACCGGCTCGACTTGCATGAAGAGATCGTACCGACGTCGTAGCGATGACTCGCCGCCGTTTTCGAGGCGACGTGACGCAAGCTTGGCAGCATGCCGTGCAACGCGCCCCGCGCGCGACTGACACGGGACCTCACGGCGCCAGCATGTGGCAAGCCGGGATGCCACTGATGGGTCTGTACTTCGTCCATGTAATTCGTGGTCAGCAACGCACTGTACGAGTTACTCCACGTCGACGACGAGAGCCGCTCTCGACTGGGACAAGCCTGTCGTCGCGGGGTCACGATCGCCGAGACGAGGCGAACAAGGTGAGCATCAGCCACAGGGCAACTCGTCAGCACTCGCTCCAACAAGGCGACCCATGCCATGCCGCCAGCGCCCCCCCATGTTGGCCACCTTTGGGCGGCGGGGAACCCGGAATGTGCATTCTCAAATCACATCGCCAATTTTAGCATCTCGTCTGTCGGCCCTGGCCTGAGTGGCGACTCTCTCGGTCGTGATGTGCCTCGCCTCGTCATTGCTGCAGTGAGTCCCAGGCCCTGCCTGCTTGCGTTTTTCTCATGTTGTCACATGTGATGGAAGCTGGCGGGAAGGATGCAACAGCATCCCCGACGATGATTCAGCGGGGTTACGGGCACAGGCACGGGCGAGCTGCAGGCAGGCACGCAGGTAGGCAGCCACTTTCCAGTGTCGATGGGAAGCCGACACGGAAGGCAACGAAGCATGCATCAATTCTGCTCCGATGCTCCCGCCGTCGAGGCCTGTCGGGCCCAGAGCCGCCTCCGCATGCCGCCCGTCTGACTGGCCACCCACCTGGTCTTGCTTCTTCAGCCTGCACCGGGTGGTCGGTCGGAGGCTGCGCATTTCGCCGTTTACAGTCGGCAAAGGTCGGGTGTGAAACTTGTGTGTGCAGTGGGCGCGACGCCTGGTTTTGTTTTCTCGTCGTTGGCTCACACCCTCACTCCTCCTCACCACCACTCACCACCCATCAGCCCGTCGAGCCGCACCGGAAGCGGCGCTGCGCCATGTGTGAGGGGACCGACTTCGTTCGTTCGCCCGCGGGAACGAGAGTGTGGCACGAATGCTCGCCCGCTCTGCGTGGTGGTAGAAAGAACCCTTGACCCCGCCCGCGACGCTCCGATCTCGTCCTCGTTCCGGCGGGCGACCGGCCTTTTGCGACCGCAGATCTCGTGTCTGACAACACACGTCAGGCGTCTCGGGCAAGGGACTTCATGACGCGCAAAACGCTGATCGCAAGACGAGGATAAATGCATAAGGGTCCAGTCCAGCGGCCAGCCCAGCGCAGGTGCCGCGCCGGCGTGGGGCTGCCCAGCAGGCGTCGACACGGGCCGCCGACTTCCATTCGAGGCAAGCAGAGACAGGCGTCCGGACCGGCTGTTGGGGTTCCATCAGGATGGGTTACCGGACCCTGCCGGCCCCCGCACGCGCTCCTCAATGACGCGCCACTGCATGCGATTCGACAGAGGGGCAGCCTTGAGCACATGTCGCCTGCCGCCAGTCGCCTGTTGGCTGCATATCCCCCAGCCTGCCCAGGCTTGCCAGGCCCCTTCGTGGGGTGCTAGTGGCGCCGCTTGAGACCAAAAGAGTTGGGCTAGCCCGCCGAGTTTCGTGTGCCAGGCGCCCGGCCGACAGCCAACCCAACCAAACCTCATCGTCAAGCTGCCCATCCGTCTCCCCCCCCAGGGGTGGCGCTTGTCCAGATCTGCGTCACCCACTACCTCCGGGGGGCTCTGCATGTTGTCTGCGAGATTGTCTGGCCCGGCGCCGCGCGCCCATGCAAGCCAAGGTGGTCAGCCGGGCCAACCAGCGCCCTCGCTGCCTCCCAGTATGGCCAACTGCAACGACATGACACCGCGAAATGCGTCACGACAATATTTTTATCATGGACTTTACGGACTTGACCCTCTGCGCGTCCGTCCAGCGGCCGTGATTGTCTGCCCACTCTGCGCCCACGCTCCCAGTCTCGCCCGCCCTCAGTGGTTCCATTGCCGGCGTCCCGCCCGTCCCTCGCCCCGCTCCTGGCCGTCACTGTCACACAGAGTTCAAGATGCGGGAAACTCTCTGCCTGCTTAGAAGGTGGTGCCGAGACCAAGGTCAGCGCCACCACGGGGCGGGCGGCGCCTCTCTTATAAGAATCACCTCCTCCTGTGCTCTCCTCTCCTCTTGCACAGCAGTCGTCTTTCTCCTTCTCTCTCACACACTTCAGATCCACCCTTCACCCTTTCACCAGCTACAGCTCCGTCATCACGCCCTTCGGACAGTCGTCTGCGACCTACAACTCACCACTTTGCAACTGCTCAAATACATCACCCCACACGCACCAGACTAAAAAGTCAACATGCCCGCCTACGAGTACTGCTGCAAGTGCGGTGGCATGATTGTCATCAGCACCACCTGCACCGGCTGCGGCCACAAGCAGTGCACCGAGTGCCCGGCGTCGTGAACCCGCAGCGTCTCAATACTCAGAGCCCCTGGTACGGCCGAGGTCCCGTCCCACGACACATGGTGGAACTTGCGGGCTTACGAGCAGCGCCATTAGTGCTTTGACATGATTTGAGCTACGACCACGACGACTTTTGTTCTTCTACCGCGAATGACGATCTCCCCACCGCTTTGTACCGATATCCGGGGCGTCTTCTTGTGCTCTTGTTTTCTCCCCTCAGCGTCGAAAACGATGCGGCGTGATACCCTTGCATGTTCAGTCTACTGTTCTCATCCCGGCTGGGTTTCGCTTGGAGTTGTGTGGTTCTGAAGGCGCACGAGAATGGTCGAGGCTTATTTTGTCTGAGACGAGAGGCAGACCTGCGCGACAGCCGGGTATTGGCTGCCCTCGGGCTGACGGAGGCGATTATCGGAAGCCACGGGACGACTTGACCTCGCACTCGTATTCGAGAGTTTTGTCTGGCGTCCGTACAACTGTACGATGAAACCAACGGTTCTTCTGCTGGCGCTGCGTCGGAGACTCATGGCCGTAGACTTTGTAGCCGGCTTCATATGCAAAACACACGACGAAATCGGACAAGACGTAATGCCAAATTGTGCTCTCTAGTACTGCTTTCTAGGTGATATCAAAGGCCATGCTCGTTGCGCATGTGCTTATGCCGTGACTAATACTCGCGAACCATGGTAGTGGACTTGGACTGCTTCCTCCTCTCCTTGATCTTGAAGCCCTGCTTTTGGTAAAACGGCACAACCTTGGAGTTGTCGGCCGCGACACCGATCCAGATCCCTCGGCTGACGCTCCCATCCTGCTGCTGCCGCGCGGCTTTCACACTCTCGACAAACGCCTCAATCAGCTTACGTCCCCAGCCTTTGCCTTGCCACTCGTCCAAAAGGTCGATGTGCATAGTCGCCTTGTACCCCTCCTCCATGAGGTCCTCCTGCCCGTTGAGAAGCAGCCACTCAGCTTGGTATGCCATCTGAGCGAGAGCCGTCTCGTTGATCTGACCGTCGTCGAGCAGCCAAGGTGCTTTCGTCCCCCGATCCTCCCACTTGGGGGGCTGGACCTCCGGTGAAGGGTCGAGGATGGAGGAAACGTAGGAAGGCCAAGCGGCACAGAAGGCTGCAATGTCGGGGCAACCGATGCAGTAGCCGACCGGGTCGGAACCGGAGCCGGAGTCCAGTACGAAGCAGGTCTGGGGCGACAAGTGTGTGAAGGGATGCGTCCAGAGGTAAGGGCCGACGCGACGAGCAGGCTCAGACGCCTGAAGAGACGGAGGCATGGTGTCCCGGCACTGAAAAGACGCTCGTTAGTCAACGGCGCGGACACGCGGGTGTCGCTGGAGCGGGGCTCTGCTGGAGCGCACGATGCGAGAAGCTGAGGGGAGACTGACGATGCGTGCCATCGCCTCAAAATCTGACGGCTTGTAGGGTCGGATGAACGCCATTGTGGATTGGATTAACGGTAGCACTTCTATTCGAGCTTGAGGGGTGTGTTGAAGTTGAGTTTGACCACGACCAGCTTTGGAGACGGAAGCGGTAGGGACGCCCTTTACTGCTGCAGGACGTAGCGAGCCGGCCGGTGCTTCGCTTCGCTTCGGTTTCGTGGGACCAAGGAAGGGAAAGAAGCCGAATGAAGGCTTCCCGGCGAAGAACGATGCAGGACGCGCCTGCTACAGGCGCCCGTCTCCATCCCCCTCCTTGGCATCCTGCGAGTCCATCGCCCTCCTTGCCCCCCACGTTGTGGTTGGCATGGCGGGGGCATTGGGGGGACACTAGCTAGACGTTGCGACCGGCTACCCACTCCGTGATTATGGTCCTCTGAGATCTTGACCAAATCAACGCCAGCCGAGCCAATGAGCTACATTGCGCCGCGGCATTACTTCCTGCCGAATGCTTCGATAGCCAGCCGCCTGTGGTGGCCTGTAGGTAACGTGGAGCGTCAAACGTGAGACCGACGCTGGCCGCACAACATTAGACCAGGACGGCCTTCCACAACACGTGAGGCAGTAGGAGTAGCTCAGTTATGGGACGAAGACGCGGAATCAACGATTACAGGAAAAGTACGGCACGTGATATAACGGAAATGCGTGACCTGATGCCAGCCTGTGGAAGGTATGAGCCTCGACTCAGACCCCTGACATGCTGGCCCGTTCTGCGGCTGCGACTAGGAGGATTCAACAATCACTTGCCCTCGCCTGGATTGCTCATTTGTAAGCGATTGCTTTTATGGTACAGTTCCAGCTTGTTCGTGCTGTCTAATGTGGCCCCTGGCGATTCGCTGCGTAGACAAGCGGTCGCATCCGCGCGACAACCGCACTCATCCGCGTTGCAAGGTCCGTCGCCGCGTCGCCTGTGCTAATACCCACAGCATGGATCAAAGTCCAGCCTCAATCCGCTGCCTGCTCGACCGCCACATACTGATTTTGCGACGCTGTGATATATATTCGTACACGTGCTCATAGAACTGTAAAGAAAGCACAAATAAACCCCTTCAAAAAATGACGCCTTGACATTGCTGATGCACCCCATTGGCCCCTTAGCCATCGATTTTCGTTGGTCGAGGTCATCGCTGAGCACGATGAATTCTGGCGGTAAAGCCGGATAGCTCTCCCGCACTATGTCCGTTGACTCAAGTCAGAAAGTTGCTTCCCGAGGCGTAAACCCTCCTTTGTGTGCCGATCTTGTGAGCGCAAGTCCCAACGCTCAGTGCCCGGTGGTCGTGATCAGATCATCCCGCCAGGCAGGTTGCCGCTTGACATGCTGGGATGTGGTAGCGGTGGTCGAATAGTTGGCGGGCCCCGTGGAGGGCTTTGGCGTAGCCTCCCACTCGCATCGAGAACCATCCGATGGCCGCCATGGCGATGACTACTCTGTGCTCCCTCTTCGTCAGACATGGTCCCGCCATATCCATTCGCAGCTCCCTCATCTCCACGGTGGCCGAAGCCCTGACCATTCTTGCGACGGGGATTGATTGGCGGCAATGGTGGTGCATGTGCATTGGCAACTGCATGCAGATTCGGCGTCGAAGCTGCTGCGCTCAACATGCTTCCGCTACGAGAGCGAGCATACGGAAGGGACTCAAAAGTCGCGCCCGCGGATGTGTGAACCGGCGATCCAATCTTCGGGTCAGAAAGCTCCCGCATTCTGCCCACCCGACGTCCAGATGGGTCAATGGGGAGGCCACCGTGCATGGGGCCCTGTCTCGGGAATCCGGCAGGGGGAGCATGGCCGCCGTATTGTTCGTCATAGGTCAGCGATCCATTTCGCAGTCGGGTGGCCCGAGTGTAGGCAGGACTGGCAGTGCTAGTCTCTGGACCGCTCCTCTCACGTTCCGATGCAGCCCGGGAGCCTGCGCGGGAGCGACTTCTGCTTCTAGACTCGTCTCGCGGCATCCGGTTGAACATGACGGGAGGAGGACCATTCTCGTGTGATATCACCCGATGCGGGGACGGCCGCTCAGGCATGGAGAGTTGCTTCGGTGGCGCTTGGTGTCTCTGCTGAGTCTCAATCTCTTTCATTCGCTGCAGCTCTCGTCGAGCCTGGCGGAATGCTTTCAAGCCAGCGTGCACAGGTTCATCCTTCTCCGCTGTGGGAGAGCCCCTGCTTGCTTGCCCATCTTCGTCAGGAATATTACCATCTCGCTGGTTTTGCTCGGTGCTTTCCGTCGACGGCTTTCGAGGCGATGGAGACGTTGTGCGGTTGGAGGAATCGGGCACTCGAGACTTGGACGATTTTGAGCGGCTGCGTTCGCGACTCTCGCGGTCGAAGAGAGAACCGCGGCTAGATTTCGATCGAAGGATACCCAAACCACTACTCCGCGGCACTGGCAATTCCCTTGACTCGGACAGGGGAGTCGTTGGCGTAGAGCGCTCATTGTCAGACTCAACATACGTCGTCAGTCTCTCCCGGACTCGTCTTGCACCATCCGCCAAGTGTCGTGCGAAGTCGTCTTGCTCCTCGGGTGTCGCATCAGTAGGCGCAGCAGGATGTCGAACCGCGGGCGCTTCCATGGACAGTTTGCTCGATTCTGACCCCTGTGAGGCTCGGCTCTGAGGGTTATCGAGGGGTGCTGACACCGGCGGCTGTTCAATCGTGCCATAAATCGACGAGGCAGAGCTGTCCTGCCGCAAGTGTTGCCTCACCATCCCGCTTAGGCCAGAATTTGGGCCTAAAGTAGGCGAGTCTTCAGGCGGATCAACACCGCGGTCAAAGGCCTCGTTCGAACCGGACAGGCCACCGGCATGGTCAGGGAACCTTGGCGACGTGAGGGAAAGAGGCGTCGGCAGAGCGGACTTCCGAAACGCAGGATGTGCTTCGTCATCCGGACGCTCAATGATGAGCTGCGGAGTAACCGAGGGTATGCTTGATCGGTTATCGACGGACGCGTCGTCACTCTCATCAAAGAACGTTGGGTTTCCGTCTTCTGCTTCCGCAACTGATTCTGGCACCCTTGTTTCGAAACCGTCCCGATTGATCGGCTGTCTGTGCGATGACGACGACCGAGACCTGGATGTGTGCATGGCCATCCCTGTATCAGCAGGCCCACGCCCAGACGGCGTTTCGCGTCCTTGTTGGAGCTGCCGTTGCCGCTGAGCATACTTGAAATCGTCATACTGCTGAGCAGGTCGAGCGAAGACTCCCATCGCTGTGGCCTTGCCTCGATCGTTGGGCTGAATAGGTAGCATTGGATGCTCCCCAGTTTCGCTGATAGGGGGACTCAGGGGCGGACTGGCCACAAACGCAGGTTTTGGCTCCGGTCGAGGAAAATTGCTACTGCTCTCGGCAGGACTGATTGGCGTGGAGGAAGCAGGGGGGCTGAACGATCGAAGGTTGGGGGCACTAGCCTTGCTCATGATCGGCCGGCGCTCAAGGACCCGATCGCCAAAAGCTGCGTTTGTTGGAGAAGGAACGGGGGGAGTGAGGTCTGGTGTCCGCGTTCCAAACGGACGTTGGCGAGACAAAGTATCCATTCGCGACACGGCCGATGATTGTTGATCCTGGAGGTCTTGGTTAAGACCTTGCTCATACAGCCTCCGCGTTCGCGTGACGCTGCGCTCGAGATGGGGCAGCTGGGTCGAAGAAGCCATGGCTGTCCCTCCGGACGACCAATCTTTGACAGACGAGGACGGCTGTGACGACGCGATAGATGTAGCAGCGGTTGAGTTGCGTGCAGCTGACGGGGCGGAGGATGTTGTCGAGTTTGTTTCTCGTCGGCGGCTGAAGTCGACCTGCCCATCGGATTCGTTGGTGTCGCCGGTTTCATTCTCGTCTAATGAATGACGTTCTCGCTCAGATTGTCTCCATTTTTGGAATGCCGACTGAGCCACGTCGTCGCCGTATAGAGCCCTGCCTCCCATACCACCGTTCCTGGCACTGCCTCCTGCCGGTATTTTGTAGATCTTTTGTCTTCCTCCGAAGAGGTTATTGCCATCGGTGGGCTTAGAGCGGTTCATTATGCTCCCCGAAGTTGATGCGGCATCATCGCTCGAATTGTACGAGTCGAACCGAGAAAACGGGGGTGCCCGAATTGACTCGACCTCAGCGATGTCGTGCAGTCCAGCGCCCAACCCGAAGTCTGCTAATCTTGATTGCCTTTTCGGGAACAGAACGCTGTCGTCGCTGGCTTTGCCGAGCTTCGAGTTCGGGTCATCTTGCTCGCGAAGCATCGAAAACCGAGCCGACAGGCCCGTCATGAGAAGACTCGTTCGAAAGTCATCGGTGGGTGGCAGTGCAGATGCCAAGTCCAGTTCTTTCTTGGCGTCTTCCTGCGACCTCTTCCTACCAAACATGCGGAATGGACCAGACGCCTCCGACTCTATCGACGGCCGCGCAGCTGCCACCTCATCCTTGTTCTTCTTCTTGGTTCGAAACCGATTCATTGTGAAGTCGTGGCGAATGTGCGTATCGTAATGGAAGCGCGATATCAAGGCGGTACTTCAGGCACTCTGGGTTTACTGAAGAGTATCGGGTACCCGGTCCATGAAGCCGCCGTCGAAATGGATGCAAAGTCCGCGTGTGCAAGCGAGCCTTGCTGTCTGCGGTTCTGTCAGCACATGGTTCAGGCACTTGCGTAAATAGACGAGATTCGGTCTCGTGTCGACGGCTTGTGCTGGACGGTGCGCCTGACAAACACGCACGAGAGGCACATGACTGGCAATGATTGTACAGCGCGAGAGTCCGCAGAAGCAATGGCTCATTTGGTGTCCAGCGCGACAGAGATAAAATTGTGTATGGCAACGTACCCAATGTACCCAGTAGCGGACTCTGGGTCAGTCCGTCG